GGGTTATTTTGTATTCCAAATCGAATGGCGCTTGCAGATTTTTGATATCTCTTTTAGTTTTCTCGTAACACCCAAAACTGAGGGGGGTCCTATACTTATTGGGCGCAGTGTATTAAAGGACCAGGGAACCCAAAAATTTTTTGATTAATTTGTGAAATGTTTTTGTGACTGTTTCAATTGTCTCTTATTGCCTCATACACTGGTGAAATGCTGCCTCTCAAAAATGCCAATGAACGAAACGGCATGCAGTTGAAGTTGTGGCCGTGGCCTAGCGCCAATGGCCGAAAAATATATAAAAATAAATGCGCTTCTCGGCCATTTTATTTTTTCCGCTTTTTTACCGGTTTTTTTCCAAAAATTCACGGTTTCTCCCATTTTGGCACTTCATATCGACTGAATGAAAACAATTTTTTAGCAGTGAAAAAATAAGTAAGTGCCGAACAAATGTCAATCCACTGAAAAACGGGAGAAACCGTGAATTTTTGGAAAAAAACCGGTAAAAAAGCGGAAAAAATAAAATGGCCGAGAAGCGCATTTATTTTTATATATTTTTCGGCCATTGGCGCTAGGCCACGGCCACAACTTCAACTGCATGCCGTTTCGTTCATTGGCATTTTTGAGAGGCAGCATTTCACCAGTGTATGAGGCAATAAGAGACAATTCAAACAGTCACAAAAACATTTCACAAAAACATCAAAAAAATTTTGGGTTCCCTGGTCCTTTAATATCAGCGTAATCAAGTTCTACTCGGTCTTTGGTTATGATCGCGCATTAATTATGTGATGTGTTTCTTGCACTTTTTTTTGTTTTTTTTTTTTCAAATTCAATCAGAAAAAGGGTAAGCGGGTGAGCGATGAGTGAAGCTCTCGAGTGAAGTGAATGAATTGCCTAAAAAATTTTTGCACATTCGTTTGCTGCTGTCAACCGATTTCTGTCAAGTGGTCGGTCATCGAACATGCGCTTGAAACGGCGAGTAAATTAAAATTCGAGCGTGTGATCATTGACACACCACGTCTGACGTAGTCAAACTGTCAAATAAACGACGATAATCTTTATTCCTCAGTCCTTATACCCTCTTGCATTTAGAGCAATAAAAAGTAGTCCAAAAGCCACAAAACTCACGTGTCATCGGCCTGCATCATAATAATGAGAATGTAGGAGTAGGTAATAAACTTTTTAAAATCATTGCAAAGAAACATAAAGATGCGCTAACTCTGACGTAGGCCTGAACAGCATGTTTCGGAAGGTATCGGGTTCCGATGAGAAACGTGTGTTGCTTGGTGCTTATCAACAAAAGCAATAATACACTGATACTCCTCGGAGACTAAAAAATCAACTATTTCGGGCGAGTCTATTTTTATTCAGATTTAGAGCCAAAAAGACGGAAATCGTTTGTCGATGTGATGAAAACAAGTATTGTAATTGCGTTGGGATGTTTTCTTCTTTCTTCCAATGATTTTTTCACATCAAAAACGGTAATGACATAAAACCCCAAAAAACACACTCTCCAACAGAAAACATCAAGTGCTCGCTTCCGAAACGCTTTATTTTAACGGTTTCGCACGCAGTTAGCCCTTTTTCGGTTTGAACTCACAAGGCAACAGCAAATGAAGTTGGTTCCTTGTCAGAAAAGTGAGCAGAGAAAGAAGAGAGAGAGAAAGAGGTGAACGTAGATCAGACAGACTCCAAACTTATCAGGAATTCATGGTGAACTCCTCCCGCCATCACAGCATTCCATAGGAATGGCATTGCCTCTTGTGTCTTCCCCCGTTTTTTGCCCAAGATAATGCTTCTCTGTTTTTTTCAAACATACCGCAAACTTTTACAGCGTCGCATCATTTTCTTGTCCCATAATAGTTCAAAAATAGGCAAGAATGTTTGGAAACGGATTTGGGAGAGTGAAAAGGGGGCTTCATGGAAGGGGGAGGGGTCTAATTGATGAATTGAACCTCCATCTGCGGCTATGTTCTCTTTTTGTTCAAGTTTTTTGGGGAGGGGGGATCTACCCAATAGAGTGAAAGGAAAAATTAGTAGTGAGGTCGCCAATACTAGAAGATGGTTTTTGTTTACAAGAATGAAATCTTGCTCACATTTTAATCCTTGTTTTTGCAGAAATGCAGAAGTTGTAAGTTATCGGAACAGATAGTTTATTTGATCTTCCCAACTCACCCTTTATTAAGATCCAAATACATGAGCCGCTCGGTACTCATAGTGAGAAAGTTCCAGAGAAAGTTGAGGCGAAGAATGATCTGAAAGATTCAGAAAACTGATGGGCGGACTTAGATTCGAATTTGAGGAAAAAAAAGGAGTGACACTTGGAATTCAATCAACTTTTGCACATGCCTAGGAGCAAGAACGAGGATTCCTATCAGAGTTGAACACAAACCAATAGCCACTTGAAAAAGAGAAAAGGAATCCTGCGGAGTTTTGGAAAAAGGGCGGGGCTTTTTGTTGAGCAGGCACAGGAGCAGCAAAGTTTCAAAAATCTTCGAGGACACCGCTTCTTTTAGCTGTTTTCATTCTTCCTTCACCCCGGAGAGCGTGTGGAACTCATCACAATAAACTATTTTTTGGCGGCAGTCGAATGGATCGAGAGACGAATGAAATCTGCTATTAGATATCTGCGGAATGGTCATAAAACCGTTGTGTTCTTCTATACCGCCGTCATGTGGAAATGAGTTTCGGTTTGAACTAAAAACTGAAGCGAAAGTACGAGTCAAGTGACGTTCTGAGAAAAAAACTATTCAAAAAGAAGATCTCACGATAAATCGGTTGGAAAATGACATTATCATCATTATTTTTATTCAGTTTGAGAAAATAAACTCAGTTTTTTAAAGATGTTCTCTGTCCCACCGTTTCTCTCTCTCTTTCTCTCCTTCTTGTGGCGACGAATGGAAACGGGGGCTTCCTCGGGAAGCCCGCCGGCTAATTAGTCAAAGTACCTCATGCCAGTAACTTTTTCTTATCGTCTCTTGAGAAGTGAGCCTAAAATTCTATAAATTTTAATCGAACCATCTAACTCTCATCCCGCAGTTCCACTTCAGACAAAAAAGCATCAGACGCCCAGTGCGTTTAAAAGAACATTGTGTACAAGATCGTTGTTTTTTCAGTTTCCCACGCAATCAACAAACGCTACTTTGACCAATCCGAAACAACCAATTTTAAATTCATTGTCAAGGAAACCTGATATCAGTCCATTTGAAATAATTGCAAATGTTTCTCGGACTGGCGTGGAGCACGTCGACATTCAGCCAGTGGACAAGTTCTTCAAGCAACAAGCTCGGAAGGAATGCGAAGTTCGAGACTAGGAATACAGTTGTGAAAGTATTTTGAATGCAAACGTTTATTCACAAAATTTTTTCAGTTTAATGGGTTTCCAGAAGTGAAAAATACCCTAAATATGTGACTGGTATTAAAATAGTCTTATAGGATAGTCGATAGTCACAGTTGTATGTTCGAATTGAATCAAGCCTGTATCGGTAAATTCGCGGAATCTCATCTTCTTGCAACATTTATTTTCTTTAATCTGAAGGGTCATGTGCGTGACTGACTGTAGCGAGAGTCCATCCTTTCTTCGAATTCTAAACCTTCAGAGTCGCCGATATTGCCGACATTTTTTTGTGGTTTACTATCGAGGATTGTTTGGAGATCAGCACTGGAGAGTTGCACTGCAGTTTGAAGATCGACAGACAGCTCAGACGGATCGACAGATATGAACTGTGAAAACAGCCTTGCCTTCTCTCTGAAAACAAAACAAAACTTCTAAATTTATTGAATGAAATACACTGACTTTTCAATTCTTAAAACCATACCTGCGTTTCTCGTCCGTCGTTCCGCTATATTTCATCCAGAATTCTCGCATCAATGCGTGGGAGTCGTCAGAACTGCAGTGACCGTCGTGGTGAACAACTTCTTGGCCTGCTTCTGGAACGCCGCCAATCTTTTCTCCATCGCAGCGGGTTCGTCGTCCTTTGCCGGGCTGACTTTATTCTCCTTCAAAAAATCAAGTTGACTGCTTCCACTACACACAAGACCCGGACTTGTTAGACGTCTCGGAGAAGTTTAACGTGCCGGAGAACTTTTGCCCGGAAAGAGCGGACTCGTGAAAAAAGAACGGACCCAGGTAATGAGAGTCTTGCTGAGGATAGGTAATACTTGTAGGATACACTCTGTTGCAGATTCCCTGATACTGACTCCGCGACATTTCCCACCAAAGTCATTTCTTACCAGTGACGTTTCATACCAGAGCGATGGAGGAGGGGCAGATATTTCATACCAATTACACTTTATTCCAAAACCTTTCATGCCAACTTTCGATGAATTTTTTAAAGATTTTGAGCGGACGTGGCTGATATGAATTGTCACGGGTATGAATCATCGTTGGTATGAAGGGTCTTGGAATGAAGTGTCGTGGTATGAAAGATCACGGATATGAAACATCTCTGTTATGAAACGTCCTTGGTATGCAACGTCACTGGTAAGAAATGACTTTGGTGAGAAAAGCGCAGAAAATCGCCTCGCCTACATGGAAATACAGTTTGATGGAAAGACTTCCGCTGTTAAAAAATTATGGTGAAAACAGTAAAGAATGGGACAGAAAAGAAATGTGCAATTGTTCGGTGAGAATAGGCACGTTTCCCGACTCTACCATGTTCGGCCCTCGATTCTTTCTTTCGGTCCTCGATTTCAGACAAGTTACGACTCGCCCTATATGTTTCTGGACTGTTTCGTGCACAACACTGCCCGTGACGACCTTGGCTCGTACTGCACTCTCTCAATCCATCGTTTCTACATAAGAGAGAAAGAGAGAGTGGTGTCTGTTGACTGTCACCATTCGCTTCCAATGTTCCCATTTCATTTTTGACGACCTTCACCTAATGTTGCCTGAGTATTCAACGTTTCAACGCTTCAGCAGCGAATTTAGACCGAATCTATGTCTTGCGTTTTTTTGTCCGCTTTTTCAGTGATTTCTTCTCATTCGACTATTTTTTTTTCAGGCTATGCTTACTGCTGCTTTTGACTTGGTTTGGTCCATGGGTTTGGACTCGATTTGGTCGATGGCGTTCTACGACTTCTACCTTCGCATTTGCCAACTGATAATGCTCTCCGGAGGTATGTACATCCTCGCAGCGTACTGGAATTACATCCCGGCAAAGTACAACTCATTCACTCACCGTTGCAACATGTGCGTCTATGCAAGAGAAGCGTGGAAAATCAAGAATTTCTGTTACCTGGTTTCGTTCGGATATGCTGTCGTGTACGGAAGAAGTCACATCGGCCGCTTCTCGAGCCTTCTTCTGCTCATCAACTGCGTCGTCGCGTGAGTTTCATTCTGAGAGTTACGAGTGTTACGGTGCCCTTGAAGCCCATCCTTTGGTGATCTACGGGGCCTAGTATTTCAGTCGGGAAACAAATGTTAGTCGTTTGTCTGACTCATCTCCAAATGCCACAGTCTATAGGTCCCGGAGATCACAAAAAGAGTAGTTTCTCAACAGAGCGCATTCACATTGGAATGTCCCGATAGTACTTTCAACACTGTTTGGCTTGCATGCATTTTTGTCTACATTTACGGATTTTCAGGTACATGCAGTATCCTGCCTTGATATATTTTAACCGTTGCCTCAACATCCTCGAATGGATCCGCCAGATCATCCGCAACATCTTTTTTGCCGTCCTGCTCAGTAATTGGAATATGTATCACTTGCGCGACTCTGCTCTCATCGGTCTCGATTTCTATTTCTTCATCATTGGCACGCTTCTCTTTTTCTTCGGAATGAGAGTCAAAATGGATAACGACATCAGAACGCACAATTTTGATACCTCCAGAATGATTTTGCCATTCTCAGGTAAATCACTCACTCGACCACGAACGTTATATGTACCATGAAGCTATGTATTGCAGGGCTGTGGTTCAGATTTGTCATAGCGGCGGATCAGTACGGATGCTTCCTCCAGTGGCTCGGATTCGCTATGGTCTCCCGAAATCCGATTGCGTTCTCGTTTACCGTCTACAAATGTCTCGTGGCTATTGGAAAGGCTCACGTTCGCCATCAGTAAGTATTATGTACAAATTGAAGTAATCATCGATGATTTTTCAGCTGGTACAAGACTCACAATCCGCGTCTGGTAGAATCGGACACCATCATACCGGGCGTTCTGTAATCAACGGTCTCTTACTTTTCATAACTTTCACTTCTCACTTTGATGCTTTATGTGAAGCAGTACAAACATCAGCTGCTCTTTCATGATATTTCATATAAAAAATACACAGTTTTCTGACCAGAAGATTTGTATGATTCTCACTCGAGTGCCCACCCTAACTTGTACTTTTACCCGTTTCCTGAAACGTTTGCCCTCTCCCCTCTCCCAAAAGACGTTCGTAATCTCAAATAATCCCAGAAATTCGACCCTCAATCCTTTTCCCTCTCCGTGCGTTCTTCTCCTCACCCTCACCCACTTATTGTTGAAGTGAGCCGGGTGTGAGGGTGGACGACGGAAAGCCTAGGGGTGCGTGTGTGCCGAGAGAGAAACCTCTTGTGTGACATTGGCAGGCGAGCACGTGTTCCAGGAGAGAAGAAGAAGAAAGGGACCTAAAGCCCGCCGCACATTATGCAACTGCCCGTCTACTCCCGGCGTCCTCCTTCTCCCTAATTTTCGGTAGTGCTGGCTCGCGGTCCATCAAGTGCTGTCGTCGACGTGTGTCCACTTGGCCGAGTGCCCAGATAGTGAAACATTGAGAGAGCGGCGGCTCCCGGAAGAGAAAAACATATTAATTTCGATGAGAACCAAAAGACGAGCGTCTCGGATCACATTTCAGAATTTATTATTTTGTTGTCCGCTTCGTATTCATCCGCTGCTCTTCTGAATTCCTTTGTGGCCGGGAGGAAAAAGAACCGCGCACCTCTCATTAGTAGCTTTCTGACCAGCCGTGGGAGCAGTCGATTTTTGCTCAAGATTTCGTAACTGAACTGCTTTCATAATTCTCTTGTCCTAAAAGCAAGGAGAGCGCACAAGGTCCCGCCTCCACTCATTCGCTTGGATGCTCGGAATAAAGTTTTCTTATTGCTCAATATTGAACACATAGAGAAAGGAAGAGAGAGAGTGCATACGTACACGTTGTAGTAAAAGTTTTACGAGACAAGCGCATACCTCTACTACCACCCAGTCAGTCACTTCTCCTCCCTCGGGACTTTTTATTATATCCTCCCCCCTTCCCCGAAAGCCGGACACGAGGGTCCCATCTCATTTCTTCTCAAGCCGAGTTTCATTAGTAGCTGCCAACGCTTATTGCACCGCATGCTCGACTCGTTTTCACCGTTAATTACATGCTATTATCAGGATTTATGGCTTGGCCCTCAAAGGTGTTTTCTTCTCGCACGGCATTTCCTGGGTGATTAGTTGCCATAGAGACCGGTTTTCGAGAAGTCAAAACGTTTTTCCTTTCTCAAATGTACCTAATTTCTGTTCGTTTTTCTATCTACTTTATCGAGTACTTCATGGCAGTTACAGCTACACTTCTTTTCCTTTTTTGTTTCATTCCAGTAAACAGGGTAGAGCTTCAAATTAGCTTCACGCTAAACTATACAAGACGGGAGGAAGAGTGGAAGGTGACAAAAACAATTAGTCGGGAAAGATGGTGACTGTGAGTAATTAGCCAGAGAGGAACCATACTTTTGCACACAAATTAGCCGTCCCAGCAGCATGTTCCACCCTTTCTCCTCTTGTTTTCCATCTAATCTTTCGTTCCTCTCATCGCTATTGCTCGTTATTTCCGAATGTGGCCTTCAGAAGTGCGGCCATGAGGATCGAAATCACCTTGCCGATTCTCTCCCGCAATACTCTCTTTCTCAAAAGAGTGTGCCTGCCGTTACATTACAATTACGTTAATTACTGTGGTTTTTGCTGCTCCTCACTGGCACACTCACACATTTCTCCTTATTAGGAGAAGGATGCGCCGTAGTGTAACCAGTCACACAATAGAGAAGCACAGGCTCAAGGGGAGAGAGAGAAAGAGAGAACGTGGTGCGTCATGTATTCGCTTACTGCTACATTTTACATCTCATTTGCACTCTATATCCTCCCGGAATAAGCGATAATACACTTATTGGATGAGAAACGCAGATGTGCAAAGACAACTCCCGTACCCACCCGGACCATCTGTTTGACAATTGGTGGTGCGCGCACACGCTTACCACAACCCCGAGCCAGCGAAGAAGAGTTCCTTGAAAAGACTTTCCCATCATCCCCCCGTTAATGATTTCCGAATCTGCATACAAATTGTGCGTGTCCAAATGTCTTGAACCCGCGCTCTTTCTTCTCCGCTTCCATCACCCATTCGGCCGGATTTGTGTCGATTTCCGGTGATTGAAAATGTGCGGTGTAATTGTTTTTTAGTTGCTACGTTTCTCTTTCTCCTCGCCCGCTGCGCCGCCGCTTCATTCATCGCGCTTTTCTTTTCCTTTTTCGCACATCAGCAAGGAAACTCCGGGAGGGTAGGTAAACAGGTTTCAGTTAGTTACTCTTACAGTCGAATTATACATATTACAACCAGTTCAATTCATTTCAAACTTTTCTCACCTTCTCCTCCCACTCACCTCTCGTTCATTGCGGTCATCGCAGGTGTTTTTTCTGCGTGGTCGTTCGCTGCCCTTCCCTCCATCTATTCCTTACCCCCTTACCCCAAAAATGTCTGCCAAGTACTCTCCTCCCTCTCCCTCTCCTCTCCATATCGTCCCCATTTTTCTTCGTTTGCGGATTAAATATCATGATGGCTTGCCGTCCGTCCGTTTTGAACATTTTTTGTCTTCCGTTGTACCCTAATCCCGACAAATAGACCAATGATGACCCTTTTTTCTACTGCTGATCAGATGAATTCTTCTATTCCCTTTTCGTATAGACCATTGAACTTTTTTGCATGAGCTTTTCTAGAGTAGATTTCCGGAGAAGATAATAAAACCTTTTCCAAAATTGGAAATTTTCTCTTCTTGGCGGGCAGAGATAGAAAAAGGAGTAAATAATTAACAATTTTGGTTCCGTACATGTCATCCATCCCATCCTCCCGTATCGAATTCCGTAAATATAATGTCGAGGAGCAAGGTGTCTGGAGGGGGATGACAAAACGTGAAAACATTGGAAGAATACGTCCAATCGACGGATAATTTATGACAGTTTGTCGGCGGCAGAGGAAGATGTCGGCTGTCGACAGAGCCAGATGCTTCTTCTTCTTCTTCTTCCTCTTCACATGTTGCGCTTTGAGGTCACATATCCTTGCTTCCCCCTTCCATACTACGTTTATTATTCTTTTCTTGTCTTCCTCTGGTTGCCTGATTCGTTTTCTATTGAATTTTTAATGGGATGCCTGGATTTCAGGATATAGTTGGCAAAAAGCGGTTAATTTCTAATTCAGGAAGCAAAAATGCAAAAATTGGCTGTTTCTGTTCTGTCAAAACCCATTAGCAGGGCCGGCTTATTGCAACTATTTCAATTTTCGGTTCAACTACATTCTATTTAATGTTTTCCCACTAAATTTTTTTGCAACCGCTCCATAATTCAAAAAACAAAAAAACAGCACTCATAAAAGGGAGAAAAACCATAAAATTTTCACACTTGTTTCCCTTTTCCGATATTATTCTCTTCACTTTCTTGCGATCATCGCCGGGCGGAGCAGTTGGCACATTCTGGCTGCAAACCTTTTGACAACCAATAAATAAAAGCTGAGGTCTGTCGTTTTTCTCACCTGCCCATCGCATTGTCTTAATGGATCCTCCTGGATGCGGGCAGCTCATCATCAGCGCCATGTGTCGCTGCGCTCGTCTCTGCGTAATCTGTCCTGTCGATATATTATTTAGTTCGAATCGAATCTTTCTCTTTCTTTTTCACAATGGTCAGCTGCTCGGCTCGACCGGATGCCCTCCCCTTTCTTCCAATCAACTCACACAGATTCGGATTCGAATGCAACTCTAAACGCATGACCCAAAACCCAAAAAAACATATGAGAAGGGGCTCTCGGATCAGTATGCTTGTGGAATTTAACACTCTCCGGTCTGTAGCATCTCTCGGTCGTCATGTTTGCATTTGGGTGAGCCTCCCCCGAATGGTTTGTTGGAAAATCCGCTTAGAAACTGTGTTATTGCGCGCTCACATCATTTCCAAGTGCTTTCGTTCTGTTGCTCTTCCTTTCCCTTTTCTTATCGAACTCACCTCCAAGTTTGACCCTTTTCGGAAGTGCTCCTCCTCTTTCTCTTTCTTTCTCCTTCTCCTAATCAAATTTCCACTCATTTCTCAAGACGAAGAAGAGCAAAAAAAAGAAGGATAGGTAATTGCCTGCTCGTGTCCTGCCCCCTGCCCACGTCCACATCACGTACGGGTACGGGCAACAAAAAACCGAACAAGAAATGTGAGAGTGTTTCGAATTATTCATAAGCCTTAGTGAAGCCAAGTGCGTACTGCTAAACATTTGTAACTTTCACATTAGCGACTCTGTTGAAACATGTATACAAATGCGCGCAAAAAAGTCGGCGTAGTAAACGATGTGTACATGAAACGGCTCCCATCAGTAAACGTTCTTGAAAACACAGAAAACTAGGAGGCATCAAACTTGAGCTAATATGCTCGAGGAGTCCCTTCGGCCGTTGCCCCTCTCCGTCTCTGTATATATTTGTACTTGGTGACTCAGTGGCGTGTGCCATCGTCCACTCTCACAGGCTCCCAGTGTCGCCATTCCTTCTCGCACATACATTTTTCCCAAAGTCATATGTCAGTTGCCCCCTTCCCTTTGCCTTCGGCGGTGGTCACTCTTGAAAACTTTCACAATCTTTTCTGTCTCAGAAAATGCCACCTTGAGATTATGGGAGGGGAGAGAGGTCCGAAAGGTCCCAAAACGTCTCTTTCCCTTGAAACGCTATAAAATATGATGAATTGGCGTGCGATTTGGACCGCTTCTCCCCCTTTCCCTCATTGTCACTCGCCCTTTCCTTTTCTCAATGACCTACTCATCTTTAGACTATATTCGTTCGTGAGTTGCATTCATTTCATTTCCAACCCCGCTTCTTCTTTCTCGCTTTCTTTCACATCACCCAAAGTTTTTTGAGTCCCCAAAAAAAGCAGCACCTGCTTAGGAATGCAGCTGCAGGACAGGTGCCTCTTGGGCATCGGATTTTCATTCCCCTAACCGGGACAAAAAACAACTTTTTTCTGAGCTTTTTTGGCTCTGTTTTTTCGAACCGTTTTTCCTTTCTATCCCTTTTCACTGCAGATGGTATCTCTAAATAGGCGTGAGCTTTTCGAGGGCCTGTCTAAGATGGACTTTTAGACCACTTCGAATATTCCGATCGGACCCAAGCTTTGCAGGCTTCTTGGACTTGGATTAATGTATCTCTGGTTGAAGTTTCAAACAGATCGGATTATTGACTCAAGAGATATGTAGATCAGAGTCTGAAAGGACCGAAACTTTTGCAAACCAGGGGGTTTAGGCTCTAGATCAGTGTATGTTTAGACAAGATACTCTGATAGGGCTGAAACTTGGTCCCAAATTGTTCAAACCGCTCCTAAAAAGTCTGCAAAGTTTGGGTGTAATTGGAGCCATGCAAATCGTTCAAAGCGAAAAATCCACCCCCGGACCGACCAATTGTCCAGCCCTGCTTCAAATTCATCATTCCATCTTTCAAAGTCATATTTCGTTGCGCAACAAACTCGTGTCTCATCTCATCCAGAAATTTTCCTTTTTTTTCTCTTCTCCCGCCATATCTCTTCAACTGCCGCCCGCCCAACTGCTCATTTGTCAATTGCACCAAATTACGGGGGAGAAAGAAACAAATAAGTTTTTGCGGGCCGGATGGGACCGATGATTCCCATGAGACCATATTTGCATAGGACGGGGGGTCTGGCGCCCCGTTTTGCCCGCTGCCACCCATCCGATTTCCGGTCGATTGACGCCCAATATTATTCACACTCTTACCCCCATATACTCTTTATTGCTTGCCCGCAGGCGAAATGGCGTACTTTTCCTCTTTTCAAGATCTATCTCCTGTAATTCGAAACAACCCTTCTCTAGATCTTCTGGGGCGTGGTCGGCGACCCCCGTGCGGCCCTCCCGCCCTCCCTCTCTCTCTCTCTCTCTCTCTCTCTCTCTCTCTCTATATCTCTCTTTCTTTCTCTTTTCTCACTTTCGCCCCCCACGCACAGATCCTATATTGGCTTGTTTGTAATGAATCTCGCGCCCGTTTCCGACTCCCATTCCGTCGATTCCTTTTTCTTGTCCAATTTTTGGGACACCACCACGCTTTTGCGCACGCAAAGTCCTCGCTCAATTACTGTCACTACTGCTTTCTGTCAAAACGTCCACAAAAGCGTACGCGTGTATTTCAGGGCATGAGAGGAGGAGGACTCGACTAGTTACCATCACCATCACCATCGACATCCGTCATCGTTTCAACGTCGTCGTCGGCGTCATTGCCATTTGATAAAGTCTCAGCCTCCTATTGTCAACGCAGAAAAGGTAACGAGCGTCTAATATGTTCTTTATGATTCATTTCCATTTCTTTTCCATTTCAGCTACACCATGATCTGCATACTACGACCGAGGTTGAATAATCTCTCCTCGATATGGTATACAATACTGACGACTCTACTCCAAAGCTACTTAATTTATCTTGGATTCGAAAGGTTAGAGCTTCAATTTGTGACTTTATATTTGGAAAACAATTTCTGTTTCCAGATACCGATTGTACAACGAAATCAAGTGGCCAACGGGAGGATATCCGTATGCCTACCTAGCCGCCTACGCCGTCATTTACCTCGTTTGCATTGTTGCGACCTTTCTCTTCTTCACTTGCGGATTTTTCAAATCTGGAAATATCGCTGGTGACAACGAACGACTGGCCGAGCGCGAGGAGCGTGTTCTCGAAGTATCTCGTAATCGGAACGGAGAAAAATCGGGTTAGTTTTTCTTGGTCCTTAACGAAGTGCGCTACGATGCCGGATCTATTAGTACTATGTAGTACGAGCCGACGCGATGTGTTCAGATTAAAATCGGTAATTATGGAGTCCCCAGAGAATGGACGACGCACTCCGAAAGCGCCAATATTTCATCTGTTTCCGACCGATACATAAAGATAATTTAGGATGCGTTCATGGCGTCAAGGTCCTGTGGCAACATCTTCCGCCGCTGCCCCAACAACTACATGTCATCATTGCCGTCTCGCAGCTGATCGCGCAACAGCTGATGTTTTCTCAGCTCTTCCGACACGGATTCGTGAATTCTGGTGAGAGATTGGGCGGAGGGTGTGGTCCTTGGGCTATAAAACATCTGTTTTCGGCGATTAAATCGAGAGTGGCTTTGGATTGAATTCCACAAAGATCGACACAAATTCAGTTTCTTGAGAACCTCAATCTCATCGCGTCAGTCCCCTGTGTGTCTGTGTGTGTGTGGAAAGACGGATTGATTGAACATTGTGCATATTACACTGTGATTTACACACATACACATTGCAACAAGGTTGCCTTCGGTTTGTGCGCGAGAGAATAGGTTAGAGAAAGTGTCTCGTGTTCACAACAAGCCGTTCGGGGGGTGAGAACAATGAGAATGCTAATTACCGGCATAGGTGTCGAGTGGGCCCATGGATTGATTGTCAAGAGGGCACACGGTATTATTGAAATGCGACACGGATTCATGTACAGATATCCGCCTCATTGCTCTTTATTTGTTATGTGTCAATGAGCAAATCAGTTGGGTTGTGGTACCGATTGGGAATAGGAGACTTGTCGAATCCAGGGATTTACAGACATTTCTTGTTTGCGGATTGGGCTTTTTTTGCTAAGAAAATTCATGTTTTCCAGGTGACTTCTTGAACACCGAACTAGATTTCCTGTACCAACGCTCTCGTCAGCTGGCCACTAACCTTCCGATTGGAGAGACTCGTCTGCAAGGCTTCAGAATCACAGCGGATGAGCTCGCCGGACTTCCTGTCTCTCCGAATCTTCTGCCAGTGCTCATGCACATGAAGCTCTTTGGAATCCCATTGGAAATGATCAACTTGTTTGTGGCTCTGGTCGCTTACGGGATTGCCTACCCTGCCGTCTTTTGGAGAGTCTCAAAGCCTTTCAGGTACTGCAACTCAAATGTCCAATTATTCAAATTTACATTTTACAGTGTGATTTTCTCATTCCATCTGGTGATCTACGCTGCTCAAGTGATCTGGGGATACATCTCTTTCTCGGTCCTCTTCCGCATTCAGGAGACCAATGTGCACAGTGTTCGGCCAGTTGGTCTTGGTCAGTACCTCGGACCAATCAAACCGCTTGGATTCCACATCTACCATCCCTACGTGATCTTGGGCTCGTTTATCGTTCGACTTGTCATGACTACCCTCGCCCCGACGGCCATGTACTCTTACGGATACAACAAGTTCTACGTGAGTTCCTTCACGCGTTCAAGTGTCCCCTTATTCTCGTGTTTTCAGGCGAATGTGCTCAATGTGCAGCATCGAAACGCGGCTAGAACTTCTCAGGGACAAGGAGAGTATGGAGACTACCAAAGACGTTCCTACAGCAGAGTGGAGGGCAACAAATTGTGCTGTGATGGATACCTGCCGCACATGGATGCGATTGCTCTTCTTGTCATTGTGGCAGCAGCTATTGGACCGACCATCTACGCACTTCTGATTCTCTATCAACACGAGCAGAAAGGTCTGATCCTCACTTGCATCATCATTGATGTTGTCTACATGTTTTCGTGGATTCTCATGTGGCTCGGAATGACACTGAAGCGTGACTGGAATTTCAATGTTACCCACAAAGTGCATCAATTCTACGGATTGAATGTAAGTTTCACATTATGTACAGATATTCACATTATTGATGGAATTCCAGAAAGGAATGGCAATTGGACCAATTCGTGGAAACGAGAATCCGTCTCAGTTGAAGAATTCAATTCTTGTCGTCCACAGAGATACGGTAAAGACAATCCGTTGGTTTTTTAACCTAACCAATGAAAATTTGTAGATGTTCGTTACGGATGATCAAACCGCCAAACAGTCTCTCCTTCATGCAATCCACACTGGAAAGTTCGAGATGATCAGTCCGCCAGATGATGTATATTGGAAGCATGGACAGCAGAGCCCATCCACTCGAGCCAAGATTTTGACCGAGACCGATGGCATGAAGAATAGTCCGGAAATGTCACGTTTGTTGAGAATGGGAACTGATGACACGCAACAAACCATGAGTTATCATTCGGTAAGCAAATAAAAGAGACTTCACTCTAATAATGTTTGATAATTTGTTTCTAGAATGGTGGGCGCAGTATCACTCAGAACCCGATGAGCAACTCCCAAATTCTTCCACGTGGCAACAGCTCTCCGCCTGCTCCGAGCCAGTTTGGCACAATGCAACGTAGCCAACAATACGGACAAATGGGAACTCTCCAAAGAGGGCAAAGCGGTGGAACCCTTCAACGTGGAACTATGGGTCATGAAAACGTCTGGAATCAGTACACAGCAATTCAAAAGAAGGAGCAACAGCAGCAGGCGTTGGCCCAACGAAGAGATAGTGGCGACGCGGCGTACGGAAGAGTTGATAGCACATATGGAAGTTACGCAAGAATTCCAAACGTGGTTAGTGAAGTTTAGTTTCAGAAATGATGAAACCGACTTATTTCAGTCTCGCATTCAAGTGACTCCGCAGGGCGGACAGATCCGGTTGAATGGGTACGGCGGCCTGCAGCAGAACACTCTTCAGCGTCGTGACGTCACTCCACCACAACACTCGCAACAGCCGTCGCTCAGTTCGATCCGACAGTCTCCACTGCTCTCTGACAGATCTGGAATGAACATTCCTCCTCCACAACCGCTTGTGAGCCGGTGAGAAGATCGAAATTCAAATAGGAATGTCTTGACGTTATGTGATTTCAGCGAGCAGTCTCCTTATCAACGTTCGGCTATCAAACTAACGTCTTTTTCGGAAAATAAGGGAAGTGGAATCTATGGCACAAGTGGAATAGGTTCTGGTTCCCAAAACACGGTCCAATGGGGTGGAACGCAAAGAGCGGCACCCGGGCAGCCCAGCCAACTTCTCTGGAACACGCCTGCCAACCCGAACGGACAAAATAAGGTTAATTTCATCATTTGATTTGTGACGTCCTTTGCACGTTGTATCTACACCCACGCTTCTCTCTTTCTCAAAAGTTTCGGCACAGTCGTTTTGCTAACCACCAAACATTTGCAGTCATCGCTAACCAGCACAACGAACTCTTCGCAGAACGATGAACAATGCTTCACCCCGACCTCCACCCTAACCAGTCACGGAAGTAACTACACTCCAACACCCGGATCGCCGCAAGGCTCCAATCCGATCTACTCGAGAATCAATGGAGCGTCTTCCACGTCTTCGAATCTCTACGGAGTCGCCACGAAAGAGAGTCAGTACGCGGACCGGACTCTTCAGAAGAACCCGATCAAATCGACAACGGTGACCGCCGGAAACACGGTGCCTCGGTCTTTGAATGGAACAGACGACAGTGTCTCCAGTTTTTCTGCAATCCGTCCACCCACCGGCGTACTTAACCAAAACGACTTTGCAACCAGTATTGTGTGAATAATTGTTTCAGCTTCCATCACCATTTTTGGTAGGTCACATTTCTACCAAAAACGGTTAACGCCAACTAACCAGTCTGTTCGTTTAGGACCCGTACTGATCCCGATGAACCTCTACTCTCTCTATTCCTAACTGAAGAAAACCATCAAATCAACTCCGTGAAATCAGCCCTTCCTTAACCATCTACAAACACACATCACAAAACTTTCCTCGCCGATTTGAAATCTTAAATCTCAAAAATGATTACATAATAATCACTGCTTCGCTTTTATCTGTTATCTGGAATATGTAACCAAAACCTCCTGTTTTATGGAACAATTAAAAAATTCTTCCTCCATTTGATTTTTGACCAATGCGTGAAAGATGATACTCGCATTTTTATGTGAAACTGATAAGACTCTATCCTCTCTTTTCTCTTCATTTATTGTCATCCAAAACCAAAAATTCGAATCCTCCTTGTTACTGTATTATTCCCGTTAACGATCATTCGGGTGTCATTCCAAAATGTTTTCAATCCCCTCTGAATGTTGAAATTCTGTCATACTTTTTCTCTAATTACCCCCACCCCCTCCCCGCCCTCTTTTTTACGATTTTCAGACAATTCCGTCATCGAATAAATGCTCTTCAACAAACTTTCAAGAAATGCATTAAAATGCGAAGATTCCGGAAAATTGGGCGGAGTTTGATCATGCGATTCTACTTCGTTTCCTTGTCGGAAAGCGATATAAAACGGGTAGACCAGAGCAAACTGTTCAGCGATAAGCCTTTTCCCACTTCTCACGTTTTGCCTGGAGTTATCACTCGTGTCGGCGCACTTTTTACTCCTACAGTCTTGTCCCGACATCTAACAAATTATGAAACAAGATATTTTCAGGAATGAAGACCCTTTTCTGCCTTCTGGCCCTCGTCGCCGTCTCCGCTTCCCTCGTCCTCCCAGCTCAGCAGAGAAATGGAGTCAACTGCCTTCTTTGCGAGGCCGGAGTCCGTGCTGCTGAGGATCCAGCTGATAGAGAGGCCCATACTGTTGAGGACGTAAGTTGTCATAACAAGTAAAGTCGATATTAATGAATGTGTCGCAGAAGTTCGACGCCGAGTGCAAGAAAGAGTTCGGATCCATCCCATTCTTCGAGAAAGAGTGCGAGAAGTACGGAAACTCCAAGCTCGACCCCATCATCAACGAGCTCGAGGGAGGAACTGCCCCAGAGGACGTGTGCACAAAGCTCAAGGAGTGCTAATTTGTTTTCCTAACCTGTGTCTAATCTCAATAAATTTTTCGTATTTTTCAATGTTTCAAAAGTGTTTTATTTTCTATCTTTCACGATTTAGTCTGTTTGGATTAGTTTACAAAGTATTCGCATTTCCACAATATTTGAAATACTGATCATTCGAGTTAGACTGTTCATTTTGTGCTCTCCCAGGGAAGCAACATGCAGAAAAAAACTAGCCTTAAAAATGAAAATGCCAAGGAACACAAACTCAACGCAAATGATGTATACCATCTCTTAAACAGTTGCGGCTTCGTCGTCACGTTAAAGCTTTGGACATTTCGACAACTCTGACGACATTTTCTACGTGCTTCTCTCCGGGTTTCTACTGTTTTTTGTTCTAACCTCTATGACCATCTTGGGAGTTGTCACTGGGATCGGGGGACCACTTCTCTACTTGTCTTCCAATGTTCCGAGGTGTCAGAAACATCGGGAAGTCATATTAACAAACAATCTTCCGACACCGAGCTTCCTAACTATTTTAGACGATCGCATTCCTATCCTTGTGAACCCCATAATTACTAACCTAGGCGATGACGGAGTCACCATTTCTCTCAACATTAAGAGAATTGTCTGCAACTTAGACAAATGGTCAAAAATGAAGTGATGAATGGAAAAAATAACATGAGCGGCAATCCCATTGGTTCTGTAGGCGCCAGAGCTCACGCGAAGTTTGGGCGCTACATTTATTCCCCACCCTGTATGTTCATAGAGATGGTGGAGTGCCCGAACTCATAAAATCATGGTTTCTGGACACTCCATTTTTTTCTCTGACACTTTCTTATTTCTGGACACGCTTCTCACCAGCAAATCATAATTTTCTGATTCGTAACAAATAGTCGGCACGAAGGCTCCTTTGGCTACACTGATAAAAAGTGATTGTTCATTGTACCACAAGTAAATGTATACATCATCGAAGCTGAACAATCCACACTGACAATATTTTGTATTCATAGTTCACGACTATTACTTATTATCAGAAGCTACTTTGAATACAGAATTATAGTAGTAAAAAATGTGTGGTACACTTGCAAGTACTTCATTCAAACCCGTGTCTGTAGCCATATTCTGCTTTGTGCTCAATTTTTGAGCACTCTGATTTCATACTTGAGACTTGTGATAAGCGAGTGAATGAGCCGTGAGTAGGAGGAGTGCCTTTGCAGCCGTTACCAGACGGAACTATTCGTGAGTATATAACAAGTCAGGTTACAAAAGAGAATGACAGCTCTCACATTTCTTCTTCTATCAACTTTTTCTTTCAGAAATGAAGACTCTTCTCTATCTCGTCGCCGTCGTTGCCTTCGCAACTGCTATGGTACTTCCACGTCAGCAAGACAGTGCCCTCGACTGTCTCCTGTGCCGTCTCGCTGTGAACGTCACTGATCCACCGGTTGACAACGAAGTGCACAAAGTTGACGACGTGAGTTTTTCTTTCGATTTTGGTGAAATACATATAAATTGTACTTGTAGAAGTTCATTGCTGAGTGCAAGCAAGAACTCTCTGGAATTCCGTTCCTCGAGCAGGAGTGCCTCGACTATGCTCACAACAATCTTGACCCCATCATCAAGGAGCTTGAGTCGGGAACAGCACCAGAGGATATCTGCAAGAAACTCAACGAATGTTAGATACTTGATATTTGAATACAATAAAGTGAGCATTTCAAGGAAACATAGTTTTCTACTTCTCCAGTTCACAGTATATGTAATGTAGCCGAGCTGTTTAAAACGTATTTTCGAAAATTCGCTCGCATACGGTTTAAGAAACTATCGGACCTGGAACTCAAAACTCGTCCATCATGAGGTCGGCCATATTGCCTCCTTTGTGGCATTGGCCCTCTCCGCTTCCCCGGTTTTCAAGCAAATTTTTGAGCCAACTACCATTAAAAAATCTCCGGACTCGTTTTCTTCGGACTCCCAACTGCCTCTTCTGAACTCTCACAGTCCCGTATTTCCGCTCGTGCCCGTATTCAATCTGTCGATAACCGCTACATTCACCTTCAACTCGTGAACACTCGTGAACTCGTGAACTGGCTGCTTAGCACCTCCCAGAATCCGAGCTGATGCCAATAAGAGTCCTATGAAACTGATGAGCAGGAGGAATAGTACAAGCCACTTGTCGCCGGGAAATCCCTGAAGAACCGTAAATTGTCCGGAGAAACCAACCAACTTCAATGCTATTTCATAATTTCAGAACTAATCCAGAAGACTCCAAAGAGTTCTCTCACCGCATCTGTCGGAGAGAGGAAGAGAGAAATTTGGTTAAGAGTTTCACTTCTTGCAATAATGTTGGAGAGAGGATGAGAGAGATTTCTAGAAGAATTTGACTTCTTGCATAGCAATAATGTCGGAGAGAAGAAGAGAGAGAGATTTGGTTAAGAATTTGGCGTTGTACTCAGTTTATATAGTGACAGTAAAATCACGCGTACTCGGCCACTCCTCAACCGAGCTTTACCGCCACCACGCCCCTTTAGGTGACGATCACAAAAGTGGAGGAGGCGGAACCAAAAAAATTTCAAAAAGGGCAGATTTACTATGGTACTATAGTGCATCCATTAAACACATAGCTAAATACTATTTAATAATTTCAGAACTCATCTAGAAAACCCTTATCAAAGAATTCTCGCACCGCATCTGCTTCTCGGTTGAGCTGGTCAACGATTGCCGTCGTGGATTCGAGCCCGAGGAAAAGGAAGAAAAGAAGATCCGCTTCACTTGCCACGTCACATTAGCGTGGCGAGATGAAGGAGTTACGCGAGGAGCCACTCCAACTTGACGACAACACGACTTCCTTCGTTGAAGCCGTCAAGGTCCCAATTGCATGCATCGCTTATTGAAGAAGCTTGACCGGTTATCACTCATAATGGGATTGACCTTCGTTGTCTGATCATAGTCTTTCTATTGAATTTCTCTTAATTTTATTCACAAATAAAGTTTGTGACTAAACTTTAATGGGTTTCGTCTTTCCTTTACCAATCAAAACCAAACATTCCATTCTTGCCGTACACGGATTACATCACTCTTGACGAAAAGAGCAACGCTATCTTCTTATTCTTTCAATTGCCTTCAATCTCTCGTCATCCTTTCCCTCTTTCCATCAAAGTGCACGTCACCCCCACTCGTTGGTTTGAATACAACATGCGAGGCGCCTATATGCACGGCGACATAAAGATGGGAATGACTATTTGGCCGAGCATCATCGATCCGGCACGTAGAAACAGCAGCTCGTTTCGGAGAACGAGAGAAAAAGGCAATGGGGAGGAGAGGCGGAGAGGAAGAAGAAAAAGGCACGCACTCTTGTTGTTTTCCTTGGCTAGGCACGCGCTAGATGTCCCTCCGTCGCCTTCTTACTCGTTTTCGCGTTTCACCGCGTATGGAGGAGACTCACCTTTATCAAATCGTTTCTGTCTGCCTTTCCTTCTATCAAGAAATTGGTGCTGAATAAGCGAAAAACTGATTTGCTTCACTTCTCTTATTTGGCACCAACTTTTTTCTCTCTATCTTTGAGGCAACTTTTAACACAAATACATACCTTACTTATCAGCAACTCGGAAACGCCTCTACTCGCGACGACCTCGACAACGTTCCAGATGGGCGGCGGCGCTGAGAATCTAAACGATTCGCGATCGAGAGAAACCGCATTCGTCAGTGAAATTGTCTTCCAGACGCAGGCGCAATCGAAATCACGATTTTTCACAATGAAAAGAAATCGATTGGATGAGGAGCCGGATGAGCAAGGTTAGTCCGGTTGACATTAAGACTTTATTTTCATTTTTGTAGAAGCCGGAAATTGTCCGGTCCCTGACAAGCAAACGAGACGAGTCGATTACTCGGCAGCTTTCAAAAATCCCATTCTGATCTCTGTCATCACTCAATATCTGACAACTCTCGAGGTACCATACTTTCATTATAATTTTCTTGTACTAATAGTATCTTTCAAGGACATCACTGACTTTGCCAACACGTGCAGCGCTACTCGTAGACACGTCCCAAAAACGAAGCTGCCGTTCAACTTCAAGTTCGTCGTCAAATGGACCGGTTTTGTTAGTTTCAATCGACCTTTTCGAACAAAGAACGCATTGTTTCAGTGGGAGAAGCGGCTGCGGCATGTTGGCGTCAATCGCAATTGGCCGAGGGGAGATATTGCTCAAAACTTTATGAAGTCGGTTGTTGTATGCATTGATCCCAATTATTCGACAGCACAACCCGGACAAGTCGGGTATAGGGTAGACGCACCATTGAAACTCAGTTAAAAGAAATTAAAAATCAAGTTTCAGAACCCTACTATCGACAAAATCTTCATTAAACAAATGCTCGCGTGCATTAATGCCGAGAAACTGAAGATTGTTTCAGTAGGCTTCAATGTTCATCACTGCAATAGTTATTGTAAGTCAACTCTATCTCTCTCGCAATCCTCCTTCTATTACAGTTACCGTTGATAAACAAAAAATAGCATACAAAAAACTGAAACATGTACATCTAGAAGACGTTCATGTTAGTTTTGAATCCCTTCCTAGCGGCGAAGGAAGCTACCGTACTTTCAATGAAAATACTCCAAGATGTTGGGCTTTATCTGTAAGCTTGAAGTACCATACTGATGACAATGAATGGAAATTTTAGGAACAAGTCATTCCAACCGGACTGCTTCATGTTATACTTCAGAGCAAAACTATTGAAACAATCAAACTGATCTCTGTGATAATGAACAACAATGCTATTTCATGCAGTTAGTTTTACATTTACTCACTTTTATCTTGAAAAAAATGTTTTCAGTGCAAGAAATTCTCGATAGAAACTATGAAATAACTCTTTCCAAGGACAAGTTCCTGAAGAACGTCGTTGCGATTCATCTTGAAGACGTCGTGCTCAGCTCACCAAATCATAACGCATTCGATAATTTCATGGTAAACAACTTGCTAGGGAAAGATCCATAGAAAAATGACTTTTAGGACAAGGCTTACGTGAGTCGTAAGATCTTAACGATAATACTCCAAACGTGTTCTTCAGTTTTGCTCCCACCTCTGAAACTTGTGAAAAAATTTACACTTTATTGCCAAAGTAAGCCTAAGATCATGTGGTCGTCAGCAAAATTAAGGAACACTTTTGAAATCCTAATGGTGATTGTATCTTACACCTCATGAAGGTCTTGTCTCAAAAGACCAGTTTGACTCTAGATGACCACCCAGTTAGTATGCAAGTAACTACACAGAGTTGTTTTCAGTGTGATCTAATCAGCACCACGGATGTTGTGCCCGTTCTCTCTTTGCAACTACATAAGCATGCATATGGTGCATCTTTGATCAAAAGACTCGGAACTCTCAATAAACATTATACCAAAATCAATCTTCTCATCAGTCTCGACGCACTGTGAGTATATAATTTGTATGTAAACTAAATTTGATTTTTTTTTAGAAATCCGGAGACTCTTGAATCTATCGACAGACTTCAGAGGAAGACACATAGTCTGAAGCTGCAGTTTTATGAGCCGAATATTCTGGAAATTGTAGATTTTGGGACAATCGAGGATATGTTTAATTTGTGGAGTAATTGGAGAAACGTAAGTTTGAATTAGTTAAAAAACATGAAAATTTAGTCAAATTTCAGGTGGATGAGGTGGTAGTCGGAAAAGAACTTTACAGTTATTGTCCTCTCAGAACAGTATACTGTCAACCGATCGTTACAAGTGAGTATTTTGCTCATGAATTCTGATCACGTTCCCATTCAGATTTGCCCAAACTTCCAAACCTCAAAATTCTTGGAGTGGCAGATCAGAACTTTTTCACCCTTTTTATTTCTCTCTCAACTATTTTAGATTACCTGACAATCACCCATCTTACACTCTCGTGAGTCTCACTAATCGTTTTTCTATTTTTAAGTCGGTGCTTTTTTAGGTGTACTGACCATTTCCGAACTCGCGAGTTTGTTCAGTTTTCTAATCCGATGTTTATGCAAATGATGGTTCATCTGCCGAAAACGCTTACGCACTTTTCAGCCTGTGCCTTGCCGTTAACAGCAGAAGTGATTGACGTTCTGGCGGAGGTATAGTTTTTCTGTTTTTGACACAATAAATAACAACTTATTACAGTGGAACCATCAGATAAGGCACATAAATGTAGTGCAAAGTTTCTCGATTAGATGTGACATGGTCCTGGTGAGTTGGAAAATTCTAGAAAAACGTTGCCAAAAGTGAGAAAAGGATTTCTGGAGGTATGGGGAATTGAACCCCAGCCCTCTCCCATGCTAAGGGAGCGCTCTACCACTGAGCTATACCCCCGCACGCTCAAGCTTCTCTCATTACAAATGATATTGCGGGCGGCCGCAGGTTTCAATCAAAGCGCTTTGTGATAATGATGACGACACAGAGAAAACGGGACTTTTTGCAGATGAGATCATGTTTCGAAAAGGCGAACAACGATGCCGAGATTACGTTCCAAGCGTTTGACTTTGCAAAGTCCAAGTTTAGAACAACGCCTGTTACACATTGGCTGAACATTGACAGAAGCAATCCGACCGAATGTCCCGTTGTGTTTTAGGGACTTTCCAAGTTACACTATTTGCAGCATTCTATCACTATCCGCGTAAGCCGAATGCTTTGGTTCACTTTTTGTGAAAATCCTACTGAAAATCGATTTGATTAAAAATGAATAAATTTTCACCGTGAATTGGGTGCGTTGAAGTCGATTACAGTGGAAAAAATACAAAAAGCTACCAAACCCGCGCGTACTTTACAGAACACCGACAACACAACCTTTCCTCTGTCTCTCTCCTCCTCTCTCTTGATCTGTTCGCATCAGACCACCGGTACTAAGATCAATGACGTTTCAAGGGACATTTGAATTTCCGCATTAATGTTCTGTGACCACAAATCATTCCTTATCTCTCTCTCTGTGTTAAAACGCGGTTTTATAAGTACTTGGAGAACACGATGCCGCCCGCCGATATATTTTGGAATGCGAGTTCGCTTCTATTTCTAAATTACAAACTTATAGCTCAAAATTGTGTGTCTTTAAAGTCATTTTGTGGTTTGTGGCCTGTTTACATCGTCATTTGCTTCCATTCCTATTCGTTCTCAAACCAATATTCCGTTCTATTTTTCGATCTGAACAAAAACGCCAAACATCCGCACCAATTCAGCCTCATAAAATATTAATTTCCAACTTCCAAGAGCAATACACCCTTGCCATCTTATGTGCTAAATGTAAAAACAAAAGGCAATCGGATATGGTAAGAATGCCCGAAAAGTAGCTTTGTTTTGAGGACGTTTTCATGGCTGCACTGGCCAATTCCATTTATTCTTCAAAAAACGGTCTATTTTTCGAGTAAACTTTGCAAAAGAGCCTAAATTTCCAGACATCATGCCGCTGCCTATGGCTCTGCTTGGGAAGCGCGGTCTTCCGCACAACACTCCACCGGCGGATGTTCCAATTGATAATGTCTGCATAATTTCTTTTTGCATGCTTATATATTAACTGACTTCTAATTTGCACCTTTTCAGAACCACCCGTTAGCCGAAAGAGCTCGTTCGGCAATCGCTCAGACCAGCAAAGCCACACAGGAACTGCTCGCCGCGTATGATTTGGAGCGTAGAGTGTACGGATCGTCTCTGATGACGAAGGAAGTCTCGGATGCGTTGAACGAAGACATTCGGGAGAAGTCGAATGTGGCTGGCATCGCCGCAAAGTTCATGACGTCCGCAATCAGCGACGCAGAGGCCGCTGGCGTTTGGACAACTGCCAACGCCGCCTCGACAAAGTAAAACGTTATCAACTATTCTTCGATAAATGATCTCAAGTAACGATCACGTGATTTTCATGTACATTGTACTTTCAGTTGTTATGGATCGATTTTTTATTAAACAAACCGTTTGATGACAATAAAGTGTTGAGATGAAACTTGATTGCTATTGTTATTGTTTGTCTCTAAACGGACTGTGATGATTGAGCACTAATCTCCCAGTCGCCCTTGTCTGGAAATTTCAACTCACGGGGCTTTGTGTTAAATGAACAGATTAACTGAATCCGAGGAAGGAATATGATGGATTATTATGCAATTCACAGCAGTAAATTGGAAAAAGTTATGAATATTTGAAATACTGACATGTCGCCGTCTGGTGGCGTCCTGGTGACCACCGGCGCGGGTCTTGTGTTATACATTTTTTCTGGCGTCAAAACCTGCAGATATCGTCGCTACTTTTGAAGTTTTCAGAATCCTTTCATCACCCGGATAACATTGGAAATAAAAGTAAAATGAAAAAAGTACAAACAACTGCCTACGTGGAAATTATCACATTTTCAAGTATCCACAGTAATGTTTTCACTCTTTGAAAAAAGGAAAAAACCGCATCCCTTTCTTCGTTCCGTTTGAGAATTGCCTTCAATCATTGTGATTGGCTGTGCTTACAGTATCAGTGTACAGTATCCCTTCTCCGTCACCAAAAAAACGACGTCTTCTGTGCCCTGTACACATTCGTCACAATCAATTGTCTTCGTCTCTTTCTTAGCATTTCATCTCTCCTTGTGACAAATGATAACAACAGCGAAAATATAGAGAAAAAAGAAGATTGTGCTTCTTTTTCAATCGTAAACTGCCAGCCTTATCACATCTTCGCATAAAGTTCCTCGATATCATCTCTCCACCTATTCCTCTAGCCGGTTTCTCTTTGACGCAACTGACGAACAGTTTGTCTCTTTTCTTCTCCTTTATATTCTCTTCATACGCAAGATGAGGACAACCAATTGCCGAAGAGCATTTCTAAGTTCACACTTTCTTCACGGGCAAGTCTACTATTCTATATTACATTTTTCTGAATTATTAGTTTTATACTTTTCTTTTCTGCCAAACAATGCAGTTTTATGAGTCACATCACATAAATTCATAAGAACAAAAGACAAAACCATTTTTCCTCTACCGCTGTCGTTGTTTCTCCTTTTCCGTTCTAATGAGCGCTCACACCAAACTGTACAAGTATTTTTCTAGAAATGGGGAAGAAAAAAGTGAAGAAGGTTGCCCGTTCATCGACTAAATCGCCAGAAGCCCAAGGCCTCGTTTTTGTGCCAGAAGACAAACCAAATTACGCCGATTCTGAGTAGGTTTTCTTGAAATTTCATGCACTAACATGCTTTTTTTGCAGACTCACAGATGAGCAACGTTTGGATGTTCTACAGCTAGTGCATACTCTGCAAGACAAGCGTGGAATAATTTTGGCCAAACGTGCAATTTGTGACGACTCAGAAACGAAAGTGTTCAGAAGTAAAAAACTAGTCGAGCAAATTGTAGGCAATCTTACAACTCTGGAGGTATGTACGCTCGCGAAATTCATATGGTAAAGTTATCAGACGTTGCGATGCAATAAACATGTAATTTGTGCTGAATTGTTTCTAAAAAGTGTTTTCAGGATGTTTTATCGTTCTACACCGCTTTCAAATACTCTATCGAATGGGATATACTGAATCCTGAACTTCTGAAATCAACCGATTTGCAAATTTTCGAAACAGATGTTAGTCAGCCCGGTAGTTATTAGAAAAATTACAAAAATTGAAAAGTTCAGGGAGTTTGGAGTTATCAGATATCAAAAGGCAAGGAAGTGGTTCCGGTGAAACGTCTAACAACTTACCTGGTTAATCAATCCAAAAAACTGTATTTTGAATCTGAACGAGTCAACAACTTTGACGTGGATCAGAAGGGAAAATACGCTAAAGTGTTTGAGGTGAGATTACTCTAAACAAAACTAAGCTTCTTGTAGTTTCATTTCAGAAGCCAGTATTTGAACCTCAAGATATAACTATTATTCTTATGTGCCAGAATGTCACTACCATCAACTTGAACTCTTTCGCCATTGATGCCTACATTGCGCACATCTGTAAAACAACACTTTGCAACGCTCATTACCATGAAAACTGTTTGTTTTCAGTTCTAGCTTCCATGGGCATGCCAATCTGGAAAAGCATGCAACATCTGATTCTGGAAGACGTACATCAGGCTGCAAACACTCCGAGTTACTTGCGTCTCAGCGATGTTGGCTATTTGAAAGTAGAGAACACATGGAAAAAACCGTATAAACTTTTCTTGTTTCGTTTCAGACCCGTTTTCTGCCAGATATAGTCATGTTTGCCATCTTCTCGGCGGAGCAATTGGAAACTTTGAGTTGGAGTGCCATGTTCATCAGCGATCGCATGACGAGACTTAGTTAGTTTATCTTGATTTGAATACGAAAAGTTAAAATGTTGCATTAGTGGAATATCAACTGTTAACTCTGAAACAATGGAAGAAGCTGAAAGAGATTTCGCTCACTAACCTGATCACGCAAGAGAGAAATGAAAAGTTGCTCGACGAAGTTTTTGTAAGTGACACTGGCGGATAGTGTCTGATGAATTTTGTATTCAGATCGGTTTGCTCAAAATCAACATGAAGAATGATTTGACTCTAACCTTGTCACTGCAACGTCATACCTATGGAACGACCCTTTTGAGGAAACTAGAAGCCGCTAAAATCAAATTGCATAAGATCAATCTAATCATCAATGAGAACGCTTTGTGAGTTACAAATCTGTATATAAAACAAGCATAACTTTAGGAACCGGGAAACCATTACCCTTATCACAAAGCTCCAGAACCTCTGTACTCATATGACTCTGACATTCCATGAGACGATTATGGTGTTCCCAACTGATCGAGAGGATAGAGTGAGAATGATGTCGCAGGAATTTGAAAAGTGGGATAAGGTCCCAAAGCTATCCATTATTCATATTCTAACCAGTTTCTTTCAGGTCAATGAAGTTCTTATTGGCAAAGATATGTATTTCTTTAAAATTGGAAAACCACCAGTCGATTGCTTGATGGACGTCTTTGCCAGTAGGAAGTTCTATTAAGAATGTTTTTCCAAAAAACCGTACTTCAGACTTGCCACTTCTGCCGAATCTGAAAACACTTCGCTTTGAAGATCGTCTGACTCATGAGTCGTTTTCGGTGTTTGCCAAGAAGATTTTGAGCGAGTTGGAATTGGAGGAATTCTCCATCAAGTAAGAAATCGTATGACTTTGTACATAGTTGTCATCCTTATCTTTAGATACTTCGATTTGGATTACGAAAAAGAAAAGACGATTTCAACTGGTTACTTTTTGCTCAATCTGCCAAAGACCATCAAGAACTTGGGCCTATTTCCGTTCCCGATCGATCAATACACTCTCGGAGCTGTTGTCTCGGTAATAAAGGGTCATTTTTATCTTTATAATGTCCAATAATCTGCAGGCTTGCCCGAAACTCGAGCGTTTCACGTTGTTCTGCGACACCGACCAGAACGTCCAACACATTCAGAAATTTGTGAGTTGACCCTCTGATTGTATTATCAACAGTATTTTTGCAGTTGCGCATGCACTATCCGCCGTCCACGGTTGTCGAAGTTCGCACAGGACCGGTCAAGATCTGTCACCGTCTTGTGGCAATTAGCCACTTCCTGGACAACGAGCCAAGACAAGAATCATTTGTATTCTAATTGAAATTCTCTTATTTCTGCTTTCATTTTCACTGCTTGCGCTTCTTCTGAAATTTTCTGAAGTAATTACAATTTTGAGTAATAAAAAAGCTCGATAAAACTACCAACGCCCATTTTTTTATCATTGAGATGCGAAACAATTTGAGTGCATTTTCATGGACCGGATTGTTTGTGTCACGAGCACTAATGGTGTCGATCTGTAACCTCTTTTTTCCGCAATTTCGACGACGCCTCTTATCATATGGCGGAATAATCACGAATAAAAAGTTTGCTATAAAACGTGCTGCTCTACTTGCCCACAACTAATTAGATCATTTTATTCTCAATTTTTTTGTTTTTAGCATGAAGACCCTTCTCGTTTTGGCTGTTCTCGTTGCCGTCGCTTCTGGGCTCGTTATTCCAAAGGAGAGAAGTGCGTTGAGCTGCTCAATGTGCGAGTTGGTCGTCGAGAAGTACGAGGGCTCTGCTGACAAGGACGTGAACACCATCAAGAAGGTAAGCAATTTTGGATATAACGAACAAAATCTAATCTTATAACACACTCTAGGACTTTGACGCTGAATGCAAGACTCTCTTCCACACCATCCCATTCGGAACTGCCGAGTGCAAGCACTACGTCGACAAGAAGATTGACCCAATCATCAAGGAGCTCGAGAGCGGAACAGCCCCGAAGGACGTGTGCACCAACCTCGGAGAGTGTTAATAAACTGTTCTTGTAATTTCTTTTCATTCTTGTAATGTAATAAAAAAAGAAGTTTATCAGCGTAAAATATGTGACTGCAAAAATCCGAGGCCTGGACTTTTGACCCAGTTGCAATAATCCGATGGGACCAAAACTTTGCAGGCTTGTCGTACTTCTTTGTATATCTGACGTTCCAAAAAGTCCCTCTCCGCCGGACGAACCATAAACCCGAAGTGAACTACAGGCAGAGCCGGGCTGTTGCCCGATTTGGAGCGATGAACAACTAAGCTTTTTCAAAGGTATTGAAATGATTGTTAACGGAACTCTAAAACAATCGCCAACGTGACGTTTTCGAATTCCATTCTTCAAGTGAAATTATAAACCGTACTCGTCCTAAACTAGGGCTAATTCCGGATATAAACTGATTTGAAAACAAATTTCCTCGACAGCTCTTATCAAAACGCTGCTAATCAGTCTTAAGAGAGAGAGAGAGAGAGAGACCGTCACGGCTACAAGGCATTTTTTGAAATTTGGCATGGACTGGATGATCTCAAGATGTTTTCTGTGTTCTCAAGACTGTATCTGGAACTGCCCCGAAGGATGTTTGCAGGAAACTTCATGAGTGTTAGGCAGATAACTTATATCACTCCATAATTCTAATCAATACAATTTCATTCCAATCTGTCAGACAGTCTCGGCAAATAAAATTTTGTCACGTTTTGCTGTAGAGGCAGGCACAGGCAAAGCGTGATTGGTATCATGAAATTGATCTTTCGCTCTTCCTACATCATCATTTTTCATCATGCGATTCGAACGTTATCGCCAACCTCAGACCATTCAGAACAGGTAAAAACGTCGATAACTATGCGTCGAATGTGATCAGAAAACAGAATGGTTATGAAACCGGAACAGATGGAGTCACATTTCTTATCGACTGGATCCTGTGTATAAACTTTGGAAGGGACTATTGAAAAATCAAAAAACATTCACCTTAATTCAATTTGTTTCAGAATGAAGACAATTGTCGTTTTGGCTCTTCACGTGGCTGTTTTTGCTTCAATTGTGGTTCCATCTCAGCGAACTACTCTTGGATGTGACCACTCACTATCAAGAAGGCGAGTTGTCCTAGTATGGTCTACAAGATAGAACTTTCAGGATAAAACTTCAGGCATCTATTAATTTTCATTTTCAGGAGATCGAGGGAGGAACTGCTCCAAAGGATGTGTGCACCAAGCTCGACGAGTGTCCATAAACCATAATTCTCCTTTTTCTGATTCCAAATTAAACATTTATCAAGATACGAACCACAACTAAGCCTCTCACGAATCACAGAGAAAATGGGTTTGATGTTGCACCTAAGTCACAAACAACTTAGGAATTTGAAGACGTATCACGGCTCATATGATTAGCCAATCGGGTATAAAAGTACGAGTTATCGCATGCATGTTATACTCTTCCTAATCAGTTGCCACAATTTTATATTTATAGTATGAAATCGCTTCTTCTCCTCGTCGCCATCGGTTTCGTTGCTTGCCTGGTCCTTCCAGAGCAGAGAAGTTCGCTCGGATGTCAGATGTGCGAGCTGGCGGTCAAGACGTATGTAGGATCTGCCGATAAGGACGTCACGTCTATCAAGAAGGTATTATTGTCCCGCTGGTCTTGATGGTACCGCCACGTTTAAGGATTTTGACACCGAATGCAAGAAGCTATTCCACTCCATTCCGTTTGCTCCACAGGAATGTGAGCACTACGTTAACGAGAAGTTGGACCCCATCATCAAGGAGCTCGAGAGCGGAACTGCCCCGAAAGACGTGTGCAGCAAACTGGGCGAATGTAAATAACTATTTGCTCTTCTGTAATAAATGTCGTGTTTTATGTGTCCTTCTGAAAGAGAATTGTGAATGACAAATTATGACGAGCTTATCATGAAAACCGCAAGTGGATGGTTTGTCATTCTGACGAAAAATGAACGGAAATCTCTAGTTTATAACGTGTACGGGGGATGAAAGAAATTGGCTGTCCATGACACGTCACGAACACGACATAAGCATGATGAGTTCCTGCAATTCGGCAACTCTTTGTTTCCAAGAAGAATGTGTCTGATCTATCATTTACAGTTGATCGTAAAAAGCATCCGTGACCGTCTGACAACGACGACATTTGCTCTTATCAAACACTTGCCAATTGAGCTCATTTTTTCCACGAGGGTTTCGTGCTGATAACTTTGTGCGATATGGTTATAAAACTACCGCGTCACTTCATTTTATTTCATTCTCATTCCCATTCTCATTTGCTTTTCTCTATTTTTATATTTCAGAAACATGAAGGCCGTCTTCGTTCTTGTCGCCGTCGCTCTTGCCGTGCTCTTCTCCTCCGCCGAGGCGCTCGACCTCGAATGCGAAATGTGCAAGATGTCCGTGAAGATTGTTGTGCCGATGCTCGGCGAGGACACCGAAGACATCAAGAAGGTTAGTACTTTCTTTGAGAAAATGGAAGCCAATTGACGATTTGCAGGCCGTCGACACCGAGTGCAAGAAGGAGTTCCACAGCATTCCATTCGGAACACAGGAATGCAAGAAGTTCGTCGACAACAAACTCGACCCCATCATCCACGAGCTCGAGAACGGAACCGCACCAAGCGACGTGTGTACCAAATTGGGAATGTGCTAGACTCTCGGTTTTCGCAACGAAATAAAATATTTTTCTTCTTCTCTCCATTGACCACGTTGTTGTTCCAAAATTGTCGGCAAGAAATGTGAAGGCCATGCGGCACGCTCTCAACCAAAACCAAACGCAAAATTTTATTTTTCTCGAAACGGTCGGCGCGAAACATTCGTTTCTTCTGTTGCAGTGTGCAGTGCGCACCACCGACAAGAGATTGTTGTCCGTCGGATACGCAGATAGTCAACACGGGAGTGCGCTGGCCTCGGGGGCTCTCAGCCGTTCTCTGCGTCTCTTTGCCTGCCCCACTCTCGTCTTACTTTGACCCGCCGGACTTTTTCCCTTCTTTTTCTATCTTTTTTACGTAAAAAGGTCCTTCACTTCCTCAAAAACAAGTGAGGATACTGCAATGGATCGGTCCAACGATCAGAAAAACTTGAATTGGAAGCGAAGCGAAAGTGAAAACACGGCGTCGGGAGTTCTTATCGTTTCAAACATATCGCAACTTCGAATCTAAAGAGAGATTCTGCTGTTTTGCTAATCGATTGCAAAAGTACATTGTCTGCGTGGTCAAGCCATCTAGACGCACGTGCGGCTTGGGCTTGCAAATGAAATTGTTACACACTGCCGGCCTCGTTGTCTTCATCGCATAGATCTCACACGTAACATTTGACATTGAAAATCGCCTCCCCTTCTTTTTTTTTTCATAGCGCCGTCTGTTGTTATGTACCTAGTTTGCCCCAAATTCTCAATCTCCGAAACAAGACAAGGCCGACGACAGGCGATCAGTTATCAATAATCATTCCTCTCTCCCAAAAACAGTGATCAGTGTGTTGTGCTCAGTGATGTTCGTCTTTCTCCGTCGTCCTGGAAAACCTCGAAATATCTGGTGATTGTGGCCAGTCACACCACAGTCAAACAGTGATAAGCGTGCCCTCTCACAAAAAATACGCCTAAAACTGGCAATATCGGCGCTCGTTTATCGTTTGCCCTTCCTTCCTTCTGTCTACAAAAACGCGTTTTTTCATAGATATTCCTCGTGTAACTCAATTCATGCGTGAATGCGTAGATCCTTGAATAATTGAATCCATTTTCTTCGTTTCAGAATGACAGCAGTGTCGGCAAACGGAAAGTGCACCGAGAAGCACGAAAACGGCGCGCACACCAACGGAACGACCAACGGAACCAGTGTTCCGACGAATCAGCCGCAACCAGTCTACTACACGCCACCACAGAATCTCGAATCTTTCGAGTTGACCCTGAGAAAACACTTTGAAGACAAGCATAATCTCAAATTCGGTGAGTTCGTTTGAACTGCAGTTTTTCAGCGTATTTTTTTTTGAAAACATTTTTTTTTTAGAAAACTACCGCGAGTTCCACAGATTCACTTGCGACAACTATGGCTCGTTCTGGGAGGATCTGCTCAAGATCACCGGAGTCAAACTTCACCAACAATACCAGAAGGTTATCAATCACAACTTGAAGATCAACGAAAGACCGAAATGGTTCGAAGGTGCCACTCTGAACTACACGGAAAACGTGATTGAGCGTGGATTGGCTTCAGATGTTGCCGTTTTAAATGCCAGTAAGTTCAGGTGTTCAGTAATTAAGATATAGTTCAAGTTTGCAGACATTCATGGAGAAATCACGGAATTCACATTCGACGACTTGCGAAAGGATGTCTATCGAACTGCTACTTCCCTCCGAAACTTCGGCATCGGTCCAGGAGACACTGTCTGCGGATTTGTCCCGAATACCTACGACACCCTGGTGGCCGTCTTTGCCACAGCCGCAGTTGGAGCTGCTTGGTGTTCAGCTTCGGTCGATTTCGGACCGGCCGGAGTGCTTGATCGGTTCAGACAAGTCCGACCGAGAGTCATGTTCACCGTCAACAATGTCACTTACAAGACCAAGAACATCTGCCAGACTGACAAAATCAACGAAATTGTTAAAGGTATGCGGAAAATATAGATTTTCGGTAAAAATTTTTATTTTTAGAGTTAACAACTCTGGAGAAAATCGTGGTGTCTGACTCTTTCACTCCAGTGAATTTCAATGCATCGAAGTATGAGCAGAGCGACAAGTTCGTCTCGTTGGAACAATTCAAAACGCCCATCTCGGATGTGGTCTTGCCGTTTGTTTATACCCCTGTAAAAAAAGTTGTAATAGAGATAAGAGTATAATAGTTATCGTTTTAGGTTCCATTCGCAGACCCTCTTTTCGTAATGTTCAGTTCCGGAACCACCGGAATCCCGAAGGCGATGGTCCATACTGTTGGTGGAACTCTTTTGAAGCACATTGAGGAACACTTGGTGCAGGGTGACTCCAAGAAAACTGATCGGCTGTTCTTCTATACCACTTGTGGATGGATGATGTACAATTGGTACACTCTTTCTCCTGATTCTGTGACTATTGTTGTTTTCTTTTCAGGATGATCTCATTTCTATACTGCAAAGGATCGGTGGTTCTGTTCGACGAGTGCCCACTTGCCCCAGACACTCATATTCTTATCAAAGTGAGTGTTCTGGATATGTTCGAAAACACATTTCTCTGCTTTATCAGATTGCTTCAAAAACACACTGCACAATGATCGGAATGGGCGCTAAGTTGTACGATGAATATCTCCGACTTCAAATTCCATTTAGTAAGTTAATTGGTGAGCTTAATCTACGTTTGAATGATTCAGATACTCTGTACAATCTATCCAATATTCACACTGTTTACTCGACCGGTTCACCTCTGAAGAAGGAGTGCTTTGCTTACATTAACACATATATCGCTCCTGGAGTACGTGCATAGAAAATAAAAATGAGAAGTACTAACTGAACCATTAATTTTCAGGCTTTGATCGGTTCAATTTCGGGAGGAACCGATATTATTGGTTGCTTTGTCGGGGGCATAAAGTCCCTCCCGATCACACCGGGAGAGTGTCAGTGTCTGTTCCTCGGAATGGATATCAAATCTTTTAATTTCATGGGTTTGTTTTCTGTTTTGACCAGACTTCTCGCTGACCGGCCCGGGTTCTAGTACTCAAATTTCAAATCATTAATTTCGAGCCAATGTTTTCTCGAAAATCGTGACCTTCGAATTTAGTGTAAATTACGTTTTCCGGAGTAAAAAGTCAGTAAATCTGGTCTGGTTTTTATTCCGTTCAAAGTAGATTTAATGAATTTCAGACGAGGAAATCACGAGCTCTGACGAGCAGGGCGAGCTCGTATGCGTCACGCCGTTCCCCTCGATGCCTTCTCATTTTTTGAACGATACCGACGGCAACAAGTACCGGGATGCGTACTTTGCCCGGTTGGAGCCATTCTGGGCTCACGGAGACTTTGTGCGAGTGAACCATTCGACGGGAGGCGTGGAAATGCTCGGAAGAAGTGACGCGACGTTGAATCGCGGAGGCGTTCGCATCGGAACCGCTGAAATCTATTCGGTCGTGGAGAAGATTCCACAAGTGGCTGACTGTATTGTTGCTGGACGACTTGTGTATGTTATTCTTCTTAATTGCACTCAATTTTCTTGTTGTCACGTTATTCTGAGCAACTTCACCTGACTGCAAAACAAAAACACTTCGAATTATGCTCAATTTTCAGGGAAGAAGGCGTCGATGAGGAAGTGTTGTTGTTTGTGAAAATGGTGCCAGGGCAAGAGCTTACTCAGCACATTCAGGCCACTATTGTCACGAGACTCCGGACGGACATGTCGCCACGTCACGTTCCCAACAAGATCTATGCCGTTGATGACATTCCAGTAAGAATTGACCCTCAAACTCCTGGATGTCTCCAAATACTGAGTGACACGAATAGTGACAAGAGTAGACCAACAATGTACATGTTGTATAAACTGTTTTTCAGTACACGTCGAGCGGAAAGAAGGTTGAAGTCGCCATAAAGCAGATTGTGAGCGGAAAAGCCGTTCAGAAGGCGTCGTCGATCCGCAACCCAGAATCTCTCGACCATTTTGTCCAATTCAGACTTTAATTTTTAAAATATTTTCACATTCAACATTTATTTCATCGCCCAATTTTTAGAGCTTTTCTCCTAAAACATTCGCCCCCCCTTTTAATAGATTTATAGTTGACTTCCCCAATCCTCGCGACCCGTTTTTTGATTTATGCGCACCGGTTATATTCCTCCAAACAGATTTGGCTCTTTGTCTTCATTTCTTTTTCACACTTCTCTATGGTTCTTTTTATTGTTATTGTTGAAATTTTTAAGGAATAAAATATGTGAGAACTGCATGAAAAATGAGTAAAACGGGCCCAGACAGTCCAAATACCACATTCATTTCGAACAAGGAAGTTGAAGCGTTCCGAAAACTACTAGAAATGAGTTGTTTTCGGTGGTTCCGCTCGTTCTCATTTTGGAAAACTTATCAATGTATCTTGAGACAAACTTTCAAGCACAATCATTATGATTTATGACCCACTATTCACATTTTCATCTCTCAAAACTATGTCCCTTTTATGCGATGTATTTTTATGAAGCGTTGAGGCGGCAAAACACAATAAAAAGGTTATCCCGCACCGCCACACGGACCCATCACCACTCCCGACCAAATCTTTCTAACTTTTTCTTCCCGCTCTTTCCTCTTTTTTCTTTTCTCTTTCCTTCTTCAACCTTTCATCAACTATTAGGTGATAGTAGTGAGAAAAGATGGCCAATTAGTAAAACGGGCGCCGAGTCACGAGATGTTTGCCTGTTTGCCACCGCAAATCTAATTTTCATTAGAAGACAGTAGGCGGAACCAAACTTTTTTTCCGCCCAAGACCCAAGACCTCATGGCTCATTCCACATGGCTCACATTTGGTGAAGAGCCAACTTGATGAAAACTTTTTTTCTGAATTTCATCTGTTCCAAATTTATGGCAGATGTCTCTGAAATCATAAATGAATAGAGATTTTCAAACCGTCCAGCACAAAAGCTGCTTTTTTTGTAATCATAGAAGAATTGCAGGTTATCCTCCGTGTTTACCGCCCGCCACTTTCTCCCAATGGACTCCTTGAAAGCTGCTGTCGACTATTCAAAGGTATGTACGTTTATCCGATGCGTTCTGAATAGTAGTAATCTTCCAACGGGAGAGTAGTGAATATGCGGAACAACTACTCGCAGGGATGACGCCATGATGACGTGTGTGGGTGGTGTTATGTCCGTGAACACCATCGGTGCTTCTCCTTCCATTTAAATTTAGCTCCTCCCTCCCTCCCCCAGCATTTTCTGCCGTTTCTGACGCCGGTCGGTGTAATTCGAAACCCTATTCCCACTTTCAACTTCGAGCCCCATATTTATATACCGCTGCTGTCCGATTTTTCTTCGGAGTTGACGTTCTATGTGAACTTTTAATGGAGATTTATGGATATTTTCCAACTCGTTTGCTTTGTACGTTGGCTCCTTTTTGGTTCCAACAGCAGGATCTCACTGATCTGACCGACCTCATTTTCCAAATGGATGTCTAGATATTAGATCAGAATTGAACCACTGTCTGCTGTTTTTTCATTAAAGCCGCCGTTAAAAAAAAGCATTCTGCATCTGCTTTTTTCATTAAAGCCCAAGCTCTCTTTTTTGCTAATCCACTTTTTGTTCTTTTCACTTTTCCAACTAAACGACACATAAGTGTGAAAAAGCGGAAGAAAAAGTCAGACGAGGAACGAGGCGCCACCCACTTTTCACAGCTCTCTGAGGGTGTAAGTGAGCATGCTGCCTCGTCTCAATTTCGCTCATTTTCTACCTTTTTCTTTTCCGAAGCAACGGAAAAGGCGGCATGCTGGAAATGTTCATGTTCACTTGCTCGTTATTGCTTTTATTCGCATTCCTTTCACCAGTCGGCTTCAGTTTTTCCACCGATTTCCTTTTCTCTCTCTTGTTTTTCGTTCCGCGTCCGATAAAACCACTTTGCTGTTAGTGTGTCACTTTTTAGAGAGAAAAAGAGAGAGAGTTTGTCATCAAAATGTCCAATAGCACCTACTCAAAAAGACCAAGTACCAAACGATCGGGAACTCCGTCCAAGAACGGTTCAACTAAGTGCACTCCCAGAGAAACTGTAAGTTTAACTCGAGTTTGTTACTTGATGCCACTCTCTGTTTTTGTTGTTTTGCTTGTTGGGTGCAAAACAGATAAATTTACTGGGAACTGTGAGTAGTGCCTACCGCTGGGAGCAATTAGTCGTTTTTTGAGAACGTCTGTGCACGTCCTTGGCTTCACTCAACTGGAGAATCACTAAAACTAGAGAAACTTTGGGTTTCCATGATCCTGCTAAATAGGATAACATTTGAAAGTCTATGCACTTCATTTGAAAGGCAAACTATTGAAGTTCGAAGAGGAAACTCATACGCTGAGATGAATTTCCATATCAGATTACACATTTCATTTCCAGCCATCCATCCAATGCTTCCTCTTCTTCTTCCTCTTTTTTTCTCTACACGGAAGCATTGACGCGTGGTGGCAAAATGAATAAATTGCATGAATTATTGAGAAATTACACACCGGCACACCGAATACCAATTGTAATTCGAAACGTAGTGTTTCGAAAGAAAATGAAAGGCGCGTGTTTAAACATTATTAGGTTTGCATTCCGATGAGGGGGTACGGTAGCGTGAATAATGGAAATGAGTGCTCATTGTGACATGTGTGAGAAAAAAAATGAGTCGGGAAAAGAAAAGGATCGAAAAACCGGGGAGGATGAAGAAGATGAAAGCATTCACAAGGTGCATTTGTCAATTTTTTTCACACAATTCCCCGATGGATTAGTTTGAAAACAACGCGGAACATGCATAATCTGATGTTCTGGAAGATTTCTGGTCGATAAAGAAGAAGAGGGATATTTCCTGAGGGACGTGAGGCCCGAATAAACATGGTTAATTTGAAATATCTCATTTATTGACTTTTCACTTCGAATTTAAAGAGGAAGAACATGAGAAATAACCAAACTTTGAATTTTGGGCCGATTTTAGATCTCATTTATTGTTTTTCAGACTCAAATCACCGCGAGCAACTGCAAGAACAAAATCGAAGGTAACTAAAAGAGCTCCCAGCCAGCTCATCCTTTTCATTTTCAGAATACAAGCGTGCGTTCAACTTTTTTGACGCGAACAACGATGGCCGAATCACGATAGACGAGCTGGAGAAGGCGATGCAAAAGTGTGGTCAAAGACCGACAAAACTGGAGCTCCGTCTCATCATGTATCACGGAGACAACGATCGTAAGTTTTATTAGGTTTCTCGATTATTGGTCCCTATATTCCCCGACGTGTTTATTCTCCACTTCTTGAACTCATTTCCGTTCCATACATCAAAAACCTCGCTGCTCTCAATTTGAATGCAAATAGGGTAGTCTGAAGGGAAGAGCGGCGGTGAATCATGCTCTCCATTTTTTTTTGTTGCCGAACTTCCATCATTCTCGGTTTGGGTTCAAATGCATTTATTTTCCATTCATGCGAATTGCGGGCTGCCACTTCCCATGAATCTTCGAGCCTAACTCGATTCTGTCTGTTCAAAAGCATTAGAGTAAAAGTCAAACGCCACTTCTCAATTGTTATTTTCAGAAAACGGAGTGATCACCTTCGACGAGTTCGCACATCTCATGAACGGAACGTCGTCGATGAGCAATTACACGTATGACCAGCTCCGCGAGCAATTCGACATGTTCGATAAGGTTGGTTGGAAAAAATGACACATGTCAATCACAATAAAAATCACGGATTTGAATTTACATTTATATTCCTTTTTGTTCTATTTCCGGTCACTAAATTGTGGGGAGCCAAACTTGTCCAACCTTGATTGTTTTTTCAGGACAAGGATGGGTTCATTGAGAAAATGGAAATGATTTCAATCGTCCGCGAGCTGTCGCTCCAGGCCTCGTTTCCACGTCAAGTTGTTGAGCAACTCTTCAACGAGGCCGACATTGACGGGGACGGAAAAATTTCGTTCGAAGGTTGACATAAAACTGAAAAAGGTTGAAAAACAAGGAAGCTCATTCAGAATTCGTTCTTGCGGTGAACTGAACTCATCATCCGAATCATCGCTTCCTGCTCATCGCTGATCAACCAACACATACCCAAACACCCCAAAATAGCTGTCGCTTTCTCCGCTTTCGTGCTTCCCGTTATAACTGTAAAAAAACATTATATGCGTACTTTATGGCGTCCATCTTTATAAAAACAAATACATGAGTTTCAAAAGTGCTAACTACAAAATCGGAATTATTACAAGAATCACAGAGACAATGTTGTGACCAAATTAAAAAAGTGGAGAGAAGGCAAAGAGGAGCAATGAATACATGTCAAAGTCGGAAGAGGAATGAAATTCGAAAAAAGAACCGGTGTGGTACAGAATCCATCAAAATAATAGGAAAATTAGATAAGCATGATTTAAACTTCAGCTGGTCTCGGCTGGAAGTCAGTCTCCAACGCGTAGTCCTCACCGGCAGCTTGCAAGTTTGTGTAGCACACCTCTGGCTCCTTTCTCACCTGCAATACAATGCGCATTAATACAGTTAAACCTAAACATTTTATTTTTACCTGACGAACAAGTCTGGCCAACTTTCCGGAACTGTACATATAGAAGAGCCCGAGGCAGATGAAGATGACGAGAAGCGCAAGTCCGAGCACCGAGCTGAATCTAAAGTGGTGAGAAAAACTGTTAAGGGTGCAAAGAAACCAAAGAAAACGTGCATTAGTGTTAGAGTACACACGAACACACATCACCTACCGGCCAGAACGTCCGAGGAAACGAGCACCCTCACAAGCATCAGTCACGCGAACAGTTGCCAGATGATGATCCTTCAGTTCTTCCGGATACGCACACCTGAAAATATTTATTGACGTTCGTTATTTCATAGAAGTTCGACTCACTTCGGAGCAATGGAGTCCTGCTTGAAGGTGAACTGCTCCTGGAGCAAGAACTGAGTGTCACAGTCGCAGTTCCATGGGTTTCCTCCGATTTTGAAGCTGTCCAGCTTGTCGTAGTCGAGCATGTGCTCGCTGATCGTTGAGACGTTCGAGTTGTGGATGGCAAAATCGTTGATAGCAGCGGCCTTGTGTCCCGGTTCCGATTTGATGAATCCAAAAGCGTTCGGATGAATCTCCATCAGCTTAGAGTTATCATTGAGATAAAGGATTTTCAGCTTTGGAAGTCCGCAGAATCCGCAATCTCTGATCACAGACAAATATGGCATCTTTTCGAGGATAATCTCCTCCAAATCGGAGTCTCCGGCAAAAGCGTGATCACGAATCTCGGTGATGTTTGTTTCACTCATATCCACATCCTTCAGTGTTTTCAGATTGGCAACAACGGTTGGAATCTCTTCGAGCGGATTTTGACGCAGTGACACTCCGACAAGCTTTCTGAAAATTAAAACTTTCACTAAAATTGCGTCCAGAATGATTACACATACGGTAGGAATTCAAACAGATCGGCGGGCAGATCATCCAGATTGCAATTATCCAAACTGAGCTCTTCCAGACTATCCAATCCGGTGAAGATTTCCTTTCTCCATACTTTGATCGGGTTTCCGTCCAGAACGAGAACTTTCAAGTTGGTGAGCCCTTCGAACACATTGTCAGGAAGCACTTTGATGCGGTTGTAGCTAAGATCCAAACGATGAAGAGTCTTTTTGACGGATTCGAAGACTGGCCTAAAGAAAATACAATATTTGAAGAACTAACTAAAGGATTGTTACTTCTTGATCGTCTGCAAATTGTTGTGGGCCAAGTTCAACTTGGTCAGATTGGTGAATGGTGTGAACACGTCGCTGTCGGCAAACCGAACTTGGTTGTACGAAATGTCCAAAATCGAAATGTGCTCCTCGTTGCCTGGCAGAATCTTTCCCTGCAAAATCAGAGTTGAACGGTCACAGTGTACTCAAATGTTGTGACTCACTCTAAGAAGTCTGACGATAGCGTTATCCGAGAAATTCGCGGTGTATGGGATAAAGCCCTTCTTCTTGATCAGCAAGTCCATGGTGTGAAGTTTTGGCTCCTCGGCATCAAGAATAACCTGAGACTGGAGTTAAATATAATTGGGGGAAATGTGAGCTCACCGAGCTGCAGTTGATTTCCTCCATGTCGCAATGGCAGAGTTCACTATCTCCTGAAGTGTCACGGTTGCAAGCCTGCAAAGAAAAAACACAGTCCAAAACTTCATTTTCCTCGCGTAATCTACCTCATACTCATTGACGTCATCATCTTCCACACTCTCCGCATTCACCTCTTCAGTAATCTGAACAATTTCGATTGTTTTCACGTCATCCACTATTATTGTTATCATTTTTGCTGTTGCTACATACGTATACAAATTTTGATTGATAACAACATCACTCGGCCACAACGGGAAAACACAAGCACGCACGCGAAGACACCAGGCACAAGTGCAAGTACGTTACCTGTCGCAACTTTTCAATGTCGGCCGTTGGAGTATCATTGATAATCTCTCTCAACTTGTCAATTCTGTGTTCACGAGCCATCTCAAAAAAGTCAAACGACGTCATATTAGGTATGGACGCATTATCGGACACAGTTGGTATCTGAACAAGACGTGTACATACGGTGAAGCAACACAGGGTGACAGATGAAGCAGAGTGAGTGAGCACACTAATGAGCAAGCAGGGAAAGACTTACCTTCTTCTTGTTCTTTTTCGATGGTTTTTCAGACTTCTTATCTGATTTCGATTCGTCCTTCGCCTGCTTGCCGGTCTTCTTCTTCCTCGGTGGCTCTTCCGCTTCTTCTTCGTCTTCGTCGTTGTCCTCTGCGACACCAGCGTTCTCCTCCAACTCCGCCACCGTTATAGACTGATCATTTTCTTTGTCAGTTAAAGAGTTCACTTTTTTCGCCTTTGCGGCTGCCAACGTTTTCTCTTTGTTCTGCGACTTGACCGGGTCAGAAGCAGCAAGTACCAACAAGCTGAGCAGCAGTAATGCAATGGGCAAACGCATGATCTGAAAATGTTAACATAAGAAAGTTCATGAGAAGGGGCGACGAGTATTCGACGAGAAAAGACATCAATGTAGGTGAGTATGGGGGCTCTTATCACTGGAGCGAATGGAGATGAAAAATACGGGCAACGAGAGGGGGAGACCCCGGTCGAGTTGACAGCTTTTATTGTCAGTGGCAAGAAAGATTGTACATGTCGTCTAACTATGGAAATCTTCACTTCCAGAAATGAAGCCGTGTAAATGCTGAAACGAATCTGATCATCTCTTCATCAAATCCAAAGCTGGGAGCAGATATATCACCAGATAAGCCACTTAATTCATGATCCGTATTACGTAAAGTCAAGCCCTTGGACCAATTTGCATAATGTGTCTACTAAATTGTTTGCTAAAAACAGATAGAAGCCTTAAATGATGTCTCAAAAACAAACGTCAATCAAAAATGATACAGCTATAAAGAAGAACGTCATATGGGCGAAAGGGAAATTGTTATCAATTTCGTGCAAACAAATAGGAAGAGAGGCTAAAAAGGTAGAGCATATTTGCTCTACTGGCTTTTTTCTATAAAGATTGGATCTTGTTGTCAATTTGTCATAGGCTTGCCTGTCCTTCAGATAAAAACACATATTTTGTTTTGTCGCAAAGCGCTATCAAATAAAATCGTATAGAACAATGATGAAGATAGACATGAAGAGCCACAATGGATGGTAGCCGTGGCAACTAGAAGAGAGCAGATACAATAAACGTGTTGTTTGGGTTGGCTATACGAGAGCTTTCGTGTTACTGAGAACACGAAGAGAGGGCAGAACGTGTCTCTTTTGGAATGTTGATGTGAAGGTCAGCGCAAACGAAACGAACAAAAGACCCTAAACAGCCAATTGAGAAGTGACGGAAAGATATCAATCTTCTTTTATTTTTTGAAAGCGTGATATGGTGGGTGCTATGATTGGACAATCCCCGCGACATCATGACAAACAAAATAATGTATCAGTAGAGGAATTCGTTCAATCTTCTATCTCAACAAACTAAAACCTAAGGGCCCTGCTCGGGTCAATTGGTTGTTTGAGATAGGGGCCAGGGCCCGGATACTCTTGGCAAAACATGCTATTTGCACGCGTCTCTCGTCTCGCTACACTTTTTCAACACCCGCAAACATCTGCGTTGCCTCGCCGTCGGTCGATAAGTCGGTTGGAACGCAGCGAACAAAAGAACAAAAAGTTCTTGTTGCTTACTTTCGTGTTCAACACGGGGTTCCAAACGCTATCCGACCTGTATAATTCGAAAATCGTGGCACTAGCCGCATGTTTGGTCAATACGGAGTTTGAAAAAGTTGCTCATTATCCCGAAAAATGGTTACCGTGACGATTTGTTCACGCAACGCGCAGAAAATGAGTAGAATAATGCTAAAAGAGTCGTTTTATTTATTAGTTTATCGATTTCTGGCACTGTGCCAAGAGCGCAAATGCATACGTAGGTTCAAAAGACTCCGTGTTCAATTAGATAGAGCACCACACACATAATTATAACGTTAGAAATGTAAGGTTTCTCGAAAGGTTTCTCTAAAAGTATGCATCTTTTTCTGAAATGGCAACTGAAACGCTTTTAGTTTAAGAGAAGCCTTTTAAAATGACATTTTCTCAAAATGAATTCGAAACATGGGAAAGATGGAAGTGGAAATGGAATGGAATGGACGGAATCAGAACTATAATCATTCGAGTTGAATGACATGCTCACGCGCCTTTGATGTCATAGTGACTAAGAGAAAAGGCTAACAGACTGGTGACATAATAGTTTATTTTGGAACAAAGATTCTCTATGCGAGTCAGTCAGAGCCGGAGTTTCTTGAGAGTGAAAAAGCAGAAAAAGAACTCGGTGTGGTGAAGGGGAAAGAAAAGAATACGCACACACACACACACAGACAAATATATTCGTTTGCGTGCATGGCAGACGAGGAAACAGGGAGGGTTTGTGGTGTCCTCCCGTGAGGATAATAACCTGGACCCGTTCGTTTGGCAAACGATCGCCAATCGATAAACCAACGAGCGCAGACCAGTGTGCTTGTGTTTTTTGAGTGGTCAATGCGATTGGCGAAGGGTGTTCTGCGTGTGGGAGAGTGTGTGTGTGTGTGTGTCCGCGCTGGTTGTCTAGCCCGTCTTTGTTGCACCGGGCGGTCTGAACGACCTTGGAAAAAGGAATCTCCAGATGCATCGAATCTTGCCCTCAGTTTTTATTAGCCACAATTTGCTTTCGTTTACGAAAAGTAAAAATATTTCAGGGCCGATGTAGATCATTCAAGTGCACTTACTTGTTTGCAGTAAGACACTAAAAATTAAGAGTTAAGGAACACTTTGCAAAAAAACTAGGCCGGCTGGTGTTGTTTTGCTTGCAGAAGGGGTTGGAAGAAGGAAAAACTACAGTAATCCTCCTTCCTCGTTCGAAATTGAGTTTGCAACTCGACGCGTCACCCTAATTTCCCGGCATTCATGTTCCCATCGGAGAACCCTGCAACCCGAGAGACGTGCACCCAACCACTCGTGCATTTCAATTCTTCGTTTCTACGAACAGACATTCACATTTTTCACCATCTGTCCGATTGAAATGGGTCCTGCAAAGATGGAAATCAGTTATGGGCAACCTGATGCGTTCCTGATGACCAAGATTCTTCGGAGAAGGGTTTCCAATTATCCAGCAGCGACTAATTAGCGTAGACGGGGGGTGGTCCCAATTAAATCAGGCCCCAGAATTCTTACTCTCTACTCCATTTTATAGATTTCTCCCTCACTACCGTATACATTTGTTTATATATTTTTTCGTCCCTTCCTTCTCTGCAACCATTTCCGCTTTATCTGCATAGGAAAAGTAATGAAATTCAACACCTTCTCCCGCATAAAGTTTATTCATAAACAAAAACTCGGCTCCACTTTCCAACATCAAACACACTTGGTATATGACATTTTTGGAGGGGGCCAAAGGGGGAAAGTGACATCAGATACGAAAAATGCTTTGTTTGGCCGGGTGTTTGTGACGAACGAGCGAGAAAAAAAAGAAGAAAGTCCCTGTCTTTCTTGATTGCCGCCCTCAGATAACAAAGCGGAGCAGCCATGTAGCATGCCAATCCTCAAAGGTCTGGGTTGCTTTTTCTTGTTTAAAAACAGTACGTTGTTGTTTTTCAGTCTTTTTGCATCAATGACTCGGAAATAATGTAATGAATTTGTAACTTAACGTCCAATTGAAAAAGAAGAGAGAGAGAGAGAGAGTCTTCATTACTTGCTATCCTCTAAGTATTCCTTTCATCCTTTTGCATAGTTGAGATGGGTTGAAGATGGATGAAGTGGTTGGTGTGTGAGTGTGTGGGGCACCAAAAGAAACTTGAAACTAAAAATATGCTCATCATCATTATACTCCTCCTTCTCCTTCTTCTTCTTCTTTTATTTTCTATGTCTTCCATCCTACCACTTCCAACTAGTCGTATTCATTTTCATTTTCATTATATTCCTTTCTTTATAACCCTCACTTTTCATTTTCTGACTGAAAAAGGAAAGAAAGATATTTTCACTTTCAAATTCTCAATAATTAATACTATTATTAACGAGGACCCACCAAAAAAGAACACAACTTTTCACTGAAACCTTCCTGATGCGTTTCGTTTGCGCGGCGAAGAGTTTTGCGGCATCGGGGTCGTGGTTGTGGTTGTGGTCGAGTTGGAGAAGAAGAAGAAGAAGAAGAAGAAGAAGAAGAAGAAGAAGAAGAAGAAGAAGAAGTAGGAAAACCGAAAATTGACGCACCACTGAAAAGGGAAAGCGCAACGCTTGCCGCGAGTCTTTTCTGCATCGCGCGCGTCGACGCAATGCATTCGGAAAAACAGAGCAGGAGGGAAAGAAGAAGAAGAAGAAGAAGAAGAAGATGTAGTAGGGAAGCCGTCCGGACATGAAGCTGCGTCTCGACGGAGAGGGTGAAGTTCACCAACGTCTTCTTCTTCTCCTCCGACCTCCCCACTGTCTTCGAAGTGTGCTGCCTTTGGCGAGTCTGTTTTTGGAGTGCGAGAGAGTCGAAACAGCCGAGTCTTCGCCAAGAGGAGAGGGAATTGGAGAAGCAGTAGCCGGAGGAGCAAGAGCAGCAGCAGCAGACTCGCCTTCTGCGTGTGTGTGTGTGTGTGCTCTTGTCGGGAATCGATGAGATCTCACGTCAGGCAGTGTGAGCTTCGCTTCTTGTCGAGTTGCTGCTGCTTCTGCTGCCGTTTAGTCCCGCGCGGCCGTTTTCCGTGTTATAGGAAAGAAGAGGGAGAAAACGAGAGCAGCAGCAGGAGCAGGGGGAGAAAAAAACGGCAGCGGGAGGAAAAAAGGAAGAAGGGGGCTTCTGCCGTACTCACCAAACACGAAAGAGCCAAAAACGCTTGTCTCAAAAAAAGTTTTGTGCACTCTGCCCCCCCTCTCCTACCTCATCTTGGATGGACATCTCCGCTCGTTTTGTTCTTGTTCTCCCTTCTACCAATATCAACGTTGGTTGCTTTTGCGCGCTTGTTTCCTCCTCCTTTTCATTCGTCTTGCCCGTTTTCGTCCGCCGCTTCTCCCTCCTCCCAACCCGCCGTGCAGAAAACCAATCTCCGAGTGTGGTGCAATCCCATTATTTTTTATGCACTATTTCTCGCATTCCACCACCAAGATTATTAGCGATTGAGTCTGGGGAGAGATGGGCTCTGGCTCACACACATAGCGGAAGAAAGAAAAGTAGAAGAGTGTTTGTGGGGGTCTCCCGCATAAAATCTGATTTGTGTGTATGCGTGTGTGTATGTACGTAATTATAGGTTTCGGAAGGCGATGTGGTGTTTGCGTGTCGCAAATTTCATGTTCTCAGACTTGTGTGCATTCAAATTCATCCTTCTCTGTGTGCTGAGGGTGGAATTAGTGGAGCGTGAGAAGTGCATCGTTCCATGAAACTTTGTACTTTTGTATTACTGACTATCACGTATTATTAAAACCGAAATATCAGTTCTTGATTTTTTGGTTATTTCTGGCATCCTGCTTTGCCGTAAATATTATTAAATTCTATCCTATCCATCAAGATCCCATTAGCTCATTTACTATGTTAATATCCGAACGTTTCCGTAAAAAGTTATAATAGTAAATATCTATTGAGTGACCGGAACTTTGAGTTTTTTCAACGGCAACTGATGTTTTCGCGTTTTCGTTTTTCGATCAATCTTCAGTGGTAGTAAACAGGCGGTTTTTTTGGTTTTCATGTCTGCAAGTGTGCACATACTGCTTTTTTTTCGAAAATTATGAATAGACTAGACTAAAGTGCGAGGAAAACTTACCTTCTTGTACTCGCTCGGTTTTTGCATTTCCTATTCCCATTTTCGCGGTGCACTCAAAAAATCCTTACATGCACACTTTTCGCACACCTCGTACGTGTACGTACGTACGTAGTCTGTTTCTATTCTACTCAAAACGCTCCCCTTCTCCATTCCCACTTGTCCTTCCCTTTTTTTATGCAATTTCACCACTGATTGTCTGCTTTTTGGCTCGGCACGAAAACCTTTTACCAGACCACTCTGACACCAAATAATCTTGTTCTCTTTCAATAGTTCCTATGCAGAGATAGACATGTATTCTTTTTCATATAGTTGAAGGGGTCCCCCGGTGCTAACCTTTTTCTTGGCCGCAAGTGTTTGCAGATGCAAGTTGAGTGATGTCAGTTATTGCAAATGTTTCTCTTCTTTTTTCTCACGTCGCCTCTTGCCTTTTTTGAAACACTAGTCGCTTGAAAACACGTTGATAGACAGAAGAATTTGAGAAAGTTCCCACCAAAAATGGTGACGAAATATAATGAAAGTTCAAGTTTCGTTCATGGTCTCACCGAAGCTTAGGTTCATCTGACTCACTATCACCAGATACATACCAGCGAAGTTCTCTATTAACATGTTTTTTATCCTTTTCGCCTGGATTTTCTTTTTTTAAAGAAATTTAGTTATCTCTTTTTTAGGTGTCCATTTTCAGGTTTATTTTCACTTTCCTCAATATCATCTTTGTGAAAAGTGCATTTAGAGTTCAAAACTGGAATTTTTAAACAAAGTAACGGATAAAAGCCGATAATCGTGTTTTTGCAGATGTCAATTGTTAGCTGATCGAATAATGCTTGCTACCAAAAACAAAACCACTTTGTTCAGATTTTCTTTCACATTTAGATAAGAATGGGATGTACCTCATTTCCTGTACAACTGTAGTCACAAAAACACACTGCAAATGAATAGCAATGAGAACCGTTGTGTTGCGAAGAACTTTTTATAGATAGATGTGTCCTGAGAGGTAATCTTTTCTGACAGGATGTCTGATTTGCCCACGTATCCTTTGAATTCTATATAATCAGGCGATTCGCCTATCCCTTCACGCCCTAATCTAATCCGTGAAGTGTACAAACTCTGTGCTTATCCAGTTGGCGGAGTCTAGTGCACGTGCGTGTACTGCAGGTGTTTGAATGAGTCACAAGTCAACCTAGAGTGCCACTTTTTTGCTTTTTTGCCCACCGATCGCCAAAGAGCGGTATAGTTCAGGGTCCCTCAGTGCTCGCCACCTCTTTTCGAAGGCCACTGGTTTTCTACTTTTCTTCGCTGTGCATTCATGAACAGATAATCCAATTTGAGCGCGTGTGGGGAGGCCCGCCCCGAAGAACAAAACTTGGCAATCTTGAGCATATTGGATAAGCTGCCCCGCTGAGTTGCTAATTGTCAACGTTTGGCACAAACGGACAGAGCCATCGGGAAGGGGAGGAGAAGAGAGGAGGACTGGGAGGGCGAGCCTCCAGCATTTTTGTGTTTTGCGGGCGTTGCTCCCCCCCCCCCCTTTTTCCCTTTCCTCCCGCGCTTGCGCATCAGTCGTCCGCACGCCTCTAGTCCCACCCCTACACACATCCATTTATTTATTAGAAGAGCTGAGTAAAACATGAACTATTCGCTATCCGTGGCCTTGTTTTATTCATTGCTTATATCGCATTCGCCTGGTTTTTCCTTCGGCACGCCTTGTCTTTGCATTTTTTCCCCCACCCGCCTTTCCCTGGCCTGGCCTGCTCCTGGTCCCCGCCGAATCCTAACTCCCTGTCTTTTTTCGTGCTCAGGGAAACGAGCATGAATTCATTGTCTCAAATGAATGTCTCCTTTTGCGTCATTAATCTTGCATCGAATTTTGCTTTCCTTACCCGACTAGTCGCTCCTGAAGTCTTTGTCTACCTTTCAACTATCAAGCGCCTAGGTCCTAGCCCGCCGATTTATCCATCACCCCCATTCGGGTGCCGTTTCCCGCCTTCTTTCCCACTTCCTCTTCCACCTACGCCCTCCTATTTCTGTTTCCCCGAGACGAGTCCATGAAACCAAAAAGGTTCTCAATGGTGATGGGAAAAAAAAGTGAAAAGAGGAAAAAGAAAGAGGATTCGGGCGCTGGGGAAAGACTATTTTGGTGTGCGCGGTTCCCACGGTGTTCACGGAAAGCGACGCAGAAAAATGACCACACCATCATCCCCCCGGTTGCCGAAGACGAGGCGTCATTTTTCAACGTTTCTAATCCCGCGCTCCTCTTTTCCTTCTCTTCTGTTCATCTAGTCCTTTCCTTCGGCTCCTTCCTTTTTCTTCCTCTTCTCCCTCTCCTTCTTCTTCGTCTTGATGATAGCGAGGACGAAGAAGAGAGGAACGTGAATGTTCTGAGTTTCTTTCTCTCCGAGTGTTCCTTTCCTGTTTTCTCGTCGTCTTTTGACATTCAACCCCCAGCCGACCGATCCAAGTACGCCCCATCGTCTTTCTCTCTCTCTCTCTCTCTCTCTCTCTCTCTCTTTCTCTTTTTTTCCCTCTGTTTCATTGTTATCGGAGGGACTCCGCGTCTCTTAGTTCTTAGCTCTTATCTCTTAGCCATACAAAGTTATCATCAATATCATTTGCAGTGCCTCCTATTATTCCATCATGGACGATCCGTCGATGATGCCCGATTTATCCCATCTATCGGCTGAAGAACGAGAAATAATAGAGCAAGTAAGTTGTCTATCCCGATGCAGTTCAAGAGAGTAGTTGGCGCGGTGAGAGCTCTCTGTCTCGGAGCATGACGGACCCCCGGGGGGAGAGCGAGAAAAGGGAGGGGGTATTACTTACAACGCCGTGAGCACGCAAAATAATGGATATGCAATCAAACGAGTTTGTGCTCTTATGTACATTCGACAAGAAAATTGGCATGATATCATGCATACACACACACTCTCAGCGCTCCGGGGCCTTAGATACTCACTCAAGACACTTGACACGTTTTTTTTCAGGTCTTCAAACGACAGAGGGATGAAGAGGCCAAAGAAACACAAATGTCTCAGTGAGTATCTTGAATGAAATTGCTTCTTGAGTCTCTCATTGTCACGCCCCACCCCACTCCGATTACAGAAAGGCGACGGAAGAGCTGTCAGAGCTGGACAAGCAGATAAACGAGAGGAAAGAGACATCGAAGAAGTTGATCGGCACACAAGATGACGCGATCTGTCAAATCTGTCAGAAGACCAAATTTGCGGATGGAATTGGTAGGTTTAAGCAGATTCTGCCAAAAAAAAGTCCCCTATGCCTGCTTACCCCCTTAAAATAAAATGCATCAATTTAGCAACAGATGAGAGGATTTTTCCAGGCCACAAGTGCTTTTATTGTCAATTGCGTAGCTGTGCGAGATGCGGAGGTAGAGCACAGAGCAAGAACAAGGTAGGAGAAAGAAAAAGGGCGAAAGGAAATGTTGGATGAATGCGTTTGAATAGAATAAACGACAACAGATAGAAATGGAAAGGAAGGGGGGGGGGGTCTAAACTAAAAGAGATAGGCACATGATTTCTGGCTTCTTTTTTGGGCTGCACAAGGAATTGGACATAACTTCCGAGAAGAAGATCCCGGAGATTTTCGCGCTTGCTTTATTACTGTCTGGTACAAAAAGAATAGAAAATCAGAAAAATCCACCTGTCGCCTCGGGTAGCGATAATGATATCATTGTTATTTCCCCTTATAATATAATAATAATAATAATAATGTCAAGGTAGGGAGAACAATACAATCTATTGTTTCGCAAAGTAGTTTGCTGAATAGAAAGGATTAGCCCCCTCTTTTTTGCTGCCATGAGGAGGAGTAGAGTGAATCAAGAAAAGAGAAGAGAGAAAAAAGCTTTCAGGCAATCTGGGCTTGTTCGTTGTGCCAGAAACGTCAACAAATTCTGGCTAAAACCGGCAAATGGTTCCAACCCGAAGAGCCGCCACTGCAGAAAATTAGCGTTTCTGAGCCAAGTCCTTCACCACAACCACTAACTCAAACGGCCGAGCAAGCACCGCAAACGCAACAGCAGCAGCGACAAGCGGAACCACCGGACAAAATGTGAGTTGAAACTTTGTTTTCTCTTTTCTTCCTATTAAACTGTGCAATGCAATTCTCTTCAGGCACAATCAAAACTACCAGCACCAAGACCAGATGGGAATGCCCATACAGCCGAATCAACATCCACCAGTCCAGATGATGGCTCCCAACCAACATCCACAACAGCAGAATCAGCATCCTAACATGAATTCGAATTCGTTTAATCAAGTTCCTAATAATCATCAGCAAATGAATAATCGGAGGCCGATGCAACATCAGCAGTCTTTGAATCAACAGCAACATCCTCAGAATCAGAATCAGAATCAGAACCAAAATCCACTTCAAAATCAGAACCAAAACCAAAACTTTCGGAATCAGGTGAGCTATAAAGAGTATTCAAGATAAATATCCCTTTTTTCCTCGAATAGAATGGACGGGTCGTGGAAGCGAAACCTCTTGAAAGTAGCGGTTTGCAGGCCGGTCCCAACCAACATCATCAGCACCATCAAAATCAGAGACCAAATGACAATCGGAACATGAAGCAACATCCTCAACAACCGCCCACGCAGCAGCAGCAGCAGCAACAAAACACTAATCAGTTTCAAGGCAATGCTCCGGGAGGACAGACGCAACTTCATCAGCACGGCCCACAACAACAGCCTTCCCATCATCAACGTAAGAGCTTTCCGAGAGAAGTAAAAAAACGGAAAAGGGAGGAAGAGAAGAGAAAGAGAAAAAGAGAGAGAAATTGAAATGCAAAGTTTTTTAGTAGTATAGGATAATTTTAGAAATGGGTGAGCAGCGGACGGATAACAACAGAATGAGAGATGGCGGCGGCGGTGGCGGGATGTTCAACAAGCAGCCTTCATTAGAGGTACGTCGGGCCGCAAATGAAAGATTTCTAATATCTAAAAACGAGGATGTCACGATGGGCGATACCAGCGCTGGTCGAAATTAGATTTGTGGCGGGTCTAGAGGCATTTCAGACGATCTTTGAGAGAAGCAACGAGATTTTCCAATAAAACCGAGCCTTTCCTTTTCTTTTCAGCGGACCGCTTCTATAAACAAGTACAATCAAGGGCGGATAGAGGAAGATAGCATGAACCGGTTAGAGAATTACTTTAAGCTCAAATCTGAACGAAACCTTTTTGTAGACCGACATTTTATACTGGTACCTCTGAAAGTGACCAACGGCAGTACGACGGGCAAATTCCACAAAATTCTCATAATCAAAATCAGAATCAGCAGCAAAATCTCAGGAAGAGCACTGGTAATCGGGTAACGGAAGAAGACTATGCGAGTTCATCTCATTTTGAGTCTAAAAAACGTAATGAGCATAAGGAGAGTTCGGAAACAAAATTTGCCATTTTTCAGAGCGTAATCACAATAAATCTCAACAGCAACAGCAGCCAAGCACACCAGGCGTACGGGCATGTCCACCAAACGACGACCATCTGAATCGAGTGAAAAATCGGCTGCATAGGTTAGTAGCTGTAATTTAGCTAATGGAAGTAAGACATTGATACTAACTCGTGACTCACTCACAAGTCACAGGTTGGAAGACAATTAGCTAATGCCCTTTTCCTTGTCTTTCCCTTTTACCCGCTTTTGTGGCCGACTCTCCCAAAGCTGCTTTGTTTTTTGTTCATTTGCCATTCCGACTCGTTTCCTTCCTGCAAGTTCTCTTCTCGGTCCTTGCATACTTGAAGAAGCTGGCTGAACAAGCGAGCCGAAGGGAGCGGCGCTTCGGTTTTAATGCAAATTTTTAATGAGTCGTGCCCGCCGTTGCCTCTTAGTCCCCATTAACTGCATTTTGTGACATCTCCATCGCTCTTTCTGCCAGCATCTATCCATCTGTTTTTGTTCCAGACAACTCCGGTCGATGTCTTCTTCTGAAGAAGACATCATCGCCGGCGGCGGTGGGAACACTTTGAAAATGTCGACGTCGGCTGTCGTGGCGGCCGGCGGAAAAACCGCATTCCATGATGATATGGGCGCATCAAATGTGCAGAGGTTGTCCGAGGAATGCAATTCTGAAAAGGGTTTGTGTGCGTGCGCTCGAAATCCCATGTTGACGTTTTGATGAGTTTTTCAGACCTCCTCCGATATATTTATGGCGATCATAAAAACGCGGATTCAACGTCGTCTTCTGGACCAGTCGGTCCCGGAATGAAGAGTAAAACGCACGTTGCTCGTGAGGGGTCTTACCAAAGACTTTTAGACATGCAAGCTAATCGGAGACGTGACAAATCGCTGTCCTTGTCGCCATCGCGCAATGATCATTTTGGGACGGGCAATATATCCGGCGGGGATTTACTGGCATCACGAATACGAACGTTTCTATCAGTAAGAATGAAATGAGGTACACGCATACGTATTTTATTCAGCATCCTGTTACCTGGCAACCGTCCGCAGATCAAAAACGGCTAATAGGTCATATGATCCTCCATCGAACAGAAACTGCGGCCAACGGAGATCTCGGATTGAAAATAGTGGGTGGCCGACGGACGGATACCGGGAAACTGGGCGCATTCATTACCAAAGTTAAGCCGGGCAGCGTCGCGGACACCATTGGAAGACTCCGTCCTGGTAATGAGTTTTCTAAAACGGGACACAACGACCAAAACGGGAATGAGTTTGTTTCAGGGGACGAAGTCGTCGAGTGGAATGGCCAGTCGTTACAAAACGCAACTTATGAACAAGTTTACGATAGCATTGCCGCCAGCAGATATGATACCTCCGTCGAGTTAATTGTTAGTCGGAGTGCAATGTAAGCAATTGAGTTTGTTTGAAATGTTTTCGAGTTGATCAAATTCAGTATCCCTGGTGGTGATGACTTTCTAAACCTGACCACTTCTCAAATGTCCTCGTCCACATTTTCCCGAGCCGCATCTGCTTACCCACCTCAATATCAGCGACAGCTGCCTAATCCCGAACTTTTTCTTGGTATTCAACTCAAATGTGTTTCTTTCTGTATGTTTTCAATGTTTTCCAGATGTCCATCCGGCTCTTCAATCCCAATTAATGCCTCACTCGCAGTCGGCAGTCTTCCCTCACAATAACACGTTGACCTCGCGCAATCGATCAACGTCAAGCTATTACTACACAGGTAAACCTATATTTAGCAATTGGCAATCTGTTTTCCGATATATTTCACTTTTCACCTGTCGGCAACGGGGGGCAGGTGCTTGACGAAATTGGGGAGAGCGCTGCGAGGGGTTTCGAGAAATAAAAATAAAATGAAAGAAGGGTTTCAGACGTGCCGGATCTCGGAATTCCAAACATCCGCGAGCTTCCGGACCATCAATCTTACGGAACTGGTCATATCTTCGGACGGATAGAAATTTCATTTGTGTACTCTCATCATGATAGACAACTCTCGATTGCACTTATCCAAGGATTCGATCTACCACCACGATCCGACGGAGCACCGCGAAACCCATACGTTAAAATTTTTCTGTTGCCGGATAGAAGTGAAAAGTCACGAAGGCAGTCCGCAGTAATTGCTGAAACGTTGATGCCGGCGTGGAACGAGATTTTCACGTACAGCGGTCTCACTGAGCCCATGCTTATGCAGAGAGTTCTTGAGGTTTTCATATATTTAAACGATTTTCAAAAGTTCATATGTCTTTTTCAGTTGACCGTGTGGGACTACGATAAATTTGGCACAAACAGCTTCCTCGGAGAAACGTTGATTGATCTTGCGTCAATGCCGCTTGACGGAGAGCATTCGTTAATGTGCGTTCTTGTCGACATGGACGACGACAATCCGTTGCGAACGGTAATTGCTCTTTCCCTTTTTGAGATACATGTCATTTGACTCCCGTTTTGCAGCGATTAAAATTGCGAAAAGCTTCGTACAACGCGCCAACACGACGTCCGCAGTCCGAGCTCAACTACTACGATCACTCGTCCAACTATTATAACCACATCAGTCAAAACATGGACAGGAATCATCATCATGACGAGGAAAACGATGAATACATTGATGACGACGAGCTCGAGAACGACATTGACCTGGCATCGGGCGGTGCAGCGCGGAAAAGTCGGGCGTACCGGAGAGAGAAGGGAATGTACGGTCACGGATACTCTGATTGGACACAGAACCATGCTAGGCAATCTGGTTACACTTCGGATCACAGTTACGGCCGCCAGACTTTAACGGGCCGCGCTTACAATCGACGCCAACAACGAAGGCCGAGAAGTGCAACTGCACTATCGCAGAGTAAGTGCCACAAAAGTGCCGACGCCGGGTTGCATGAGAAATGGGGGGTGACGAAAGAGAGGATGAATATGCAGATTAGGAGAGGGAGCGTCGAATCAAACCAACCGAACCAAGCTCTTCTCAATTATTCATGAGCTTCTTCATCTTTCATGCTTTCAAATGCCTTCTTTTTTTAGTGGAGAGAGAAGAAATGTACGATCCGAGACGGAAGCCGGGGGATGAGGACGACTACTCGATGAGAGATTCGTGAGTGAAATGAAATCCTCGGTGGTAATGCATCTGAAACGCTTTTCTCGGTGCTTTTAGTGTTCGCCATGGCTCGCAGTATTACTTGAGTGACCAACCGTTGTACGAAGATGGCCGCTACAAGATTTCGCAAGGCCAAATGATGCCGCAACCGCCGCAGCATAATCAGCAACAACAGCCACATCCGTCGACGTCGCAAGCTCATCATCAACACCCAATGCAGCCGGGTATTCAGCAGCAACAGCAAGGAGCTCATCAACATATTCCACCACAACAAAATCAGCATATGATGCCGCCGTTGCCTGCTCAGGGATATTATAGTGATGGCAGTGAAACGTTAAGTATGCATTCGACAAATAGCATGCCCACTACGTATGTCACGAATAAAGTGTTGAATGGGCAGTGTGCATCTTTCAGATTAACGACTATCAATAGGAGGAATATGGTCGCCAATAACTCAAACGCTTCGAACGACACCACTTCTTTTGAAGAAACCCCGACAGCAAATACTAACAGGGTTCCGATTAAAGAGGCCAAACAAAGCTCTCTGGCGAGCTCATCTTCCGTGGGTAACAGTGGAGGAACCCCTTCACAAAGCAACTCTAATAATGCTGGATCGACAATGAAAGAGAGGAAGAAGAGTTTGATGACAAGGTTTATTCCAGGAAGGGGAGCAGGTACTAGATATTGTCTGCACGTGCATCACGTTTACATGTTGTTTGTTTCAGAAGGGAAACGAACTGGTTTCGCAAGGTCTGAAGAAGTTGGCATTCCTGGTAACTTGTCATCGGATCGGCTTGCTGAGCCGACTCCTCCCTTTCTGAAACAGGCCAGCAAAGAGAGCACCGATTCCGCGCATTCAGACAAGTTTGCACGCCAATGGTAATTCCCTCCCTGAGTGACGTCCTTTTCAGTTGGCTTCCAGTACTCGCTGATGGTCCGCTTGGTACATTTGTCGACAATCTCGGTCCCGGACAAGTGGTCGGTCGGCAAGTGCTCGCTTCGCCGGTGCTCGGAGAAATTCAAATCGGTTTGATGGCCGGCCGCAGCGGGATCGATGTTGAGATAATCAAGGCAAAGAATTTGGTGGTAAAGCCGGGAGGCAAAGTGTGTCCAGGTAATTTGAATGCTTATGTAAATGCTAGTTTTTTGATTTCAGCTCCCTACGTAAAAGTGTATCTCATGGAGGGAAAACAGTGTGTAGCAAAAGCAAAAACGAATGCTGCCACTAAAACTACAAGTCCGCTGTTTCAGCAACATTTGATATTCAACGACAATCCAAAAAACAAAACGCTTCAGGTTTTTGACCATTTTTAAAACGTCCCCCCAAAATACCTATGTTTTTTTTCAGGTAACTGTGCTTGGTGATTACGGTCGTATGGAGAGAAAAGTATTCATGGGAATCTCCCAAATCCGATTACAAGACCTCGAACTCGGACCTCAACCACTTATAGGGTGGTATAAACTATTTCATAGTTCCTCATTAGCCGGCACCGGACCGGTCCGCAAAGATTCAGACGTGTCAGTTGGAGGTGCTCAACAGTGATCTCTCGCTTCTTTTTCATGTGTATGTACTTGTGTTACCAGTGTTTTTTCTCTTTCATCTTGTTGGATTTTTGATTCTGATTTTGATTTTGACTTTGATTATTTTCATCTCTTTTTTCACTGATCTCTCATTCTTGTCAACAATTCTTTCTTCGAGCATTAGAAACAAAAAACTTCTCATTGTTTGCATTACGGGTATCATTTTTCGTTTGCTTTTTTTCTTGATTCAAATATTGAATGAATTAGTTTTTAAAATTGGAAATAAAATTGCGGCAAAAGAATAGAGACACAGTCGGTGCATCCGAAAGAAGAAGGCAAAAGTTTTGGCCGCCAAGAATTATGCAGCAAGGGAGTAATAACAACTTTGCGTCAACGATAAGCATCTCATGATGCTACTACTTGTTGCCTATTGATTCGGACGAATTTCAACAGTTCGATTTTCGGTTGTTTTCCATCGCATTCATGGCATTACGATCTACCAATTAGGCTTTTGTCTCTCAATATAACACGGAAAATGAAGGTGAGATTTTTGTTTTGGTGACTGACGAGTGACCTACACACCGATAGCATCTTTACCGTTTCCTTGACGCTGCTTAGATAATGGAGACAAGGGTTCAGGCTAGGTCATTCATTTCATTCGTTCAAATGCTTCCAATGTTGCGTACTTACAAAGTTTATTACGTCAAGGTACGTGGTTTGACTGGTTACGAAAAGTCAGGTAGTCTTAGGCATTGAGCACAGAGATATACGTAACTAGGGAATTACTTTATGGCCTTAGAGATTTTTATAAGAATAAAATATGGTGAACATTTACCCATTTTAGGATTCAGCTAAATGTCTGTGGAAAATTCTAAAAAACATTATTGTTCTTTTATTTTTTTTCTTTGACAAAGTTATTTTTTTTTGTAAGCGAATGGCCCTTCCGACTCCCTAAAAGTAGCATTGATCAAAATTGCATAAGCTGGTATCATTGGGAGGGTACTCCGCTCACAAAAAAGTTAATTTTGTCAAAATACGTCTCACCTCTCAATATGAGACATTAATGATCGGGATCATTTTCGTGAACTTTGGACATCCACGGAACATTACCCGAATCTCATTAGTAAGCTGTCGCGACCAGAAATAAATTAAATGCTCATATCGCTCTTTTTCTCTCCCAAATTTGCAATTCCCCTCACGTTCAAAGAGCACTCTGACCCAGTTTTTGATGATCGGTCAATGAGAGAAAGGAAAAGAACTCGCGCAAGTGTTTCACTAGATTGCATCGGAACCGACATTTTGATGGAAGAAAAAGCAAATTAGGCTGACGGATGGATCCGAACAGTAATTAAGAGGATGCTAGAGTTCAAGGCGAGATCGGAACCGCTTGTCTGAGATAGCGCGGGGCATGTGAAAGTAAGACTTGAATTAGGTGAATACATACACATTAGGCGCGATGCAAAAGGTGAGCTACTATGAATTCCAGGGTTGCCCACAACTGGAAAATTATTTTCAGAACGTTTTCGGAAGCACGTTCTTCCTTGTTGTTATGTCCTTCCTCACACACATTGGTCACAAGAGGGAGCAGGCAACGAACACACTGTCTTGCTTGAGCCAGCATTATTCTGATGTCAGTCTGGCAAGATTACAAAGTTTTCCGAACATGATGCAGGTTTGATTATTCTCAATAGTATTTCGCTAGATTAACTGTTTAGGAGATTGCAAATATTGAGGACAATATGGGGATCATATTGCTTAATCAGGTGGTTTCGCTCAAATGATTTTTTTCAACATTTTCTTAGTTTTCAGCATGCCATGAACATCACTCTCAACTGGTTGTGCAACCTAAAAGCATTTCACGACCCGACAATACTAGAGAGCATTATCGTTTTTGCAATGGATAATCATTCCTATCAGGTTCTCTCGATGCTTTGGCCATCAATAAGGGTCTTCAAATTGGATCTCCCTTCTGTGGTACTATTAGCAATTCAATAGATTCACACAAAACTGTTTTCAGTCTGAACCATTTCGAGTCGGTCACTGTCAATATCAATTATTCCAACTGTTACGTGCAAATCTTGCTACAATGTTCTCAATGATGAACAAATCGTTCTGGATGCTGCAGCCAGACACGTATTGGCGCGAAAATTTATTCGACTTATTTGGTAGGTGAAAGATGGAAGCATTCCAAAGTATTCTAAACACAAACATACAGACGTCACACAAAATGATGCGACCGATGTTTATCTAGACGTCGAGGGAGAATCCGTTTTATCGTCGAGGATGATTGCAGGCGGCAATTTTCACGTTCGAGCCTCCACGGCTTCGACTCTTTTTTTTTATCAGTTGAGCACAGAGATACGGTAAGAGATGTCAAAAAGTTCCCTGAAAATATGACTAGGTGATAAGATGACGGAGTGTAAACTGTCTTATCAACAACAAAACAGTAATTCCTCAATACCCATTCAAAGCTGATTAAACTTCATCGAGAAATAGTACCGGTTTTTCAGAGAACGATACACAACGGATAATAACATAATGGGTGCAATGTGCGCCCAAGGATTCGCATCTGTAAAGTGCGAGTTCATCCCATACCACACAATATCGAATTGGAGATGGAAGAACAAAAACCTAAAACCAGCACTGATGCAATTCGATAGTCTTATACTTCCTGGTACACTCGGGAAATTGGAGAGGTATTCAGTTATAGCTGTCTGAAAGGGACTATTATAACTGGTTTGCAGGATGCATCAAGTGGGGGCAAAGTTCATCCATCCAGACGGATCGTGTCTTTTGCTCGAATCCGCGAATGTTTCCTCACTCGTCGTGTTTGATGACACGTTATCTCACGTCCTTTTCCCTCCTTGTTTTCATTTCTTTCATGTTGCTCACGGTTTCTGCGAGTCTCTTTGCCATTTCTTCCCCTCAATTGTTGATTTTCTCCTAGGAACGGTTTTCCCCAATTATGCCTACTTTTTAATTTAATTAGCCGCCTCAGCAGCAACCAAACAGTTCTCTTCCTCTTCTCCCCCCACTCACTTCTCATTTCCATACCGACAAGAACAGAAGCAAAAAACCAGTATATGCTGTAAGTACGAGATTCGAAATAAAGATATACTCAGTCGTATAAATCCCAACTGAATCCGAACACCAACACACATTATGCGGTCCTTTTTATTCGTATTGCTTGTTGCGATCGTTCATTTGGCTACGGCGGCTGAGGAATACAAGAGCCAGAGTGCCTATCCGGAAAGTGCTCCTACCGTACCTCCGCCACCGCCACCGAATGCTGTTCCCTACGTAGCACAGTCCGCAAACCCTCCACCTCCTCCAGCGCCAGCCCCTGCTCCAGCGTCTGCATACCTGGAATCTGCTCCACCACCGCCACCTCTCGTACCAGCGCCACATCCTGCTCCGGTCGCCGCAGCTCTACCAGTCGCCTACCCAGCACCTGCTTACATTGAGCATTCTGCTCCACCACCGCCACCGCCACCACCAGCTCCGCACCCGACTTATGTGGAACATTCCGCGCCTCAACCACCGTACCCGCAGCCACAACATACGTACAATGCGGGTCCGCGGCAACAATATCCTCAACAGGCAGAGGAGGGCTACCAACAGACTACCCCGGCTTATCCTAAATTTGTAAGTTGACCAGTTTACATTCAAACGAGTAACCTTTTTGCAGCATTACGCCAGTTATCCACCGCCAACAACCCATAGACCGTACCCATATCCCAGTTACGAAGTTCTTCCACATCATGAAGAGGATTATAGAGTGAGTAGAGTGAATTAAAGATTTTTTCATAATACGTTTCTAGCCACGAACATCACCCCGACGTACAACAACTACCACTACTCCCAAGCCAAAAACGCACAAACCACGACCAGGATCGGATACCGAGTACAACTACCCGGAAAGAAATCTTCCCCTCAAAGGATGTTTCTATAACGACCATGGTTATGCGTGTTGTAATCTCCTTTTGCAAAACAAAATGGAAGAGTTGGCGGACGTATGTGACTGACTTTGTTTGTAGTTATGGAAAAAATGTCTGTGTACATGTCCTAGATAGATTTTCCGAATGTTTGTCTGGCAATCGAGACGAATTGTGTCGAACAAACCACATTATTTCAGGAGTTGTTGAACAACGGAACATTCCATCGATGCAATGTTCAGAAACTGGCCAACGACCTACAGGCCAAGTGCGAGTCGGCGTAAGACTTCCATTTCCTGCTGCCGCCGAACAAACATGTCATCACATTTCCAGATTCGACGAGGATTTCGAAGCAGTCGTCGGTCTGTCAGATTTTGCCGAAAGAATTCATTTCCGCGAGCATTATGTATGCAAAATCGAAGTGAATGGAAGGTTTTGCCTTTATAATTCCCGAGGCGTCTATTCATGCAAGTTTCTTCAGATACATGCTTGCCTGGGCCACTCCGGACGATCGTCGTGGGCTTCGCGCGAAAAGAGGATCCGACGACGAGATTCATGAATACAATTTCTAGCTTTTGTTATTTATTCTTTCACATTATCTCTCTCACTATTCGAGCTTGGGAAACTGCATAAATACGCATGAACTTTTATTAATCTCCCTGTTAATTTTTTCATGCATTCAGCGTTTGATAGGAAAGTAGACAGAAAAAAAGAAGCACAGAGAATCCGGAAAAGTACACATGAATGTGTTAAGGCTAGTCGACAGAAAAGGAGAGAATGAACAGGGACAGATTCAGAAAACAACAGGTAGCGTATCTAAGCAAAAAGTGGTTAAACAATATGCTAATAGAGAAGAACGCGAAAGTGACTTGCTAGTAAAACGCAAAATAAAGTTAGAAAGAGGTTTAACATGATTCAGAATAGAACAATGTTACCGTGAATTTGTTTTTTTGGAGCGGAAAAGAGAAAGCGAGGAAAAAAGCTTGGTTTGAAACGGGGTTGGAGATCACGAGGTCTAGTTTTGGAAGAACAGTGTTGAACAAGTAGTTACTGGAAGGGCGGGAAAAGTTGAGCACCACGTAACATGAAAGTGTATTATGCCGTGATTCGAGTATATGGGTTAAAGACGACATCAGTCGAAGCTGAAATCGTCATCGTCGTCTGGAAGTGGAGCAGCTGCAGCTGCTTCGAGAAGCTCCTCGTCCAACTTCGGGTCTTCCTCCACTCCGATCATTTCTTCGTCTTCTTCGATAGCCTGAAATTTATTTTCATCAATTAGAATGAAGAAGGCGGAAGACGGAAGGGGGTGCGGAAAGTGAAAAAGACGAGAATCATGCGCGCAGATGGTCTGTGTCAGCCGCCTGCCTGGCCCACTTGACTCACTTTCTCCTCGACGTCTCTCGCACACATTGAATTATCGTCCTGATCGCTGGCCGAGATGCAGCTCGACGGAGTCATCGCTCTGAGTGGTCCGGGGCTGTGCGGCACGCTGAAAGAACAAACAGAGTGATTGATAACTCCGGACCGTTTGATGTCCTTACGAGAAAGATGTGAAGTCGCTGGTTGACTCATAGCCCGAATTGAACTGCGGGTACGGAAAGGTTTTGTCGGTGACGAGTGGCGATGTGTTGCTTCTCGGTATGAAGAGACGCTTGATTTCCGAGTCGCCAGGACTTGCCAACGTAATTTTCCTCTTGATTGGCTGCCGAGGATTTCTGCATATTGGCGAGACACTTCTGCAACTGATCGCACGTTAGATTTGATTACCATTACTTTTTTCAAGTGTCACCTTCCAAACTTCAGTTTCGCGTGTCTTGTTGGGCTTTGAGCCGGGCTTGGTCTTGGACTCGGACTATATGAGATATTGGGTCGAACCATTTGCTGTGTGGATGGCGAATAGCACTGCTTTATAAGGTCCGCTGGCAAACGAGTTGGACTCGGCGAGCAGCTATGCGGAATAAACGCGTTGGTAACGACGCTAATTGGCTCTCCAACCACGGTAGAAAATGATGGAGTTCTTCGGCGAAAGTCTGAATTTGGCGAGCGCTCCGGTTCGATGGCCATGTCGTCGAATCCACTGGAAACTACTTGCGACGCTTTTATTAGTCTTTCGTGAGCCGCCTGCAAGGTTATGGGTCATTTCCACACTTCAACGTCAGCTGGAGGTCCAGAGAACAGAAACGAACCTCGCTATCCACCGAGCAGCTGCTTTCACGTCTTATATTTGCAATTCGTCCGCGAGGGGCGTCGATTGCTCGAACGACAAACTTTTCATCGCTCTGGAATTGAAATCGATTAACAACTGGCAACTGTCGAAACAGCGCGCTCACTTTGTTGCTAACTTTCCGGGTCAGATCTGACTCATTCGAGTCTTCATCCTCTCCACTGGTCGAACCGCTGGGCGATCTCTTGCTCCGCTCACTGAAATAAATCGGATTACCAAACAATCTCGAAAAGTGGACGCACCGGAACTGTTTTATTTTCTCCGATGTCGTGTCTCTTAGGTTGAACCCATCAACACTGCTGCGACTCGAACATTCAGAATCTGGCACGTTTGTGCTGAAAGAAATGGATGGGTAGGACATTGGACGGTCCTGTTCCGAAGACGAGAGATCTGGACGTTGGAAGACGGAAGAGCTGAGTGGAGATTGAGCAAAATATCTGTAAAGAAATGTTTGCGTGGTGAATGTTTTGGGAATGTGACTCACGGAGAGTTGCGGAAGGCTTCTGACTGCTCGCTGATCATAGAGGAGATTGAGGTCGCCGGAGAGTTGGCCGGGGGTATATCCTCTCCTTGATTGAGAGTTGCTCCCAGTTTGACCGCGCCCGCGGGCAGATCTTTCGTGCCTCCGGAATCGTTCTGATTCATGGCAAAACCCCTGCAAACATAACGATTATACATGACGTTTCGCTGTGTACAATTCCAGAAAGATGGTTGTGTACAAGAATAAGAATACAAGAATGTGATGGGAGCCACTTTGAATGCGCCCCTTTCAGGGTGTCAGATGTATGCTTATGTAAGCTGAGCCGATGGAAGATCTTGGAAAACGGAAAAAATGAGAAGAGGGGAGAAAGGAAAAGGGAAATAAGAGAAAGGAGCGAATAGGAATAGGAATAGGCAACACTCGAGTAAAAAGGAGGGCAAAGGGGAAAAGGATGAGGGTGCATTGGAGAGGAGGTGGCTGTTTCGCTCTATAGAGAACCGGGGGGCAAAGGGGACGAGAGGCGAGGCGGGGGACGACGGGAGGCCAGGCAAAAAACACACAGGCAAAGACAGACACACACGCTCACCCACAGGACACTAGCGCACACAGAGGCGACGCACTCGCACACGCTCACACAGAGACACTCTCACTCACAGAAAGACGAACCAACAGACAGGCCGAATGGGAAGAGAGGCAAACGGAGCGATGTACCCTTTTCTTCTTCCTCTCTCTCTCTCTCTCTCTCTCTCTCTCTCTCTCTGTCACTCTCCCCCATACTCATAGAGGGGAAACCCGCCGATCCATCAGAACAACCACCCGGGGTTACATCGCAGTTTTTATGTTTGAGAAACGGATGGTTCAATGGTTCGTGAAGAGAAGAGGAACGTTTGGTGCGCGTGTGCTGTTCCCAAAAAAAAAGGCCGAACAAAAGAGTGGACAGACACTTCTAGCCAACAGAAAGTTGTGGGAATTGCTACGTTTCCCGACACTTGAAAAAATGACACTAATTGAATCCGATTTCTTTTCAGTTTCTTTTCTACTTCCTTTCCCTTTTCATCTTCTTCTTCTACTTTTGGCAAAATTTAATAAAAGAAGATAGAAGAAACGATAAAAAGATATGGGAGGTTACTTTCTGATGAAAAAAAAAGACAAGAGAAAGATAAATGAATTGCGCAAGGAACAGAACGCGACAATTCGACGACACAGGTTGTCGCCGATCGGAGAAGACGCCATTAATCCCAGCGACTGTTCGATGTCTTACTGCTTCTACCGTACTTGGATATTTAGAATATCTCTGGCCGAAAAGACAGACGATCTTGACAATGGGAAAGAGAGAGAGAGAGAGAGAGGATTGGGCTGCGACCGAAGGAAAGGAGTCTTGTTTTGGCCAGCCAGCGGCGGCAAGACAAGCCATCGCTGTGGGGAACGTTGTTTGTCGATCGGGCGTCCGACGTCTCTGGATCGTCCTTAATTCTTTCCCTTTAGCCTATTGCTTATCAGCAGACGGTTTGCAGATAGAGAGAGAGAGAGAGAAGTTAGAGTGTGAAAGCACGCAAAAGTATCCTACAATTTTGCAGCAGACAAGACAACAGGCAAATTTTTCGCATGCCTGTCAATCTGAAGTTTTGTTGATTATTGCGAGGAAGACTTGCAAGATTCCGGCCCTGAAGTTGCATATCGAACTAGTTTTTTGCAAAAGAATAAAAACACGTGCGGTAAACTTGCTAAAAGTAGGTGCTAGTGTTGCGTTCCATCGCTCTGCCAACTTTTTAAAAAAATTTTCAGAATTTCTTGCAGTGCCGGGTCAAAGAATTTTCAAACGAACTCACCGCAAAGAAGGCCTCCAAGGAAATGGTCGTTTCCACATTTCTCTTCGCTATATGAGAATAATCAGAAAAAAATTGGAGAAGAAGAAAGTGGTTGTGGCAGCAAAATTGAAAAAAAAAAGGGCTCCGAGCGAAGAATGTTTTAGCAGAGAGGGCACACGGCTCCTCGGTGTACAATATATCAATTGAGGGGGCACTCTGGCCTGAGCCACCCGGAATCTTTAAAGGTCCGAAAACGAGCAGCGGGAAAGTGGAATTGAACCTTTTCTGGGTTTGTGGGAAAGAGAGAGAGAGAGAAAGGGTTAAAACTTTCCCCTTTTTGACGAGGAGAGGAAATTGGGCGGAGAGGGTTCGGTTTTGACAGATGTGGAGAGAAGAAGCATTCTATGTCCTTTTTTGTTTCTTGGTAAATGAATCGGCTACGCGTTGCATAAAAGCCACTGACAGGCGCAAGAAATGCCATAAAAGCACTCCATCTTCTCTTTTTTGCTCAAACACGGCCTGATGATGCTGCTTATGATCGCGATTACGACGAAATGGAAAAGGAGCAGACGCCGATTTGCACATATTTGCATATCTGGTTGGCACTGAACAATTCATTCGATTTGTTCGCATTGGCCAATTGAACTGAAGGGGAAAAGAAGACGAATAACGGAAAGGGAATAGGAATAGGGCAAACGTGCGTTAACGATATTTATGTGCCGTAATCGAATTACATGCATTTGTTTGGTGCAATACGGACACATCAGTTTGTGGGGAGACGTACAATGACGGAGTTGGTCTTATCAGGTTGACCGACAGAAAGTCAGTCCCCGTCTAAAATTCATACTTGCGTGCATAGCTTGAATTACTTTTTAACGGAACTGACGTGGCCGAATAATCTTTGTGAATGTCTGACTCGCTTACCAGACTACCTACTGAAAAACTGTTTTTTTTTTCGTTCAAAACGTTCAACGTAACGTTCAAAAAAAGGTGGATCTAATGAGAATGCACTGGATTTCTTTCCTATAACAATATCTTGCACTTTCAGCACATTTTTTGTGTTTTAATAATAATACTTTTTGGCAGAAAAACAAGTGAAAAGTATGTTGATGTCAGACACACTATGCGTGTAAAAATCAAGATAAAATACGGTATCGGACATTTTTTTCCGCACCATTTGTACAAAACGGACGTCAAAGTGAAGGCCGTTTGAGAATTGGGAAATTCACCGCCAAAATGAATCATTTACCGCATAGAGATCGGCTGTACGGTAGGAAAAGGCGTTGTTGGAAGGAAGAGAGAAATGTTGATATTATTCTGATATTTTATGCATTAACATCACATACCCCCCAAAGTTGTTGTCATCAGGAGGAAGCCATCGCGACGAAAAAATATTATGTTTCGCATTTCTGTGCACTCTCTTCTTATCGCAGCCTCTCGCTCTCTTTGAATTGTGGTCAGAATCACAATTTCTGATCGATACGTGCCTACATCTTCTGTAGTTGTCTGGGACAATCCGATTAAATAACTAAACATGCAGTTCTGTCATGTCACCCACTCAAAAACGTCCACTTGTTGTGTTTTTGGCAAACAAAAACGCCCATATTAATCTGAGCGCGGCAGTTTTCGTTCGTCAAAATCGCTGATTCTCATGTGAATTGGCGAGGAGCTGGCCGTGGGGGGCTCCAAAGAAGTTACAAAGCAGCTTTTCGCCACTTTTCGCTATGGCTGTTGCCCCCGACAAAAGCGTTTTGTTGTTTTGTTAGTTTCCTCCTTGCTTTCGGCCAGATTCGACTGACTGACACGCGTGTTTTCGAGGCATGCGTGAGAAAAATATTTGCCCTCGAAGGCATTATGAGACCCCCTCTGGTCCGGGGCAAGGATTTTAATCGACAAGCGTCTTGGCTTGGCTCCTGCCTGCCAAAACGCGCCTTTATTTTATGTTGTTTTTTCTCCGAGAAAAGATTTGCCCCCTCTCTTTTCGTTCAAAGAATTTCGGACTTCTCAGTGTCACCATAGGATAATCTGTTCCCATTGAACATTTAGAAAAGACGGATTGAATAGTCTGAACCCTATTCCATCTGAAAAGCCTTTTATGTGCATTTTCTCTTGGCATTTCTGCCATTTCCTATTCGACTTGCTTTCCCTTTCTTTTTCTTTCCGCCCAGCTCCCGTTCTGAACAAAAGGACACACTAACTATTTCATTCTGGTCTTTTTCTTTTCAACTTGGAATGTGAATTTGGCGGCGGAGGAATAGGGGTGTACATGAGAATTAGCATGAAAAACATTATTTAGTAGTAGGAAACCAGCAAACCAGCAAAACAAACTTCACTTTCAGAAATGTTCGATTCGGAGCTACAAAAACCAGTTATTGTGTCTGAAAACAACATCGGCGGAACTGTCCAGCAACAGTTTAGTTCTGTGGTTGATGTTTTCAGGTAGAGATTCTAACCTCTTCACCCTCGTACCAAATTTTCAGACAAAACTTTGAAAAAGGTCTAGAAACGGCAGGCGCCTCTTTCGCTGTCTATCATAAAGACAGACTACTGATAAACCTATACGGAGGGGTGCGGAATGTGGAAAAAAAGCAACCGTGGGTGGAAGACACCACGTCGGTGATCTTTTCGACGACTAAGGCAAGTCTCAGGCGAAAGAGAAGTCGAGTAACATAAACCACACTTTTTAGAGCATATCAGCCGTCATCCTCGCATATACACTTGACAAACAAGATGGAAAAGTTGGATATGACACGAAGATAACGGATATTTGGCCAGAGTTTGGTCAGCACGGAAAAGAGAATATAACGATTTTGGATGCGGCGCTGCATCGGGTAAGCGAATAATATCACTAATTTCCCGCGATGATGATGCTTATTATTCTCGTAGGCCGGACTCGCTTACACAGAAGAGGTTTTGGAGAGAGAGGACATCATTAAACCGGACAAAATTTCAAAGTTCTTCGAGAAGGCCATTCCTATGACTAACGGCTCCGATGTCTTATACCATGCACTTACATTTGGGTGAACTTTCAAGTTTTCAAAAAGACAAAATAGTTGACTTACTTCTTCAGACTGCTTTTGGACCAAATTGTGCGAAGAGTGGATGAGAAGAAGAGAGGAATTGCTGAAATTCTTGAAGACGACTTTGTGAAAGTATACGGTAAGAGTGAAAACAAGACTAATTATATGTATGCATGAGCACGGCCCATGCGTAACTTGAGACGCATGCAGTAAACCGAAAGTGTCTGCCAATGGATAAAGGTTTCAGGTATCAAAAATCTCTCAATCGGGCTGAAATGTGAGACTCAAAATGAGAAAGTTGCAAAATTGACAGATCTGGACGAGGAGGAAGTGAGAAGACAAGGTTTGTGGAGGGTTTTGGGGACAAAATGGAAGAGGAAGAAGAAGAAGAAAAAGGAGGAGTGCATCATCATCATTTATAGGTTCTCTTAATCCGGAAGCTTTACGGAAATTCATGGCCGGGGATAACATCCACCACCAGAAGCTGTATTCCATATTTCCCTGGATTACAACAGATGATGTATGGTGGTGATTTGATCAGCTCAAAATAAAAACTTTTTTTTCCAGTACAATCTACTGCCTAATCGCCTTATTCCAATGCCTTCAAACATGGGAATCTCGAATGCAGAGGGATTGGCTCACTTCCATTCACTAGTCGCCAATAAGCAGATATTATCCGAGAAAGCGTACAAAATATTGGAAAGCCCAGTTTTGGAGCATGTTTATGATCACGCGATTGGATACGAAGAGAGCAAGGGATATGGATTTCAATACACTAAAAATCCAAAGGTATGTATACCAAGCATACCAAAGCAATCCTCAAAAACTGCAAGCTTTCAGGGACAATGGATATTCGGGCATTCAGGGTTCGGCGGACAGAATGTCAGGGTTGATGTGAATAATGGGCTCACGATTGCATATGTGTCGAATGGAATGAAAATCACTGATGCGGATATGGTGGAGTCATGGCGTAACCTTGTGCAGGAAGTCTATCGTGTGTTCTTTGGTCGTTAGAAAGATAATGGGATACGAAAATAATGTTTTTTGATTTAACACCACCAACTAGTTGTGCTTTAGAAATGGAATAAAAATGTTTAACTTCCGACCAACTTGCTTCACAATTCACCTGTTTTGAGCACAGGCACTGAGTCATGTTGAAATGAAATGCAGGCAGCTCGGAAACCTTTCATCTTCCTGAAAACTGAAATGCAACTTCAACACGGAAGTGAGGACAGACATATTTAATGAGATCCAATTATTTCACTGGAGCTCCTCACTAATTGGCCTGAGTCATTACGGATTACATTGAAACGAATCTCCACAAATTCCACATCTCTCCCAATCAATCCAGTCACATTTGCGAACGCAACGGACAGAAAACCTTTGACTCGTATGGCAGCGCTCCTCGCTTTTTCCGTTTTCCGTTGTCTCTCCAAAATGCGCTCTCTTTTCACCGCTCCGTCTCCGTCGGCCACGCATTCTGCATCTTCCCAGCTCCGTGAGCAGTTATCGACGAGTGCCGTCTTTTCCCCTTGTGTTTGAGCTAATAATTTGATGAGAATAGGTTTTTCCGCTCTTTTTCTCCTCATTTATCTTGTTTGTTCTAAAAATCTCTTGAGGTTATTTCAGTTTTGGCTCGTGATGGAATGTAATAATGGAGCAAATCAAAAGGAGAAAGGAAAAGAGAAAGAAAAAACAGAAGCGAAAACCATAGTTTTCACCCTTGATGCTAATTTTCATCGTGTCCGTGACATTGGATGGAACAACAAGTTGGTTCAGTTTCCAAAAGGAGGAATCTTGTGGTGAACTTTTGCTCGATGTGATGTAATTTGTACGAAAGATTTTTCTTTTTTCAGGGGCGTCCACCTCTCCAAGCAACAGACAGCTCAAAATATCGATTGCAAAGTCATCGCGTCGCTCCTTTGCTATGGGCCTATCAAGGAACATAGCCCCGAATGGTTCATCAACTTCGACCACGCATTCTCGCTCTCCTGTGGGCGCACAAGCTGCCCGTCACCAGTCAAAACGGCTACAAGCTTCAACCGTCGAAACCACGTAATTAGTACGGCTGAATGGGGCTCACGCAAGACTGCTTTGCCACAGAACTGGGGAACTAATGATAATGTGAAGCTGACTTGTCATCTATGCATCACTGAAACCGCTGGTTTCGATGAGAACGTTCTTAGAGAAGCTTCTTTTCTACCTTCGATTCCAAAAAAAGTGATTGAGCCAATCGTTCTTTTTAAAAACAAAGTTATGATTCAGGACGAGACACCATTGACATCTGCCCAAATTGAGGGACAAGTAATGGCGTGTTTCAGTGAAATGATGGTGGAAGAAGACATTCAGTACACCCGTACGCTTCGTGCTAGACATACTCTTATTAAAAAGTTGTTATTCCAGAAGAGGCGCTTGCGGCCGTCGAGAAATTGGCGAAATTCTTCTGCTATCCCAGAGTGCTCGACATCTGCAAGAGATATCTCATGAAGATGCAGAATGCAATGACCACTAGCGAAATTGAAGAGGAGCAGGCACGTCCTTTCCGATCGGTGAATCAAAAGTGACAACTTTGACTTTACTCAAACTTTTTCAGAGCATCAATCTTTGCGGCTTTGACTATCCAGGAAACACACTATCTCGCAAGATGCGGATGAAGAACTTGAGCGAAGAAGACGTCATTGCCATGTTCCGTCATCTCTGCCTTGTTGCATTCAAGAAACACTAAAATGTTCAGTTCATTCAGTTTTCGACCCTTCCAGAACATATTTTTGGTACCACACGCATATTCTTTCTCGAACCCGCTGATAGAATAGTTCCGATTTCGCCCACATTAACAGCTTTGTCCCAAAAAGTGCTGTGTTATTATTTAAAACAAGAACAAATAAATTTTTTCTGATGCATTTCTTGCTGATTCCGTCGTTGTCAGCTGAACATGACTCATTCATACGACCGAAAAGTTAGACAAAACCGGGAGATCAATGAAATCTGTTGATCACATGCTATTCGATGACTCATTTTCCAAAAAGTTTCCGTTCCGATTTCAAAAGTCCGTATTGTTTTTGTTCGCGAGCGCCCATTCTCTCATTTCCTCAGCTTTTTGTTGAATAGTGTGCGCGTCAGCGTTTCTCTCAAGAGGAAACCGTAATTTTTTCGATGCTAAAAAGTGCACGCTATTTCTTGGTTTTTACGATTTTTAGTAACAAAATCCTGGTCTGTGATGTAACAGACAGGAAAGAAAGATCAGCAGACTTATTATCAGTTGAACGAGCTCCTAATACCGGCGAAATTTGTATTATATTGGATGACTCATCTTCCAGAAGGTTTCTGTTCTGATTTCAAAAGCCCGCATTGTTTTCGTTCGCGAACGCCCATTCTCTCATTTCCTCAGCGTTGCCACCGAACATCGAACGGGTCCCTGCTGTGCAGAGGAAACCGTAACTTTTTATCGTACCATCCTGATGTTTTAGTGAAAAAAACCTATTCTGTGATGTAAAAACGGAAAAAACCATCTGCTGAATAACCTTATTTCTCAGTTACTGATTACCAGGATTACCAGTTGGACATGTTCCAAATAAGTTTGACGAAACCGTAAGATTTCTCAAAAACAGACCAAAAACCGGGAGATCAATGAAATCTGTTGATCACATGCTATTTGGTGACTCATCTTCCAGAAGGTTTCCGTTCCGATTTCAAAAGTCCGTATTGTTTTCGTTCGCGGACGCCCATTCTCTCATTTCCTCAGCTTTTTGTTGAATAGTGTGCGCGTCAGCGTTTCTCTCAAGAGGAAACCGTCATTTTTTCCAATACATTTTAATAATTGCTCGCGATGTTAGCCAGTGTAGATTTTTCCTCCGTTTTCAATTTTTTTTAGATAAAAAACCTATTCTGCAATGTAAAAAAAAGAAAGAAATATCAGGTGGATAACCTCTTTTCTCATTCACTCATTACCAGTTAAACAAGCCTCAAAGAGCGGCAAAGTTCGACAAGACTGTGAGAACTCGAAAGTATATCAAAATTCAAAATTTGTGAAATCAAAAGATTCCGTTGATCACATGATATTTGGTGACTCATCTTCCAGAAGGTTTCCGTTCCGATTTCAAAAGTCCGTATTGTTTTCCTTCGCGAAGGAACATTCACTCCTTCTCTTAGTTTTCCACCGACTATCGTCTGCTTCATCCCTTCCGTAAACAGGAAATTGTAACTTTTGCAAAATTTTTATTCAGCTCTTGTTTCGTCTAATTTACTACTGCCGAGCTGCCTGTAAGAGTTGCATAACCGTCTCGGGCAAAACCGCGCAATTTTTCGGTCGATCCGTCCGGACCTTTTTAAGCGCCACGAGCTGCAGCGATCATCGTTTACTCGTAACAAGACCCCCCCCCCCCAACCTTCAGCAGCGCTTTCGACAAGATCAGCGACTCCTCAGTATTAGACAGTCTCCCCGCCATCCAAGACGAGCTTCCAACTCGAAAAAAGCTCCGATGGGCAGGAAACGTGGCGCGACTCAACAACGACAGATAGGCTAGAGTCGTCACTGAATGACAACCGAACGGTCGCAGAAGTAGAGAACGCCCAGAAAGCAATGGTTGGACGACGTGAGAACAGCTCTAAAGTCACACATTGACTCCTTGGCTAGAGCGGACAAAATCGTCGAAAGAAGAAGAAAAGGAGGAATTCTGATCCCAAACACAGCCTGGACCTCAGCAAGGCTGCTCTCGCTCATTATCAGTTAAACAAGCTTCCAGCAAATCCGTGAGAATTATCGAAACTAGATCAAAATTTGTGAAATCGATGGATTCTGCTGATCACATGCTATTTGATGACTCATCTTCCAAAAGGTGTCTGTTCCGATTTCAAAATTACGAATTGTTTTCTTTCGCGAACGCCCACTCACTTCTTTTCTCAGCGTTGTCATCGAATATCGTGCGCTTTATGCTTTCCGTAAAAACGAAACCGTAACCTTTGCTAAAAATTCAATCAACTATTTTTTCAGCCACTTGTCGTTCAATTTTCCGTTCAACATGCCCAAACAACGGAAAATTAAGCTGAAACCGGGAGAGCTCACCAGAATTAATCGAGCATTGCAAAATCCAGCAATTCAAGTTGATGTCAGGTAAAACAAATGTTTTATGGAAAAATCTAGAAAAGTTCTAAAAAAAATTATCTCCCCAAAATATTTACCTAAGACTTCAGACCTTCTAATTATTTTTCATAGCGAACATCGCTTTACTCATCTTTTCTTTTTCACTCGTCCCAACAACAATAAAAGAGGCGCATTCTCAGTGCTCAGCGCTGTTTGCCCAGTGGCCGACCGGCGTGTTGTATTCCCCTTTATTACACCCACACCCACCATCTGTTCGAATACAACAATCCGTTTCGTCCGCTGGGTGCGCAGAGTTTATCCGCGCATGTCGATTTACGCAGCTGTTTTGTTCGTCTAATTCGCTCAAAAAAACCAATATAATGCACTATTCGCACTGTTAAAAAACAAAATGATGACTCTCGATAGGAAAAATTCGCTGCATACGAGGAACGCCGACAACAACCGGCCGTTTGTGAAGTTACGGAGCAAGTGAGTGAAAATTTCCATGTTTCCACAATTTTTCAATCAATTTTTCAGGATGTCTGCCGCGGATCTTCGCAGAAATCCAAATAACATCTTGGTGTTGAGCCAATTGCCAACCGAAGGGAACGGACAAGACGTGGACCCTGCGTTGGCAAAGAAGGTAATCAATAAGTGTTACACCCACATATCTGACATCTTCTTTCTATTGCAGGAGGATTTCACGGAGCCGGTACCTCCAACTGACGTGGAAGGACTCTTGGAACAACGCAGAACCTGCCTTCTTTACTCGATCTCGTCTCCAAAGTCTTCCAAGTCGTGAGTTTTGATCTGAGAGGCTGCCAGACCAGGAAAACGTTTCAGAATTGTCGAGTACGTGTCAGACGACGTGGAAGTGAAGACTATTCGTCAAGACGGGCTCTTCAATTATAACTACACAACAGTCCCCAGGTACGAGTCAGGAACCTTATTTCAGAAACCTTTTTCCACATAACTTGCTTACAGAATTAGAAACAATGTCCGTGACATCTGTGCGTTCTACAGTGATGATTTCTCAGTCATCAATAGAAAGTGGGTTTGGTTCAAAAAGTTCTATGAAACTATGTACTCTACTTTCAGAAACGCACAATTTGGAACCGAATCCACCAAAGAACGCTGGGACATGGAGAAATTGACCGCCCTTCGTTATTTCCGTCCACAGATGTTCAATAACGGAATTCGAGTCGTGTATAGAGATCCGAGCACGGTTTCTATGGATGACACAATTATCGAGATCACTGATCCGAAAAAGTCCGCATCCGAACAGTTTCATGGTTTGCGAAGGCCAATGTAACGCTACGGCAAACTAAAATTGCAGTTTCATCGCTGAAGAAGTCTGCCATCGACAAGAACACCCTGCTCTACTCTATGCTCGCCAAAAACCGTATTAATCATTTCATGAACTGCATCAATGTAGAGGAGAAACCGTGGAAGTGGGAGAAGAGAGGAGTTCCGAGCATTCCAGAACCAGAAGAATCACCGAAACTTTTTGTCAAAGTGGAAAAGGTAATAGAAAAAGATGAATAGAATTTCACTAGAGCTCTCTGTATTTAGGCCAGTGTCACTCCGTTCATCGAACCGCTCTTTGTGTCGATGGCAATCTACGACCTCTACGCAAAACAGAAAGTCACTGAGTCGGTGTACTTCAACATTGTTGATGATGACAAGATGGACATGCTCGGAGCTAATCAGCCCAACTTCATCAACAAGTACATAAAATCCGGTGTGACACTCTTGTGACCCAATTTTCTTTCAGAAACTTACAAGCGCTGTTCAACATCACAGGCAACTTGTCGGACATGTTTCTGGTCGTCAAAGTTGACAAAGTGCTTCAACAAGTGGATGTGTTCAGTGGAAGCGAGCCGTACACAGGAACTAAAGATGAGAAGTATCTGGAGAAGATGAGAGTGACGGCGGAGTATTTCTGCCAGAAACTTGGTAACAATCGCTAGTTGACTTTCCAAAAAACTCAACACTTTGCACTTCAGGTTCCTACCGGACTCCTCTCGGATTCCAAGTGATCGACCTTCAACGCATCTCCTGCTCCACTGTCAACTCCCAGGGTTCGGATAAAAAGACGGATACGATGACCGCCTCACAGTGTACCGTCAACACTGGTATTGTGCTAACGCGTAAGTTCCTATTTGAAATTTTGGTACTAATACCCGGGCCGACCAACGAGAAGTGACAACAAGTGGTTTTGTTTCAGCTGCCGGACAAATACCGGAGGACCGCGTCAGTATCACGAGTGCGGACAGATCATCGGTGTCATCCGTGCAAAATGCTCTTCGTCGGATGGGCAGCGCGACTTCCACGTCAGCCATGTTCAAAATTGTACGCACGCCGTTGACAAAAAGGAAATTTGCAAACGGTGAGCACGTTTGCTTCTCACTCAAATTCACACAGACATATTCAGCCGACGCAGTCTTGCCTGCCAGTAAGGATATTCGTGAATCTCTAGACGAAATGCCGTCCTGCAATGTGAACATCAGCACGTTTTTCCGATTGGAGAATGACAAGACATCGGAAGATGAAATTTACAAAGTTTGTCAAGAAAGTCGCAGAAATCACGGAAAAGTGAACAGAAAGGTGTTCAATCTTGAATTGGAGTTGACAATATCGGGTACACGATATCTTGAAAATGACAAAGCTGAACGAATTCCTTTAGGTTCCCACAAAAGCAAAGAGTATAGACAGCACGGAAGCGATTTGACCCTCAGCAAAGACATTGCCATCCACGAGGCGGTTGAGATTGCGAAATATAAGCACACTTTGAACAAGTCGTACAAGAACATGTTGTTCATCTATCCGAAAGAAATTGCCCTTTCAAACAAAATTGAAAAGGGTAGAAACCTGATGATCAAAGTATGAACAACTGTAAATTTTGACGTGTTCATCAAAATGTTTTAGATGGAAGTTCTTAACAAAAACGGAGAAGCGCAAGCGGTATTCGTGGAGCAAGGCGGTACGGCAAATCTGCTGAAATCGGTCAAAACGTCTGTTCTCTACCACAGCAAGTAAGATTTGTCGTAGAGAGTGCTCATAAAACGTTCAAACTTTCCAGAAATCCACATTTCACCGACGAAATCAAGGTTATGCTGCCATGCGACTTGCGTCCAGGCCATCATGTTCTTCTCACAATCTTCCACGTTCCTTGCAAAGATGGAAAGTTCACAGAAACTGTTGTGGGATACACAGTAAGTTGCAATTTAAAATGCTCCTTATATTTAACATCACCATCTTCAGTGGATGCCTCTCATCCAAAGCGGATCGCTTTTGAGCGGCGACTTACAGTTGCCGGTCGTGTTCCGAAAACCGAGGGACATCTTACCAAGCTACGGATTGTATTACCCTCACAACTCAATTGCACATGAGGAATTTAACAATTCATTTGTGTACTGCTCAGCGAGAGTGATTACGACTGTTCATCCTCAAGATGGTCATCTGATTGAATTCTTGAACGGAGTCGCGAGTCTGAGTTTGTATCACAAATTGCCAATTATCGAAGAAAAACTGATAAAGGCAATCAATGTGAGACAATTTGCAGAGAAACCGAATCTGTTTTCCTTTCTTTTCAGAATCTCCTAATGGCCGAGCCGGCTAAGCTCATCGAATTTGCTCATTTCATCCTAAGCCGCCTCCTCTTTCTGATCGCGAATCCACCGTACACGGATGTGTTGTCGATGAAAGCATTCGAGTGCCTATGTAACGTTTTCAAAGTCTTCTCGAAAATGCTGGATTCGGACATCGATTTGCACAACCGCAGCATGATTCTGGCTTCGTTTATCAAGTATCGCAAGATTGCAGCGCAAGGTGAGAGAAATAATAAGAATCCGTGTCTTACAAGTTGTTTCAGAATCGAAGCCGCATTCCAGTCTCCGCAATAAAACGAAGCAAATTGATGGTGATCAGAGGTTGAACACCAGTGACAACACTCTTTTGAACAGTGTGATTGAACACGTGGAACGAACTCCGTCTTCCACAAATGTTACCGTCACAAATGTGAGACTTCATGAGAGCATTCTCGAGATTTGGCTGCGGGCGAGTGGAAATGTGAGAGAAGACGCGATAGTTCACTGTTGGTTCTTCTTGGAAGTCTTGGTGAGTTGAAAACCCACTACTTTTCTCATCGCCAGAGTATGTGTGTTCAGTTGAAATCCTGCTCGGAGCACTTGACTATGACCGGACGAATTCATTCATCGCGAAAAACTCGATTTGAAGAAGGATTCCTGAAGAATGTGGAAACGCTTGTCGCTCTTCTCGCTCAAGAAGTTTGCAATCGTGTCGAGAAGGAATTCGAGAACGCCAGACAAATTTCGAACTCCCTCGGATACTTCTTGAGGGATTGCTTCTCTATCATGGATCGGACATTTGTGATGAAACTGATTCACACGTATGCGGCTGCGTTGTCAGAGAAATCAAAGTGAGTGCTGTGCCGCGGTTCTGCGTAATCTTGCTGTTTTCAGATCGTTGAAAGAGCAGTCGAATTGCAATAAACTACTGTCCATCAAGATTGAGTTCGTAAGAGTCGTCTGTTCTTATGAACACTACCTGATTGTGAACATTCTGACTGATGTGGAGCCGCCAGTCGAAGGTGCGCCCACAGGGGCCACCCCTCCCCTGTCCTCCCTGGTCGGAAGCAGACACAAAAAGTAATTGAGCCCGATATCAATTGAATCAAAACTATGTATTTTTATTTCAGGAACACAGCTGCAAGCTGGATTCTGACTGACACTTCGAGATCAACGCATTACCTCTCTGGCCTGGTGCTAACCAATGTTAACGACGCGATCACATCCGGAAGCGCTATAATCTGCGCAAAGTATGTTGAAAACAAAAACAAGCTCGACGCCGCCTGAAGCAAATATCAACATCTTAGAAATCGCAACGATGACAACAATTTTTCACATTTTCAGAGCAATCGAAACACTTAAAGAGCTACTACAATCGCACGAATTGGACAGCCGAATTGCTGACGGAGAGTCTGCTGCGCAAGTGGCGAACATCTACAAGCCATTCGTTGGAATCGTGCTCGACAACATGGATTGTCTTTTCTCGGATCCTATGCGAAACTCCGTCGACGTTGCATCCATCGTCTCCGCCGAGCAGGCGGCGAAACAAGAAGTCAAACTGCAAATGGACTTGTCCACGACCAAAAAGGCGTTATGCTGCATGTACTGGGTGCTCAACCACATCTACCGTACGGATTTACAAGACTGGCTGAGAGCATTCGACGAGCAACACATGTTGAAGTTACTGTATCTCCTTCAATACACAATGTCAACTTTTGAGATAAAGGACGAACGAGACGTAGTTTCCAAGGTTTGTAAAGTGTCGAATGTAATTGAAGACAATTTCCAAATATTCAGTGCTCTTCCGACAGGACATCTCTCACTAAACTCGATGAGGAACCAGAAGCAGGGGAGGTCAAGTGGAGACCTGTCAGTGTGGATACGCAGCCCGGATATCTTTTATCCGCATTCGAACCGATATCTTGTGATGCCGCCGTCTCTTGTGAGGTGTTCATGTGCGTTGTCGAGATAATCGATCACATCATCGAGTTGTCCATCGAATCTAAGAATCCTCAATTTCCAATTTTGAGAAATGTGCTCTTCATAATTGTAAGTTATTTGAATACCACAAATTTGCAGACTTGCAGACGGCCGATTTGTGCCAATCGTGAAATTCTCCGGCCGGTCGCGGCAAGCACCAACGTGGTCCAAAATTTTGTATGAAAGTGGCAAATCGCAACGATCGCAACACTGACACTCATTTTTTTCAACTTTACCGCACGCGTTTCTATATTTTTCTCGAAAAAATTGATTCAAAGTGAAGCATCCGGGCCGAGCCGGACTAGCTTCATGCATATTGAAAATTTGGAGAAAAGCACAATCTTGTTCAGATGCACGGACTCTCCTGCAACGTCTCCGACCAAGCCCTCGAAGTGCTTTTTGCTGTTCAACAGAGCTTTTTCACAAAGTTCCCCGCGATGATTCTGAATCAAAAGCCGGATTTATGTAAAGAACTCTTGCTAAAGATTCTGCGTCATTGCTCTACGACGAAACTGGAGAGCGTTAGAACGATGGCGAGCATCAGCTTGTACCATTATCTTCGAGAAAACTTTAAACGCTATAAGAATCTGACTAGAGCCCGCGCGTTTCTGTCAACTGCGCTGTCCGAAGTTCTTTCCAGTCTTTCTGACGACAAGTTCAATGTCAACGACGAGCTTATGGTCAAAAGTCTGGAGGTTCGCTACTTTCTTTTGCTCATTCCCATGAAATTGATTCAGATTGTCAACCGGCTTGCCGCCGAAGACGACACGTTTGAAACAGGAACTCGAACGACATTAACGAAACAAGTGAAAGAACTGAACGCAATCATGAAGAAAATCATGCAGAGCACGGTGCGTTTGCGGGAACACGTCGGCGACTACGAGATGTCAGTAGATTTGATGTGTCTTCTGGTGGAAGGCTACTCTAACAACCCGGACCTCAGGTAATCATTATCAAATGAGCATTTTAAAATGTCACAAATATTTCATTTCAGACTCACGTGGCTGATGCACATTGCAAAGACTCACGAGGGAAGAAATATGCCTTGTGAAGCAGCCCACACATATATTCAGGCTTGTGCTCTTTTCTTTGAGTATCAAGACCAGCAGAAAAAAAGCATATTTGGGTCAAAGGGCGGAGCCATACTTTCCCAAATTACTTCGAACGCAATAAAAGAATCCATCGCGAATTTTGATTCGCTCAGAGAGTGAGTATGAAGCGGTCTTATTTGACTGGTTATTCAAAACAATCTTGTTTTCAGTGAAGAGACCGGTCAAATCCAGTCGCACCAGTTCTCAGAAAATAGTTTTCTTGAAATTCTAAATAAATCTTTCGATTACCTGGAAGAGGCTAAACTGTATGAGGTCATGTACGATTTTTCGCAGGTGAGTACGGTGCAGGTTTGTTCATTACTCAACCATCATCATTGCAGATACTTATCGAATATTATTACAAGAAAAACATTATGGGGAAAGTAGAGGGCATCTTCGCACGTGTGACCAACGCTATGGGTCAAATGAAAGAGGGCGATCCATTCTACGAGAGTCAATCGGACGCCTGGATGTCGCCGATGCCAGGAATCGAGAAACGCTGCTTTGGCGTCTACTTTCGTGTAGCGTTTTTTGGAAATTTGTTTCAAAGTCTGAATAACCAAGAATATGTGTACAAAGTAAGCAACAGAAACTTTGCAGTTTAATCGATCAACTTTTCAGGAGCCAGCGTTTGCAAAATTGCATGAGGTGGCGGGCAGATTAGAAGGGTTCTACACAAAAATGTTTGGTGAAGACAAGCTGATCATATTAAAAGATTCCAAAGAAGTGGACATTAGCACGTTGAAGCCTGACAAAGCATACGTCCAAATTACGTTTGTTGACGTCTTCTTGTCCAATGACGAGAAGATGGAACGTCAAAAGCACTTCGAGAGACGGAACAACGTCAATCGATTTTATTTCGAAACACCGTACACCAGACAGGGCGAGGCCCGAGGAGATATCGCATCGCAGTGCAAAAAGAGAACTATTTTGACTGTCGAAAATTTGTGAGTCTCCCACTAACTATTCCAAACAATTCTGCTTTTCTTACAGCTTCCCCTACATAAAAACGCGTCTCCCGGTGATCAGCCAAACCGTCGTGGACCTATCCCCGATTGAAGTCGCCATCGATGATATTGACAAGAAGACTTGTGAGCTGGCAGCGGCTATCATGCGCAAAAACGTGAAAATTCTGACGATGCTGGTGCAAGGCGCGATGGGAACGACCGTGAATCAGGGTCCATTGCAAGTAGGCTAATTAACACGTAAAGTTGTATCGTTCCGCCAATTATGAGCAAAGTTTTTGTAATATTTTCAATTTTATGGAAATTTTCCGACAAAATCAAGGCTTGCTGGACCGGGCCCGTTGTTCCTCACAAGTTTGTTTTTGTTTCAGATTGCAAATGTGTTCCTCATGGAGCCAATGACGAATGAGCGAGGCCGACCGATCGATCCTCTGCAAAACCGATTGCGCCTCTCGTTTATCCATCTACAGAGCCGAGTTCGGGAAGCCATTGAGCTTTTGCGCAAGTTGGTCGGAGAGGAGCATAAAGATTATCAAGAGAGTATGGAGAGTAATTTTGAAACATTTGTGACCGAGCTGAAGCCAAAACTGTCTAGACCCAAAGATGATATCACAATTTCCGAATTCGGTGATCCGACGATTGTATAAAAAGAAAAAACTATCCCTTCCTTCCCCGCCCCTCTCTCAATTAACCTCTCTTTCACTTTAAGCTTTATGTTGTACGACTTTACCACCAACCACCACACAAAAATCTCGTTTCTCGTTTTTTTTTCTTCCTTCATTGTAAAATTCGGATCCACACATGATACTTGTATTTGCCGCCCATCCCAACTGTAAGAACATTTGTTTGTCAGAATGAAAAAGCGTTTATGATTGATCAAAATGATGTGGAAAGTCACACGCACACACACACACACAAACTGCCTTGTTGGAAGACGGTGGTGTGGTGTGATAAACTTTTACGAGCGCCTCCTGTGCCCGTGGCGCTCTAGTCACATGCTCGCTCCGATTGACGTTCTCCTGTTTGTTTGCACTTTGCCTTGCCTTAAACCTTTTTCTGATAATGTTACATCAAACCCGGACACACAAATAATCCCGTCCCGTGTTCCTGGATCGTCCAACGAACACCTGTGACTCGGATTTTGTTTGCTCCTCACCAACAAACACCCCCGAGATTTTCTCTCTTCGGCTTTTTGAGCTGATTGAGAAGAGCAACCTTATGAATCAGTTGTCAGGTGTACTTCTCTTGTTATGCTCCGCATTTTTCATCTTGAAACGTTTCTCTGAGCGGTGAGAACGTGAAAAACGGGTGAACACATGACAGGATCCCTTTTTGCAAGTTGCGGTGCTTCCTCTTTTTCTCCAGATTTTCTTCTCTTCCACGTCCCGCAAATTGTCTTCTTATCAGTGGCTGATGTGCCCGGTGCCCCGCGTTTTACTTTACACAAGACAAAACGAAAAGAACGGGATTTTTTGTGCGAGAAACGTTTCGTTTGAAACCCGAAGCCATCCTTCTAGGCTTCTCCGTCTTTTTCTATATCACCTTCTCTTTTCGTTTTCTGCTTTCTTTGCGACTCAAAAATCACGATTGATATGAAGCGGGGTATTGAAAGACTGACAAGAATAGAATAGGTTCGCTTTCTCCTTCTCCATTATCAGTGCGCAGTATTTTGTTTACGCTCCGGCCAACATCTGATTGTTTCTTTTTGTCCCAACGACCTTTCCTTTGTCCTTCTCCGATTAATTCCTCCCTTGCACTTCCCGATTAGAACGCTGTGAATGAATCATTGCAACATTTCTCCCAGCCGACACGCCCACTTCCTCCCCCCGAGACGCACTGGTCTCGACTGGAAAACTTTTTCGAAATCGAAATCAAAATCGTCTGATCGCCTCCTTGAACTTTCTGATGTAAACGCACCTCGCTCTGCCAAATAATTTCTGCAAAAGTGTTGTTTTCGCCCGTATCACTCCCATGACCAACAAGTTTCGTGCGCATTCCCTGTCGGCGCACTTGAAAGTTCTCTCCGCTTATTGCCGCCAAAAAAAAAATCCGAAACCGAAGCCGTCGCTCTCTTTGAGAGAGTGATACTATTGAAAAAACAGTGTCATGCGATAAAATCTCACCGCCGGCGTCGACCCCAGGCCCTCGGCCGTCGATGACCTTCTTCCTCCTTCAGTGGCGAGCGCTCACGGCCAGACTCACACTCTTCGATTGCGCGTGCGTAGTGGGCGCTCGTTCACCTTATTGCGAGCGTGCGGCGCACGCAGAAACAAGCGCGAAATTTTAGCATTCGTGGTGGCGGCCCCCCCCGCTTTGCCCGGCCGGCCCGATCATCGACGACGGCGATCGACGCAGGCCACGTTGATGCATGTGAAAATCAATGTTATTTCCGTTTTTCTCTCGGTTTCTATCAATATCGTATTTGGGCCCCGCGGGTTGCTGCTTGCCACCTCCCTTTCTTCCTTTCTCTCGATCGACTCCACTTCTCCTTGTTATTTCGATTTCTACAACCCCCTCCCCTCCTCTTCTTTCTCGATTGACCGTGTTATCATTTCATTTCTGCCATCCGAACTCTACTAACTCTGCTGCTTTCAGGGGGAATGGCGGATATTGCGACCAAAATCCCAGATGCAAGTAGGTTCCCTTTCGCGGCAGAGTGCCCATCGATCTGCCGGGTGTCTCATCGCTCACTATTTCAGACTGGGTTCGTCTCGAAATTGAGCCTGTCCAAGTGAGTCATGACGGCGACACCACGCTGAACTTCGCCACTGTCCAATCGGTGGTCCCAGGCGCTCACGGACTCTACTATCGAGATGAGGGCGAGAGAAAAGCTCTTCTGTAAGTGAAGTGTTGTCCTTGATAGTGTCAACAGTGATACTCATCACAATAAACGGTTCGATGCATTACTAATTCGTCCTGGGCAGGCGCGTCGCTTTGTTTTCCGTGCGCACTACAACAATCGAATCGGGCGCTCGCGTGTTCTGTTCGATCAAAAACCTCTCTATCCTTCGCAAACGTGAAAATCTTTTTCTTTCACCGCCAGGTTGAAATACGACGTGTCTAATCGAATGTGATAGGTCAATGTAAACAATTTTTCCAAAATTAGTTGGCAACGATAATCCCAACCGGTTTCGCGCATGTACATGATTAGTGATAAATGACACGGGACTGTCTCGGCTATCCTTCAATGTTTATACTTTTAAGGTTTGACAACAACACCGGAAAAGTGTACCCGCCGCCGAATGGATGGGAATCGGTGCCGATTTACATTCACTTGGGTAATAGAACAGAATCATCAATCTTTTTCCGCACTTGGATGCGAGAACCATAAATTTTGGACAGTGTCTAATTCAATTCGTCCCCATCTTGCAGCACACGGATCACGCCACGGAACCCACTTCGCCGACTACTCAAAGGCCAACGACGCGTTCGAAAGAAACATTTCGGCTGTTCAAAAGCTTTTCGGTAATTGTTTTTGACACAGATACGTGGCTACAAGGACGCTGCTGAACTCCCGGGGCGCGCGCGACGAGCGGCTGTGTAAACTTGCAAAGTATCGAGAACGTTTCTCTGTTCGCATTTGTGACGGACGACTGACATTTTGACATTGTGTTGAGATTACAGCAAGAGAAATGATTTTCAGCTGCGGCGGGACTCGGAGGCAAAACGAGCAAGGTGTACGCGACAGGAAAGACTCGTGCTCGAAGCACATCCAAGAAGAATCAGCCGAGAAGTCAGTTTGACGCGCAGCCAGAAAACGTGAACATCAGCGAGGAAAGCGAAGGCAGGGACTCCGAGAAGGAGAAGACCGACAAGCAAGTGGAGAAGCTGAAGAACAGAAATGACGAACTTAAGATTAGGTCAGAATTATTGGGGTGCAAATTTTGTCGAAGTTGTTAAGTTTCAGAGTTAAAGAGTACAAATCGGATCTCTCAACTGCTCAGCTTAAGATTAAGAATCTTGAGAAAGAGCTGGAGGCCGTGAAATCCTCCTCTTACTTCGATGAGTCTGGAGAAAAGTTCGTCCGCATCGACTCCGAGTTGGACGAGAAGAGATCGCAGGATCAAGACGAGGAGATCAAGTAAGAAATAGCTGAGACTTCCCAACCCGTGCCACCTAAGAATTTCCAGCAATCTGCACAACGTGATCGAGGAGCTGCGCACCAAGCTCGCTTTCGTCGAGAGCGGCAAGAAGGAGCTTGAGAGTAAGTTCTCGGAGAACCAGGAGTACCTGAAGAACGCCAAGGACAAGGTCAGCTATCTGGAGAATCAGCTGAACTCGGACGCCCACGAGGAAGTGAAGAGCACTGCCGTCCGTGCTCTCGAGGTCAAGCTCACGCTGGCCAACAACTCGTTCCGCCAGGTGGAGGCCGAGAAGCAGAAGCTGCAGGAGGCCAACTGGTACGCCAACGAACGTCTGAGCAAACTGGAGCAGGAGAACGGATACTTGAAGGGCATTACCGAGCAGTTGAAGTAAAAACTTGACCTTTCACTTCAAACGGCAATACTTTGCTTTCAGGGCTCGCGCGGACACCTCGCATTCGGAGAAATTGCTCAAAGAAAGCGAGAAGCGTGTGTGGGAGATCAACGAGGAGAAGAGCAAGCTCGAGTGGCGACTCGGCGAGCTCTCACAGTGGTGGAACGACGCGAAATGGAAAATTGGAGAGCTGGAATCCTCCGTGGCGCAACAGAGAAATTTGCTGGACACGGCAAACGTGAAGATTCAATGTCTTAACGATCAGTAAGTGGTTTTGCCCTCGTAAAGCACCAGCACATGCACATAATTCTTTCCAAATCGCACATTTGTTCAGGTTAATACAGGAAGTGAGGTGAGAGGTTCATGTAGTGTGTCTGTTGAATGTAGAGGACACTTACCTCTTGTCAGCTGCAAATGTCGTCTCAAGATGTGCATACTAACCATGACACCCGAGAGTTACTATCTCACATTTCGGCTTTCATTCTTCGGTTTTTGCATACAAGAACTCAAAATTTCATTTTCAGGAGCAACTCCAGCACTTTTTCCATTCCAACCGACGGATTCACCATTAGCCAGAGCAACCAGGGAACTTGGCAACTTGCAAAGTAAGTCAGAACGCAGATATTCTCTCAAATAGTATTTATTTTCAGCGGAACTGCTCAGCCCTGCTTCACTGGAGCCATCCCATCGATCCCACTCGTTCCAACTTTCGCCGGAGCCAACCCATTCCTTTTCGGAGCTTCTAATGACGGCAGAAATGTCACCTTGACTATTGGCGACCAAGAACAAGACGTGTATTTGACGGTAGCCAGCTTACGGTCCTGTTGTTGACACTTTCACAACGTTTCAGGGCTCGTTCATCAACTGGAAGTGCACTCTCAAGTGCGAGAAGTTGGTCAGCGGAAAGAAGGGAGTTACTGTTAACCTGACGCGTGGAAGGTAGCGGAACATTTGAAAATATTTTGCTCAAGGTGTTAGTATTTGCAGACACGAGTTCCGCTTCATGATCAACGGCGAGTGGGCGACGTCGAACGACTACCAACAGGTGCCCAACGGCTTGGGCGGACAGAACAACATCATTTTCGTCGAATAAGCATTGCGGATAACTCACTTGGTTTTCTCCTCCCTTCATTTCTTTTCCATTTCTTTTCCCTTCCCCTCAACTATCTTTACTTTCCATCCAAATTGCAGTTAACCGGACCAATCGCAGTTTCTTGTGTGTTCACTAGTTGTGTCTAGACGAATGTTAAGATTCTGAACCTTTTCGGTACTTTGGCATCAGCCATCATGTTAATAAATATTCTCTGGAAGATTTTTGTGATTCAGTGCCGGTCGGACCACTGCTCAGAAAGCTTGGAAGCCAAAACGCTATAATGAATTGTTTGCTTACAAAATTGACTTCTTTCTTTTAAATTAGCTATGGCAAGCCAAGAAACGTAATTTACTCACCTAAAATTCAAAATTTCGTCTCAGAAATCCAGTTTTGAAATTTCAGTACAAAAACCGGTCCTTCAAGATTCTCGACTGTCACAGTGATGATGAAGAAAAACCCAAAAGCAGCAGCATTTTGCGGAATATTATAACCCCATAACTTGAGTTTTGCCTCAAAAGGCCCGAAAGTTCTCGAAAATGTCCGGAAAACCTTTTCGCACACTCTTTTCGCACGATTTTTGCATGGGAATATGCCCAGTAACAGACTTTTAAGTCAATTATCACTAGGCAACCAAGCGGCTCAGGCTGAAATGGCAGCCGATAAAAAATGCGCTCAATTTGATTAGGGCACCGTCATCTGGATGTTATTCCACTTTTCCACTACGAACAACTTTATATCTTTGCAAAAAAGTAGCTTTCCAAAAAAAAAACGACCACCACACGGAAATGAGATGTAATCGAATACGCTTGCCCCTAAATGCACGCGGGAAGAAAAAATGATGTGAGAACGGAAATATTCATCCATCTCTTTGCTGCATTTCGGTCGAACAAAATGAGAAAATTGAGGGCCAATTAATCAAGTGCTCTCTCGCTTGCATCATCTTTCGGCGCTAAAAGCAAAACACTTCCGCCTTGTCGCCGGCCAAAAAATGAGCTGAAAAGGTGCAAAAATGGCAATTCCAAGAAGATTGGGGAGGCTCCGAAAACAAGATGGAAATGACGACGGATATGATTCCAGGAGTGGTGCTTGCCCTACACTTTATTTGGTTCTTTTGGACTTTGAAACCTCAAACTAGAAAATGTTCATATTTTTTCACTCTTTTCATGTCAACTTCAAATTAGAATTCTCGAAATTCCCGCTGGATTTTATGTTCATTATTTTCCCCGGCCAGCCAAAAATTCAAGGCTTCTGCTTGTTTGTTCCTTAGAAAATATGTTTTCATTTCTCCGGCTCATGTAACAGATCCCCATATCCCTTTTCACTCATTCCTCTAACTGTTTCGATCGGCAATCATCAGTTTACTCCTTTGCTCGTGTGAGCCAACGCGTGCGGACCTCTGTGTGTAAAGCATGTTCCGGCAAACTCGGGCCGAGGCCAATAGAAATGACAGAGATGAAGAAGAGAGAAGCTGCCGGAGGAACAGATGGCATTCATCGGCAATGAAATAGCAGATGGCGGTATGAGAGTCTTTAGAACCTTGTCCTTCGTCCTCCTCATCGGTTACCACTTTCCTCTCGCCGCTCACAACACTTTTTGCCAACCTCACTCACTCGCTGTGTAATATCCGTCGTGCGTGTGTGTCCCCTGAGCCGAGCCATGTGTCGGAGTTAGTGAGAATGGAAACTGGAAACAAAACTGACGGAAGGATGAGACATGGAGCAATTGTTGTGCCGATGGTCAAAGAACCAGTGGAACCAGCGAGAGCGGCAAACAACAATGGTGAATTGGGTTAGGAGTCTCCAGTGGTCGGATGTCTCGTCTCACAATTACGGAGGAATTTGAAAACAAGCCGAAATTTGGATTGAAATGGAGCGAGGGAAGGAATAATCCGAGGTAGTGATTAGCAAGAGTCTTACTATTCAAAAGCAGCATTCATCTGTGAAAATGGTTGCCACGACGACCAATACCCGAATTTCGGTTGTGAAAGTCGCAAATTCTCGCATTAGTGTTCTATTAATCCATTCATATTTTTGTCAGCTTGCTGATAAATGTATTTCACCTGGCTATAGAAATCTCATTCTCCATTTTCAATCAGTAGCCTGCCATTTCTCACCATTTTCCCCTCGTTTTTGACCGCAAAAACACTAGACACATCTTGCTCATCTTCTTACTGGCGTGCAAATCCTGCTAAACCGTTCTCATCTTCTCAATTCACGGCTCTTATCAATTGACAAACATTCTCGGTTTTTGCTACGTCAGTTCAAGTATATCCCTCCGATCTCGCAGCCCACGCGCTCGCATGGAAAGCTGCACAGGAACCGTTTCGTGCTCTTTTTCTCTTTCTCCTCCTTTTTTCATCCCTTCTTGCTCAATTCAGTAAGTTCATTTGCCGAGTATTTATGAATGGGACGGGCGGCGATGGCAGGCAGGCGCCCCTCATGCTCTTCTCCTTCGAGACACTGGACAAGACGCGGAGTCGTAGATCCGACTTGCAAACAACTTCTCCTATCCAATGTGTTTTGTGTGTGTGGCAGTTGGCAAGAAGGCAAAAAAGCGCGGCGCCCGGGGATGGCAGAAACTAGAGAAAAAAGAGAGAAAGAGAAGAAAACCGAAGAAAGTGTGAGTCGAATCGGGAAGCGTTGAGGAACGAGAGCGAAAAGCGAAATGAGAGACGAGCTTCAGCAGTAACATGTTTGTATGTTCTTTCTTGTATGTGGTAGTCCCTTTTCAAAGGGTGGTCAATGTTAGAGGATGTGCAGTCGGAAAGTGCTTGGGGTCACGTACGCGTACTACAGTCGGAAGAGCAATACGTGGCAAACCGAGAGGGTAATCCGATCCCTCCGAACTGCGCAAGACCGGACCAATGCTCACATTGTAACCGAACGGACGTCTGGCGTTCGGGGGTGACCCAGCCTAGCCCCGACACATTTTCGACGGGCATTCCAAAAAAAAGAGGACACTTGTTGCCCTCAAAATTGCATTCCCTGTAACCATCGTCTGTGTCCCGTGCCTAGCAGAACCATTCAAAAACATCTCGGAACGTATGCGTCATTCCTTTTAGACGCCGCCAGACCCCACTAAATGTTTTGAAAAAGCAAAGCGAAAAGACGGCACGACCAGGCACCTTCGGTCGCTCGAAAGCCACGTCATTTTTTGTTTCTGAGATTACACACTGGCAAATTGTGTGGCCGGTATCGAGTTTCGTTCGAGGGCACAATGATGCAAATCTGAAAGTTCACAGCTGACAGTTATTATCAAGAAGCCAACATTGCAGTGCTGAACTTGGGGTTTATCAACAAATTCCGTTTTTGACATTATCAGTGTAAGTTTGGGAAAAAAAACGTAAATAGCCAGAGGCACGTGCTCTCGGTCGTCACTGTTTTCTGCTCTGATTTCTTGATCACTCAATCCATTGTTGAAACGTCAGTGAATCGGTTCCAAATGAGAGCTAATCTGCAGGGGATACTGTAGTAGGACAGAACTGAATAGAAGGTTATTATGCAAATCTGAGCCACTCAGTGACGTTCCAATTGAGCTCGAGTCTCTCTTTTTTGTCGTGCATTAAATTTGCCAGAATCGGATGGAGAACAATAAAATATGCATTGTGTTCCCTTTGTCAGTGTCACTGCAACACGCTCGCTGGTCGCTCTCTCTGCCGCGTTGACATTGATAACAGAATGATACATTGGAAACTGGGAAACGTGAGGTTTGCCACGAAAAAAAAAACACGCACACAAACAGTTGGTTGCGCGGTCCCCGCACAGAGATACTTATTGGGTCAGATCGCAAAAATCAGTGATCTCTCGACGACAGCCGGTCGGTTTTTTGGAGGTTTTCTTGGAAGGATCGAAGCCTAATCAAACATTCAGTTTGTCCCTCGAGTTTTCCAATGAATAATGCAGTTTCTCGGCAGCACGAAGGGTGAAATATGGAAGCAGAAGTGCAGAGGCCAATTAGAGAAGTTCGAGAAGAAGTTTGGCCTAATTGGATGGCTGGTACATAGAGCAAAGAGCGGTCCGGAGGAGAGGAGATTTGTTTCGATGGTTCAATGTCAACAATCTGTACTACCGTACCAGTGCACACACATTCCCAGATTCAGAAATCCTCCAAATTTGTACACAGAATCGGCTTTTTAGTCTTCGAAATGCGCTGTTTGCGTCAGAGTCGCCAAAGCCCAAATCCCTCTCATCGGCTCTATTCTTTCGGCATATAATACCCGCTCAAATTAGTTTTCTCTTCTCGTCGGCTGCCCGGGTATCGACAACAACTCTTTCCACATATTCCCAATTACCAAAAATCCATGTCTATCCTCTCTGCCGTGTACTATTTCCTCAACTCTGCACAGTTTTCGAACGTCGACTCATAATCGGTTCAGCGGCGGGGAGAAGGGGCGGTGGGCCCATTTCTCTCGCCGTCTCCGTTGCCTCGCGTGCTCTTTTGTCCCCCGTTTCTCTGCGTCTCCTTCAAAAAAACATCCGTCGTTGTTTAGGGGCGGGGCGAAAGCGAGATGCTGCGAGAGGCCTACTCGACCTCACTTCACTGTGTCCAAGCGCAAGAAGGAATGTCGGTTTCCCCGGACGTTATCGCCAAGATTGAGGAGGGCTATGCCAAGCTCCAGGTATGTTGATCGTCCCCTCACTACTCGCATTCCTTTCACACCTTATCATCTTCCAGGCTGCCCCGGAGTGCCACTCCCTTCTCAAGAAGTACCTGACCAAGGAGGTCGTCGACCAGCTCAAGGACAAGAAGACCAAGCTTGGAGCCACCCTCCTCGACGTCATCCAATCCGGAGTTGCCAACTTGGACTCGGGAGTCGGAGTCTACGCCCCGGACGCTGAGGCCTACACCCTCTTCAAGCCACTCTTCGACCCACTGATCCAGGTACGTTCCCAACGATGATGGCCTGGGAAGCGGGGACATAAAAGAGCGGAGAATATGCAAAAAAGGGAACACGGGCACTCAAAGCATCTCTCATTTCTCTGCCCTTTCCGAGCGAGGTGCCGCTCTCTTTTGTCAGTTTAATGTCATTCGAATAGCCTACGTGCCGCCTTGCACGCCAGAATTGATGAAAAAAATAGCGGCCTGTAATGGAGTGGCACTAGCAAAGAGAAAGCGAATGCGCAATACGAAATGGGATTACTAGCGCTGTGAGTGGTCTCTCCACGAGTAACGAACTATCGGCGCCCGCGTTTTGATGACCATCTGCCTGATCGCAAACAGAATCACCGACAACAGATGGAATTTACAGGACTACCACAACGGATTCGCCCCGTCTGCCAAGCAGCCGAACACCGACCTCGGAGAGGGAAAGACCGCCGCTCTTGTCGATCTTGACCCGGAGGGCAAGTTCATCAACTCGACGAGAATCCGCTGCGGACGTTCCCTCCAGGGATACCCGTTCAACCCATGCCTCACCGAGGCCAACTACCTCGAGATGGAGAACAAGGTGAAGGGAGTGTTCAACAACATCACCGACCCAGAGCTCGCCGGACACTACTTCCCACTTGACGGAATGACCAAGGAAGTCCAGGACCAGCTCATCAAGGACCACTTCTTGTTCAAGGAGGGAGACAGGTAAAAAGACTATCCCAGGGAAGACTGTGACCTGAACCGATGCTTTTCCAGATTCCTCCAGGCCGCCAACGCTTGCCGTTACTGGCCAAAGGGACGTGGAATCTTCCACAACAACCAGAAGACTTTCCTCATCTGGTGCAACGAGGAGGACCATCTCCGCATCATCTCCATGCAGGAGGGAGGAAACGTCGGACAGGTCCTGGAGCGCCTCATCAAGGGAGTCAAGACCATCGAGAAGCAGGCTCCGTTCTCGCGCGACGACCGTCTCGGATGGCTCACCTTCTGCCCATCCAACCTCGGAACCACCGTCCGTGCCTCCGTCCACATCCGTCTGCCAAAGATCTCGGCCAAGCCAGACTTCAAGTCGATCTGCGACGGACTCAAGCTCCAGATCCGTGGAATCCACGGAGAGCACTCCGACTCTGAGGGTGGAGTCTACGACATCTCCAACAAGGCTCGTCTTGGACTCACCGAGTTCGAGGCCGTCAAGCAAATGTACGACGGAATCGCCCACCTCATCGCCCTCGAGAAGGCCGCTTAAGTCAATCCCCATCCATCCATCCTGGCCGCTTCTTTTCTCTCCCAACTTCTTCTCTAATTTCATCTCATTTTGTAAACTTTAATTCTCTCTCTCTCTCTATTTCTATTCTTGTGTAAGACTACTTGGCTAGTGTGAAATTTCGTATTCTGTGTTCGCTCGAATACTTATTTTCTGCTTCAATAAAGTAAAGTGCACCGAAAACAAAAAAGAAGTGTCCGGATTGTCTTCACTGAAAAGAAAAGTGGCCCACTTTGAGGCCTGGTGTGACAGGAAGATGAAGATTGAGTTGGAAGATTTGCAGGTCCTTGCTCCCATGGCAGTTTGATCTCTCGATTCCCTCTGGCGCACCGGTCAAACAAAAAACTCAGGGAGGAGATTGCCCGTGTGTTAAGTGCCCGAAACGAACCGTCGGCCTTGAACTGGCGTGGAAAACAACATCGGCGCAATTTTTTGAAGGCAATCCGTTCGAAACAGAGAGGATGTTTACTGCCCGCAAAAAAGTTGTGAAATTTGGCGGTTAGTGAGAAACAGCGAACTCCGTAAAAAACTGGTTTCTGGAAATTGGAAGTGTACGATTGCAAGGGTGGAATTATGAGTTTCTGCGGAAGTGGGACTGGGAAATCGGGATCAAGAAATGATTTCATAGCAAATCCCTTCGTGGTTCAGTGATTTGCCTCTCGAACAAATGTTTTCCTTGTGCATTTTTAAGACCGCGGAACGGTAAACAGAGGATTGGTCTTTTGCAGACTTTCAAGACTCCGGCCCGACCCGGAAGTTTCATCTTGAACGAATTTTTTTGCAAAAAAACTGAAAAATACGTGCGGCAAAGTCTCTAAAAGTGCGATACACCTGCTAAAAGCTCTATTGCAAGTCTGGTCTTTTGTAATGCAATTTCGATGTATTTTTAGTTGATCTATACGAAGAGCAGCCTTTTCAAATTCAGAACGATTCATAGAGTTCAGAAGCACATCCTTTTATCGAAAATGCTCGTTTTCTCGTTTCTTGCCCCTTTTCCTAATGTACTCTTTCCTTATAATTCACTATTCACAAATTGGTGAAAGCCGAGAATCAGCCATGCATAGGAAACCAAAGCGGACCGCTTCTCCGTATGTTGTTGATGGTACGGCCCCCGGAGACTTGCTTTTCTTTCCATCCGAACAGAATTTGGTGCATTTGACAGATGATGGACTATATAGATTAGATGAGCCGTCTTTCTTCCATCCATTCTCATTTGAATTTTTATTATTCTGTCATCATCCTTCTTGGGACGAAATGAGTGACGGAATTGTCAGAAAATGCGGGAATGTTTTTGCAAGAAACCGGAAGGAAACTATTTCGAACCAGTCCAACGCAATGTTTTCAGGTGCCGATTCCTTTCTCGCGCCCAAAGAAAATATACTATGCGATTCAAAAACCAATGATAAAATCCATCAGAATTCCCATTTCCTCGACAAAATTCGCGTTTGCATCAATGCGTCATTGCATATAATATAATGCGCATTTCCGGGTATCGTACTGACTTTCAGTTTTTGGTTTCCGCTCCGCACCAAACAACAAATCCCATAATTTTGTTATGCGCGACCCTTACAGAATTCGGTCGGAAATGAGAGTCAAATTGTGTTATGGAAAACTCGTTTGGTCACTTAATTCGATATTGTTCAATGATTCATGCATCGGAATATTCACACGCCGTGGTCAAAAACTGCTCGAAATCTATGATCTTGCTGGGAATCTGAAAAAGCGTTTTGTAATGGAAAAATATTTTTAGATTATGAAAAGGGTTACTGTAAATATTTGCACAGCATCAATCTCGCAGAACCATTCAATTATTTACTAATCTTTTTGAACTTGGAAGTCAAAGCACAAATCGTCATCAGGCCAATGTTTGTCCCACTGTTCTTGCCGATCATTTTTTGTTCGAAAAATCCAAACATTCAATGAGAGTTTTATAATTTATACATATTGATTTATGATTTTCCACGAAACGATTGAGATTTAGAAAAACTTGTCATGAAAAATAAGTAGGAGATTCTTAGAAAATGGCAACACACACACAAAATGAGTAACAATGAAATATGGCATAAATGAGCTTACTGGTGTTAAGAGATTGATTGAGAGCAGAGAAAATTGACCGAAACCATAATAAGTAGGGGGGAGAAAAGGATGAATGACGACAAGTGAAACAGTTTCATTTATCAGAACGGACCGCGCCGTTCAAAGAGAGACAATATCCGTAAATTGAGAAAATTGTGAACAAACTAGAGGATTAGAACTGGGATGTGGTAGAAGTTGTACAGATCAGATCAATGGGCGCAAAAATATATACTAAAAATCTAGATGTGCGTGCAAAGTATCACTAAAAGAGGTACGGAACGAATAAGTGACAACAAAATGGGGGCATCCGTGGCATTGGTGTCCGGCACGACCACACCCTTAACAAAACATGAGGTATCGGGACGGAAAGTATCATGGCTCAAAGCGTGATTCCGACAAATGACTAGAGAACATTCAAATGTGACACATCGGGAAAGGGATTGAGATTTTTGTGACGAGAGCGAGGTAACCAAACGGGGGGAGGATTGTCTGGGGACTTAGATGGAATTGAGCAAAAGATGAAAACGCGCGCTGAGAATGTAAAAGTGATTGTGGTGGGGAAAAACGATATTCAACGTCTAATCAACAACAGAATCGGGGCACAATTCTACATCCATTCACAGCGGTGATCGTGATCTCGATCTGTCTCTTGAGTCCGACATGGATCGGATCGAGTGATGGGATAACCGACGTGGAGAATTGGAACGTTCCATTCGGAGCTTCAAATCAGAGAAGTTTCTCTGCGAATCTTCTCGTAACCGGTTCACACTGCTCGTCATTCCGGTTTGAAGTTGAACCAAAGTGTAAATCGAGTTCAATGCCGTCTCGAGGCTTTTTTCCAGTCGTCCAACTCGCGAGTCAATGTACGTCAAAGCCTAAAAGAGATTAGATACTCCTCCAGAAACTAACAATTGTATCTACTCACCTGCTCAACTCTTGGAGTGCTGGCTTGTTGTGCCTTGAGCTCACAAATAGCGTTAGCGATGGTGCGCAACTCGTGTTGAAGGTGTTCCTCTTGTGTCATCTCCTCGGCGCTCTTCTCCTGAACTTTGGCGATTGCCGGTGGTGGGAATCCGTGGCTCAATGTCATGTGGATCGGAAGGTGCGAACCTGGAAATGGTATTATGAAATCTTTTGGAATCCAAGGTTGATTCATTCATTCCCTCCACAAAACTCAGTCATTCATTTTCGACAACCGTGCACGCCACCTGTCGAACAATCACCAGGACCATCATACTCATCATCTTCTCAACCGTCCACATCACATTTCGTGTGCGAAGTGAAGTGAAGGCAAGGCAAGCAGTAATGTGTTTTGCCGGAGCAACTGTCGGCACATTGGACAGATATCAACTGTCGCGCCCATCGCCGATTCACTATCTATTTACGTGCCATATGTTCAAAGCAGTCAACCCCGCCATCGGACCCATTCCGTCTCGTACACTGTCGTTTTCCACCCTCTGCCGGCCAGAGTGATTTAGTTGTGCATTGTACAACAAAAGAAGAAGAAGAGGAACGGAGCAGAGCTATTTGAGAGAAAAGAGAAAGCAAAGGGTTCTCACAAACAGATCGGTCCCTCGCCGGATACACAACTTGCTCGCTGAGCACAGGAACAGGCCTCCCCCGGGGAAATATATAAACGTTTCTATGGCTTCGTCGGTAATAAATCCTTTGCTCGCGGCTCTCCAATCTCTACATCCAAACCACCCTGTAATCATATTGCTCGTGCATTTCAAACGAATGTGGCCGGTCCCCGACGGCTTCACAAGCGCACTTGCCTATCGATCCTGCGAGCAGGCAACGCAAAAGGCTCTCCTATTACAAGATATGGTCTGTGTGGATTAAAACGGAGAGGAGGCCCCCGTCCCCCCGTCCCGAGACTGCCTGGTAATAGTACTCCCTAGGGGTGTTTCAGAGAACATGCAATGTAAGGAGAGGGACGGAAACAGCTTCTGTCTGTGTGTATGTATGTGTACGCTTGCTTGTGCTCGGGCCTGGCATTTCATGTGTTTGACTGGCAACCGAAGGGACCCAATATAGATGACATTGTAGATGAGTTTGCGCGCGACGGCGCCTACCAGAAGCCTTTCTCTCTGTCTCCGCACTTCCCCTCACTTTCTCGAATTGAAAACTGACGACGTCGGGTCGGCGGGGCCTGTGTACACAGTGAGACCAGCGGTTGTCTGGTGGCTCTCATGTGTCAAATGGGAAATTGCAATTTTAAAACCAGCAGCAGACCCCCCCCCCCCCTCTCTCTCTCTCTCTCTTGCCGGCGACCATGACCAACTCCGTTTCCCTCTGGAGAGTCAGTCAGCTTCTCTCGTTGTCAGTAAACGACTTCACTTGTGCTTTCACTCACAACAATACAAAAGACGTGTGTGGGAGAGGGAGAGAGAGAGAGAAAGATGGAAGCATGCGATATGAGTTAGAATGGAAAGACAGGGAACAGAAGTGAGAAGCCAGAAGAAGGAGATGGAAAAAGAAATCCCAACTAAGTGCGACAGTTTGGTTCAGAACTCACTTTTCCTAACGTGCTTGCCGCACTCCTTGCATTGTGTTACATTTGGTGGTGATGGGCACGGACCATTTTGAGTGGAAGGAACGGAAGGAGATAGTTCTTCCCGTCGGGGACTCGGTCCCTTCTGGGTATCTGTCGAATCTGGACTTCCGTCTCCTCTTTGAACGGAAGCAGCAGCAACAACCATGGCGGCCAGTGTTGCCTCGCCAACCTAGAGCAAATTTGAGGGTCAGAATGAGAAGGAGAACTGGGTGAGAGTACCGTATGATTTTGATTGTGATTATGATTGTTATTAGTATGAAACACGGTCGGAGGAGGAGGACTGTCGGCCACATAGTCGGGATCACTATCGGAATAGACTGGAAACAAGAGAAGTTAGAATGATCATTTTCAAGTTTTGTATTTGTTTGTAGGTCCCTCGTCACCACTCTCAATCTCAATCTCCCCCAAAAGATTCTCATTTTTCTCTACCCTCTTCGGTGGCACGTCAGCTGCTCGGTTTACTGTATTCTATGTTTCGCGAGAATACGCACGCGCCTCTTCACCAGATGCCCCGAAATTACCACTTTTTGCAGTCACAATATATCTATGGGCAGAACGAGAAAGATTACTGTTTCATTTGTAATCCGTCCGTTCGCTTGTTCGCTTGTTCCCAGGCAGATCCGCTTTCTGCTCCGATTACACGCGGACATGCGCGCGCGCCTCACAAAATTGACCGACTGCCCATTATAGCCACCTGTCTGCCCGCAACCAAATGACCTGCTGTCTTTCCTTCCGGAGAAGGAATGGGGAAAGGCTTTCGGTTTTGTGCCGGTTGAGTTGAGCGTACTAGTCCGTCGTTGGGAAAAGGCAATTTCGTGCAACAAAGGAAAAGCACGTCGTCGTCGCTGTCGTCGTTGACTGTTCTGTTTCCATCTATAGAAGAGTGGGAGAGAGGAAGCAAAAGCAAGAGGAGAAGAAGCAACACACTTGGCTGGAGCTCCACATCATTCACTCAGCACAGAAGGCACAAGACACATACACACACGTCGTCGTTGCCGTTGCGCGCACACGATGCCGTACACACAATTCCATCTCTTTCCCTTCTTTTCCAATCTGGAGAATGGTGCGATGGGTGGTTGAAGAAAGCTACAACAACCCCTCAACAATGGACCGGACCGACGACGACAAACGAAGCGTTTTCTTGTGTGTGCCCAGGAAGCAAACGCGTGAGGACTCTTTTCCTTGTGAGCCCCTGGCGCCTATACGCAAACAGTAGTCGGGAGAGTGTGCCGCGGGGCCCGCTGGTCCCTTCTTTTCTTTTTCACGCGCTCCGCTCACAATTTTTCTTGTGCTCCGTCAGTCGGTCGGTCGGTCGGTTGGGACCGCTATGCTTTTCCCCTCCCTTCGCCGGAGGGGACTGACAGACGAAGCGACGGACATTGAAAATCGATGCGAAGCACGCATGAGCACACAGATGGAGTTGCACGATAGAAACGATGATGACGGCGTCGACCCTCTTCTCCCGGAGCGGTCTCCTGTGTTTTTGAACCGACTTTCGAAAAAAATATATGGACACGACACACACCGACGCGCGCAGTTTTCTTGACGGGCCTTCCCCGTCCGTCACAGCTCACTATCTATTCCATGTAGAGAAAAGATTAAAACAAGAAGAGAGAAGGAAGATGCTGGTGGTAAATTATGACGGAGAACTCTAGTCGGGCAGTGACTGACAGCTTCAAGTTCTGTCATCTCATAGGCTTGGGTCATTTTTGATTAGTAGTGAGGGGGCAATTTGAATCGTGCATTGTGAATCGAATTTTTTTGGGAACAGTATCATTCACACAGCAGGAAGGCGAGCAGTTGACCTTACCATTCCATCGGCTCACTTTACGGCTCACAGGTCGGCCCCAAAGGTTCAGCCCTTTCCGTTGCCGACGAACCGACCGACCGGCTCAAAACGAACACCACATGTCAGTTGGCGCAAATAAAAGTTTATGCGAGGAGAGAAGCCCGATATCGGAGACAAAAAATGAGATGTGTTTCTGGCTTCTGGTTTTTCGCTTCTGAGTCCCCCTACAGTTAGACACCAGATGGTTGAGGATGGGAGCGGACGGGAGAGAGAGAGAGAGAGATGAAGATGCAAAAAACGAGTGGGGATCGGATAGGAGAACATACACATACATAAAAACTAAATCGCATAGGATAAAAGAGATACTTACCGGTATCTGGAGACGAGCTCATGTCCTCGGCTCTCATCTCTCCGTTCATTGCCAACGCGAGCTGCTGTTGGCGGTTCAGCTTTATCGAGTTCCCGTAGTCGAATCCTAGGCTGATCAGCACCGATCTTAAACTGAAATGTGATTTCTGATGAACTGTGAAAACAATGTCCCACCTGTCATTGTCAGTAGAAACATCCTTCGGCAACAGGTTTTCAACTGGCTCCACGACAGGAACAGGCACCACAATAGCTGGAGCGGTTGTGGCCACGACGGTGTGCTCCTTGGCTTGTGCTCGTATTCTGGTGGTGATTGGAGTGGACGGCACAACCTTGGCTGGAGTGACAGGAGCAGTCTTCTTGACGGACGTCAGAACATAATCCGGATCTTCGATTTCGGTTTTGATTGTTCGGTGATTATTGTTCGTCACATTGTTGCTATTGTTGTTATTGTGATTGCTGCTGCTGCTGGCGGTCGTTACAGAAGTTGTAGCATTCGTCGTGATCGCCGCTGTCGTGGTAGTTGTGGTCGTTGTTGTTGTGCCGTTTGCTGCCGACGATCCATTCTCCTTGAACTAGAATTAAAGAAGAAAAGGCATGAATTAGTAATGAGTCTCATTGGAAATGCCTTACTGTTTTTGGAGCCTTCTTGACGATGATATCATCCTTGGCGATCGACTCGTTTTGCTCTTTCTTGTGATGTTTCAATATATGTTTTGTTAAATTGCCTGAAATTCATATCTGATCAAAAATCTGTGTATTGTATTTCGAAACGAAACCTTTCAATCTGCTTGATTTGCCACAAAATTTGCACACATAAGGTTTTAGTGCTGTATGTACTGATCGGTGTTCTGCTAAGTTGGAGCGAAACCGAAATGCTTTGCCACATGTTTCACAAATGAATGCCTGAAATAATGATGAAAAGATTGATGTTGAAGATTATTTTCTCTATGGCTCTAAGATCGTCTCTTGTGATATGGGGGATGAGAGACAAATTGCGTCGCTTTTCTCGCGGCTTCCATAACATACACTATCGAGAACTGTAGTCCTAATCCCTAATCCCTTGCAAATACTTCTCAAGATGTCAGTCACACAACGACGACGACGTCATCTCTTTTATCTTTTCTATTCGTTGAATTGTTTTCAGTGTGCGCCGTTTCTGTGGTTTCGAATCAAATCAGGAAAAGAAGGAGGAGGGACCGAATGTGAGCACGTACACATAGGGGATGGAATCTGATTGAAAAATTTATTGCACCCGGCACCAAATACCCTTTTCCCTCGCTCATCGGATGCATCAGGGGCCCTACAGCGTGTGGCGGAAGCTCTGGATAGGCAGCCATAAACAATCAACATTGCTCGGTGGTTTTCGGTTTTCATTACCGTCCTAGCGAGGGCTCCTTCAAAACGAGAAGCGCGGGATGGTGTGGTGCGGGTGCGGAGGAGCACGAAATGCAACACACGGATGATTAAATTTGTGTTGAATGGCGGCGTGCCCCATTTGCCCCCCCCCCTATTTGTGGATTCATCTCGTCTGTCATGACAGTCAGAAGCAGCTACGCAGGCAAACGAGCACGTCTTCTGACTTAATTGAACGCACGTCTGCGCGTCTCGAAAAGCCCTTAACACTAGTACTCACTCGATCCATTCCCACTTGTGCATCGGTTGATTTCAACGTGAAGAAGAGTACAGACAGAAAACGGAAGTAAGATGAGAATACGAATATAAATATGCGTCACCCGGATGATATATAGTTAGGACGAGAAAGAGCAATGAAGCCCCGGGACAAGAAAGTGCCCGTACGCTGACAGCGCGACGTGCGTGGGGGGAGGAACGAGTAGAAGACTGGTGGGGAGCGCGACGACGAGATGCCGGAGGAGGAGCGAGGGGCGAAGTTTCCGATGGCAAAATAGTACGCGATGGCGGCGAGAGACGACGGACACGATGCGATTCCTCGAGCATCTGGGCCCTATCTTTCGCTCACAAAACTGCCGCTCTGAGTGTGCCAGCTGTGAGAAAGTGAGTTGGGTCCCCGAAGCATTGTACACCGGATATCAGTCGGGCAGGTTACAGTCGTCCGTCCCGACGGGTCATCACTTCTCAGCCGTCCCCCTCACTTTTTCTAGTTCTCCTCGCAGCCTGCCTGTGGCCACAGGTCAGGTGTTTCGGCCGTCTTATTTTCGAGGAGAGAAGACAGGCAGGGAGAGAGGAGCCCACCTCGTAAACAAGCTACTCGGTCTCGGCCGATTCTGGAAGCAGTTGTGCACAGACCGACCAACCACTCTGTAATCGAATGTCAACAGGACGGACTGACGGGAGAAGCTCTAAGCTCTTCGCTTTTCTCCTTCTCTTCTCCTTCTTCTTCCTCGCGCTTCCCTCGCTTATCCCTATTCATTAGGCTTCGGGTATCACATCTCCTAATTATGGTATACACGCATCACAGGGCTTTTGTGCGACGCCGTCTAAAGGGTTTCATGGAAAGTGCGTACACGGCAAAGCAGCTGAATGAGATTAGCGAGTGACTAAACAAGATCGAGCTTGTATGTAGGTGCGGTTTCCGCTAGAATTGCTCTCCTCCTCACTTTTCTTTCTCTATGCACATTCTGTCAATCCGGACAGGAGATGCCATATTAATCTGGTGTCCTCGTATAGTGCAAAACGAATTGAATATGGAAAAGCGTGTAATGAAGCACACAAACTGAACTCGTGGTCTGTCATTAATACAGAGATTCTAATGGAAAACGGAGAAGAAGCAGAAGAAGCCAAGATGAAGAATGAGAATGAAAGAAAGTCATTAGGAAAATAGAAAATGAGTACCGAGATTATAGGAAAACAACGTGACTAGATTATCAGTCTGCTCTAACATACCAATTACCCAAGAAAGATTTCAATTTTCCCTTACAGTAATCCGGACGGTCAACAGTAACAATTATTCAAAAATAGTCATCGATCTATTCAACAGCTGCTCAGCCCAGCCTATGTCTGCTGACTCAACCAGCGAGTGTGATGAAATACGGTACCTGCGTCTGGCGGGCGGTCTTCAGGTCGAATGGGCTCATAAACTGTTGTATCGCGTAAGAGGATATCGAGATACAAAATGGAACGGATATTGAATGTGAGAACTTAATGCGATCTCGAATATATTGCTGGAGTAATGAGAGGTTTAACGGCCAAAACGACCTGAGATTGTACCCGCTAAAGTGCATGTGCATGACTGGAGTCTGATTTCATGATTTCATAGTGTACAGGAGAGGACAGAAACGAGAGAGAGAGAGAGAATATCATGAGAAAAAATGTGGGAAAAAGAGAATATCAGATCATGAGTCAAACCGGATTAGACTGAAATAACTTGAAGTGCTCACCTTGTCAGTATGAAACATCTGCTGATGTTGCTGCAGAAGCTTTGTGTTGGAGAAGTCCTTTGTGCACTGATTACATTTTAGTCGAGTGGGCTCGTCTGTCATTAGAGTCGCTGCTTGGACTAGCGGTGAGACGCACACGGACATTCGAAAGGTTTGACTCCGATTCTTGATTCCTTCAGCGTCAGCTCTTTCTCAACCTGTGCCAGCGTATGTGTTTCAAATGATACGTGGTAAGTAGGGGTATGGTTGTTGAGAGTAGAGGGACTGGGTCCACCACAGAGATAGGCGGAAAGTGCCCTGGGACGATGGAGGGGACGTCGAGGGAGAGAGGGTATGCCGGCCGATCGGACAGGCAGGACGGACGGGCGCACAGAGGGGTGTGGCTGTGCGAGCTATTCAAGTGGGTGGAGCGACACAACCGCGGAGCCAGCGGGCTCAACTCAGGACGTGGAGCGCAGGGGTGCTTTACAGTGAATAGGGGGTCCCGCACCACGACGACCGGAGGGGACGATAGAAAAGGAGACAGACCTCACATGGACCGACGTGCGCGGGGACTCCGCCCCTTTTGCATAACGTTCTAGCTTGGAATGGGGTGCCTGCTGCTCAGAAGCGCGCGCCTCGGAGCCCTCTCTGATTCACACGGTCACTCGTCGCTTGGCGGTCTGTCTACAGCTAGCTCGTTTCCTAGTCGGAATGGGAGTGTGGGGCTCGTCGGGGGCGAGTGAATGTGCTGGTCGAAGAGAAGCAGCGCCAGAGCTCAAGCTTTCCGCCAACGGGCTCACTGTGCCAGCCGGATACAGCACAGAACCTTTCATTATTCGGGATATTCTCTTTATATGAGACTGAATATTGAACATTTTCGCGATCCCGAGGGTTATTTGCGTTGAGAATAGAGAATTAATGATGAGCTCTATACCTATAGACAATCTCATAGAGTGCATATTGCTAATTCGAATTTCACGCATACAAAACTTGCAGACATGAAAGTTTTCTAAGCCCGCAGTAGCTGATGTATACAGACGGAAAAAAGATATTTAACGCGGTAGATGAAGGAAAACATGATGACAGTTGGCGAAAACAGGTGAGCAAGGAGGATTGTACGCAGTTGCCTCGAGACGTAATCACCAAAAGAAATCGATGGAAGAGAAGTGTGGGACAGAAAAAAGCCGGCTGAAAACTGACACCGTACTGCCACTAACCGCGTATAAACAAAAGACTGTCTAAACTTTTCCTTTTTAAAACGCGCCACAAGACAGCCGTGTAACACATGTGCATTGTTGACCGTATGTGTCTTAACTCAGTCAGAAGATCTGACAACACCCGCCCGCCGGCCGTTGGCACCGCCTTTTTCGTTGACCATTTGATGCGGGTCTGACGTACACCTGAAAAGGAAAATGAGGGAGGGATATCCAATGACTGTCATGAGAATCCATTGAGCATTTCATTTCCACTGTTTGCCTGCCCCATTTCATTTCCGCTTGAGGTCCGCCACCGAAAATTTCAATTTCCATACCGAGAGAGAGAGAGAGAGAGGGAGCGTGTGCAGTTTCAGTCTGTACGTCAACTCTTCTGCTGCAACACTTTTCTCATTCATGTGGGCGGATCTAGCTGTGACAAATTGGTTGTGAGCAGCAGCTAGAAAAGCTGAAGAGAGCGCATAAATTGCGGAGACATTCTGAAATACAGATAAACTATGTGTTTATGCTCTCTCTCCTCCTTTCCCACTCTTTCTTTTTCTCTCCCTCGTGTGGGCTGCTGTCCGACAAGTCCGCCGATAAACATGTTGTGATCTACCAGCTTCACTGATGAATGCAAACCCACCAATTCGAGAGCGGATATGGAAAATGTCGGTCAGAAGGGATGAAGGGATTTAAGAGACCACTTCTGACTGGTCATTTTGTATTGTCAGCAGCAGACTGATGAGCCAGAGAAAGAGAAAGAGAAGAAAAGAAAAAGAATAAGCACAGAAAACTTTTAAAAGGAACCATGGAACCTCTCCGGTCTTTCTTCTTTTCAATAATTCTGCACATTTTCTCTTCGTCTTCTCAACATGTCTTTTTCCCCTGACACTGCCGTCCATTCTTCACACAAAAACCGATGCGCCGTAATCTTCCAGAGTACTTGTCGGAAAGTAAAGCTTTGATGCAGGAGTAGGAGGCAAGCGGAGAGGAAAGGGACGAGGTGCCCCCCGCTTACACCCACGAAACGACTCTAATGGCCGGTCCAGGGGAGAAGCCGAGTTCACTTCGGCCGGAGGAGACCCCCTGGCAGGCAATTGTCGACAGGCTTTGACAGACTGGAGGGTCCCAACCGAACAGCCACAGGGCCACAACAACACAAAACTAAACCTTGCTCGCTCTCGCTCTCCTTCTCTTTCCGTCCCGTCATGTCTTCACTTGTTGTAAGAGATGTGTGCTTGTAAAAAGGAAAGTGCGCAAAAAGGGAAAGAGCTCCGGACGTGAGAGTCCCCCTCCGGCTGTGCACAAAAGAGAAAGTTATTTGGACTGCATTCTCGGCTTCTGCGCATGAGTGCCGGTAGTCGTACTCGGTTGTCAACCTTTCCTTTTCGTCTATTGCCATAAAGCCAAGGCACGGGAAACGAGATGGAGAGGAAAAGGTCCTCGTTGCTCGCCCCGCCGTACCCCTACTTTTCCATCTTCTTCTTCTTCTTCGTCTTCTGTCGACCGCCGCTGCGGCCCCGCTCTCGGTCTTTTCTCACCGAAGAGCACACCAGACCGCCCGGGCTTCGATGCATGCACGCTCAAGTGCTGTCTTTTCCATTTCGACGACGACGACGGCTTCTTCTCCTGCGGCAGTCTACCAAATGGTCGGGGGGCTTCTGTCTATCTGTCGAATGCGCGACGACATCGACAGCTCGTCCGATTCGCAAGAGCAGAGGGGAGAAGAGAGCACGGAGAGGGGGCTCTCGCCAATTAAGAATATATTCTTGTGGCAAGAGAATGAATGGTTCGCTCGCTTCGTTGAAACTCGTCATTTGCACACAAGCACATGTGTTATTACAGTGTGTGCGTGGCAGGGACCGAATTGAGATAACGAAGAAATAGCTGACAGAGAATGCCAAGAGGAAGGGGACAAGACGGATACTACAACCAACGTTAATTTATGGGATACATCGGCAAAAGCCTCGGGCTATTTGGTTTACACCAAAGATTGAGCACAGAACCAGATCTCCAAACTTTTTCTCTGAAATTCTAATTCTCCCAGGGACTCATTTTTGTCGCATAGTTTATGGGAAAGTTTATTGTCATTGCAGAAGTGATTTTATTCTTTAGGTCACAGAAAAGAGAAATCTAGAAAAAATCATCGTCTGTCCTTGTCCGTCTTCTCTTCAATAATCTTCTTTGTAATCTCGTAGCTCTCGTCGTTAGCGGCACAGACTCGAAGAAGTACGCAAACATGACGCGAGTCCAAAATCTTTTCCACCTGCAAATCCGGTAACTGTGTTTTTGTTTTTGCGTTCGTTTCTGCTTTCAGAGCAATTCCCCACGTTTTATTTTTGTTTACGGTACGTAATTATCAAGGTGCTCGCCCATTTAGTGAGACTATGAAAACAGACAGGAAAGTGCCAGCTGCTCGAGACGATGTTGGTGCTGTTGTGCGCGACGGTCACGCAACCGAGGATGGTAATTAGAGGAGAAAGGAGGGAAGGGGGATGAGAGATGATGGAAAATGTGCGTGGTCCGCTTACGAAGTGGAGGGAAAAGATTCATCAAAGCTTCGAGACCTAAATCAAGGGTTAGGAGGAAGATGCGCGAGCGGAAGCGCCGTTCCAAATGACAGGCTATGCCGTGCCCACCACTTTCCTCCTCATGAGAGGGTGAAACATAAACATCAATATTCCAGTTGAAACAACAAACTTCCAGGGCGATTTGTTTGTAAACAAAACTAACTTTCAGCACTTCTTGTTCTGACTACTCAAACCACCACAGTTTTTCCTTTGGGACAGGCCGCGGCAGGGAGAGCACCACTTTTTTGCATTGCAAATGAAGCTGAAAAATTCATGCACAAAAATGTATATCTTTCCCCCGTCTCGAAAAAGTAAACTCGTAGCTTTCCTGTAATTCAAACACTTCTCAACGAAACCGAAATTGTTTATAGGAAAGAGGGGGCTTTTCATCACAAAATTGTTTACGGTTTGGTGATACTGAAGGACCAGTTTGGTTTACCATTTGCAGGGCAGCAGGCCGTACAAAAGTGCACCAGCATGCTCTTCTCGCGCATTTCTATCTGTCTCCCGTCATAAACAATTGTCTCGTTTCCAAAAGGACCAGCTGGCACCCTTATACAGTAGTGGGAGAGGGGGGCTTCCGTTCCTAATGACCATCTCGTTTTGGTCTGTCGTGGGGGACCAGACCGGAAGCCATACCAAGAACTAACAAATCACTTTTAATGAACTTGGTATGTGATCTCATGCGGATTATTCACTCGGTTGCACTATACAGCGCGCTCTGTGTGCACGTTACCGGGGCAACTATGTGAATGTGTGTTAATTCTGTGCATGATATATCACATGTGTGCCGTACTGACAAGTCTGCGCACGAATACGAATACGCGACGATTAAACGTTTTCCATATCATTTCTGCGTGACGAGGGACCGCAGACGAGGAAGCACGGGCGGAAAGTGGAGGTAGGTGCATGAGCGCACATGCCAAAGCCTTTTCGAAACGAAACGGATAGGGGTTTGTATAGATACATACATAGTCCGCCAACTCCAACTCACTTTTCCCGAGTACTTTTCCACTTTGGTTGTAAGGAAGCGGACACACTCGGCAATGTCTTCGGCACGATCATGGAACAGAGCTTCACAATCGAGACGGATCATATCAATGACATCTTTCTGAAATTTTGTTCTCTTCGCTTGTCGGTCAGTCAGTCAGTCAACCACAACCGAAAACAAAAGCTATCCCCTTTCCTTCCTTTCCACATATATTATCCCGTATTCAGTGAGCTGTGGGGGCGCTGCCTGTCAAAGGCAAAAAAGAGAGAGGGTCTTGAGTCGAGTCTTCTGAGAAAAAAGCGCGACAGGGAGTGACGTAGTCATAGTTCCTCACTTCCTCAGCAGCGGACCGAAACAGGGAGAAACAGGGAAGGGGAGAAAAAGTGAGATTCGATTCGCAGAAGCGCGAGAGAAGAAATCCAATCAAGGGTGCTTACCTTCAGCTGTATGAAATCATAATTCACACCATAAACGGCACGCATACACAAGTCGCAGCTAATGCCGGCCATTTGATTCACCTGACAAAAAAAAATGCAGGGATTGGGAAGGGATTTGCTGTACTCAACTAACCTTCTCAACATAGTACTCGTTCGTCGTCAACATGTACTGCTTCTCCTTTTCCAGATCCAGATCTTTGACGCTCGTCATGTGTGGGTGTGCGTGGACGGCGAATACAATTGAGATTAGAACTCCGGCGATTCCATACAATCTCATTGCTGGAAATGTGCAAGTTCGAGAGAAAAACAAAATGAAGAATGAAATGAATGCGGGAACAGTCAGGTCAAGTCATGAATGAGGGCGTGCCATTACAGGCACTTCACGAATGCACAATAGAGAATGTCGCCAAATAAGAAACTTTTGTTGCCGTTCGGATCGTTTTACACACCCGCCGTGAGCGAACGGTTAGTTAGAATTTGCATATATGAGTTGTGTACTTTCGTCTTTGCACCACGCGGGTTCATGATGTTTGGAGAGTTCAGAATACATCCATCGTACAAAAAGTGTTTACTTGACGCCACGGACAAAACAACGGGTTGGTCGCTCGCAGATTTTGGAAAGAGAAGAAAAAGAATCCTTTTGACATGATTTGAAACTATAATACTTTCGGCCATCACCTGCCTCGATCACACCACCTCGTCCCAAGGGTCCGATGCGATGTAAACTGACATAGCCGGCACACGTGGGTAGTCTATAACACGTTATTTTTATTTCCCGCGTCATCATTCGACAGAAATTACACCACATGTCAGTCTGATTTTTCTGTTCGTCCCCTCTAGGTTGAAAGAAGATGATACATTTTTTCATTAGTTGTTGAGAAGAATCGGGTAATGATTTTAAAAATAGAGAGAAAACGATTGTGATGATTGGAAACGACATAAATAGTGAAAAAGAATCTCCAGACAAAAGACAAATAGACAGGATGACGAGGAGATGATAAAACTGCGAAACAGTTGCCATAGATGATTATTGATTGATAGTGATGAGCGCGGGTTGGTCGTTCGTATCTAGAACCGTCAAAGTGTAATAGAATGTACTTGCTGGTCACCTCGAATGGAGTCTTCTTCGTATTGTACCCATGACCAGTGGTTATTGTTGAAACTGCCGGTAACACTTCAATAAGCGCATTGTTAAACTTCCGCAGCAACTTCTTTTTCCGTTTTGAGAAGGTGTAGGCTACATAGTAACTTGGTGCGTCTTCATCGCGCACTATCAGGAAGTGTTGGTCCGTATTCAGCCAGGAAAGTTGTCCTGGCAAAAGAGCACTATCTATGGTCGATTGATAAATGCCTCCTTTCCTGGAAAACATACTCTCAATTATTCATCGCATCATGAGAAATCGTCATTTGCCATTCATTTCGTTTCTCTTTTCACTTTAATCCACCGAGCACGAGCAGCAGGTGAAAGTCACCTGTTCACATTACATTCAAACAATTCAAACGGGAACAGACGGCGTCCTAAGACAGCTTCTCACACTGATCGCACTACAATTAGGTTTTGCGTCTTCCGTTTGCCGTTCTCATTTTCAATGGATTACGACCCAAAGAAGGACCTCATACAGTACCGTCTGTCGACCGTCTGCTACAGTGTTTACGGAGCGCTTCCGTGGTTGCCTGGCACGAAGGCACCAATTGACAGATGTAGGGCCCAGCTGTGCGCCCGTTTCGGTCGGAGGGACTCTCGGGACCAACGGAAACACGTATATAATTTATATGCAAACAGCACACCACCACTACCACTCGGTCATACTCGCGCACGCATAGACAACCTCTATTTCCTCGGCCACTACCCTGTTTGCTACCATGCTTTACATTGTATGCAAATTATCGAATTTGACGTAGATAAATACATGGTTGAACACGCCCGGAAGCCGAAGAGTCGTGAAAGGGACTCACAGAATCAAATTCTGAACGTTGCGTTCGGTTTGTGCTCGACGGACCGGGTTCTTCTTGATAACCTGCTCAAAACGGTTACATTGGTTCGGTGTGCACAGAAGAGTTTGGTTTTCAAATGCCGCAAAGTACATTTTGTTTTGTTCGACTAAATCTGAAATAAAGATAATTTGCTGTTTGCTCATTTTATTTATTCACATTGAAAACTGAAAGCAGCCGAGAACGCACAAAAAACGAAAACAGATTAGTGGTCTGATACACTTACCCAAAGCCTGTTTGATCGACCGGAATGGAACGTCATAGGTAAGCGGAACCGATAAGAAAGCGTACATATCAGTTTGATAGAGTTGAGTCAAAATGAACGTTGCAAACAGAATGACCAGAAGGAGAACTCGTGAGCTCACCGCAAACGAAGTAATGCTCGTCTGAAATTCGGCCCTGGCCCTATATTGCTATGTTTTCCATGTCAACTCACCGCAAACAGTTCTATGAACCAACGAGAAATCGGTTTGTCCTGATGGAAAGTTTTGACTTTGACAAAGTTGATTAGCAACGTCGTCGAATACAATAACAAGACGGAGAGCACGATAAACAGCCAGACAGTTCTCGAGAACGCGTTGAATATGAACTGGCGAGTGCAGGTAAAAGACGGTGGAGCAATAACAAAAACACTCTGGAAACGAGCAGTAAGAGGTTTTTCTCGGCTGAGAGGACCCGCGGGGCACCTCAAAAACACGCGTTGGATAGGAAAAAAGTACGGCTTCTTCTCGTTCGGACGACATTCGCATAGATAAACCGATCACATCGAGCTTTCCTGGAAGTTGTTTCGTGTAAAGAGTGATAATTTAATTGTGAGCCAAGCTGAACCTTCTTTTATCAGTCCTATCATTCCTGACCAGCTACCGTCGGGTTGTTTTGCTCCGAAATCGTACTGCTGACCAAATTCTTTCCAAACATCAATCTCAATACAACATATAATTTACTCTTTTTTTTTGAGGAATTTGAGAACTTCCTGTATAGTAAAGGAAATCATGAGATTTTGCTCTTAGTGATAAATTTAACTGGTAAAGTTCATGTGAGTATTAAGACGTAGAGTTACGAAACGTCGGGGATCTCTTTTTCTGGGTCAATTATGAAAATGACTCACCAAAGTGAAGTTGACTCCGATCAAACGGAAAACCATTTGCAATATTTCGACTTCAGATCCCGGATACTTGCAATCAGGCCGTTCGAAGCACGTCTGCGCATCCTTCTCCAAAGGAAACACTCCGATGCGAACAGTCTCACTGCTCATTCAAACTGGAATCTCACCAGAGCAAAAAGGGTTCCGTCAAGAATGTGAAAAGATTGTGACGAATATGAAATACGATAGCGGCTCACTCAGATGGACGTATTCTTGACTACATCTTCTTTTGGTCCGAGTGGCCAACACCGCCAGGTACACCGCCACTTGAGGAGTGTTTTGAAAAAAAATGGGGGAGGTTGAAATGTAAACAAAGGATTTGGTTAAAAATGGAATTGTTTATCTGAGTGAGTGATATTCTTTGAGAAATCGTGAGATATGACAACAATCAGGAAGAACAGGTTATATCAAAAACCGAATACAGATATCAAAATAATGTAACCATTTTAGATGGCAAAACTTGAAAAATTATTAGCAAAGAAGAATAAGTAATTAATTATTCGTAGAAGCCAAGACAGCGATTGACGGCTTTTCTCCAAATTACGAAACTCTTCAGAAGAGCCGTTCTCGATTCCTCACTCGGCGTGAAGACGTGGCTGACCGTGACGAGTCCTTTCAGCTCTTCCTTGTTCCACAATTCACGAGAATATCCGGCCAACATGGCCACTCCACGAGCTGCCACGTGGTCCGAGTTAGTCATTCTCTCCACGTTTCGTCCGAGCAGGTCGGAAATGCACTGGCAGATGAAGTTGTTATTCGAGACTCCGCCACAAATTCTGAAGAGAAGATTTACCTTGAGAAAGTCGAGTAAAGTTCAAGTACCTGACTGGAGAGTTCTTGTTAATATACACTTCCGATTCGGCGGCATTGTAGATTTGATACACGCGGAATGCGATTGCCTCCAAAATCGCTCTCACCCTGCAAGTATTCACCGTTCTTATCTGTTTTGCCGCTGTTCTCTTTTCGCTTTCATTGACAACAGTTGACGAACTGCACTCCGCCGAAACTATTCTCCACTTACATGTGAGCCTTCGTGGTATCCGGTCGGATCGCCAAGAATCCGGAGCAGGCGGTCTCATCGTTGACTGGCGTCTGAATGCCGCAGAATGCCGGCACGAACACCGTTCCATTCGTATTTCTGACTGATCCGGCAATATCCGATGTCTGCGTGACGTCATCGAAGAGTCCGATTGACTGTGCCCAATGCAGAATGACGGCGGTGTCATGTGCATTTCCCTCGGCGATGAAGTCCGTCTCTCCGTTGATTCTCCATCCAACAAGTGGATAAAGGCCTGAAAATAAATGAGATCATTTTGATTAAAGTTCAGCGTCAGAATTTGCGAAGATAATATCGCACGAATCACATACACAGAGATCTCGAAACAACACGCGGAATGATGAATCGAACAAATGAAGAGACGAAAAGATCAGCAGCAGTTCAAAAAGTTGCGGTGACGCAGTAAAAAAGGCGCCAGAGTGGGGGGAACTACTCACCAGACATTGACGCGTAAGGTACTTTGCCCGTGTGGACGTTGACAAAAGTTCCAGTTCCCAGTGTGATTTTCACATCGCCCCGCTCCCACATTCCGCATCCAAACATGGCGGCTTGCTGGTCAGCGATCTGAAACATTGGTTATCAAAAGTAATGAGATTAGTTCCAGTGGCCTCACAATTGAAGAAATCTTCAATTCAGTTCCAAAATGTGAGCTGTCGATGATTGGTTGTTTCTCCAGGTCTCCGAGATTTGAGTCGACGATCGGGGAGAGCATGTCAGTTGGGAATCCAATGATCTTCATTACCATGTGATTGTAGGCGTTCTGAAAAGGAATACTGAAGAGGGTCATTTAAGGAAACTTACAATCCATGGATCGAACATTCCGGACGGCGAGATATTTGACGCCTCCACACACATCATATTCGTTCTTGCCGATCGCATAAGCAGCCACGTCTCCAGACTTCCGTAGCACAGATCTCCGTCGGCTTTCATCCGTTTCAGCTTTTCCGATCTGTTGATAGTGACTATCAGTCTGTGCGAGATCATCGCTCCGAGGAATTTCAGTCGTTCGGCTGCGAGGAAACGATTCTTGCGAGTGAAAAAATGAAGGAATCCACCGGCGACGTTGAGGACCTTTAACACGAACGAATTGTTGAGCTGCTGACACGTCTTGTTGGCTCTTTTGTCATTCCAGCAAATGATTCGGGTCTCCTCTTTACGTGTCCTTCTGAAATTGCATAATGTGAGAGGGTTTTCGGGTGATTGTCATTCCAGACTCACTTGTTCCAAAGTACGATTGAGTTTCGCTGAGTGCAGAGTCCGACATTGACGTCTGCGTCAGGTGGCACAGCATTATCTGAAACAGTTTATTTGATTTTTCATTGTCAGTTCAAGAAGTCAGTTTTAATTTCAATTTCGGGGAATCACCCCACCATCAAACTATCATCTCTTATCAGAGACTACAACTAGACACTAGTATCGAAACGAACACCGGTTTGCCTGCGAGAAGATAACCGACTGTCACCATGTTCTTCTGGTCAAGCGCTGTTTTTTCAGTGATTGCCACTCCATGTTACTGATCATTTGGTTAAGAGTGAAAGACGAGAGAACCAGTGTCAGTTTTTCAAGTTGCAATCAAAAATTGCACTCGAGTGTCTCAGGTGACATCACTCTAAGCAAAACAATGGATTGTTGTTGTGTGATTTGTTCTTAATTTTCGGTTCTCGGCACTAATCATAGACAAACAAATCGCGGGATACGGTCGCTGGGACACAGACTATACATTCGAGTTGTAGTCTGAGAGGGAAAGGCATCACGCTATGGTCTTGGTCGGTTCATTGTTGATTACACCACGTGTAAGAGTACAACTCACAAACTCGCTGGATAACCCGCAAGAACTGCTCGAAAAACTCCTCGGGTTCGATTTCCACGTGCACCTCATTGTCGTTTCCCGTTGAATAGATAGTGTTGACCTGTAAAACGAGTTATAGAACAAAACAACGATTGTCTATTTCTGAACATTTTCCTGATAACTGCCGCGTTCTTCGCAGTTTGAATCATAGAGCACTGAGCGGATTGTGGTGGTGCCGATATCGACGGTCAGAAAGTAATTCTCGTTGGTCATTGTATTGTATTGAAGAGTGCTGAGAACTGAAAACTGCTGATATGAGAAAGAACGTGTGAAGAGGTGCGTCGAAAACAAGAGGGCGGGCAACACGAGGGAGGGAAAGCGGCGGGAAGAGACTGATCAACGCCAGAATGGGCAATCTTTAAATATCCCCCGAGTACGCGGGCAATACAGTCTAGTTTCGGGGACCGGGCAAAGGTGTCGGCCCCAGAAGGAAGGAAGGGGGAGGAGACGAAGGAGAAGAAAGCGAGGGTGGCGTGCAACCGAAAAGAGCGACTTTGTTTTGTGACACGTCTTGCAATAGGGCGTGAGGTGTGCGTAGAGAGTGCGAGACGCAGAGACGAAGAACGAATGAGTTGGAAGGACGGTTTTACGCGCCATTTAGGTAGATCATCCTGGTTAGTTATCGATTATTGACGAATTGTTTATTAATTAAAGCGAATTCGTGATTGCCATTCGAAAAATTCAGCGTTTAAATAAAAAAATTCGTAAAAGAACACAAACGAAACGGTTCGAAGTTCTAAATGCACAAGGCGGGGTGAGAAAAGGGGGCCATGCCACAGTCGAGGGGTAAAAAGTAAAATATAAACATTAAGAGTGAAGAAGACGTTCACCATTAAAAAAACCTGCTTAGTCGAGAAAAAAAAGACCCAGAAAGTTGGACATTTAAATAGGAAATGGAAGAAGAAACACCGACTAGTCAGTTCAGGGAGCTAGTCCGAATCCCCCGAGGCAGAAATGATGACAGCACTTTTGCAATTGAATACAATAGTAGAACACAAACGAAAACAACAAAATGGGATGATTCCTAGAACCGGAAGGCGGGCGAGATTATCCCCAGTTGAATTTGAACGAGTAGTCGCCACCGTGTCCACCGTGTCCACCCTGGTAGTGGTGGAATCCGTGAGGGAAACCTTGTCCGAATCTGAAGCTTGTTTTAGTTTGCTCCTATTCGCCCAATGTTCCTTACCCTCCGTGATGACCTCCTTGTCTCTGAGCCTCGGGGTCCAACGGGTCAATTCCTTGATCAAACTGACGGCGTTTCTCTGCAACAAAACAAATTCAGTTTCAGTCACAAAACATGGTTTCGCGCATGTGATTTATCTGTGAAACTTAATGAAAATCGTCTCAATTTGATCCGATTTTGTTCTCTGTGGCGGTCAATTTTTCATTCTAGCCTCTGACCTCTGATCAGATCACGTTGATCGCAATGATACAACCACGCCATCCAAAAATCTCCGTACTGATCTGATACCGTTTCCTTCTCAGGTAGATATTCTTGCTTGTCATCAACCGATCAGAGTTCCCGTTTCCAAGAGTGGGCAACCTGGCCTGGACTTTTGAACCACTTGCATTGATCCTATCGGACCCAACCTCTGCTGGATTTTTGGACTTGGATAGAAGTAAATTGGGTACAAGTATCAGACAGATTGGATTATCTGGTCCCGAGATAAATGGATCAAGAGTCAATTTTGGCCAAAATCGCCCCTTAGCCACTGTATCTCGAGATTAAATAATCCGATTTTGTCCAAAAAGCCAACAGATTTTGGGTCCGATTGGAATATTGCAAGTGGTTCAAGAGTCGAGACCGAGGCTGACAATCGAAAAGCCCTTTCGGCCAATTGCTCAGCGATGCATTCAATTTTACTCACCTTCATCGGTAAGCACTTCTTTTGCAGAGGCGATGTCGATAAACTTCTTCTCAGCCTTCTTCTTCTCCTCCTCATCCGAGAAGTTATCCGGATGCCATTTCTGTGCGAGTTTGCGATAAGCCTTGATGACCTCCCGTTTGTTAGCGTTCCTCTTCACTCCGAGAATCTTGTAGTAGTCACGCTTTCCAGCCTGGGTCTTCAGTCGTTTCGCGTGCTCCAGACCTTCCTTAGCCTCTCGGTGCTCTGGGTTGACTTCAGTAGCTTTTTGGTAATCCTCAATAGCTGGAAATGTGGATTATTTAACTCCTGGAACGCTGGGATCTTTTAATTTACCAGAATCATAGTCTTCTTCCACGAGATAAGCCTCGGCTCTCTCGCATAGAATATCGGCGTCTGAAGGGTCGTCCTTGAGGATCTCGTTGCACTCAGAAATTGCCTGATCCACATGACCGGCTTCTCTCTGGCATCTGTTCGTGATCCGGAACACATTAAGTTGCACTGACGGCGTCGGGTCGAATTTGAGGGTCTTCTGTCCCTCCTCTAGACAGGCCATCCAGTCACTGTTGGCAACCTTCTTCTTCATCGTTTCTGAACAGAAAAAAAGTTGAAGCACACTAAATATCGGGTGGAAATTTAGTACCGAGCGATTTTACCACTTTTCGAAGCTTCTTGTAGAATGGATAGCAGTTCTTGTGATCTGGGTTTAACTTGAGACACTCGCGGATAACGCTGAAAGGTAGAATTCAATGGACGTCTTTTTGAGACCAAGTGCTTACTTTAGTGACTCGTCGAGTTCTCCGACAGTGTAGAGCAACTTGGAAGTATCGAACATCGTGTCAGTGCTGTCCGTGCTCAGTTTGGACACTATTCTCATGTCGTGGATGGCCTTTTTGAGCTCTCCTCGCTCCTCCAAGCATTTAGCGCGCATTCTGTACAAGGTCGCGTCCCAGACTTGGATTTCAATGATATGGTTGATGTACTCCTCAACGATCGAGCAATCCCCGCTCGCAAAGGAAGCTTTGATCTGATGGCGGTACTGTCGGTGTTGCTCGATGAGCGCTGTTTTCTCTTGCACCTCCGTGTTTGATGTGTCATGGTTGAGCTGGAATCATGGTTAGGGTAATTTCCTCCCTTCTTCGGTATTTGCTTTTGCTCACCACACTGTTGTAATCGTTTTCAGCGGCTTCAAGATCACCCTGTTTGAGGAGAATGTTGGCTCGTTGAAGTCTGGCCTGAAATAACCGCAAATTTGTCTCATTTCACATTGAAAACCGATTCTCACTCCGTAGAAGTCGGGTTTCAACTCCAGAACTCTTTCCAGATCGGCAATAGCAGCTTTTCCGCGTCCCATGGCCAAGTAGGTGGTTGCCCGTCGGTAAATTGCCTGGTAACTCCTCGGGTCGAGCTCGATCGCTGCGTGGTATTGCGAGAGAGCATCAGCGAACTGCGCCTGAAGAAAAATCCGTTATTTTACCAGATTTCTAGGGTTTTTTGAGCGCTTACTCTGGCAAGGAACTGACTTCCCAACTCCAAGTGCTTGGCAACCTCCTCAGCAGTCCCTGCGAGCGCGGTCGCTACAAATATCGATTGATGTGAATATTCTGATTACAATAACTCACCAATCCCGGAGCATAGGAGAAACACGTGTTGATATAAGGTCATCGTGTTCGGGTTAATTATCTGAAAACAAGTACAAGTTCATTGGAAATTGAAACGAGAAGGGAATGTTAGAAGCGACAAATTGCTTTAAAAGTGGGTCAAGTGAACTAGTTTCGTGTTTCTCATTTAAACTATTTTAGGTGACAGGTACACTCGTCCAGGCGACATGTCTCTTTCGTTTTTTAATAGTAATTTCAGAATTTTACTATGAGAATAGGCGGAATAAAAGCGGAAACGGTCGATAACCAACGGGAAAGGGGACATCGGCCGAATGTCTGTTTGTGCTGAGGCCGTGTCTGCGTCACTCCCGTCCTGGCCTCTCTCGCTCTAACACACGTCAGCATAAGAGACCTTGCAGTTTCCCCCACGTGGCACACGCTATTGATTCATTCCACAATTGGAAATGCACAACAATGGAGGATGGATGAATGTTATGCATTTGCTGAAAAGTATATTGGACAAATCATTGAAAATATTAAATAAACCAATTATTTGTGGTAGTACGTTGTATGCAGTATTGCGTCGCTGTGAACATTCAATGCGGTTTCTGGGAAATGAAATTTTATGTACTATTAATTACATTTAATGAAATTCGAAAGCTAAGAGAGGAATAAAACTTCAAAAAATGCTTACTCGGTTAATTGAGGTCCGTTTCTTCGAGCAGTGTGATTGTTCTCGCATGCTGCGGACAAAGTCAATCCATTTCGAACTATCGCGGTGTAGGAAGGCCACGTGATCTTCGGAACCAGGTTTCTTTTTCGTGCCACGTGGCAAGCCCATCTGAGTTTCTTCTAAAGGAGGAACCTGCTGCAGTCGAGTTTCTAGCCAGATATTCCGGTGTGAAAACATTCGCTTTAGAAGAAGTATCTTGTTTCTAATGTCCATGATGTCAAAGAGAGGCTTATCTGAGTGGAATGGCGCCCAACCGTTCCGAATCCTCCTAGTAAGCTCTCCCTTCATTTTTCCATCCTACCCATCTTTCCAAGTAGCGACATCCCGACGAAGTTTTGCGGGCCATGTTAGTTGGATACTAGAACGGGTCTTGCAACATTTATGAATAGGCCGTGTTTCTGTTAGAGGACTTCGAGTTGTCGTTCAACGTACTTCTCCAGGAGCAAGGAAACTACTGAAGATTACATGGCCGAGAAATATCCCAGGTCATTGCCAAAACGTTGATTGCGCGCTGTTGGGTTCATATGCATTTCTAAAAGCCAGAATTCGTGCAGCAAAAGTGTCAGTAAACGAAAATTCAGACAGACAACTCCCTGGTTCTTCAATAATTCAATAATTTAATAACCGATTTCGAATGCAAGCATTCAACATAGAGCAACACAAAGCGGAGCATCACTCCTTTTCTTGTAAGTGAAACATTAATGTTGTTCCGTATCCACTGCCCAAACCGTTTGTTCAAAAATAATATCTTTCAGGCTGTCATTCCGCTCCCACACGATTATCCCTTGTGTTGTCCATGATGGTTGAAGTCGTGATGTCCGTTATGTCCGTGGTGCGACATTATTCGGAAAATTCAAAAGTTTGAAAAAGATAATAGGAACTCAAATAAGGAAAGTAGGCCGAAATTGAGTGGATGGAGAAACTGGTCACCGGAGTTGTTTATATTAGTAGAGAAAAGTTGGCCTTATGATCTAATGACATTTTCCGCACAATGACGCTGATAAGTTCGAAGAGACGGGGAGAGTGATGGTTGTTTGTATTTATCACTTTCTGCTCCGCAAGTAAACTACAAACTGGAGTGGACTATTGAACTTCTTCGTGCTGTAGGTACACATTTCAACAGAAACAAAATCATTTAGAAACACGTCACAATTAGCAATGGTGATGGTGATGGTAATACGGTTCCTTGTAAACGACAAACGGTTGTGGGGCACTGTATGGTTGCGGGACCATCGAGTGACCATTGGAACGGGTGCAACTGCTTGCACTGACACAATTGGTGGTGCGACGTATCCGACTCCAGCTCCGACTCCGACTCCATACAATCCGACTGCTGGTTGTGGGTACGGGTAAGAGTTTTTTGGATTGTAGTTGTAAGCCATTGCGAACTGAAACATGGAGAATTGAAGTTAAAGTAGGACGGAAATAGAATTTAGAGGGAATCACAAGATTGAAATGGAAACGAGAAAGAATGCCAAACTTTGTGAAGAGCTCACTTTGCTGGGGGCCTTCTACTAGACTAGGTAAAAGTTGCGGACCAGAAGAAGAGAGACAAATAAACAGTAATGTTACCATCTATTGGAAAAAGAGAGGTGGTTGAGTGATTGACTTCTTGCATAGCAATAATGACGTCGGATCAGAGGAAGAGAGAGATGGGGGCACCCCATGGGTAAAAATGAAAAAAAAACGAAACGGCAATAAATAAAATGACTATTTCTGCCTTTATATACCCCTGAGGGCGTGGCCATTATCATCAGTGGGCGTGGCTACTGAGTGTAGTTAGTGGGCTTTTCCTTCTTCCTACGGTGCCATGACGTTTCGAAATCCCAATCGTACTTTCACATCACAGTCCTTTGTCGGCATTCTTATCACTAATCTCTGCATTAATTAAGACCACAGGTGTGGGAAACGAGCTTCATGCGGATTTGCGGCAAGTTTCGAAGAAGCCGACTTTATTACAGACGTAGATTTGTGATAAGGACGCCGAAAAAGGACTCCGATGGGAAAGAACGAATGGGATTTCGTAACGTCATGGCACCGTGCCAAGAGGATTCGGAAAAGGAGTGATAAGGAATTGAAGGATTTCCGATTTTGAATGCAAGCATTCCACACAGGGCAACATACTATGAAGTTCAATTAAGTGTGATCTAGGACTTGTTTGAAAATTCACGTTTCTCGTAACAGCATAATCCTGAAATTATTTCCAGAGTTGGGTTTCAGACCGGTGTGATGAATTTTAAGAAGCGCTCCTACTCTGATTCAGAAGGGAAGAATAGTGTTCACTGCCACTCTTCAGTTTTCTCTTTGTTCCTTGCCAACGGTAGTTCATATCTCCTTTTTATCAGTCGCGACGTCGTTTTCTTTTTTATTTTAGCCCAGACTTAAACTACAGTGTAGCTCATCAATAATGAGCGGTTGAGTGAGATTTTCACTCACTCACGCTCCGCCCCACTCACGCCAACTCCTCGTAGACTGCTGGATATATAAGCCTCCGTCTCGCTTAGTTTCGGTCATTTCAACTCGAAATGTGGCTTCTCAACAAGATCCGCGGATGGTTATGTGTCCCGAGCGAACGCGACCCCTACCCGTCCCTTGCTAGCCCATCCTCGACCTCTGATGCTCGGCACCAGGCTGCTGAATCAACCGGTGCAGACGCGGACATGAAGTCCACCAAACCGACCGGAAAGGACGTTCCAGATTGATTCATTCAATCCTTCGAAGTGAGGGATTCGTCTACGATTCGTCCTACATCACCAAATTCGTCCTGTTTTTTATTTGAGTGTTTTCCTCAATAAATACTGTTAATTAAACAACGTTTCAACAATACATGTATAAAATTGACTGATACGGCTAAACGTACACAGTCAAATTTCACAGAACCTTCACAGAAAGTAAGAGTGTCGTATATAAGGGCTTGAAGAACCCAAGAAACATGCGTTTATTGTTCATCTTTACGTGCTCTGTCGGCTTTCCTATTGTTGAAGAGCCTTTCGGCAAACTGGTTTCCCATCAGTGGCGTTTTACTGGCGACAACATTCGGACCATCACACGTTCAACCAGCACATTTTTTGAGAAAATTGATTTTCGACACTTCTGAGGCCTTAACTCTCCCTGAAAACCTTCCATTACGGCGCAAAAATTGTACAAATGTCCTTTTCTTTGCGCCGAAGCCTTCTGTTGACATGTAACTATCACATTCGGTTTCCTAGATTTAAAAACAAATTCTCATCCGAATCATCTCTGATTTTTCTTTTCCAATTCTCTTGCCCCATTATGCTATTTTTTCAGATCAAAATGAATGATTCCACCCTAGAAAACGGAAAATCTGAGCCGGTGCTTGACCCTCGCATATACGCGAAGCTTTACATCCGACAGGAAAACGGTGCATCCCAGCAGACCCCTGCCCCAAGCCTTTCCGCTGGGTAATCGATTCACTTGTGAACAAATCTTTGAACTGCCTTTTCCAGGTGTGGACCGATCTCATCTACCTTGTGCTTCAAGTCATCGTCATCCTCTTGTACGTCGGCGTCGTTGACACCACGAAAGAAGGGCATCCGTTTTGATCAGTCGAGATTACAAATAAACTGTTCAGCGTTTCTCTCGTTCCACACGTGCTTTTTTCTCTTCTCCTTCTTCTTAATTACAATACACCGTCTAGACTGAACTGAAAACACTCAAAATAGAACTTCATTTTAGTCTTATTGATAAGGTTTGGCTCTCTGCTTCACGGCAAGCTCCGCCTCTAAATAGAGCTTATCAAGTTGACTCAGGAGCATATCACTCCGGAATCTGGTTGAGCACTGTAAACAAAAATGACTGTGAGGCACACATCGAAGCAAAATTGTTAAGCGCTGACTTCCACACAGTCACCCAAACTGGAACAAGAACACAGACACCGGAACAATGATCCCCTTATTACTTTCTTTCTTACAGCCTTCAGATGTTCAGAAGCACGGTTTCAAAAAGTGAAATATTTGTTCAAACTCGCGGAGAATCATTAGCGCTCCTCCTTTGCTAAAGTGCACGGCTTCTCCCAGTGGCTGCTCGAGTGCGCTCGCTCCGCCCAATTCATCACCGATTATAAGACTAAAATACATTTTCGACCATTCTCTTTCTGATTTCTGGATGCACTGTTCCATCAGAATGTCATCCAATCATTTTGGAAATTATCTGCTTCTAAACCAATCAGAATCCATAATTTTACAGGAATTTCTTCGAGAGCTCATTTTGTACCTCCCGGGAGCTTTTTAGAATTTGACACGATCAATCAATTCTTCTCTGGGTTCCGTCAAATTTCTCTTTCAAATCGCTCTCTGCTCACCTTCTTTCCCATTGACGTACGCGACACCACTGTTCTCATCCCTTTTCCGCTCGTGATATTCATTCCCAACGGTATTCGTTAACATGTGATATGGCTTTTCGTCGAGTCTCCGCCAAACCCTGAATGTGAGTCACTGCGTCGTCAATCTGGAAAATTCTCGATTTCAGAAGAAGAGTAATAGGGATCTGAGGTGTTTTTTGAAAGCGAGGACTGTTAGTCTCGAAGGGGTGAACTATTCTAAGGGTCATAGGGAACTTGAAATGCACTTAGAAAACAGTGGGGAATCAAGACAAGTTCGACATTATTTATGTCGTCACACCTTGCTGTTTTTTGACGACAAAGCAGGTCATCGTGTTCTGCCGGATACGGCTGCGACTGTGTTCTTCATTTTTTTAATCAACATTTCAATTCTGTTCGTGGATTCAAAAATTATTTCTTTCAACTTAAGTCTATTCTGCTCATTTGCGCGACTTCGTGAGAACTTCCAGCGAATAAGTGCGACGTAACCCCTGCCTTGAACTTGCTTTTTGATGACGAATAACTCAGGATGGTTTTTAAATCTAACTGCACTTGATTTGTTTTTTCTGACTGATAGAACGTTAACTTTCATAACGATAAAAAAAAGGGGACCAACACATTCATTCTGATATGGATTCCCAAGATTGCTGAACGCAGACCCTTCCATTCGTTACTCGCTAAATCGTTTTTTTTTGCGGCAAAGTGATGTGCGATAGCATACACTTATTTACTACTACAAGGCATTTTCGCGGTTAGACTCGTTTCAGAAACTTCTTCAGCGAGAGCCCTCCGGTTAATCATTGGTTGGCAGACGCGCCGAGTTTTCATAGCAACCATATTTGTGAGAAATACATCTACATCTACTCTCTTCAATTTCAACATTCACTCTCAACCGCACGCTCTCACTAAACAGTTGTTTCTTTTCAGTAAGAAATGCAATCACAGCAGCCAGAGCGATCAGTTCCGCCACTGCCAAGTTATTCATGGGCTCTGATCCATACTCGTAACGATTCTGAGATAAATCCTTGGGAGATAGCTAAAGTATGTGTTGCCCTCGAAGCTCAACCGCCGCCACTATCGCCACCATCACCAACACCATCAGCATCGTCTATACCTCCAACTTATGATGTAGCAGTTATTCTCGACCAACCTCCCGCGTACACGACACCCGCAGTACAACCTCTACCTGTTGTGAGAAAATTATTATTCTTAAGAAATTAAATTGCAATTCAGACTACTTCACCACGATGCCTAACAAATTTTGAAATTTTTTTTATTACGCTTTCAGTCATCACTTTGGCGTGTTTAATCGCAATCGGCGCCATAGCAATCATAGTCTGAACTCTTCTAAGCATCGTCTTTTTCACCTTATTGCATCCGTAAGTTACAACTCATTATCCATACACGCTCAACATTTCAGAAATCCTGTCAACTTCTCGTCTAGTCTCCTTCTCATTGCACCGTTAGTTACATACTAAACCAATCGTTATTTATTCTAAATTCCAACATGTTCTCCAGTAAGTTTGTATATTCTCCAGCTCCTTTTTTTGCGTCATGTCAATTTAATTTTCTATCAAACTCGCAGAGCGTTATTAACGCGCCTCGTAAATTTCACGGCTTCTCCAAGTGGCTAGCACACGCCCCGCCCACTTTTCGCCGATTATCAAAAGAAACTACATTTTCGGCTCTCATTTCTCCAATTTTTTGGGAAGAGTTATACCAATGTCGAGGACGGCATTGTATTCCTTCCAAAACAAAATTCAAATGTTGCTGATGTGAGAATGTTGTTAGAAATCACATTTTTGTGGAACATTTCTTAGAAGTTCTTGGAAAAGTGCGCAATCGTACCGTTAGATCCCTTTTTAAGATTTTCCCATCAATCCGTTCTTTACTCACTTTTTGTCATTGACGTACGACATCCAATATTATCATCCTTTTTTCGCACGTGGTATGCATTCCCAACGGTATTCGCTTCCATGTGATATAGGCTCCGCTGAAAGTAGAGTGTGAGCAGCAAGTGTGAATCACTTCAACGTCAATCTGGAAGTTTCCTTGCTTTAGACGGCGGAATTAAGCCACATACATCATAGATTTTCAAAACCGCTTCCTGCGTATATTCGGCTCATTTTCTGAAGTTGTTTCCATCTTGGAGACGTTTAGCCGTTGAAATTATGAATATCCTCGTCATTTCTCGAAATCCAATTCTTTTCGACTGTTGAGACAACGTCCTTAACACATTAGGTTAACTCATATTGATCCGAAAAATATGTCCTCCAACTCTCTCCAACACTGCTCATTAGCGCGGCTGCGTGAAAACCCCCCAGTAGGTGAGTATGATGTCGCTCCGCCCACGTTTTCGCGTATCGACAACGGATAACTTGAAAGGTTTTCAATCAAAATTTTCACTTTTCGCTCGAGTTTTAAAATATCCAGAATGATGAGGGGTCAAAGGTAGTACCTATCTTGCACTGGATTGTGAAAGTTCCATTGTTTTTTTTCTCGTCATACATTTGAAGAGCTCAAAGATCCCAATCTAAACCGACAGACAGGGTGTACCGTTGTGCAAAACATAATCAAAAATAACCTTAACACACCTATAATTTCGAAGCTCTCAGGCCTTTACACTTGCGTCAGAAACTTCTCCCCAGAGAGGTCCTCCGGTTATTCTTTGGTTGGCGGTCATGCAGAAGTTATTTAACAACCATCTCATGAAATTAATGAGTAGTACTCGTTTCGCTCTCAGCAGCCACCTCGAACCGCATGACTTTTCTAAATATTTGTATCTTTTCAGATAAACATGCAATCGCCGCCAAGAGCGCCACCACCTTCACCACTCGCATCACTTTCAAGTTATCAATCGGATGTCTTCAATGCTCCAGAACTAACAGTTACTCCTAACAAATCAAGCGTTGAGATACCACTCTTAGTTAGAATTCCGGAACAACAGATAAGAAAATCATCGGAGGACGGAGAATAATTTACTTGCATTCCAGGCCTCACCACCAAGAACCTGGTCAATTTTCCGCTGCCAGACCCTTGATCTCATTCTCACCCTCATCTTTTTCTTCATCTGTGTCGTTGTTCTCACGTCCTTCTGGAACATTTGGAACAAATAATGCTACACTTCACCACTGAATGCAATCGTAAGATCTCCCATCGAACAGCGCTTTCATCCACAAACATCGAACATTTCAGGGATCCCGTTACCTGCTCGTCCGTTACTCCGTACACCGTCTACTCCCTTCCAACATACAAAATAACTATTATCTTAGCTAATTCTTTTCTTCAACTTATTTTCTCAAATAAACCTATATAACATTGAGCTAACAACAGAATTTCGAAGCCCATTCTTGAATTTGGGAGGAATGATACCTTTGAAGTAACTCTCATACTATATCGGATTCACTCAGATTTTATAGGAAGGTGCACAGGAAGCACAAGTCATTCAAACCAATGTCTGGTCTTCTCGAAGGTCTTGTCACATGGGCAAAAGGGAATGGTACCCTACACGAGAAAAATCATGTGGAAAAGGAAGAGACCAAGGAAACGTTAAAAGGTGTATATCTGAGAGAGATGCTAGAAGAGGATCAGAGGGAAACGAACCGCGTGTCTGTCGAAGAAGATTCACTTGAACTGTTTGCAACTCGTGCATCCAGATTGTTCGATTACCCTCCGAATAAGGGAAAGTTCCTCTCAATCTTTAATGACTGAGTAAGTAGTTTCTAATATGTACATTAGCCAGACATTTTACTCGCAAAACACTTGATTTCAGTCTCATCCAAATCTTTGTCACACACTACTCAGGCATGTATCCACTATGCGTGTTTTCCTAGCTTTCCGGTCACGTGGTCGAACTGTTTTCAATAGTTCTTGTTTCAAGTAAGCGTATTTCTTTCCATACTTCCGGTTTGAGCAACAACAAAATTCCACTAAGCTCCGCCCCTTTTCCCGACAAGGGCACGCGCCCGCACCCTTCTGTAGCTCTGCCAAAAAACCCGCACGCTGTGTGTGTGTTAGAAGGCTATTATCAGTCGCGAGCAGTTGTCCCGCTTCTCCTTTTTACACGGCCAAGTTGCCTAAAACGCTTTCTCACCCATTCGACAGCTTCTTAAGTTTGAACAATTTAGAGTCTATGTATTTACATTACGTAACGAAAGGATGGCGGTTTTTGCGTCGTTTGGTGCGTGGGCGTTGCCCAGCTCCTCCAAACAGTCCGTCGACTCGTCGCTCGTGCCCCATCTGCAACGCTTGATTCCGCCCGCTCCCCATTTGTTCAAATGGTAATCAAATCTCTGATCTACAAACTCACAAATCTTTCAGACTTTTCTCACTCACTCTCCCTCTCTTTTCGACTCGCCCGCCTGTGCTGCTCGTGTGCCCTGCTCGATCAAGCATACTCATCACTAATTTTGTTTTTTTTTCTTCCTTCCTCTTTCCTTTTCACTCTTTTTGTACCTTCTTTTCAGTCAGTAACCTATCAGAATAATGAACTTGTGTTACTTAACTATCGGGGTTTTTCGAAAATAATTGACGCTTTCGAGAACTACACCCCGACGTCTCTCTGGTAAAATCGGTTTCTGTGACTACCAATGCGCAGTGTGTTTTCACAAAAACAAGAGAGTTTCTAGCTGAAGTCGATTACGCATCTGATTCATAGTAGGCGTGCCCTTTTTCTAAAAGCGCTCGCTAATGAAGAGTGACTCCGCCATCACGCGCAATTTCACTTCCCCAATCAATCGACCTTTTTTCTTTTGTCAAAAGCCATTGCTATTTCGTCAAAATTTCCATTGTTCAGTAAAATGAGTGCTCATTCCGTGCCGGAACTTCTTCCGTGGACCTTCAACGGTCGTCACAACCAGGGAGCACCGCCTGAGAAAGAAAACATCGAAAAAACCGGCCGAGCGCCAATAATGTTCCATCCCGTAAGCAAATTAGATCTGACACGAGTGAGGTACGGAAGAATAGCCAATCTTTCTTGCAGTTGGGATACCCCTTCAGCAAGGCCGAACTCCTCATCATCCTACTCTTCATCCTACAACTTCTCTACCGTTATTGCCTGTGAATTTCTGCATCAATTCATCAATTCGCTTGATTTCAGTTATTAGTCGCAATAAATATTGTTGAGAAAAATTGTTCTCAGTAAAACACGAATACATTGGAAGCGTCGCTTGAACCTTTCCAAATTCAGGCCAAGTGTCCCACCCATTTCCCATCCTTAGTTTATCAATTCCAAACAGTTTATCTACTGTGCGTTCTTTTCAGTTATCTTGTTGCTTTTTTCTGTTGTTGTCTTAACCTCGCATTCAAATCGAAAGCTGTGACGTGCTCATTGGCTGATACACAGACGGGCAGAGTGCGCGCTCTCTCCTCCCCGTACCTGGCTCGGCACCCGAATTGATGATTTTACTCGTATCACCTCTCAATTTCCATTCATTCCTATGACGCTCTCGGACAGCTCACGCATCCACTTCTTCAGCAAGAAAATTTTCTGATTTATCACTTCCACATTCTACTTTCCTCGCCTTCTGTCGCCGTATTGAAAGCTTCCTTAGCAGAATTCACGAATAGTAGAATTTTCAGTGACATGTCGGAAGAAGGAGAACTCCGTATCGGCAACCTTCAGGCGACTTGGGAGGCGGCCTACGCCTCCCGCCTCCCGGCCGAGGTCACCATCGAAATAGGAACCGCTCCTGAGACGAGCAACCGACACGACGGAGACAGCTACCTGATGCATTGCCTGCGCCAGGTAAAAAACAAATGTATAAAACGTCTTCTTATTGTCTAATTTTAGATCTGGCAGGCTTTGCAATTCTGGAGAAAATGGACTATCTGACTCATCGCCACCTCACTCCCATCTCACCTCGAAATGCAACTTCCGTCTAAGCAACAGAACGTTAACTAATCCCGATTTATATTTTTGTTTTCATCTTATTGTAATCGTATATTGTTCGCATAATATCTAGAATAAAAAAATCATAAAAAGAATCGCCACATACCAATGTTCGATTAAAATAGAACGTTACAACAGAGCTTATCTAAAAAAAATGCCGACCAACTTTCTAAAGAATTCGATTATTTTTGGCCGAAAGCGCATACGGTTTTTTTTTGACTGAACAAAACTTTCGAGGAACCAAAAGTTGTACTTCAAATAGGAATTCTTGGAAATATTTCGAAACGTCGACAAACGTAGACGCAGTGGCCTCCTATGTCTCCTATGCAATCTCTCAACAGTTTCAGATTCTTGTCAGTCCTCTAGTTGATTTCTCCTGGCCCACGCACTTCAGTTGATGGCTCTGACGTGCTCATTGGCTGATGCACAGACAGACAGAGAGAGCTCGCTCTCTCCGCCCGTGCCTGGCTCGATGATGATTTTACTCGGATAGTCATCAGAGAGACTGCCGGCGCGTAATTTTTCTCTCGTATCAGCTTTCTCACTTCATTATCCGCTTTCCTAGCCTTCTGTCGATTTATTGAAAGGTTCCTCTTTATTTGATAATTCACGTATAGTAGGATTTTTAGAGAAATGTCGGATGAAGGTCAACTGCGCATCGAACACCTCAAGGCGACGTGGGACGCCGCTTTCGTCCCCCGCTTCCCGGCCGATGTCACCATCGATATAAAGACCATTCCGGAAATCGGAACTCGATTCGCCGGAGACAGCGATCTCATGCACTTGCTGCGTCAGGTAGAAGACAGATGTATTAAACGATTTCTTATTGTCTCATTTTAGATCTGGAAGACTTTGAAATTCTGGAAGAGATGAATTGGCAATATGGGATCTCTACCACGCCACTCAGAACTCATCGTCACCACACTCCCATCTCACTTCGAAATTCGTTTACGCAACGTCTACCTACGCAACGTTCATCTACGCAACACAATTTTGTCTAATTGCAGTTTTTCTCGTTAACTATAAATTTTCAGTATCTAGAATTAAAAAATCATTAATAAAATCGTCACAATTATCGATTGAAGTCGAGCGTTACAACAGAACTGATTGAATAAGTTAAAAAAGGATTGCGAAAAGACTTCGGCGGCTCTCATTTTCAGATTTTATAGTTTTCAGGTGTACAGTTTGGCTGAATGCTCAACCAGCAGATTCAGATTCTAAAGTTCAAAAAAGTTCAGACCAATTGAATCAGTCGAGCTCGAGAATATCTCATTTGGGTGCCCCTCTTTCCTAAATAGTTCCTGCGATCTCTGGCACAGACAATTCAACTAGAGTTGAACACAACTTTCGAGGAAACTACAATGTACTTCGGCTAGAAATTCTGGGATAAACTTCCGAACGTCGACAATCGAAGACCCAGCGACCTGGCTCCTATTCAATCTTTCCACTGTTTTAGTTCCTTGTCAGTCCTCTAGTTGCCTTTTCCTTGTTCAAGCAGTTCAATTGATAGCTCTGTCGTGCCCAGTGGCTGATACACAGACGGCCAGAGCGCTCGCTCTCTCCAGCCCGTACCTGACTCAGCGCTCAGCACCCGAATCACGAATTTACTCGGATAGTCTCCAGAGACATTGCCGGCACGTGCCATTTCGCATGTCTCACCTATCAATTTTCATTCATTCCAATGTTAGTATTAGTTCGTTTTCTGACGGAGTTCTTCTTCTGCTCCCTATTTAGGCCAGTGAATTTTCTTCGCTTTTCACTCACATTCTTAATTTCTCTCGTTTTTAATCGCTCTAAAAATTATTATACCTTCGCGTATTGCAGTGATTTCAGGATCATCATGAATGAGAGACAGCAATACTTTGACAGCCTCACCGCGGCCTGGGATGCGGTGTTAGCCGCTCGGCCGACGGAGGTCGTCGTCCAGATTGAAGAGGAGGCGGCGGTCTCCACACGCCTCACTGCAGAGAGCGAGCCCAGGACATGGCTGCAATGGGTAGAATATTAATTTATGAAACTTTTGCTTATTCTGTGTTTTTAGATTTTGCAGCTCTTCTCCTGCTGCCGAAAATGAGTTACCAATGGTATCTGGAGAGAGTCACTCCCATCACACCTCATCTCACCGCACCTCATCGCATCAGCTCCGTTTCACCGTTTCACATACCTACCATCATCATTTACTTCCAGTTTCTCTATCTCTCGTTTACTTCATCTTATTGTAATTCAAGAGTATGAGTAGCTTAAATAAATAATCTTTGAAAAGACCCATCACACAGCAATTCTTTGAACGTTCAAACAGAAAATGTACGAGTCAGTTTGAAAAGGACAAAATTGTCGGGAAAGCTCTGTTTTTGGGTTTTCACGATGAGAAAAACTTTAGTTTGGCTTCAGTTATTTTATCAATACATACAGATGTGGCTGCCACATCGTCTTGAAGACGCACTAGAAAAAAGCCCATCATCCGAATGCTTTTCCGACGCACTATTCTGAATGCTTTTCCGACGCACTATTTGAGAAAGGTAAAAGACAGAGGTATACAACTAATGTTTATCCTGTGTTCACAGATCTGTCTGCATATTTCATGATGAAAAACTGTGCAAAAGGATGTTCAACTGGACAACTTCCAAACACCGAGCCAGTTTCTAATTTGTTGTTATCCTTCTACCATAACCCCCACACATATAATCAGATAGAACCGACGCACTGACCACAAAAATCTCTCTCACAGGTTTCAATTATAGTAATGATAGTGTGTTTCGTTTGTTTGTTTTCCCTTTTTTCTACACCAAACAACTGAAAACTCTGTTTCGTTTTCTTCGGGGACTTTCCCTTTTTCCACTTTATAACTTCGTCAAAAGACGTGGAAATGATTCAGTCCACATCATTTCTGGGGAGTGCTGAGTTCATTGAGAAGCAAGAGCGAGATGTCCCGGGAGAGTTGGTCGTTAGGCGTTTCTTATAATTGCGTCTATTCGGTTGCCATCAAGAAGTCATCTTTTTTTTTTCGAAACCTCTCATTCATACTAGTTTCACTTGATCCGCTACTACATACACGATCGACATGCAACGACGATACGTTCCTCCGGGAGGTTGGCCACGCCGATGTGGCTCCGACGGCGACATCAACCGCCTCATAAGAGAACGTGAGGAGTGGGAGCGAAACCAAGCGTGGCAGCGCCAGCAGCAGAGAAAATCCCGCTCGGTCAAGCCGGAGAAAATCGCCACCAAACCGCCACTGGCCACCAAACCGCCACTGGACAAGAGATCCAAATCGAAGAAGTGAGTTTTCGAGCAGAATCATGAGCGACTATTGAAAACAATGTGTTCTCATTCCAGGTAATCCGGCTCCTTCTGCACTGAGACACGCATTCTTCCGACTTTTCTACCGTCATGATCATCATCAACTTTACCTCTAAATTTTGCGTATTCAGTCGTGTTCTCAGAATAAATATGTTAATCGAAAAATAGTGCTCAAAATTTCACTTCCCTCTTCAAAAAGTCGAGAGTAAGATCCAGACGATCAAAAGTTTCGAATCAGAAACGAGCAGTGCCGTTGTACACAGAATTTCTCAAGTTTTCTGGATTGTTCCTGACCATTAATTTGCCACGTATGTGACTTCAATGGAAGATTCAATGACGCTCTACTGATTGCGAAATAAGTAGACATGTGCTGATGTGAAAACGTGTAACACCAGACAAATAACATTTGAGATGAAACTGAAAGTTGCGTTTCATTTGACAAAATGGTGAAGACCGTCATATTTGTGAATGTCCTCCTCACTTTCAACGTGACCTTTAGGGAATTTTCAATTATCCGGCAGTACTAACGACAAAAATTGACATGGACCGTTCGGATCCACATGTGTCACCTGTAGACGGCCCCCGAAACAGTTTTAAAGTTCCTCCAACATTCCACCTATTTGTTGTTCAAAAATCCGAGTGAACGAACGAGATTCGTCAATGCATGAGTAGGCGGAGAGCATCGCGATTGGGCGCGTCGTCCATGGCAACGCGGGGCGGCTTGATAACAACAACGTGCATTACGTCAAAGACGAGTTTAAGGTATACAGAAATAGTATGGAAAGCACTGGAAGTGGCGAAACGGACTAGAACTGTGAATGTAAACGACAGGATCGGAGCAGACTTGTTCATATCTCTTCTGAAGCCCATTTTGTGGGGCAATCGGACTATCAATTTAAAATTGTTTTAAAGTCTTGACGTCGTCCTAGTTGTAACATTCCGATAGGAGTCAAACTGACCTGTCAGACTTAGATTGAAGCATCTTGGGTCAGAAATTTAGACCGATCGGGGTTCTGGAGATTCGTGGGAAATAGCTTAATGAAAATCCAGAAATCATGTCGGTCTGAAACGGGGCTCGGCTTTTCTAGGTCCGGTCTTCGCGTAGACTTTCGAACCATCTCTCCAAACAAAACCCAAAAAAAACCTATATCCAAGTCCAAGAAGTTTGTAAAGTTTCGGCCTGATCGGATATTGCAAGTGGTTCAAAAGACCAGACCAGAGCCGGCTCTCGAAAAGCCCAGCTCTGGTCAGAAACCTGAATCCACGATTCTTCAATCTAAATGAATTTTCAAAGACCTGTGTTGTTCGAGACTGATTGAAATATTCCGACTACGGAAAAAGTGAAGTTCTAAACAAGATCTTGGAAGGCCCGAGTGATGGCTAACACACGTGGCAATCTGATACGTTCTAGTACAGTCAGTGAATGATCGTCGAAACAGAGAAAATATGCCTACATGATTCAATCCTTAGCATTTGCCATCTAGCCCCTAGTGCTGCCTATTTTTCATTAAACAAAATTATTATACTTCAGAACACGGCTATCATTACAGCCAAATTAAGAACCAGCTCACAATCAGAACGATTCTGTCAAAAACGGCGTCGAAATCGGAATATGAGCGAAATTTATACTTTTGGGAGCTATACACGGCTGAGAGCATTGCAGTGTGAACTTTGAAAAAATGACTAACCTGATATCTTTAAGCATGTCGCTTTGATAGTAAATTAGCGAAGAATCCGATCCAAATATCATTTCGTAATGATCCTCAAAATGTGCTCAATGCCCAGACACTAAGATGGGCGGAGTCTGAATTCGGCTCTACGTTTGCCCTTTGCAAGGCTTACGGTAGTCACTAGGAGGTGCACCTTGCTTCGCAACACGTTTCAACCAGAACAGAGAATAACGGTTCAATCTGACTTCATTTCTGAATCCATTTTGAATTAATTTCACAAGGGCAGCAAACAAGGGGACAAGGCACAAAGAAGGAATTATGATTCGGTCGGCGTTGATGTTGTGGATTGTCATCCGCAAGACTCATTTCATCTTGGTGAGTGATTTGTAAATGAAGGTCCCGAACACATAGACACCCGCCGTAAGGAACACCGCTGCAATCTGAAACAACACGTGGTTGAACGTCCGGTGAGATTTGATTTACTCACCACGAGTTCGACGAAGCGCCAGCTGCAGAAGAAGTTCGCAACCGAAGTCAGAGTTCTCTTGAGCACACCGGGACGAGAAGTGTTCTCTACGTGGGTTGGGCGGTAGATGGGCTCTTCTTCGCCCGACGAGCGGACGTCCAGCGGGTACATCTCAATGTAGCTCGCATTCGGTGTCATCTTTAAAGAGAAAAAGTAGACAATAACAAGAGAGTAAACGGTTGTTAACATGAAAAGAGTAAAACGACAGATGCCACGAAAACTGTAATTGATATGCGCTCTGCTGGACGGAACACATGCATAAACATAAAATCGATCTGTTCAGCCGTATTTCGACGCCAGACTTTTTGTTCGTGCACACCTCGAAAAGAGCGAAAATCAGAAACACGTGTGAGAAACTGAAAAGAATAGAAAAAGGAAACAATAGTCAGCAGACAGACAGATGTGTAGATAAACAGTTTTGTAAGAAAGGGTCTCGTTTTTTCTTCTCAGAATGCCTAATGATAATCCACGTTTTTCAAACGAATGTACGAATTATTCGAAAAAATTGTTGGACGCACAATTTTGCGCTAAATTGGATAATATCAATTGCGTACTGGACAAAAACATCGTCAATCGCAAGGCGGACGCAATGAAAACGAAAAACAACTGTTCTCCAAATCATTTCTGTATTTCAACAGCGAGGAAGAAACAATATTTTCTCTCCGAATATTCGTTGATGTGAATGTGTGCTGGTTCTGTTTTATTGTTTTCCATATATCAATTATTTTTATTGAAACGGAAAAAAATCCTTCTCAATATTCATATGAGAAAGTGAATATACTGTAGTTTGGTTTTTTGTGAAAACTGGAGATGGAAATGGTCGGAAAAGAAACAGCGACTCGACGGAAAACTGAATCTGTACCTGAATATAAAGAAACACTGATATTCTTTTCTCTGAAAAATAACCAGTGTCGTTTATTTTCAAATACAAGTATCTGTGAATTCCCATGTTTGATTGTGCGTCGCGAGCCTATGTTTTTTGAAAAATAAAGGAAACATGTTCTGATGCGTCGTTGGTTTGATGATTTCTTTCAGAACATTTATGAGCAAGTTAACTTTTCTGGAAATTGTTTGGGGCTGTGACGGGACGGACCGAGATGTTGCAATTCTGCTCTGTCGGAAGATGACCACGTGTAGTTGATGTTGTTCAGATAACTTCTCGACGTGCTTAATAAACTTTTTTAACAGCACAAACTGCATAAACCGCAACACTTTCCAAGAAACGCGCAGAGATGTGTGTCAACTATCTCTAACTTTCATCCTATGACTTCAAATCACTTTTATCACATGCATTTCTTTTTCTTTCTCTCTTTCTCTCTCTCTTGTTGCTTCTTCGTATAGTCGGCACCAATCACATTTGAACATTTCCGCCACCACCTGCTCCACAGGATTATCATGCCCGTTTGCCGGGTTCCGCGCACGCGTAACCCTCAATTTGTCGGCGTGCCACCTCGATAATTATGCGACAGGTGTGCATTTCCGCCTAATGAGCGGATTCTGAACGAATTTCAAAGCGGATGCCGAGCTGGGTTACGGTAACTGGATTAAGAGCAGCTTTCTTTTCTATCTCCGAGAGCAATTATATTCGGATTTTCGGTTTCAAATATCACATATCGTGGTTTGAATCGTGGACCACAACCACAGAAACCTTCAATTAGGCTTCTCAACCTACGAATATTGGAGCTAGACGTAAACAAGCACCTCAAATTGGAAACTGAACTCCCCAGAGGATCTTGACCGGTCAAAACCTTCTGATTCAAGTCGTTGTGACGCGCGAAGAAGTTAAAAACAAGCGTCATAGATGACACTTATAAACCACAAAACTTCCAACAAAAAACAGAGGGGCGAACCTGAAATCCTGAAATGTGATTAAATTTCTTCAAATTTATTATTAATCGCCTTCAAATTCGATAGACAATATCACAAAAAGTGTCTAAGACTGCACATTCATCTAAAAGTAATCATCAGGGTTAGTATCATCAGGATAGTTGAGCATAGTAGTTATTTCGTCACAGTTATCAACCGTTTTCAGCGGTCTTTCTCACGAGATTGCCAGTAGCAGCACATGTCTCCATTGTGCCTGGTGAATTCTCGAATATTCATATCAGAGTACAGAAGCGAATCAAGTCCTTCTCGATGGTAAAGAATCGGGATGATTTGGTCGGCTGGTTCGGGCCAGACAAAACTCCCCAGCAGTCCACGACACTTTTCGATGAATCCTTTAGGTAGGGGTGGAATCAGAAGGTCCGCTGGTGGTGGAACACACACATTCACGTAAAAGTAAGGATCCAAGCAGTAGGCCACCATGCCCGCGGAATAGTCTTCTGGATACCACGCAGCTTTTGGATGGGGACCGTTCTTGAATTCCGGGCTTTCCAAGTAATGACTCAAAATTGGCGGTTCAAGAATGCGTTGTGGCTGTCCTGGAACATGATCAATCAAACATTTCACTTCGTGTTAGATGCCATACCTTGCTTGACGAGTTCTTCTTCTCTAACAAAATGTGTCCAATCCGGGCTTACATACGGCGGCGTGCCAGTCGGCCACAAAGAGACACTCTCGCAGTAACAGTCGAAACGGAACACTCGAATAGCATTCATAGGACGAGTCATATTCATTCTTCCGGCAAATCTACGCGAAAAAAGACCTTCGGCTTTGTCCATATGAAATTTCTTGACTCGAAATATCTTTTCAATCTGAGACACAACTGCGAAAACTTCTTCGTCGCCTTCGTCTTCTGAATGCTCGAAGGCGTTGTGACTTCATTTTTAGTTACCAAATCTCTTACCACTGTTGATCTCCTCTGGCCCTGATTCGAGATCGACATCGACATCAGAGTCACTCGGCTCGGATTCAGTGATCGACACATCGTATTCAGTATCGTCTGATAAGCTGTCTGCACAATTCCAATCCATTTTCTCGTTTTCCAGTTGTTCTCGTTTTTCTTCTTCTAATCGTATTCTTTTTGCTGCCGTCTCATGCTCAGGTGCACTTCTCGTACGCCTTGGACGAGTAGGCTCTTCCCGAGAAAGGGACAAAACTCGGACTCGTCTTCTTGAACGGTTCTTACCTATGCTATCAATGCGCTAAACGTCAAAATTTTTAACAAGCATGAGTAAGGGACAAAATACCTGTTGCACATTTGACGTAACAGTAGTCATAGTTCCATTTAATCGTGGGGGACTTGTTTCGGACTGTCTCGGAATAAAACCCGAAGTCCAGATCTGCGAATAGAAGAAATAAGGAATGGGCAAGGATCGGGGGAGAGAGAGAGAGAGAGAAGGCGGAACAGAGAGGAACACAGAGAAAAAGAGAAATGAGAGGAGAAGGGGGAGACCGGGTGGCCCTGGTGTAACCTCCCACACTGCCGCCTTTTCCCCTGATCATTTGCATTTGACCCTAGAGAGGACAGACGGGTCCACGCCAGCCCAACGGAATAACGACTCATCTGACCTCTGCGGAAATGCGAGAGAGTGAGAGGGAGATGAGAAGCAGACACAAGGGGGTCATTAACAAGGGGGCGGAGCCTAAAAGATCCACCATCTCCCTGACGGTATCTATTGTCCACCGTCGGAGACAAATGTGTTCTTTGATAAACCTGTATTTTAAGGGTTACCAATCTGACTTGAACCCCGATCTTTTGATCTCAATTAACTACAACTACAGAAGCTGAACAACAAAAAACCGAACACTTTTGCTGAATTGGTGTACGCATCTATTTTGAGTGAATTTGTTTATGTGAAATGAAACTGACACCTTTGTTTAAAGCGAACACTTTTTTGTTCAATGTTTGTGGGATTGAGAGAAGAGGGAAAGTGAGCGGAGAACTAATTGAGGGACAGAACTGAACAGTTTTGGCAACCAACCGGAAAAAAAGTTTCAAAATATGCGCAGTTATCTTTGGATTACTCACTTTCTGATGCTGATGAGGTGAAGGAAAAATAGTGAAATGAGATAAAATTGAACGGGCGAGAAAAACGAAGAAAGTGATAAATGCGACAATTCCGAAGGGACTCTTTTAATGGGCGTGACAGAATTCGGAATTCTCTTATCTTCTGTTTCAATAAGAGAATTAAAACGGTAACAAAATGTTCACAAACATCTTATCACCTGAAGCTGCTCCTCCTTTTACGCAAGTGATTTGTAGTTTCCAACAATTTCGCGGCACATCAAGAAGATGCCGATGTAAGCAAGTTTGTGTGTCAAATGATAAACAATCCGACACGACGTCATTTTCAGTTTGACAAGAAATGAGACAGGGGACTCTTTAGTGGAGCTCAGAGTAGAGTGGCAGAGAAACAAAATTCTGATTCTAACAAAACGAGACTAGTCAGCTTCTGCCTGAATACATGTTATTCGAATTCAGAAAACTTGTTTATCGAAGCAAATAAGACAACACCCGTGCTTTCTGACTCACGTCTACATTGTTGTTGAAAAACTCAAAATTCGAAAGACTCCTTCTGTTATGGTGATCAGGTTAGTCATCCAACCAAATCAGAATGCAGCTCACAAAAAGTTGCAAAGTTTCGCGGAGAGTGTGTCAACATCGTCTCATTTTCTTATCATCGCATTGTCAGCAGTCAATAAAATTAATTGGCTCAAATGCATTTGCGCTAAAATTGAAACTGTTCACTGCATCGGCGCTGCAACGCTATCATTATGTGCACAATATCGGAGTTGTTTGTCAATACGCCAATTCGCAATTCACAATTTGACTTGAAAAAAGGGAATTGTAGCCTTCAAGCGAGGGATTCTTCGGCATTTCTTCCCAAACTTCCACACGTTGCTCGAAACGCGTCAGTATGTATGCAAGTCTCTCCCGATTCTTTCCGTGCCGCAGCATGCGGCCGGCCGCTGCCAGTCTCGTCTCTTCGCTCTCTGCGCAACCAGTTTTTATCTAGCCTACCACCTTCAGCAGTCATCCGCCTCATTGGCTCAGTGGCAGAGCGTCTGTCTAGTAAACAGAAGGTCGCTGGTTCGATTCCAGCATGAGGCACCGAACTTTTTTGGCTTTTTGGAGGCCGCAGATGAATATATAGCAAGCGCGGGGTGGAGGAAAGACGTCCGCCTCATTGGCTTAGTGGCAGAGCGTCTGTCTTGTAAACAGAAGGTCGCTGGTTCGATTCCGGCATGGGGCATTCGTTTTTGTCATAAATTTGTTTATTCACGTGTTAACGATATCGATAATAATAAGGATAACTATTTTTCATTTTTGGCACAATTTGTATTGTAAAATCACAATTCTGTATTCCATTTTAAACCAATTCTTCAACATTTTAATTCAAAGTAATCAACTTCTTAATATTTTTTTTCAAATTGGGACATATTCACATCGTGTCAGCACAATTTTACCCCGAGCAAAAGGAAACACCGAACAAACTGAGGACAAACGGGACCGGGAAATTTTATTTCGAGTAAGCCGTTGATGCATAATTGACGGCGGAGGTGGTTATCCGTAGCGAGTAGTGGTCATGTACATGGTCTGTTTCTTGGACAGCTCGCAGATCTCGACCATGTATCCGCAAAGACTAGTGAAGAAGCCATGGGCAATGATTCCTGAAGCACGGTTTTATTGTAAAAGAGCATTGGAAAATGCTGTGTTACCGTGAATGTTGCGAAGTGTGTTCTTGTAGCAAGCCATGTCCTTGATCAGTTCAGACTTAGCCGGCTTGAGAATCCATTTGATCTGGAGAATATCGTTGTCGTTGTCCGGAACGTCTGGCTCAATGCAGGCACTTTTTGAGTTGAGCAGGAATTTCAGTCGAGTGAAAAACAGAGAAGAGATCTGGAAGCAACATTGATCGTCTCTTTTTCTCATCAAACTCACTTCAAGAGGAATAACGTCGAGTGGCTGATACTTTCGGTCGTCAACGTAACGATAGAAGAAAACACTTTCAATTGCAGCCTCATAGTAACTTTTTCGGACGATGCAGTCTGGACTGAACTTCACAAACGCGGAATCTTGATTCATCTACAGTATTGCCTAATTAAAATCCCCGTTCTAGTGATCCAATTGACCTTATCCTGCATTTCGAAGAAGTAATCTAGCTGGAATTTGTTGTAAATCCCTCTATCGTCGTCCGGCAAGTTGTGATGAGTTTCGTATCCTGCTTCGGTGAGCCATTTCACATGCTGAAACCGCATTTCACTTCACAGTCGCTTTGATACGTTTAATCTCACAGGAAGGTCGGTGCAGAAGATGACTAGTCCTTTGCATTTTGGATGTTTTGCATTGTCGATGAGCCAATCAATAAGGATCAGAATGACGGGTCCCGATCCCAGGCCGATTTTCATATTCGGTTTGATGAGAGCTCGTGTGACGTGGTGAACCACCTTAAAATGTCGTTATTTCGGATTTTCCGATAATAAGAAAAAACTAACATCGTGATATGACTTTATGAAGACTTTGTTTTGGTTCATGATCGATAAATCCCAGCAATTGACCCGATTGGCTGGAAAAAATTATTTCTTTTGGTAGGTTATTTAAAAATCGAAAAGAGTAGTGAAAGAAGGAGATACATCAGGAACAAGTGGTGAGAGAGAGAGCCAATTTACTTGCCGCCAAAAAGACATTCTGGCAAGCGTGGGTTTTCCTTTTAGACGGGGGAAATGCACTATTCGATATGAGAAAGAGAGCGGAGAGGCGAGAGAGAACGAGAGAGTGTGGCGTGACGTGTTCACCGCGACGCGAACCGTGGAAGAGGCGAGAGAACGGGCGCGTTGGCAGAGGAGGCCGTTTTCGGGTGGGCAACTGCGAATAAAAAGCTGTTGACCGCACTATTCATTTGTTTCGTTTCAAAGACGGAAAACATTGGAGGTTTCTTTCAGTTGCTTACAAAAATTGTGTGGCCAACGCAAATGTGAACTAATTTATGTGTGCAGAGAAGAGAGGAGACCTCTGATTGAGCGAGAGAAGGGAGACCGTCCGGCAGGAATTTAGAAAAACTGTCGCCATTTTTTTGATTAGAAAACCAGACATGTTGCAAAGCAAAGCTTGAATGATTTCGCAATCGGGGAAAAACTGAATTTTCTGGGAAATGATTGATAAGCGGCAACTGCGGACATCATTCCAACGTCGAGAGAACTTTACACTCTGAAGAATGGCTCTGATAAGGTTTTGTGGCAAAATCCGCATTCATATGGCGTTTGGCCACGTATTAAGAGGAAATCGTACTCACGTGCACTCGGCTCCCGCTCACTGGATGACTAACGCAACTTGCGAACAATGCGTGCTTGCAGGAGCAACGATAAAAAAGAACGATAGGCGGAATCATCAGCATACTTCTGTGCTGAAGAAACATAAAGACACAGATGGAAAATTGTACCATTTCGTAAGACATCAGAGGAGGATAAGGAGAGTATTGAAAAAACCGTCCTTTCTGACTTTTTTCCAAATGGTGAGTACATTTCGTCCGGTGATTTGTTCATAAAAAACATATGGTTTGCTTGTTGGATCACCTCCTCGTGGTGCAAACTGGAAATGCATGCACTTGTCCGCCAGCTCGTGCATGCAGCTAAGAATCCACCATATCTTCATATACTTTAAGCTATGTTTTTTAAACCTATTCCTTGTTAGTTTTTATTAACCTAGTTTTTGAGTTATACATCAGAGCGACGAAATTGACGTTTTGAGACTTGATCTGGCCGTTAAAGTGATTTATGACTACTACCACAAGAGACTTTTCGATGTAACTTTGGGCACTCTATGGTGTCAGTAGCTCATATACGAAAAGTTTATCACGTGGCCTCCTTTAAAAGCATTTTTCTTCAAACAGACACATAGTCTTTGAAGGTTCCCTGGTTCTTCAAGATACAAGTGGAAGACGGATTATAGTTTTTTAAATTATCGTCGTTAGTTGAGTTTTCGCAGACGCTCGACTTCTCTCTGCAGTTCTTGAATCATCTCGTTCATCTTCTTCTTTTCCATCATTTGATTGCGCGATTCATATTGAGAACGTCCTTGGGCAGCACACAGCTTCATTTCAGCAGTCAGTCTTCTCTCGTTCTCTAATGTCACTAGTCCTTGCTTGTACCGCCTTATCTCTAATCTGTTTCTGTGCAGAGTCCTAGATTGCCTTTCACGTATGTCTGAAAAACTCAAAGTTGTTGTTGCCACGAAATAAAAAGACTCGCCTGCTGCAATACTAATTTCTCGCTGCAGTCTTTGTATGTACGACTTCCACGACTCGTCCCTTCCCTTCTTGATGACTCTGTTATCCGTGGGTGTTACGTCGTCATCCGTCTCTTCGAGAAGGTCAATGAAAACTCTGGCAGCAACTGTGTCAGTCTGGTTTGGGTTGTTCTCGCTTCTTTGAGATTTGTTCTTGGCAGACACCTAAAATACGTTCATTTGTTCTGTCAACACTGTGAGAAACTTACAGGTTTTTCTGTTGCGAAGAAGATTTTGACTGTAGGCTGCCCGTGATTACTTCTGATTCCAATTCGGACCACCTGAAAAAGAAATATTACAGCAATTATGTACAGCAATTGAAATAGGTTCATTTCAAAACCTCATAGACTCTCCCTGCCGCCGTTCTCACAGTTGCTTCGTTGTTCGAGTACCGAGCGATAAACTCGCCTTTCCACTTCGGTTTGAACACTCTTTTTGGAATCTTTGGGTGTGTCTGAAAAACTCGAAAGAAGTCAACGTTGCAGATCGGCCAGTAGGTTTACTTTAAGATCGGCGATGGAGAGAATCAGCGGGACTCTTCTGACAACGCCGTCATTGCGTACCTTAAAATATTATCTAATTTCGAAAGAAATGAAGGAAACGTACAGTTTTCTCAAGTCTTTTTCCTGGATGCTGGTAAATGACTACCATATTGTCAAGTTACTGTAAAAAAAATTTGGTGACTGTAGGACAAAAGCTGCTGAGGATAGCACGTAAAAGTAAGATTAGAAGAAGTAACAGAGAAAGCTCTGTTCAAACTGGTCGACATCAATCAAAACTGGTTCCCCAAGAGTCTGTGAAGACTCATTTTCTGTTTCTCAATGTGCACTTAATGAAAATGTCGAAAAGCGCCATCGATATGTGAATAGGAAGATACAAAAACGGAAGAAGAAAGACAAGGATGGAGAGGGTGCAAATTCGATTCCGCGTGGTGTCATAAAATCCGTGGGCTGACACCGCAGTTTGATGGGCTGTTGGAACAGCAAAAAATGCGTGCGGAGATCGGTGAACTGCTCCTCTTAAAACGGGGAAAGGGACGACTATATATTGTATTAAACAAACAAAAAACAGAAGATGACACCGGGTGGATATTGTAGCAAAAGAAGGAGGGAAATGTAGTCGTACTAGGAGACGATACGTTTGCGTCACCGACATGAATGAAAATGATAGGTCACACCGGCAGAACACGGGCGTAACTTTATGAGCTGCTGGTTACTACATATTACAAAATCAGATGCTCCGATAAAAAAAATAGGCGTGCATCAGTTTCAAAAAGACTGCAAATTGATTCTCTCTGTGGCACCATCTTGCCTCAACCATAAAACGTCTGAACTCGTCAGTTTTCACCTCAAATGGCTCGCTTCGAAGAGGCACTTTGCTGTTCAAACAGAAACATTACTTCATCAACTATTATCAACTGCGGATTTACATGAGACAAAAAGTGAAGGCGTTATCAACGGAATTAAGATAAAATTAACTGGTGACGTTATAAAGCTGAAAAAAAGTGAAGAAGATCGCGAGTTGACCAGGCAGTTGAATCAGTGGGCGGAAGCTGGCGGAGCGTTTCCAGCGTGCATCAGCTTGCAATTGTTGCTGTTGGTGAACAAATTGTGGGCCAGAACGACTGCAAAAAATTAGACTAAAACAGTGTTTGCTCCGGCTGAAAATTACATTCGGCCTCGTCGAGCTCCTTCTCGATCGCATTCCAGTCCTCGATCTTCTGCTCAACTGATGGGACCCACTCAATGTAGAAGCGGTCCTTGCCCTTCTCCATGTTGCGGCGAAGGCCAGTGATGCCTCCCTTGTTTGACGGCCACGACTTGAAAAACACCTCCCCGTTGAGGTTGTTGGTGAGTTCCATGGGAATTCCGCGGATCTCGTCCGAAACCACGTGGTTTCCCGTCGCGATCATGTAGATGAAGCGGGAGCGCTTCCGCATGGCATGGTTGAACTCGGCGACCGCATCCGACTTGATGAAGATCGGCTCCTTCACACCTCGCGGGAAGCAAACGACGTCCGGAGACTCCATGTAGAAGTCGAGCATCGGAATCTCCTTCTCGTCGCCGCTACAAAAAGCGAGAATTCCGACTGAACGGAGATCATCCTTCATCTGAAATCAAGACCAATTACTTTTCACACGCTTTCGCGGTCACGGATCGTACCCATTCCTTGGTGCAGTGGATCTGCATGCGTTTCTTCTTCACTTCCGGCGCTCTAGCCTTGAAGGCGTTCATGATGCTCGTGATCGGTTCTCCCGAGCCGAGTCCAATCACGGCGTCCGGAACGATGAGCGAGTTCGCCATGCTCTTCGCCATCTGAATAAATTAGTGAGAATTGATTCTGTCCTCCCCATTGCCCATTACCTCTTCCATTCGTTGCTTAGTCATTTCCGGAATCTCCATGATGTCGTTCGTACCAAAGAAATTCTTCAACGCTGAAAAATCGAACAATTTTCGTTGGGAGCAAGGCAACGTGTACGACGAGAACACAGTTTGTGGGGGCGATAGTGGGGAGGAAGCGACCAGAAATGGTCTTTTCGCGGAGAAGAGGGAAAGAGAGCCTCTGAGATGTTTATTGTTCCCAATCATAAGGCAATAAAAGTGGGGAAGAGTGTGACGAGAAAGCATCGACTCGAATTTATTCCATGAGAGAGGAAGATCTGTTCGTTTTGCGTTGGAATTACGGTAGAACTACAATGATCAAACATTACAGGGAAGGGAAATGCATATAACGAAGCGTTTGGAAACGGAAAACCAAAGAAAAAAGAAGAAGGATTGACTCAGAGAAGAAACAACGAAACACGGACGACTCTTCTCTCGAGAAGAAGAAGAAGAAGAAGAAGAATTGGAATGCGTGTGTGTCCGCGGGCTGCCGCCACCCTCGGCTGGGTCGGTGGCGCGCAGCCAAACGCGCCACGGAGAGGACCGCTGCGGCGGCGGCGGCGGCGACGCACACGACCATCTCGCGTCTCGATCTCATTGCAAGACCACCCATACAAGTGTGCGATGACTAAGCTTGTCCTTTTACCTGCGCAAAACTGAAGAAAAGGGAAGAAAATCGCCCAAATATGTAACGGATACGATACACCACGCTTATCGACAATCAGCGAGACGATCAGTCTCTGAAAAGATATCAAAATGGGGACAAAAGAAGCGAATAGGGGCAGATGAAAAAAGAGGCGAGGGGGGGGAGAGAAGAACTAGACATTTGAAACGGAAGGGTAGGTATACCGTTAGATGTCGACAGTGCCATCTTGTATGCTAATGAGGAACCGTGAGAACGAGCGCAACAGAGATTAGACGGTGTGGTATTGCTAAGAGACGGCTAGGACACACATAAAGTGACACAAAACGGAATCATATTGTGTCATTAGTATAAACAGGAGAGAAGGACGTGGAAGCGCTAGTTTCCACTCGTGATGTACCGCGAGTAGATTGTCAGGGACGAAACCGATGAAGGAGAAAGGGGTTCGCTGAGAACTAAGGGAGAATAACCTTCATAAGAATTTCAAAAAAGGGGACAAGCACTTTCGACTTATTCAGGAATGCACAAATTAGACCTCATAAATTCATTAGTGTTCCCATTTTATAAACATATCACTTCCATAGAAAGGTGACCAACTGCAGAATAAATATACAACCTTTCATTTCTCGTTTCTCGTTCAAAAAAACTAGCATTCCAATGTTAAAATTTGGCTTTTTTGTGTTTGCTTGTCCTTTCCTCAAAAATGACCAACATTTCTTTGTTCAAATACAGCCTCCAGACGTTAGTCGATTTGAACTGAATTTATCTTCGCGCATGTTGCAAATCTGGTGGAAAAAAGTGACCGTATTTAGCATTCGGAGAGCCATCGGTCAATGTTCAGCCTTGGAAGGGTTCTTGATGACAGCTGGAAAGTGTGCACGCCGTCTGCGTGATGAATGCCGCAAAGGGGCTGCTTGACGGTACCGCTGCCGCCTTCTCGACGATCCTCCTCTCCCCATCCGTTTACAGTATTCATCATTCTTCTAGTTGACAGCTCGGCGCGTCAACCATATTCACACCCACAGTCGGTCCTTTCTCGGGCCGCCGGCTGTCGTCTTCAGCTGCTTTTTGTATGTGTTTGTGAGCGAGTCTTCGAATTGAAACACTCACCGCACACTCCTCCTCCTTCTCCTCATCTTCTTCATTCTTCTCAGTCCGCAATACTCTTTTCCATCTCGATTCTAATCGTTTAGCACATTAGCGCCACCTGTACATTCTTCGCGCATTACTAATAAAAGTGAACCCAAGTGCCCCATCGTTTTCTCTTTTCCCTCATATCATAAAACCATCCCGAAAGACTGAGAAGGAGGAGTCGGGCGGCGTGCTCGGCGTGCTTCTCTTGGGGCACATCCATCTCGAAAAAGATCTGTTGAGTAGGGAACAATTCTTCTTCATTCAACGTGCGGGTGGAAACGGCAAACAGACCCCCAGATACTGGCTATATTTTATTGTGGCCCCTAAAAATGGGCAAGACCATTTATCAATTGTGGGCTTGGGTGCCTCCCGTTGGGGATTATTTCGAGAGGGAGGAACCCGTGAAAATGGTGGAGGGCCTCTTACTGCAAAGCTTTGAGCAAATTTCTCTTTCCTCTTCTTCTCTTTTTCATGTTTCCTTTTTCTTTTCTCGTTCCATTTTTTCGTAACTGTGACCTACTAAAAAGTGGTCTGATAACAGTAGTGATCCACAATTTGTGATCAACCTATCATCTCCTCCCAAATCTTATCGATAACAGCTGTCATGCGGCTAGAAGAATTACAAAAAGACAAAATTTGTCGCACGTACGAGTTCGGGGTGATAAATCAATGCATCTATCTTTCGAGTCGAAGCAGATTCCACCGGTTGGCACCGCTTTTATCTCTTTTCTCATCCAAACATTGTGATTCGAAACGTAAACTTTGCCCCAAACTTTTATCACTTCACTCCACAACAGAACAGATGATTGAGATCTAGAAGCGCTTGGGTCCCGGTGTAAAATATATGTGGCAATTCGGATTGCTCAATAAAAGTGGTGGATTTTGGAGCCCACTGACCTTTGCACAAACGACTTTACATTCGAGTGGGAGGCCTCTCCGCTGGCATTAGAACTCACACATCTTCCCTCATCCTGGCGGTGACTTATCCATTCCATTCCATTCAATTCAATTCAATCACTTTTCCTCGAGACTCTTTTCGCCTTCATTTCTCGAATTGCAGTGTTTTGTATTCTCTTCTTTCCCTTCTATTCCTTAACGCTACAAACGACCTTATCAATCTCACCTAAACCATTTAGCGTCGTTGACAGTCGACACAGAAATTGCACTAAAATTTTCCTTCTCGTTTACTACTCCTCTCTCCATTTTTGACTCGTCTTCTCTTCTTCCAAACCAACCATCCATCCAAAATGAGGTGTCTGTTAGAAGAATGTACTGCCTCCCCCGCTCCCCGAGAAACAGAATAATGGATAATTTTTCATGTTGTCCTCGTGCCCTGCTGGAGGCCGCTGACTGATCTCTATCGTATTCGCCTCTTTCCTAAAATGAGGTTCGAGATACTCTACCAGATTTCATAGACTGCCCACGTCAATATTCTCCTCTCGGATCTTTAAGTTTTGCGCGAAAAATTTACGAGGAACACGGAGACACCCGTGGAAATGATGAATTCATCCCATCTTGATGTTATCTTCATTCTCTCTCACTGGTTTTTCATCAAATTTTTTAGTATTGTGTCGTTGTTTGTCTATCCATCCTCTATCTTCATTAAGAATCTCGATAAGGTTCTCATTTTTCTGCAAAAATTGACATCTCACACCTTTTTCACTCTCTAAAACCAGCAGAACCCGTCGTCGTCGTTGTCGTCGACGATACCGATACCGATACCAAACAGCAGAAAATATAGAGAGACGGGCGAACGCGTCACAGTTACATTCCTCTCAATTTCACTCCTCCCAGTTCATTATCATGTGTTAGAAATTTTCAATTTCTCGCCGCTGCGTCTTATCAGTTCTCCCTAACACTAACAAAAACTTTTGGCGTCTCTTGGTCAGGCGATGTTGCGATGGTGAAAAAGAAAAGTGAAAAAAGATTGATTTACAATTTGAGAAGGATGCTCTGAGCCTAGAGGAAAAGAAAGTTGTAAAGAGTGATGATCTAGTGCGCTTCGAGAAATGAGTGATCGTTTTCGAAACGCGTTTTTGAGAGCATCGTCTCGTCCGGCCGAGTGTGTGTACTTACTCAAAGACACAATTGTTTGGCAAGAACATGCCGTGGTCCCGGAACAGAGATGATGTCAGTTCCGATGATTGCTCATAAGTAGAAGGGCGCCTGTTATCAGTGGACACGGGGCGCACACGGCAGCCATTGCAACACTTTTACCCATTTCTTAAACAAACTATTCCAGTTTATTACCCTATAATTGTGCTACGTAAATATTGTGGATGTAAGATGTAAGCGTGTCGGCGGCAGGAAACGAGTTAAAAAATTGGGTCGGCTAACGAAAAAGAAAACAATAAATAAGAGTCGACTAATTATATCCTTAATCCAATCCCAATTCTGAATTAACTGATAATTTATTGGCCCCTAGCTATCCCAGCCCGTCTTCCTCGTTAACCAATGAATCCTTATCAACGTTGTTTCTCTCTCTCCCCCAAATACTTTCCCGCTTGTTCACTTCTACCCACTGATGACTGTGCCTCCCTCTTTGTGCTATAGATATCATTATTATTGAAACAAACCACTTTTATTAGCCTATTTCACACCTTTTGCTCGCTCGCTGATAGCAAGTACAGGCCTTAGGCTTGAACGAATGAAGGGGAGAAAAAAATGGAAAGGGAGAAGAGGAAGAAGAAAAAAAAGAAGAAGAAGCCATCTGATATCAAGACCGCTCTAGGTACAAACCGCTCTTATTGTTGCTTTTCCTTCATTACACAGACTCTCAGACTCTCTATTTCACCGCCCATCACCACACTCTCTTGTGCCCAGCAGATTTGTAATGTTTTCAAACATTTCGTTCATCTTTTTTTCGATTCTTTTCCCCCCACACACGAACATTTTTTCCATTGTTTTTGATTGAATCCTCGTGACTTTCGCTTCTGTCTTTACAAAATTATATTTTCAGCAAAACTGGGATGGACCTGGATCCGAACCTAGTTATAAACCATGACGATACGAACTTGTCGGTGCTATCCTCAAACATGTGAGTCCCATGATCCCTTCAATCTTCTGAAATTCTCTGAAAGTTTTTCAGGGAGCACGACTCCAGCTACTCGGACACACACATGGGCGGAACGCCGTCGACCGCTGGCCATCATAAGGTGGATATGTGGCGAAATCACAACTTTGACAGCGGTTTCCAAACCATGAATCACAGCGAGGTAAGCAAGATTTTTGCGGGGCAGCCAAAGGGATAGGATAGGATAGAAGAAAGATTAATGTGTTTCAATTTCCAGGCTCCATCTATTATTTCGTCGTTGCATCCGTCATCGCATCTATCCGCAGTGTCATCGATGGCCGACTACGAGCCGGTGCCGAATCTTTCGGATCAAGTGAGGGAATCGTTCCCGGAAGTGTGTGTATTGATTGATTTGCAGCAAAAACAAAAGTTCGATGGGATCACTCAGAGTCCGGTGGATGGGCAGTACAACACGGTCAGAGCGATTCCAGAACTTACGAATCTCATGAAAGATCAGGATAACGTAAGGAAACTTGCAGTTTCTGTTGTTTCAGTTCGAAAGTCTGAATTTTTATAGGAAGTAGTGCACAAAGCAGTGATCCTGATGCAGAATATCGCCAAAATGGAATGCGATCCGATGCGACGACAAAATGAAGCTCGAATTATAGATCCACGTGTCATTTTTACACTTCGAGATCTCCTCCGAGATAAGAAAGACTTTCCGGTACTCCCCACTTTCAAAAAAATAAACATCAATTCGTATCTATCAGAATATTATCCGTCTAACTTTGGGAACTCTGTTCAACATTTGCAACCGTCAAGAAGGCATCGATCTCGTCACCCGTTCGATCAATATGCAGCCTGATATCATTCCCTATCTTATCAGTCACATTGGGTGAGAAAAATCGGAGAAAAAGAAGATTATTGAGAAAGGGAAAAAGACGCGTGTTTTCTTACAGTACCTATCCAGTCTCCATCTACAAATATGCGATTCTCACCATGCATTCGATTCTGTCCGACAAGCAGCGAGGGGGACAAAGTGTGGCGCTTGCGCGGCAATCTGATGCGATAACGGTACAGATATGAAAGAAAAATGGAAAAAGAAAAACATTTGCGGAGATTATTACAGCATGTGACACCTTGGTTGGAGACTGAGAAGTCGGAGAAACTTCTGCCAGTGATAGTGGATTTGGTGCGAATTCTTTGCGAGAAGAACAATGAACAAAAAATGAAATTTCTGCAATTGGGCGGCCCACAGAAGTTGCTCTTGATTCTTCAGCATCGAGTTTATGAGAACTTGCTTTGGAGAAGCACCCAACTTCTGAAGACGTTTTCCAACTTTGTGAGTGAAATTAATACAAATACAAAATAATGTTATTTGTTCAGGACGCACCAAACTTGGTCAGCTACGGAGCTCGCCACATTCTTGCAAAGTGGCTCAATCACGAGAGTCCACGACTTGTTCTGGCCACTTTAGAAACGCTGAGAAACATTAGCGATGTGCCATGCAAGATGCGAGAAGACAACCTTCTGAAGTCGCTCCTATCTCTTGTGAATTCGAGAAACGCAACCATCCGGTTGTATGCTGTTCAGATTCTTTCGAATCTTGTAGCAAATAACCGGCATAACAAAGTAGGAAAAAGAAACTCAAGCAGCAACTAGGTAGCGCAATGTTTTCAGGAGTTTCTGTGTGCTAATCATGTTGTGGAAAATTTGACTCGAGCTCTTGTGAATGCTACTCAACACATGCAAGGATTGAGCAGTAAGGAGGCTCAAATGATGGAGGATTACATGGTAAAAACACAAACAATTGTGATGATTCATTCAAACGGCATGGTTTTCAGGAAAGTATAATTTGTACCCTTCGACATCTGTGTGTGGGACATGCAATGTGCGACAAGGTTCAAGCGTTCGTGTTCCGAGACCCATCTCTCTTTTTGGACAAGTTGATGAGTATGAGACCGGTTTTGCTGAAACATACAATGAGTGTAAGTAAAAGTCAACTTTTTTCGTTTTGTTACTTCTTTTTTTCTGCAGCTCCTTCTGAAAGTAGTGTCTCAAAACCCACTGCTTCATCCGTTCCGACAGTGCCGAATTGGTGATCGGGGTTTTGTGGAGCAACTGATTCATATCCTGCGCGTCGCTTGCAATCAATTGAACGTGGTGGGTGTTATCAATGTGTTCAGCAGATAGTGTGAATTATGTTTGCAGCAAGAGTCAATTGAAGGGGTACGAGTGAGGGAACTGGTGCATCTTTGTATACAGTTGCTGAGATGCATCACTCGAGACCAGGACATTTTGAACGAGGTACAATATCAAGTATTTTCACCCTAAACCTATCACTTTTGCAGGTTGTGTTCTTCCTCCAGACGCCGGAAAACAGTCGGATGGGCGATGGCCACACTCTTCCAATTTTTGTGCTACAAAAAGCGAACGTTGAAGAGAACACCAAATCATCGACGATGGCGTTGATTTATAACCTGATGCACCATGAGCAGATGGCTGGGGTGCTTGAGAGAGACGAAGTGCTTGTAGAAATGCTTCAAACTCTCCAGATTCAATCGCAAACCCATCCGGATCTCTGTAAATATCACATGCATAGTCCGCTTTGAAAATGTGCAACTTTTCAGCAAGTTTGGCGAGCAATATTCTCAAAATGATGATTGAGAAGCGAGAACGAAGTCGAAATGTCTATCAGAGGTACAATACACATTTGGAGGTACTCTGAATGTTTCACGAGACAAATTTTAGTCTGAAATTTTCAGAACCGATTCGGATATCTTAGCATGACTACCGCGAAAAGTGAACCGTTAACCGGTACTGGTGAGATGTACGAAGGAGCCGGGGAACAGTGGTCGGTCCCGATGAACGAGAAACCAATGATGGATTATTGTAACATTTCTGGGAGAGATTCCTCAAGTGAGTCCTACTAAAAGCCGACAACTTACAACTAATGTTCCAGAACCTTACAACTCTCCGATGTACCACTCGCCGCCCATGTATCCTGATTGTCATCTATCGGCTCCACCTGATGGATACTTCGACCACCATCAACCATCCACTTCAAACCTTCCTCGATTGACTCCCCCACACTACAACAGCTATGACAACAGTCCGCCAGTCTACAACGAACTTCCATCACATCCCGGTCCCAGTAGCCACCACTCCGATCATTACAACCCTAGAAGTCATCCTCATCAGCGATTTTGATAGTTTAATGACTTGATATTATTACCCTCTCTCTCATAATATTAAGCGGAACTTTTGAACATTCCTTCAATTTGAGATTCTAATGATTTCGGTACGGGTTAGAAGATTGCTTGCAAAATAAATAAAGATTGAATAAATTATTTGGTTTCAAAAGATTTTACTTTATTTTGTATTTTAGTTTGTAAAAATGGAAAAAGGAAAGAAAACAAGTATAATATACAAATGTTGGTTGTTGAGGTCTCAAAGTGATCAGGCCATTTGGTTCATTTCGTAGTAGATACCCTTCATATTCATAAGTTCTTCGTGATCTCCTTCTTCCGCTATCTCTCCATGGACGATCACGTAAATTCTGTCAACGTTTCGAATAGTTGAAAGCCGATGAGCAACTGAAATAAAATAGAAATTTTTATATCCAATTTGACATTTTCTCACTCTGAATGCACGTGCACTTGGTCTTCATGGTCTGTTTGACACGTTTGAATGCACTCTGCACCTCCCGCTCACTCGCACTATCCAAGGCGGAAGTGGCCTCGTCGAGCAGCAGAACAGTTGGCTTTCTGATAACTGCTCGAGCTATTGCGATTCTCTGTTTTTGACCTCCAGATAGCTGCGCTCCAAACTCTCCGACCTCAGTATCATATCCCTGGAAAACACGAGATCTAGTTGGTGAGGTCAAAATTTCCTCTTTTTTACTTGTGGCAAACTAATGATGAAATTGTGAATGTCCGCAATCTTGGCCGCTTCGATAACCTTATCAATGGTCGCTTCGCTTTCCATCATTCCGAATGCAATGTTTTCCTAGAAAAAGATCAGATCATTATCACATCTCTATCAAATTTCCATCCAAAAGTGAAGATGACAGATGAATTTGGTTCGGGATACCTTGATAGTGAACGAAAAGAGATCCGGTTCTTGGCCGACTGTTACAATGCATCTTCTCAAATAGGCCGGGTTTATAGACTTGATGTTGTACTTGTCGATGATAACAACTCCGTCCGTCGCGTTGTACATTCTTTGGAACAGCCCGATGATCGAAGATTTACCGGAACCCGAAGGTCCTACAAGTGCGATCGACTCTCCGCCTCTGACCTGAGCGTACAACATGTGAAAACCTGAAAAATAAAAAAGGAACCAACCTTCAAGTTCAGTTTTGTCAAAACTGGGACGATCGGTCTTGTTGGATATCGGAATGACACATCTTTCAGGCACAGATTTCCTTCGAGTTTCTGAAATTTGATTTTGAAAAAAGAGATATGCGCAAAAAACTAAATTACCGGTCTCAATCCTTCTTCCGAGAGATTATCCATATCAACTGGTGGCTCTCTGATCACTCTCATCACATTTTCAGCGGCAATCTGTGCTTTTGTGAAATCGCTGACGGAAGCGATGAGTTGGGAGAAGAAGTTGGCGCCGAACTGTGTGAGCAGAACAACTCTGAAATCTTCCCGTCCTATAAATTTTTTTATTTTATACTTGTGTTACCTCATGTAGTCAAAAACGCTGATCTCATTAGCCAACATCATCACTTTTCCAAAGTACAATGTGATTGCAATGAGAATGTACGTGAAAGAGTACTGAGCAGCAAACACAAACGCGGAAATCAACGATTGCTTTTGCATACATCTGAAAACATCTCGATATCAGTTCAAAAGTGTTCTTATTTTTGACTCACTGAGAAACAGGTTTCAAAGCATCACAGAATACATTGTAGAAATGGGATTGCAGGTTGTAGGCCTTGATGGTGCTCATGTTGGCAAGGACCACTGTCGCCAAATTCGCAGCTTTCTTTTCTTCCTCCACCATTTGACGTTGTCTCTTCGTTCCTTCTCTAATTTGCAAAATACGTATAATGAAGTAGGCTGGGAATTGGAACGAGCAAAGGAGGGCCATTTTCCAGTTGATGAACAGTGCACAGACAATAGAGAATACTACAATTTTTTGAGGTTTCTACCAATTCTCGTAGATAACGGATACCAGAGCACACAACTCCTGGAATAAGCATGTCCAGTTTCTGCTCCATAATCTCATTCAATGTCGATGACTCGTTGATGACTTTGTGAACCAACCTTCCCGGACTGTTCCTCTCCTCGTCAAAATATGCGGCGCCATGTCTGAGAACCTGGAAAGCGAACAAACATTCTTGTCTGATGTCATTTTTGTCACCTTTCTAAACATTTCATTCCTCATAAACATGCAGAATCCGTGACCGTAGAGGGCGATGAAAAGACGCTGAAAAACACGATATTACAGCGGAAATCTGAAAACTGGAACAACCCCAAGTGCTTCGAAAATAGTCTTGACAATGATTAGAGCTGTGTAAATAGCGGCTACAATAAAGATTTGAAGTGCTCGCTCCTCATCTGGGGCTATCGAAATCTGCATAACTTTGGAAATATACGTGGATAAAAGGGTATTCTCACTTCCAGAACGGATGCAACTTGGAAGCAAATAAGCAGGTAGAAAACAGCTCGAACAATGGTTGTTGGAATGGCTCCGGCCAACAAAGGCAGACCAGTTCTGTAGGAGTAGATCAGATCTTTGAGAACAGTGAAATTTGTCTCTTTTCCAGGAAGATCCTAAAAATTTCTGATTTTCAGTGAGAAATTCCAATAAAAACTTCTCACATCTTCCTCTATGCTCTCTCCGTGTTTCACATCCATACTGTGAACTCTCGAGTACTTGTAATCCAATCTCTCTGATTTTTTCTTGCTCATCACCGGCAACTTCAGCTTTTCCTTTTCCATACTGTTTACGGAGTACGATTTTCCTAACTTCTTGTTTCCGCCCAACGAACTACGAGCCCAAGCCCTTCTCTGTTGATCGGGGTCCTAAATGTCCATTTATGAGGGAAGGTCACTAGATTTACAACATGCCAGTTTGGGCGGAGGACTGAAGGACATCTGTTGCTGGAGTGACGGTTTTGCCTGCAGATGTTGATGCTGTTGGCTCAGTTGGTCGAGACGTTGGTCGTTGTACATCTGTCATTGTCACTTGGTCAGCCACGAAATCAGAGAAAATAAAGTGAGCGCCCAGGCTCGGGAAGGGGAAAGAAAAAGAAGGAAAATACAGTACATACCTTGTGAAAGATTCCACTGACATCAGCCAGCAACTCGTCCGGTGGTCCTTCCTCGACAATCTTTCCCTCGTGAAGAACAATTATCCTATCGGAATTCTTAATCGTTGATAGTCTGTGGGCAATGGTGATTGTGGTGAGACCCTCCGAAGCCAGGTCGATGGCGGCGTTCACTTCTTCCTCGTGAATATTGTCCAATGCCGACGTGGCTTCGTCGAATATCAGAACAATCGGTTTACGGATCACGGCTCTTGCGATGGCAACTCTCTGTTTCTGTCCTCCCGACAACTGGTGACCTCTAAATGGATGATGTGATTTGAACAACGAAAAACTGACCTTTCTCCAACTCTCGTTCTCATTCCATCGGGCAAACTGTTGATGAACTTCCATGCTCCCACTTTTCTGGCAGCATCGTTGATTTCTTGCTGAATACAGAACACAAATAAAAGATACGGAAAGTTGCGGAGTACCTGAGTTGCATCTAATCGACCATATCTGATGTTATCACTGATCGTTCCGTCGAAAAGCACTGGTTCTTGACTGACAAGAGAGCATTGGCCACGCAAGTCATCTGGCGACATCATTTTAATATTCTCACTGTCTAGTAAGATCTGGAATTTTGAGACTTTTGTAAAGACCAGGCTTACACTCGCACCGATCCTTTAGTTGGGTCATAGAATCGGAGCAGAAGAGCCGTCAATGTACTTTTTCCACTTCCACTGCTTCCGACAATTGCAAGTTTCTCACCAGCTTCTACAGAAAAAGAAATTCCGCGCAGAACTTCAGTTTCTTTTCTGCTTGGATACGAGAAATGAATGTCTCTGAAGTGGAGAGCTCCTTTTCCTAAACATAAATTGGATGTTTCAAAAATCTGACAGTAATTGCTTACCCATGAACTTCATACTCTGTCTTCTGTACTTGCATCTCGTCACTGGAACGTAGTCCACGTTATTGTCAATGGATCCCAGTTCAACTTCGATTTTCGGTTGTTCATCTAAAAGACTGGCATATTTCAGGAAGTTCATGAGTTCTAAGTCCTACTCAAAACTTCACAGATTTCCTTCGCATTGTCTTTTGCTCTTGTTGCTCCGTTGATATGGAAACCGATTGAGATTGAGGTGACACACATGTAAAGCATATTAATTGCCAACTGCAAATTGTGATTATATTAATTTGAACTTCTACGAGAAAAAGTTACAGCGCACAGCCGTCCTGGCGAATTATCAGCAACTCTCCAAATTCCATAACACAATGCACCGGTGAAAATGAGTTCAGTTAACAAGATCTGAAAAAAGGACATTTTATTTTTCTTTCAGTTTCAGATACCTGTGTCAAACTATCAAAAACAACAGACGATCTCAACCGCTCCTCCGTCAATTTACTGTGTTCTGCGGATAACTTTTCAAATCTGCAAAAAAGCAATGATATTAGCGTTTCTGATAACCCCCTCCCTACTTGTTGATTGTTTGTTTTTGGGCGGCAAACGAGATGACCGTCACAATGCAGTTAAACGTTTCATTGACAAGATTGGTGATCTTATTCTGCAGCTTCGTCTCCTCTTCCATCGTATTTGCAAACCACTGAATCAACGCGCCTCATTTCCGTTTCCGGCCGTTTATCAATCTCTCACCTTACTGTAGAAAATACGTGATAAGATAAGCAAAGGGATTGCGAGGCACATGAAAAGGGTGACATCCCACTGAATATAAAGGCATACTCCGATGTTCACGAGGAGGTACGAGAGAATGAAGACGACCATGGGTAGATGGTCCGAAATTCCATTGTAAATTGAGTCAGCGGATCTGAATATCGTTCACTATTATCCTATTTGTTCCTATCCTATCCTATCCCTTCTGCACTCAAAGACCACCTAAATTTATTATCATTCCGTTGCGAGAGGGTTTTAATCGTCCTTTTAATGTCGTAGATCTAATTGTTCTTTACTCTTTCTTTCTTTTCTTTTCGTTTGTCCCCGCCTCTTACTCTTGCAACATTGCAGCTACGTGTCCACTTTGACGCGATTCCAACCACGAAATATCCATGAGAAGAAGTTTGCGAATGTACGCTTTCTTGATACGGAACACTTGGCGGATCGACGAGATCTCCCATACAATTCGCTAGAATGCATTTGTAAATAAAATAAACAAAATGGGTCAGAACAAGTTACCTGAGTAAACGCTGCAATAAACATTGCTATGGACAGTCCCAGCATGGAAACGAATGCGGGTGTGGCTGATGCAGTGAACTCGTCGTCGATCGGGTAATCGGATGTGATGTTTTTTAAGCCCAGTTTTCCTTCCTATGCATTTCTCATTGAATTAGAAGAGAAATGGCAAAAACTAACTTCTCGAAGAATTGAAATAGATACAAAGTTTCCCATAATAAGCCAAACAAATGGCGGTAGTGCGGATTGAAGGAGGGCACTGAACAGACCAAGGGTCATCAACTGAAAATATTATATGATCTGTGGTAGTATGTTGAGTTTTCACCCACCTGCATGTCGACATTATCCGCAAATGCATATAACCTTTTGTATGGCTCTAAGAATCCCAACTTTGGCTTCGAGTTTTGCTCCTTCGGAGGAAGATCGTCCATTGTGATGTCATAAGCTAAAATAACTGTTATAAAAAGAATCTGAAACTGGTGTGTACCTTTTTTGTTCTTCTTCAAGTCATCAATATACAAAGTTGACGGTTCGATCGGGTAAATAACAGATTTCGTGGACTGCTTTTCACAATCTCCATTTTCCTGAGTTTTCTCCTTTTCATCCTTTTCATTTGCCATCTGTGACTGAAAAAATGAAAAAAGTGACATAACATGATTATTTTTCAGAATACGACTTTAGTCGAATGACGTGAGTTTGTGGAACGAATTAGTGTGGAAAAGGGCAGGTCGATCTCGAGTAGAATTGAAGAACCTATCAAAACCTCACACATCAGTCACAACCAGAGAACAAAGAGGTTAAAGCCTAAATTTCATTAGAGACGGTCATTACTTTGAGGAGAAGGAAGTGTGGTGAGAAGAAAGAAAGAACGGTGGTCGAATCGGGGAGGAGAGTGTCAAAATGACCAGCGGCCCAAGAAACGAGAATTGGTAAACGGAAAAGGAAACGGTAGCTGAATGAAATAGGAGGAAAGAAGATAGACATGCGGGGGTCTGAAAAAAGTTTGATAAAAGTTTTGACGGTTACCGTTACACAACGCAAAGAAACAATTGATGATTATAACGGAGGTTATCATCTGGTTTTTTCTTACCTTCTTCTCTCTCTCTCTCTCTCTCTCTCTCTTCTCGCTTCTCGCCAACGCCTTCTATCGTCCGCCAGTTTAGGCCACAACTGACCAACTCTTCGACGAAATTGAGAGGAGAAAGACACGGTCTCTCCTTCTCTCTTTCTCTCTCTCTCTCTCCCCCTCTCTCAAACCATTTCTTACAACAATAATTGATAACTCGATCACTCGATTTCATGTTGCTACCGGTCGCTTATTACTACAATTTTTGGTCTGACTCACTCTATACTACACCTACTAACCGAATTTGAATCGTATCATTCTTGAAGTACCATTTTGTGACGGGGTCAACTTGGGGGGAGAACATAAATTTTGGATTGATTGGCTGATGACTCTTTGTCGGTAATCTGTGATAGTAGGCGAGACGCCGAAAGGATGTTATTTCGATTTGATTCTATTCGATTCGATTCAAACAACCGAAAACAGGGACTAGCTGTTTTCGGACTTATCTTTCACGTTTTATACACTGAAAATACTGCTATGTAATTAGTACACTTTATCAGGAAAGATTATCGAAAAACTTGAGAAAACTGAATGAAATGTCGCGAAACACGGGAAAAACAGCTGATTCTCAAGTGTTTTCGATATCAGGTACAATTCTCCACAACTATATTGAGCGTGACGGTCAAAACAGGGTGTTCGAGGTAGCAAAAACTGGTATCAGAAAATTTTTTCGAGAAATTTGGAAGAAGGGGAAGGGAAGGAGGAGAAATTTCAAGAAAAAGTAAAAGCTACGAGGAAAGTCATCATCATCAGTTTTTTGTCTTTTTAGTCATTGCGCGTTTTTCGCTAATTCAATCAAATAGTTGGAGGACACCTAATCAGTTGTTTCTTGTTTTGTTCTCGCCCTCACATCCCTCTTTTCACTGTTTTTGTTACAATGACAATCAAATGAAGGACAGTCCATACATCGTTGCATTACAGGAAAAGAGAAGAGAGACAAGCGCCAGCTGATTGGATTCTCCACTAATCTCGTTTGCAATGATGAATCGTTTTTGGATTTTGATGTTCGTCGCGATGATGATGACAATCTTTTTGAGAGGTCAGACAAGTTCTTAGAGAAACATTTCGACTAATCAAAACCGTCACTTAAATCAAAGAACACCATATTTCAGTGATCGCGCACGGAGAGGACAAAATATTGGGTCTCGAAGAGTTTCTGACTGAACTCGATCCAAATACGAGTGATATTGTGAGTCGGCAGGAAGTGAAATGGTGATACTAAGTGGCAGAGATCTTGTCAAGGTTGACAGATTGAGGTGGTAACCACACATACTGCTGGCGTCGGGAGAATTAACAAATTCCCGTTTTGGTCAGAAGACTATCAGTGAAAGGGCGGATGTAGGCTAACTATAGGTTTTGTGTTAATTAACAACCTACGATTAAAAATATTTTGTATCATGTGAACCAAAGAATGTGAAATATCAACTTCTATTTGTACTATCCTTCTGACTGGTCTTTACGTTGATAGCACATGTGTCTGTCACATTGGACAAATTCCGTATTTTTTTCAGATCCTGGAACTTCTGGAAGCTCAGCAATTGCCTACCAACAAAGCAAATCGAATGATGCGTCGGATCATGAGAAAGTTGCCACCTGAAACTCTGGAACAGCTTTTCCAAATCTACAAAGACACTCGTAACCCATGAATTCCCCACTAATAAATATGTCAATTCCGTGTTGCATCTCGAATCTTCCGATCAAACAGAAAACGACAGCCGCCGCCAGGATTCGATTCCGGTGACTCATCGCCGAAGGCTCCGCGACGAGCAATTGGCCTCGAGAAGAAAGCGCACTTAATTCAAGGTCTCAGGCAATGAGAGAAGATTCATTTCGTCGCTCTTCTTGCAGACTCACCTCTTTTTTGTGCTTCCGCAGTTTTTTATAGACGCCTCTCGCCGCCGGCGCTCTCTGTGATCAGCGCAATATTTCTCGGTGTGCAACAGGGAGCTCTGATAGAGTAGGGCATTGGTCGGCCGACCCCAAGCCCAACTCCTCGCAGCGGGGTCGTGGCTCGCATATATCAGACAGTGTAACAAATCGAACAGTGGAGGAGTTACGGGTTATTGGGGCAGGAAAGAAGCGCTGTGCTGACCCCGCCATCGTCTCCGCCGCCTCAAACCTCTGCCACTATTCCGGCTCGAATGACCCTTCTCGCGACTATATAGCCTTTCTTTCGCCGGATCACATTTCCTGGATCAGTTTTTTGTGCGGTGTGTCGTCCACCTCGTTCCTTGTTGCCATCGGTGTAAGTTTTGTTGAGAGATGCATAGTAGCCCAACACCCTTTTCTCGCACATACTTTTCGGTTTCGCGCGCGACCGTACAAAAGTGCGTTATCATCATTATGAATATGCCTTTCGTGCCATTCGTGCGTTCGTCAATCTCTCTCAAGACGTTCTCAGTTCTCCGTCCCCGCAACTATTCTGTTATCTGTATACGGTCTTACGTCTCCTCGAGTTATACAATCTCTCGTCCGGCAAGAGACGCGCACACATTTTGCGGGGTCTAAGAGGTCATCATTTCTGGCGTTACTACAATATTGGCCTCCAAATCTGATCATTTCCAGGGTTATCATTTCACCAATTACAGCCATTATGGAAATGTTTATTAGCCATGAGAACTGTGTATCTGTGAGAAGAGACTTCTGGTGGAACAGGTTACCTCGCCAATGGTGTCAGAGACCGTACCCTTCTGCTCTGAGGTTACGTGCGTGTCTGTTTGTGCACGTTCTGCTGGTGGAACAAGTGACCTCGCCAATGGTGTCATAGACCGTACCCCTCTGCTCAGAGGTTACGTGTGTGTCTGTTTGTGCGTACCAGACGCCACCCACATCGAGCACACATTTCATTACTACTGCGAGTACGGTCCGATTCCGAACGTCTTCATCTAATCACTTTGCCCGTTCTCTTTCATTCCCTTATCTCGCCTCTTGTCTGTGCGCAACCAAACGTTTTTATTCTATCGTTTTGTGTCTGGTCCGCTCAAATACGATACCCTGGTATTCATAAGGTTACGGTCTGGCAAGCTATCATATAATTTTTTCGTCATTACGCAACTCGCTTTCGTCTTACTCCTCGTCATTTTATCATAAAATTGGGTCCCGATTTTGTACGACTGGACTCTTCCAGCTGTACTCCACACATGTGGACTATGGGGTCACGGCGCTGTACAAAGCGCAGCTGCGTTGGTTTATTCCCCGAATCAAAAGAATCTTCATCATTCTCAGTCTGTGTCCGACTGATCGTGGTCCGTCGCATTCTTCTCCGATTCTTTTCGAGTTTCCATCAAATTGCACTTTTTGCGATACCCTCCAATTAATCAATCGAGAAGGGATTGGAGGAAAGAAAAGAAGAGGAGACCCCCGGCCTGCTCGGCCACATGGCAAAGTTTGCTCACAACGAAAACGACAACCCGTCCTAGCTACCCGCTCGGGGGTCTGTTGCTCTACCAGCCCCAGCATATGTGGTCCGCCGCGTTGCCCCTCCCGTCCGTCCACCCGGTGTCCGTCCCCTTTTCTACCAGTGCGTGGTTACTTTCTTTCCGTTAGCAGTTTCTCTCCTCTCGAATAGGCTCCGATAGCAAGGGTCCTCGTATTTATTTGCCCCGAGTTGCTATGTACACTCTAAATGACTGTTTGCCACACAATAAACCCACCGACGTTCGCTTCGATTCTCGCTTATTGACTACGACCTTTTGTCTTGATTTTATCATGTTGATAAGTTCTTTCGTTCCCTTTCTCATGACCTTTTTTGGAAACAAAGTGTTTTTGTTTGCAGAACAAGAGCACTCAACCAATGACCTGGCAACTGTGGCTTGTGAGCCTGGCCGCTGTGTTGCAAGGGGGACATCCACAACCCGCCGAACTTTATCCGAGCATAGACCCGAACCACTTTGGCGCCGATGGCAACCCCTGCTACGACAGAGCCACCCGCCAACCGCAACGCTGTGTCCCAGATTTTGTGAACGCCGCCTTCAACCTGGATGTCCAAGTGACGAACACGTGTGGTTCAAAGCCAACAAAATTCTGTGTGCAATCTCAGCACACTGGCCAGCGAAGTGTATGCGATTATTGCGACGATCGTGTGGAGGTAAGTGTGGGGCACTTTGGAGCAATAACAGACTGGGAATAGGTACTGAATTACGCATTTTAGCTCTCTTCTCATCCAGCCAAGTACCTCACTGATTTCAACGTGGGAAACAATGAAACTTGGTGGCAATCGGACACAATGATGGAGGGAATGCAATACCCGACCAGTGTTAATCTCACTCTGACTCTCGGTTGGTCTCAGAAATCTAAATTTGGAAACTGAAATCATCGTTTTTAGGGAAAAGTTTTGATATCACGTACGTCCGACTGAAGTTCATCAGTCCACGACCAGAATCCTTCACGATCTACAAGAAGACGTCTGCTGAAGACAATTGGGTCCCATGGCAGTACTATTCGTAAGTTAGGTCCCTTCCCGTGTCTTGTACGGTTTTTTGACTAAGCTATGCTCCCTAGAGAACAGGCAACTGTGAAAACAGGAAGGCCGTGGCCGGCTGCCGCTGGCCTAGGTTTTCTCGCCGAGGCCATTTTGTCCATTTCCTTTGCGAATAGTCAAAAACCTAAATTCATTTCAGCGGATCTTGTCGTGCTACTTATGGAATTCCGGACAGAGCACCAATTCTCCCAGGAAATGAAGCAATCGCTATTTGCACTAAGGAGTTCTCCGATATCTCCCCAATCACCGGGGGAAACATTGCTTTCTCGACCCTTGAGAACCGTCCATCCGCCCACGCGTTTGAAGATTCGGAAGTTTTGCAGAACTGGGTCACTGCTTCAGCTATCAAGATCTCTCTGAACCGCATGAACACATTCGGAGATGAGGTGTTCAGGGACCCGCAGGTGCTTAGCAGTTACTACTACGCCATTTCTGATTTCGCTGTTGGAGGAAGGTAAGTATCCCCTTACGAATTTGACAAAAATCGCGCGTATCCAGATGCAAATGTAATGGCCACGCTTCGGAATGCGTCGGCTCGTCATCTGTCGACGGAGAGAACCGTCTGGTGTGCCGATGCGAGCACAACACGCAGGGCGCTGACTGCAACGAGTGTCTGCCGTTTTACAACGACCGTCCTTGGAAGGCAGGAACCGCCAACGAGGCCAACGAATGCATCGGTATGAGGATGAGGACTGTCACTTTTATTGTCATTTATGAGAACCATTTCAGCCTGTAACTGCTCTCAACTCTCGAACAGATGCTACTTTGACCAGCAACTCTTCGAGGAGACCGGCAATGGAGGACATTGCATTGACTGTCAGGGCAACACCCAGGGAGTTCACTGTGAGCAGTGCGTGGCGAATCACTGGAGAAGACCGAGAGAGAACTACTGCGTCCCTTGCGGATGTAATGAGGTATCCTTGAAAAATGAATTATCTGTTCGAAATTTCATGTTTCCAGATCGGATCCCTCTCCACACAATGTGACAACGAAGGAAAGTGCCAGTGCAAGCCGGGAGTCACCGGACGTTTCTGTGACCAATGCTTGGATGGATTCTACGATTTCAGTACTAATGGTTGCAAGTGAGTTAGGAGATGAGCATGATGATGACGCATCACTTGGAGGGACGGGGTCGCTTGCGTCTAGTTTTTTCGATCGATAGCATGACAACTGACGCTAGTACATTTTGATATCACTGCAATAGAAACGTCGATGATTTCCGTCGTCCCAAATTCCTGAGCATCGAGAAGATCATAGTTTGAGGGGGGGGGGGGAGGACTGCGTTTGGCTGGTTGGTTGTGTACACGAATGGTTTTTCAGGAACTGCGGTTGCGAAGTATCTGGATCGTTGAACAACCAGCCAAGATGCGACTCATCTTCTGGTTCGTGTACTTGTAAACTCAACGTGGAAGGACGTCAGTGCGACAAGTGCAAGCCTGGATACTTCGACATCTCCACTGAGAATCAGTTCGGATGTACTCCGTGTTTCTGTTTCGGACACTCTTCGATTTGTAACACTGCTGACGGATACTTCGCCATGAACGTCTCTAGCATTTTTGATCAGGACAAACAAAAGTGGACCGGAGAGAACAGAATCGCCCTCCAGGACACCCAATGGGCGGAACTGGATAAGGCCGTGGCCGTCTCTGACACTGACAACTCGCCGGTTTACTTTGTCGCTCCGGAACAGTTCATCGGAGATCAGAGAAGCAGTTACAATCAGGATCTTGTGTTCACTCTCAAGGTTGCCAAGCACGTCACCAACCAGGATGTCAAGTGAGTTTCTATCTGAAAAGGAACAAGATTCACACTTCTATTGTTTCAGAGACATTGTCATTGTGGGCGCTGACCGTCAGGAACTCTCCACCTCCATCACTGCCCAGGGAAATCCGTTCCCGAACACTGAAGCTCAAACCTATCGTTTCCGCATTCATGCCGACCCGTACTATGGATGGTATCCGAGAATCAACGAGCTCGACTTCATCGGAATCCTCTCCAACATCACTGCCATCAAAATCCGCGGAACCTATTCCTACAAGGACATCGGATACCTTTCCAACGTTCACCTCGGAACCGCCGGAGTTGCTCCGTCTGCTGCCAACCCGAAACAAGCTACTTGGATTGAGCATTGCGAGTGTCTTCCAGGATTCGTCGGACAGTTCTGCGAGTCTTGCGAGTCTGGATTCCGCCGCGAGACCAAGTTCGGAGGACCGTTCAACCGTTGTATCAAATGCGATTGTCACGAGCACTCGACCAGTTGCGAAGCTGAGAGCGGGTCGTGCATTTGCGAGCACAACACTGCCGGAGATACTTGCGAGAGATGTGCTCGTGGATACTACGGAGACGCTCTTCAAGGTACTCCAGATGATTGCCAGAAGTGTCCATGCCCGAACGACGGACCGTGCATTCTTCACTCCGACGGAGATGTGCTCTGTACCGAGTGCCCGAACGGATACACCGGACGTAGATGCGACGAATGCTCTGATGGATTCTATGGAAACCCGAAAGAGAGCATCGATTGTCAGGAGTGTGCTTGCTCTGGAAATACCGATCCGAACTCGATTGGAAACTGCGACAAGATCACGGGAGAATGCAAAAAGTGTATCTTCAACACTCACGGATTCAATTGCGAGAAATGCAAACCAGGATACTGGGGAGACGCTCTGGGCGAACCGAAAGGAAACTGTCAGTCTTGCGGATGTTTTGCTGCTGGAACTCGCCGTCCGAACAACGATTACACTCTTCTCGAGTGTAACCAGGCAGACGGACAGTGCGATTGCTTGCCAAATGTGATCGGAATTCAATGCGATCAGTGCGCTCACGGATTCTACAATATCACATCTGGACTTGGATGCCAGGAATGCAACTGTGACCCACTGGGATCGGAGAAGAACACCTGTGACGTCATCACCGGACAGTGTGTCTGCAAGCCAGGAGTTACCGGAAAGCGATGCGACATGTGCGCACCATACCACTTTGGCTTCAGCGCCAACGGCTGCCAGCCATGCGACTGCGAGGCTATCGGATCGGAGAGCCAACAATGTGACGTCAAATCCGGACAATGTCTGTGCAAGGAGAACGTCGAAGGAAGAAGATGCGACCAGTGCGCTGAGAACCGCTACGGAATCACGCAAGGATGTCTGCCATGCGACGATTGCTACACGCTCATTCAAACTCGTGTCAATGTGTTCAGAGAGAAAGTGAAGAGCCTCGATAACACCCTCCAAGAGATTATTGAGAATCCAGCTCCGGTCAATGACACCAAATTCGACGAGAAGGTCAAGGAGACTGCAAATGCTGCTTCTGAAGTCTGGGAAGCTGTTAAACAGAAGACCAGTACGTTTTTCTTTCCGAAAACTAACATTAACTCTTTATTTTTCAGAGGAAGGAGGTGGAACTATCAAGACCAAGTCAAAGGCCATCAAGGATGAGATCATGACCGCCTTGGAGAAGCTCACTACCATCGATGAGTCTATCGGAAAAGCTCGTGTTGGAGCCGATGCCGCTGAAAATGACATGAAGAGATGGGAGATCATTATCGAAAACGCCCGCCGTGAGATTGAGAATGTGCTCCACTATCTGGAAACGGAAGGAGAGGACAGAGCGAAGCTTGCACTTGAAGCCAGCCAGAGGTATGGAGAACAGAGTAAGCAGATGTCCGATCTGGCTCACCGCACGCGCCAGGAATCTGAAAAGCATGTGAAACAAGCCGAGGAGATTGAGAAACTTTCGGAAGAGGCTATCGCTGCCGCTACTCAAGCCAACAAAGAAGCCAGCGACGCCATCTACGGAGGAGAACAGATATCGAGACAGATTGCGGAGCTGAAGACGAAGCAGACGCATCTCAACGAGTCCATCCAAAGAACTATGGACTTGGCCGAGGAGCAGAAGAAGGCCGCCGATGAAGCGAACAACCAAGCGGCTGTCTCTCTCACCAACGTCGATGGAGTCAAGATCCCGAGCGTGAACCCGAAGGAGCTGAAGGCGGAGGTCGCCACCGTCTTGGAAGAGTCCGAGAACCTTGTCGACAATTCGGTGAAGGAGAACGAGCAGAACGATGATCTGTTCGAAGAGGTCCACCGTGTTGTTGCTGATGCTCGCAACGAACTCCAAAGCGCTCAAGACCAGCAGAAGATCTCTGATCAGATGATGGTGGAACTGGATAAGGCTCGCGAGAGAATCACTGACTCCGTCTCACTTGCCGATAAAACTTTGAAGGATGCCGAGGCTGCTTTGGCGACCCTCGAGGCCTTCAACGCCAAGATCGAACAGTCGAGAAACGAAGCTGTCGCCGAGTTTTCTGGAATTGACAAGATTAACGAGCGACTTGCGGAAGTGGTTGCCGATCAACAGAAGAAAAGAGAAAAGATCCCAGAGGACAAGGCATTCTCGGCCAAGTACAAGTCTGACGCTGATAGCCACTTGAACAACACGATACTGGTTCGCGATCAGTACAAAGAGCTTGTCGAGAAGGAGATGGACGCTCGTGACGCATCCGATGCTATTGGCGAGGATATCGAGCAGCTGATGGAAGAGCTGACTGAAACTAAGGACAGTCTCAACTACTACAGCAAGCAGGCGGAGGATGACAAGCAGATGGCCACCGAAGCCGTTCGCAAGGCTACTCTTGCGAAGAACTCGGCTATCGAAGCCAACTCGACGGTTCTCAGCGAAGGAGAGGAACTCAAGAAAATTATAGACGCTTTGAGTGAGTTTGGATGATCTATGTATTCCGTGTTTGCAACTACATTTCTTTCAGACACAATGGAAGAGGTGAACAACGCCGAACTTGATGAACTGGAGGAGGAGATCGATAAAATCGATCAGATGCTGGCTCAGGCTCAACTCGCCAAGGAAGTTCCTCACTTCCAGCAGTCACGCGCCGACGAGGATTCAAGGGTCGCTCAGTTGAAGAACGACATCTCAGTTCTGCAGAAGGAGGTAAGAAACTAGATCATAAAACAAAGAAACAGAAAAAAACTAATGAATTCATTTGCAGGTGCTGAACCTCGAGGAAATCCGTGATCATTTGCCGACCAAGTGCTTCAACATCATCAATTTAGAGCAAGAGGGACAGAAGTAAAATAGTTGACAACTCGAATGTCGTCGATTTTATTTATAATTGTTATTTACGTGTCCCGTGAGGAGTTTTTCTAAATGTATTTTCGAAAATTCAAACACTCACATCGCTCGCCTCGTTGTCTATCTTAACCTGCCCTCCCAGTGCTCGAAAGCGTGCGAATCCATTCTTTTGTCCTCGATTTTCATCTTTCTTGTGATAATAATCAATTTTGTTGTCACGTTAAATATGTTTTGCTGATTGAATTTTATTTCCCCCTTTCATGATTCTCTTTTTGTTATTTATAGTAATCTCATTTTGCTCTATTGCCAAATTGATCACAAATCACTACGATTTCCGACGCTTTCAATTTATGAATGTTCAAATTTCGATTATTTCTGATGAAGTAAAGCTTTTTTCATTATTTTCGGTGACAATAGTGTTTGACCACATTGTGACATGTGGTTTGTGAACAGATACGATTGACCTTGGCCATCGGAATCAAAAGAGAGAGAGAAAGATAGAATGTACCGATTCTGCAAATCAATATAAACGATAGAGAGAACAGATACAGAACAGGTCAGTCACACGTGGTCGGAAACTTCAGTCGACCAAAAACATGGCAACCTTGACCGTCCGAGACCAATTTCGAGCTGTTATTCAAAAACTAATCGATTCTCCCGATAACCAACATGAGCCGCTTACGAATTTTATTGGAAATGAGTTTGTACCGCCAGACGGACTCTTGGATTCCGTGAATCCGGCTACTGGAAAGGCGTGGATTAAAATTCCGAATGGATCGGCAGCAGAAGTCGATAAAGCGGTGGCTGCGGCTAAGGAGGCATTCAAAACGTATGAGAGTTTCAGAAAAAGCGTGTATTTTCATATTTTCAGCTGGAAAAACACAACCGTCCAACAAAGATCCGCACTTCTCAACAAGGTTGCCAACCTCATCGAAGAGTTCAACGATGAAATTGCAATTTTAGAAAGTCGAGACCAAGGAAAACCGATTGGATTAGCAAAGTTGGGTTTTGTTTCTAGTACTAACATCGAATTTCGTTCACAGAGTCATGGACATTCCAAGATGCGTTCAAAATTTTCGTGATTTTGCCAACGCTGCCCTTTTCACTCTGTCCACCTCGAAGATTTTGGAGCAACCCACTGGAAAGTGCATCAACTACGTGAAGTATGACCCGGTGGGTGTCGCTGGACTCATCAGCCCGTGGAACTTGCCGCTTTACTTGGTAATTTTTCATATTTCTGCAAGTTTCCAAGGTGTTTCTAGTTGTCGTTCAAACTGGCGCCAGCACTTGTGGCCGGAAATACCGCTGTATGCAAGCCGAGTGAAATGACGAGTGTGACCGCTTGGGTCCTGATGCACGCCTTCAAACTTGCCGGTACTGTTTTATAGAATCATTTTACTGTCAATTTCTCATTCAGGATTCCCGCCAGGAGTCGTTAACATGATAATAGGAGAAGGACGATCTGCGGGTCAGCGTCTAGTCGACCATCCAGATGTGAATCTTATTAGTTTCACTGGGAGCACTCTGATCGGAAAGAAAATCCAGGAGGACGGTGCCAAACTAAACAAGAAGGTTTCCTTAGAAATGGGAGGAAAGAATCCCGGAATTGTTTACTCCAACTATCGCAAATCAGACATTGCTGCTATTGCAAGGTATGATAATCACAGTGAAAGTACTCAACACACATTTTATCAATGTTCAGATCCTCTTTCTTAAATCAAGGAGAGATTTGTCTGTGCACAAGCCGGCTCTTTGTCCAAAAACCGATTTTTGATGAGTTTGTAAAGAGCTACGTAGAAGAAGCGAAAAAGGTATCTGATTTCACGAAAAGCGAATAAATAAACTTGGATTATTTTCAGTTCACTGTCGGAGATCCAAAAACTGGAGTGAACATTGGTGCGATGAACTCGAAAGTTCATTTTGAGAAAGTAAAGAGCTACATTGAATTAGCAAAACAAGAAGGCGGACAAATTCTCTGTGGGGGCGTAACTTCTGTTCCAAACGGTTGTGAGAACGTCTGTAAACCCTTCATATCAATGTTCCAAATGCTATGAGTTCAGGGTTACTTCATTTCTCCGACAGTGATCGTTGGTCTTCCCGACTCTTCCAAAGTGATGACCGACGAAATATTCGGTCCAGTTGTGTGCATCACGCCGTTTGAAACATCGGAAGTAAGTGATACCAAACCATCTTCATACAACGCCACACTCACTGATAATACAGGAAGTGATTGAAAGAGCAAACTCCACAAATTATGGGCTATCAGCGACCGTATGGAGCGCCAATACCGATGAGCTTTTGAACACGGCCAATGAACTGCGCGCCGGAACCGTTTGGTGCAATACTTGGCTGGTGAGCACGTGAAACAGTGCATTTTCCTTGAAAAATAATAAATTTCAGGCTCGTGAGCTGAGCATGCCTTTCGGAGGGTGCAAACAATCTGGAACCGGAAGAGAAGGTCTGCACGACTCACTCCACTTCTACTCGGACGCCAAGACTGTCTGCGTCAACTTGGCTTCTAAATTCTAGCAACGTTTGCGTTTTAATCCGTTTTTTTTTATTAACCACTAGAATACAAGCACAGTAAACACATTTTATTTGGTTCATCATAAAAATAGAGTTTACTTGGAGCAAGTTGGACATGTCGGACAAGTGAATGGAATGCCAGTTGGTCCACCGCTTTGAGGGTATTGGCACACAAACTGATGCTTGACGCTGCAAACTTCGGTGAACCACTTTCCAGTCGACAACTGCATGGTTCCGCAGTGACGGTCTTCGAGCGGCTCTCCTGGTCCCCAGTTGGTGAAGTTCAATGCGGTTCCATCGTTCCATGTCCAATTGTATGTCTTAGCACGATCACTGGCTCCAATCCAGAAGTAATCGTAATCAGCATCCAGATTAGAGACAGCAAACTCTGCAAAAGAAACGTTTTTGTTAGCGTTACTAAAACTCATCAAAAATCGCTCACTCTGAATCCAATTGTTCTCGATGATATTATAAATCGTCACCAAATGTCCACCAGTTGTCTTGATACACAAGTTATTACTATCATCAAAACTTCCATGCACCCGATTGAATGAGAAGCAGCTGAAATGTTGGGAAATTTTGATTAATACAGTGGTCAGAACTTCTAATACTCACTAGGATTCAAAAGAAAGATCTCCGGGAAGACATTGTGCGGCAGCAGAATAAGTCAGGACGGCCAGGAAGAGAAATTGGAGCATTTCTTTGCGAATTGCAAAATGATGTACCTTTTCTTATCTGTCCTATTTATACTTAAAATCGCGGAAAAAGTGAGAGAGAGGCGTTGCCCATCTTTGTTTCCTCGATCCGTTTATCAGTGATGATAACACTTTTCAAGAGGTACACGGCACCGAGTCTGGAATTTTGATCCTTTTTTGTTTTGTCAGGTATCATATGTATTAAGATGACCAGTTCTTCCCAAATTGATCAAATTGAGAGGCGTGCACGTTTTAAAATCAAAAAGTGTGTATTGCGCCAAATATTACTTTATTTCGGAAGAATTGACAATACTTTAATTTCAGTTTCACATCGGGGGATCTACAAACTACCGTAGGAAAAAAGACAGGGATACGACACAAGTTGCTGGACGGGGAACAATTGAAATGGTTTTGGAGAAGGAATGTGATAACTAATAGAGAAATGCTACGAATGATTGACGATGGGAATAAAATAGGAGGGGAAGAAACGTTTTTTGTTTTTCTTCACGTTTTGTATGATAAAGGGGAACACTTCAACACTGAACACAAATAATCGGAAGTTTTGTGAAAATAAATAAAAATAATGATGAATAGGTTCAAATCAGTTGTATTTTCTGAAACTGAGGAATCTCAAACGGGCGAATGGGTTCATGCTGCTCAAATTCGAAGACGATTGCTTCCTGGTGACTGGAGCCGTGGAAGATCCTGGTTTGTCGGCCGGCTCTCCTCTCGAATCGGTCTCCGACTGTTCTTCCCTCTCTTCAGCGATCGCAGCACACACGGACGATTTCCGAATCAACTCGGCGCATACCGATGGCTTCCTATTGAGATCCACCGCTGCCATAGCCTTGCCAATTTGTTGCATTTGCACGTTTGTTTTCTGCTCATTGGTGTGCTCGATGACCCTGCAAAAAGTGTTGAGCTCTTCCGTACACACTTTCTTCATCGCTCACTTGTTATCTTCGATCGGAATGATTGTATTGGTAGAGGAGCAAGAGGTGGCGGAGCCGGTCAAAGAAGATTTGCGTTCACCTTCTTTCTTTTTCTTCTTTTTCAGGTCGGCAAGGTATTTGATTCCATCCGGGTCAGAGTACGCGCTGCTGCTGGCGCCCGCTGAAAACGTTATGTCTGGGTGAAGTTGTTTCAGTTTTTTCGACTCACATTCATCTTTCTTTCCAGAAAAGCTCGAGCTGGGAGTGCAGTCAGCAATTCCACTATCTACTTTCGGACGGAACTCTTTGTCCTTCTCTTCTTCCTCAGCTTGCTCTTTCTCTTTCTCTTTCTCCTTCTTCTGCTCTTTCTTCTCCTTTTTCTCCAGAGCCTTTCTCTCCTTTTCTTTCTTTTTGTCAGCCAACTGCTGCGCCTCCATCTCCTCTCGCTGCTTGAAAATAATAGCAGCTCTCTCGCGTTCTATGCGCTGTTGCTCTTCCCTTTCTCTCAATTCTCTCTCATGGTCGCCGGCCGATGAGCCCGGAGGAGCACCGCCAAATGGATATCTAAAATAACACGTTTTTCTTTGAGATCAAAGATAGAGAGTCTACCTTGGATTCGGACCGGACTCCTTTCTGCCGATCCTGGAGAAATCAATTGGGACCAAATCTTCAATTGAATTTCTCTTTCCGACCGAACCTCTCCAAAGTGGTTTAACTTTTGACGCAGGGCTGCTTCTTCCCGAGTTGAAACTTCCGGATCTATTTTCCAAATTATCCGATGACGCGAGATGGTTCACACTTCCGGATAACGGGGAAGCATTCGATGAGTTAACGGAGATTCCGGAAGTGGACGCGTGATGTGGTGACGAGGTGCGATGACGTTTGCTGACGAGACGACGGAAATCACTGAATCATTATTTACTCTACTTTGAAACCATCAGTTTTCAAAAACCTGAAAAAGTTCCGGCTGCCAAGCGAGAACGCTCTCTTCCTCGGATCGTCATCAGGAAGGTTCAACTTATTAGAAGGGCTTTCCGTGGCGGCCGAAATCTTTCTATCCGAGTCGGGCAAGTTTACAGTCGGTGGAACACGATTTGAACCTTTCAGTTGATTTGCACCAAACGATTGAGCTCTGTTCTGAAGCGGAGTGCTGCTTGTCAGATGGGACTTGCACGGATTATTGCGAGTACACGTACTTCCTCTCTGGAATGATTTTTATTGTTTGAGTTTGAAAAAGAATGCACTCACGGCGGAAGACTGACAGCTATCGTTACTATCGGACTGCTCTTCTTTTGGAAGGTCTTCCAGTTTACCCCATTCCGCTGGTCCCATCACGGTGTAGTCCTGACTGTTGATGATGTTCCCAATGTACACCACTTCTGGCAGGTCCGGCTGTGGACAAACTGTGTCTAGGAAGTCTTTCTTGATTTCTCGAGGAGTTCCATCCGGCTGAAAATAAAATGAGTGTATGACTATTTTCAGTAAGAAGCACAAACATTATGAGTTCTTCCATCATATCCATTCTTGGCCGCCTCTTCCATGAGCTCTTTTTCGCGTTGCAGCGACAACAAAAACTCGCCGGATGGCTTGTTAGCATTCAGTTTGAGTGGCGGATTCTTTGGTTTTGGTGGCTCTCTGAAAGTTGAACCCTAATTTTTCATGATCTCCCTTTTCGTAACTAACGGTGGTGGAGCCTCTTCCGGTTTCGGTTCAGGCCCTGGCGGCGGATCATCATCGAATGTTTCCGGTCTCAATGAAATCTTTCTTCTGTATGGAATCGGTTCTCCTCCGTTCTCTATTTGCTGCATCGAGCTCTTTCTCCTGGCTTCGCGTTCTTTATAAGAATCCAGAAGGGCTTCTCTGAGCCCAGGTTCCTCTTTGACAAATTTAATAGACTGGAATGAAGGCTTGCGAGGTCTGGAAACCATATTCTTATTACAAAAACACTTGAATCGACAGAAGTGGACAATGTGATCAACAAACGAAATATGTGTTATCCTGTTGGAGGTTAGAGGAAAACTCATGGTTAAAAGGAGCGAATATGTACAACTCATGCAAAAGTGATTTTAAAAATGTTAGCAAAGGATCGTGCTTATGGTTAATATGTCAAATGAGGAAACTAATTGGAGACCTCTCATTAGGAAAGTTTCCGAGAGAATGAATTGATCCACGTGGCTGGTCGAGTCTGCACAAAGGTCACGGTTTTCTGTCTTTTTCAGTTCAAAATGTTACCTAGACAAATGGTCAACCTGAAAATTGCCCAACGATCCACGTGGGCGGTTATAGTTAGCGAACGGTGAGGACGGAGCCGAATCGTCTCTTTCAATGGAAGCAAATGAGAGACAGTCTCTGCCGAGCATCAGGCGACGGTCCCTGGCGGTTAGGACCGGCGAGTCGAGCGAAAGTTTGCTACGATGAGCCAGCGGGGAGGGAACCGACAACGATTCCATTCCATGCAAATCGCTAAACAACCAAATCAGGGAGGCGGGGGAAACAAAGGATCAGAGGGAATGAGGAACTCAAAGCCAAACAAGTATAACGCAAGAATGAGATGGTCAGATCAGACGGATTTCTTTTGAACTCACCTGAACATAGGTCTTCTAAGAGCTTCAAGCCGTCGGTTTTCAATGTCACGTACGGCGAGTACCTTAAGACGGTTATGGATCTCCCGGCACACTTCCGGAGTGTCCACGTTGAACGAAATCTCGAATCCCCGATACGGACTGCCTTTTCCGACGCGGATGTAGAACGAACAGTCACGGAAGCCATAGAAGGAGACTGTGCTGCGCTGCAAAACGGAGGATTGAGGGAAATTTTCGTCGAATTTGTATTTACATCGAGTATGAACATGCTGGAAGCACGGAAGCATGGAAATCCAGCAGAGGGAAGGCCATAGGCAGTCGGTTCAATGCACAAATCGACAATTGCGAGAGTGTTCGGCCAGAGGCAAAATCTGCAGAGCATGTTTTAAACGGCACATTTTTCTGTCTAGAACAAACCTTTTCTTTCCTTCCAGTGTGCTGATGACGGTGCATAGATTAGTGAATCCATACTCTTTGCCGTTCTCGATATACTTTTCTTGATATTTGTTGAAATCTGTGACACGGATATCATAAACAGCATCGAAAATGTCTTCCGGTCTCGGTGTTCGGTTCATCTTCCTGCGTCTGGCTTCATGAATTGCTTTCACAATTGCTCTACGCCATCCTTCAATTGTCAGAATTCCTCCTTCCGGTCTCATACAAATAGTCTCATCCGGACCCATCAGGCACAGACATTTCTTCATTTTGGCGTCGTACTGCAATTCAAATTGATCTACAAGGGACTCATTCGTTTTGCTAACATGATCTGAATGAACGTTGAATGAAATGGACAGGTCGACCATATGACGAGCCGCTCTTCCGCATCGGAAGGACTTTTCAGACTCATGAAGTTCCAGAGCTCTTTCAGTAAGTGTTACGAACATTAGTTTCTTCTTTTTCTGAAATATACCACATTAGCCCGGTTTTTTACTTGAGAACTGACCACTGGGGCGAATCCAACCATACACAGTCCGCATTTGTACACTCCAACGATTCCGAACTCATCCTCATCTTCGTCCATTGGCAAGTCCTCCACTGTCAACGGTTTCCAGACGGGTTCAAGTGGCAACTCTTTTGGCTTTGCGTTCGACGCTTTTCTCTCCGTTCTCACTTGAGCTACTATTTTGTTATTAGCCATTGCATCTTCTTCCATCTTCTTCTCCCGTTTCACTTCCGTTCTTTCTTCAGCAGCAGGCACTAAAATCTCACAAACTGGTGTAAACGATTTCGCTAAACGAGAAGGTTTTACGCGTGTTCACTAATGAGACAGCGACAAAGTTGTTTTTGTTAAACGAAACGAAATGACTTTCATACTCTAGAGGATTCATTCGTTGAATGTTTTGACAGGATTAACGGTGACTAAAACGCATGACGTCTCCTTATCACTAAACCCCAAATCCCTTGCTGATCCCTTTAATTGACTATTCCTGAGCTCTCATCTGATATTTATTAATCTCTGTACACCTCCCGCACTCTGATGCATAACTGACCAGAATTCGAAGAGCTTGGTCCGTTTTGGTTGGGCATTGCGTTCGCTTCCAAAAGGGCCAGCATGCGCGCCTTTTGTTGTTCCTGCTTTTCTTCGGTCTTCAACTCGACGGTCTTCGGGACGGCTTGAACGTTGTTACCTTCCAATCCAAACGTCGTCAGATCTGGGAGAGTGAACTCGCTGACCGTCTGACTGAAGCTGACCGCCTTCACCAGAACGACTCTTCTGCTGAAAAAAGTTAAATGAAAGATTTGCGATCAGAAAATGACTTTTTTCACGCGCACATAGAAGCGAAATTGAAAAAATTAGAGGATGTTTGCGTCTGTCGGAAAAATTGGTCAAAGAACAATGGTTTTTAGGCCCTCATTCCATTTTTACAGGTCAAAAGTGGCGGCGAGGGCAAAGCGAGGGCAAAGCGAGTGCACTTTTTTGATCGAATGGTTTATGACTTCTTTTTTATAGTGAAAAGGGGGACCGAACATGAATTGGCATGTGAAAACTCAATTTGCTTGGGAACACAGAAATTGCTTCGAGAAAGGAGGAAAACAAGACAAGAAAGAGGTCAAAACACTGCATTAAATGACCCTGATGTCCATGGGAGTCGTCCTCGAAAAACAAATGGAGGTGTACCTTGCGACCTTCCCTTGGAAAATGAAAAAAAGGTCTGAATCATGATGTACTGATCGCAAAGGATTAATGAGCGGATAAGGCGTTGAAAAACAAATGAGCGCTATAAACAAGGGGTTAAAGACCTCACGAAAGCTTCAGAAACAGCCAATGCCAGGAAAAAGCGGGAAGGCGCGTGGGCAAAAACACGGGGGGACGCTGGCAAATCGGATCGGAAGTTTGCGTTAATGTGAATGTCATTTCCCTCTCATTTCCTGTATTCATCACGTTTAGGAAATACGGAAATTGGAAAAAATTGAGGTGAAAAGAGAAAATGATAGCTGCAAAACATGTGGTTTTTGTTTCAGGCGGGCAGAAACTGATAAGAAGTGCGGGAGAAATGAACTCATGACTAAAAAAGAGAATCACAAAAATTCATTTTACAGAGTGCCCGGAGAAAAAAGGAACAAAGAAGTGAAGATGTGACTTCTTCTTTTTCTTCTGAAAATAACATTCTTTGTGTAAAAATTGCATTCTCTATGTACGTTTTTTTTCTCACAGACTGCTCTGTTCACGCGTCTGCGAGAATTTTGGAATTTAGAACTAGGTTGACTCACACGTCAGAGTTCGAAAATGGAAAAAACAACTCACGGGCTAACAGCGATCATTGAACCGGAATTATAATGAATACTCTCTTCGCAACAGATGTCTGCAACTAGTGTGTCGTGCAACTGGCGCCCATCAGATTATCAACTGTCCAGTGCAATCTCTCTAGGATTGTGACAAACAACATCGCCCTTTGTGCCCGCCATTATGGCACCGAAAAACGCTTTTTTTCTCGAAGTCTCACCGAAAAAAGCGCACAAACAGCAAACTGTCGGCCGTGGCACAGACCTACGTAAGCGATTTGAACGGCAAGGGGGCACTGGCAAGTCAAACAGAAAACGTCATAACAGGAGGGAACAGAAAAGTGCCGATAGGGTAAGGAAGATGTTTGTGAGAAAGCGCGTTGCATAATTTTATATTTCCTATCTCTGACTGCATGTGCATCTTCATCTTTTCCGCTGACAAACGAAGACAATTACTAACTACTGTTACGAATGTAGGGTTGACATAGTCAAAAACTTTCAGAGTGGATGACTCTTCTAATAATCTCAACGAATGTTGTCCGCAATCGGCACCTGATTTCCCGCTTGGCTGCGCTCTCCATGACAACAAATCCGATTTTCAGCGGTTCTCACCCCTACTCTTTTCTCCACCCCCTTTTCAGCTCTTATCACTAACCATTTTCTTCTCACCGAGAGATTAGGATTAAGAGAAGCAAAAGTCGATTAGTCACGTCTCCGGGGTAGATGAAGCCAGAAAACATTACTACCCGTGAGATATCGCACGTGCATTAAGTATGGATGAGTGTTCCAAAGAAGGGAAAACGAAAAACAAGTGGGGATCATCCGTTTTCCAAGCAACATGTGGACTTTCACCCCCGAAAAATGCAGAAAAAATTGAACGGGAGGAAAAGTCGAGCAAAAAAAGACGCACTTTTTTGTTAAGGCAAATATTATGGTCGCCCAGAGCAGTGTGGGTCATGTGAAAAGTGCAAAGTAGTTGAGGGAAGCTCCCATAAAATCCGACCACCCAGCGTGTTTCTTCAAACTCACAAAACTTATTTTAAAACCATACTGAACATTCTGCGAGAATATATCTGTTCTGTCGATTTTGCGGTCTTTGGTAGGCATGAGGAGGAATCCCTATTCTGTTATGTTATTTTTTTTGTGAAAAACACGTGATCATATTTCAGCCTGGCTAGGGGTCGCGACACGCTAGAAAAAGAGACACACTCGGGGGAGGGGGACATGACGCGAACTTGTTTGTGAGCGAGCGAGAACATTAGAAAAAAGTGGACACCGACCGAGAACCCGCCGATTTTCAGAGCTGTTAGGTAGTGATTAAGGTTCTTAATCCCCGATAGTTTCATTCTTCTGATCGTTTCGTTTTCGGGATGCCAAAAATATGTGAGAAATAGGAATAGGAGAGGAGGAAGGAATAAGGAATAGGGAGTAAACGGATAGGCGAGATAATAATTATTCATGAGGCTAGATTTGGTTCCTGTCCACGCAGCAAACAACTTTTTGAGGTGAAGAATTGGAGTGACTGCACGTATTTGCAAAAACTAAGAGTTGGAAATACCTTCTAAGGATTCCTTCGGGTCTCGCTCCGTCCAGCGATTCGCTCGCCCTCATTGCTTGTCTTCTGGTCTGTCCGGACTCTGACGTCGATGGTATCGGTTCGGACGTTGAAGAACTTGACGGTTCATCCTCAGAAACCTCGAGAACCTGGTCCTGTGACGAAGATGAGCAAGGTTGTTCGTTGGGGGGTTCTTCGTCAGTCATTTCTAAATTACTCCCCCAGAGCTTGAGAGATCTGAAAAAAAAACGTTTGTTATTTAGGAAAAACGGTTTCGAAAAAAGGAAGAAAGAAGGTAAGAGAAGCACCTAATCGAACAGCTCCTAATCAATGCTAATTCCTTAATCTTATATTTCCGTTAGAACACATTGCACATGCATCAGTGCAAACAAAGTGACAATGCGAGCACATGTGGGATAAGTCTCAATATGGCTGAAAATGTTTTTGTCGAAAGATGGGGCGGAGATTATGGAATGTTCGCGAGAGAAGGGCATATGTAGGCAGCCGCTCGCGAAGACGAAACGATGAAACCAATGTCTTTCGGGTTCAACCTTTCTCTGAGCAATCTTGTCGAAAATCGGAAGGACTGATGAAAAATTTGACTCCCGGCCGTCGCGGAACCGTCAGACATTTCAAAACGACAGTTTTGACGCTATTGTTGGTCACGTATAAAAAATTTTAGTACTAAATGTCTTGGAGGCCTCCAACACACGAATGTGTAAGACAGTCGACGTGTGGGATAGAATGAGATAGTTCTCAAATGCAGGTCATCTAGAGGTTCTGTTGGTGTTTACGAAATTGACACTTGAAGGTCATCCCCCCTTCTTGATGACTTTCAAACATTGCAAGTCGTTTTTGAAGGTTGTGAATGCATTTGAATTGCAAAACATTGAAGCCAGATCGTCTAGACACAACATAATGGCACGACCACATCAATTTAAAAACCGAGCCAGACGTCCTTCGTCTCGTTGTCCATGTTTCCTCAAATTCCCCAAAGACGCGTCATTTCAGATTCTGATATTTTATGCTATGCGATCTGTTTTCGAACGATGGACCGGGAAAGGGAAGAGAAGGAAATGCCTCCGTAATCCTGTTTTCAATGGAATTGTCACAAGTCATGAACGTGCGTAGGACACAGCTCACAGAAAAGGTCGAGGGCTCAGTAATAAACACATGATTGGAGGAAGATTAGGCGTGGAAAACGCGTTGTGTCACGAGAGAAATTGTCTGCGGTTTTGAAGAATAAAAAGATCAAAACGGATTTCTTAAACTTTAAACATGGGTGAGATGTTTGAACGCGGTCAGTTTCACTGTAGATCAGAAATCGTGCTTGACGCGCAAGATACTTGTCGGGGAGGGCGAAGAAGAACGGAACGGGGGAAATAAATATCTGCGTTTATGGGAGACTGATCGTTAAACGGGAAAGAATGAGAACAGAACACACCAAATAACGTTCTAGTTCACAATATGTACATGGAATGCTAGTTGAAATGCAAATGAAAACAATAGACAACCGAAAATAATATACTACACACACAAAAAGGGCACAGTTTTTTTCTCTTTTCCAATAATCACCCTCATTTGCTTAAAGAAAACTCTCAGCGGAGATGAAGATCTAAATGTCGAACACACGATGCGCATCGTTGGTAATTTGACCAGAAAGAGCAGACATTAAAATTTGAGCATCTACGTCTTTTGCTAGTGACTAAGTATTGAAACCGAAATGGAGAAGAGTACAAAATGAGCAAATTGGGTATGTGGCTGAAATTTAATTTTTCCGCTTTGTTTGTGTCACTGCTGCGAAGACACACGGGGTCAAACATCATGCAGAAGAGGGCGTCTGGTCGGCGGCTCGCAGAGTTCAGTCATCTCATTTGGAACTAATGATTCGGCTTTTTCAGGGCACTATGAAGATGACTAAGCTGAGTCACCGTGACGAAAGAAAAAACACATTTCCATGAACATTCTTGCGACCGCCAGTTTTCTATATTACTACAGTATCCGCGCTCTTAGCCGAACAATAAAACGAACGAGTAAAGATTCGGTAAAAAATTTTAATATTTATTCGTTGGGTCTAGCTCAAAAGTCACCTGTTCAGGCAGGTGAAAATTATATTTCGATGACCGAATCCACCTACTCGCAATCCAATGAACACTTTCTCAGAACCCGCGTGGCTCGGTCATATCGGGTTTCAGTACTAAAATTTCAAAACATGATTTCTGAGATCAAAAATTTGTGCCAATTCTCCGGCTTATAAGTTTTCTCAATTTTTGAATTTGGGCCGGGCCAGACCGATGTTAGACAAGTCTTCTCAAAACGCATTTTAAAAAAAGCCGAAAATATGCGCCAGTTTTTTAAGCGAAAAGTCAGCCCACAAAGTCAAAACTTGTTACACAATCAATACAATAACTGCAAGAACAGGGCGTGATAACCACAAACCCATTAAGATTGACAGTTGGTCACGAGATCTTGAAGAAAAACGAAGAGAATGCGACGAGACGTTTCGTAAACGAACCCAACCGAAGTTGATGAATTTGAACGCTTCGCGTGTCGTCGGTTTCGCGGGCAAAACCAAGACGCAGTGTTTGTCCAAGAATGCGCGCCGTTTTTGAATAATAATTCGTCGTCGTTTTTGGTTTCGCGAGAAGATTGTTTGAAGGGAAATGAGTGAGATTAATGAATATAGTCGTTGAAATCAAGATTTCTTCTCTTAAGCGCTGACAGATTTTTTGGAAAATGGTATTTTTTTGATCTTAAATATCACAAGACGTGGGAGGGTTTTACAATCAGAAGTACCGTAACCGAGAATACCTCTTTCCGCCTTGATCGAGATAAAACAGTTAGAAAGCCTAAAGAATGTCTTCAAAGTGTTGAAAAACTTCGTACCGATCGTCACACAGACACGGTGCGCTGACTAAACCGAAACGACAGAAAAAATCGCCGTGAGTGTCGCCGCGGATGCGGAAAACCGATTTTGACAAGCGATAAAGGAGATTGAAGAAAAGAAGAAGACGAAGATGAAATGAATGCGTCGAAGAACCCGTCTGCATTCCAGTCCGCGTCTTTTCGGGGGTGATGGGAAGAAAGGGCATCCAGAGATAAGCTGGTCCGGGTTTTGGTTTCGGTTTTCTTTGACCTTGATAACCGTAATCTTCTTATTATATTCGAATTACTGTAAATACTGTATCAGATAAGCACTTCTTATAAAAAAGCAGCCAGCAAAGTGAGTCAGAGCAGTTTCAAGCTGATTTTTGGACGTTTCATACAATTTTAATATTTCAAACAATTATTTTCTGATACAGTACCTACGGTAAGAATACCATTTCGTTCAATACATTGATAATGATATGTACTTGAAAATTTTGAACCTTATCATTGAGAAGGAATTACACAATGAAGAGATCGATGATACTGACTTAAACAGAAGTCACGTTGGTTACAACATTTGCAGACAGAAAAGGTTGAAAATCAAGCAGACTAGCAGACAGACAACAACAATTAAAACACAATGAAGATGTTTGCAACGTGATCTTATTTCAGACTGCTGCACTGTCTCAACTTTTGTCAGAAAATGTTTCATTAATTTGAGACGTTTTGAATGTCTTCAAAGTGAGCAACAAAGAATGATTATATTTTTATTGTTCCGGGACTAGAAACTAGAAACACAAAAACATTTGTGAAACGCATGACCTCTTATCAGCTCGAGTACTTGACTCATTCTACATTCTACTCAGACGTTTATCTTCTGCCAAACGTTTACTTGACACGTGCTCACAATCAGTTCCCGATTGTTCCCGATGATTCTGTTTTTGGGCGTTCTCCTCCCCTTTCCCGCTTTAAAATGACCACCGCGACAGTGGTAATTCGAAATTTAATTTCTGTTATCCGTTTTTTGAAAATATACCTGTCCTCAGAATGCGTCCCTTAAAAGGCTCAGCAGATCTGGCTTTCCTCGAAAAGATTCGTCTATATTTCTTTCTTTTTGAATCCCCTTACAATTGGTCACTCGGAAACATTTTGGAAGAGATTAGCGACTACAAGATCATATTTTAGCAGAATCCGCCCTCTCTTTTCCCCTTTTCCTTCCCGATTATCCTTATGAAGTCTATTCAAGTGTTGCATAGTACTTTTTTGAAGTATGCGCGCTCCGGAGTTCCACCAGGATGCCGCTTTATTTCCGAGTGATTACCTAACGCCCATTCATGATTCATTACGTGACGTCGGAAATGTCCATCTATGCAACAATCTCTTTTTTGCGTGGCTGTTTGTGCGGAAATTCTGAATGTGACTTCGAAACGTCAGTTTTTGCTCCACTTTCGCGTTCATCATTAATTTTATTGAAATTGAGAAGTGAACGGAGCGGAGCGGAAGAAAAAAAACAAAAACAGTGAAATAATTTTTCGGTTCACTCATTCTCGGTAATCTTTGCCATTCATTCATCTACCCCATTCAGATATTCTTAGCTTCTGTCTCGATGACAATAGTTATTGTGTTCAAACACGTTGATACGTCACGTGATGCGTCACGTCATTGCCCGAATTGTACCCGTATGGATCCATCATATCAGTCAGAAGCGCAAGTATAAGACTAGATACTAAAGAGCAAGTATCAGCCAAAAAGAAGTTCTCCTTCTAATCTCGTTATTACTCATTCATTAACTGATTGGTCCAATTTTGTCATTTTCAAAAAAAAGTGGCTTCCTCAAAGATTAAAACTATGAACCACCCCTCTAGGCTTCATTCATTCATCAATTTGACGTAACATTTGCTAAATTTATTTCTACGAAACAATCGCACGTCATGTAGGAACATACGTAGCTGTAGCTTATTGTCACTGCCAGATTAGAGAACTAAAAGCATCACAGAAGGAGCACGCCACGCAGTCTTCTTCGATGACACAGTTGTCACGCCCTTTTTATTTCTGCATCCTCCCCCCTTCTCTTGACATTACCACAACAATCCGGAAAGGTTGCCACCTAACTATTTTCTCACACAAAACTTCCAACGCCTCATGACGATTGTCAGCTCAAAGTGGTGACGCGGCGAGTTTTGCTAGCTTCCCACGCGTCTACGGGAATAAAAAGTAACTATTAAGTCTCCTTCCACAATTTTTTGTTCTCTTGGTCACACTTGTCTTGTCACCACTAGAATATCAATTTTTCCCATACCACTGCCCTCCTACGACGCAACATCACTATCATCAAATCAGTCGCGTAAAATTTTACAACATCAGGGTCTGGTTATAGTAGTGAACGTCTCCAAAAGTTGCTATTTTGTTGTTCTCCCATTTGGTCACGAGGCTGATCGTGAAAGTTTGTTATTTTTCAACAAATAAATAATAATCCTTCCCTCTTATATCCGTGTTGAAGGACAAGACAACAGGATTATCTCCTAAATCTTAAAATGTTGCAGGAGCTCCATGAAAACCTTCTTCGGCATTGTTCTCGTTTTTGCATTTGTTGCCACTACATTTGCTGCATTTGTAAGTGGACATTTTGATAGTAAAACGACAGTAATCGTTGTTAAAGGGTCATGGAAGAAGTGCACTGAACGATGCGGACGATGCAAGTGCAGTGCAACCATGTAAGAACGAGAAACTACCGAACTAGAGAAACAGTCATCATGATAAATGTTCAGTGTGCCCGACAGATCGAGCCGGTAACAAGTACGTTCCCTGTCCGTCTCCCCTCCGAGGCACGGACACTTGGCCATGCGTCCGGTAAGCCCACGCAGCCAACCGTTATCCATGAAGTTTCTCAGACTATCTGATTTGTGCAATACACGAAGAGACTGTCCGAACGGCGAAGACGAGAATCCGTTCAGTTGTTTTTACCACAAAAGCGTGAGTTCAAGGTGCATTCTCGCTTGTACTATGCTACAGATTTCAGCGTTTCCAAGAAATCGACCAGCTCCGCAAGTTACTCGAAGAAATTAAGGGCTGATCGACACTCCTTTGTCATAATAATGGTTTCTCATTTCTCTTCTTTCATTGCTTTGCACTTCTTCACACAAATATATGAAATGCGTATACAAACGTCTCATTTAGTTTATTTGCTGTCCAATAAACCTTTTTTGATTTGCTCAAACGTTTCATGACGAACCTAATCAACAAAAATAACTTTGATGACACACAATGATGTACAAATTGCGTGTGTTTTGTTTGTCAACAAAAAACGAGGAAATGTTTATCTCGACAGAATTAAGCACGGAAAATAATTTTTTTTTGTCGAAATAATGTTTCTATAATGTATAACCCATTCTCTGTAATTCTGGAGCATGGTAATGGTGGGTGTGGATATAAGGCCTGTAGAGAAGGTAGAGCGTAGAAATTTTATGGGCAACTGCACTCCAGGTCTCCGAGGTTCAAATTACTAACAAGTCGGGCCAGATTCTGAACAGCATCCCTCTTCTCCTTAACCGAACTGCTCGTGCACGCCTTCAGAATATGCCGGACCACAGTGTGTTGTGACGGTGGGCGATAGACACCACGTCGCATATGCCCTTCTCAGTCGTTGCTTCCTCGCCCAGCCAACGCACACTTTATGGTCACGAGTCTGCCCTCGTATATTTTCTGAAAACAGCCGAACTTTCGTGGTACTGTGGGATGATGGTCGTTTTTATTAAATTGAGTCAAAATGTTCAAACGTGTTCATTTTCGCAACGCCTCTTTGAATCCAAATTCCGAATAATACTTTTTTTCGTTTCGCGAAAGGGAAAGATTCCGTTCTCCTCTCTTTTTATGAGCACTTCATACAAGATTCTAGTACCGAAGACCAGCGCTAGGTGTATTTTATGCTTCAAACTTCCATTCTTTTCAGCTTGCTATTTCGCATCACTTTCCACATACATTAAAAAGAAACAATTCCATGCGAATACGATCAGAAAAGCGATTTCGTAAGCGTTCGGCCCGACCGGCCGCCGTCAGTTTCCCATAATAGTTGGCTGCTCGCTACACGTCGCTCCTCGTCTCCTTTCTTCCCATAAAATGGTGGTAATTTTGCGAAGTGGCGGTGGCGGCCGGCACCGCATCTCCCTGTCTCTTTTCTGTTTGTTCTGCGATGACTCCGTATTCATCCCGTGATTTTCCGAGGCTCGTAGGTTGACAGCATCCGATTGCAATTGGCCCGGTGTGGGACCGTAAACGTTTTCTATTAGAATCTGCCTCATTTTTTCCCACTATTTTCACAGTATCTTCTCTTATAAATTCAACGTTGGCCACCCAACTTTCACTATAATTTCAGTAGTAAATCGTCAATTTTCAATCAAACAAGCTGCATCTCTTCTCCTTTTTCCTCTCATCAATAAAAATGTTCACAGAATAACATGGAAAACCCTGGCGAAGACGTTCGCGATACTGAGGAGAGGCAAGGCCCTATTGCACCGAAACCACTTAAGATGTTCAGCAAACTCAAGTTCTGGAAAAAGAAGAACAAAAAGAAGAAGAAGAAAGAAGATGAGGTTGAGACCACGGACGTTCCAGTCAAGCAGGAGGAGGTGGCGCCACGCGTAACGGACACGAAGAGAAACGATGGAATCAGTCCAAAAAGCGCTTTGATGCACTTTGGCCACCTTCTCACAGAATATGAGAAGAAAGAAGTTCTTGAATATAAGAATGTGTACCATATGGGAAAAAAATCAGCCAAGTTCGATGCCCCGATGGATGCAGATGAGACCGGATTCTTCACGCTGGAGAATTACCGCTACAAGGTGAACGTCGGAGATCATATCGCATATCGCTATCAGCTCCAGGAACTTGTTTCCAACCAATACAGAGCTCAGGTAAGTGTAGAAAAACATTCCAATAATAGCAATTAACTTCAGGTGTTCAATGCGATGGACGGCAAAAATTTCTCCAAAGTGACCATCAAGAGCTTGAACAGGAAATGGTTCGACCTGGACCAGCAGTATAGGGAGTGGAACAAGCTTCGAGATATTCAGGAGCTCGTACCAGCAAGTCAGGCCTTCATTTTGCTACCGATGAACATAGGAGAATTCCGTAATCACTTTTTCATGGTTTTCGAACAGTTTGAGACGGATCTGCAGAAATATATGAATGAGAAACCGAAGTGGGCTCTTGAGGTGAATGAGCCCAATTTTCCACTTAAAAAATATTTTTTTCAGGATATCGCGACATCAATTCCAGGAGTTTTCAAAGGTCTCGATGTCTTGAAAAAATTGGACATCATACATGGTAACATCCAACCGGCTAACATCCTTTTGAACAGAAAGGAACCCCACATTCTCAAAATTTGCGGTTTTGGCTCGGCTATCTATCCGACAAAGTACCGGCGAGAGACACAAGAGCTGCACTACCGTGCTCCGGAGCAGTTCATGATGGGCCCAGTCTCTCCAGCCATGGATGTCTGGTCTGTGGGCTGCATCATGGGAGAGATGGCCTACGGAAAACCGTTCCTGAACGGCGTCGACGACCCGAATCAGTTCTACGCTATTCAAGAAACTTTTGGGATTCCACCGCAAGAGTTCCGCCGTTCGTGCTACAGAGCGGAGCTTTACTTCTTCAAAACAGCCCACGACGCACCCACGCACTGCATTTTTGTCGAGGATTCGGACGGAGGGTTCAAGTTAGAGATCGACTAGTAAGTTGTGCAAGTAAACTATTTTAGGGGTTAACGATTCATTTATTGCAGCGCAAACTCCCTAGCGACCAGCGACCGTCTTCCTCCGGGTTCGAGACCCCTTTTATCTTTCTTCCCAGGCCGAGAGCTTGCGCTCTTCCGCAACCTACTCTATAAATGCTTTGAGTGGATGCCGGAGAAGCGTTTGGATCCGGCGGCTGCCGTCAAACATCACTTCTTCTTGAATTACGAGTGCTTGGTCAGTTTACACATGTGCCAAGCATGGAATGCATTCATTTTTGCAGTATGACGGTGACTGATGTGCAGAATTCGTCAATCAATGTGTTCTTTCCATCTTTTGCTTTTTACCTATTCGTTATTCCCTTCAATTGTGACCCATGAACCTTTCATTAAAGACTTACTCGAGCCCGCATTTTTGACCAAAGGTAGCCTTTATCATTACTTTGTTTTTATAATTCACACTCTCTCTTGCTTTTTCTTTCGTTTTTAAGATACGTGAGTACATATCTTTTTGGTTATAGTCTTTCAGCAATGATGTCGCGTTTCGAAGAAGCTAGTCAATCTCGACTGACGGCAGAACACAAAAAAGTAGTGAGGTACGAAACCATGTCAGAAAATATAATCCCATCGACTTCCTCGTTCTGAAATTTGGAATCTGAGGAACCTCTCTTGGTCATTCTTACTCTTTCACCCTTTAATGGCTGGTGACCACACAAATTTCTCTATCACCACTCTGCTCTACTCGTTCCTGTAAGCGTACCTACTGTTTCAGCCAGATACGATGGAACTTGTTTAGCTATTAGAGGAAAAAATACCAGCAAATTCGAATTCACTTCAATATTCATTTTCTTCCAGAATGCCCTTACACTTTATGGTTATTTCTCATCAAGTGTGAATCACAAGAGTTCCCGAACATGCCGTGGCACTTCACGGACATTACACGTTTCTCTTGAAATAAATCTCTGCGTGCGCACTCTCGCATTGTAGGGTGACCTCTCGCGACAATAATCCATCCCTTCCTCCCCCGGCTGGTGTTTGCAGTCTCCCGCTGCAAACGCGCTCCATTGCTAAATAAATGCCGACGCGTTCTCGACGTATCTTACCGGTTACCTATTTCGACAGTTTCCGTTCTAAATTTTTGTTTTTTGCAGCAAAACGTTTTCTGAAATTTATTTTTTTCAGTATGGCAGATGCAGTTGCGCCCGCCGCAGTGGCAGATGGAGAAAATGCACCGGCAGAGCAGGTTACAGTAAAAAACGATAAAAGTCGATGATTTCTCACGTTTTCAGGCTCGTTCTTGGAGTTCGGTTGTGTTTGGCATCCTCAAGCAGATGGTGATGTTCTATTTTATTAGTTCAATGATGAAAGGATTTGGTGGAGGACAGAGCAACTCGAATTCGACTGCAGCGGCAACTGTGCAGAAGATGCCGCCCGCAGTGAACCTTTTCTACCCAGGACAGCTCTATGACCTTTATCTATACCTTGATGAATCGGTGAGTATCGATTTTAGAGCGAAAAAATGCGGAAAACTCATGTTTTCAGGAACTTCGCTTCAAAAACTTTGAAAACGGCAATCTGTTTGGTGTTCAACGTGGTCTCAAATACGGTGACTGGACTGGCGGGCCCAATAACGACGGATCTTATGTGCTAGAAAAGACATTTCCAACTCCAGACGTTCTTCTCCGCAACCAGTCTCTCTACCTGCATACTTTCATTGTCAAATCGGATCAGTCGCCTAATCCAGCCGACAAGAACTACTTGCGAAGAGAGGTGAGAAATTTGCATAGGTTACCAGACGGATCGAAGTGCTCTTCAGGTGGTTTATGGAGTCCAGCAGCTGAACAAGTACAAGAAGAAGTATTACAAGAAGACGGCGAATCTGTTGACCGGAGTCAGTGAGCAGAGTGAAGAGGATCTCGCCAAGGCGGAGATTATGAAGTTCGAGGTATGAACTGCTGTAGACTGATCAACCCTAGTCTCCATTCAGATCCTCAACTTCTGGCACCCGAACATCTCTGTCAACATTGTCGACGATCAAACCAATTGGTCCAAGGGAGCTCTTCCTCCACCACTGGACAAAGACGTCAAATTCTCTCCAGCCGGCGATTACTACCTGCCCATTCTGTTTTTCAACAACTACTGGAACTTGGGAGCCGAATATATGCCGATCAACAACACTGTCACCGAACTGAAGCTCTCCGTCACCTTCTACCCTCTTTCTCTGTTCAAATATCAGATGTACGCCAGCCAGAACATGCGATCTCAATGGAGCGACATTCTTCAAAGTGAAAAGGAGGATGACGATTCCATCAAAGTGGCTCTTCTCGAAACCAACCCGATTTTGCTCGGTCAGTTTCTGTTGAAATTCCGTGCGCTTGAAAGTATAGTTGTTCCAGGAATCACCATCGTCGTTTCCATCCTTCATACTGTTCTCGAACTTCTCGCTTTCAAGAACGACATCCAGTTCTGGAAGAGCAGAAAGGATCTTGTCGGACTGTCGGTGCGCTCAGTTCTTTTCAATATTTTCCAGGTATTGACATCAGATTGATTCCAGATTAACAATTGAATATTTCAGTCTCTCATTGTCTTCCTCTACATTTGCGACAACGAGACCAACTTCGTGGTGAAGATGAGTGTGGGAATCGGTTTGCTGATCGAGTGCTGGAAGATTCCGAAAGTATTGAACGTTGTGGTCAGAGTTTTTCGAGTTTGTGCTCAAACTCTTTACTGTTTTTCAGCTCGATCGTGAGAACCCTGTTCTTGGAATCTTTCCGCGAATCAAGTTCAGCGACAAGGGTTCGTATGTAGAGAGTGACACCAAGACCTACGATCAGATGGCGTTCCGCTACCTTTCGTGGGTCTTGTTCCCTCTTCTCGTGGGATATGCGATCTACTCGATCATTTACGTGGAACAGAGAGGATGGTACTCCTGGGTGCTCAACATGCTCTATGGATACCTTCTGATGTTCGGGTTCATCACAATGACTCCGCAGGTTTGTTTATAGACTTTGCACTTGTCATATCAAAGACTCCTCGTATTTTACAGCTGTTCATCAACTACAAACTCAAGTCGGTAGCTCATCTTCCGTGGAGAATGCTCACTTACAAGTTCATCAACACCTTCATCGACGATCTCTTCGCCTTCGTCATCAAAATGCCGACCCTGTATCGCATTGGATGCTTCAGAGATGACATCATCTTTCTGATCTACCTGTACCAGCGTTATATCTACCGTGTGGACCCAACGCGAATGAACGAGTACGGCACATCTGGAGAACACGAAAACGGAGTCCCGCCGGTCGTCGAGGGAACCGCAGCGGAGACACCAGCAATCGAGGAATCGAAGAAAGACAAGTAATTGATGACCGAATTCTGGTATGCAATCACTTCATAGATTCATTCACTTTTTTTCTCATCCTGCTCAACAGTAATTAGATGAAAAACGCACAATCCAGAAAATACTGTATCTCTTCAGAGTCTTATCTTTTTTCCCCCAAAGCCATTCACTGTGATATTAGTTTATTGCTCACCTCCAGTGGCGTTTTCAAAATTGAAAAGTTATTGTAAACCTTTGCTCTGGGTCATTTTTCTCACGTGAAACATAATATTACATATTAACTCGAAAACCTTCAGTTTGTGACCCATTCGATTTAAAGATTAATAAACACTTTCAGAACTGTATGATTTGATTTTTGAGAAACCCGAAATTTTGTTCGGAATGAAAGAACAAATTGCATTACGCAATGCGGTTGCAATTCATTATAATGACTGGATGATTTGTCACTTGAGAAAAAGCCATCCCGAAGAAGAAACACGCAATGTATGTGTAATTTCAAAGACACACACACAACCCCTTTTTTGTTCTACCTTTTCTCTCTCTCTCTCTCTCTTCCTCTCTTTCAGCTGCCACCAGACGCAAGTACGAGGCATCAATTTAGTTTGCCTTTTTTGCATCCACGGTCGTCCGGCGCCGCGTACTGTAACTGGCTTTACCTCCAGGCAAACGTGCCTCAACAGTCAATTCGTTCCTCTCGTCTTTCACGTAACACCTTTTTGTCCGTTTGCGACGCGTCTCACGCGATTTTTGATTTAATTGGTTCTGAAATTGACCTCAAAATGAGCGCGTCAAGTTTGGAAAGTGGTACTCTAAGGTAGGAACAGTTTTCACTTTTTGAAATTGTTCCTCAAAGGTTTACCTGCGTGATGAAATGTAGTTTCTCCCAGTTTTCAACATGAGGAGACCTTATTATTTGAAAAGAACAAAGTTTCTGGGGGAGTAGCTTTCATTAGTAGGGGAAAAAAGTGAAATCATTGTCACTTTCAAGCACCTGCTACCTTACCCGACATGAGTATCTCCAGGAGAATCCATTTCGCCAAAAAGGGTATAATATGGCATCTGGTTTTACCTTCCTTTCCCCCGCGACCGTCTTTTTCTGCCCGTATGTGTGCTATGTACATACACTTACAAATTCCGTCGATTTTCTAATTTGCATGACTTCTCAATGGGCCGCAAATAAACTATTGTCATTGGAGAAGCCGATTGAACGATTCGACTGAAAAACGACGTCAAACTGAAACCTCGCAAACGATTACTGATAGCACAATATCGGAACACTTGATGAAGAAGCGGAACGTCTGCATATTCTTACTGCTCACGCAGTATTTTCTCATTGGTTAGTTTTACCCTCTTATTGAATAGATGACAAGTAAACTTTTCAGCATCTTCGCTACGGGTATGTACTAGAAGACATTACAAAGTTCATTCAAATGCCATACTTCAAAGGTACTACTCACTCTCCAGTTTACTGTTGGTTTTCTAACTGTTTCTAAGCTGCAGAGTTGAATTGGTCTCATCTGAACGATGCGTTGAACGCTGCATCGAAGACATGCAGTACTGCTTCATTGCTCAATTCGTCAAAGACGAAAATGAGGTGAGATAAGTTCCATTTGTATAAATTCTTAACACATTGTTCAGGAACTTGGATTATGCACACTGTTCAATGAGACGACCGATGCTGATATTCATCCGGACGCCACAATCTCCCCTCTCACTATCATTTACGAACTTCTTGACAAATGCCCGCCCTTTACTGCAAGTGATATCACTCACAGAATCTCGAAACTTCACCGAGATGCTCTGCTCGACGGCCGAGACGCAGGTATTCTCTTTTTTCCGTGTCTCACTAGTCAATCACGTAAATCACTTGCAGAAGGCAATAAAGCTCGCCTAGCTGACGCATTTTTCCCGGAAAGTAGGGACCATGTCGGTTCTGACGATGAATTCAAACTCGAAGGAGAACGATACGCAGTAAGTTTCATCTGATTTTTCAAAGGAATCAATCAAATCAATCAATCTTTCCAGGTGATGCGTAGCATTGAGGAAGTGGAAATTCAAGCAGCCAAAAACCGAGTGGAACTTCCACGCGATCCATTCAATGACGGTCCTCGGTTCCACCAATCTTCTCACGAACGAGAACGAGGCGATGACAAGGATCGGCAGAGAGATCGAGACTACCTGAAGACGATCGACACTCCAGAAAGACCAATCCGCCCGACTATTCTGCATCGAGGACAACAATCGCAGCAAATGAGCGCCCAGCCGATGGCAGCCGGCAATCCGTGCTTGCGTAATTATTGCCCGAATTCGAGTGCGTTTGATCATTGAACGTTTTCAGCGAATTCTGATTGTGCTCGTACTATGTACTCACTTGACAATGCACCATGTCCGGCCAGACAGGGCGATCCTTGTGCTCCGAGAAAACCATGTATGAACGACGATTGTTATCACATCGCTCCACCCGGCGAAGCAGCTCAACCACCAGCTCCGGAATGGACCGAGTGGTCAGAATGCTCTGCAAGTTGTGGAATCGCACTGAGAACTAGACAGTGTTTAGGTAATCTCTCAGCTTAATTTCTAAATCTCCATTATTCATTCATAATCATCATTCAGGTGGTATCAGTTGTATTGGACCGTCAACGATTCCATGTCAAGTCCCTGAATGTGCCGTTTGGACCCTCTGGAGCCCCTGGTCGTTGTGCACTGCAACATGCGGAGTCGGGGAAATTCAGAGGAACCGAGTTTGTCAGACAGGCCGAAACTGTGAAGGACCGAGTGTGGTACGTTTTTCCCTTTGAAATGCCAAAACTGTTTGCCTTTTCCTGCCGGCAAGCCCCATTCGCTTTCACCCAGGAACCAGCCAGACGGGGGCTATATGTTGCATCATTTTGAAAAGGCCAATTAGGACGCCCGCGGAGACGTTTGTACACATTCCACTCAATGCCAACGCGCGTACCTGAGACGGACGGGTTTCCGGAACAAAAGATGAACACTTGTACTGAAGAAACATACGAAATGTACTGGATTTCAGGAAGTGGAAGCGTGCAAGGCTCTGCTCCCTTGCCCTTCCTGGTCCTCTTGGACGGCGTGGACAGGCTGTGGCAACTCTTGCGGCAAAGGAATCGAAAGACGGTCGCGAATCTGCCAGGTGAGACGGCTATAATTGAGGTTATGTGTCAATGAAGCATTTAAAAGAGGAAACAAACAAAAAGTAAAAGTGACTTCAGAATGGATTGCTTTGTCCCGGCCCGCCAACTGAGGAGAGAACCTGCGATCGGGGACCATGCCCTCACTGGTCTGCGTGGGGAGGATGGGAGAAGTGTAGCAAAGAGTGTGGCACAGGACATACGGTAGGCCTATCATCGAATAATTGTAAATTAACGGAGATTTCAGTATCGAACACGTGAATGCCTGGATGGTCCTTCCTGCGAAGGGGCATCTGAAGAAAAGATATTGTGTAACCAGCAACCTTGCCCGCAATGGTCAACATGGACGGCGTGGACCGTTTGTGATGAAAGATGTGGCGAGGAGTCCATCCGTCTCAGAAACAGGTATCACAAATGCGTCAAATGTTCCTGCAGTATTCCGTAACAGAAAGTGTCTGAACGCTGAAAACAACAACGCTTGTGACGGACCTGCTCAGGATCAAATGAGCTGTCCTTATCGTGATTGCCCGAAATGGGAAGAGTGGGCTGAATGGTCCGACTGTTCCACTACCTGCGGTCAAGGAACACAAAAAAGGTATAATCACATCATTACTTGATTGCATTTTAATCCTACGTTTTCAGAATCCGAGAGTGTGATACTGCAAACGAATGCACAGGGCCGTCCGAGGAAATGCGCTTCTGCCAAGTAGCGTCTTGTCCGTTTTGGGGAGATTGGAGTCCATGGAGCGGATGCTCTGTGAGCTGTGGACGTGGAGTTTGCGAAAGAACCAGACGGTGTATCACTGATGACTTCTTACAACTCCCGACCCTTGAAGAGCTGGAGAGAGACGACTCGCTTGAAAAACATGGTAATTTCAATATCATTCTCCCCCCAATTTGTTCATGTTCTGTTCAGAAGCGAAAGAAGCTCTGATCGCACGTGCGAAGACAATTTCAAAGTACCATAGGACGAACGAGGTACTAAAGTAGCGTATTTTGTATCCAATCCGCCTTTTCGCCTATTTTGCAGACTCGATTAGCTCCTTTCCGGCCGTTAAGCCCCGAGCCACAACTCGGCGGCACATGTGATGGGCCCGAGATGGAGACGAAAGTCTGTGATGCAGGTAGCTTCGTCCGAAAATAGAGAAAGTGCAATCAGAGTTTGCTTTTTAGGTCCTTGTTGTGTCTGGAATCGATGGACAGAGTGGTCACCATGCATCGGATGTGGCAACGATGGAGTGACGAAGAGAAATCGAGTGTGTTCCATGGAAGGTCAATCCCCCGCGCCTCCGCCTATCAGCTTCCAAGTGAGACCCCAGACAGACCGGAAATTGTGAAAATCATAGCAAAAAGTACAGGACGATAATCGAGGCACCTACATGACCTCACCAACAGGTCAAGCACCGCTGGCGTCTAATCTTCTCGCAGGGCTAACTCCAATAGTTCCGGTGGAGATTCACAGAGGCAAACGACAAGTTCTTTTCGGAATCCAGTCTTCTCCACAGTGTCACTGCCCTGGTGACTCCTTCCAGACAAAACCCTGTCTCGAACCAAATCCATGTCAAGATCCAGTTCCGAGATGTGAATGGTCCGAGTGGGGAGAATGGTGTGGATGCATGAAATGCAGGGTGAGAGCCTACAACAACATCACCAACAATAATCAAACTTGCAGCCAGGGAAAGAAGTCCGTCGTCGGTTCTGCGACAGAAGTCCGATTGGTCAAGGTGGGCCGTCGAGACCGGATTCAAGTTGTGACTGCGGAAATGAAGATGACTCACAAGAGCGTTCATGTCCGATGGAACAGAACTGTTACGGTACTGGAAGGTACAGCAATGCGGCAAGCCTGCGAAACTCCAAGGAGCGCCAGGACTATCGAGGAAGAACGAGCAGTCTGCGGAACCCTCCCGGTACTACCACATCCGAAGCTTTAAAAATATATCCTTTTTCTAGTGCAAAGTCGAAATCGGGATGAAAACAGAAGACGTCCGTCTCATTCTACAACTGATGATCAGTACGTTCCAATCGACTCGGTTATCGGACGGGTTCAAGTGAGTACTACTCATGTTTCATTGTGTCTATCCAATCTTTTTGCAGCTACGAGGCAAAGAATCGCCACCGTATAACAAGAAAGATAATCCAGAAGCGTTCGAAACCACCGAGTTCCCTTACAAAGCGAGTCTATTTTCCGTCCATTTTCTGCCTCTGCAAATTTTTTGCAAATTCGAATTCGAATTCGGGATTTGCATTCAATTTCCAATTCCAATTTCCTTTTTTGCGAATAGCTGAACTCTTTCGTAAATTCGACTGCAATTACCAGAGTAGAGAACGTTTTGGCATTAGCATTTGTCCTCTCAGGTCCCTGAAGATTGCTTCGTTAGCGCCGTACGTGCACTTTAGCACAAACAGTTGAACAACTTATTTTGGATTTCTGAACATTTAGGTGTGTCACTGGTCGAAATGGTCGGATTGGAGTGGATGCCACGAGAATGCGACTCGCGAGAGGAAGCGTTTTTGTGTCGGAGAAAAAGGTTATGAGTTTGAATGCAAAAATGCCCTATCTCTGATCGAGTCCTCTTTTTAGATTCCGAATTAGTCAGCAATTGTGAGTGTGTCGGAAAGCCACACGAAGAGGAGGCCTGCAACGCCACAGGGTTCATCGAGCAGAGCAATGAGGAGACCGACAGAGAAGTGTGTTCTTCGGCGCAGAGCCCCGCACGAAACGCGGTAAAGAAAACAAACTGAGGCGTCTTTCCTTTTTTTCAGATAGAAAACAATCTCGATAAGCTACTCGGGGAAGAGTCTGCAGCAGGCGAGGAAGTTGAGGAGAAAGAAGAGGCCAAACCAAAAACTGAGAGCCCAGTCAACACCGTTCAAGTAAGCAGCCATCCACGCGTGCCGGGGCTTCTGCAAAAATTTCTGCAAAAACCAATTATTTCAGTGCGACTGGACGAGGTGGTCCCAGTGGAGCGTATGCACGGCCTCTTGTGGAGAGGGGCGCCGAATGAGACGAAGACGCTGCCCCTGCGGGTAATCGAGCCGATGACTCGAACTTTATCTCTTTATTCTGTTTTGCAGCGATGCCAAATGTGGCTCCGGCATAGACTCGGATTCGGAGACATGCACGAACGGCCTGTGCGCGCCAAGCCTCGCAGAACGTCGCAAACCAATCTTCACCATCCTGCCGGCGTCCTCGTCATCCGCTTTCATTAATTAGACATATAAATCCCGCATAGATTTCACTTCCATTTTTCTCCATTTTTCACTCGCATGTATTCTCCCCCCTTGTCTTATGCTCTTCTCCATAGACATCACCTTCCTGTTTGTATTTTGTGTCCCCGTACTTTTCAAAAAACTTTTTGAAGATTAAAAATCGAAATGTCTTTCATTCTTCATTCATATCAGCAAAGCTACTCTCCATTCACTGATGCTCATTAGAAGTGACTGAGCCCCGCGGCACCTGGCTCATGATGCTGCTCCCATTTGTGACCACGCCCACTTTTCACTCCTCCCCCTGTTCATCATTTTTGTCATCCGCACGGCCGTCACTTCGCTAAGAGTCCACTACACTCGCAGCTGTTTTCTTGAGGGTCGACAGGGGTCGCCCGCGTTTCTTGCTAGACTTCATTTACACTCCTTGCATCCGTCTTCTATTGGTTATGATTTATTTATAACTATTTTCAGACTATTCATAGAAAAATGCTCGCGGTAATTGGCATTCCAGCAATTGGCACTCTTCTTCTTCTGCTAGCCATCATAAGTGGAATATTTTTCCATCGCTCGGAAAATATCTCTTATAACCCTTGCTCGAGTAATGTGTATAAGGACGACTACAGACAATTCATCATCATGTAATTGCCTTTGTTTGCTCGATTTGCACGTTTTCTGTTTAGCGGAATCTTCCATTCCATGGGGATCGCCGGCTACTCAATTGCTCAGCTCCTGGAAGATTTTCTTCCGCGTCAAGTCAGTCTTCATCTCGGCGGTTCCTTGCAGATTCTCTCTCTGATTCCAACTATGGGTTAGTTGAGAACAAAGTAGATACTCATTCGCGTGTTCGTACTTTCAGTGTACTACCACATTCATGTCATCAACTACAAGTGTCGTTGGCTCGAAGTTCGTCATCGTGGCCACGATGACTACCGAAGGGCCATCTTGACGGAGGGTATTTCCTTCTTCGTGTACGGCGTCACCTCCCTGTTTGCTGTTCTTCTGTTCATGGCGGAAACTGCGTATCCGGCCGGAATAGTTAGTTCTACCTGAAATCATTGAAAAACAGTGCATTACAGTACTCCAAAATGCAATACGATCCGCTGAGTGGATGGGAACTCGAAAACTACGAAATGCTCGGATACGTCACAGTTCGAGTCGCCACGTTTCTTCTCGGCATGAACTTGTTCCGTGTCATCCGGAACTGCTACCGCATCCTCAGAACTGAGATAGAACCGGACCAGTCGACGCAATACTTTTTCAGCAAATACATTTCCAAAAATGTTGTTCCTCACGTAAGAAATGTAATTCTTTTCATACCGCAGGTTCCCATTTTCAGTTCGTCAACGACTTCCTCACACTGTTCCTCCCTACTCAATATCTGATCGTCCGTATTGCTCCGATAATGCATCTGAATGGTGAGGTCTTTTTTTTTCCTTTCCTTCACCCTACTCCTATTTTTCTCATCTCATTCATTTTTTCAGCGTTCGACGTCCTGGCCAAGTGCCTTCTGATTGGAAACCCTTTCGTGTTCGTCATTATCTACATGGTTCAAATTAGATTGGCCACGATGAATGTGAGCAAAGAGGAGATGCGATGTCGATGCTTCGTCTGTGCCGAAAAGGCGGCAAGGGCTCAATCTCGGTCCATCAACCTCAAGGTTATGAGACTGGCCGGACGTCGGAAGAGAACGAACAACGAGGGAGGAGGAGCCGCGGCGGTCATGGCGGTAGGAGGCAGCGAGCAGCCAACCGAAACCGCTCCGACAACCGAGGAGGACCGAATTGAAGTCTCTGAAGACAATTTGTAAGTTACACTTTGATTGTCCTTTTTCTTTTTCATCTGTTTTATGCTTCACCAGCTTATCCACTCCCAAAATAAATTGCTTTCGCTTGTTAAACACATATGTATCACAGACAGTGACAAACCCGACATTTTCCCATGGGAGCCCGAGGTACGTCAGCTAACCGGTGAAGGGCTAAATTTGGAAATGTCAGAGAGAATTAGTCATAATTAGAAGCAGTCTGAAGATAGGAAATCAAAATTTAAGAATTTAAAAACTGTTTTGAGCTTTGAGCTATGAGCCAGACAGACTGAATGAAAGCACGTCTCACACGTAATTTATGGTCTATCAGATAGGATGTGACGGAAAGCACCAATGCTGGCTGCTGTTTTCGCAATTCATGTAAATCTGAATAAAAACGAGAAGCACGATTCGAAGACGTCGCGTGGCCACCCCGTATAACCTGTTATTACTGGATTATATGAGTGCTTCTCACTGTCTCTCTTGAGCCAGATGTGCTTTCTCAACAAATTGTTCAGACTTCTTTCTCCGTCCTTTTCTTTCCATTCTCCCACCACGTCAAAGTTTTTTTCTCATTCGTTCGGTGTGAACTTTTCAGAGAATGGCTGCAGTCACCATGTCCGAGGCCTTCGAGATTGTTCACCAGGACATGGTAACTCTTTACAATCTTGCCGGCTCCGTCCTCTCTCGCCCGTGCCTTATCCTCCTCAAGTTTCTGGGCGGTTGCTTCATTTTCGGCGTCCTTGTCTTTTTGACAATGGCTTTCCTGTTCTTCGTGCGGATGATAGTTTGCAAAATGGGATACCCAGTCCCACAGACCATGATCAGGCGAGTTATCAAAACGCCGACCTCACTGAATACACATTTTTCAGGCTCTACATGACTATGTACATTGTGGCCCTCATCCAGACATTTATCGCTCCGTACGTACTGCTATTTGATGGTTCGATCATAATGACGATTATATTCGTAGCTACTGTCGGTCAGTTAATTCCTTGTTCTTCTAAAACTTGACATTTTGTTCCAGGAAGCTTCTTGGTGGTTACCTAAGGTAATTCTGGTCTCTCATTCTCTCTCTCTCTCTCTCCCTCGGTGCACATTATCTTCTCGACCCATTCATTCAATTCAACATGATAATTTTCTTCGTTTCTGACCTACCTACTCATATTTTTTGTATCCTTTTTTCAATCCCCAACTCGCATTACTTTTTCTGATCCCGATTGTATTTGAGGTTTTAAAGGACTGCGACGGCATGTGTTATCTATCCAATAAATTCTGATCCGCGATATTTCTGTTCACACACCAAACGAAAGTTAACGCATTTTCCCACGTACGTATTACGGCTTCTCACTACGTTTTGTTTGCTAGTTCACGAGGGATGGAGATCTACTTGCTATTGTTTCTGATCATGCAGAACCGTTTCATGGGGGTACATCTGCTCATCGCTGTCGTTCGCTTTTATGCCAGAAGGCTCGCTTTCGGAATCCGATTCCACAGAAAATTGTGAGCGATTTTCCTTTAAATATTCTGTTCGTGTAATATCTTTTTTTTTCAGTCTGATTGCTCTAAGCATTCCGTTCTATGTCATGCTCCTCATACATCTTGACGAGAAAGCAAGCGGGAAGGAATCCCCGATTCAACTCATCGGATTCTTTGTCACAACCTGCAGTTTTCAATTCGTCGTCACGGATATGTTTTGAATTGGTCATTTTGCCCGAAATAGATCTTGAGAATCTCTTAGCCTATTCCTGTTTGTTTAATTTTTCGCGGTTACATTCATACATCAGTTGTTTCTTGTCTTTTAGGGATAATCAAAGAATTATATCTAAAACGTGATCTATCCAAAAACTTCCGGTTGTCAGGATCTTCTTCAACTAAAAGTCTAACAGTGTATTCAGTAAATTCAAAATTTTATAAAACTTATCCTGATTCCACCCGCCAATACGAACAGAGTCCCCATAGATCAATTCAGTCACTAATTCCTTAGTTCTCAAACGAAAAGTGTGGATGGATAGTCATTTTGTAGCGGCCAGAGAGTCGGCAGCCACTTCAGATTGTCTTCTCTGACGAAGAGCCGTATTCACTTTATTTCTTCTCATTACACATCGCAGACACCTCAGAAAGTTCAGTATTATGCATATTTCCGTTTTATTCTTCTGGGTAACTGCAAGTTTTGTACTTTTCTCGGCTCCGTACGAAAGTCGCTTTCCGGAGGAGTGCTCTAGTAAACTAATGGTTTACAAATGGCTTTCCAAAGTTACCGACGAGAGTGAGTTTTTTCAATTTCTGGACCGTGCTTATGGTATTATGTTATACAGACTCATTTATCCCGCAGACAACCAGTATTCTGCGGCTAAATGAGAAGCACTTGGTTCTCGGTGAGTCGTCCATTTACTACAAACTTCCGTCGGAGTGGGATGTCTGGAAATATCAAGTTTCTGTCAGGTAACTTAAACTTTTAAGTTTTCATTGCGACTATGCGGTCTTAGAAATGGCACCACTATCTTTTCGACGGTCATTTGTGGCAATCGATTCACAGTGTTTGGAGGCGCACTACAAAAAGGAACACGCGACGTCATTGTGAACGTGCCCAAACTTCGGACGCTCTGTTCGTGTTTGGACCCGGATAATTTTTCAGAATCCTATCTGATCCTTTCCGGTCGTGGGCTTTTCGAAGTAGAGCTTGCTAGTCAGACCATCTCATTGAATTCTGAGGCACTTTATGTGCGTCCTTTTTTCTCCTCTAGCAAGTGGTGTAAAGAGATGGCTGTTGCTCGAATCGTTGCTCTTTTCTTTGTTCTTGTGCCTATCTGTATGGGGTACAGAGAAGGTGTATCGTACTATCCGTTTTGAAACGCGTTTTGTGGGTATTCCGAGCCACGAAAGTCGTTTCTCAGTTAATAAAAATCGTTTGCGAAGAACCATATACTTGTTGGCATTCACCGTCAACAGACTCATTTCCACCATTACCATTACCTTTATCGGTTGCCTAAGTTCGCTTTGCGGCACACTCTGATTGGAGAGTGCTATCGTTCCTTTTATTGCATCCCAAATAGTTTTTTTGAAAGTTTGAAAGGGCAAGTGTACTTTGTTGTTCAAATCGAGCGACCTTGCCAACTTGAACGACGAAAAACCAACCCCGTACGTGGAACCCGAGGGAGAGAAATGTAATCTATGTGAATACAAAGCGCAGCTGCAGATACTTTTTCTGAAAATCCTAGTCTCGGTCCGCATACACTAAAAGCGATTACTGACAACTATCGACAGCGTTTGCACTGAGTTGACAAGGAAACAAATGATTCGTTATGTTTTCACTCCTTCGTAGCCACACACGATCGTTTTTATCCGGATATAATACTCAAACAAAGTCGTGAACGCCTGTTGCTGTATTGACGGAAGATTTGGACCAATCTCTTCAGCACAATCATCAATAAGTCTCCTGGTTGATCAGCTCCCGCACTCTACCACTACTAGTTTTCTCCATCTCAAAACGTATGTACATATTTAGCCACTCCATGTAGTATTGTCAAAAAAATAATCTCGCCTCCTGCAGTAACCTCGCGAAAGGTCCGCCTGCATTGTCGATGCTTTCAGAACTTTTGAAAGCTGACCTTTCGCAACTCGCGAAAGGCCTGCATTGTCGACCAACTTTAAAGTCTGTTCAAGCGGACCTTTCGCAACTCGCAAAAGGTCCGCCTGCAATTGTCGACCAAATTTAAAGTCGGCATTAAAATGAGCGCACACAAATTCAAGTTTTCGAGTTGCGAAAAGTCCGGTTGTACGTAGACGGACCTCTTTGTTTCCTTCGATTTTGCTCCCATTTTTTAATAATTTTTTCAGATGGACTTTCTTTGAAATGATCGTCATGGAGCTGAGGGTACATCGCAGCCCAATTCGAGTGCGCAACAAACCTTTCGAAGAGAAGAGACGAGCGGAGGAGGCCAAACTTTGGCAGACCGAGGACGAGAGATATCGAGCGGTGCGGAGTGCGAATGGATAAAGAAAAGAGGAATGGAAGTGATGATATGGATAAAGAGGAGCAGGAGAATGTTCCTAATCATTCGGAGGACTTAGAACTAGAGATAACGACGAATTATTTGAATGGACAAGAAGAAGAAGAATGTAGCTCTGACCAAGTGCATCCAGAAACAAAAGTGGAGAGATATAACGAGAGTGCTCCTCATCCGAATGACTTCTTGAAAAAAAATTCAGTAGTGGATTCCTATTTGTGCAATTAGCTCTCTTGGCCCTCAAAGCAATACCCGTTTGTTTTTAGGTCGTTTTTCCAGATGTTCGACTGCTGTTATCCATCTGTTTCTCAATTTGGCGTCCATATCATCCATTCCTATTTACGGACGATGAAAACAGCCAAAAAACATTTTCAACTCCGTGCTTGGTGCTTTGGAAAGTATTGGCTTTTTTCCACAATAGTAAGATCTTTTTTCTCATCTTATTGAAATTATTTCAATTTTTCCAGCGCTCAAGTTTCTGATCATTTTTCTGGTCGTCTGTGATATATTCCACGGTGCCGATGACTACGCCGAGGTCAACAACATCACCACTCCGATTCCGGCTCCGGCAAGCCGCCAGAAAGTCTGTCCGATTAGGAAGTGACAACCGTTCACCCGATCATGCACAAGCTGTTCTGATCACCTCCCTGATAACCCGAGTATTTCTTGTATTTTAACAGAGACCCGTATCCCGTTTCACCCACTTTCACTACTTGTAAGCTGAATGATAACTCGAGAATCACAGTTTTTGGTGTAAACTGAACTGTGATTGCTATTGCTATACTCATCTAATAAGGTTTGAAAGAAAGCGATTAGTTTCAGTTGTTGATGAGCGTGGGCACCCAAGTTATCCATACGGAAAATGTGAAATTTGGAAAATACTTTCCTCTCTTAGTTCCCCGTAGTCTAGAGACGTGTTCACAAAAAGCCTGTGTTTCATTCAACAAGTCATCTTCTGTCCCCGGTACCCTCGATCCCTTCGTTCCGAGGGAAGTTGTTGACAACGCTCGAGTCGGCCAGACGGGCCGTCTAAAGGGCCAGACAGTTGCATGTTTGCTTCAAGGTTGTTTTCGACGAGGGCACTGTCTGCGCAGACTTTCCTCGAACAGACGCTTATTTACGAGTGTCTGGAGGGAACTCGTTCAGAAGCTCAGATTTATGATTGTCTGACAGGAATACATGAATAGTTCTTTGTAATTCGAAACTTGCCGACAGTCTGCCATCTGCTGACTCGTGAGAGGAGAAAATGGCTACAGTACCCGAGTTGAGAAAAGAAAATCCGCGGAATAAAACGGAATAATTTGTATCTTTTTTAGAAAAATTTTTCATCGAATGCGATCAACTGTGAGTTCTATCGATGAAAAAATCTGCAAATGAAAATGTCGGTCAAATGCTGAGCACAGATAAGGTTTCATATTTAGAATTTTTCGAATTTTGGAAACATTATCCATAATTTTCCAAACTTGGAGTGGTGTTGACCTTCACTTGTCAGAATACGAAAATAGAGCCAATTTGTGGGATTTTTTTGGAAATGTTCAATCTGAAAAATCTTCTAGCGGGTGATTGATTTCGAAGTTTTGGTGAACATGACGCTCGCCTTTGCGCAGAATATTCGAAAACCTCTGCCAATAGTGTATTAGCATCTGAATAGTTAGAAGTTTTGCCTCATTTTTTGGGCCTGCCTTTTTATCAGTTACCTTCCATTAGCGGTTTCTTTCTGTTCAAAGTCGGATTTCCCCTCTGTCAACAGGGCGCATTCACTTTGAAAGTACAGTATGAGGCCGACGTGCACTTTCCCACTCCCGTTTTCCCTTCCCTTTGTTCTGCCGACAGAGTCCCACTTTCACTTTTCCATAACGACTATTGACACATTATTTTAAATGTCCTGTTATTCGTTTCGCCGCCTTCCCTTTTTGAATTTTGCCGGCTCGTACCGGCCGCGGGCAGTCGGTGTCGGTCGCATGACGCCATCCTCGTGTTGCCAAAAACACAGGCAGCTTTTTGACTCCGCCCACAAGCCCGCGCGACCGTCGACCTTCATTCCTCCTCATTCTGCCTGTCGAGGTGCAACCAACGTTCCCTCTCTTCTTCCTTCTCCCCTTCCTTCTCCCTTACTGCTGCCTTTAGTTGTCTCTTTTTAGAATGAAGTGCGCTATTGCGCTCTCCGTGCTGCTTCTCTCGGCGATCGTTTACAAGTCGACCCGCGACTCCACAAACTCGCACACGCGTAGTCCGATCATCGACTTCAAACCGCACTGGCTCGACGCTCAAAAATCCGAGGACTACATCTTCGCGAAGCACTTCCTCGATATCTCAAAAGAAGACTTCCCGAAGGAAAACCACCTCTCTCAGAAGAACTCCACCGATTTTGTCATCGACAACGCGGTCACCCACCAGATGGTTCTCCCGACTCTCGACTTCCAGGCCATCTACATCTTTGTCAAGTGAGTTGGGCCTTAAAACTTTTCAGAAAGAGAGAGAAAGAGAGAGAGAGAGAAATAAAGAGAGGGAGAAGTGACTAGGGTTCCAGAAAATCGAGCGCAAAAATCTGATCTTCAATATATTGCTTTGCAGCGACGGAGCTGCGAACGTTTCGATCAAGATGTGCAAAGACAGCACCTTCATCCCGGGAGGAAACGTCACCCGCGGCTGGAACATCCTTGCCCTGGACTTTCTCGCCCTTATCCATAAGGCCGGCTGCAAGAACTTCTCTTTGTTTTCCCACCGCCCGATGCTCAAATTCAATGGCACTGCCGAATTCACTATTTGGCAGACGCACAGAATCGTCTTCTTCCAGCCCCACCACGACCTCTTCGGCGATATCTTCCTCTACAGTAAGAGCTCACTTCTCATTTTACTGAAGCAATCCTTCCTGTTTTCAGTCGTAAGTGTCCTCATGGTCTTGTCCCTCATCCTCCCGATCGTCCTCTGCAAGCTGCGCCAGAACATCACCGCCACCGAACGCGACACCGATCCGGTTCCGGACACTCCCTCGAAGACTGGCTCAACCGAAAAGGTCGCTACCGACCAATCGGAGATGCCCTTCTGAGCGTTTTCCTAATATCCCGAGACTTTATTATATCATCACAGTGACCCCTATCCCGTTCTTCCCTTTACTTTCCCCATTTTTGAACCATCCCAATCCGTCTCGTTGTTACCTCTCTTGTTATCTACCTCCCTTGTTGTTATCTCCTCCACACTTCCGTTATTTCTGTATTGTCACTGTCTCGGGATAAATCATGTTATTCATTTCAACATTATATTGGCGCCTTGAATAACAAAGTAACGGGTGTTGCTGCTGCTGTACCAGTAGACAAACACAAACCTCAAGACAAACATGTAAGAACATCAGACATGTTTAAATTTGCCTGAACTGGAATGAAAATAGAATGGAATAAGAACATCGGGTACAGTTCTTCTCGTCAGGAGCGTCCGCTGCAGCTTTTCATCTGAACCTTCAAACATTTCGCTTAACGGTTTGTACGGCTCCGGAAAAACAGTTTCCCCGCATCCTCACGAACCTAAGAATGGACAACGATTGTGTTATTAAACAAAATGTGTACAAATTTGACCTGATGAGTACCATTTTGCGGACAGATCTTGAGCGCCCAAAATAAGGGCTGCATGCGAAAAATCCATGCTCCTTTCGAACGCCATCCTCTACTTGACGGTAAGAGACACTGACTTGAAAAAATCGGATCAACTCAGACTCAACGGCATTCGATTTCAAGCCTCTTATTGAGCACTTTTAATGTTGGGACAAAAATTTTAAGACCACTCCTTGAATACGATGCGGGGGGCCTTATTTTGCGCGCTGAATATAATGGTGATAGTCCCATCAAGATCTGTCCGCAAAATGTGGTACATCGGTTCAAAACTTTTCACATTTTTCGATAAACGGTGCAATGAGATGGCTGTTGCTCAAATCGTTGCTCTTTTCTTTGTTCTTGTGCCTATCTGTATGGGGTACAGAGAAGGTGTATCGTACTATCCGTTTTGAAACGCTTTTCGTCGGGTTTTCGAGCGACAAAAGACGTTTCCCAGTCAATAAATTTTTTTTTGAAAAGAACCATATACTTGTTGGCGCCTTTTTAAATGCAAATCATCTTTTCCAGGACACGTTGCTTTCTCCATTCTTCCATAACCAAACAATAAAATCTGCCACATTTATTTTCATGTTTCCTCCTCTTCCTTCACTTTGCAATATTCTTTCTGTCCATAGCTGTGATCTGTTTCGATGGTTCTGATTATTGAAATAGTCTACTGTGTTAATGAATACATCTGCCGAATTTAAATTATCCTCCCGCCCCGGCCCCCTCGTTCAAATTGTTACATACTTACTTAGTTACTTAGTCGATCCGTTCCTCGCTCACGTTGTGTGGGCGCGGATCACAGCACACCACGCCTTCCGATCTTTGGCAATCGTGCTCCATGGGACCACTCGGTTTCCTTGTCGGATGGTGACTTCTTTGTCGAGGGCGTCGATCCATCGCATCGGCAGTCTGCCGACCGGTCGCTTCGTGTCTCTTGGAATCCATTCTTGCGTCAGAGTGGCCCACCAGTTGTCTGTCCTTCGTGCCACGTGTCCGGCCCAGCCTAACTGAATTGTTTCTGGTAGAACTGCTGGATCTCCTGCTCTATCTTTGTCCTTGAAGTGATTCTTCCGCCGGTCGTCGGAGATTTGAGGCAGGGGATGAAGGACTTGTATTCTTGAATGTCCCTTGCCACCCTTTTCAGGCCCTTGACGCCCTTGATTCGCGGCGCTCAGAAAGCGGGAACTGGCGAATTCTTCCTGGTCTTTTTCGACCTCTTCTCGGCATTTTAATGACAGCGACTTGAAGTTGGGGTCTGATCTGTCCATAAATCTCCGTTTTTCTAGAAGTTGTCGAGTAGCCCTTGTGATCCGATTGGTTGAGTGGTTGGATGGTTGTGGGGGGCGTGGATCACATCACACCACGGGCGTGGATCACATCACACCACGCCTTCCGATCTTTGGCAATGGTGCTCCATGGGACCTCTCGGTTTCCTTGTCGGATGGTGACTTCTTTGTCGAGGGCGTCGATCCATCTCATCGGCGGTCTGCCGACCGGTCGCTTCGTGTCTCTTGCGATCCATTCTTGCGTCAGAGTGGTCCACCGGTTGTCTGTCCTTCGTGCCACGTGTCCGGCCCAGCCTAACTTCTTCTCTTTGATGTGGAGTAGAGGGTCTCGGACGCCGGATAGGCGTCGGATGTCTTCTCGATGGAGATTTCTCTCTCTTTGTTGGGAGAGCTACAGTCCGACGAGTCTCCTTTCCAATGACGCGTGGGTTACTCGCACTCTTTCAGCCAGTGCCTTCGTAAAGGTTCAGGTTTCTGAGCCGTAAGCGAGCGCCGGGAGGACGATCATTCTTCCATAACCAAACAATAAAATCTGCCACATTTATTTTCATGTTTCCTCCTCTTCTTTCACTCCACAATATTCCTTCTGTCCATATCTGTGATCTGTTTCGATGGTTCTGATTTTTGAAACAGTCTACTGTGTTAATGAACACATCTGCCGAATTTAAATTATCCTCCCGCCCCGGCCCCCTCGTTAAAATTGTGCACAGCCAAACAAACACGTTTCGACCATCACCAGTGCCGTTTGCTTTTGCAAAACACTGACTGAAACAGTAAATTCGTTTTTCACTTGATCCCCAGACAAAGTTGGAAAGGGCAGGTGCACATTGTTGTCTTTCACTGGAAATCCTAACTAGGTTCCCATACACTACGTGGCAGGCGCGGGGAACCTGTCCCAATTAGGTGCCTTGCTACGGTGGGTTCCGTCTACATTGACACTACTATAAATAGGGTTCGGATGTGCATCCACCATCATTAATATTCTCTTATTCTCATTGCGAAACACGTTCGATTGTTGTGCTCGTCCTTGTTCTGACACTTTTTCTAACACTTTTGACTCCATATAGTAATTGAGTTATCAGAATGATCAGTTTGACTCGAGTGTTCGTTGAGACCATGGTCTTCGTTGTGGCAAGTCTCACTGCTACGTATGTGGTGTGCGAAGCGAAGAACATTCCAGAGGACGTACTTTCAAGTAAGAGAAGCTAACTTTATTCAAATTAAAGAAATGAGAAATATTTGAGACGTCGTGATCCCTACCTTCTCCGTCTTGTTCGTTATCGTGCAAGAAGGACCCGAGGAAGTCTTGGAGCTGGGGCATGATTTCGTAAACCTTCTGATGGGGCGCACTCGAGCCGACGTCGCTCTCCCAGTTGGAGATGCCGAGCTGCCGAACGAACAGGCTTTGGACGTTGCTGCTGCCGGAGATGCCGACGGTGATGAGTAATTGATCGTTGTAATTTACACTTCCGTCATTTTTGTCTTGTCACTGTCTAGCAATAAATCTTGTTATTCATTCATTTCACTATCATATTGGCGCCTTGAATGTCGAAGGCACGAGGGGTGTTGCTGCTACAGTAACAGTAGATAAACAGAATTAGCATCGACTTCCAGATGTCGCCTCACGAGATTTTCTTCTCGCTTTTTCTCCCGATTTCGGTAGACATACGAAGTAAACATGCTTTTCCTCAAATTTCTTTTCACAACACTGAAAGGGTAAGCGGCACGGGAGGAACTTCCGCGACTAGAGTGAACTAAATCATCACCTAAAGTTTAATTAGTGCGTGCCGCCACCTATTTAACTCAACAACTCTAATGGATCACACGGCGGTTTTCATATCTCTGGCCACACTTCTCCTGCAGCTCCCAGCGAGCTTTGACCCTGAGACATGTTGTTGTAAAGTGCACCAGTATTCGCATTAATCATGAAGAAGACTCCGAGTGAAAAATGCTGCGTTATGCGAGCGCGAGTGTTGATAATTGAGAAGCACACAAGTGATAAGACAAAAAGTCAAAGCAAACTGCAGGCCCGCGGTCCCGCATTGCAGCTCAATGGAATTGAGCTGCTCCCCCGCATTTAGGTCACCTGTTCGACTCGAAATCTCGGTCTATGATGTCAGAAGTGAGAAGATACGGGCCGCTCAAGTTTTCGAAATTGCTGTCCACGTGAAAATAAAAGACACCGAAAGAAACAGAAAAAGTTGTGGGTACGCTATGAGTCAGGAAGAAGAAGAAGAAGAAGAGACAACACATCGCACAGACACCACAGAGTTGAAACAATGCCTGGAACTGTGTAATAATATGAATGTGGGCAATTATTCAAAAAAGTCGGAATTAGTATAAGAGTAGATTTGGAAAAGTACAGAAGTAAGGGAAGTCTTCATTCGTTTCCGGCCATATTCTTAGGTTTTCTGAAGGTTCTGAACTTCCTTCTGTGATACTAATGTGCGTTTTGAACTTAACTTCTGGTAAAACCCGTATCCAAACTATCAAAAGCTCCTCTAACCTTATGGAAAACAACTTTCTCCTCTGATTCATGTCACATTTCAGCGCCTCTTCCGGATTCCTGACCAAATGACGTGGATGTGCTCGGAAACCATCCACCTAGGCCGGCAGAGCCCAGAGACAGCTGTGTTCTTGTTCGTTAAGGCGCCGCCCACCCATCCAACACATTCTTCCCCGTGCCCGAGAGAAACACAGAAGATCCAATCAAGCCGGCCCGGCTTTCCTCTGAAACATTACTCTTATCTGTACTTTTTCCACATATTTCTGTCGTTTCACTCTTCAGAATGGGATACCGATTGGCATGGGCGGACAACGACGCAAAGTGAGTTATTTGAGTCCGAATTTTGCCGTTCAGTTGATAACTTTTCACAGAAACGGGTTAGAATGGGCGCCTCCAGTCCGTGTGATAGCTGTAGTCACCCTCATCGCCTCCACTCTTGATGTTCTTGCCGATCTCCTTGTATGCAACAGGTAATCTTAGTTTTAACGTTAGAAGATCAAAAATCGATCCCGTTTGCAGAATCGCCGAATACCTCGGCAACTTTCAAAGCGAAATCGCCATCTACGCAGCGTACGGCTACTTTTTCTTCACCGGAATCAGCCTCTTCGTCTACCTCTTCGAGATGATCGACGTGTGCAAAACTTTGAAATATGATGAAGAGAACGTGTTCTACGCGCGTCTCGCAAAATCCTTGGTCCTTGTGCTCGAAGAGGTACGTTTCTTTCTGAAGTTTTTCTCAAATATCAAATTTCTGCTAACAATCACACACGAAAATGTGAAAAACGACGCTTCCAAGCTGTGGAACATCTGAATAACATTCAGATTAACTGGATTCTAATGCCCTTCTTTTCCTCCTTTTCGCATCGAAAATGAACTGAAAACCAAAGTTTTCTCCCACGTGAGCTTTATAGTTTTGTACTGAGCAAAAAACGGCCAGGAAACTGATCAATCGGTCAAAAAACGCACGTTAAAGCTCACGTTACAATGTTGACAAAATATTGTGGCATTAAAAACAACATGGATGCGGGGAAAATGAGAGAAAGAGTGTGGATCGAGCGATCACATCAGGTGCGATGAAAGATAATTGTGATGGCGGAGGAGGCATGGAAGAGCATCGGTTCAACGATCACGTCTATACGTTTACGGGTTTCTGAAAAATTATAAGCAAATTTCGAAGTTTATCGACTTTTTGACAATTGCTTGAGGTAACCAAATCCCATAGTTTTCATTCTCAGTAGATTCACAAAGTGCAGTTTGTTTCGATTTCAGCATACTACACATTTCGACATTTTCCGCTTGAAAAACAGCTCAGAACGTCAAAAACCGAAAGTAAAGTTGTGCGAGTCTAAAGTCGAACATGTCGTCAGATGATGAATGGTGGTGGCTCGGTGACAGCACTAGAAACCTTTCTTCTCTGACTTTACGGAACGAGGCGACGGCTCACGGGATGGCTGGCAGAACGAGCGCCTGTTACGTTTGAAACTGGGTCACAGCGGTCGCAAACCGCTAATTTTTGAGAGATATTGTCATTGAACACTCAATTGATCGAAGAACGGAAGGAAATTCAGTTTTTGGTACTAAAAATATAAAAAATTATCGTCGCTAGATTACAAAAGCAGGCTTTTTGAAAATCGGCCCCAGATTCAAAATTTTTTTTGATTAAAATAAAAATTGATTATTGCTCTGAAAAATGCGTACGGAAAACCTGAAAAATCGTGTTTTGCTTCAGTTAAACTTGGTAATTTTGTAAACAATGACCGTTTCCCTGTTTTGACCAGCTTCCAAAGTGATTCAGACACAGAACGATCGAAATTTGTGCATTCCAGGTTCCTCTCCCGTCGCTGATGAACATCCTTTTCACAAATGAGCCGAGACTCTCGCTCGCTTCTCCAGTATACTTTGCTTCGTGGATCAAGCTTGTCGCCCTGACGTGGGGTCTCGTGAAGTTCACAAAACTCCGCTTCTTCTGGCCATGCCTCCCGTTGAATCCAAAACACGACGCGAAGTGAGTTTCTCTGCACGATTTTCTGAAAATTCACACAAAAACCTTACTGCTTTCCAGGGAGAACGTCCGGAGATGCTTTACATTCACGCTGTACAGAATCTGCATGGTCATCGTCAACATTTGCCACATTTTGGCCATCTACATCGTCATCATGAATATCATCGCAAGCGGTTCCGGCGGACGGCAGATCGACGTGAAAGAGCAAAGATTATAGATTTTTTCTTGATTTTATATCTGAATTTTTGTAAACCGGTTCCATTTTTCGATTACAGGTTGATTAGTTCTGATTGTAAGTGTGGTGCCCATCCTCCAAAATAAACGCATTCTCGAATCTTCCATGACATTCCACTCTCGCCGTCTGCGTCTCTCACTCACCCGCACTCTTTCGGTCCGGTCGGCCGCTCGCTGGCCGTCTTTTCGCCTCGCGCGACCCCGGCAGCCCGGAGTGTGCAAGTGCGCTCGACTGTAGGACACGTAGGCCAATCGACAACGTACACACGACGCGCGACGTTGCATCCCGCCTACTGCACGCTCACCGATCGACTCAGTTTGGATTTGCTCCCCATTCTGTGCAATCTCACATCGACTCTGTGAGATTACTGGATCGTCATGGCACTCATCAAGCTGGTCTTCGCCTCTTTGGGTGAGTTTTTCACAGTTTTCAGGAACAATTCTTCATTGCTTTCTTTGCAGCGATCACATCGGTATGCGGAATGTACTCGAAGAAGGACGACGTCGTTGAGCTGACCGAGGCCAACTTCCAATCAAAAGTCGTCGACTCTGACGACATCTGGATCGTCGAGTTCTACGCTCCATGGTGCGGACACTGCAAGAACCTTGTTCCGGAGTACAAAAAGGCCGCCTCAGCTCTGAAGGGAATCGCCAAGGTCGGAGCCGTCGACATGACGCAGCACCAGTCCGTGGGAGGACCATACAACGTTCAAGGATTCCCGACCCTCAAGATCTTCGGAGCTGACAAGAAGAAGCCGATCGACTTCAACGGTAAGCACTGATCTCTTGCTTTTCTATTCAGAAAGACACGCGGCGGTACGGCAAACAAACTGATTTGCGTTTCCTGTTTCGCGTTACTCTCGAATTGTGTGCACTGTCCGGGGCGGTCAGTCTATGACTATTTTCACCGACCGCAACTCAACTAGTTGTGTGTGTTTAGTAACTGTTTGCTCAGATATTATATTTGTGCGATCGGCGCCGAGCGACCTTGACGAGGTCAACTAATTGAGGCGTACCGGTGGATAGACACACGAGATCGTCAGTGGTTCTCTTATTGGGGTCATCTTGCGTTCTGCGACCGTCATCTATCGTTTTTCAGGACAAAGAACCGCTCAGGCCATCACCGACTCCGTTCTCGCTGAAGCCAAGAAGACCGTGTCTGCTCGTCTCGGAGGAAAGTCCTCCGGTGGAAACAGCGGATCTGGATCTGGATCCGGAAAGCGCGGAGGCAGCGGAAGCGGAAACGACGTAGTCGAGCTCACTGACGCCAACTTCGAGGAGCTCGTCATCAACAGCAAGGATATCTGGCTCGTCGAATTCTTCGCCCCATGGTGCGGACACTGCAAGAACCTAGAGCCACAATGGAAGATCGCCGCTTCTGAGCTGAAGGGCAAGGTCCGTCTCGGAGCTCTTGACGCCACCGTCCACACTGTCGTTGCCAACAAGTTCGCCATCCGCGGATTCCCGACCATCAAGTACTTCGCTCCTGGATCTGACGGAAACGACGCTCAGGACTATGACGGAGGACGTCAAGCGTCGGACATCGTCGCCTGGGCTTCTGCTCGCGCTCTCGAGAACCTTCCAGCCCCGGAGATTCTTGAAGGAAACAGCCAGAAGATTGTCGAGGACTCCTGCAAGGATAAGCAGCTTTGCATCTTCGCTTTCCTGCCACACATCCTTGACTGCCAGTCTGAGTGCCGCAACAACTACTTGGCCATGCTCAAGGAGCAGTCCGAGAAGTTCAAGAAGAACCTCTGGGGGTAAGCGCTGCAAAAGACAAGCAGAGCACTAAAATATTTCATTTTCAGATGGATCTGGATTGAGGGAGCATCGCAGCCAGCCCTTGAGGAGGCTTTCGAGGTCGGAGGCTTCGGATACCCAGCCATGACCGCCTTGAACTTCCGCAAGAACAAGTACGCTGTCCTCAAGGGATCGTTCGGAAAGGACGGAATCCACGAGTTCCTTCGCGACCTTTCCTACGGAAAGGGACGTACTTCTTCGCTCCGCGGAGATGGATTCCCGAAGGTCGAGAAGACGGAGAAGTGGGACGGAAAGGACGGAGCCCTGCCGGCCGAAGATGACATTGATCTGTCGGACGTCGACCTCGACAAGTCTGAGCTTTAAATGCACACACACACAAACATCGACACACCTTCTCACATTTAACCACGATGCCTTTATGTTTCATGGTAACGGGTGTTCAAACAAGATTACTCGTTGAACTGCGTTACATCCTCCTTTATGTTCCGTGCCTTCAGCATTATTGTTTCTGAAATTTGTAATTTATTTTTTGATTATCCACCGCCAGTTTCTCGTTGTTTTTTGATGAATAAAGTATTTGGAGAGAACGAAACGTTTGCGGATTTCCGGACTGTTCTTGAAATAGAACATAAAACTAAAAACTAAAGAATCGGAGCTATTTCAGAGCACAGAAAACAAGACGCAATTCTCGAAAGGATTCCGAGGCAAAGCAGCTGTTCTGCTATCAGCAGTCGGACAGGTTTTGATAATTTTAAGACATTTTCAGCGTGATAAGATGGAAATCAAAAGTGCATTCTAAAAGTTGACGTGACAAAATCTGTCATGTCTTCCCGTTGTTTTGATGGAACTCGGAAATTCTTCAAATTGAGACAAACGCCTAGATTTGACCGTTTCGCTGATCAAGGTTTTGTTTTTTGTTTGTGACACGTTTTCAAATGGCAAATGCAATAAGACCGCTTAGGATAGACGACCGAGAAACTGTTGCACCGGCCGGAAGTTCGAGAACATTCTCGTTTTCTTCCCCCGTCGCTTCTCCTCAATTCGCATCGTTTTATCGTCCAGTCGCTCCATTCTTTTACTCAAGTATTCGTCTTTTTGAAAACGACCCAAAGTGCTGAAACACTTCATTTTTTATGACATGTGCATTTTTAACATACTTCTTTTTCACACTTTTCGTTATCAATCGACGGAGAAACTCTGCTCACGGCCCGTCCATAAGCCTTCAAAACAGTGTCGTTTGGGCTGGAACAATTCTCTGAAACTCGTAAACATTGGAATTTCGCACGATGAAACAGTGCCGACAGCGTGTGGCTCCAAAAAAGAGAGAGAGAGAGAGAGAGAGAGAGAGAGAGAGAGGGAGGGGCGAGCAAAGAGTGCTTCGGAAAGTCATTGAAAGAGTTGTGAAACTGTGTCGGTTGTTTCGAAACTGTTCGTCGCCTATCAAAATGAAAAATGATGTTATTATGAAATTTCAGGTAATCTGTCACTTTTGCTCTGATTGTTTTGCACATTTCCTCATGCCTCCTCTGTCCTACTGCAAAATTGTTTAACTCCATTCATTCAGCAGCACCAAGAATGATTCATTAATGCTATATTCGGCTTTGACGTGGGAATCCCTCCCTTTGATGTCATCACTTGGTTTTTTCTCACGCAGCCAATGCCGCATGCACTGGCACTGCTCCTCTTATTTCATCCTTTTCATCCAAAGAGTTCGTCGCTCTTCTCTCAGTTTGACTCATTTCGCTTCTCCGAAACGGAAGCCTTCTTATCAGTAAAGCGAGCACCACTATCAGCGGGGCATCATCTGGAAAGACGCCCGCCCACAACCTTCACACTACTGATTCTGATTCATTAAGCCCCCACTTCCCCTTTAAGAGACCCACTTCCAAATACTTTTTCATTTGCCCCGAGGCGCCAAATGTCTGAAAACGTGATGAGTAATGTGTTTTGCAAGTTGGCCTGCTCTGTGGCGAAAGAGCACTTCTGTTCTTTTTTCCGTGCACATACACACACTGCCGTTCAAACTAGTGTGTCTTTTCCTTTTGCTGATGAGCCGTGCGCTTCGAAGCAGATGCCCGGCACTTGTCTTTCGTCCTTGGCTCCTCCCCGCACGTGCTGGCGAACTAGTGGAGACTAGTTCGCCAGCTAGGTTACTTTTCCCGACTGATTTTCGTTTTCGTTTTCGTTTCGCTATTCTCTCATTTCTACGTCATCCATAATTGTTCAATTTTCAGACAGTTATGCTCAGCTTTACCACGTTCTTTTTCGTCACAATCTTCAGTTTCTGTATTGGTCACATTGGACGAGCACGACGGAACTTTCACGAAGACTACCGAATCAGCACGCCAGCATGTGATGTGGTTTGTGAGGGACAGTGGAAAAGCGAATTTCATGTGAGTGCTCTCGTTTCAATTTCCGAAAGTGAACGAAAATCTAATTAAGGCTAACTTCCATAAACTTTACGACACCGAGTACTTTGAAGTGCCGTTGGACACGACAATCGTCAAGAGTCGTGCCAACTTGAAGCTGTTCTGCTCTTCGACCGCCCAAAAGTACACGTGTCTTCGTAAAGAATGTAAAATCGGCCGCACTCCGTGGTCCGCCGAAAAGCACATCTGCATGACGCATTATGATCAGTTCGATCGGAATATTAACTGCCTCAGGTTGAATTGAAATTGGATTTTTAATCGAAAAACTCAAATGTTTTTTAGTTTGACTGACAAATACGTGCAGAAAGAGTGTTCCAACGTGTGCAACAGTATTCGAATCGAGATTTCACAGCCCGAAATCGACAAAATGGTCGAATTGGAATTCGACAAACAGGATAAGAGTCTGTTCGTGGAGCAAAACAAACACTGCAATTTTATCGCATGTCATCAGTTGTGCCACGTGAGTTTACGGAACAATCAAGTTTATCAGTACTTTGTACTCAATTCAGGAGTTCATCATCAACAAAATCTGCATTGACAGCGCCGTTTCGGCACGATCTGCAGTCAAAGCCTACTACGACGCGTTCCTTCAGAGAGAGTACACTTCACTCAACAAAGACGACCATGATGCACTTTACTCGAGTTTTTGCAGAAGGGTCACCCCGGGCCAGAACGAGGTCGGATGACGTTTCATAGCAGCTTTTTAGTTTGTCTTTTTCAGAACGCGTTCACTTCGAACATGACACGTTTCAACAACTTGACCCTTGATCGCATGAAGAACGACATTCGCTCCGCGTTTTCAATTCTCGATTGAATCGGATCAGAGAACACGTGTTTCTCATCAGGTCCGACCGACCATTCCAGTAGTTTATTGTCGTAGCCATCGGCTATTTGATACGTTCCATCTGTCTGCCCCGGTTATTTGTAACCTTCTGTGAAGTTCTACTGTAGTTTGTTGTTTGCAATGCAACCCGTCAATTATTATTAGCCGATAGTGAGCCCGCGTGAAAATCATGCGGTTTCAACTTCTCCGAATGCCCTTTGCCCATTACCACTCCCCTCTCCGGTGCTGAGAATTGTCTCGTCATTTTTTATTGCACCTCAAGAGCCATTAAACTTCCACTTTTTCCTTCTCCATTTCCATTATCATTATGATGCTTACGTCGATCACTTGACACCAATGTGCAAAAGAAAAACAGGATATCTGGATTTATTGTCATTGTATTCCCCCCCACCTGAATAATAATAACATCCTTATGGGTAATTCCGAGGCTTTTAAATATCTTTACATAATAATATGATTAATTTTCAGTTGAGTTCAGTTTTTTTTTGAGAATATTAAAAGAAATAAATGATTATAGTTGGAAACAGAACGAAAACAAGGCCAATTTACAGAAAGTTAAAAACATGTCTCATTGAGCTTATCCTTTTTCACCATCGTCATAGTACATTGAATAATAATCATTATCTTTCCTGTAATTTTTAGCCGTAGTGGTGGTGGTTGGTTTCGTGGTCGCAGTAATCCTTCTTGTCGTCGTCGTGACAGTACTAGTCACAACAGGTCTGGTGAATGACGTCGTGGATGCTGAATATGTCGTTGGCTGTGATGTGGTTGTCAACGAAATCTGGAAAATGAATATATGCCACGTCACAACGTAAGTTTGTTTCTATACCCTCGAAGCAGGTTGTGCTCCGTCCTTGGTGTCTGTGATGCCACCGGCATGTATCCGCTGCAATGAAAGTGTGGAACCACCGTTATCAGTAATGCGACGAGCGTGTATTGTGTTTTCAGGACAAAGTATCGTCATGCATTGATAATAACATCGCTCGCCGTTTGGAAAGTCGTAAAAGTGCAAACCTTGAGAACCCTTGGAGGAAGTTGGGCGGTCATTACGGATTCGGTTTCGTCGGTCTCGTTCTCCTCGCCACCTCCATCAATCGAGAATGATATCGGTGGAAGTTTTTCTGCAATTGATGCAAGCACGTTAAGGGATGATGATGCGATCAACTGACCATTGAAATCCGTTGTTCCAGCTGCAGATTTTGTAATCTTCGTTGAAGGAGGTGGTGTTTGATCCACTGTCGCCTCTTCCGCGGATTCATCTCCAACATTTGCGACCTTACAGTTTTTCAAAACTTAAATGCATAATGGAATCAAAAACTCACTTCACTGTAATAATCCTCAGATCCTTTAGCATCCACACTGAATTCCACTTTAGGCTCTGATTTATCCACAGATTTGGTGACGTTTTCACCCTCGCCGTCTTCGCTGAAATCGATTCCGAAATCGCCATCTTCTGGCATGATTTTGGAATTCTTGTGTTTATCTGAACAAAAAGGGAAGTAAGGCGGAAGTGTTTAAGAAAACTCACTTAAGGCGCTTTCTTTTTTTGCTTCTCCGAGTGCACTTCCAAAAAGTTCTTCCATTCCACTTCCAGAAGTGAACTGGGCGATCAGTTCCGGATTCGAAAGTAGTTTTCCAATTGTCTCCCATCCGTTCGGGTCGTTAACGAGAGTTAGAGCTGTCTAAACAACCAGTTCTCTAGAAATTTTTTTTAAAAACGCGTACCTGGAAGTTGCTGAACATCTCTGATTTTCTGAATTTGTCGATGGCTTTGTAGATATCCCCGCAACTGAGACGATTGCAGATGCCCAAAACTTCGGGCAGTTCAGTTTCATGATCTCCGAGCTCTCCTTTGTTTGCGGAACCGGAAACCAACGTGTCGACAATCTTCTTGAAATCAAAATTGCCTGAAAGAATACGAATATTACTCATCCGCAGCAGAGGTGTAAAGCTTATTACAACGCGGCACGGTCAGTGACAGCACGCAACTTTGTCATGCAAGTGTGAAAAACGGGTTTAGATCTGTTATATCCTCACCAATTTTACCATTGTCCGACGGTGGCGCAGCAGCCGTGTCGTGTTGTGGCGCCGTTTGAACTTTACGCTGTTGATCCATCATCCGGAAGATTCCAGTTAGAATTCCACGCTCTCCGAAAAGGATTTGAGACGCTTCTTCTTTGTAGGCTGAAATAGAAAAATGTCAGAAGAGTCCGACTTGGGAACGAACCTTGAGTTTCTGGAGGAACATCAATGGAATGAATCGGTTTTGTTTGAGCGGTAGTCGTCAAAACCACCGTCGATATTGCTAAAATTGCAGTTATCCTCATTTTGGCGCATCCAAACGGAGGCAAATCTTTTGAGAATCGACAATTTCACTTTTACGCTTTCACTCTGGAAACAAAAAACTGAAAATTTGTAATCAAATCCACGGATCAAGCGAAGGAAAGTGGATGTTGCGCAACGAAGAAATTCACGGAGAGAAAGAGAGAGAGAGAGAGGCACGAATGAACAGAAAAGCGTTGTGATTGGCATAATTGAAAGTGAGAAAGGGCCGAGAGATGGCAAAAACGGGCTGTTTCAGAAGATGCCACCACATCAAGGTGAGTCATAGAGACGAAGGTCTGATGTGGTTTACACTTCTATTGTGTTGAGGCAAAAAAGAAACGTTAAACTTTTCGAACATGTTCAAGACGTGCCTAGATGACTAATCAGTTTACAGAAGTAAGAAGAAAGACAACGAGACATCCTGCTTCTACAGGAATAGGAATCGATCAATATGCAAATAAATTATGGGAAAAAAAAACAGTGAAAGGTGGAACTTGAACGGTTTCTAATTGTATAGAAGTGCCTGCGTCGTCGTCGTTGCCGGTGTGAGGAAGAAGCGTCTCATTTGAATGAAATTCATCTTCCCCACTTCTCAACACAAGCCAACACAGTTCTCTTCAGCAAAACTTGTTCTTTTCTTCGTTTTACTCGCCTTCAGTCTGTCGGCTGGGATTATGCATAAGAAGCACTGTAACCTTCACTCAATCTTTCTTTCTGTCGATAAATATCTTTATTCAATTGCAAAAAGAAGCGAATTATTCTTGAATATATTGCTTTACAATAGAACGGTGGAAGTTAATTTGTTTTTTTTTGAAAAGCAGGGCGGAAGAAAAAATCAGAAAAAAAGCATAGCAATTCAGCAGTTCACGGGGTGAGAAAGCGGTTTTTTTTTCATTTTAAGGAAAAAGCAGGAATAGAGCTAATCTATCCGGGAGAAGTTTTCGTTTTTGCCACAACAATGACGTCATGACAAGATACAGTATCATAGACGATCACATAAGTTCAGCAAACCGTTTGCGTCAGACGCAATCCTGTCGGTCACCTTAGCTGCCTAGATTTACAAAAAATTGAATTATAAAAAGAGAATAAAACATTATTAATTATGAAAGATTGTTTAAGATGACGTAGAAGATCCTTCTTCGGTGGCTGAGCTTTCTGGAATATGAAAATAAGAAAATAGAACTTGATAAACATTTTGCATACCTTCTGATGGCTGCGTGATCAACGTCGCAGCAACACTGGACCGTCGGCGCTGAACGTCCAGCTGAAGTTGACGAGTCTCCTTTTCGAGCTCAGCTTTCGCTTCCTCTTCCTTCTTCTTTTGCTCTTCTTCCTCCAAACGTTCCTTCTCCTTCCTCTCTGCTTCCTCGGCTTCTTCCTTGGCAAACGGAGAAGTCATTGCACTGAGTTCCTGGATCAAATTTTGGATGACACGCTCCTGAAATAGATTCTTGTGACGTGGAATGTATCTCTTTCTTACCTGTGTAAGTGGGTTGAATCCGGTCTCAAACGCGAACACATCCTTTCTCTTGTTGTGCTTCTCATCGCCAAAATCTTGACGGACATTCATAATCCAGTCATGCGCCTGCTTCAGAATCGCGTCTTTCTTCAGCCACAAGTGCTTCTCAATGACCTCCTGAACAACACGTTTCGAACGTTACGCAATTCGGTCTGTCTACCTTAAAGTGCTCGGACGGCTTTTTCAATTGCTCCCTAATCGCATAGTTGAGCGTCGCGTGCTCAATCTGGAGATTGTACTTGCGCGAGTACTCATCGCCCCGTTCGGTCCCTTGGTAACGCTCGAATCCAGGCTCATTGAAGTACGGGTCCTTCACAAAGATTAGCCCCTAAATCCCACGATTTGATTACCGAAAGCTGCTCTCACTGTTAATACCTGAATGCTGACAAGAACCTGCATCAAAGAACAGTACGGATTCCATTTCTCCTCCGGCCGTCCTTCCCATGTTCCCAGAATAGAAAGACAGATTTTACCGTCGTTATACAGATTCGGATTGAAACGGACGTTTCCCGATCCGGTTGTTAGGAACGCGCATTTTGGCGGCGCGAACGGGTATCCGGTTGGGAAAAATATGTCAAATTCAAAAAGTCCGTTTGCATACGGGGTGTCATCGGGTCCCGATATCAATACTTTGATGATATCCACTCGTCCCTCGTCGTAACAAACGTAAATACTGTTGCTGGCATTCAATGGAAGTGCGTTGGCAATCGAAGCCAATTCCTTAGCAATTCTCTTTGTGCTGAAAGTATATCAATTTCGTAATTGGCAAGCAAGTACAATTTATTATTCAATACTATACAAGGTCATAAATAAAAAACAATTCTCAATTGGAGCACTCAACTCAACTATCTCGGCTTTTCTCTTTTCCCGCTTTTACGACCCTCTTCAGTTTACAATCCTGTGGTTTCCTTTCTTTGGTTCCCCATAGCTCACCGATCACGAAGATGAGGGCTGAACGGATTGATGTTTTTTGCCTCTTTTCGGAAAGCATACGGAACACACAGCTTGCCAAAGTCCCCGATAAACCTGAAAAGATTAAATATGAAAGAACACTCAGTTCAACTTTTTCAGGGAATTGCGCACTTTGAATATTCGACAAGTTAATAGTCACATCAATTCAGCATGAATAAAACATGTTCGAATGAAAAGCTGAGACCTGCGCTCTCTTTAATTCCAACTATCTTTTGCTGCAAAAAGACGCATACTTGGCAGTTTGTAACTGGAGCTCCTGCATCTTGGTCTTGTAGATGGCCTCTTCGTCCTTTGCTTCCGACATCTTCGAGGTGTGGCCAATGTGCGACGAACGGCGATGAGTGGCCGTCTGAATACGTTGTTCCGGTGGCAGAGTCTGCTCGTAGGCGCGAGCGGCGTCAATCACAAACTGAAAAAAGGCGTATGAAAGTGTTTTGCGTAAAGTGAAACGTACGTCAGAGAGAAGGGTTACTTTCGTGGAGAAGTCGGCCATTCTGAAGTTGGTCTCCTCAAGAGTGCCTCCCCAACGTGCTTGTATCGCCAAAATGTTGTCCTTGAAGCGTGGAATGAGTTCCTTTGCAATTGATTTGGCATTTGGTGTGTAAGGCTTCACAAGGTGTGGAACTAGACCTGGACAAGCAGCCATTGCGGCAGCTGTCTCCAAAAGAGCCTGAAAAAAGCCCAAGTTGCAAGCACCAAATCCAATATTGCCTATGCACCTGATAGATTTCAATGTGCTCGCTGACATCAAAAAAACTGTCGTTTCTCAAGTTGTACTCCAAAATGCTCAAAATCGAAGAATCAGCAATCAATGAAATCGAGTTTTCCGTCATGTGCACTAGTTCCTCAGGTTTCGCCTTGATGCACTCAAAGACCGAATGTCCCAACATGAATGCATTGAGAACTCCAAGAAGCCAAGTAAGATGCTCCTCTCGGATCAACTTCTCTTCCACCTGAAAGTCGGACCCCTTGCTGTGAACTTGAAAAGAAAGAGAAGAATAAGAGACCAACCCCCACTCTGAGGCAAAACTTTTTTAAAAAGCCGTCGGGTAATCAATCAAAAGCTGTTCCTCGTTTCTTTTTTGAATGCCCCAACAGCTGCCCCATAGTTTTCTTTTTAGAAAAAGATACACGACACATGCCCTTCAACTCCATTTACCGTTCTCTCAATATCCCAACGCGATCTGGTGGATCCGGTTCCATATCCGGTTCCTTTGTGGGAAAACGAGGCGGATGAATTGCGACGAGTCCGCCGTTTCTGCTCATCCGAGCTGCTTCTCGATCTGGAAACTCAATGTAAATGTTCCATTAGTGAAAATGTTCTCTAATGAGCAAATGTTTGTTCTTCAAATGATGATGCGTCGAAAGCGCCCCAAAACGTTGGTCGAAAGCCGCAAGACAATTACTGTGGTAAATTGTAATTCGAGACCTCGTTCTCATTCTATGAATGAATAAACTTTTCCCGTGAAAAGAAAAATAAAAACATCCTCTCCCCGTGATACTCGGTAACCGGACACCATTCCTTTCTAGCTAACACTAGCACACAATAGATTTCCGAAATGAATGCAGTCAGTTCCCTGAGCGAAAGTGTTCTTTGTTTTGACTCGCTCTGCCCCGGCCGATTGTTTTTTGCAAATTTATTACGATTATTGTTATTTGTTTACGGAATCGTGATCCCTGCCACTTACGATGTTGCATTACTATCCGAGATTGCCGTCTCGCCAATCAACTCCAAAAGCTGATGGATAACTCCGCAATCAATAAACTGCTTACGATCGGCGAAGCTGATCTCATGGATTAGTCTGGAAATGGGATTTTGAACACCTCATGCGCATATTTTCTAGTTCGCTTACCGAGCAGCTCTTGAAACATGGGCCATCTTGAGCGGCTTCTCGTTAATAATGCTCGAAACTCTGTCAACCACCGATAAGTTTTCATCGGGCTCCGGACTTCTGGAATGACAACATTATGCTGGTGACAGGTCGCTGAACTCATTGGACAAGCACCAAATTCAACAACACAGACAAAAACGTGTTGATTTCGTTTGAGTTTTCCGTTCCACTGGATAACTAATCCACTTTGTCGTGAGTCTTTCCGTGCTCACTCCGTCGGAAAATTGCAAAAAAAAAACCTCCGCGCCACTTTTGTGTTCTTTTCTAACAGAATTTTGTGTGTGTCTCACCTCGAAGATCGACCGGAAGAGCGGATGAGGCTAACCCTAGACGACAGCCACAGACATCCAAACCAGCAGCGACGACGGGACTTTGATTTTCCTGAAATATTGTTCGGCTTTTTCTGTTTGTCATTATTTTGCGTTCCCGCTCGCTTGCAATTAGAAGGGAACGCGCGGAACGACGTGTGAGACGGAATAAACAAGGATGGGATTAGTATTGTCTGCGACCAGCTGTACACTTTCTCTACGCATTTATTCCTCTTATGATTCTGGGTTGAGCATTCGATACAACTTGCAGCAAGCAATACTTTTCCTGTTTTCTCAGAGAAATTAAAATTGGAATTGAAAATTGTTTCCTAAGAAGGAGGGAGCAGCCCCTCAGAAGCATCGGATGCACTTTTTCAAAGAGAATTGAAGGGCGAGAAAGATGCTCTTCAAAATTAAACATTTTGAACTCGAAAGGGCAAAGGGCACGGGAAATGACCTTTCTTAGGGAAATGAATAGTTGTTTGACTTCTTGAACCCTTGATCAATTCGAGGAAATTCAATGGAATGACGTGATGCTAGAAATCTCAAACTTCCGGTTAGGTCCAAAGAGGATCAGTGCACATTCCTCATCAAGTGTTTTATCAGTCACATACACCAGGGACCACCAACTTACGTCTTTCTCGTGTCTTTTGAGCCACAGCGCTGGTGCTCGAAGAACGTTGCGTTGATTGCGACATATTGACACCCACGCCGAAGGCAATTATTAGAAACTACCTGCAAATGACATTTCAAAAGACGTTTTCAGAAAGTTTCAAGAAGAGAGCAAAATGAGCAAGAGTCAAAGAAAACGAAGTTGGGGTAATGAGGCACACACTTGTGTCATGCTTCAGGGAACAATTACGAGAAGATCCGAAGGGAGGAGAGGGAGGAACAAAACGAGATGGTTGGACACACTTTTTGCTTAGTACTCTTAAACAATCCTCGTTCCACATTTTATATAGGTGAACGCACGCATAGTCATTTGGAGTCTGAAAAAGAGCGGGAAAAGGAATGAATAAGCAGGCAAGCGCTCCAAACGAAATATAATACGCAGGACCCCGTGAGTCGAGTTGGTTTACGAACTGCTCGAGCCGAGGGGGGTCTGACTCGCCGTCTATGGTCTACGCATGTCTTTTTCCCAGGTGTGGGAACAAATGAGTTGAGCCAGAACGAGCCGGACCTTATGAAAGCTCAAAACATGATATGTCAACTGGCCGGAGTCCGCACTAGAACCGGATGCAATCCGCCCCATTCACCGGGTCCAAAAAACAACGGTCTTCCAGAGATTTCGCTATTTGACTAAGAGGGGTAAAAACAAGAGGAAGGGACCAACCAACAACGCTTGTTTTGGTCAACAACCCTCCGGACGTTCTGATCTTGTGAGTAGTCCTCGTAACGCCGACGTATATGTGATGGGACACAAAACAATGCAGGGGAGAAACATACAAAATGAGGTGACGGAAAAAAACCCTCCTCAAAACAAAGGGGCTGACTTCCAGGCGTTTTCAATCAGGAAAAGGGAGCAAAGAGGCTGTGGGAACCGAATGACTTTTTTACTATTTTACCTTTCAGCCGCGTCGGAATCGAATTTAACTTCTATTAAGTCACCATTCAGAATAGAATGCCATGAACTCATTTTCAGAAAGGACACATGCTCTCAAAGCGCAAAGACTGCTTATAACCGGCGGACAGAATTTATTCCTATTTCTCTTATGCTTGGGATAACAAAGACAGGCCGGGCATATGGTTAGTGGAAGGATGGATGGAACGGAATATATATATATACATATATCCAAGCAATAACATGTACATGTATTCGCTCAGAAAAGCATGGAGAGAAGTGGGCGCGACCAGAGAGAGAACGAGAGGGAAAGGTACAATAGAGTTGTTATTGTGTGGCTGAGAGAAATGGATAATAGCATTGATAAAAAGACAGATGATGAGTAGGACGACTACAGTACTCATGAATTCATCCAATCAAATGACTTAAGTTCTACGTCAACGCGGTTTGAAGAAAAAGAGAAACGAGTACTTGGAACGGAGACTGGAACTGACTCAATTTCCCAGTGCGGCTGGCCACCGAGGGAACAAGTGCGGAGAACTGAGACTCGGCGGGCGAGTGGCTGAACGAACCTTTCGATGTTTCGGCCACGCCCTTTCTTTTTTTCAGGATAATGCAAGAGCACGGCGCCCGAGCAAGCTCCGCTCACTTTCGGATTCACTGGGAGCGACAAAAAGGTCAGGGGTAACGGAACTGAGGAGACAGATGCGAGCACTAAAATGTCCATCTTCTGGATCAATAATTAATTGCTAGTCTGTCATTGAGCGCATACATAATTGAACGCAGCTGACGCAAAGACGTGCGTTGCGTCCTTGAAAACGTTTTAATTAAGGAGCGAAACTATGAGGCCGCATGCTCAAGCTAGCCGCAGATCTTTATCACAACGAGTGAAATGACCGATTCTTTCGAGCTCGAAATAAAAAAATAAAGTTGTTTTCCTCAAGCAGCCCGGTATTTTCGGAATTAAATTTGGCGAGTTCGTGTTCGTAAAGGTGAAGGTGTCGGTGGCCTACGTTTGTTTTGTGTTTTTCAGTAAGTGTTGGAAAAGTGCATTCAGGTAGGTAGTACAACCAAAAGATGATTCACTCGCTGGCAGTGCCAAAATTTTGGTGTTCGGTCGTTTCCACTTATACATTTGTGAGTTCCATCAGTCAGTGACAAGAGTGCCTCGAAACACACAGACACATGCCGCTGCCTCCTCTGTCTTCTTCTTCTTCTTTTCCCTTCGTTTTCTCGTCACCACCGATTAACAAATGCGTTTGTGTGAGATGTGCGGACCCGTCCCCCCCCCCTCCCCCCAAGAATAAAGGAATCGTGGAGGAGAAAATGAAAGAAGGACAAAAAAGCAAAGAGATACTTGAGAGAATATCTGATCTGGGTCCAATCCACACTTAAAAAAAAGAATCTTGCAGATGTGGGGTGAGAGAAAAGTTGAGAACATGGGGGGAACAGCTTTAGGCGAAACGAAAAGAAAAAGCAGGATGTGTGAAATGGAAACGGAAAGCAGAAACGAAAATGCATGGAAAAAACGAAAAAGTACGAGGTGCTTAATAGATTTGGGGTGTAGAATTGATGGCCGTTCAGTTTTCGTCCCTGAAAAACGGACGAGTCATAGGACGACTCGACGCAAGATTAATTGATACTTTTTCTGCAGTCTTGTACATCAGCTTCTACTTGAAATGGTTAAAGAAAAGAGAAACGTGGAATTGAAAGGAAAAGGGAGAAATTGCCTTCGTTGGCTCCGTGGACTTTGGCTCCTCTCCTCCGACACTGACTCAATGGTGCTGGGGACCCTCCTCCTCCTCTTCGCCCAACGATGCTAATTTTCGCGCAATGAATTCGTTCAGAACGGATTGACGTGCTTCATCATGATCACGGGACCACAAAGTGAGAAAGAAAAACAATGCGATGAAAAGGAAAACGTAGAAGTAGTACGAGTGGAAAAAGAGCGCGCAAGAACTCTTTCTAGAAGGTCGTAGAGTGGCAAAACACCACGGGGACCACGATTGGCGATTTCCAATTCTTATTTGGACTTTTGTTGTTGTTGCGACACCTATGTCTTTTTCGAACTTCTGACCGTGAACATGATGCCGTCAGAGTAGTCGACGATAGAAAAAACAAAGCCTTGAGGAGTGTAATTTACTGCTTACGTAAAAAATTACTATTCACGTGTCAGACAAGTATCCACGCATAACTGATCGCTCAGCACATTGTTTAGTAGTCGACCGATCATCTAATTATAGTCCGTTACGGATCAGGCGCTTTCTACCTACTTACGGGGAAAAGCATGCCATTTTTGAGATGAATCAAAGGATATGCGTAATTCTCCGAAGAACTCTGAATACCGTCGGTTCCTAGTATTGTTGTGAATGAAATTTTGCGATTCGTATAATTGCAAACGGCGATTATTTTGCACAAAATATTTTTGTATGTTTTTTCTGACTGAAAATGTATTTGGAACACAAATTCTCTTGAGTTTAGGAGCCAAAAAATGTATTCGACTGGGACAAAAACGAAAAAAAGGGAGCAAAGGACACGACTTCCGGTATCGTCCTTTGAACTCTTCTCGCGTCACTTTAAGACCCACTTCAACCGGAAACTCGGGGAAAACTCCGAGAAACCCATGGACACCGCATCGAAAACTAATCTATCTCCTTGGTGACTTATACTGCTCGCACCCCGCCAGCCATAAAATTGGTGTAAACATTTCTGCGGACGCCGCGTGGTGTTTTGTTTCTGGCGAATAGGAACTGGACCTTATTGAAATGACCAGGAAGTCCCTCCGTTTGCTATTTTCCGGCTCATCGAGTTTTGAGCGTACTAGTGAGCAACCGGAGCAATACAGAACAACAACAACTCGGTGAAAAGAAAGCAATAGAAGGGAGTGACTTGTATATGGGAATGAAACGTCAAAACGAAACGATAACGACTTTTCAGAATCACTTTTTGCGCAATCATGTCGTTTCGCTAGGCTACTGTAATGACAAAATGGGAACGGAGCTCGTCTTTTGAGCGCATTATTGTTGACGGAGAATAAAATGATAGGGTTTGGGAGTAGTGGAGGCCAGACAGGTTAACGAGTCGGCGACACCGAGTCTGGGGAGCAATGGAAGCCATAGTTGGCAAAATCCGGAATAATTAGCCGGCGTGGCTCGGCTGTGATGAGTTATAGGAAACTGCGGAGGAAAAGCTCAGAATTGTCAAAAAAACGAAGATTTTCGTGCAGAATTGAGCTTTTCTGGAACATTTTTTTATTAAGGAAGCAACGAATCGGTCTTTTCGAAATATACTTAGCAAAGCGTGGGGAAAAGCTTCGAAAAGAAATTGGTCGATATCCATGCGCCGGCCAGGCCCGTTGCAACTATGTTTCTGAATTTCCAGGAAGAACTCCAAGTCATAGGGTATCCGTATCATATCACATGATTTCATAACGGAAATTTAATTTCATTCCCACCTCCACCACTGCATGAAATCTTGTAAATCAGGCGGAAAATGAGAGCGAGGCACCACACAAACGCGAGGTTTCGAGAGATTTATTTGATAGTCTTATGTGGTACATATTTCGTATGTGAATCGCAGCAATGAATCCCATCCTGTCAGCGGCACGCATGGATAAAAAGTGGAAGAAGGAAATGGACAGGAAGGGGATTTATGGCCGTAGGAGTGAAATGGTGACGCGAAAGGAAAGAGAACTTGCACAAAGTTAAGTGTTGAGCTGAGAACAGAAGTGTATTAAAACTAGACTTTTCGCTGATCGGGCCGAGCCGATACAGGGGTCTTAGTTCCAAAATTTTAAAATTTTTTAAAGATGGTGAATTTTTGTGATTTTGAGTCTGCAGATTACTTTCTTCGTCTTGTACTAGCTAATTTCAATGAGAAAAACCTATCTTCCGAGAAAAAAACATCCAGAATAAGTTGTGTCGTGAGAAAGTGATCCGTAAACTTTCGAGCACTTTTCCCATGCATCTTCCAGAGATTGACAACAAGTTTTACGTAATGTTTTCAAGTTTTTTCAAAAACTTTATTTCAAGTCGGTGAAAAAGTGATTTCTAGCGTAGAAGTACTTGTGGAAGTCTCGTAAAGTACAAAAATCTAAATCAGAAAAACACGTGGGAAATCGGAAAATCCAACGAGAACGGACAGACAACATTGGAATCTGATCCCCATCTTGCCCACATTTGAACTTACTTTGGTTTTTTTCCGAGAAAAGAGAAAAGGAAAAGACGAATCTCTTTTCAAATGCAATAAGAAAACGGAGACGTGAATCGGATGAAGCAAGGAGAAAAAGCAGAGGAGGAAGAAGAAGAAGAAGAGAGAGAAGAAGGACACGTTCTTCTTGTTCTCACTTCAACGCATTCCTAGTCACTCAAAGTTGTTTAACCGTAGAAAATGGGCCGTCGTTCCTCTTTCCTATTTGCTTTTGCGTTGGTCGAACTAAACTCAATCAAACGTTCTGTTCTTTTTGTGCCAGACCAATTCGGACATGAATTTTACATGATGACCGGGGAGAATACTTTGCATTTCGAATGCAGACGCACTTTTCGTGAACTATGCGGACCAGGGGAGTCAGAGAATACAACGACTAATCTGTCACCAAAAAAGGAGACGAAAAACAAAATCTAGACGTATATATGTACAGTCATCAAAATTGGAAGGGAAAAATGAGAAATGTGATTTGGCTTGACTTCTCATAATGAGATTTCCGAAGTAAACAAGGTAAGAAGAAGAAATCAAGTTTTTTGCCCATGTCTGGTATTATGATTTTCGAACAGCTGATTAGCGGTAATGAGTAGTGTTCGACCAGAAAAAAAGGTAACAAAACAACGAACGCCGCGAAATTTCAGATTGTCGGCCGCCCGAGCAGAAACGCTTGAGAGGCTTCTGTAGAGCGAAAGAGAAGCCTCAAACAATATTCGAAAATGTCTATTCACGTGACGGTGTCATAGCCGACCCGCCGAGTTCTGCTTTTGAAGGAAACGGGAAAAAAAAACGAAAGTCTAGTGGAGCAGGAGAAGGAAACAAGTTTGTGCATGTAGGGAATAGGCGGATTAAAGCTGTCACATTCAACAACTATCGAATTTTGCTTCCAATTGACGCACATGTTGCATTAACATTTCGTTCTTTTTTCACGAGCGTTCATAACAAAAACATGTGCTCTGCGGATATTGGATCACTTGAGAATGCTCGAAGAAAAAATGAAATTGAAATTGAAATTGCGGCACGCGTTTGAAGTAGAACGATGATGTCTGATATTCCTCTTTTCTTTTTCGTCTCAAATTTCTATTGAAATCGAATCGAGTAGCTCACTGCGTTTTCAAATGACACGATGATGATCCAAAGTTAGAATGTTCTAAGTAGTAACACCAAAACGAGAAACAGAAAAGAATGGTTCTAAACTCGAAGAAACATTGGCTGGATTCGCCGTCCAGATAATCATATTTTCCAGAAAAAAGAAGAAGCAATGGAAGAGAAAAAGACGACTAACTTGATTGTATTATCTATTTTCCGTGCTCGCTGAGCAATCTGCACTTGGTACACTCAGGAAGTTGCAGAACGTGAAAACGTGTCGGAATGACTTTTGTTCCGGTCGGGTTGTCACTTAAGCCTGCGCGTAAATTTCCAGATCAACGACGAACAAATGGACTTTCTCGTATGAAGTCTTGAGTAAAGTTCGTTAAAGAAAATCGCGATTCTGAAAAAGTCAATGATTTTGAGATGAGAATCAAAAGTTTTAGAACAAAAGTGCACTTTGCTCAGTGTGTTTGTAGTGAAAGTAATTTGAGCACAAATGAGCAAAGAGTGACACGGTAAACGAACGAACATTCCGAGGATCGCATTTTTAGTGAATCTAAATCGTGCATTGACGTCAAGAGAATGTCATTCTCAGAAATTCAATGGAAATCACACACCCGGCGTCTCTCTGTTTTGCCGATTTTTCCAGCATTCTGCAAAAATCTCGGTTCGAACGCGTGTGTGTTCTGGTTCTCGGAGTAAGCGTGAGAGAGTGATATTCACGTACTCGGCTGCTCGGTTTTGATCGGATTGTTAGGTGAACAACAGTGTGGCTATTGAAAACAATAGTATTACGCGGGGGAAAATACCGAGTCAGGTCAAAATGAGTTCTTGGAGAGGGGCGGGTACGATATATATACATATATATAGTTTTTATTCTGAGTCCGGGTCTATTTGTCAATTTTCGACAAGTCTAATTTTGATAGGCTACTGTGTTTAGCTCCCTTTCGCCTCGACACATTTCAACCATTTGCATGCTAGAACACGGCTTGTAGTATTTCTTAGCGTCTGCACGTTATTTTTTGTTGTTTTGTTGTTTTGGGGACCTCCCCCAGTACCACGAAATGTGTCTCCCTCGAATTTATCTTGGACGCCACCAGAGTTGGCGATGCTGTTGCTGCTGACACAAAAATCCGAGTGAAGGAAGAGCGGATGCGACGGATGCGACGACGAAGACGACGGGTAGGCGGGATTCGAAACCATTTTATTATCCTCGTGTATCTTGCTGATGAGCGGCATTCAACAGCACGCCATCGCGTTTCCGATTTGACGTTGGCATGAGGAGTCTTGTACCCCCCGACTCTAGGACGACACATCCTTTTTCTTTCTTCTCGCCCCGGGTCCCCCCTTCTTCTTCTTCTCCTCCTCCTCCTACTTCAACTCGTTTTTGTCACTAACAACATTTTGCTATCTTGCCGACACGACACTTCCAAAAAACTCGCATTTTTGTGCACTGCCCATTACATTCCTCAAACCACACCCCTGGTAATCTGAACACACAAAAATTGACTGGGGAACATTGTAGAGAGGCAAAAAATAGATGCAAAGTTTGAAATGATGAATTGCTTCAGAAGTTGTGAGTTCTTCTCCCTCTGTTTTTTGTGTTTTTTGTGCACTCACTCGTGACTGATTACTTTTCAGAAACATTTCAATGTTCAATAATAGAAATGCAGTGTTTTTTGGCTCTGAAAAGAACAGATTTTGGTTAAGCCTAAGAATAAGCAAAACGGCGGCCTCTCTTTCTGTTTCCCAAAATGAGGAATGCATACATATGCAACTTTTGCGTGGCTGGATGGTTGCACGGCCCGTACACTCCCCAGATGTCTCCATCCGCGGCGCGCTCAGTCGTCGTGCCGAGGGCTAGCCCCACGGGACGAGCCGAACCCGCTTTTCCGCATCCGCCGGCCCATCACACCGCCCGTTGATGTCTCGTACAACCATCTTATGGCAAAATATGAAAGAGAGTTGGAAACCGAGAAGCACCAATCACGCTCTGCCTCGCGCTATTCGACGCATGCCGCCAAAAACGCATCACACAAAAATGTTTGGACTGGAAAAAACCAGGACGTCAGGCGCGTCTCGGAGTCCATCACCCACCCGTTTTTCTAGCTGTCATGACCTCCCAGTCAACTTTGCATTCCGTTTTTGCTACAAGTTGTGAAATCTTTTAGCTATTGATTACTCCGAACATCTTTCCGTTTTCTAGCCTCATCATACTTACTCAATCCAATCAATTTTCAGATAGTTTAATGTATTTGCTGCAGAGTAGTTGATATGTAGGATAGTTGTTTTGACACCTGGAAATGCGTTGGCTCTTAACACCATTCATTCTATGGTGGCACTCACATTTGGCCACTTCCACTCGACACATTTCTCCGTTCGAATTGACCGTCAAATCAGGAGCCATTCGCGGAGAGCGATTAGTAAGCAAAACTATGATTATCACTAATTTCATAAATTTTTAGTTGATCGATGGCCAAGACTACACAGTTTTCAAAGGCATTCCATTTGCCATGCCACCTGTGGGCTACCTCCGGTTTCAGGTAAAAAAGATAAAATATAAAAAATGCATGTTACAATGACTCTATGTTTTCAGATGCCAAAAGAACCAGCGAAATGGCGAGGAGTGATGAATGCCACACAATATAGGTTTGTTATCTTCTATTGTTCTACTTATATGATAAACAAGAATTGATTCACTATGTACTAAATCAAACATTCCAATAATTTCGGTTGTGAAAACCATCATCATGAAAAGAAACGACGTGGTTCTAGGCGGAAATTTCCTCGTAGAATTAACAAAAACAAAACCAGTGTATGTGTGTGTGTGTCAGAAAAATAATGAGTTCATGAGAATTGAAGGGGCTCTGTGTGATGAAATGTTGCAGTTTGGGGCCCAAATATTGGTGAGACCAAAATGAAAATCACAAGGGTTTTTTTTTCATGGCAATTAGCGATTCAATTCGAGCTCTGTTTCCAGTGATTACATAGTATGAGCTGTTTCGATAAATTCAATATTTCCAGTGCAATGTGTATGCAAAATATTGATGAAAGCAATGCCGGCGAGCCAGAAAGATACGTGGCACATGTTTCCGAAGATTGTCTCTACCTCAACGTCTTCTCGCCGACACCGGTTTAGTTAATTTTCAGTCAACACCAAATGAAATTGTTTGTTTACAGTACCAGTACACGAATGACACATATCCGGTGATTGTTTTCATCCATGGCGGCAGATTCCAAACTGGTTCCGGAAGCGACATTCCTCAGCGGGCAATTCTCAGCAACTTTGTGTCACGCAAGGCAAGTGCTCTCCATTTCTTCTTCTCCTTCTTCCTCTTCTCGCCTCTTTTTCTTCTGCTTTGCTTTTCTGCCATCTCTAAGCTCATCCTTAGCTCAAAATGCTCGTACGCAAAATTTGATGGAATAATTTATGGGGCATCAAATCGCGCTGAGCGTTGTAAACATTATCCGATGAGGAGAGGAAGAGAGAGAGGGAGAACGAGGAACATTTTTTTCGCATCTTTTCATCATCTTGATCTTTCTTTCTCGCTCTTTTGTACCGAGACAGAGACAAGTTCAGTGTGCAAAAAAAAAATAATTCTGCAGAAATGAGGAGAAGGCGGAGAACAAGAGACGCTAATTTCGACGTCTTTTCGTCGACATCGAATATCCGCTTCCCACTTCTTTTTGAAACTTTTGCACTGATTGCACTGCGCCACAACCAAATTAACCCCTTTGTGAACTTTTTGCTCCATTGACTTTTCGGGCAAAAGTCAGCAATATACAAAAATTTAAATTTCTTTCAGATCGTATTCGTCACATTCAATTATCGGTTAGGACCTTTAGGTTGGTAACCAGGAACTGAAAATGTTCCTTGAATTCGCGTTTTTAGGGTTCGCATCAACGGGTGATAGCGTTTTACCAGGAAATATAGGGTTATGGGATCAAATTTGGGCTCTCAAATGGGTCAAGGTAGGAGAAAACTGAATCGCTACTCGGGAATAAGTTTTTTGTTAATTTTAGGCCAATGCAGAAGTGTTTGGCGGCGATCCCTCCAATATTCTATTGATGGGCCATGGGACCGGTGCGGCGTCCGCCTCATTGTTGGCCTTGTCGCCGAGAGCTGAAGGTGATCTTTCTTTTCAGATTTTATTACCTTAACATTAGAAATATCTTTTCAGGACTCTTTCAAAAAGTACTTCTAATGTCGGGATCGGCGTTACAACCAGGTATTGTGAGAAACACACAAGTGAATGCCACGTGGAACATGAATGACCGATTTGGATGCCGGTAATACTGTTTTTCAAGAACCATTTGTAATTCGTGTTAATCCAGAGCTTTCAACTCTTCCGAGCTACTAGACTGTGCCCGGAAACGTTCAAAAGAAGAGATATTCCAATTTAAGGTAATTTTTATAGAAAAGAAAACTTCAGCATGCAGTTTCGTATTATAGCGCCTCCATTATGATGATTACGAAGAGTTCGTTCCAATCATTGATGGAGTCGGCGGAATTCTTCCCGAACCGCCGGAACAACTCGCGTTGCACAGAAGAAAAACGCCGATTGTGATTGGAACCACAAAAGACGAGAGTTCTCTTCGAATATGTATGCAATCAGTTCAGAATATGAAAATAACGTGTTTTTTAGTACTTCTAAACGAGAAAGAGCTCAACTTCACCTCGCTCACAGGGGAAAACGGAGAATTGTTAGCAGACAATCTCACAATGGGCTACAAACAGTTCCAGAATCATCGTCTCATTTCTCAGGTGCCGTACACCTTTTGGTTTCAAAAAATTTTACATTTCAGGGTTGTAAATCAGAGTATGTCTGGACACAAGTGGACCCTTCCTTCCCTGAATCCGTGTTATTCAATTCTCTACTCAAAGTAATAAATTTCCAATATCATCCATTTGAAAAAGAATAATTTACAGATGTATTCTCATTTCTGGTACGACGCCCCTGCATCTCAATTAGCCACTTACTACCTCAAACACGATCTACCGGTCTATATTTACTCTTTTGATCATATTAGCGAAAATTTCTATGACATTGACAGTGAGTACAACTTTTCTCGAACTTTTTTGCGAAATTCGCATTTCAGGGGCTTTCCACGGCGTTGATAAACTACATATTTTCAACGTCACACCTAGGTTTTTGAATAAACGAAAAGATATGAACTGGCAGTTGGACCAAAGGGTCGTCGAGATCTTTTCGGAACTCGTTGCCAATTTTGCGCTTTATGGGTTTGTCTTAATGAACATTTTTGTTGAAATAACGATTTATTCGATTCAGAACGCCCACGCATGAGAACGATGGGTTCAGCTTCAACTGGACATCAACATCCGCCAAAGAATTGAGTTATTTATCGATAACTGATAGTCCCAGCATGCAGGTAAAAATTATCTGAGAGAAGAGAAGTTGAAATGTTTGTGTAGGTTGGCTATCGGTGGCAAGGTCACGTGTTCTGGAACTGGTACGCCAGGTCGCTTGACGCCGTGGATGTTGGCAACATTCAGAGAATAGCCCAACTTGACAGGGATGTCGGAAACTGGCAGGTTTGATTTTTCAAATGTTTACGACAATTTCAAAGTAGAAAATAACTTAATTTCAGTTCGCCACTGCCATGCTCTCCTTCTGCTCCCTGTTCTTCTTCGCCATTCTCGTCGGATTGGCCTGTTATTGTACCAGAAAAGAGTCCGATGAAGATGAGCTCTAGAAATCCCACACACATTCCCACAATCTTTTCTCCCATATCCAAAAGTTGCTTAACCCGAAAACCTTTCCGAACCCTATGAGTCGATTTATGTGTTTCTTCCCGTTCGTTTTACTTCACAATTTGTTCAATCCTGCCAAAAACGAAAAAAAAACTCAATCATCACTATCCAAATTACCCCGAACTCTTTCTCCAATTCCCCGCGGAGCTCAATAATTTCGCATTTTCCAATTATTAACTGTCATAATTATTGCTCGGTAATTACACTTTTCCATTTACTTTTTCTCTTTTCCAGTTCAGTCAACGTATTTCCTTTGATATTCAACAAGTTTGCGGTGCTCTTATTTTTTTCTTCAAATTGTTCTTCTTCTTCTTCTTTTCCAGATGTGTCAAACATATTTTTGAGGCTCAATGAAGTGAGTAATGAAAGAAAGGGAAGTAGTGCGAGTTTGAGCCGACGTGACTTTTGTTCCGTACTTTTCGCATTGCAAATATCCGCCGAATCCTCATTTCCTTGTTGTTCGTACAATGGACACATGGTATGACTGGAATACTAAGCAGTTGCGACTAATTAAAAGTTGATCTTAGGTTAAAAAACGTCTGAAGGTCGTACTGATCTGTGACTGAGGTGTTGCAACTATGGTGGAAACTGACAGACTAATCCGTTTTTATGTTGTGCCCAGCTAAGATTTTACCAATCCATTTGGTGTTTGAGCGGTCCTAGTTTGTTCCTCGTGCAATCAGTCTTAAAACAACTTTTGCGACTTTCACATTACTTCCCACGCGTCTGACTCTAACGTTTGATGTCATATTGCTCAGCATTTGACTAAATTCAATTGCTAAAAACGTGTTAACCTTCGAGTCATACAACTGCATTATTAACATCATATTTATTGTGGGCATAATAGCTAGTCAGCGTCCAGAAATTTTAAACACTTAAATAGATTAATTCAAAAGTGAGGGACACATGATGATGGTCGTAGGCGTGGAAAGTTGTAGACTATTTGCCAAAACGAAGGGCGAGCATGTCCGGCGAGAAGGCAAGCGGCTCACCGGCTCCTCCGCGTTTTCCGAAGCGCAAGGTGAGATCGTCGGCGTTGAACTCGCGTTTGTACGGCTTATTGTCGTAGTAGTTACGCTTGGCGACACCTCCGTTGAACTCTTCGCTGGATCCGAGGAACTGAAGCATCTAGTTGGGATTACGGTATGTTTGAAAGATAGGGAAAGTACCTGGAATGGCAGATGGAATGCGTTGAGGGCGACGAGAGAAGCGAAAAGGATGACGAGGATGAATGCGGATTTCATGCTGAGAAGGAGTTCGCAAGAGAAGTGATTACCTATAAAGCTGTTTATAAGAAAAGTATCATGAAATTAAAAAAGGCAGGATTTTGAAACTACTAGAGAGCAGGTCAAAAAATGAAGAAATGATGTGGGGGGCTTTGAAAGAATGAGGAAAAAGTACTTGCCCTTCTTTCTTCATGAGAGGTTAATTAAAACATCATATGTCTATGAACTCGCTTGCTTAAAAAATGAATTGAAACGCATTTTGTTGTGAAACTAGAGAAAAGTGTGATGTGAGAGACGGTTAGCAACTTGCTCTAACAGGATTAGAAGCTTGCCGCCGGAGAAAAATAATTGCTTTCTTATTGGGTGTTCATTTCAATTGTTTCTAGGAAAACGAACCGAATGATGATGGATGCTCTGAAGAAGGGCTGAGAAAGTGGGAGGGGAAGAGGGAGACAAGAAAATTAGCAGTTTCTATACGAAGCAAAATTGGAAGAAGAAGGAGGAGCATACCAACCGATCTCGTGCTCAATGGCCGCCCATTTCTGTTCGCGGAAAAGGAAATATCGGTCAGAAGTTCGGTGAAATCTTGGTTTTTATATAAAGAGGAAACGGTCCATGAAGTTTTATAGTTTGGGAAATGTGTTCATTTCCAGCTTCTTAGCATGAAGCCTAACATGCGTCGGATCACCTTGTGAGCAGACGGACTAAGAACGTTATAGGAACTTTCATGCAAACGTTTGCAAAATAAGCGGAAGTATGCAAAGTGAGTGAGCACGCGTACCTAGTACCTGGTGCTTGCAAGTAATGGGCTATAGACCTGATTAGTTTTTGAATTGCCTACGTGTCGAAACAAAAATAGAAACAGTTTAATAGATTTTTTTCCGAAGAACAACTTTGTTAATTTATGAATGATGTCATGTAGGTAATGAGATGGATCATTTGATGTCTGATCATGAGTCTCTTTTTGGGACCGCCGACGTTTTCAGGATAATTGTGAAAAATGAAACATTTCTATAGATAATGAACGAATAACAAATGCGAAAATCGAAAATGGAGAATCGTTCTTGAGAATCTTGTTATCCTCAAATAATTGTCCGACAAACGTCTTCGACTGACCCCAATTCTTATTCAGAAGTCACTTTTCTGAAAAACGGGGAAGAAATGATAAACAAGTGTGACTAGGCAATTTTAGACTAAAAATGACGAGTGGGTTGGCTTTTAAGTTGAACATGGAGCGCCGGATCTCACGCCACTTTGATGAGCGTTAATTGACTTTGAAAACCGAGATCTCGCATATTGAATTACCGGGTTTTTCTTAGAAACCTTTCAAATTTGTTTCAACCTAAACGCCTACCAGTTCAAATTTCTTTTTTTCACGAAATGGGTTGGTTTTCAGGAAAATGTGTAGTTGCGTTTTCCAAAGCGTCTGTCCTTTTGGTCACATAAACGTTTTTATGGTTTTTCAAAGGAAAAAATGCAATACTCAGTAAATGAGTTGAAAAAAAAAAGCAAGAGCAAAGTGTACAGCCTAAGAGATCATATCTAGAAAAGCTTGGCGATAAGGAGAACGAAAAAAGTGGACAGAACGGAGAGGGTTCCGGCCGGAGAGCAGATCTGCAAGCGGTCCAGTTTGCTCGGGCGATATTGAATGCGACGGCCGTTGAGTGCCTGAAGTGGACGATAGTTCTTGTCGGACTTGACGAGCTCCTTGTTATGCAATTGGCGGAGGAGGTGAAGCTGAAAGTACAGAATTATTGTAGCGTAAGTGTCATCCGAGGAATGAATGAATTCTTCGCGTAAGAAAACATATCCTCAAGCGTCATTCACAACTTTTCATCCGACCGGAATGATTTACGCGACGAAAACAATGAATTAGATATGTTTTTCTTTTCGCACGCACCTGATGACTGGAGATGGCCATCGGCTCGGCCAAGACAGTCCAAACAACTGCTTCACTGCAGTCCGGGGTCGTCAGACTTCCTTCGTAGCGATAGAACGCCTCCGTGTCCAGTGGCAGTACATACTTTGTTCGGAAGGTTTTAAGTTCTGTCTTATTTCCAGAGTGTCTCAGTTCGTGCAGTTTTTCAGAGATTGGAGAGAAGTTGTTGGCGACTGGATCGCTCGTTTTTGAAAGGAAGACTCCGACTACGGCCAATCCGTCAGGTCTAGTCAGTGCTTCCTTGATTGTCAAACCTTCGCGAACATGCACCAAGTGGAGCTGAGAAAAAAACTTGCTTTGCAGGATGAGCGGTTTCCTCTACCTCAGCTGGATAATGAAGAGATCCCAAAGCGTGTTCCGATCCCACAGCATCATTTTGTCCCCAATGAAGATGAAACTGCGCCAGCTTGTATCTGTGCTTTAGTCCTCCGCCCTGAATCATCGGCTGTTTATGTTGCCAGCTCTCAAATCCACCGGCAAACACTGAAAAAACGACAGTGATCAATCATTTTTGCCCCGTCCTCTCCCGTCCGTTCTGTTCTTCTTTTTCTTTATGCTCCCGCACTCACATGTCCGTCCCGTGTTGCTCAGTTCGATCACACCTTCCAAATCATAGTTCAGAAAGTGCATGCGGTGGAGGAGCGCATAATCCACGTCCGGTGCACGAATGTCAATCGGCGACTGTAACAGAATTGGAATTGGGGCACTGTGTTCTCGATCGGATTAAAATTTTTCTACTTCGGGCACAGTGATCACTTTGATATACATAGAACACTAAGTGGTTACGTAGTTGTTGCAACCATACTTAATGTTTCGAATTTAAGATAGTGTTCTTAGCGTTTTCATCCTTATTGATAATGTTGATGTCAAACATGGCACAGATAGGCCATTTTCTCAGTAGTAACTACAAAAATGAATAAAAAATGCCAAAAATTAAATTCGTCTAAATCTTAAACTGTATAGTTTCAACACTTTCTCTTGAAGAATTACTTGAGAGCTCAAGAATCTTGAGGGATCTTTGCACCCAATTCACTATTAATATCTAATGCGAAACATCGTTCCCAAGACCATCAAACCAACCTGCTTCAAGTGATTCTGACACTTGCCCTTCCACGTGTCAGGTCCGTTGCTCTCATCATAACCCCATCCTTGCTCTCCTCCGGGACCACATATCACAACTGAAACAGAGCACAATCATTCTTTCCTCTGCTCTACGGGGGCTCGTGCCAGACAAGTATTAATTGCACCAATATCACACCGAGAGCCCACCTGCTAGCAATCCGAGCAGCAAAGACAGAGCAAATAGATGAGACGCCATCAGAACAACTGGTGTTCGCTAGCTTTTTTATTAACCGAACTTCTGGGACCACCTGAAAAAAAAGATGATTTGGGTCAGGAATAGGAAAAGTGACGAAGAAAAGTATGCAAAAGAGGTGCTTGAAATCCAAATTAGATTTTCGGTTCTGTTCGAATATCAAATTTGAAGCAGACAGACAACAATGGAGACGTTGGACGCTCTTTCTCTCTCTTTCTGGTAAGAACCGACCGAAAACGGGGCCAAAAGTGTTTTGTGTGCCTTTATCCTTTTTTTTTATTTCAAGAGGAGTGGCCCAGCTCTTCTTTTTGGGAAAAACCTTCCCGCCCTTGGATCAAGTTCGGTGTAATATAATACAAAACTTCTGTCTAATGAGCAGGGAAAACGGTGATCTTTGAAACTGAAAAGGAATGAGAATGAGAATACAGCATTGCATTCCAAGATAACATTCGAAATCGGAGCGGCAGAGCACTTCTCTGATTTACGTCTTTTTTGAAACTGATAAGAAGTGAAGGTTTGAGTTGTGAATGTTCTCTATGACAGTCTCAAATTTGAACTGATGGGACTGAATTGTGTAATAAGGAGTATGAAGTTTTAGGGCGGAGAATTTAATAAACTGACTACTGTAGTTGGTGAGCATGACCACCGTTCCGGAAGAGTTCGTCCACTCCAACGAAACAAGAGGAAACGCCATTATTTATGAGTTGATGAGCTGTGCGTTTGAGACAAGTTGCAATTTGATGGGGTGAAATATAGATAAATAGACGATGGGGGTCCTTGATAGAAAGATAAAACTTTCGAGAGATATTGTCAGTTGTGGGGACAAACTGCCGTAGGAGCATCCATTCATCAAGGCTCTCCTCCTGAAGATCACTGACGTGTGAGCACAGCAGGCGGGGTGGAATGTCGGGAATAGGCGTGAGGATATGATATGAATTTTTACACTTTCGAAACGACACGCCTCGAGGACCATCGGCGCCAGTGATCTCTGTGATTGGGGACGAGACCCTGACCTTGCCCCCGGAAGTTTTAACTGGGGCGGGCGGTTTTCCTCGCACAAAAATTTTATGGTTATTTGGGTCATAGAGCACAGGATGGTGGATGTAGGGCAGTAGTCAAAAATTATGATCACCAGGACAGCATGTCGGGAGCAGTTTCGAATTACAACCAACATCTGTGGTTTTGGTGGTGAATGCGAAAGAAATCGAATGAATTCTCTTCTCAAAAGTTTTCTCTACACGAGAATGTAGCGACTTTTCTTTGTATGTTTCGGAAGCAAGGACGTTGGAAATGGCGGAATGATTTTTTTCTATCCATTTAGCACTTTTCCGTCTCTCCGTTCCCAGACCACAGTAAAGTACCATGGGAAGGTGAAACGGATGGAAGGCACAGCTTGTACAGTACATTTTTCTCAAATTCCATGTATCATCTTCCACTGCAAGTGATTTTCAGTCTCGACAGAAACAAACATTCGCATCAAGATACTTTGAGAAGTGTCCGCTAACACGAAGTGACACTGAATGCACCCATCTGATTACGATTCACGCGCAGACTGACCCAACGTTGAAACATGAATGGAAATGAATTGGACTCTACAAAGAACATGACGTTCCTGTTTTATAGTCTAGAAGGGATAGATCGATAGATTGGTTGGGGTAAAGAACGGATAGGGGAGGGAAAAGGAGGGCAACGAGTTGACCTGCCGATGAGAGACTACAGTTTGAGTAAATATGAATAGCATCTCAGGCGTTTGTTCACAAATAACTGACTTATGTTTGTTAGGGTTTTGGATTCGAAACTTATCAGTTTCTGAGATCGGTCTTTCTGGGAACTCGTTGACTTCTCTGTACTCTAAAAATATTATAAAAACCGCTCTCCTTAACTGTATGAAAACTGGTTGACCGGGTAGTAAAGTGTATGAGAATGAATATGAAGGCGGGAGGATTCGTTGCGAATTGAAGATATGATTAGGAAATGCGACGATGGTCACAGGGCAATCGGATGTGCCATCGGAAGCATCCTAAGTGCTTGGCATCTGAAACTTAATCCCCCAGATTTCGTTTACTATCTTTTTCAGGCTTTTCAGATAAATCAAAAGTACTTCCTTCAGGAACTTGTTATTTTCCCTCAACCTTTCAGAGCCAAATGGTTTTTAGTATTTTTCGAAGTATATCAGGTTGGGCGCTAGTCATTACGTACAAGTGTGTTTGACACATTCAACGCGTCTGCTGCAATTTACATTACTTCCCTTGTCGAGCTGTCGTGGATTCACGTACACCTCTCTTCTTCCTCTTCCTACTGCTACTCCTTCTTTTACTTCTCAAGACTTGTAGATGTTTGAATGACATTTGAAGTTCCAGCCCCCGACGCTTCCGTATTGCTCGCAAGTTTCAGAGCTAATCAACAATCAAACACACACTTTCTTGTGCATAATGAGGACTTCAAACGGTCGTCTTCAATTTATTTCTGTCTTGGTTCAGTTCTCTTTTTCTTTTTCCCCTAAAAAGTTCGTTCTTTACCGCAGAACTTTGTAACCTCTGGCGGGTGCGATTAAACACAATCAGTTTATCTTGCTGACCAAAAAACAGGTCAATCAGATTATTTGGAAATGAATTTAACGTTTTCGTCCAGTACACCAAAGTTTATGAAGAGCGAAAATCAGTTCCAGAGAGGTATGCGCACGTTTTTACAAATCTGAATCCATGAGTTTTGTCTTAGGCAGGACTGGGCAAAAGACCGACCCAGGCTTTTTGATGGCATTGGAACCACTTGCAATACCATGATTGGACCCAAACTTTGCAGGATTCTTGGATTGAAATATTTTGGGTCCAAGTTTCAGACCGATCGGATTATCTGGTACTGAGATGTGAGACCAAAATAACCACAATTTTCCCGAGATACTTCCATCAAATCCTGCATAGTTTTGGTTCCATCGGAACATGGTAACTGGGTTAAAAGTCCAGTCCTCGACAGGCTTTCGAAAATCCTAGACCGGCTCTTCTCGCAGCCCTGCTTTTGGATAAAACAAGCAGAACTAGAATTGTAAATGTTCTTTTTTTGCAACATTTGTGGAACTAGACGTATTCTATGGAGTAACCTTTGGACTCGATCTCATCTCGATTACTTTGAAAGACAGGAAACACGATATCTTCCCATGTAGCAGCATCACTTCCTGAAAAGAAATTGGCTCTGTATCCCCTCCTGTTTTGCTAACGTTAAATCGTTCACTTTCACATTATCTGCAAGCCAACCAACCGAAGCTTCGGAGAGCCAAAACCTCATTCGATTGTACGGTTCCTCAAATAGCACATTTTCAGAAATGTTTATCTCGTACCCAATGTGTTTTTTCGTGGTTTTGTCGACAAACTAACAAAGTTATGTCTCTGAGTTTTTTCCGTCAGTGTCACGCGTGCACTGCGGGCGTTCCGTTCCGAAATCAATGTTGACAGATATAACATAATTTGATGAAAGTCGTGTGTCTGACACTTATTTTTCTACCTACGCCTGAAAATCACACGTTTTTGTGAGACATTTGCATACTTTTCCTCGGAATCGCTGAAAAAAAGGTCTCCGGTGCCTTGTGAGCTGTTTTCAGAAAGAAAGGCAGCCCCTAATCTTGTTTTCTCACTTTCCCGAAATTTGATAATCATTATCCATCCTAATGAGACGACCAGACAGTGGTAAAAAGAGAGTGAGGGAGGGCATTGACATTGACATCCACTCTCATTTTTCACCTTTCGTCTTATTATAGTAATTTCTGAGTCAGTAGTGTATGCATTTTTGGTGATGAATATTAATAGATGCCTAATAGACACGTGTGCAAAAGATTATTACAATTTCTCAAGTAGTCGTACTACATACATTCTAGTCGTTATTCAGAAAGGTCCTATTGTTCTGACCACTTTTATGAAGAAGTCAGTCGGAAAAGAACTGGCGCTGACTACTTATTCAAGATTCTTCCTGGTCCCTCGTCGCGGCGACTAATGAACCTCATCATCGGAACGTAAATCTCGTCACTCTTCTTTTTTTTCCCATTTTGTCATAATGAGATGACGATGAGGAAAAAAGAAAAGCAGCAATTTGTTCGAATCGTGTGACCCCTGCCTCTGCCTTGAAACTCAAGTGACGGCTCATTAAGTCAGTCAAAAACGTCATACGAATCATTGCTCACGTCGAGAATATCTCATATAAAAGAAGAAAGTTTGATTGCTGTCGCACTTCCGACACCTTTGGCTTGATTTGCTTAAACTTGCAAATTAGCGGGCGCGCAATCTTTCGGATATCCTGTCGGAATACGTAATTCTTCTTCGACTCCCGCCCGCCGCGTGCTCCTTCACATTGTGGGCATTTACGTGCGTAATTTGTTACTACAAGAGAAATTCCTAATATTCGTTTGTTGTCGTTCTGTAAGGGCCGTGCCGTTTCGTTTTGGCGTGTCAAATTAATTGAATGATATCCTATTCCATGCCGGAAAAATAACGCTTCTAAAATTAAATTGTAACATTCTCCGTTGGTTCTTTTTTCATTACTTCCACGTCCCCTGCACTCACAAACTCAAACAAACCCAACCACTACTGCTTGATGGTCGATTCTCTGTTTCCGTTTCATTAACTTTCTTCTTTTTCTCAATCATTATTACTCATACGCTCCGCTTATAATTGCTTTTTGCATCTTTTCCTTTTGTTTGCCAATTATAATTGGAAAAGTTTTGCAGAATTATAGAGATCAGCTCAATTCAATTTGAACCTGGAGACACGTGGTGAGAACTTAGAAAACCAGATTTCTTGAGAATCGGACCTTTCCGGCGTGTCAGGAAGAAAACGATTGATTTTACAAATGTTTCACTCGAAAAGACGCGTATTCATTGTAATCAGCACACTCTTACAAAAAGTCATGATTGTGAGAAAAAAGTCTCAACGTTTGACTCACTTTTGAAGAAAAAAAGATTGGGGTGGCCCCTTACCCTTAACTATGCTAATTACACCTTCGATTTCTGGTCGAGCAAGTGACTCCCCGAAGAAAAAGTAGTCGTCTGACTAATCGTTGTGTCATTCATTTGCTTAGTGCTCCTTCTTGTCCCAAAAGTGTTTCTGTTTCAATGCATAGAACACGAGATGAGATAACTACCCATAATTGCCGAGCTCACACACCTATTCTCATTCAACTGCCGAGCCACTTACTGGATTTGTTCAATGCTATTCTCATGTATGTACGTAATTATTGTTCCCAAATTCAAAAACGAAACTTTTCGGAGCGGCCATACATTTTGAGAGGACCAAGTTGAAAAGTTCACATTCACGTCAGCGCTCAACCGCCTCCGTGTTTTCCCGTTTTCCAGTCAATCAAATCTGTTTTCCATTTTTAATGAAACATGGGCCACTTTTGTGGAGCCCGTTTAACGACGAAGAGGACCGCCCGTTTCGTTTAGTTCAACTTTCGTCATTTCATTCATTTTTTTTTCATCTGTGCTCAGGATAAACACTAAACTGGACCCTTGGGCTTTTTTCTTCTGTTTTGTAATTGAAAGTGTGACGGAGGCAAGCTGGGGTGCTAGCAGTGTGCCAAAACTTTTTTCCGACGAAAATTTTCACCTAGCTAGGTCAAGTGGCCAGGCCCGGAAAAGCTAATTTTTCGAAACATGTGTCGGAAAATTTTCAAAAAAAAACAAACTGGGCGCAAGTGAAAATATATGTCTGTTATCACACACGTTCAGATTAACAATCCGACCTTAGGCAGAGAGAAAATAGGCCAGGAAAACAAGGAATATCACAAACGCCCACTTTTTTCTATTCTGGTGCCTATTTCGGGAAGTGACGACGAATTTGTTTTACAAATACGTAATCTGACAGACTTTCCTTTTTGGCTGGATAAATTGAAGAGAGATGGAAGTATGCATTAGTCTGCCCACGCCCGTTCCTTCCCAGACATTTTCTTCGGATGCACACAGAAAAGGCTTCTTTTCCATTACTTTTTATCACTTTCCCTTTACTTAAGCTTCTTTTTCTGACTTTACAGACATTCCCGCTTTGTGGACCTGTGTTTTTCTTTGAATATTAGAGAAGATAAATGACAAAATAGCCTGACGTGGATATATGTCAGTTTCCGTTTTTGTTTCTCTTCCAAGAGTCAGCGAAGAAAAGACATTATTATAATTTGAAGTTGCACAAACAGAGACGGCGTGTTTTACACTTTCTATGTAATTGGGTGACAAATGAGTTAGAGAAGAACGTGCGCAAAAGTCCCGGAAACGGCAATGATTCGGTACTTAGGCCGAAAAAGAAAAAAAAAACGCTTTTTACTCAGCTTTTGCATTCACATTCCTATTCCCAGTCCCCTTTTTCTTCTGGAACCAGGAAGTTTTGTCATTTAATCTGGAAAATGAAAAGGAAGAATGGAAAAACGTCGAGAATGTGAAAAGCACAATCACAGTATTATCTTTCTTGTTGTCTTTCTCAAAGATCTAGAAGAGATTATGTCTGAGAATCGTTCATTTTTCAGTTTGCAATGCAACGCTTGGTGATATCCCTTCTCCTCTCTCGGATTGTTTTTTTCATGTCATTGACAGATACTCTGTTTGTATCGAATCCAAATCCAAAACAAAACGTTACTCATGCTTTTTTCTGACAGTCCGAACGTCCCCGACGCTAAAAAATTCAAAACCAGGTGATAGTCGAATGCATTTTCGATTCGCTTCCTATTCAACTATTTATAGTCTAAACCCGACTTCTCTAGGTGTTTTTTAGGAATAAATTGCCGCGCGCGAACGAACTGCAAAGTGGCGTCAATCGAATCATATCAATTTCCTTGAAACTTTTCGCATTTATCACAAACACTTCCTGTGCGGGGTGTCTGAAATCGCATTTCCGGTCGACGCTGTCATCGGGCGTGTTAATACTACTCATCATTCATGCCATTTGTGCTCCTGGCGGTAGTCCAGCACCTCAGCACAAACTTTTTTGTATGGAAATTGTCGAGTCACGAAACATGCAAATTGTCGCTTTTCTGGCAACCTTTACTCTTTACAACGACATTTCCTTCCCCCTCCTGCTTCGTCTTCTGCTTCCTCCTTGTTGATATTTGTCACAGTTCTGCAAAAATCCTTTCAAAAAAAGAAAATGTATAATCGCTGCTCGATTGTCGATTGTCTGACAGACTCCTGACGTTCGCTTCTAATCCGTCTCTTTTGACTCACCGAAGATATATGACCTAAAACAAATTTAGTGGGCGCGAACGAACCTTTCAGAATTTGGAAGGTAGGGGTTACTGCATCCAAAGTTCTCTGGTTTTCAATTTTCCTGATCTACATCTGTTTTTTTCTTTTCCCCTTTCTCTTTGTTGGGTCGGAAGCATAAGGCATCTCGGTAATAATGAAACTTGATATTCTAGAATATTTGATTCCGGCAACACTAGATTCTCCGAGTTTCATTCCATTCGTGCAACTACTCGCTTCCGGCATTTGTTTTTTTCCGCCCATCCCGTCATATGGCATTTCAGGGCTACTTGCAAAAAAAAATACTAGAAATGTACTGCTTCCCCCTCCCCTTTTCTGTTTCCCTTGATAAAGTTTATCCATGGCGACGCAATTCTGTCGCCAATCGGATTATTATGCAGATTTGCCCATTAATCTTGTCGGGGGGAAATGCAGTGTTTTCTAGATAACATGACAAGTGAAAAGGAAAAGAAAAGCAAATCTGAGCAGGAACTGAAATAATGGGTGTTTACCGGCACAGGCCTGGAAGTCGTGGTTAAGGCAAAGAAGAGAGAAGGGCGAGAAGAATAAAATAAAAGAAAACGACACACTTTTTTGCGTCTGATAGATATTGGGTGTGACAGACGGCGTGAAGCCAGGAAAGGGGGACTCATCCTCTTGCTCATCTCGACAAAGTCATCTCATATCCCCGAACCGCCGCTTCTGCTGTGCTCCCGGAGAAAGGGCGGGCTTATCCGTGGCCGCGTGTGCACCCCTCACAACATTCGATTCCCATCCACACTTCCAACGAAAAGCTTCCCATTCCTACCAATCGGAACACTCTGTCACGTGCGTCAGGATGTTGCCAGAATAATCGGTGCTTCCCCCCACTCCATCATCATCTCCCACTAGTATTTCTTTTCTAATCCACACAAGGATCATTCTCAACCATTCTCCTTTTTACTCTGAAAAACGCGTCAAAGTCATCAAAATGATGTGAGTTGCCTGCTTTTTGATTCAGTTTTTTCCACCGCCGACTTTGGTCCGTGGGAAACTTTGAAAGGTTCCCTGTTCAAAAACAAGTTCACATTTTGAAAAGTTTTGCTGCAGCCGATCCTAGAATTCTAGTACACCCTTCATCACGCCAACGCTCTCGGTGCACCAACCTTATACTTAGAGTGAGCAGTTGATTCAAACAAAACTTTGATATCAGTTCAACCGAACACAACATTTCGTTTCACATCGCAACATTTCACCTGTGAAACCTAATTTTCCACTCACTGCTCTCGCCACGCCAGAAACGAGAAAAAAATCAGTAAAAAGTTGCGATAAGACATATTCGTAAAATATTATCAGTATTTTCTGATAACATCATGATAATCTCTCGGTTTCCCGCAATTGGGCTGAGGTGAGTTTGTTATGAGCTGCTTGCTCCGATGCTCATCCCTTCAATCGCTTGTCTATTCCTATTTGATGAGAAGTAACAGAAATAGAAGGCGGAATAGTCCCCACGTGTCAGGATGTGGCCACTTTCCATGTCAGCAGCACATATTGCAAACAGACTAACCAAACAACAAACATTTTTGTGAAAACGTTCATACCTGCTCGAAAATTCAATTAATCAAATAATCTGCCTTCTTTTTCATCACTCATTTCTGTTTTTTGGCCTCCCTGTGTTTTTTTTTCTCATGCTCCCGTTCTGCCATTTCTTTTCTCTTAGATTAACAAGAAAACCATGACACATATATCTATATCTATAGCTCCTGCTTTTTTTATGGAAACCACCTTAGTCTTTCTGTTTTTGTCTTGAGAGGGAAAAAAAAACTTCCGAGAAGAAGCTCTCTTGCCAGGGTGGTCAAAATATATCATTACTAGTACTAATCGCCACATCGTCATTGATAACTTGATAAATGTGCCGATACGGAGCGATACGATGTCAATCGAATTACAGCCCCTGTACATAAACACCCCGCACACTAAATTATTGGCTTCTTTTCTGCAACTAAATTTCTCTTTTTTTGCAGGTCGAGTTATGTCATGAGTCCTGTCGACGAAACTTACACGTTGTTTCAAGTAAGTTTTGACCATTTCAAATTGAAATTCTTCTAGTTGCATGTCGTAGGACCACCAAATTTCATAAGCCCTTTCCGCCTACACATAAGTCTTCCCGCGCATCCTGATTGGGTCCCATGCTATTTATAGATGTTATCCCTTCCAAGTTTGGATGTCTACCCGCTAGTTTCTAAACATCACATGCTCATCGCGTTCTGATTGGTTTCGGAGGGACCAGACGAACTTCACGCATGTTTTGACGATGAAAAGTTGAGATTTGATCAGAATTTGAAAATAGACTCAGGCACGCGGTTCTATGTAGTTGAGAGGGGCCAAAAGTTTATATACTTTCGGTTCGATAACTATTTTCTAGTTAATTAGTCGTACACCAGTGCCTTCGCCTCTGATCTTTGCACGAAATGTCAAGGGTCAAATGACTCCTCATTGATCATTCAGCAATCAGCTGAAGTAGGGACCAAAGTCTAGAAGTGCAAACTGCTCGGATTTTTAACCAATCTGGAAAGATGCTCAGACACGGAACACGTTTTTCCTTTTCTATAACCAAATTCGGCAATAAGGAAGCAAACGACGTTTTGACACGCATTCAAATCAGAACAGATCGCACGATCTTTGGCATTCTTCCCACTGACACCCATCCAAATTGAATCAACTATCCGAGTCCCTATGCCCCAAATATCCATTTTCCTTTTTTTTTCAAAAAAGAAACAAATTGTGAGCACAAGGACAAAGTGCTGAGATCCATCGTATCGGGTGAGACCCAGACCAACTAATCATCATAAATGTGTCCTCGGTTAGTTCTAACACACGCGGCCTTCTATCCATTTAATCTTATGCGTGTGCATGTGTCTGTGTGTGCTTCTCAGAGAAAATATGTAGAAAGATAGATGCACACAATTTTCTTTCCCAAAAAAGTTGTGCCGAATTGACCCGAGGGGATCAGAGGGGATGTGTAGAAGCCAAAGTATTCCAGGAATGAGAAAAAGAAGAAGAAGAAGAAGAAGAAGTTTCTAGAGACAAAAATACATTTTCAGATCCTAAAAGGGAGCGCCCTCTTCCTTCTGGTGATATGGACCATTTTCGCCAACTCGCTAGTTTTCATAGTGCTCTACAAGAATCCACGACTTCAGACGGTGCCTAATCTTTTGGTTAGTAGTGCGAGGGCGTGGAAACCAACAAAAAATTGCGTCATAGGTTGGAAATCTCGCATTTTCTGATCTGGCTTTGGGATTAATTGTCTTGCCGTTATCCTCGGTCTACGCCATCGCTGGCGAATGGGTCTTTCCAGATGCTTTATGCGAGGTCTTTGTCTCAGGTACGTGAAACTTGAAATACAAGACACGTGGAAATACTGATAAATATTAAAAATTTATAGCTGACATTTTATGCTCGACCGCTTCAATCTGGAATTTGTCAATTGTGGGACTGGATAGGTATTGGGCGATCACAAGCCCGGTGGCCTACATGAGCAAAAGAAACAAACGGACTGCGGGTATTATGATTTTGTCGGTTTGGATCTCAAGTGCTCTCATTTCACTGGCTCCGCTACTCGGATGGAAACAGGTGCGGATAACTTCTGAGAAACGTTTTTTGCTGACATTCCTCTTGCAAAACTGAAAACTGCAAATTCAGACGGCTCAAACTCCAAACTTGATCTATGAGAAAAACAACACAGTCCGTCAGTGCACTTTCTTGGACCTCCCCAGCTATACAGTTTATTCTGCGACCGGCTCCTTCTTCATCCCAACCCTTCTCATGTTCTTTGTGTATTTCAAAATCTATCAAGCATTCGCAAAACATCGCGCTCGTCAAATCTACCGTCAAAAGGTAAGTGAGGGCAAAACACAGTATCATGAGTAATTCGAATTTTCCAAAAGTATCTTTTTCTTTCGAAACTGACGAAGCGAAACCAAGCCCGCAATTTTTATCGTGATGAACTTTTTACCAACTATGAATTTTGCATGAACCCCTCTCTTGATGAAGAGAACCTGTTCCATATGCTTGCTCCGAGAACATCATCTCTCACACAACTCATTTTGTTAAAATGAACAGAAGTTCTCGCAAAAAAGTTTGAAACATGAAAAGTGAAAAGTAGGAAAGCAAAACGAAGAAACAATGTCTCCAATTTTTAGCTGGCCGTCTCGTCTCATGTAAGAACCGTTTTTCATTCATTATATTTCTGGTATATTATATTCACACCGTGTTTCGTCCACAACACCACCCATTTTCACTTGTCTGTAGAGCACCGTGTGTGCGTGTGTGTCTGCACCGATTTGTGGCACTTGTGTCGAGGTTTTTGCCCTAGAAGAATAGAGAAATGGATTGATTGATTTTTGAAAGTGATGGTATGATCAAAGGGGAATATGGAGGTTATTGGAAGCATTTGAAATAGTAATGAAAATAATATCGCATTTTTGACCCGCATGGCTTTTCTTGCTTTTCTGAGGCATGAGACCGTATGAATGCTTGAGCAAAAGAAGAAAATCACTTTCAAACACGATGCAAAACTTGAATTCTAGAACTTGTGCCTGGAAACTATATATTTCTGTCCTTTTCGATCTATCTGCCCGCAACAACTATCCCTAACAAGGCTAATCGCCCCCAGCTTGCTCATTTCTCTATTTCAATGAAGAATCTTCCTCATTTTCTAATAGCATGGTGGGCAGCGCGACCGCTTCTAGCAAAAATTCGAAAAGACAGAGAAAAACGAAACGAAACGTAACTGAAACATTGAAAAGACAGAGGAAGAATCGATCCTTCGGTAGGTGAGCATCCCTTGCTTCTACTTTACTTTCAGTTCTCTTTCCAGAAACCCAAATCCTAAGTTTCTCTGACTCTGAATGCTCTTTCAATTTACTGAGTTCTGCAAGGATGCGCACCACCGAGAGATAGTGATATCCCCTCCTAGATTGTCGGCAAACTTGTTCCGCATTTATATATCAATCCATTCTCATTTTTTGCCACCTTCTGTGTTCTAATTAGTCGATAACCCGCCCAAGGACTTCCAAGTGCCCCATCCTGAAAATGAAAGTGATCTTGTTTTTTCTCAACATTTCTTGTCTTGTGTGGTCATTTTTAACTCCTACATTCCCCCTTGATGAGTGGTTATTGTCTGATTGGAAAGCGATTGGTGTGATCACGATTTGACCCACTTCTCACGAAGCCCTTTTCCACCGATAATATGCTTGTTTTTAGGTAATTCGCAAGCATATTGAATCGACTATTCTTCATGAGATTAGTCATGTTTTGCCCACGTCAGATGAATTTGCAAAGGAAGAAGAAGAAGAAGAAGACAGTAGGTTTTGGAAGTTTTGAGGCATGAAAGGCGGGGATTAGAGAGGGAAGAGCTCAGAGAGCAACAACTTTTGAAATACTTTTGACGTGGCTGATGTGTGACGTTCAAAATAGACAAGTGGGACCAAAATATGAAATAAAGGATTGAATACTTCAGGTGAAAGCAGTGGGCAAGTCGAAAATGGGCTTGGAAATGGAAACGACGCGATTATAGAGGAAGACGAATGTGAAGATGAGGAGGATTCTGATGAAAAACGAGATGTAACTTATCTGAATCAAGAATTTTTAGAATCTAACTTTTGCCTTCAGGACCACACTTCGATGACGACAGTTACGGCTACTGTAAGCGGACCAACCGATGCACCATACGTGAAACGAGAAGCAAAGATTTCGAAATCCGTTCCGATTGAAAAGGAATCCGCGATTCAGAAACGAGAAGCCAAACCGATGAGAAGCGTTATGGCTATTAGTTATGAGAAAGTGAAAAGACACAAGAACAGGTATTCAGAAATTATAGGGAGCAGATGTTAATCTAGTTTTTTTCAGGAAAGAGAGAATCTACAGAAAAAGCCTTCAACGTAAACCGAAGGCAATTTCAGCAGCAAAAGAACGGCGAGGAGTGAAAGTTTTGGGAATCATTCTGGGATGTTTCACTGTCTGTTGGGCTCCATTCTTCACGTATTTAGAACACTTTGGTTTTTCTAAAAAACTTTGTTACTTTCCAGAATGTACGTCCTTGTCCAGTTCTGTAAAGAGTGCAGTCCGAATGCTCATATTGAGATGTTCATCACTTGGCTGGGCTACAGTAACTCTGCCATGAATCCGATCATTTACACGGTATTGGTTTGATGCTGATTGTCTTTAAACTGTATATTTTCAGGTTTTCAACAGAGATTACCAAATCGCGTTGAAGCGTCTCTTCACTTCCGAAAAGAAACCGGCGTCAACCTCTCGTGTCTAGAAACTAGAACTCAAGCCAAACTTTTGTACAAACGCAATGCTGTTTCTCAGTGTCCATGTCAAGTACCTTTCCCGGGTTCCATCGCTTCCAATTCCAAGGACCATTATCTTAGCTTTCGGTGTCTCACTTTTTCTCTCAATTCTCTACACTTTTCTCTCCTCATCCATCCAAGAATAAAGTAAATTTACTGAAATCCGCTCGATTAAATCTATACACAGAACAGTATGAACCACTCAGACAGTGACCCGCCACGGGATTGGATCGAATGGGACGGTATCGAGTAACTCAAAGTACTTTGCGAATGTTTGCTCCCGACTTTGTGCCCGCATCGGCTCTGTCACCTTTCTCCGATATTTGCACACTTTTCTTCTGCATACAGCCCTTCGAAAGAGAAAGAGAGGAGGCGATCCACTCCGTCAGGCGGCGGGTCAATTGACATACTGTGCGCATCTAACACGATGTGTTTATTAATTTTCGCATAAACAATCATTATGAGTGAGTAATTGAGAGTAAGATGTGAAAAATATCAAAAACGCGTTAAGGACTAATCAGCAATCGGAGGTTTGACCAGCGGCATGGTCACAGTGCTACTCGATGTTTGGCCCTTCTGCTTTCCGTGCTCACAATGGTTTTTTTGTTTGTGAAATCATCTCATTTCAACCATTTTTCAGATCGGTTCCGGATTCATAATTGGATTCGGTATCCAGACTCTGGTCGAAGTATCGTTCACGGCTTCAGTGATCGGAACCAATGAAATCATATACTGTCCATACTTGTTGATTATCATTGGAATATTGAGTTTTGTGATGACACCTGTTGGATTCTACTCAATTATTCTAAATGACAACAAAGTAATGGTCATTCACATGCTCGCCACATTTTTCTTAGGAACAATGTGTGCAATGTGCGCTTTTTTGGGATACGATTTGAACACACATGTAAGAGTTTCATTCTAAGAAGTTCTATTAAAGAAATTGTGGTTTCAGATGAGTAGCAAAGACCTGGCATCTTTCATGAAAACATCCATAAAAGAAGACTATGGAAACCCAAACGCGCCTTACATTGCAGAGGACTGGGATCAAGCCCATCAACAGGTAAATCCTCTTGAATTGTATCATTCTGAAGGAGATATTCCAGTTCAAATGCTGTGGAGTACGAAGTTTGAACGACTTTGTGGAAAGCAAATGGTACATCAAACAAAAATCCCATCCTAGGCGACGAATTCCGGACAGTTGTTGTGCGAGTTGTTCTGCCATGCATGAAAAGTAAGTAAATAAATGCAGTTTATGTAGTCCGCTAACTCAACTTCAGATTCTGTGTCGCTTTTTTCAAAGAGCCCGGCGACGACGCATCAAAACTGCTAAAGAATCAAACCATTTGTTTACAAGGTGAGTACTACTTCAAATTATTTTGATGTTTGACGAACTATTAATATCCGATTCGCTTATAGCAAGTAATCGATGCTTGTCAGCTGACACTTCCATAGCAAATCGAGAAGTTTGTCTTCATCACTCGACAGATTACCGTCTTTCCGCCGATGCTTTCCGTTATACAAACGGCTGTTTGGATCCGATCCGTTCAAACTTGGAGTTTTTCTCATTACGCATTTTCTTTTATTCACTTTCATTTTTCATCCTCCTCTTTGTAAGCACTGTTACTTGGCTGGTAGTTCACGAGATCAGTAGTCCGATACTCCCATTTCGTTTAACCAAATGAACGTTTTTATGAGAAACAATGTATACAACACAAAAAGAAAAAGCAAGCACTCGTAATTTTCTGAGAATACATATCAGAATCAGTCAAAGAACACGAAAAAAAAGATTAGCGATTCTTCTTGGACTCTGCCGCAACTTCAGCAACTTTCACAGCCACATCAGCAAGTTTCACGTTCTTTGCAGAAGTTCGGATGAAAAATCCGAACAACTTCTGTAGGATCAGAACCGGGAAAAGGACAATGAACAGGACGAGGTAGAAGTCGACGCGTTTGTAGATTGGTTGATGAGCCGGTTGCATGTAGGCAAAAGAATGATGACGACCAATATGGTCGATAGTGTGAAGAACGGCGGCAAAAGGTCCCGTCGGTCTTGCTTTGAACTCTTTTGACATTTCCTTCGCAGTATTTTTGTATCTGAAACAGAAACTTGTTTTTTAACGTTTTTTTCTGAACGAAAACTTACTTTGAAGAATCCAAAACTTTCTTCATAGCACTGTAGAACGAGATTTCGTTAAGATCGTCTTTTTCCAAAACCACTCCAAGACCCTTGTCGGCTACTTTTCTTAGGTTGTGCCTGTTGCTGCCATACAATGGAACTCCGACAATTGGAACACCGTGAGCAACTGCCTCCATCACAGACGACATTCCACCGTTCGTCACCAGAAGTTTACAGGCTTTGTGGGCCAGGAGGTCGTTTTGCGGGATGAAAGTCGTTAGATTGATATGCTTCGGGACTTTCTCTACGTCAATTCCCTCGAGTTTCATGTTCGGACCGACCCTCCAGTAAATGCGATAATCGTTCAGGTTTGTCAAAGCCTTGAGGATGGCCCTCGCGTATTTTGCACTCATCTTGCTGCTGTCGGCCTGAGTTCCGAAGGAGACAATAATCAGTCCTTCTTTGGCTGACGCAATCGTGGTATTCCACGGCTGAAAGTGACAAGTTCACGCGTGTTTTTCTTCATTTTTTTGTCATACCGCGAAAAGTGGCTTTGGCTGGTCAATATGAAGCCCGCCGACGTGAATAACATTAGGCGGAAGTGCACGTGGAGGCTCCAGAAGCGGATCCGAGTTGACGAAGAATGCAACACTCTGTTGCTTTAAGGTATTCACATTCGGGAAATTCTTCAGTCTAAAAATGGAATGATTTTTTGAATCCACATTCTGAAAATAATAAGAATAAAAACCTTTTTTTGATCGTGTAATCATTGGCAAAAATTGAAGTGATTGGCTCATCAAGTAGACGATATCGTTTTGAAATGGCAGAAGAAAGGAATGGGACTCCGAGTTGAGTGATCATTTCCTGGAGGTAACAGAACGAGTTCCGGTAGATGTTCACAATTGGATAGTCCTTTGATTCTCCGATCGAACAGTGAGATGGTGGAATTTGAACGTCCACTGGTGCTCCAGATGCGATCAAAGTTTCATCGGTGAGTCCTAAACTGGGAATGTTGTGCTTTTCCCACATAACTCTCAATACCTTCCGTATCAAAGTAAATCGTGGGAACTGCAACGAGATGAGTCAGAGCGCTGAGGCATGGATTACCCGAGTAGACTATAGCTACATCCAGTGACTCCTTCTTGAGCGAGTCAACAAGGTTTGAATTCAAAAGCTAAAAATATCGAATCAAATCAATCTCCCACGTCTTCTTGATCTCACTTTGTAGCAACTGGCATTATGCGCCCGGTAGTAGGGCTCTAAATAGCTGTCATAGTCGTAATCTGCCCGCCACGCAGCATCCGGCACTGCATCCTCGAGCGGTTTGTACAAGTCCCTGCAATGAATGACGAATTTGTATGACGAAATCGCAATTACGTAGTGCAATGCGTGGGTACGCGCTGCAAGCTTCGCTACTCACTTGCTCAGAACATTCTTGATAACTTTCTCACGGACAAGGTGCAGTTTTGGTTTCACAAGACGCGGCTCCTCTGGGATTAGCACCGGCTTGATTGAAATCACATTATGGTGACGTAGCGCGAGTTGTTGTGCAACAAACTCGAAAATGTTCCTTTCAAACTGATTGGTTCCGAGCAAAAATACGAGAATATTAAGGCCAGCCGCTAGTTGGAACAAGGATAATAGTAATAAAAGTATCCGCATGGTGCCGAGAGGAATAAGAATGGAATGGAGTTGGTGTGGGCACTGTGAAGGTATGGGCAAGCGGTACTTGCCTTGCCTGGTACGGCAAACATTTACTCTCTTGGGCTCAACGGTGGACATTGGCGGGCGGCGGGGGGTCAACGTCGTTGTCCAAACAGATTTGTCTTTTGAGGAACTAAAATGCGTCCTTTTCCCCTTTTTTTGGGTGCCATAGTGATCTGTTCAGTCTCTTGGACGTTTCTTGTTTTGCAGATCATGTTTTTCTTTCATTCTCGAAAATTTTATCTAATGAAAAGAGCAAGCACAGGAGAAGAGAGAAACGTTGGTGGTCATTGGGACAGAAAGAAGAAGACAGATGAATATGGATGGGCAATCCCATCACTTTTAACACGGAAAGCTGGGGGAAGAAGCGGAGCAGAATGGTCGGGGTGACAATTAACAGATGAATTGGGTGATGGGGCAAGCTGAGACGAGAGACGGAGTGAGAGAAATGCGATTCGGATGAAGATTGGACGAGAACTGCGGAGATCATTTTCAGTTGAATCGGAAGCGACGTCCTGTGCCGCAAAGCTTCCATCGACAGCGCTTCGAACGGTACGGCTCTGAAAGTATTTACTTTTAAAACCTTCAGTTCGAATGTGTGAATTTCACCTGTTAATCTCTCCAGATCTTGCAACTGGGCGTTTGAAGTTTTCTCAAGGATTTCTCTTAGCAGAGAAGCACCATTCTTGAGGTCACTCTCCTGAAAAAGAAAAATCCAAAAACAATTTTTCGAATGATCAGTTCTCATCAAACATACCAGTCTTAATCTTTCCAGCAGGGTGACATCTGAGTGTGTCGGGCCAATGAGTGAAGCCTAGAATATATAATCTTGTTAACTATTATCACTTAATTGTTCTCTTCAAAAGCATCAAGGATTAAAGTCCGAGTGACTCAAAAGAAGTTTTGCTCAAATTCGAATTCAATTATTCCATACGCCACCGTCACCGATGAGGAAATTGCAAAAACGAAAGATGCGGAAGACAAAAATAGTATAACGATGCCGGGAATGTTGTTCGTGCAGAATATTCTAGTAGGTTTATGGTCTTTATTTTAGCGTGCGCCTGGGTGTCCTTTCCAAACTGACCTGTGTTATGATCGAAAGAAGGAGAAGCACAAGAATGGAGCAGAACGGGTAGAATAGTGAAGGCATCCGGATTTTGGAGCCAACTTGACAGAGTCGTCGGCGTGACAGAGTGACGATCGGATTCTTTTTTTTGCTTGTGCCCGCTTCGGACAACCTCCTTCTTTTCTGGCGCGTCTTCTCAAAACACAGTGTCTAGCACGAGCCTCTGATTGAGCTAGTTACAGCAGGAGGCGTAAACTTTGCCAAACCTGCAAAAATGTCGTCATTCGAGAAGCATCGGGAAAGGGGGAGGGAATGAGGATGATGAGCTGGAAAATTGGAACGGAAACGGAAACGGAAACGCATTACGAATCAGATGACCGTTTGGTTTGTAGTGTTCGCCTCTTGCAAAGATTTCCAGATAAATTGGAGCGACGTCCTCCTTCTCCTCTTTTTTCCTGCCTAACACATCAATCTTGATACAAAAAACATTGACGTCAACGAGGAAGGAGCAAAAGCATCAAGCCGCCGGGGCCACTGAAGTTTTCGGGTTTTCGGGTCATAACCGAAATCTAGCCGCTATTTACAGCCAAGCCCCGTGTTTTCCTCCTCTAAAATCGCTGTACAGAAAATGAATGGTCAATGATATTTTCCTTGGGGAGAAAAAAGGGGAAAGGGGAACTTGTACGCTTTTATACTAGCCCATATGGATTAGAGTGGGAGGATGAAGCAGCAGAAAAAAGAAATGAACATAATTCGATTAACACTCATAAAAGAAGAGGAAATCCAGCAGATTCTTTGTGTTTCTTCTCAGCAAGGGCACACTATTGTGAGTAAATCAGAGCAGTTTGAGTTGGTCTCGAAGTATTAGTTTAATCTGCGAATAATCCTTTTCATTAAATGATGAACATGGCGGAGGAGGGCGAGGGTGTTGCAGAAGGTTGAAGATTGGACCGCCGACTAGGGAGACTGGAGTGGGCTGGCTCCGTTTACGAATGTGGGCGGGACCAACTATCAGGCACTCACTGCTTCTGCGAAATGAGAAATGAAATTGTACTGCCACACAAAAAATGACGAGGCATAGGGTGGACTCGAAAAGGGGAATCCGAAAATGTGTCGAATTACAGATGGAAAGCCTTAGAAAAATTAGCGCATGCTTCAAAATAGCCAACACAACGAAATGTCCACGAAACGCTCATGACTAGGGGAAAAAGTCGTTTACTAGTTATATGTGTTGTGTTTTCCATTTTTTTTCTCATTTCGACAAGGATCAGTAGGACATGAAGTGTTTGTTATACTTGGAACCGTTTTCCGGGATTATTAGATTTTCTTACTAGTTACTGGTAGGATGGGATCAAAAAGAGATGGTTGTAAAGTCGGATACTATTCTTAGGTACTTTTACGCGTTCGAATAAAAGATGGCAAACACAATACTGGTTTTCGAGCAGCTTGAGATAACGTTCACTTGCTCATTTAAACAAAAAAGAAGCAGCGTCACCCGAAAACGTTTAATTTATTTTCCCGATTCCGTCTGTTTTTCAGCATTTCCTAGAGAATCCCCTAACAAAGAGTTGGCATTATCTTGCATTACCCATTTTTTGGTCAGTCTGAGTATGACAGAAAAAAACGCGAAAATGAGTCTTCTTACCAGTGGTACTGATCGGTAATTGAAAGAAACAGGAATTTGCCGGGGGAATAACTTTGAGACTGTAAATGAATTAGAGAAGGTCAAAAATTGTCAGTCTTTTCAACGACGGTCGCATTAACCTTTTGGAAGGTCATCATGGTCATCCCCCCGCAGCTTTACACCATTTCGTTTTCATGCCGGTCACTGGTGGAAAAAATTGAAATAGTCACGGAAAGTAAGGTTTGATCAGGACACTTGCAGGGCCTTGTACTTTGATTTTAATATGCTTTTGATTCGATTTCAGTCCAAAAACTGATTTGCTTAACTTTCTTTTCCTTTTTTAGATCTTCAGTCTCAAACGCCGATTCCATTCATTCCCACTTCAATTTGAGTTTTCTTGTGAAATGAAGCTAACAAAAAGGGATAAACAATTATTTGTTGATACAAATACAAAAAAAGGTCGATGGTCGATAGATTCATATTGGCTCAATCTACAAACAACGCCTCTAGTTTCTCATTTAGCACTATGGGGTGAGGAAATGAGCGAGGAAATGAGCGAATAATGACTCTTCTCTCTTTTTTTCTGGAAATTCATAGACGTATTTATAGTTTGTGTGAAACTGGGCGGAGGGATCTGACAAAGCCCATCTGGGAAACGTTCAGAAGGATTAAGAAAAAGGATTTGATATTTGCTAACGCAATTGTCATGCGATTCTTGCAGACGTACGTAACCATTCGGCTCACGTAAATTGTGTTTCTCCAGAATTGAGTTCTATTTATGGGAAATCCCAAAGTTCATGAAGACCTTCTCTACGTGACGAACCGGATGATCGGATGGTATCGCAACGATGACTGGAAGGCGAATTCAATGAGAATTTTTCATTAATACATGTTTTCTACGTGATGATTCGGTGAAAAGTTTTTGGAGAATGAAGTGACTCAAAAGTTTAAACGTTGCGCGTGAGCACATCATTAGAAGTTATATAACTGCTCTTTTTTTCTGCTCCTTCTGTCTGAGAGAGCTGGAAAAAACAAAACAGACGTCAGGGACTATAAATATTGGAAAAGTAGTATTCAGAGAATGATCGAGTCATCCTTCGAAACTATCTGATTTCACAGCCACTGCCAATATCACGTTTTCCTGATGCGATTTCTCCTGAAAAACGTTTCAAACCCAATGTTTCAGTCCCAGTTTGTACATATTGATGTGGATTTGAGTTATTTGAGCTATGGGAGAGTGAAAGCTCAAACTGTCACAAGACCCTTTTCTCTGTCTGCGTCGGAACAAGAAAACTGGGAGAGGATGCGTGGGCCCACAAACGAGTTTGGCGGTACGTCAGCAAATGAGCAATGAGTGAGTGACATTTCTTGTTTGTTACCCAGAAAAATACGTTTAAACTAATGAGCCGTGGTTGCAAGTTCAATGTTCCTAGGGATTCCAGGCATTTGACTGAAAAACATGGATTAAATGATTTGAAATTTGTCAAGAAAAACAATTGAAAAATAATGATGATGACATTCAAGGGTTTCATGATCTTATAAATTATAATATGATTAACAATCTGAAAAAGTACTTTCTGTTGATGGTTACAAACTACAATTGATAGTAGGATTACCGAAAAAAGGAATAACAGATGTGAGTTTCGGAGAAATTCTACTGTCGTAGTCACAAGGAAGTCACAATTCATGATCGTCCGAAATGATATCAACACGTGCTTCTATTTCTCGCTGCATTCCGAAATGTCGAGCCCAACAGCTGTAATAAAGGTTTTACCCTTCAAAACTTCCTTCACGGATTAAATCATGTGACTTTTAGAGTCATTCGTAGTATGAGCACAGAAGAAACTGCAGGAAACATGAGTAGAATGGCTTGAAATAGACAAGGAAGTGTAATATCGATGTAAGGGGTTCTGGAATGGACTCAACAATGATTTTCCCTGGAAACAATTGTTCGAACGGAACAAATTTGACTACAAAACTCAATAAAAATTTTATTGAGGTGAGCGTGAGTATCACTAAAAAAATATGAAAGGTGAGTGAGTGTTAGTGGCAATAGTACAAGACTGAAATGGTACAAGACAATGATTATTGAAAGGAAGCGGCTAGTACAAAAGAGGGAGAGGCTAGGTATAATAGATAAAACGGGCTTCGGAAGCAAAAAACTGTTGGCGTGAAGGTGTTATTCGTGGTAATATTACAGTGAAAAATACAAGATAATAATTTGGGACAGGAATGTGCTAGTAGACAGGAGAGGGGCTAACATAATCCTTTGGAGATATAGATGTGTGCAGAGGTAATTTGCGGCTCTCATTGAGTTCCGGGTGGTGGTGGTGGGGCTCCGGCACTGGTCGTTCCTAGGTTCATTAAGATGACCAGGTGGTTCCGTCCGGTGCAGGGTGATCGGTTGTGGCGGGTGGACGGGACTCCGTCGTTATATGACGTCTTCTGGAAAACAAAAGTTATTGAAGAGTCCGGAAGATGACGATGATTACCCCGTCCATGTCCGCCGACTGCTGACCACACGTTTTGATGGTGGTCGTGGTGGGGCCCCGGCACTGGTCGTTCCGAGGCTCCTTAAGATGGCCAGGTGGTTCTGTCCGGTGCAGGGTGATCGGTTGTGGCGGGTGGAGGGGACTCCGTCGTTATATGACGTCTTCTGGAAAACAAAAGTTATTGAAGAGTCCGGAAGATGACGATGATTACCCCGTCCATGTCCGCCGACTGCTGACCACACGTTTTGATGGTGGTGGCGGGGCGCGGGCACTTCTGTTTCCCAGGCCCCTATAAGTTGCTGCAGCGGCCATCTCCTGGTCTTGTATGGGCGGGTCGACTTGATGATGATAAACATCATCTGAAAAACCACAATTATTAAAGAACCTGGAAATATTCATTTGGCTACCGCATCAACTTCCTCCAACAAGTTTGGAGATGGCGGTGGGCCCCGGCCTTGTAACTCCGAGGCCTCGATCGCTGCAGCGTCCTAAATGATAAAATATTGACGTAATGATAAGCAGCAGAATGAAATGAGAAAACAGAAAGGCGTTGGGCAATAAGTGAGCACAGAGAATAACGACCGTCCACGACGGTGACAAACGACACGAATGACTCTCGGTCTGACTAGTGAGAGGACACGTCGAATGATCGTATTGCGCCGTCCGGTTGGTCAAAAACACGAACGTACATCTGGAATGTTCTGTAAGCGTACTGCCGGAGTGTTGTTTATGTCAGCAAGCGAGAGAGTGTGTGAGGCGAGGAGTGCACAGAGAAAGAGGATGACCGTCTGTGCGCGTTTCTCTGTGGCGTATGAGATTGGTTTTTTGAAAAGCATCGTTTTTGCAACTGGAAATCGTACTGAACACTTTATTTTTAAAGAATGACTAATCCAAGTAGCCATTTTCAAGTTTGAGAGTGATTTTCTAAGATAATGTGACTGTGTTTGTTCGGAACAGATGGAAAACCGGGCGATAAACGGCAGAGAAATAGAACGACACATTTTTCAATCAAAACCTAAAACTATTGGATGACTTGATCTCGACAACTCCGCTTTCGCTGGGCGATGAAGGCATTGGATGATTGTGCATGGTTTTCTAAAAATAAATGTGGTTTCCTTTTTATAGTTTCTCATACATTGTTCCAAAACGCTTCCACTCTGTCTCCGGCCGAGTATACCGTCCAGGCCCTTGGCTGAACTGGAAGAGGTGACACTCCGCTCCCTGAAAACAAAAAGTTAACGTTGGTTTGTAAGATATCCCTACTGCCTTTCTGTCGGTGTTCGAAGATTACTGTTCTATAAGCGGTCATGTCAGAAAAAATCGGGAGAAGTAGAGTGATTTACGTGGTTTTTTTCTATTTTGCGGTACTAATTCCGTCCCAACCATATCACTATCGTAAATCAAAACACAAAAGGGGAAACGCAGAAAATGCCGCCAGAGAACGCCTGCAAGATTTGAGAAGGTTGAAAAGGCCAGAGCGCCGATCTTTCACGTTAGAATGAAAAATACGAAAAAGAAAAGGAAAGAGGAAGAAGAAGAAGACACTTGGAATGACACGACAAACTTCTCAGAATAGCAGATGTCAGAGAGATACTCTCGTGTGATTTCTTCATGCAAACGGATTGGGTGGTGCTCACCTCCAAACAAAGAAGTCCGCTGCCTTTTCGCAGTCATTGGCCTCGTACGAACATCTTCGTGCTCTTCTCGCCTCGCTTTACTCCGTTCCTCGTCTTCGTCTGGTTTCGACTTTTCATCGTCCAAACTGCTACCGTAATCCGACTCGGGTTCACTTCTAACTTCCACCTCTGTTTGCATTTTGCCTTTCTGTAAAGTTTATGTATTGTTATTTTGGTCAAGCGGAAGTTGCAATTTTCAAAAGTGAACTGGATTTAATCAAAATAGAGGGGGTTCACATGACATTTTCGGTTTTTTAGACTACTCCTAAACAAAATTCACGTAAATATCGGTGGACGATTCTAAAATAGTGAACCTTTGTTATTTTCAAGGTTGTCTCTGGCAGATTGGAAGGATCAAACTCGTCGTAGTCCGGTATTGACGTGGTTTCTACACTGCTCGCTCCACTAATTTCCGATGTTTCCTTCTCTTTTTGCTCATTCGTCGCAAGAGTTGTGGTGGTAATGGGTCCAATCTTGGTGTGTCGTCTTCTTTTCTCACTTCTCACAACCCTTTTTGCCTTCTCAACGTCCATGTTTTCCGTATCATTTGTTGGCCTGAATGCTGATACCGTTGTCTCTTCTCGGAACGCATCTCGAATCGCTTTTCTGATGTCTTGACTTGAATTCGGTTCTGGTCCATCTAGTTCGGAAAGCGTTCGAAACCCTCGGGGAGCTTTTTCTGAAATGAAAGGTGCTACTCATTTTTCATTTGGTTTTCCCCTAGAGATATGGCCCCGGTCACTGTTTGTTCGACAACATCATCATGAAGTGCACATAGTTTTGGGGGAGAAAAAGAGCCCATGATGGATCTGAACAATGAATATGTCAGGAGTTTCCCTGAGGAGTTGCTTTCTTTTCTGTTCACCAGAATGATGGAACGAACGCTTTTGCCACATGCTATCCACACTGATATTTCCTCATTACTCACCCGAAAAACTTCAACGCCTCATCTCATTTTTCACACTCACTTCTGTAAGCACGTTTAAGCATGCGGTGGGTGGCATCGCATCCAAAACAAAAGGGAGTAACCTGTGAGGCCGTTTTGCAGAAGAAAAGAAAGAGAAAGGAAACGAAAGCGGATGGCGGTGCCCGAGCCGAAAGTGGCGATGAGGAGAAGCATTGTCAGAAGAGGAAAAAGTGTTGTTTTCAGTTTTCAGTCCCAAAAAATAGAGACCCCCTGGAGTTCATTTTTCATTTTACGATTTCTTGGTGCGTTTTGAAAACGTTTAGTGTCAAGACGGCTCGCAAAAACATCTTCGAGACGGCGGCACGGTTGCTTTGAAACTCGCCAAGAAAAGAAAATGCATTTCTATTCCCCCTTTTCTATATGCCAATTTTCGCTGCCAAAGGCGTCGAGTGGCAAATTGCGAAATTAAACGGACAAAGCTCGTTGCCAACATTATTTATGTGCTAATTGCAAGGTCGCCGTGATGAATAGCTTTCTCAGATTTGGACGGCCGGCCTGTCGTCGACTGTGTGGGCCCAGACGAGACCGGGTTTAGAGGTTTTAATTTACATCGTATAAATTTAAAATGAAGGATCCTTGCGGCCATCATCATCTCAATAACCAATTCCTTTCTTCTTTTTCTCATTTCTTATTGCTTTTCTGTCGGTTTTATGCTTGATACAAAAGCATTTTTATCCGAGACCACATAGCCAAAATTGCTCAGTCCTTCCAAGTTTCTTCACCAAAAATAAAGGAAAACAAGTTGCGAGTGAAGTTTTTGCTATGAATGTACACGCACACATACACTTCACGATCACGTCCATCTTATATAGTCAATTAAAGTCGTGTCTTAGAGCGACACACATACTGCCGAAGCTTAGCGTTTGATGGGGAGAAAAAGGAGCTGGGGAGGAAATTGGAAAACGCTCACTTTCCCTCTCTCTCTCTCTCTCTCTCTCTCTCTCTCTCTTTAAAAAGCTTGTCTTTATTTTGACTGATTGCTTTGAAAAATGATGCGGACAGCAAAAAAGAGATGTGTGGAGCGGAAGAGAAAACAAAAAGAAGAGATAACTCATAGGCACGGCCGAACGGCCGAACGCTTTTGATCTGTTCCGGAACGACTTGGACGAACGAATTATTTTTTTTCTCGTTTCAGTTTCATATCAAAAACAATTAACTTGTTTTCTTCTTTTCTTCTTTTTTTCGTCTTCTTGGCTTATTTAATCGTAAAATATGGGAAAATAGTCTAAGAATAATGTTAATTTCTAGTTTGGATCCGTCTAGACTAATCAAAAGGCTGTGCCTGGACCTTAGAAGTTTTGAAGTTTTGAATGTGACTCCGAAATTCTGATAATTTTACTGATAAAATCAGAACTCTTTTGAGTAACATATCTTTTCGCAAGGGGGGGGGGGGTTGAATTGAAACCGGAATCAAAAATTTGAAATTTCCAAGCAAGGGTCTGGTCTGGACCTTCTCCACCACGAGCCCATTGAAAAGTTGGAAACTTCCTGCGGAAACACTACCGATTTCTCACATTCATCAGGAAAACGTCGGGCAGTCATTTTCATTTTCCGTCTAGTTTTCTCTTTTTCTGCCCTATCCCAGGGCGGGAACTTTTTTGCAAAATGCTCTTTTGTCATGCCATTCTGCAATTTCGACAGAAACCGTGAAAAGCGATTAATTGGGCGTGCGGCACTTCCTCGGGCCCCGGTGGTATCCCAATTTTCGTGTTTGGCGTACATCCTTCTTCATGCGTTTCAGTCATTTTTCAACACAAAAAAAAACAGAACTATGCGCATCTCTCCCCGCAAAGAAAGGCCTTCCGTATGTCCGCTCCTTTTTCAAAAGTGTGTCTATATGTGTGGTGCGTGCCAATTTTTCCGCGACTTCTCCATTTTCTCACACTTATTCAGCACCGCCAAAAAACTAACTGCTAGTTTTCATTTCTTTTTTCTCAAGGAACACAACTTTCTCGCACTATACTATACATGTTTCGAATTTTCGAATTCTCTCACTTGACAAGTCTCAAAAGCGCTTGGACATCTTCAGGTTGACGGTAAACATCATAAAAGTTTAATTAATTTTTGCCACCAATCGTCTCAATCCAATTCCAAATATTTCTTGTGGTACTTTTTGAAACGCAACTCAAATACTCGTCACCGTCATCCAGCCCAACTATTAAATTACTCTTTTGCCCTGAAGCACTTTGCAAGTGAGTTTATTAGTATTTCCAGTAGGCAGGGATGAACGAAATTTTCTGGCTAGACACCCTCTCTCTTTCACTTCCACTTCAGTTACAAATCTTTGATGGTGATCGCCGCTGACATTTTATTTTATTTTTTAGTCACTTGGAAGACGGGAGAAGCACCCTTTCGTGTTCAAGAGTCTCTCTAATGTTTTCTTTGTTTGGTCCGTGGCTCGGCGCTCCTCGCAGAACGCTTTCCCAAGAGTGCACTATGACGTTATTGGCAGTGCAAAACGAGTTGTAATGAGATGTGACGGGTGCCAAGTAGAACTATGCCCTCTTCTTTTCTTATTCTCCGTGTTTCTTTTCTTTTTGCACCCTCCTTCATCCATTCATCGAACTCACTATTGTTCAGCTTTGGTTTGTTGGTGACCACGCTTCGATTCGAACCGTCAGATGGGACTCCGATTGGCTGCTCGGCACCTCTGAAGTGAACAGTTAGTCGTATGGAATTTTGGTTGCATCACGATCGACACTATCGTATTCGCAATCAACCGAAACGCACTACTGCGGTTAGTTTGTCTTGATAACCAAAGTTTTTTGAAACGTGAAAGTATAAAACTCACAGTTCACATTGACTGGGCTCCGGACTCAGGAACATTAGCGATCTTTGAGTCTTGATGCGTTGAGTACTGGTCAAAAACTCTCCATCCTCAGCTCCGTACATGTATCCACATGTATTATAGAACAGAAACAGACAGAACCATCCAATCATAATGATAATGACCCCAGTTCCGATAACTCCAACTAAAAACCACCATTTCGTTGCACTTTCACCTTCAATATCTCGATCAGCTGCAAAAAACATTTCATGACAATAGAAGTTTATTTTGATCAAAATCAAATCCCATTATTAACTTACAAACTATTCTTGCTAACGGATAGCGAAGAATGGCGGAAATTTGGGAAACGCTGAGAAGTGTCATATCATCGGCAACAACCTGCAAAACCAAAATACTATGCCTGCTCTAAAAATCGTCATGGAACTACCTCTCCAAGTACAGGTTCGTTGCCAGCGAATGTGACAAAATGGATGTAGGTCAGCTCTCCATTAGCTCGTTTTTTCGTGATCTGAAAATGTATTGAATGTTGTTAAAAATCTAAAATCAGAAGAATGTCGTCAATCAATCAGACAAATATAGTTACCGGTTACAAACCTAATTACATGTATGTGTACCACACCACCAAGCCACTTTTCTACGTAATCCCTCTCCCCATAGTCCAATTTTTCTCAGAATTTCCCATTTTCATCGATCTCGTTGAAGTTTTAATGGTTTTTTCATTATATGCAATTGTTTTTCCCTGGAACGCCTCCCATTCTGTTCCGTGCCCCGTTCCGGCAACAATAGTTGGACCCTGTGTTCGAAAACTACTAAGAAAATTTTCCAGTTCACATCAAAAAAGGAGCAGACGGAGAACTTTGTTCGTGTTGCCTTTCTCCCCCTTCGAATCGTTATTGTTGTTGATGTTGTGCTGAAAAACCTGGCTACTGCCCGAACGATTGTTTTCTTTTCACAAAAAAGAGGAGTGGACACTACTTCAACTTCTCTTTGTGTGCCGACTGCCTTAGAAAGTGACTCTTACTCTTTTTGCCCCTGAAAAACTTTTCATCCACACTACGTTTTTTATTTTCACTTCACATTTTCAAAGGATACTAGCGGCTACTTTTTAATTTTCTTCCTTTGATCATCATGTATTATTCTGCATTGTGCAACACTCTTAAAGTTTGATGGGTTTCATACTTTCTCGGATGAATTCATGTACACCGCAGAGAACCACAAGCTTTAACGGAAATTTCGAAATCCTAAGAAGTTGGCAGATAATTACAACTTAAAACCCGGGGAATGATGTCATTTCGAAGGAAAAACGAAATCCTGAAGAGCACTGAACCACAAGAAACCAGAAACGCCGTCGTCGTCGCCGCCTCCGACCAACCGACCCAATATTCTTTGAATGTGCATTTTGTCTGTCTCGGTCTCTTTCTCCGAAGTATTTCCGAAATATCGGGTGGGAGGCGAGAGCTTCGAAGGGGGGGGGGGCATGTCTCGGCACGCGTTTTCGATTTGTATGTTTGGTTGAGCCTCGCCAAAGGAGGAAAGAATGTAACTCCAAGACATCGATTAAAGGCCCCCCGAAAAGAAGGCGAGAGCACGAAACGCAACGACGGGGAGAAAAGAGGGTGTCCGTTTGGTGGTGGTGGTGGTGGTGGATGGGCGAAGAGGAGAGGGTCGTGGTCCGAGAAACGTCTTCTCTAAAGGGGACAACTTTTTCTAGGCCACGGCCACCGCTTCTCCCTCTTTCCCTCTCTCTCTCTCTGTCTGTCTGTTGTAGTAGTTGTAGAGTTATGAGCTTCGAAATGAGTGCGCGACTTGGGTGGCGGCAAGAAAAGAGACTTTTTGGGTGGTGGCTTGCCACGCAAACAAAAAGCGCGTCTTACAAATTTTCTTCATTGGTTTCTGACTGACTCGCTGGACTAATCTAGTCCCCCTCTTTTTTTCTGGAATCCAACATCTCCCCCTCCATTTTCTTATCCCTGTGTAAGCTATAATTACATTCTTTCTCTACCTGCGTCTCTCGTTCCTATCCAGACCACAAAAGTTTGTGACCTAAAAGCTAATTGAATTATTGCACACGCAATGAACTATGCAAAGAATGACCAAAATTGACTAAAAAGGGATATCAAGAACCACCAAAAATAAATTCTAAATCGGTAACTGATGACCTTTTTCCGGATTCATAAATATTCTAACCAGCCAAGTATTCCTGGAATTTTCGTGAGTTGGTGCAGAAATTTGCTATAAAATGAATGATGTTGAAGTTTTTTGATGAATCAGTGCTGAACAAAGTATAAAAGTGCAACTTTAGGACAATTCCATTCAAGTTCCGTTTCTCATCATTTGACGACATTCTTTCTTAATCCCACGAGTCATAATTTTGAATTCATCAAGTTCAAAAAAGTGAAGACCATCTTCCCCACCCTTGCCCGTCGTGGTCCCCCCCCCCACCCATCCGTAATGTGCAAATATACTACGGAGCACCCGGACTAAGCAGCATGCTCACATGCACACTAACATGGATACAAACATTTTGCAACTCGTCACTTTTCCAGTTATATCTTCTCTCGGTGGGCCCAGCGTGTCTGGTAGAAGCTTCAAAATGCTCGCCCAAATTGCATTTCGGAAGTCGGCCGGGTTTTTTCTCACCCGCCCGCCCGCCCTACTCTCTAAAGTGAGATGGAAGGTGGTGTAGGTCACAACTACTCTTTTTGTGCTCCCTAACCGCGTCAAGGCTCGGTGGGGGCCTAACACTAATTTCCGGACGCCGGATCCTTGTGCCGCTCTCCGCCGTTTGCTCTTCTTCCTCATTCCGCGAAACGCCACCCATTGATGCCCCTCAAAAATGTGAATATGTGTGTGCTGCTCTCCCTAGTGTACCTTGGACTGCTCCTACTCCGAAAAAAAGAACCTAGGAGTAGGGGTCAAGCGTTTTTTGGAGAGCATCGTCGTTTCGGAGAGAGAGAAAGAGGTCCGCACGCTGTGGCCGCATTTGCACTTTATTTATTTTTGCGCCTGTTTCAAACACTCTCTATCTTTTCGCATCCATCGCCTGGAATATTTATACCAATTCGAGGAGGGGGGGGGGTCGGGTCGAAAAGGAAGGACACAACCCGAAACTCTATGGTGATTTGTCCGCATTCCTTCAAATGTAACTATTGTTTTTCAAATTGTTTCTTTTTCCCTTCCTTATCGAAACTACTCTATTAAGACTTGAATTGTTAGCCAATACTAGCGGGAGCAGAGTTTCCCGCTTCCCTTTTTCCAAAATTTTTGCATCCTCTTCTCGTAAACCAAACTATATTTTATCGGTGAAAGTGCTTCTCCGGATTCTTCCCCAAAAAACAATGCAAGTGAAAATAAAATGGAATCAGTGTTCGTGCTTTTTCTGGTGACTCTCGTAAATCAGACACTGACTGATGTCAGTTAGTTGGACGAAACCAACGGCGTGGCGAGAAAACAAAAACAAAAAACAAGCACATTATAGTGGAAATTTTCAAGTAGGAATAGTCAGACTCCTTCCCTTTTTCCTTCCCCGTTTCGCCCGTCGTTTTTCCCTTATAATGCTTCTCCTATAGTTTCCGGTATGGCAAAAACAGAGAGTATAAACATAGAGGGTCGAGGAGAGGGGGGTCCAGAGTGAAAAAGACTCTCCTCTCTTTGGAAGGCTTATTTTCGGGACGAGAAGAAAGTGCGTCTGGTGGACACCCCTGCAGGTTTTCAATTATTCGAAGATCTAGTTACTATTGCACTATTTCCTTTTTTACTCTCTCTCTCTCTCTCTCTCAACTCATTGATCATCTGCTCCGTCAGTTTGCAATTAAACGTTCAACGTCTGCTCTTATTATAAAAAAAGGGACCAAAACTCAAAAAGAATGTGAATGTGACCAATTAGAACAGAACCAATTTCGAGAACCGAAAAGTCACATGAATGCTCCCATTTTTGGTCCCAATTTTCCTCTCACCTTTGTATTATAACTCGAATCGCTTGTTGTGATCTCGGAGGGCGGTGCCTGTTTTCTGTGCTTGTAAGAAGCCAGTACGAATGCCATTTCGACCAGTTTATCCAGCCGCTTTTCAATTTCTCCGAACGGTTCTTCAATTCGGATTGTTTTGAGTTCTGAAACACACTTTTTTTTTTACATTTATCGATTTTCTGCTTACCTAGTTGGACTACATAGAGATATGATAGTTCTGTGGCATTTTGATACTTCTCTAACGTTTCCACGCTGATTACTGATGAGTTTTGGGCTAATATGTCTGAAACTAATTTTTTTCAGAACGTTTTCTTTGAAAATGTGCTCACCTTGTCCTGTCGCCTGCTGATTAGAAGTAGAAATGAGGAAAACAAGAATCGGGAGTAGGAAATCCATTGGAAAAAGTCCGGGTGTCCTTTAGCAGGAGCCGCCCGGACGAATCGAAAGCGTGCAAGCGAGTGTGAGCGTGCGGTCAGGAACGCCGAGTGGACATGAGTTGACCAGCGAGTGCCCCTGCTTCTTCAAAGACCTTGTTGCTATGGAGTAGTTGTGGGGGGAGGGCGTGGAAGTGCGTGTGTGCGTATGTATTAGGAAAAGAAGAAGACGAAGAAGAAGGGAAACGAGAGCCAGCAGAGACTCCGGAGGTGATGCTCGCAACCGATTGATCCGCAGGACGCAGAAAGAGGAGTGACGGCAGTTTCCGCCTCGCTGAAATATTACTGGCTATCATATCTATCACGCCCCACTACATACGTTTTTCTGAAACTCTAAATTCCAAGTGCTATTCTGTTTTTTTCTGATTTCTCTAATCTTCTTCTTCTTCTTTGTCTTCTTCCCCTTTCTTTCATACATTTGGTTCTGATTGTTGAGCACGAACATCCAAGAGGTACACCGTACTACTGACTGAGGAATGTAATGTGTCTCCGAAGCAATTAGTGGGAAGAGGAGGAAATATTCAGCGAGATCTTATTCCCTGCCGGCTTCATCTTGTTGGCATCACGAAATGAGTCAACTATCAATTTTTGATGATATTTTGGCATGAGATGTCCTCAGTACCCTCTTTCAATACACTTCATTTAGACTTATGAGACTTGTGTATGCACAGTGTAACAAACGGCGGTTTTGAATTGAATGCCTCCAGCCAGCTGCTTTTTTTCGTAGTGTTTCACACAGGAGAACGTCGTTGTCGGTGAAAGTGTTCTTCAATGCCAATATTATTCTCCCTTGGAGTTTTTGAACTCTGATAAAAATGTGATTAATCTGATGATGGATTAGTCATTGATCATCCCTACTACGAAGGAAAAAACATGAATCTCTAACCTCTTTTCCTCCTTATAACTATCAAAGTAACACAAACAACACACAATTTGTGAGCTGATATGATATGCGCAAAATAAATCCAGATTTGGACAAGACATTCCGTCGTTTTCAATCTCTCCCCATTTTCCAGAAATAGTGTGTTATACGTGGAGTACTATGTGTTTGTTTTTTGCGAACATCCCTGGAGGTTTCTATGGTTAAGAGAGACAAAGTATACTTTGTTGCCTGGTATAGACTCCGATTTCGCTTTCATTTTCATTTCCCTTTTTCATTTCCCATTTCCGTTTCGCCGAGCCGCTCATGTAGTTTTATCACACTGCTTTTCCGGCCCCGATCACCTGGTACTTTTCCGGTTCGAAAATTCAGTTTCAGTCGCGACCTCCCAATTTTCTGTATCTTTTCAAGCCGGGTATACACACAAGTGAGTAGGAAGCGCGTTCAATCAACATTCCAAAAAACGTCGTTTTTCTAATTCCGCGGTTCTTTGTGCTGACTCTTTGTGAACCAAACTTCATTATCCACGAAGATTTTGGCCGGCGACGCATTTCGCTTCTTTGGATATTTTTGCTCCGTTCGTATTTTACGTGTAATACATATCAAGTCGTCGTATGGATATCAGAACATAAAATCTAACTGAAAAATCTCGTCCCGACCAGCTCAAAATTCGAAGAGAGCATTTTGAAGTTTTTAATGCTTTTTTTGCGAAACAGCTCAAATAAATGTTCCCACTCAACAGATAAGTAAGAAGAACACAAAACTTGAGTTTCTAATAGTTGGAACCAGAAAAAATAAAGATTCAGTTCAAATTTTCTACTTTTTCCGGCTGCAAGTCTAGTCTACAGTACAATAAGAAACAAGCATTTCAGAATGCATAAGCCTAGCGTCATAAAAGTAGAACGTCCTGCCCCTTTTGCAACTCCAAGTTCTAAAATCCCCTTCATTCCGCTGAATTTCTGATAAGTTGGCATGTTTCTGCTCGGATCCTCCGCACGAACTCATCGCACATTCTATCCATTCTGTGACCTCTTCTGCCAGTTTTATACTTGTACGTTCCGTATCAAGAACGAAATTAGTTATTCATTGACGGCGAAGAGCAAAAAGAATGCAAAAAAGGAGAGGATGACGAAAGAATCGACATTTTTCTTCTTATTCTTTCCTATTTATTGTCTCTTTCCTTTCCTTTCCTTCTTTTTTCCCCATTCGTATTACGATTCCTGGGATTTATGCTCAGCTTTCTTTTAATGTTGGGCTGGGTCCTAAAAAAGAAAAAATCTTAGATTTACTGTTGATGTCAATTCTTGCAACACAACAGAATACTGCGGGTGTCTTTGTAGTAACTCCCCGTTCGGTAATTTAAAAGTCCCCAGATTTCCATTTCCGGAGTCACTTTTCGGAAGAGAAAACAACGAGCAGGAGATGATATCGGTCGGTGGTCGGCCTTCTTTTTTTTGTTGAAAAAAAGACAAAATACGTTCATATTTCACGAGCAATAATAAGCGATGCCCCTCGTCTGCTCTCTCGTCTCTCCAACTAATCTCCCTTTTATTGCCCTCACCAACTTTTAGCGATACTTTATCAGATTATTCCCTCTCTCTCTCTCTCCCTCCGACATTCGACAACAATTATCCGAGCAGGTCCTAGTCGGCAGCGATTTTGATTCAATTATTCCGATTTTCGACGTGTTTCTTGTCTTTCCTACCTCACCGCGTACTGAAACTAACTAACATTTCGTAGAGCATTACCGACTGCGTTTCTACGAGAGGATCCCGGTGCCATCTGGTGTGGCGCACATAGCCATTTCGAATAATGGATATGCTTTTTGAAGAACATCATTGTCCTTTTGCTTTTCGTCTGGTAGTTTTCTCTAGTTTTGCTGTTCTCGTAGACTTTGAGTTAACGAAACTAGAGAAATCAGACTTGCAACGGGTGGAAACGTGAGATTCTAGGAACCTTGAAAGTGTATAAAACAGTTCGAACTGTGTATTTGTTCATTTACAATCGCATCTGATTCAGTTATGATTTAAAGTTTGAAAAAAAACCATTCAGCCAAATTTTTGAAAAATGTTCAGGTTCTAGCCAAATATCTGTTAGTGAAATGACATCACCATCTTTCTTCTCGAGTGTATGAACACTCATCACACACTCCTCACAACCTTCCTCTTCCTCTTCTTCTTCTTCTTTTTTTTTGCTCCCATTCTTCTCTTTCTCGCCACCCCAACCTTTGACTTGTTTGACAGACGAAGAAAAAAGAAGGGCCCTTGCAGGCCACACGTGTCAAGTAAGTAATTAATAAAGGGGGGTTAGGGCCATAGCGGATGCTTGGTTGGGTGGAAAATGTGGATTTTCTCCTTGACAGCTCATGCATGCGCATTCCGGAGAGAACCGGACGAGTCAATGCAGTCAACTTTCTTCGTGCCTCACAACCGACGCGTATACCTCTGGTCCCTACTCCTCAGAGGGTCCTAACTTGTCTCTCTCTCTCTTTCCCTTTCTGTTTCCCTCGAGTTTCCTCTCAGCTTGTCTGATCCTAGGAAGAAACCCGCGTTTCTTCTTCTTTTCTGCATACATCTACACGTTTTTGTGCATGTCTCTCTATCTTTTTTGAATCTTCCGGCTGGTTGGCGTCATCGACTCCCCTAAAAACTCGTTGTCCGTCGTGAGTGGACCCCAGAAACGTTTTGGTCTTCTGGCTCCTGGCCCGGCGGCTCTTCACTCCAGCAACAGAATTTTGCCAGAACGCTGAGCCGGCGGGCTGCTGCGCTGATCAACTTTTCATCCCCCTTCTATGATAGGATGCGCATATTTTTGCCGTCGTGTCTCCTTCCCATCTTCTCCTTTTCGATCATCACTTTTCTTCATTGTGGGTGCCGAAAATCCGCCCGATCTTCTCTGCTCTCGTTTTCCTCTTCTATCTAATCCGTGATTAGCATGCGTGGAAACTCATACTATAGATAGACGTACATGCATAAAAATTAGACAAAAAAGGAAACGCAGTGTTTTGCCCTAATCCTGTATACATATACGACTTCACACATCCTTTTCTCTTGGCCCGTGTGCGGAGAGCCCCTCTCTCAACACTTCTTCCCAAACATTTTCAACTACCCCTGCTTCTTCATATTGTGTTCTTCAAGTGCCCGTTTGGTTCATCGGAAGACTCGGCCAGTTTCCCACATTTCTTGAGCACCACCACGTTGTGAGGTTCCCAAGCAATCTAAAAGATTATCCGCGTCCTCGGCGGAGTTTTTCTTTTACCGCCAACGCAGAGCTCATTACAATATGAGCAACATTTGGTGCTGAAATTTGATTTCTAGAAGATCAAACCATGTTTTATTTTGAATCCACTATATCCACTCGTTACAATTCATTTCATTTCTAAGGTTTCTTTCGCATCTCATTCGATTTCGTTCGTTCATTCATCAAACCAACAAAAACAGCAATTCGATTTTCGGTGCTGTGTTTCTTATTCCACCACATTCATTATTTGTTTTTTCACCCTCCATCCATCTCTTTGTCACAAAACGAACACAAAAACGTACACCGCCTTCCTCTCGTTTTATTCCGTCTGCACCTCTTAACGATACGAACATCATTACGCCGCAAACCACTCACATTTCCATACATTTCTGAAAGGATCGGAAAGGATTGCATTCACGATCTCAAAAAACGAGCTCGATGGAATTTGACATTCATGGAAGAATGAGAATGCGGTAGCAGGGTAGAACAGCGTGCCAAGAAATCAACCTTTGGAAGCTCTGACATAGATCACCCTCTGTTACCTACACCTCTGCCAACTTCCGAACAATAGATCCATTGTCCAAAGGCCATCCAAGTTCAACTTTCTTTTTCTTTTTTCTCGAATGTTCCCTCCTTTCGCCCACGACTCGAGCTCATCCATCATTTTCTAGTTTGGTTTGACAACAGTGACAAAAAGTTCTTCCTGCTTTCCTCCTTAGGTCACCTCATCCATAAGCACTCACAAATTTGTCCCCAGGGCCGTGGCTCAAACTGATACTGGTCTCTAGCCTCCCATGTTCCCTTCCGTCTCCTTGTTGCATCGTAAACATTTGCGAAACGAAGCACTTGGGGGTGGGGGAATGAGTGAGTCAATGAGCTTCAAAATGGGTCCTATAAATTATTCCGGACCAAGAATCTCTTCTCACCCTCATTTTCTGTTTCATTCTTATTCTGCCCTAGCGCAAGCACAGACGAAATTTCTTCCTCAGTTCTCAGTTCATTGACTCTAATTTCCGTGGGTCCACTTTTTTCTGTTGGTCTTGGTCCTGGATTCATATTACAACGATGGCTCTCCTGGGGAGCCTATAAATCATCAAATTAGCGCCGTGACCTGATTTCCGACCTTGCGGCACTCTTTCTTCCCCTCTCCGTTACGAAACTAGATACTAGACTTGCAGGATTCAAAAGGTGACAGTTGGAATTTCCGCACAGACCGACACGTTATTATCATGTCACAGACATTGTTAGCTGATGTCGGCCCGTCGGGAGCTGATAGATACACATTCTCTCTTGGATATGATACGTCGTCCGGACACAAGGGCGTTTTTGTCAGCAGCAACCAAACGCTGTGGGCAAAAAGCAACAATTGGCGTCCGAGTGACACGTATATTTTGTGTCCGACATTCATTTCTTGTTGCAATCATCTCGTCTCGATTTCCTCATTGCCTCGTAGATTGTCTTCTTGTCTAAATGACCTGGAATACCTGAAAGCTCAAAAATGTTTTGGGTAGACTGCATCAGCGCTTCTCCTTACGCCGTGCCGTTTTAGTGTCGCATTCAACTAGCACGCGAGCACTGTCTTTTCGTCTTTGTCGGCCAATAAATCCATCAATTGGAGTAAATCCACTGGCCTCTGCTTCATCTCCTCCTCCCCTCCCCCCTCTTTCTTCCCTTTTTCTAATTCAGCTTCTCAATTCCATTCGCCCCATTCTTTTCTTTTGATGTGCAGATTTTGGAAAGAAGTGAGGAAGGGTCCCTCCAATTTTCAAAATTGGCATTCTCTGCCTGCCCTCGCTTCGGTCGGCGGGCCGCTCCGAAAAGAAGACAAGAGAGCTTCGTCTTCCCCCAACTTTTTGCATCCACGTATTCGGATTAGAAGTGACTATTCGTAATGCGGTCCCCGCCAGTTTTATCGTTGTTCGGCTCGTAAAATGGTTTAGTGCATGCACGCCGTCGAGGTCCGATCTCCAGGAAAGCCGGAAAGGTCGGAGGAGAAGACAAAAACGAAATGGTACTCATTAGAAGTGACGAAGGTGAAAGAGTATCATTTTTCTCTGGGATGTGAGATCATCGTTTCCTTCAAAAACAACAGCAGTCGGCTTGTTGGTCGGGCGGCGGCTCCCATGAAGAATGTCCACTAAGTCGGCGGGCGGTGAGATCAAAGCAGACAGTGTAGTTGGACACCGCCCCGGGTTTCTATAGTTACTTCCTTCCGTGCGGGCCCAAATATGGACAACTAGTTGTTGCACGTTCTTCCAAAAAAGAAACAGAAGTGAAAACATTTCTGTTTTGGATTTGTCCAGCTTTTTTCATTTCATTCCTCTACTCCCCCTCCAAGTTTCGGCGCCATCGGCTTATCTGCCGGACCGATCTGCAACCCTAGACGTTTTTCCGTCCCATTAATCTTTTCCAAAGATAGTACGAACTGAGGGCCGTGAGGCGCAAGTCGCTTACCGACTAATACGGGGCATATGTCATACTTAAAAATTTGGAGGCCCGCACACACGAATACACTACAAGAAGTCAAGTCCTTTTGGTTTTTTTTGGGGGCTCCAGAACTCTGTGTGTGTGTGCGTGTGTGTGATCCTCCTTTCTTTGCCTATTTCTTTGCCGAGCACTTTACCAGTTCGCATTAGTGTGACAACACACACCCGCTTTATCCTTAGTACCTAACAGGGATATTTGAAGCGTTTCTCTTGAAATTGCACATTTACGTCCACATTCACATTCACATTGGCACCGGAAGAAGAAGATTCAAGAAAAATTTATTAAAAAGGCTGTGTGCCCACGTTTGGTGCTCTCTTCATGTGCGTACTTGAATCGAGTGTGTATAATGAGTGCTAAACGCGATTAATGATTTCTTTTTTTTTTGCATTTGTCGCTTCTTCTCTTCCTGCTAAGTGTTAATGCTCCTCGCCAACTTTTTTCCTACTTTACATCTGGCCGTATGATATGATTCTATTTTCTTCGCACCTTCTGTTCCGAAAGAGTGTCAAGCGGGGCGAAAGAGGTGGTGCCATTATGAAAATTGCCGATTTCCTATCAAAACATCATCAGAGAGACAAACGGAGGTGGGGGGCGCTTTCTGAAGCGGCGGACCTAGCACCTGTTGAATTAAAATATGCGCCGGCGAGAGAGCTCGCTAATGTGTCGGGTCTAAGGTGCGCAGTGAGACGGACGGGACGGCCGAAACCCGGTGAAAAATGGGCTCAGCAGGCAGGCAGGACAAGCCAACCCAACCCGACCTGCCAATCGGGGGTCCCCACATTACACCACACTTATTTGTGGTGTTGTCTGGTACGTGGTGGCGGTCAGTGTTGTCAATCTGATTGTGGAGGGGATGGATCGGATCGCAAAGTTGCTGGCAACAAGTCTGCCTCCTCCGCTCTCTTACCACCAACGCACATTTCCACTCGACTTCACTGCGAACAATAAAATTATGCTTTTAGAAAGCCATTCAATCTTCATATTTCTCCTCTTTTCTTGTAAGACTCAAGTCACTCAACCTAAAATGCAGTGCTCCGTCATTCATTCATTCTGCCTTCTTCTTCTTCTTCTTCTCTTCTTTCGTCATTTTTATTCTTGACTCACACGCGCTATACCTCTTTCTCATTTATCTTCGTCCGAAATCCTCGCACTTTCCATTCATTTTCGTCGCCGGATGGTGCGATGTTACTCATACCCCCAAAAAAGGGCGCATGGACTGGAAAATATTAAAAATTCCTCCCCAACCCGTGTGCCCTTAACCTATTTTTTGATGCCCATTCATTTTCTGTTTCTACGTTGAATATTTCATGACGCTTCACGATTCGCCTTTCCAACCTCGTTTTTCCGCTCAATATTCGTCCATCTTTCAGAAGGAGGACAGAAAGAAAGATTCGATCGAAGAAGGGAGAAGTTTTTCTAGAGTATTATGGTCATTCGACCACCTAGGTCAGTTTCTTTTCCATTTATTCACTTTTTCGTCGTCGTCGTTTCTTTCGCGCATATTTCACCCAAAATGACAAGTCTTGACACTCGGTGATGACCCAGAGGCCCAATTTATCATGGCGCCCCGACCAACGCAACCAACTGACTGGGCGCTACATGGTTTCCCATACACTCCGACGTCTTCTTTCAGTTTTTGTGTTGTTCTCTTAATTTACTACTGGTCTAGGGGCAAATCATGAAGACCGCAGTTCCACGGGTATTATACTATCCCACGGATATCAGATCTCATAAGAAGTAGTAGCTCACTACTAATATTTCGTGTGCAGGTCTGTATGCAGACTGACGCAGAAAATTCTTCTGATAGTTTTCTTACTTTCAAGTGTCTGCAAAAACATGCGTCATCCAGACTACCGTATCTCCGTTTACATAATTCATAGGCCTAAAGCGCACCGCATGTCACTTAATCGTCGGTAAGGAGCCGCAATTAGCGGGGAGGCACGGGAAGAAAAAAGGCGTTAAACGGCGATCGCGTGAATTATTAATGACACGTCAGAAGAATCGTCTTTTAAACACACACCTATTCCGAATCGCGTCCCGGTCCTCGAATCCTTTCTTGCGCCGCCTTCTTTGGCTCTTCCATTCTTGACCCCATTCACCGTATAATTTGCTGGTGGGCACGGCTCCTACTACTCCTAGTCCTTTCTCTTCTCGGCTCTTCTCGTTATCCCATCAATCAGCAGGAAGGAGCTAGTATGTCCGGATGATACCACCACCGGCGCAACATTTTATATCGGTACGTCAACATGATTCCTTTTGTGCTTGTCCGATTTTGAACGTTAGTTTTCTTTCCTTTTCCCATTGGCTTAGCATCCAACCTAATCCGCTCACTTTCCCAAGCGGAACGAAGAGGATCCCAACCAAATTTATGCTCCTCAACCCAATCTCGCTTCTACCCTTTTACCGTAACCCGCCACAAATGAGATGTATGTCCGCGGGTGAAAAATGAGAGTTTGAATAAGTAAAAGGAGCTAAGGAAAACGCGCTCGAGCGTCTCAAATTTGGCTTATAACACGTTAAAAGCGGGACAGTGACACACAGTGCCTAATGAGTCTAATCAAGACATGGGGGCAAACGGAGCCGGCAGGATCGGATCAAATCTCTTTGACGGAAACGAGAAGAAAGTGGCCGTGTTGTTTCGTTGCCGAGACTTGCTTGCAAACAGGCTCCCAGCGCACCGAGCGCATACAAATACATACGACGACTCATTGACACCCTGTGCCCCCGAGACCTTGCTCAAAGTCTATTGCGCAGATTTTTGAGTTTGCTTAAGCTAAATATTATACATTTATATTTTGCTACTTGGGCCTTGTCCTATCGCTATCACTCGACTTGACTCGAGCGAGTATCCGCTCGGATCTATTCGACTATTGTCTGCTCACTACTTGATTTATCACTGAGCGGCGACGCATTCAATTGAAAACTGATCAAAAGTGAAGTATTAGTTGAAATCAACCCGGCAAAAAATGAAGGATGGAGACTGCGCTAAGTGTGATGCCACCTCCCATATCAAGGAGGATTGCAAGAGCGATGGTAAGATGTGCCTCTTTTCCCACTTCACTCAGTGTCCGTGCCCTTGCCACCACCACTCTCACACTCTATTGTGTGGGCAAGTGTGTCTCAATCTGTACAACTTTCCTCGTCGACACCATCCCGCCGCCTAACCAACTTGTCAATTCGTCCTTAATTACAAGCCTTCACCCCTCCTACTCCTTCTTCTTCTCCTTCTTCCTCTTCTCCCCAGTTTCCCCTTGAGCGCGTTAGGAGCTGATGAAAGCGATGCCATCCCTCCCCGTCTTGTGGTGGTTTTGGTAGTGGGAGCCCAGTCCCAAGATGCGTTGATTGCAAGTGTCACTTCCGAAACACCCTAGTTAGTCGCTCTTCTTATTGTGCGTCAAGCACAAGCAAGCGGCAGCACTGGACAGGCCCCGCCCGACGACTTTTCGCATCTAAAGTCAATCTACAATCATCCAGCCAAACAACTGGCCCAAATCCCCAATTCTATGTATTTTTTCGGTTTGGTCCCTTTTCCTCTTCCTCTCGACTAAATTTGCACCATGACGCAATGCGCCGCTATTTTCTTTGCCAGGGACTACGGTTGTTTTTGCAAGCCCTCTCCGCTATTGACACTACTTTTATTAAGTACAGTGTTATTGTAGTTGTCATCCAGTTCAGTATGGAGTGGTGCCACGTGGGAAAAAACTCTGATTTTTTGTACCTCTGTCAGGTTGAACGGTGCAAAGAACAAAAGCTGAAGGATCTCGCGCGCGCGCTGTTTCATCCTTGTACTTCTCGCTGCTCGCCGCTCTTCCAATACACACAAATCCACCGAGATTTCGAATTTCGTGCCTCGCTTACTGTCCTTCCTTCTCCCTTCTGTCTGTATCGTTTTCGGCAAGCAAATACAGCCGACCGGCCGGCCAGCTAATAAGAAGAAGAGAGAAACGGTCGACGCGTGTCTTTCGGAGCAGGGTGACGTGTCAATGAGGCTTCCCGAGTCCCTCTTCATAGTACTTCGTTTTCTCTCACCGTGTTGCAAAGAGGGGTTCAAGTATCGGCAAGAGAGAAAACCACTCATTGCCCCTCAGACTCTCTAAACCTCCTTTCGGTATAATTTATTCACTAAATGCTACCGACGACTTCAATTTATATCATTTGAACCGTGGCGGGACGAAAAAGAGAAGTAGGAACCAACTTATACATCCCTCATTCACTCATGTATATGCAAGTGCATATCTTTCGAAAATTTTGGAAATTTTCCACTTTTGCTCCCACCCGCAGTTAGTCAGACATACAAACGACATCCGAGATGCGGATCGAAATTCGTGTTACCATGGACAAGAGGATATGCGAGACAATATCAAATTTTTCTGACGTTTCTTCTCATTCCCATTCCGCCTGCATAATTACTATCGCCCACTCATTCTTATCTTCTTGTTTTCAGCATACAAACCTCAAGAAATGCGAACGATTGAACCACGTTGCACGGTATCCAGTTCATCCAAGCAGTGCCGCGCCTCACGACACTAAGTTTTCAAAGACTTACCTCAATAAGGACAGAAAGGTGGGTTCAGACAAATGCTACCGTACTTGTTTTCCGACCCCTCCACTTTTTTGCACTGAAAAAGAAAACAAGCAGAGTGATGCAGGGGCGTCAGCACCACGGAAAGGGAAGAGAGAGAGGGAGAAAGAAGAGTGTCCCCGCTACAAATTAGTCCAATCTGACACTATAGGTTGTCACTCAAGGAAAGCGAAAAGAGGCAGGAGCTTGCCTTAATTTCCTTTTTTTCCCGTACGCAGAAAGCTTTCACCCATCCATCCTGACAAGTCTACTTTCTTCACAAATTCCCTCACCTTACTTTTTTTGCTCGGTTTAATACAGACTGGGATGCATAGATGGATACATAGATGGCTAGGCACCTTTTGTCAGGAAATTCCCAATTTTCGTTTTGTTTTCTTCCGTTTTCGCAATGCTCTCAGTTTAAGAAAAAGCGTCAGAGAACCAGAGAAGAGAGAACTAGCTGAAACTTTTTGATCCTTGAAAAACATGATATTTCTGTTGACATGTGACCATATATTTCTTTACTTTCCTTCTCAATCATCTTCTTACTTTCAACTTCAACTTTATGACGAAAGTTTGAGGGGAGGAAAAAGAATGAGAGCCGGATGAAGATCTTCTAAAAGGATTATAATTCAATTTGATATGCTCTTCGGGAGGGCATCTTCCTGACGAGAAGACGTAAAGAAGACAAGGAGGCAGGCTAGGCCACGCCCCACAGGGAAACCTTTCGAGTTTTATCCCACCTCTGTCTATTTCGTGTTTCTTCTTTTTTTGCTGCCGCTGCTGCTACTGCGGCCTCTCCCGCTTCTTTTTATATTCCTAAGACTCATCATCATTCTGTGGCGACCACATGAAGGAGAAACAGTGGTGATTATTGCAGTTCTTGTCCGCCGGAATGCTTCTATATTATCTGGCGGCCATATTCAAGGGCTTACATCCTCGAGTCGACGACGATTTTGTGGACAAGCTCAATTATCACTACACTTCTGCTATTATATTCGCGTTTGCGATAATTGTGTCTGCCAAGCAGTACGTAGGTAAGTACATCTCAAAAATATTTCGTTCAGCTACAATAATCTTGGTTTTTGCAGGTTACCCTATACAATGTTGGGTACCCGCGCAGTTCACCGACGCTTGGGAACAGTACACCGAAAACTATTGTTGGGTGGAAAACACCTACTACCTCCCGTTGACCAGCGCCTTCCCTTTAGAATACGGTGACAGGAGGTAACAAAAAGTTGTGGGAAACTGCAGTAACCCAGTTTCAATTCAGGGCAAGGCAAATCAGTTACTATCAATGGGTTCCATTCGTGCTCGCACTCGAGGCATTATGCTTCTACATCCCGTGCATTATGTGGCGAGGATTGCTGCACTGGCATTCTGGTGAGCAAAAAGTGAAAAGCTGGATGATATGAGTCGTTAGAAACCGCACAGTTGTGCAATGCAATGTGTATGCTTAGAAAAGAAAGTGGTAGGAGGTGTGAAGTGGAGACGAGAGAATCATTAATAATTTATTGCTTAACGATTCCCCACTCCGACGGAGAAACTTTTATCACCTCGAGAAGAGGGATAGCTTCTCTGACAGAGGGATCATAATGTCCGCGTCCGGGTGTCGTGACGAGTGACACGAGAATAAAGGGTTCGTTTTCAGGAATCAATGTGCAATCATTGACTCAAATGGCATGCGATGCACGGATGATGGACGCCGACGCCCGAGCAGCCACGGTGCAGACAATTGCCGGACACATGGAGGACGCTCTCGAAATCCAGAGAGAGGTTTGTTGATTTACATGCGATTGGAAAACAAGAAACAAACATTCAAATGCATTATTACAGGTCACAGACGTGTCCGGTATGTGTGTGCAGAAGCGATGGGCAAACTATGTGACATTATTATACGTGTTCATCAAAATGCTCTACCTGGGAAATGTTGTGTTACAAGTGTTCATGTTGAACAGTTTCCTGGGCACTGACAATCTGTTCTATGGCTTTCACATTTTAAGAGATTTGTTGAACGGCCGAGAATGGGAGGTCAGCGGGAACTTTCCACGTGTCACAATGTGCGATTTCGAGGTAAGAGTTGAGATTTGAAGCATGTAATATAGTTGTTTGAAACTTTAGGTACGAGTACTGGGTAATGTGCACCACCACACAGTCCAATGCGTTCTGATGATCAACATGTTTAACGAGAAGATCTTTCTGTTCCTCTGGTTTTGGTACTTCATGGTTGCCTTTGTGTCAGCTGTGTCCATGTTCCACTGGGTTATCATCTCATTCCTTCCGGGACAGGTAACTTTGATCTTCTTTTTGTATTTAGAGTAATTGGCTCAATTTCAGCATATGAAGTTCATCCGGAAGTACCTCCGAGCGACAGACTTGGCCACTGACAGGCAGTCGGTGAAAAAGTTTGTGCACAAATTTCTCGGATACGACGGAGTAAGACGCACCCTTTGAGTGGCAGTAATTAAGCTAACGAATCTAATTAAGGTGTTTTGTATGAGGATGATTTCGGCGCACGCTGGAGACATTCTTGCGACAGAGTTAATAGTAGCCCTATGGCACAATTTCAATGATCGGGTTAGGAAGGTAAGCCATTTTCGGAACGGTTTAGTTGCGGTTTTTTGGTTTGAGATTTTCAATTAGTTCGTTTAAAACAAAACAAAACAAGATTACGAGATAACAGTTCAATCTAATTTTTTGAATTAACTTACATAGACAACTTTTGGAGAAAACAAAATTCGATGAAACGCCGAAAAGTCCAATCTCTAAAGGCATATCGTTTCCAGAATTACGAGCAAGTCTCTGAGCAATAGACACCAAACCAAACCAGCTGAGCTTCTATCTCTCTATCAATGTTGGTTTTTCTCTCCCCTAGCCTCTGTCTGAAAGGAAAGCGCGCCCTGAAATCAAAAGCCTTAACTGCCTATCCAATTCACTAACCATTCATAGTTTTTTGTGTCCACCACGATGTGCCTTTAGTGATTCGATTCATTGCTCATCGATTTTCTGTCTTTGTTTCATCATTTCACACCATCGGGTGCACTTTTTCTTGACGGGAAAAGTCGACAAAAACGAACACGAAAACAAGTTTCGAGATTTCATTTTTTGCCCTTCGATTTCAATTTAAAATCACACAATTCCATTGTTTCCTTCTCACTCACACTTTTTCACGATTTTCCCTTTTCTTTTCCTATCACTCACACAACTCACATTTACACACACATACACACACACACACTTACCGTAACCCAGTGAAATAACAACATGCATGATCCGTATTAGGGGTCTCGGATCTAACAGTTTCCTATCACTTCAAGCTACTGTAGTTCTTTCCTAGTGCCTGTGTTCGTCCGCTTGTGATGGGTGGTCCATGTGTGGAAATCTTCCTATTTTTACGATTCATTCACAAAACACAAAAACAAAAACTGCAAAACCGGCGGGGTTTATTCCGCGGGTGCCCTCATACTAACACATTTCTTAGCCGAGAGACCACTCACTCATCGGACAAACGCAGGCGTTTCGATTCGAATTTTCGCTTTTCCATTGTAACCATTTCAAGATACAATTCAACTCAACGGAGTCTCTCAACCACTAACCTTCACTTCCACCACCAAGCTCACCAATTCCACCACGTATGTCCGAAATCCGAGGGGTTTTCCGATTAACAAACAAAATATACGCGGCGAGTGTCTGTAGTCGTATCTCTTTCTGGAATGATCTTGCGATTTTCTATATATGTTCTTTTTCCGCTCACTTCGCCATGGACATCCCCGACCACACCCGACAGACTGTTTTTGTGTTTTAGAATGTTTTCACACACACACACACTCACTCATGTTGCCTGGCTTTTTGTACTGCACGATACACCAACCCCTTTCTTTTCTGTCTTGCTTTCCGATCCCCTGTCTGAAAAAGTGATGACGAGACAAACGTTGACAAGTGTGCCCGGTGCCCGATTCCTCTGTTTCTTGAAAACTGGACTGATTTTCGAACTGAATTAAACCAGAATCAAACGTTAATGTTCTGCATGACAACGCAACGCGGCAACCAATAAATTCTTGAGTTCATCCGACCCAAGACTTGCTTTTGTTTCACTAGATTGATTCCAACCGATTTACATGGGGGTGGCAGAAAAGCAGAATATGACGATGACTAGTCTCAATCAAAAAAGTTAATGTTTTCGGTTTCAGAGTCCAATCGAAATGTTTGAAGGAGGTGTCACTCAGTCACCCAGCAAATTAGATGCCAATTTCAAGACGTGGCTACTCGGACAGACGAGGTGAGTCGGAGAATGCACTGACGGACACGTTGACAAGTTGACAAGGCGGATCCTCCGCCGCGGAGCAAATTAGGCATGGAGAGTCAACTTGTCGACGTGTTTCAAGTGACGTGATCGGTGTTTTGTGACTTTGCTTAGCGGGGGTCAAAATCCGAAGTTTGAAAAAAGGCCTCGAAATTGATCTGTAGTGATTAGATGCGGAAAGCGAGTGAGCGCAGTCCAGTCGAGCCTGTGTTTTGTTGTATTGCAGGGCCTCGGAGGCCAATGGGGGCTCTCGGCTGCTGTCTGCTCGCTAATGTGGCCCCGATTCGCCATCCACAAATCCCATCATCCACACTCACACACAATCACCCTCAAGTTGGAATTGAATTGCAGGGCCAAGCCGCCCTTCGACGGCTCGAATCCGACGCGCGGAAAGAAACGCCGAAAATCGGATGGTTACTTCACGTTCGTCTAGTTCCAACTATCCTCCGTTCAACACTATCCTGCCTTCTCGAGTTCTTTCCTCACCCACACACACACAAACACGTGGTGCTCACCTTCTTCTTCAACTTTCGATTATTTGATAATATTTTTTACTGTGCCATTATTATTTCGAATCGGTTTTGTTTCCCTTTCTCTATCTCTCTTTTATCGCCGGAAAAAAGAGCCTGTGTCATACTCCTTTCCAGTTTTCTTGGGTACTTTTCCGACCCCGTTCGCTATTCGGATCATTCTGATGTTTGTGTAAAACAAAGTTTTCGATTATTCATTTATTCACAAATGTCAAAATGAACCGGTTACCTCTCCCCCAGTGCCAAACTCATAGGTGCTCGCCCTTTCACAAAAATCTCAAAATCTCAAACACATCGACACTCGAAAATTTTAAAAGCCATAAGTCTGATATAACGCTCCTGCTGAATGGATTCTAGTCATTTGTTGTACAGACCCTGTTCCCTCCCCCTCCCTTTCCCCTTTTTATTATTATTCCCCTGTCTTTCTCTAGCTACCCAAAACAAGTGCAAAAAGCAAAAATGTGGTGACAGTTATGGCGGGTATCTGTTCGAAAATATGAGAGTTTGTCATTTCGATCACTTTCAAATTCTCAACAATTCCACCTCCTCTTACCAGAATATTAGGATTTGCGTTTTATCACTTCTCCTAGTATCAATTTTTGTGCTAACTAACATCTAGGCGCCACAAATCCTCCCCCTTTCCCCTTTCTCACATTTTATAGGAATTTTCCGATTTTCTCCTTTCCCCCAGCTCCTAGGGATTTATTCCTCAAACATCGTTGGAATAGGAGCCGCTCTATACAGTTTTGATCGGGTGTCCAATTTTTTCCTCTTTTTCCGCCCAACGAGATGTTCTTATCAGTACCATAACCCTTTCTCCCAAAACCTAGGAATGTTTCTCCAACTTTTGCACTTTTCATCTCTTCTCATCGGTGACTTTTTGAACCGCCCATTTATTCCTTCTCAACACTAACCTTTAAAAAAACTTACAACTTTCCAATGCATTTCACCTCAAGTTTAGTCCCCCCCCCCTTTTCTTCGTTTGGAAATCTTGCATGGTGCACTCCCTGCCTTTTCTTTCTGTCCTTCCTTCCAATTCATGTTCCTGTTTTTCAAACGAATAAAACTTCATTTCAAAAAAACTTTGAATCCTGAGATGGGTTGCAATTCCTGGGATGGGTCATAATTGTTTACGAATGAGCTATGAACAGTATTTAGTGGATGGGAAATGTAGGAGAAGAAAATCAAAGTCGGTGGAATCGAAGTAATGCTCCGGAGACGTAGCCATTCCTTTCAGCTCGTTCATGTTCAACCCGGCTGATCGGTCCGTGCTGATGCCCACCGTGTAGATCACAACTCCACGACTTTTCAGAGCTTCGATGCCTAGAATCAATTACAAAATCAGTACTTGGACAAAATACGAAAAAAACCTTCAGAAGTGTCTTCAGCAGAGTATCCATCGGTGAAAATAACAAGTTTGCATTTGGCCCCGTCTCTCGATGAGTCCTCAAACAACTTGGCCATCCTTTTCAGAGCCTGATTTGTGTAAGTTGTGCCTGAGTAGAACGGAGATCTATCGATAATAGTCTTCAACTCGGATTTTGTTTTGTTTCCACTGAAAATCACAAATAATAAAAGGAAATTGCGTTAAGGCGGTACCCGAAGTCAACAAGAACACGTGTCTTTGTTCTGCCAGCGAATTGAATGATTCCGACCTGAAAAACAATTAATTTGAGACGCTCGAGTATATATAGATATAAACAGTAATACCCTGGTAGCATTCTCGGCGATCGGCATTTGATCTACGAGCTGATTGGCAAATGCGTGTTGGCGTTGGAAGTTTTGCATCAAAGAGCCGGAGGAGTCGAAGATGATTCCGATGTCATACTTGCAGTCTCTCACAGGAAGTGTATCCGAAGAATCCCTGACGACAGCCTCGTCACTTCCGCTGGCTTCCTCACTTGCGTCAGTTTCAGATCGATGCTGATGCCGATCACTCATGAACTCTCCGGGATGAACCAGTGCATGGTGTGGTGAGGCGTCGTGTTGGAAACGGGCTCTGGCACGCGCACTGCAGAATTTGAGACGTTTGACCAGAGTCCCGTATGACATTGAGCCAATGAGCACATTTTCTGGATTGCCGGTGATCATTTCTAGTTCCTTTCTGAAAAGCATTGTAAAGTTCTTTTAAAATCCATGAAAGTAAGCTCACTTCAAGTAAATCTCTCCAATAGAAACTGCATAAACTGTAGAATTCGGAACTGCCCGCAGTTCCTTTGCACCACTTTCAATAAGATCATAACTAAAGAAAAGGTTCAACTATACTTTTTTGATTCCAATTTGCCGATTTACCTGTATCCGTCAGTTAGAATCACAAAATTCAAAGTCAAATTGTCACGTCTTCCCTCCGTATGATGCGCGGCGAACTTCAGTGCCTGTCCGGTGGCGGTAATTCCGGAGAAGAAGGGCAATTCTGCAGTATTCACATTATTTTCGTCTTCCACTAACCCAAAAACTATGTAGCCAATGATTTTTATCGTCAAAAAGTGCATGCAAAAGTGTTTTAAATTGAGAATCATGTGTAGCGGTAGATATATCTCTCGATTGTGGAATGGAATTCTTCTACTCTAGTTCTTTGGACGCACTACTACTAGTCACCTAATTTTTGATTGATGACTACGGCAGAAACCCAGTAATCCAACGGATTGACGTACCTTCGACGGCTTTCATCAAGCTTCCCATATCTGTGTGTGTTCCAAGTGGAATTTTCATTTTTTGCTTCTTCTCGCTACTGTAGATCATGGCGCCAACGTGATCAACGGTTGGTGAGATATCAAGTCCTTCGATCACCTCAAAGTTCAAACAATTGCTGTTGCAGTATCAATCATTTCCTTGGTACCTTCTCGATAAACGTGATATAATGTTCGAAGATACCGCGGACAGAAGACGTGGCATCTATGATGAAAACTGTGTCGGTCGGGCAGTGAACGCCCAGGATAACTGCCTCGCGGTCCATTCCCTTCATGATATCCACTAAATTATCTTCTTCGCTGCCTTCACCTGATAAAGAAGTGTTAATGGAAAATGTGTGCCAGAGTTTTCTACCCGATGCCTCCAGAAACTCGCCGCTTCCATCCCCCGATCCAATTCCGGAACCGGATTCAATTCCAGATCCAGATCCATCACCGTCACTGCCGGATCCTTCTCCAATGGAAATAGTCTCTTCAACTTTTGGTTGTTGACCAGATGATTCAGTCAAGATCTCGTTATCGTGAGGTATCTGAAATAGGTTTTTAATGGTGTTATTCTGTCTATCAATCCGATCATTTCATAACAACGTGTGACCGGCGGGGGAAAACCTGTTCGACGCTGATTTGATTACCTTGTGTGTCCAAGAGGGTAATGGAGGAGCGCGAAGTCCTGTCGAGGGTGGGGTTGGGTTGACAGTGAGCTCTGGCTCGGGCTCATATCCCGGTGGATCTGTGGGCGGCATCGGAGGCATGTATCCCGGAGGGTTGTACGGTAGGATATTGTCCAGTTCGTATTGTGCTAACTGAAATTTGTTGTGGTTTTGTGATTGTACTTACTGGAAGTGAAGTGACTTACCACAACAGAACTTGTCCAAAGGATTATTGACGTCACAAGTAACATTGTGTTCTGAAAGTCTTTTATTTAGAAAGCAAATAAAGAAATGAAGAACTAGGGTCCTGACGACAAGTTATATACCCGCTGTTCCGTCACAGATTTTTCCCGTATTATCTTCCGACTTACCGCTTTGATATGGGGCGGGGCGGTCGATTTTGCGACAATCGGGAGAGATGCTTATCACGCACCTACCAACTTGGTAGAAGTTAAAACGGAATTGAATTTGGAAAGGCGAGAGAAAAAAGGAAAAAGACACCCCCGTTGGACTGACCGGCGGCGCACGACTGGGGAACCTGAAATTGAAATTTAACATTTGTCATTGGAAAATGGAATCGAAATCGAAACGTTACCTGTATCAGTGAGGTAATGAGAACTTTCTCGTGTGATGGAAACCCGTATGGTTTTCCTGAACTGTTTGTTGTTTTGTCTCTCTTTTATAGTTATGTTTGGGTGGGCCTCATTGAAAACGTGATGTCATGTCTTGTGATTATCAATTTCAAATCCGCATGGTCGTCCTTGACGATCCATTGTCAAGCTCATCAAAAGTTTCCACGTGTCCATTTATAAAACCTGCTCCCGTTCTTTTAATTTCTTCGACATTTCCTTGCAAAAAACAAACAAAACAACACAACACAACGATCAGTTATCTGATCGACACTTTCTTATTTTTTTCTCTTCAAGTTATTTCATTTATTGAGGATGATCTTGCAACTCGAAAACGAAAAAGGGTGAACTTTAGGAGTTTCGCTATTACACAAAAAGGGATTTTTTTCAACTGGTGCTGGACAATGATGACAAGAGAGTGCGGTGAGAAAGAGATCAAATGATACTGTCGGTGCGAGAACATTTGGGAAAAAACGGAACTGTGATGAAAAGGAAAGTTAGCCAAATAATATATTAGTTACGAAATATTTTTTAACAACGATTGTTCAAAATATTGAATAAATCAGTCGTGGTTATGTGCAGGAGCATCGAATTCAAATGTCAAGATCGGACGTTTTTGCCGATCGCTCAGAAGATCTGTAACAATAATTTTGATTCACTAGGAGACCAAAAAGTACAAACCATTAAGAATGCTGTTCCATGGGAGTGTGACGTAGGTCAAAAATGCGTTGAGAGGGGTGCATTCTGCCCGTTTCTTCTCACGGAGTCCATGCCAGACCTGAGCAAATCCACGCATCGACCACAGTTTATTCGTCGGGCCTTCGTCGAGTTCTGAACAAAAATACTCTTCTTCTGTTCTTTGCAACAGTTCTGTCGCGCTTTTTGAAGGTTATTTTAGCGCCCACCGGCCTAATTTAGGCTGAAGGTCATAAATGAAACAGTTATTTTTTCGGTTTCTTGAAATAACTACGATCCGAACTACAGAAAAGAATTCGCAAAACTAACCATCATCAAGATTGCTGCCTTCGACTTCTGGATACTGGTTGACAGTATCTGCTTCGCTTTGCCAGCGTCGTCCACGAGAGGAGTGCGATGGAGTGGCGATGGACCTTGAAGGGAACATGCGGGTTCCGCCAGCCAAGTTTGTCTCGGACATTCGCCGTTTTCCCAAAGATTGCTCGACCTGAAACAGAAAGAATTCCTTCCTAACACGTCAAAAGTCGATCACTCTCACCCCTGCCAGTTCCAAAAAGTCAATGGGGTTCTCAGTGAGCGGCGTCTCATATCCGCAGTTGGGCACTCTCGCCACCGCCATTTCCGCGTATCCCTTGCCCTGCGGCCCGCGCATTCGTACAAACTCTTGCCGTCGTTCGCCCGCCTTCATCAACTTTTGCGCCCATTGCCAAGTTGACGACGCTTTCGTGTCGTACACTTGCTTCAGAATTTCATAGCGAATCGAGCCGAGGAAGACAACGGACTCGCGCGTTCGCTGACGGTCTCGGGCCACCAACTCGACGCAGACACATTCTCCGTCACGGACAATCACATCGTTGAAAATCTGAAACAGACTCGGTTCCGCAACTTTACTGAACGCGGTGGTACAAGGAATGAGAACTGGAGGAATAAGAAGTGCTATAAATGAGAAATGGCGGAATGAGACCACGCTGAACTGCTACAAATGAGAAGTCATTATTTCACAATATCACACGTAAATCTTTACTGATTTTTCAAATAATCCGTTCTTATTTGTAGCAGTTCTCATTTATTACGAGTTCTCATTTGTAGCAGTTGTTATTCCTCCAGTTCTCATTCCTTGTACCACCCTGAACGCCTACACATACCTCCTCAAAACCGTCAATTGCGAAATACAGTTTCGGATATGTGATTTCCTCGTTTTCACCCTTACTATCCATTCGACGGCGACTCGGCGACGGGAACACTCTTTGACAGTTCTTCCGAATGATTTGCAAATTTTGAGGGCCCGTTTTGGTGCAAACAGCGCATGTCACGTAGAAGTCGATCTAAAAATAGAATTGCAAATTGATGAAGCCAGTGACTGGGCAAATTTCACCTGTTGCATAATAATGTTGAGGCACACCGTTTCCTCCCAGTTGTAGCTGTCATCGCACGGAGTCGGCTGGTTCTTGCTGTGACGACGGAACACTTGCAGGAGACTCTGATTCTGAACAATTCTGTTGTTAGTAGTCAGTCAGAAGTTGTAATGCGTACCCCTTGTATGTAGAATGAGTTGGTGAGCTTTGCCTGGTGCACATACCAAATCATATCATCCGAATGAGCTGAAATTGTATTCCACTTTCTACGTTTATTGCACATAGCACGGCTGGGCAAAATGCCGGACCAGGCCTCATGAGGCAGTCTTCGTGGACTTAGATTGAACTACATTGGGTCCAAGTTTCAGGTTTTTCGGATTATCCGGAGAGGGCCGGGTTTGAAAAAATAGGCCTTCTCGGCGTCTGATCTACACATCTCCGAACCAGTTAATCCAATCGGTCTGAAACTTGGACCCAAGATACTTCAATCCAAGTCCAAGAAACCTGTAAAGTATAGGTCTTATCAGTATATTGAATGTGATCCACAAGTTCAACAATCAATACCTTGACATTTGGTGGATTGGCAGTACGCAGTGCCGATGATGAATTCCATGAAAAGTTTTGCCCATTTGACTTCATTGTTCTGAACCACGGTGAAGTCGCCATCTGAATGAGCAAAGCAGTTTCATAGAGATGTTATTTGAATAGTTCTCACCTTGTTGCGTGGCCAATTTTCGAAGAGCAGTCACGCGTCGAATCGCTTCGGCGACACAATTGCATGCCGGTTGTTTGTTGGTGCTATTTCGTTCTGAAATTGGAGACGCTTTCATGAAAGGATGAGGAGCAAGACAAGACGTGTTTAGAAAGACATGCACGACGCCTTCTCTTGTCACGCTAGTGGTCATAGAGCACATTTCTCTTGGAAATACACGTACCTGGTTGATTAAACGTATCGAAATCCCAGTTGCAGTTCTTCGGAGTAACTAAATCACGAATCGTCGACGAGCCCGACGTCGAGTTCATCTTTCCGGCTCGGTTTTACCTCATACCCTCGGCTGAAAGCTGAAGAGGTGAATGAATATGCGCAGAAAAACAAGACGACTGAATAATTCTATTAACAAAGGAGAAAGAGAGTGAGAGAGAGAGAGAGACCGCGCGAGCACCAAGAAGAACAAGAAGACGGATGCGCATTTCGAACAAGAAAGAGCGCCAGCTACCAGACGATTGGAATCACGAAGTCGGGGCGGGCCGGGCACCACAAAAAAGGACGAGCGGCGTGAAAATCGAGAGACGGCACATGTCTCGGAGAGAGACGACTCACTTAACACTGAAAACGGAGACGACGAAAATCAATAGGGGACAGCAATGAGAGAATTTCAGCCACAATTTCCATCTTGTCGTTTTGAAGGAAATATTGAAGGAAATTGTAGCAGACTGCTTGTTTTTGTCAAGAAAATACACGAAGAAAGGCAATTCCCGTGAGCTATGGGATTCGGAGACGAGGATTGATGCTCATCAGCGCTAATACCACACGACATGACCGATAATCCATATATGTTGGGCGACGAGGGGGAAAATCTTCTTAACTTTTTCTCACATGTTTTTCTTTGCAATCATGTGATAAAATTTGCGTCTATTGTATGATAGATATCAAAAAAGGTTCAGACTGGCAAGATTCCGGACTCGCAAGGACTTGTCGGTCCGGAAGTTTCAACTTGAACTGATTGTTTGCGAAAAAAATAAAACTCTAGCGGCAACGTCTCTGAAAAGAGCTGTAGAATTTGTTCTCCATGAGAAATTACTTTGATTTCACAAAAAGTTGAATAAAAAATGTTTGTGAGTGAGTGAAAATGAGTGAAAATGGAAACGCATAGTAGTGTGTTATTGACGAAAACATGCAAGGGACAGCGGCGGCGGGCGGAGACGCAGAGGGGAAGGAGCGTCTAGAGAGGCTGTGTTGCAAGCGTGCTCCATCGATCATTCGCGCACTCGTGAGACACGCCAATTATGCAATCCGGCTGGTTTTGGGTGTGCGTGATAATGGTCCGGTCTGGACTGAAATGTATGATATGATAAGGAAACGACAATAACGGAATGGGGTGGAAGAGAGAGAGAAACAACGGGCGAAGGATGGTCGAACACTATAATTATCTCAGGGTGGAGTCTCTTATCTTTTCGTTTAATTATAGAGATGGACCAAATAACATTTCGAGAAGAAATATGGTATGGTCAGTCAGCGCGGAAAGAAATACTACGTCTAATGAATGCGACGCGTTCTTCACTTCTTCCTTTCCTGTCCCGATACAAGAATTTGCGAAAAAAAGGAACAGTGATCCGACTGACCTTCCTTATGATTTTCTTTAGTTCCCATTCCTCTTAAGATTGAAAGTGTAATTAACCCCAAAATGTCACATTTTTAGTGATCAGTTCTCGTCCCCGCCAAATGATAACCAACGTTTGTGTTGGTGTTGGCGTTTCATATTTTCGAGAATGACATGTCTTTTACGTTACGCAAATACTTGTATGATTCATTTTTTGTTACCCTGCCCTTGCTTTTCTTTGCCTTAGAAGCCTTTTTGCCAACTTTTCTCCCGAAAGTCAGTTACACATTCAAATTTTTGTTTCTAAGTTTTGCTCTTTCCTTTGCTTTTTTGACGCATACAAACACCACCACCGGGTAATCAAGTGATAATGATAGACAAGAATTGAGACCACATATATGACTCGTAAACCATAAAACGGCAAGACAGTGCTGCTCCGATAAACTGCCTAAATTCTTCTCCGTTTCCCCCCTTTCTTGCCTCAAACCTTCCTTGGTTATACACTGTGTAAACAGGACAAATAGAGAGAAGGAGGAGAGAGAAAGGGCCTGGAGGAAGGACGAAGACGAGCCGTGTGGCCCCCCATCCGAGTGATAGCAACTATATCGAAGCGGTGCGCTGGTTTTGTTTTCGCTTGTCGTTCGCCCTTCGAAAAACATTATCGTCTCATGCGCAATCCCTTGCGGTCAGAAACAAAATGATGTTTCGAAGCGTTGTCAGCCTTTTTCTGATTCTCCTGTATACAGTAAGTTCACATTTTTTCATAATAGCACTTTTATTTTTTGCTTAGAGAGAATCATCCTGCGCCGTCCAAATAGACGTTACACAAATAACCATCTTCTTTCAAAACCAACTCAAAAACTTTTTGACTACCTGCAATGGTGTTGATATTGAGTTCTTTTTGCAACTCATCACTTCCAAGTAAGCTATAATTCAAATACGAATTCAAAATTGCAAAACCGTACGATTTTCCAGCTACACAACCCAACGAACGTATTACTATCAACAACAACCCGCCACGATTACCACCTTGGATTTGGCCAACAGCAGTACTTTCCAGATCCAATCTCCTACAGTAAAACATAAAACTCATATTCAAATACACGTTTTCCTTCAGGATTTTCTTGCCATTTCCGGAATTCTTTCTCTGAGTTGCTCTGTTTCTCCGAGCCCATACGCAGATTCGTTCTTGCTAAAAACTCAATCTTCCAAACAGCCTGATGGAAACAATATCGCAGCGCTATATGTCGCAGCGGCTGAGAACAATGTTTGGTAAGTTGTGAGAAGGAGATGTGGTGTTTTATTATGACGTGTTTCAGGTCGATGCAAGCAACAATATCCCGACGATGCACGGGGGCCAATCAGTACGGATTCAACTGCAACGAGGAGTGCAGCGCAACGGATGACGGATATCATTGCTATAATTGCGGCTCGAACGGACAGAAAACCTGTTGTAACAGTGCTAATGTTAATCCGGGTAATATTTGGACTTTATAAAAAGGTGATGTGTGGAAAGAAGAATTTCAGATGATTGCTCCTATTACATTCAACCTGCCTCAACTACTTTGTCGCCAAATTCACAATGTTCCGCGGTTAGTTTCACAACAGTCTCTCTTTCTCTTTCCTTCAGTTCAATTTTAAATTTAAAAATTTTAGTCTGCCGAGAACACCTACTTCTGGCTCATGATCAGCTTCGCCATTATCATCGTAATTCTCGCCATCATTCTCTTACTCGTCATCCTTGAGCTCTGCTTTGGACTCTTCACGTAAGACATCAGCGACGAATTCAGGGCCGCGCTTTTTAGAATGTGCAAACACACGCTTCGAGATTATCGCTGTTTGTATTACACCGCCAAGACAATCGTCCCTCCTATTTATGCGTATTTTTTAGAGGACATCAAGCCGCAAAGGGCAATGAGGACAAAGACTGGATAGTGGGGAACGAGCCGCGCGCGAATCGAGAGCTCTACGACGGCGACGTTAATCGACAGAACTACCGGAGAAAAAATGAGGTGTCGCGGGATACTAGCAGGCAGGAGGAAAGCCGAAGGTCACCATACTTTGTGAATAGGGAAGGATTGGATAATCAAACCTATGATGACGTAAGTTCTTCTTCCCATCATGTTTTAAGCGTATGTAACTATTTCTATTTCCAGGAATCTCTTAGAAACCAATGGGTCGAACCGCAACCCAGAAGAATTGCTCGTGTCTAACCTCTTGATCTGAATATTGGGTACTGACTAAATTTTTTTATTGTTTTGCCGCACATGGTGTTCTCTTCGATTCTCGGTTATGTACTTCTTCTCCTACTGTTAAATTTGTTTCTTTCTTCAATAAAGTTCGTATGAATCAGTTCTTTTGTGACTCAGACTCAGACTCGGTGCTTTTGCTCTAATAAATACGGCCGCATCCTCCGGAAAGGTCATACCGCCCAGGAAAGCTTGTGCATGCAGGCATCCCAGTGATTCACACGTTCAAACACGCGGCCCGAAATACAAACAGCAAGGGGTTTGCTGCGCACACCTACATCTTATTTATGTATCAAGCCTCTCTTCTTCTCCTTCTTCCTCCTTCGGCCGATCACAACAGTATTCTTCTTTCCTCTTTCTCTTCTGACCGTCTTTCGTTTTCCCACCTGTGTGCGGGGCCTCAGGAAGGTGGGCGGTCGGTTGAGGGCACAACCGGGCGTTGGTGTGCTGATAGTGTGAGACGTCTTTCGCCGTATTTGTACGATAACACCCTCCACCGCACCTCCTCGCTTTCCTTATTTCCCTCGTTTCTCTACACTCTTCCTGAGAGCTCCGTATCATATCATTATTATCACCAATCGATTTTCATTTTCATTTTTCAGTCGTCTCTCTAGGAATGCGCACGGAAGCGCTCTTCTTCGTCATCCTTGGGTTTCTTACCCAAAATGGATTGACACAATATCAGCAGCCTATGCAGTTCCAAGGTAACCAGGGATACCAGCAGCAAGGAGGTGGATTTCAAGAGCAAGGAGGCGGATATCAGTCAGGCGGAGGAGGCCAAAGGTTTGTGATTTGATGATGTAATTGGCATGATATGTGCATGCAAATATTCTCATTTATTTTGTTTTGGTTTGGTTCTTACGAAGTATTCCACGTTTCGAAAGTGATCTAGGAGTAAAATACCTTCCAAATGTACTCTTAATCGACTTAATTTTCATTCCAAAATGACGCAAAACCTTTCCCCTTTTCTTTTCTTGTTCTTTCACTTGTTCCTTCGGCCAATTTCTCATTAACAGTCTTGTTTTGGTAGTTTTCTTAAAAATGATAACGCTGATGTTGCTCTCCGCGTTTTACACGTGGCTCCGTGAAAACTTCACGATACGATTTTGGAAGGGAGCAATAAAATCGGCACTGCGTAAAACGAGAAAAGCAAAACTCATGAGAACCAAGCATCGTTCACTTTTTCCTTTTGTTTGATCTTTCCCGACGAGACGGATCCTTTTCAGTAGGTACCAGCAAAGTCATGTGATCGTGGGACCTGGTCCTGTCATTGGCGGCGGCGGCGGGAACTTTGGCGGCGGTCAGTTCAAAGAGCAACGGACTATTCAAATAAAGGAAGAGTGAGTGAAACAAGCGGATCCTTCTACCCTTTCCTGTCCCGCATGCGACTTTTCTTTGCAACCCTTTCTTCCGGTTCTAAAATTAAAGGTGCTGCATGACTAATAGGGAAAACACGGCGGAAATGAGCAGATGACTCATTGCGCATACTGTTTCAGCATCACGGGAGTCCAACAGGCCGGTGGTTATGGCGGGTATGGAGGTGCTTCCGGTTATCAGTACAACCAACAGTACGGACAACGTTTTGGACAGCAGGGATACGGGGGACAGGCGGGAGGGGTGAGAATGTTCCAAATCTCACAAGTCACATAACTCATCGCAACTTTTCAGCAACAAATAGGAACGTCTGGAAGGTCAGTGTTCTCGAATAATCCAGTGGTTCTGGACTCAACCGGTAACACTCTGATGGGCGCGGAAGTCGATCTCAAGCTCACCTCGTACACCAATTCCGGACTTCGTCTGCCCAACGGAACCACATGCAACTGCCCCATCTCTAACTGCAACTATGTGCCGAGCAATCAACAAAACCAGTGCCAATTCAGTTTCGTCCTTGTTATCTCCAGTGCAGAGTAAGTTGGACTTAACCACTTTGTTTTCCCTGGCTGGTCCTAGCTTAGTTTCATACATATTCTCTCCCTGGGTCGCTGATACGAGTAGCGAAAGTGATAAGGCGTACGTGTTGTTAATAAGGATTGTTGTGTGTGGTATGCAGGTGTATGTGTATGTATGAGTGCGTCTATTTACATATTGATCGCTCCGGGTGACTAATAGCTCAACTGATAGTGAGTCAGTGAGTCATGCAAACCCATGCTGAAGTAATACCGAACACAGGGGGATCGAGAACCGTAGTTGGCAAAATCCGCAAAAAAATCCTAGAAGAGTGATATACGTAGTTAGCAGAATATGTGCGCCTTTGAAAACAACTATGTCAAAAACTAAAATTTCAGCCAATCCATCCAGTACACGCAATCCAACTTCTACCCTGTACCTAGCAATGGAATCATGACCACTGGAAATTGGACTAACCAGTACACTTTCTACATGACCACAAAACCAGTAAGACACTAGTAATTAGGAATCGTGGATTGACAGGATTAACTTTAGGTTGCCATTGACGTTTTCGTGCAACATCTTGGTGTCGTCATCGACTCGACTAGCGGACAGCTTCTATTCTTCAACCATCTCGCGCTCGTCGACTCATTTGTGGTTGATATTTCCAAGTTCAACACGGACAGTGCTGCTCAGGGACAGGCCGCTCAAACTTTGACTTTGACTGGTTTGAACCAACAAACCACGTGAGTTAACTATGACTTGTACAGTTAAAATCTAAACTTTGTTTCAGACTCCAAATGAATTTGAACGTGCAGTGCATCAACAACTTTGTGGGGCCATTGTGCGACCTCACCTGTAACACCACAAATGTTCTCGCTAACCAAGGGATCATCTGCTACAGCAACCGTACCGCCACGTTCTCCGCTTGCAAAATGAACACTTTGAGAACACAGGTCCCGTTTTCCATTCTGTTTTGTGGTTCTTTCTGGTTTTCAAAGAATTTCGAAACATTCACTCATGATAAATGTGCATTTTAGGTGGTTGACTGCGTCGTGTGCACTCATGGAGTTTACAACGGGACCTGCGCCGCTGCTGTGGTTGTCAATAACTGGGTAATCCCACCGACTTTGCCATCTTTTTCCACACTCTTCTTCTCTTTTCAGGGCGTGGCTTATGCCTTCCGAACTTGGACCATCGTTCTTGGCTGCCTTCTCGGTATCGCTCTTCTCCTCATCCTCTGCCTCATTCTGGCTTATCTCATGTGAGAAACTATTTCACTTATAACTATATTCAAGTGTCATGCATCTTTTTAGTTGCTTCAGAGTATTGAACCGTGCCAATGAGAAAGATGGGGAGTATTATAAATCCTATGAGAACACCAACTATGAATCGAAAAATACATCTTCGAAAAAGTGAGTTTCTCAGTTCAGTTTTTGCATCATTTTTCCACTTATTCAGTCACACCCGTTCTAATGGCAAAGCCGGTTCGGATCACGGATCCGATCAGCCATTGGTGACCAACGAGGAATGGACAAGCACAACGGCCACCAGGAAGCCCGTCGGCATCCTCAGACCAGAAGGAGGAGGACGGACTTCTCAGGAACACGTGCAGACTCACACGAGCCAGGAGCAGAACCGTCAGGTGTTACCAGTGCCGCCGCAGCAAATTAGTGGACGTGTGGTCCGTGGAAGCACAGACTATGGAGAGAGACGACAGGACTCGCCGAGCACTGAGGTGAGAGAGAATGGATCATTGAAACAAAAAATTGCGAACTCTTTGTTTTCTCGTTTCAGGACAGCTTTGTTGCCAACGGACAAATCCAACACACCACTACAACTGAGACACGGACAACACGTCGCGAGCACATTGTTTGAACAAGTGTTCTTCTCCGCTTCCCTACTTTTACTTTTCATTTCTAGGCGAAGGATCTATGATTTGATGTTTGTAGTAACTTAGTGAATGCGCCTAATTCCTCCCATTTCCTTCAGCTTCTAACCCTTGCCACTAAATTACTTTTCTTCCGTCTGATGGCTCATCGCCATGTGTCAGTCACCTAACCCCTCCCCCCCCAACCATTTTTGTTTTTATTTTCATTTTCAAAACTCGCCATCCACAAAATAGGTCTCCGTTTACCGACAAATGTTTTTCCCCCATCACCTTCACTTTTCATACAATTGTTTCCAAGAAAGAATGCTCTGCTTCTGATGATGTAAACTGTCAACTACTCTTCATTTTATGTGTCTTTTCGATCGAATAAAGTCAACTTCATTTCATTTCTGATAGTGCCAAACGAGTCGATTATCAGTGCAAAAAGCACACAATACTCTTACTCACCGCCGGTCTGTCGTACAACACCGCCATCGGCCGTGTCCATTTTCGCCTTTTTATATTTGCATTCACGCTCGTAGTATTTCGCGACCGATAAAAGGAATATTTATTCGATCGGCCATTGATACTCGAAAGTGAAGACACAGTGTCATGAGGTTGGTTCTAGCACACCCCAATTTATCAGTACTGCAACCTGTTGCTACATTTCTCCCCGTTCCTGCCCTCAAAGTTATCTCTCCCCTTTTTGTTGCGTATTCACACCCACGCTTCGCTTTTCAGTATTCCATTCTAGATGAGTAAGGTTAAAGAGGAATTCGAATTGATTGATAGGACTTCTTCGAATTGCTCGACGATCACCGAGCCGGCAGTGAGGTTCCGCTACCCGCTGAAACAAAAACTTTGGTTGTCTAGCAGCGAATCGAGGTATTTCAAAGCTGCTTTAGTTTACTTGAAAATTTCGAAATTTCAGAGCTTATGTCTTTCGATTGTTTACATGTTTCTACGCGCTGTTCATCGTCATAGCGGGAATCACGATAGAACTGTCAAATATAATCGCAGAATCAGAGAATACCGAGAAAATCAGCATTAAAGACCTGGTAATCATCTGCTATTATTGACCTATATCGCCTTGTATCAATAATAGTTACTTTACAATAATGTTCCAATGTTCAGGCTCTAGGAACATGGTTGCTCGGCGGCTCGATTGTTTTCATTACTTACTGCTCCTATCTAGTACACAACATGCATGTAGCAATTAAACGAAAACGACAAAGTATGCGAATGAGTACATTGAGTGACGGTGCTGAGCCAGAAGTTTTGGCGAACACTTCGACTGGAAGTCTCTATCTTCGTCTCGGATGTGTCGGTTAGAAAAATGTTTGAGATTATTATAGTGATTCACAGGTTTTTAGTGTTTGGAATGATTGGAGTAGTCTACTATCTGCTTATTTTTGTGATATGCATTTTGGGTTGGAGCTCAAATGAGGGTGAATGCAGTGCCATGTAATTTTTCTCTTTTTCTCTGAAAAGTCGCAATAGCATTTAAATTTCAGATCGGATATTCTCAATTGCATGGCTGCCATTTTCATCTTTGTCCAAATGTGGTTTGTCTATTGCAATGGAAAAGTGAGATTTGAGATTTGCCGTTTTTTCTAACAATAACTGCGAATTCCAGATAATTTTCACGGGAGACGGAAACTTGGCGAGATTTGGATTGATGCATCTAACAGGAACAAATCTATGGATGTGGCTCAGGTACATCCTTTACGAAGAAGTGGAAACTATCAAGGAAATCAGACATGCTCAACACAAGAACGAAACTTTGTCAAGAGGTAAAGAGTTAAGAAAAATGAAGAAATTTGAACTAAAACTTAATTTTTATGATTCCAATGTGAAACTTTGAATATGTTCCAATTTCAGGCCATGACGAGAAAGAAGAGCCGTGCAAAGGAGTTCTCTGTCTGTTCAGCGGGTACAACGAGTTTATGTACACGTGTGTCGTGGAATATTCCCTTATTTGTGCTGGTGTTGCTTTCGTTTTCTGGACGAACATTGAAAGATACAAGCGGGAACAGGTAACAAAAACTTGACGACAACTTTAACAAAGAGTACTCCTGAAATTCGGTCAGATGGAGAAAAAGATGCGGAAGCGAAGTATTCTCAAAATCGACTGTTCCCGAACGGCGGAAGGATTGTTTGCTGGATTTGCATGTATTATAGTTACTATCATAGCGATTGCTCTGTTCAACGCTTACGCTTCCGACAAAAATGTCGCTCAATGGGTTCGTTTTTTTTAATATCTCTAACATTGAGTGATTCTTTCAGATTTTCTCTTGCACAAACATGATTTTCTTCATAATTTCAACGTTTTTGGTTGTTTTCGCTTTCTGGAGGATGAAATTTCTGAAATTTCTTATGGAAGATGATGATGAAGAGGATGACAACGCAGAACTTCTGGATAGAATTCTTCTGGTCGTGGGATTGATCGGAGAACTGATATTTTCGATTGGTGGCATTCTTTCATTCATCAACAACATGACCATTGGCCTTCCACTCGTCATTTTCATCACCAACATTCTTCGCTTAGTAAGTTTTTGATATATTTTATTGGAAATTAAATGAATCAGCTTTTTAGGTGCAAGTAACTCTACAAAGCGGTCTTATAATTGTTGCGTCCCGGTTGAGGTTAGAAGAGAACAATCTTCACATGCTCAGGTACAAACCTGGCAAACAGGTCTGTTTTTTTGTTTCACTATCTGAAAATTAAAAGGCCTAGTACAGGTAGTCACAATGCTGCTCATGATGAACTGTGCTCAATTCCTCATGAACGTGTTTGAGGCACAGAAAGCTGGAGTAAACGACGAGATGATCAATATGTACGGCTCTTATTACTGGGCCATCATAGTCCGAGGATGCTCGCCTCTGACCATCTTTTACAGGTGAATTCCCTTTTCCCATTTTTTATTAAATACTACCAAAAAACCAACAAACAGAAAACATCATTTCAGATTTCACAGCTCCGCCTGTTTTGCAGAGGTCTGGAAGAAGACTTTCAGACCTCCGAAAAAACCGAAACGGCACGAGGAAGAGCGGACACAGTTGTGAGAGGGTGGTACAAATCATGAAGATGCACTGAGGATATAAGAGAACGACAATGAATTAAAGTGAACCGATGAGAATGAAATTGTTACCAGAGCAATTCGATAATTATGCAATAACATTTGTCAGTGCATTTTTTGGAGTGATATGTATGAGTGGCTTGAAGGATCTCGCAAGAACTACTGATCAGGAATCATGGCGCTTCCGGTTTTTTTTTGCAGTTCAATGGCAAGCCGGCAGAGCCATAATTCCTGAAGCTACTAGCCACACAGGGGGGGGGGGTGGTAGAAATGTGGATTACAGAAAAGGTGAGAAGAAAATAACCGAAAGGAGACACGATAAATTATACCAAGAAAACAACCTATCCGAGAGCAGAAACCAAAAGAACTGGCAGAGAATAAATAAGGGGGAAACCACCCAACCCGAAGTAGAAAACAAAAAGAAATTTATTCGGAGTCATCGATTTTCGAGATTTCGTCGGTTTCGAACGTCGCTTTCTTGGTGGTGGTCGACGGGGACTCCTCGCGAATCAGGTCTTCTGGGTTCACAACAAACTTCTTGTTTCCACTGGTAACCGTGCGGCTAACTATAAGACAAAACACAATTACAATCAATCATTCTGCAATGGACAGGGATGCAACCAACTTTTTCTCTCGGCCGGCTGCTGTCCCTTGGTCAGATGTTTCAGTTCGATGCTCTCCGCTCCCATGCTGTTGTGGCGACGGTTGATGCAGCGGGATCTGTCGACGTCTCCGGTGTTGCTGATCGTCATCTGGTTGTGGTACAGCTCTGAAAATGTTCAATTAATTGAAGAAGTCGTGTCACTTCAGATAAAACTAACGGTTCGGGTCGAAAGTTGGGCGTTTCGGTCCGCTGACGGGGCATGTCAGGTAGTTCTCAAGTTCATTAGCGGCGGACGTGTAGATGAAGTGGCGAGAGTAGCGGGATGGGTTTCTGGCGACTGGGGTGCGTCTTCCGGTGCTCAGCGGGCAGTTCTCGTCGTCGGTGTTGAAGTCGACGGTGAACGGAGCGACGGTCGGACGGCCAATCGAAACTGGGGCAGGCTCTTGCGAGACTTCTCCGTGACGAGTGCTGAAACACAATTAATATGAATTTCAGCAAAAAATGTTTACATACAGATCAGTATGACTGCGCTCTCCAATTCTCAAAGCAGTACTGACGGCTTTCGGGAGTCCAAGGTTTCTGAAGGTTCCATCGGTTGGCACATCTGTAAAAAAGACCATGATTTTACACTCTTCACAACAATAACTAACAGGTGTTCTCGGAAGTGAGCCATTTCTTCAAGAATTTGTTGTTGAAACGAGAAAGTAACTTGAGAAGCTTGGAATCCTCTTGTTTGGTGCCATCATCTCCCGGGATCTTGAGACAGCGCATCACATACTTGATAGTGCAGCCCTGAAATTTTTCTTTTTTACATGGCTTAATTCTCTGTTTAAGAGTGAGCTCACCTGGAATATGGACGTGAAGAAGATCATGATGAGTGTAGTGGTGACAAAGTACGGTTTCGCGGGAATGATTCGCTCGTCGATGATCTGAACAAGACCGAAGCAGACAGCTCCACGGATTCCGGCGTGTGTGACTATTAGTTGATCAGGGAAGGGTATTTTTTGTTTTTCGGACACAAAAAGATTGTAGAACGATGACAGTAGGACAGTGACTGAAATGAGTGCACACTTAGGATTAAGTTTGACAAGACAGTACTTACTAAACAATCGATAGACGAAGCAACACACAATACAAACTGCAGTGAAGTATGGGTCGAACGCATGATTGCTCGAGACAAGAGAGACACCGAGGTAGAAGAAGATGCACGACTCGCTCCTGAACATTTGGAACATTTGGTAAAAGGACTTTTCGGTGCCTGCATATTTACTTACAGAGAAGATCCAGTTTTCGAGAATGTGAAGGCTGCAAATTCCATTTCCACGCACATGTTAGCAGGCATGTACAGGGCCATGAGAGCTGCACACGAGATGGAAGCTAGAATTCCAGAATAGTGGATAGTTTCAGCGGCAAGGTAAGCCAAGTATGGGAAGCACAGATGGATGACAGGCTGGTTGATTTGATGGCCGACCATCATTCTAAAAAGAACATTTTTTAATTGAGAATTAAAGAATTCTTACTTCATAAGAGAAATTCCGATCAGTCCGCAGATAAGTCCGATTCCGATTCCACAGACGCAGACAATGAAGAACTGCCAGAGGCAGGTAGCAACAATTCCGAAAGCGCTGATTGGAACGGCCGAGGCATCGTTATTCTTGATCACATTGATGGCAGTACGGTAGAGGACGATAGTCACCGCGTCATTGCACAACGATTCTCCGAAGATCAAAATGTAGAGCGTTTTCTTGACGTCCAACTCGGCAAAAGTGCTCAGAACAGCGACGGGGTCGACAGCACTGATGAGAGTTCCGAAGACGAGCATATGGAGGAATCCGGGAGCAAAGCTGAAGTAGTCCTCGCAGTAGTAGAAAGTCGAGGCAAGAGAAAGTGCTGTCATGACGGTGCCAACGACTGCAAAGAGCAGGATCTTCTGCAGAGCCAGGAAGAACTCCTTCTTCTGCATTGACAGCCCCGCATCATTCACAATCGCAGGAAGAAGAATCATGAAGAAAAGGTAGCTGTCGAGTGGGCGCGGGTCACCGGACACTAATCGAACGACGATCGCAGCGATGACTCCGTACATCATGAGAACGACGGATTCTGGGAGCATATGGAAGTAACGCCAGTGGAGGGCTGAAAAAGTCAATGTTTCCTAAGTATAGTGTGTACAAAAACGTACTGGGTTTAGCGAGAGTGACGAGAATGATGAGTCCGATGAAGGCGAGCGGTTTGTGAGTGAGTTGGAAGTCGAGATGGACAGTATCCAGAAGATGTTGGGCCTCTTCGATTTCCTCCGTTGGTGCATTTTGCACCCATTCACCTTCGGCATCCATGCTGAAATGAATATTTTTCTTGTTTGGGTTTTTATTGACTGTTTTCAATCTGTGTAGACAGTCGCCAAGCAACGGAACATGCGATGACCTCAACCTCACGTCCCGCTGAGACATCAAAGAGGGGAGAGGTAAAGAGGGACAACATGAAATGGTGAAATGGAGCGAAAACTCGAAAAACAAGAAGAAGCGTCGACGATGTAGAACGATAGTAGTGGCGCGAGAATTGGAACGAATAATACTGATAGACAGGGGAGAATGGGTAAACAACAGATGACAGACGGAATGGACCTCGACAGAATGTGACGGGGGCGAATGTGTGTGAAATAGAAGTACTTCTTTCTTTTTTTGCTGCCTGCGGACGATGTCTGATTTCTGGTGAGCAGTTGCAAAGATCATGTGCTTCCCTTCCTTTCCCTCTCATTTTTTTCTATACTTCGAACCGTTTCGATGATCCTACGCAATTTGGAAAACAAATTTAGAGTGCAAGCAAATAGCGTTTCAAATTTCGCGATTGTTCTACGCTACTCAAATTTTTTTTGAAAAGATCTGTTTTAAAGTAGTCTGTGACGAAGCGACGACTACACGACACTTCAGATGTGTGCTTAGGAAACAGAATACGGAAGCCCAAAGCAATTCAACCAAGAAAAACGGGGACGGGGGACACATGAATTGCACGTGTTCAGCGAGCCGCGTGCTTGCGTTGTGACCCGGTTTTTTTTGTTGAAAAAAGGGGAAAAAGCGATTTAAGATTGAGATAATAGAGAGTAAAGACGCATATCTAATTGTTTTCCGGTCGCTCGAGTAGAAAATTGGAAGGGCTAAGGTTAAATTTGGACCGGACTATTGCGTGGCGCTCACTCACTCACACCCTCATTTTTTATGTAGAGAAATGAGAGTGAGACCAACGAATGTTTCGTTCTTTTCTTTTTCTTGTGCAACAACAGAATAAAGATGTATGGGGGGAGGAGGCAAGCAAGAAAAGGTGTATTTTGGTGGTTGTGGTGTGCGGCGGGGTGGTTGTCGGTTCCAAGCAGCAGCTGTATCTATCGAACAAGCGGGAGAGGTCGGCCATCGGTCTGTTGCTTCGCGCGCGCTAACGATGCGCACAAACACATGTCACTGACCTTTCATCAGCACCCGTCCCGTTCTTCTCTTCCTTCTCCAAGATCGGAGGGTTTGAAGACTCAGATTTTGACGACGGCACTGGTGGTGAGTTCACCGCAGCTTTCAGGATTCGGCGCACTTCATCGTTTCGGTACACGAGTTTTTCTGGAAAAAAACATACTTTTGACAAAGGAAAGACATTCAGAAACTGAGACTGCCAAAAGTGTGGTGGCATTAGAGGCCACAAAAGAGAGAAAAGGGATTTGTTTGCAAAGTGCTCTTCTATAGGAGACTGCCGGATGTATTCATGTCACTCAGAAATTGCATTATTCGAAGCACAATGCTCCCTTTTCCCCTTTCTCACTTTCGATATCCTTCTCTTTATTTGTCTCATTCGCTAACAGCTTTTAGATTTTTGTTGTGGTTTGAACTCACGGTCTTCGGCGACACAGAGTATGTTCAGCAAGAGGTGCGCAGTGAGTAGCACAAATGCTACTTGGTTGGTCATCACTGAAAAACGTTAAATTACCCCATTCCTGTTGTACTATCAACTTACACATTGTGATGGATCTTGTTGGAACCTGATGGCCCCCAGCTGGATTGGTTCAGTATGTTGATTACCGGCAAAGTTGAGAATCGTAGCCCTCGAGCGGCAAGTCTGCAAAATATGCTCATAAGGCGAACAATTTTCTCAAAGTGAAAAGATATCGGGTTTCGAAGAGGATTGATTTTCCAAAATAAACATTTTTGGAGCTCATTGAGAAAACTTGAGCCAAGAAATTGATGAGGTGAGTGGTTTGAGAGCAAGAAATGAGAAAAAGATGGAAAAAAGCGGAAGAGAGAGAGAGAGGGGAAAATGGAAAAGAGGACGAAATGACGATGATGGTCTAGTTTATGTAAATAAGAACACAGAGTATTTTCACGGCCAATTAAAAGCTGTAGGGCAATCGGATTGAGGGCGGGAAGAAAGTTTTGAAAAAGAAAAGGAGAAAAGAAAACCTTGGATGACTCATTTTTGTCGAGAAGGACAATGACTGAAACTGTATGCAACTATTTTTGGCTCAAAAACGATTTTCGCTGCAAAGAAACCAGAAAAATGAAAAGAAAAATGCAGAGGCAAGGTCTTATCCTGCGTTAATCTCGTTGTTGAGTTGAACACCGCTCCGGCCGGTGTTCTCTTTCAGAGAAAAAACGAAATACGTCATCAGACTCATCTAAAGAAGAAGAAGAAGTATCACGTCACCAGATACTGTGAGCTTTCGAGGCTGGTTGGTCAAACATGCGGAGCCAAACCACAAAAGAGGAGGCGGGAAAAAAAAGCGAAAGAAGAGGAGACTCTACGTCAATAATGAGACCATATCGGAAGCGTGCGCTAATTGTTTTCACTATAGAAACAAGCGGAGAAACATTGTCGGCACGGGGTTGGAGCTACTGACAGAAGTCACTATTTATGTGCATGCACCTACGGAAGGATGTATGGGAGGGAGTGAATCGGAAGGTGAAGGTCCTTTTGGATTTAGAGAAACTCAGAAAACGTGTCTTGAACCTGATCTATGTTTCAGAGACCAGCAAAGGATTACGCCGTCTAGAACCCGTTACTTATTGTGTATGAAAAAATGGACTTTAAGCCTCAGGCCGAGATATGAGCTTGTATGCTTCTTAGATTGTTTCAGAGAATATCTGCTGCTCGGTCCCTTTAGTCGATCCCCCGTTTACAGTATCTTTTTCGAATTTGAATTCGAATTGCAAATCAAAAAGTCCATCAAAACTGTCAAACAAGACCATTGAAAGAGAGAGACGAACCTCATAAAACGAGACACTTTATATGTGCATTCGAAAGTGTTTTGTGGGAACGTTGCCCTTATCAGTATTCACATTCAAAAAGACCATCAACTGCTACAGTATCCCCCTATTCATTGGGCCCAAAAAAACTGGCACCGAGAAGAAAGGAACGTGTCCGTCCTTGGTTCCTAATTGGATTTGACACAACATTTTTCATTATTTTATCCAAAATTCGAATACAATTGTTTGAGCGCGAATCATTCCCAACTATCAACCAGTTTTCGGTGGGAAACCACTTGAGTTTAGAACTCCCGGCTACGTAAATGGCAGAAGTTGTTGGGAAGAAAGCTTTTTGCTCCTATGCTCCTATATGTTCAGACTATCTGAGAAGAGAAAGAGGAAGAGCGAATGTATTGTCGGTTTTCCATTGGGCAAAACCGGGTTTTTAAATAGGACCGTCTTTCCCAACTGCTCTCGTTCTCAGCCAGATATGGAAAATACAGATGCTTCTCAACTAATTTCGTTGGGAATCATCGTGTATTTGCCACCCCCGACAGAGAAAATCATCGTGCTGTAGAAAGATGGGACCAAGAAACTCTTGGTATCCTTACGCGTCAATCTATGCGCTATACCTGACCGTTTCCGATGCTTCCGATTCTGATTCTGACTCTGTTCTGAAATGCTGAAGTTGTCGACGACCGAATACGAAAGCAGGAAGAGGCCGGTCAGTCAAGTGGGGAAGGAAGGGCCAACTAATAGAGTGATACTGAGGGAGGGGAGGTTAGTGATCGACAAATCATTCAGCCACTCCTCTTGATTTGCATTGGAATAGACGGAGAGATACTGTTTGTCTACTCTCAGCTGGATTGAAATTGAAGATGATCGAAAGGGTATCCGTCACCAGGAAAAGGATTGACAAGCACTCCTGGCCACCGTCTGGAAAAGTGGCGAGAGAATTGCACATTAGAACGCGATCAAAAAGTGACCTAAAATCCGACAGTCCACAAAATTTCGTCGACTAGCTTATTTCAGCCTATGGTCCGATAAAAAGCTAGCGAAGCCCCAGCGTCTGCTTCGTCACACATCGCTATACCTGACTCCTAGTTGAGGTCCCAAGTCCCTTTGTGGAAGTGGGCGAAGATCTCGAGGCAAGGAGAGGATCCAGGAAGGCACCGCTCCGGGCGAGCGGAGGAAGGACGAATGATGGAATGAATCGGATGGTTGGGCGGCGACCATCCCGACTTTTCCCGAAGCTCCGCCCTTCCACGAAGCACCAATACCATCAAAGGGACTGAATGATACGGTGCAAGAGTTCTAGAGGAGACTCAGAGAAACACGCAGAGATTGAACATCAGCTGATTTCACAGAAATTGGAAAAGAGCGAATTACTGCATATCCGGAGGAAATACACCGAAGAAATGAGAAAATTTTCACTTCCGGAACAATTGACGGAGGAATCAAAACGCTTTTTTGGAACAGATTTTAGGGGGGAAAAAGAACTAGCGTGACTTGTCCGGAGACTGCGATCAATTATCTCGTTCCATTACGTTTCTCCTATTACTAGCTAGATATGTCCGTTTCGAATAGTTTTAAGCAATAACAGCTGTCCGAATTGAGGAATGAAGTCATCTGATTTTCAGCTAATTCTAAACCGACCTGTTGTTTATCAGCTGGGTATGAGTATAGTCCTTGATGGTGCAAAAACCTTTAGATCTTGAAAGGAACAGCAGGAACACATGTGCCTGTCAGCTCTTCGGTTTCTTCAAGAGTTACCCACAGGGTCAACTTGACGGCAACCCGATAGCTTTCCCGTGCGGACCATAATGTCAACTGGCCTCATCGTGCGCAGATTGTTTATAATAACTACCGGGTAACCATATGGTGCTACCAAACTGCCGCACGATCTGAGGATATGGAACTCTTCGAAATATATTATACAGACTTGTCGCTGGCCGGCCCGGATTTTAGTACCAAATTTTCAAAACATGATTTTTTAAACCAAATTATTTTCCCAAGCAAGTGAAAAATCTGAGAAATCGGAAATTTCTTTCAACTTTTCGAAGCCGGTCGAGTCTGATTCTATCAGCTCAACCGCTTTCCGCTTCTCAAATTTCTTCTCATAAAGCTACAGTACCCCAATCAAAAACCCGATCATTTTACGGTTGAATCGTTAAACTAGCCACGAGAAAACCGAATGAAATTAGTTTTTAACAGTTTTTGGTGCGAGATTTGATGAGTGATCGGGGCGGCTCGTAACTTTGCAGAATTAATGATGGATTTCACGTTTTTTTAGATTTATGGTTGAGGATACTGTATTTCGGTTTTTCATTGTCCAAAAACATCGAAAATCAAACATCAAATCCCAGTGTTTCGAAAAGAGCAAAAAGCAGATTCCCACGGTTGAGATGTCATGTCAAAAACATCACGCGATACAGTCTACAGGGCACGGGTTACTGTATCGAATACAATAGAGTTTCAGAATGCCTTTTGTGCTTTCTTTATCTGAAAATATCCGCTTTTCAGCGATGTTAACAATAGCAAAACATGCATAAACATTGGTTTCTCGAGCTTTTTCTCAAAAAATGATCAATCGAAGGGCAAAAAAAACCCGAAGGACAACTAAACATACGAATCGCATCTAATATCTAATGACCTTTCCTTCGAAAGTTGTACTACGCACCAGAAAACTAGCTGTGTTTGTTTTCTTCTGTTTTTTTTCACAGCTGGAAAGGAGAAAAAAAGAACACAAATGGACATAAATTTTAGCTTCTAAACAGCGTCATGTTACCCAGAAAGTAGACTCGCAAGATTGCGGGCCGGCGGTCCGCAAATTACACCTGGAACAATGTCTTTGCGAAAAATGGAAAAACGCGAGCGGCGAAGCTTTTAAAAGTTGGTGCAACGGTTGCAATCTATCGCTCGCCCACTTTCGAACACTTATTAAAATTAGTTGGAGGCAGAATTGAGCGAAATGGAATTGAGCGGAATGGGGAAAAGAACGGAAAATGGAAGGCGGAAAATAATTTTTGCGGTAGAAAGCAGAAGGCGACACTGAAAAAGTGGCGGAAGATCGAAGGCGGAATTCCGCTCAACTCTGGTTAGAGGCTTCCGGGCCGACAGGGCCGGCCCGTTGCAAGTCTGCCAGAAGCATTTCTCAAATCGAAAGATCCGACGGAAAACGAACAACGTACTTCAGGGTCAATCACGAGCAGAGAAAAAGAAAAAGCGAGAACGCCTGCTGACTCACCTTCTCTTGACGGTTTTTTTAAACTTTTAATGTACGTGACCTGAATCTGAGGCATTTAGAAGCACAAAGTTATCCAAAGAAGTTGAGAAATGATGATAAGAAGGAAGCACACGACGGAAATAGCGCATGTTATGTATGCAGAAGACAAAAGACTGTGGGAAAAAACAGACGCGCCGCGTTATTGCACTGATTCGATAGTATTGCAGTAGAAGAAGCGTGTACCTGATGTGTTTGTACGCGTACAAGTTTTAGAAAAGGAAATAAATTGAAGTGGAGGCGAGAAAAAACGAAAAAGGAAGGAGGGGAAGAAAGAATTTAAAAGTAAAATGCGTCATGAATATTTGTATAAAGGTCACGTACCGGTACACTGACCCGGCTGCCTGACTCAGACCCAACTCATTCGGAGAATTCGTTCCGTAGTTTGAGATTGAATAAAAATGCCATTGTTATTGGTTGAGCGGGCTTCGTAGTCAAAAATGAAGGTATGAAGAGGCAGAAAGAGAGAAAGAGAGGGATAATTTGCAGGTAGAGTGATAATGTACACATCCTCAAGGGAAATTAGATCTTGTCTGTACAAATAATATTCTTGTTATGAAAATGAACGTATTACGTCTGCAGGCGTGTCTCATTTTTGAATCCTACAAAAAGTAGTTGCTCTCAGAAAAGGATTTCAAGGGGGAAGAGGGGCTCATACAGCACATCCTTCCTTATCACCGGAAGCGGGGAAGACCCGGACGAATTGATAAGCAAAAAGAAATAGCGCGTAGGATTTGAAGCGGAGATTTATTGACCTGGAAGGTTCGCAGAGAGCAAAAAAAACACAAATTGAACCGTTGGGCAAAGTCCAGAAAGTGAAATGAAGAAAGGAAATAATGAAAAGAAAGCGACAATCGGAGACAGAAGCAGGAAAGAATTCGTATGAATTGGTTGGTTGGTTGGCATGATCATTTGAGGCAGTCACAAATATTTATCAGTCTTCGGATTATACTTGTGCGATTTGAGAAGATGGAAATCCCCCTTTCCCCCATTCCTTTTGAAGCCAGAAAAGCAAAAAATGAACGGAAAAGGAGGAAAACCAGAAAAAAGTTGAGTGGGGGGAAGGAGCCATAATGGAGGCAATAACAAATGATAACGATGAGGGTGACCATTCGGCGTAAAGCTGTATAGTACACAATTCAGGTGACCTGTATGGAATGATCGGAAATGAAATACATTAGAACTCGTCATGCATGAGGTTTTGTATAGAAAACAACTACTTTTTGCAATAATGATCAAAATGAAAGCGGTAAAAGCTCTAAAAATACATTGGAAAGGGGAAAGACAACAGCTCCTTCGTCATCAGCCTCCTCCCGCCGCTTATCACTATTTTAAATAATTAACAGTTGCCTCCTATACTAATACGTGTAAAGATCAGGATTCAAGTGACTTTTCGCAGTGATCTAACAGCTTTTGCAGGCGGCCGAGTCCGGAACAGACAGGTCATAATCGGGCGCAGACTATGCTCTCCCTACGTAAATAATCTCCGATTTTTCTTCCTGGGCTCTGGTGTTTTCTCAAAAGCTTCTCGCGCATTGACTCGAAATCAAACGTTTGTAGTGATATCATTCAGTATACACGTTTTTCAGGAGAAGTGTAGTTAGGCAATCTGATTTAGTGTTTTTTAAAAACAAACAATATCAAAAATGTGCAATTTCCTATTAACCGCTTTAAAAAAGAGATGAACGAGAAAGAAAACAAAACGGTGCATTAGACAAGACAATTATTGTGAACTGATAAGCGTGGCAACATTAGCGATTGTAAAACTATAAAAGTTTCCCACGAACATACTTGAGCGGAGAGCAAAAGGCAACAAAGAAATACGGCAGAAGACAATTGGTGCTCGGTTTGGGTGGGCACAGAGAACTCGTGTCCATATTATTTACAATTCATCGGCCCATTGTTCTTAATGCGATCGACAATCAAAACGCTCTGGATTCCTGTTCAACACCCACACAAAATGGCCTGAGTGCATTTTATCATTTTATTTCATCATTTTGAGTAAAAACGGCGAGAGAAACAACGGAAGATCAGACAACAAAGCGTGTGTTCGTGACGTGAAAAAATAATACAAATTTATGACGAAGAAATTGTGTCAGTTTGGGCTGAGAAGACGAGCAAGGCATTGGGGGGAACCATTCTCTGAAAAAAACTGTATTTCGAACTTGAATTTGATTCGATTATCCCATAGAAACTTTATTTTTCAATAAAATCTATGTCCCTAGTTCTCACTGCCGGTAGAGCCGTTTGAATGGTCCAAAAACGCAAAGTTAGCAAAACGAATGTGAACCTTTGGCGCAAATTTGTTTACTACTCGAAACTGACCAATAAATTAGTCGCGAATTCCGATGATCGGCTCCTCGTATTCCGGAATTTCGGCTTGAATACGGTCGGCTCCGCGGCGAATGCATCGGAAAAGCTTGGTACGGAAAGTGAAAACGAGCTGTCCGAGATTGAGGACCAGAAATAGGAGAGCGAGGAAGAAGAAGATCTGAAAAGGAACGGATTTCACTCCAAATGGGAAAATTTATTTTAAATTTACATCTCTCTCCCATTGACACGCGTGAAAATTTTTCGAGCAATTCTTGGAAGACATCGTAGATTTTTTTTCTCTGAAAATCACACACAAAGAGTGGATCTACATTGAAAATAAACGATTGGCAGTGGAAAAAACGGAGATAGTAGAGAGACAGAGTAAGAGTGAGAAACAAGTGTAGAACACATGACGAGCGCAAACGAGCGAATGCCTTCGAAACTAATCGATCTTTCAAAGTGATTTCATCATCAGAAAGTGATTCTCTTAAAAAATAATAGTTTTCAAATTTTAATTTGGCCAGAAAAATAAATAAAGAGACAAAAAGGTTTTCTTCACAATGGTCAGGAAAACCTCTCCAAATTTGTGTTTCTGCGCTTGTTTGCGGTGTTACTTACCGGTCGCGGTCATATGACGAATTTATTTATTGATCACTTTAAAAATGAATGACTAGAAAGCAAATTTTCGCGAAGAAACTTGAGATCCATACAGATATGTTAGACTGATGCAATGGCGCTATTTTGTGGAATCTCGCCCGCGCAGACCTCCGTGTCTGTTTGTTCGTCTGCCCGCGGAAAACGTCAAAAAAGCTGGGTGATGAATTAAAAATTGCATTACCACCGGTCTCCGTATAAAGTTTTTCAACGATTAGATGATGTTCCATCTAATTAATGTGACACCTAGGGTGTAAAGATCTCCAAGCCGGTTGTAACTAAAAAATGGTTTGTGTGTGAACTATAACGTTGAGGTTTCACAGTCTTATTGCAAATACCAGAAAGAAATATGACAGAAACTAAAACTACTAGCAATGTTTATATTGGCTGCCTCCCGAATAATTGAAAACGCCCCCGCATGAGAAAATTGGATGGAATCCTGTGACTTGTTTCAGAAGAGTGCAATCTTTTGAGAGTTGGGCATGTATTCTTTTGGTAATGACTTTATTGGATGATACGGAAATCCAGAATTATCAGATGCCACCGGGTTCCGGCGATTCGACTCTTGTCTCGGTGCTGTCCGATTCGGTGTCCACGACGGTCGGCTCCTCGCACCCATCCTCTCCCTCCTGATCCTTCTCCTCGAAATAGTACATGTGAAGGAGCACGAGAATCATGACCGCGAAACCCAAGAAAATGATCTGAAAAGAATCTTGTGATCTGATCTGATCACGTTTTTTGAATCATCAACTCACGAAAGTCACGACGGACCGGCAATAAAACAGAGCTTGAGGAAAGATCCGAAAAAGGTCGAACATTTTGAGACTCCGAAAGTATCGAATCGATTGAGGACGAGGCAAATTTCGGGGAAGAGGGAATGGAAAAGTGAACACGGGCTTTTTGTATTGCTATTTTTATGAATAGGCAATAATAGTCAATGAACCCGTGAGAAGATAATTTTTGGTCTGTTCAATGGTTTGAAAACTGTCAGCGTTCACTGAACAATTCGTGGTTTATTTTTAGGGATTTATGCTTTATGAAACTAAACGGGAGAAACCTGGAACTGCTTGTTGGGCGTTCCAGAAATCAGACATAAAGCGAAATGCCTATGGACATTTTTTGAAAAGGTTGAGAACCTGAGGACAGACATGAATGATGCTAATTTCTTTTAAAAAGAGTAAGTTAGTCATTCAGTTTCAGATTTCGGGGGAACAACGAGGTCTGCATTGTTGCGTTCGAGGATCACGACTCCTGGAACCGTTGATTCACTCGGACCCTCCTTCTTCTCCTTCTTTGTCATTTGTCGGATGTGGTTGATGCCCTGAGTCACCTTCTGACTGATTCTTCGCAGTGTGAATCCAATCTAAAACTCAAAATTGTTCTGATCTTTGATCTCAAGTTGTTCTCCAAACCTCTCCGAGATTGGCGTCTTTACTCTCGTTAAGAAAGAAAAACGCAATGAGAAAATGGATGATAGCGGCTGCGAAAGCGATGAAAAGCGGTGCCGGTTCCCATTGTCTTTTGACGATTGTCTGTCAAAATGTCTCATTTTCTCCAAATTGTTTCAAAAAATTATATTTTCCAACCATTTTCGACGCCACAATACCCGAAAGCCTCGAGAGAAAGGAGCACGCTCCACTGATTGTTCCACGAACTTCTGTAGGGACTTGTTCGACCACGCACCTGCAAAAAAGTGCGTATTTGCCTTTTTGTTTCTCGTCGATCAACATTTCCGCCCGTCGCAAACACTACTTTTACACACTCTCGGCACTCGACCTACTACTTCACTCGACTTCAGTCCGCCTGACAATATGTGGAGAGATGGCCGAGCGGTCCAAGGCGCTGGTTTAAGGCACCAGTCCCTTCGGGGGCGTGGGTTCGAATCCCACTCTCTTCAGTCCTTTTTTGCAATTTTTTCCGGCCTTGCGGAACTATAGATCGCAACCCTAGCACCCACTTTTAGCAAGTTGTTTTTCTTTTTTCGCAAGAAATGTGTTTAGGGTGGTTACACCGACCGTGCTGGGCTAGCAAAAGTTGTAGACTCACAGGTAGCATGCGTCCCAGATAAATTCGATGGATGCGTAGCCAATTAGAAAGACGATGACGTAAAGAGTTGGATAGGTTTGTTGAAGTCCGAAGAATATGAGAAGACCTGATGCACACATAGACACTCCGTTCACGAAAACAGAAACTAGATGCAGATTTCTGCGACTGATAATCCCCAGATAGATTTCAATTAGACCTAGAAGCTGAAAAAGAAAAGAACACGATAGAAAGTCAGGCGGACCGGGAAATGAAAGAAAATTACAATTTTGCAGAGAGCGGGAACTCCGGCCAGAAGCATTTGACTGTACATTAGGTTGTTTTGGAAAATGACCACTTCCGAGAAATCGAGCATAGTCGCTGTGAAGTTGGTCATGACCCAAATGGCTCCGAACAGAATGATAACATTCCGATACTTCTCTTTCTTCCAGATTTGGTTGAAAGTGAGCGGTTTCGAACGTATTCCGAGTGGCAAAGAAAGAATGCAATGACCCTTGGACCTTTTGAAAACTTCGGCAACAATGTCGTGTGCTTCTTGTCGTTTTCCCTGTAAAAACAATTGAAAACCGAAGACACGAGGGTGACGAACATGGCATTGAAGGAATGTTGGACTTTCTGGAACGAAGAATATGTAGAGGAGGGCTCCAAAAAGAGTGAATCCAGCACAGACATGCAGGGAAATGCGCCAATTCCGAGAGAAATAACAGATGAGAGCTAGAATAAACTTGCCAGTTGGCTGAAAAAGTACTCACATCAGTAGTTGAAACCACATATTTATCAATGTTACCCAGTTAGCAAATGCTCGAGCGAGGAATCGAGTCCTGGGAGAGATAAGTTCGGTTGTGAGACTCCATGAGACTACTATTATTGCTCCGGTCTGCGTTCCAATGATAAACCGACAAATCGCAATGCAAAGTGGAGATGAGAGAAAACCTGAAAATGTCTGTGAAATTCTAAACTTCTAGCCTAGCTTACTCTCAGCCAGAAGAACTGCAGAAGCAACCAATAGACTGTACTGGCACACCATTTTACGACCAAAATGGTCAGAAATATAGCCTAAACGAGAACTGTTTGAGGTTAGACACAATTACGGAAAGAGACACGTACCGAACAAGATAGATCCAACAAAAATGCCTACTTGTTGGATGGCAATTACATTTTCCCACCAGAAAACAGAGACGTCCTGCTTATCAGTCAGCCATTGAGCATGAGTTGAGTAAAAGTTGTCCCCCTTAGTCTAAAAACCGTGTTAGACAGGGCTGCGCAAAACTTACAAAGCGGTAGAAAGCGTCGGCGGAGTGATTCTCAGCTTCGGTTACATAGTTATCCGTCGGTTTTAGCTGTTGCCCAAATGTTGAGTAGATTTGGAACACATTCTGGACCATGAAAACCATGGCCACTTGAAATATGATGAGCATCCGAAGCTCATGACGGTTGAGCATCTTGTTCCTGTCGCAATTTTCCAAACAGAACAGTAAAAGGGTGGTTAGGAAGGCGGTGTTTCGTTTTTGATGAATTCGTCATCCTGAATCCGAAGTATTGTTTTGTTTCCATTGTTTTGTCGCGCCGTCCAGAAGCCGTGATGATTCACACTGAAAAGGCAAATAATGTTGTTTCTTCGTCGGCAAAAGTGGAAAGTTCTTCGAGATCGACAGATACTAACCGTCATAAAACAACGGGGGAGAGACGGAAATCGAAGTTGAAACAATTTACAGAAGCCGAGTGTAACAAAGCCTCATTCGGGCATCACATTGACTGCATTGGGTCTCACCTTTTTTCGGTTTCACTGGCATACATATAATTTTGAGTTTTCTCTCTCGTTCCTGAAAAAAGTGCGAAACACGTTATGTCCTTTCTTTGGTCTCGTAAAACACAAAACAACGTTGAAGTCGTCCATTCGACTCGCTTTTTCAGATGGTACATATTAGATTTTTCCTCTAGATAATTACCCTCCTGTCTCTTTAACGTCAAGAACTGTCCGCCTTCTTCATTTCACTCTTTCGGCGCCACGAGATCTTGGTTAGTTGGGTTAGTTGGCATGCCGCGAACCAAGTTCAGTTCAGCTGTCACTTTTTTCGTTCTTCTCGCTGTGATTGATTCCGCCGTACTCGCTTACTTCCCCTCTGTTTTCTCTTTCGTTTCGAGATCGACTTACCGTTAACGTTTCACGTTGTAATTTGGACGACTATTAAGCGAACTTGTCGAGAAGTGACCGTTCCCGTTTAAGGTTATGCAAAGATGCACGTTCTTCAACTTGTCATATTTTCGCTAGTTGCTGCTTTCTCTCATCCAGCTCTCTATGATGATTTCCGAAATGTAAGTGAAATCCACTGACTTTTACATGCATACATACATAATTTCTAATTTTCAGACGCAGTTTCTACGTGATTGGGCAGCTTTCTGCGTGGACAAGCACCTTCCAAAGTACGATGCCCAAGAAATAAGCCCTGAAATTCGAAAGTGTGATACCGAACGGTGTGTCTACTTTATGTACAAGTACATAGCTGACAATCGTCCCGAATTCTTTCTCGACTTTGACATTTGCTTCGAAACGAACACTGCGAAGAAGAAAACGACGACGGGAGCACCATCAAGACGTCCGGATCAGCATTACAAACGAGTTGTGTGAATTTTTAAATAAAAAAAATTTTTTTTTGAATTTCACATCTGAATAATGAACATGTCGCTCAACTTTTTTAATGCTCCCCCACAAACTTTAACACTTCGACCACCACAACACATCTCCCCGAGGGCACATTTCCGCGAGTGGCCAACAAGACCCCCCGTGCATAATTCTTTTCTTTTTTGCTCGCTGACACGTCGTTCAGCGACGGCTCGTCGTCCATTTGTCATCCGGTACAAACCGTCGCAATTCAACCGGGAATACTTTGCACGAGACGGGGCAACTCCCCCTTCTTACATCGTAAAAAACGTGGTGTATGTGTGTGCCAGGAAAATTTATCATAGTAAATTGGATTGTGTCTCTGGGTGGCGCCGGTGACTGGCACCACCACTTTTTAGGTAATGAAGGAATTGAGTTGAGAAAAGTGCATTTTTTGTGGACAAAGCCAGGGCCATACGACGGACAATTGAATAACTTCCTTCAGAGCCAATATTTTCATTCAAATTGGATGTTCGAAGTCTAGATATCGATAAGTCTATACAGATATGGCTAGAAAAATCGCAGTTTTTATAATAAGCTTCTAGAAAAGAACAGTAGAGCAGCCGGGTCGTCCGATCTACTTGACGGCTTCTTACACATTACTTGAACAAAAAATGAAACGATTTTCAATCCACAAGGATAGAACTCATCGAGAACCACAATTTGCCTTCCAAACGTGTACAATAGTGTTTTTTCGAGGGAAAGTTATCCAGAGGCCCGTGAAAACGGCCGGAACGGCCCGCTTCTCAAATTTCGGTCAAACCACGAAAAAGGTCCCCAAAGATTGGCAGCTGACCCTTGTAAATTCCTGCTCACCACACGCGTTAATGAGTAAACAGTATCAGGTGGTGTCAAATGTTGGGATTATGCAAATGTGAAGAGTTTTACGAGCCACTCGGCTTGCACCTGTTACCCAGATATCGAACGTATTCGGATATATTCGGACTTTATTTTTTTGTACTGACTGGTTGGGCGGTTGGGTTAAGTTGACAGAGAAATGACACAGAATCAAGTTTTTCAACAACAAAATGAGTGGAAAAAGTGTCATACAAAAGAAGAAGTAAGAGGAGGAAACAACATTCACAACCATAGTATGAGAGAAGTGGAGGAGGGGGGTATTTGAGAGAACTGTTGTGTGCACCACAGAGGAAAAGTCATGTGCAAGAATGGAATATTATTAAAGCAAAGTTTTAGGGGAAAAGGCTAGGGGTACTTTTACAGTACCCAGTTGAGAGAAGAGAGGAACTAGATTGGATCGGGTCACACGGATTCGGAGATTTATAACTTTTTTGTATTGTAGAGAGTGACAAGTGAGACAACAAGTATGTTTTCAAAAGTTTAATATGCGTGTGACGACGTCTGTGGGCACTGTCCAAGCTTGTCCTTTTTCGAAAAACGAAGCACCTGCAAGAAAATGCGATAGCTTATGAAATTTCTCAAATCCCGGTCCCTTTTTCGTACCTTATCCATAATATCATCCTCCCACTCGACCAACACGGTTTGTGGATTGACCATAAGTCCATCGCGCTCGTGATCCGAATCATTTTTGCCTGTAACAATCGAGATATCAGATTAGCCGGCCGCCTTCTCCCCGCTCTCTTTTGTTCCGCTTCTAATCCATCCTGTCACATTTCACACTTCGCCAAGGCGGCCTAATTAGCATTTTTGGTCGCATTTATCATTGGCACTAACTATCCCCACCCCTTTCCCCCATCCGTCCGTTGTTTCTCGGAAACAACGTACGTCGGACAGACAATTGAGATGGAATGGGATGGGTTGTTGTGTAATGAACTCACCGAGGAGGAGATAACGACGTCCGACGCGGAGCTTCGGACACTTGCAAATGACACCTTGAGGGGAGATCCAAAGAGAAGTCTCGCCACGTTGCAGATTATCGGTACCGCGCTTGAACACCGACTCGACGACAATCTTGTACTTGGCCCATCCGTCCACCATTTCCCGACTGACGACGACCATTTGAACGGCGTGGTCCCGCTTGCAAAACTTCTTCTGGTTGAGTCGCTTCGGCACAATCCGGCATTTCGAACACTTGTCTACAAATTTATTCGTTTTTTTTTCTCTTGGTCTTGAGGAATCCCCCAAATATTTGCCATATAGTTTGCGTTTGGCTACCAAGGGCATTGTGTTCAGGGTCTAACTATGCGTGTTTGTTTGCTTACCTTGCTCCTCCGACGTCGATGATCCAATGAAATCAGCTTTTGTCGGAATTTCTGAAAAGATTCGAATGGAATCGGAATGTAATTTGATTCATTTGTTTGGTTTTGGTGTCATCTTTTCCAAAATTTGGACTAAGAGCCCTTCATTACAATAGGACGGGTTTCAGGTTTACAATGCTCATTACTTACTGATACACGGGGTGACCGTAGAACGACTTTGCTGGTATCCTTTAGCACAACGATTACAGGTGGTTCCGGTGACTCCCGGCTTGCAAACACATTGTCCCGATGATTGGTTGCAACTTTTTCCGAGTGATCCGACTGGATGGCACGCACAAGCTGTAATAGTTTATAGGTTAATATTGGTTACCCAACGCTTGCTGGTCCCTTCCTCCCCACTTTTTCATATAAACCTGTAGCCAGTGGAGCTCTCTTCGCCTCATCACCCGTATCTCTCAAATCAATCTCAATTTGTTGCTGCAACATTGTTCGCGGGGCATTATTTCAACACGTATCTTTCTCTCGATGTGCCGCAATAAATTTCATCAAACAAATGAGAAGATAGGTAGAATGTGGGATCCCCCCTCCCTCTGAACATCAATTTGTCCCCGAGACGCGAGATGCTCCAAGACTTTTTGATAAATGTGCTTCTCCTCTGCTCCGCTGAGCACTGACAAGTAGTGATGCGGAGCAACTGATGTGAAAAGAAGGGTACGGTAATCTTTCCGACTGGTGCAGCAAGCCGAGATAACCAAATTTCGACTCAAGTGTTGTACACTTTTCCCATTTTTTCTCGTTTTGTTCAGTTCCCTTTCTCTTTCTTTTCCGGTTGGTATTTAATTGTGGCAGAGGTGAGAAATTGGGGAATTGGAGACATTATGAGGTGCGAGATGATGCGCGCGTATTATGCAATCATCGTCTATTCGCGTCGCTGACCAGCCAAGGACAAAAAAGGCGATACTCACCCTTTTTGCCTCTTCTCATCCCGCGACTGGCTGTCTTTCCTTGTTTCCCATGCCTTTTGTATTTGTTTTGGCTAATAGCACATTAAGCCTAGCCAAAGGTAGTGAAGCGTAAAAGTCCGCAGATGGATTTGGTGATAAATTTATGTTTTTTCATGAAGCAAGGTTCCGAGAAAAGACAGGCGCTAATTCGTCTGCGGCGCCACCGGAACAGGAAACGAATAGATGCATTAAAATCAAAATCAAGTCGGTCCCTTGAATCTTGGTACAACTAACAAAAAGAGACCATACCTCCCGGTAAAGTACTGACCAGTCCCTTGGGACTGGTCAACTCATCCCAGCACTTTTTTCTCCTTTTTTTACCCTTCTTTCTAAATCTAATCAACACAGAGAGAAACTAGTGGCTGCGGTCACTACTCGTCCACGTCCACTCAATTTCAATTTCCGCAAACATTCCGAAATTCGATTTCCTATTTTCTCTAGGCTACTAGGGCTTTACTGAAGTTTTGAGGGAAAAGAAGAAACAATCAGCGAGAAGGGGAAGCAAAGTGCTATACATTCGGACACGTTGGTCACTTTTATTTGAAGGACCTCGACCAGGACCACCAGCAGAGATGTGTTTCAATTACGCAACATTGGTCCTCGAGAAGGGTGCTTAAATTGGACGTCTAGTCCCTCGGAAATTAGTCGCTTCGTGAGCACGCCTGGCGGGATTAATGGCCCACTTGTACAAATCCCCCCGCCCCTACTGTTTTTTACAACGGGCCATGCTTAGCAGATCAGGCCAGTGTTAGTGTTGCCAGTGATCCCCGGGGATTGAACATAAAGAAGAACACATGCGAAAAGCCGCCTGGAGGGGTTTCCGGCTGATGAATGGCTTTTCGACGCCTTCCCCTCAAAACTTACGTTTACAGGCTTTTCGGTGAGTCATTGGGAGAGACGTGTCACGAACGAATCCTGGCTTGCAAAGGTGACAGTTTCTTCCGGCTGTGTTGTGTCGGCAGTTGAGGCATACACCTCCGGATCTGAAAATTCGAAGTAAAATTTCAAACCCCCAGTTGAAGTTTATTCCTAACCGGTTTCCACTCAATCTGAAGAGCTCAGCGTCGAATCGGCATCTCTTTGCGTGCTGGTTGCAGTTGCAAGCTGGAATTTCCAATTCATCATTCAATAATCCGGGCGGCCCGCTTCGCAGTTTATTTACAACCGTCTGGCGATTAATCTCGCAGTAATTCATGCAAACACATGTCTATGTATGCCTACCGTAGGAATGCTCGCCCCCACATTCATTAAAGCTCTTCCCCTTCAAAGAATGAAATTCGGTGACAGCAGGGGAAGCTTTCACCGCCTTTCCCTGACTTTTCACACCTCGTTCGTCATACATAGTTAATCCAATACATATTGTCGGCGCAAAGGTTCCCTATATTGCCGGTTGTTTGTATATCGCCTAATACAGGGGTTCGGAACAATGCCCCCCCACGCATCACCTGTGTGTGCATACCAAACGAGGAACGAGAGCAAAACAAGTAGTCGGAAGGCTCCAGATGTCTCGTACTTTTATCAAATTGTGGTAACGAAGAGCCGAGATCTTTTTGAGCTCGGCACATCGATGCCGACCCTCCTTCTCATCTAAGAAAGGCGAAATCGCTTCAAGAGGGCACTTGTATTCGATTCCTTTCGCTCGTCGGCAACAACACAATCAGACGCGCTTTTTGACCCGCTTTTCTTGGGTTTGGGAATGGAATAAGAAGCCGTACGGAATCCGATTATAATCGTTATTTGATTATGATTCGCGCGACGCCGTTTTTTAATGGAGAATGAAAATGAGGTGGATCATCAGTTTTAATTATCCCGTTTTGCCTCTCTCTCTCTCTCTCGATTTCACCGTAATTCCAAAATCCTAGAATCCAACAATGGTATCCCACTGGGTGGTCGCGCATTGTACTCGTTGACATTTGTAATGAGATGGAACGGTCACCGAGAGGAGGCTACTAATAACCATTGAGATAGGAACGGCGCAAATGCGAGACTGTTTGAGAAACAACTAATCGGTAGAGTGCGCGAAAACAGTAGTCGTCAGTTTTTATGACTTACCAACGCAAGAGTTGGCGGAACTCGCAGTGGCTCGGCCCCAGGGACGATCGTAGTGGAACGGCTTGCACATTTCGCATTCAGTTCCGGCCGTATTGTGTTTGCAGTCGCAAGTGTACTGAAAGAAAAAAAAAACGTTTTCCATTTCTTGATGAGAATGGTGTTATGAGTAACGATGATGACTAACTGACTAACGAAAAGTGCTTACCCTGCCCATTTTGTCGAAGATGCATCGACTGGCGTGACCATTGCATTTGCAGCGACCGCCGACCGCCAGTTCTCCCATTGAGTAGAAGTAGCGTTGTTTGACTTCATCATCCGTCTCGTTACCGTATGAATTGACGTCGTTTGACAATCCGTACAGTTCAGCCTGAACTGATCATTGCATTTACTTCCGTCTGATTAGATCAAGTTCACCTGGTCTGGGCTGAGTCTCGAGAAAACAACTTTGATATCGGTGGCTGTCACCCAGTCTTGGAGAACTGGAGAGTTTTCAAAGTTGGGCGCAGATGGTCGGTTCTCGAGAAATGGGAAAGCGACACGGTTTCCACCTGGGCCCATAATGTGAGATGCCGTGCAAACCGCTTCCTGTTCATTTGACTTGGTGATCTGGATGTCCGGATCTCTTCCGAAGATCCGACGGCATTCGGAAGAGTAGAACTGAAATGGAGTCCAGGTTTTTCCAAAGTCAGCAGACTTGTAAAGAGCCATCGAGTCGGGGAGACGGGAGCAGAAGTGCATGGAGACATAGGTTAGCTCGAACTTTTTGCCGAGTGACAAAGTGAGTGACACGTTTTGTGGGCTCAGACTGGGCGAAGACACCCAACAAGTCATGTTTCCGACAGAGTTGAGATCGGTGAGAAGAGAGGCTGGATGAGCGAGCAGGGGGTCGCGAGCATCGCATGAGTCGCATTGCTCCCGGATGATTCCGTCAGCACCTTCCTTCACAGTGCAAAACCTGAAAAATCCATTTCTCAGATTGACCCTCAAAAGGTTTTTGCAAACAGAGTAGGTAGCTCGTGTGTAATGAAAAAACTGCAGGCACTACCTAGGCAATCTCAATCTCGCTAAAAATGCTGTTTATTTGTACCCCTTGTGGCGCAGAATAAGTTTTTGATCTCGGGAAAAGAATCCAATTAGGGTGATAGCGAATAAGAGCGAGAGGAAATGGAAAAATGAGAGAGGTATTTCGTGGTGTGGAAGGGAAAGAGGAAAAGAACCACAATGGGTGTCTAATCATGTTAAAGAGGAAGAGAGGATCAATCAATTAGACGAGTAATAGTGAGTGATGGAGAGACAACTTACTTGGTAGGACCGTTGGCTCCACAGGTATCACTAGCAATGACAGGTTTTCCAAAAGCGGCATTGATAAACTCAGGAACACATCGAACGGGTCTTCCAGTATGGTCATGGCATGGATCATGATCGGGAGCTCTCATGGAAAACTGAAAGAGAAGGGCTTACTAGAGCCTGAAAAGGTGTGGTACCTGTGAAAAGTATGCACCATGAGTCAGATCAACACAAATGTAAAGCGCTAAATAGCGCAATACGTTCGTGATCATGGTCGGAGTCAGATGGTGTTTCAGCCTTCCTTATGAATAGCGACGAAACAATAACAATCTGCAAATGGAGTGAAAAGTGACTTGGGAACAGAAAAACCACCGACGTCTGGTGAGAAGATTGGAAAAAAAGTGGAAACAGGGGGAATCGGGAGAAAAAAAGAGGGAAGAAAGAGGAGAGGCAACGGGGCAAGCACGTCGGGCGGAGGAAGGAGGTGGGGTTTGTGTCGGAATAGAGGACGGGAAACCGCATGGGCGGGCACTATGGTGGACGGCTACCGTATGCACATCAGGAGGCAAAGGGCCGTTGAGAAGAAGAAGAAGAAGAAGGACGGGGTCGGCTTTATGGCTGTATTTATATTCATGTGTTGATGAATTTGGCCAGAATTATTGGTTTGGGAAAAAGGATGAACGGATGACAATGAAGTGTCAAGGTTTTGGTGTTGACAATCAAAAGGAAACTGCAAAAATGTGCTTTGAAATGAATTTCGGTACGAATCTGAAAGATTGATGAAGATGTGTACAGAAATCGAGATATTGGGTACTAGTAAGTGAGAACAACTGGCCCTCGATTGTTTTTCAAAAGCTTTTGTTCTGAGCACTATGAACTCGCATAAACAGATAAATCAGACCGGGCCGGTCCAGGAGGCCCGAACTTTGTTCAAAAATGTGAAGTTCTAAATCCACTGTTCACAGGTACCTTGAACATAATCAGGAATAAAAATGCTCTAAAAACCGTATCCACTTCATTCCAAGAACGGATTAACTCATCAAGTCATAACTCATCAACACGAACTCTTCAGAAATGACGCAAAAAGGTGTGAGAACAGTGTGCAACAATAGTGGCAGGAGGCACACTGTCAGACGGATTATGCGAAAGGGGGTCCAGAAGACAATGAAAAGGCGGCAGGTGATCTTCTTCTCCTCTTTTCTGGGATGATGTGTAATGCAATCCCGAAACGTGAAACACCAACCCGCGCGCTTCTTGAAACTATCTGTGAATTTCGATGAATTATTCAGCACGAAGAATGAGAAGGGGGAATAGGGAATAGCAAATCGAATTCGTTCTCTTTCAATCGCGTCTTCACACGTTTATCGCCCGACTATCTAAAGCTTTTTACTACCCGCTTTGCCGCGCGACCCGTACAAGACTTATTTATAATGTATCACTGGGATTTGCAAGCTCATTTCATTATAATAGTGGGGTTGGGTTGGAAATTTCAATGAAACATATGTTAGGGGTGTTGATGGAGGGGAAAGGCGCGAATTTTATAAAAAAGAGATGTTTGTTGGTTGGTTTTTGTTGAGGAAAAGGTTATTAGCTAATGAAAATCGGGAGAATCACGTCTGAAAGTAGATTTCCAAGAACTGTGCATAAAAAACATTCGAAATGTTTGAACTTTCAATTTTGACCCACCCGAGCCGTTTCCGACAACCACCAATCAATCTCGTCTTGGCGCACAAAGATTGGAAAAAATGAGAGTGATGAATCAAACGCATGAGCCGGAAGTTTACCTCACAGCGGTCGGCATCTTTTGAGACTGACCAACAATACTAATTGTAAGACGATCCATTGTGAGGTATGGTGCGCGCAATCACTCAATTCGACTGATGTGACATGTTTCAACCCTTTGAAGTGGTTTGCAGAAACATTTGAAGGGAATGGTATAGTTCGACGGATCAGGACACTCCATAACTGACAGTTATGGTCTTTTTTTTTGTCCTGATTGTTACCATTTGATGTACCGATGTCCGATAGTAATTCAAAAGGAATACAAAATCTTCTTGATTCGGACTTATGGGCTCATTGAATACGTACATCCCATTCATCTAGATAATCATCAATAACCGCGTGCGCGTGCTCGTCTCATCTCGCCCCTTTTCGTGTTAATTTAACTGTTGCTCAATCTCGCCGTGTCAATTTCCGGTCATCGTACGCGCGAAAGATCAATTAAGCGATAAAGAGCCCACGATTTGCAATCAACTTTTGGCGGTGACAACCATTCATTTGCATAATGTTCCGAGATGATGGAAACGTGGAATTGGAATGAAAGTCAAGATTGAGGGTATATGAATAAAAGAAAAGGAATTGGGGGACCGTTACCTTGAGCTAAAAAAGTTTGACCAGGGTTGGTTAGTCAAATTAATCAAAATGACCAGGGTCAACTTTTAGATCGAACCGATCATCTGGTCCCGAGAAATAGTGATTTACCCTGAAAACATTTTACAGCAAGTGACTAAAGTTATGTACTTTGCCGCGTGCCTTTAGGTCCAAACGAATCACGGAAGACTGTTCACTTCATCACAAGCAGAGCACCTAAAACATTCTGTAGAACAGTGAGCAAAGGCTTCGTTATATTTAGTCCCGAACACTTCTGAAAATGCGCTTTTTCTCCCTTGTCCAAGATTCATTCACAGAAAAATATCATATTTGACAAATAAAAGTGGAATCCGCATGCAAGAGAATAATCATCATATTATTGTATTGTATTGTATTCGTTTATTGTGAGAAGGATAAGCAGGAGAAAAGAACGGGAGGAAGGGGGTACCACAAACAAACTAAGACAGAGTGTACCCCGCAATATTAGTCAGAAACTTTTGGACTTGAGAAAAACCAGATGTAGACTGAGGACCGACAGTGAGAATTCCGTAATATTAGTTTCACGCAAGAAGCACTGCTGGTAAACTGTCAAGTCTGGAAAAAACTCGTACAGACCACCAGCGGATGTGAGTTAACGCGCTCCACTGCTTAAGTGTTTTGAAATTTGGTCAATTTTCATAGATGTTTTTAACTTGGACAAGTAGATCGCGTGTGCTCACAGCTGCGGGTGGTACTGTGATAATGAAAGGTAGATAATGAAAAGATAGAAAAATAAATATGGCGAGAAAATGAATGGTAAATGGATGGTAACACGAAAGATGGGATACGTTCGAGATAAAACAGGAAAAGCTCGTTTTTCATTCAGTATGTGTGAAGCATTGGAGTTATATTGGAGTTCATTGGAGTTATAATGGGCATCATACAAAATATATGAGATCTAGAGTATAAACGGAAGAAGATAATGGAAACATGTGAGAGTCAATTTGAGAACGGATGTACGGATCAAAATATTGAGACACAAATAACGAGAACATGGAGATACATGAAATTCAATAATGAGTTATTCTTTCATCCGTTTAGCGGGCGGCTCTCCTTCTTTTTCCTTTTCTGCATTCTCACTCGTCAACTTTTCTTCTCTCCATTTTTTAGTATAACATCCGGGACATTTCGGGTCATCTCCCTTACAGGATCTTTTCAACAATTGTGGCCTAACGGCTTGTTGTTCCTCACTTGAACTCTCAGCTAGTTCATCACGAATTGCGATGTTATCTCTCTCTTCTGTATATTGTATGAATTCAACTGAAACATTGAGTTAGAAAGAAGGTAATTATGGAATTCAGTTTACTATGTCTTCTCACTGCGAACAGATCGGCTTTCAACTGCGCTGGAATCCATGTCGCCCAGAGAGAAGTATCCGTGCATTCAAACGACGTTTCGTCCAAACGGGGAAAGCTCCAACGAAGAGGCACATCTGATCTGGACATGTCATCTGAAAATTTAACTGTCTTCTCTGCGCTTCTCGTTTTGTACTCACTCTCGACACCCATTTTGTCCATGTCTACCTTGAGTGCCTCAAAATGTTCCTTCAAATCCCAAAAGTCGATTGGATTGTAGCAGAAAACCATCGAATTCACTTCCGATTTGGGCTCTTCATCTGGCGGAAGATTCAGTTCGTTCAAGTAGTCTTTAAATAGTTAAATTGGTTGACTAAACATTTACGTCTATTACCGAAAAGTTTCGCCTTTCGTAGTGCATATTTGAACTCGAAAACTGCTGATTGCACTTCCATCGGCACCCAATCCTTCCATGATACTCCAATATTGACAAACACTAAACAAAAAAGTTAGTTATCTGGACAAAACGACGACAAATCAGTACATAATCTTGATCGGAGAGCACGTGAGACGAAAGGCAGTGCATCAAGTTCTTTCTTAGTTGTTGCTGAAAACATTTTCAAAATGAAAAGAATGGAAACAACAGAAAACTCACCTTTCTCGATTTCTTCCACCATTTCCTTAATTCTACGATACTCAACAATCAAAGCTGCTTTTGTTGAAACAAATCGGTCCCTAGTTCTTTCCTCATAATACGAACAAAGTCCTTGCTTCAATGAATGCTTTAGGATTTTCAAATTACCATCATTCCTCGCGCAACTAGGGAGTTTTTCAACAAGATCTTAAAACGAAAGATGAACTTTTCAAAAAAAAACGATAGCTTTGAACTCACGATACAAACCGTTTTCATTCATAATCTTCACCAAGTTGTTCAGAGCTCTAAAGCAAAGCGGCGCGATAGACTCATTCCACCGGCAAATTTTCTCTCCTCCTTTTTCAGGCTCGTAATATTGCAGCTGCGTCGTTTCTGCAAATGATTTTTGTTCCAATGTAGGAGAAAACTATATAATTTACGCATATCATCAAAAAATCCGAGCGCATGAGATGCCTCTGCAAATACGTGTCCTATTTTTATCTCCAACTTTTGGAGTGTTTCGGAGCCTAAATGAAAGAAGTATAGTTAAGTTCTGCAGTGACTCATGATAGCTTACATAAGTTATTTGTCTTCAAAACTTCATCCTTCCACTTATCGATTTCATTCTTCAGGATTTTTACACTATGGGCGAGCGTTCGCTCATTAACCGTATGTGGGAGCATGTAGAAAGCTGTGGTTCGCATAATAATGGAGCAGTGGTACCAGACAACATTTCCTGAAGATTTAGCATAACCGACAACTTCTTGAATAGATTTGATGTGTGTAAGTAAATTTGAATCTTTGTTTGACGCATCTCCTATCGTATCTGTCTACTTCTTGTGACAGGTAAATCTCTTACGGGATAGTCCTAGTTTTAATCGTTATTTGCTCTTCTCTCCCCAATACTTATTTCCGCTTCTAACTTCTTCTTTTTCTTGATGAATAAACGATGATATATAAAATCCGGCCGAATATGTCATTTTTGCCGGAAAAATGCGGGGTTGGGTAAAATGCCGACCAAGTTTTTCGAAGGTTTTTTGACACCTGAACTTTAAACCCACTTGCGGTTAGAATCGGACCGAAGCTACAGATTTATTGGGCTTGGATTGTCGTATCTTGGGTCCATACATGATGGAAGCCGAAAGAGTGTTGTTTACCGCAAAAACTGCCTTTTCCGGCCTAACCGGCTCAAAAGTTCAATGCGCTATTAAAGATTACGAAGGCATCGGGACGTTGCGGTTTTAAAACATTGCAAAACGACGAGGTCCCTTTTTGTTAGTGCACGAATCGGTCGGAGCTCCTGCAGACCTACATAGATGAGCCTAATCCTGTCCTATGCCCGGCGGTGCCTAGTGATGCACCTTTCAAATTGAGCTAATCCCGTTTCCCCTTTCTCCCCGTTTTAATGGGCATATACTCTAAAAGCTGTCTTGGTTCTTTGTGGAGGCTAATTAGAGAGGATCATAGGTACAAAGAAAGAGAGACCGACCAATTTGTAGACAGTACGCGCCGGATAAAAATCAGAAGATTCAGTTTAGTAGTGGCAACCAGACATTGAAAAGACACAAGATGGCCTCTCTCAAACACATTCCACGTTCTTACCCATGATCTCCTTTTCTTTCAGAAATGTGTTCATATCGTGAATCATTGTCCTGTAAAATTCGGGTACGAAATACGGCGGCTTTCTGTTGCTGTATCGCTCGACTGAAAACACAAATTGTTGCTTATTAGTGGAGCGTTTCACGTCTCATAAATGAAACAACTGCCGAAACTATGAAACTGGGTATATATTTTCTTGGAATTACATAGGAATTAAGAATACTAAGAGTCAAAAGTCTGCAACTTGAAAGTTTAGTACTCACATTTTGTATTCCAAGTGTCCGCAGGAGGCCAATTCGCGCTCTCTTCCCAATCCGTCGTGTTAGCCAAGTCCGCCATCACCTGAAAAGGGCAACTTTTTAAAGTGTGATGTGAGAGCAGCCGCAAATAACGAAACATGCGAAAACAGAAGAGGAAAACAAAAATTGGATGAAATGAGCGGAGGCGCGAGACACAGAGACACTTGCTGACATCAACATGCGAGGGCATTCGTTATGAATTTGCGAGCCCTTCGTCCCGCCGCATAAATGATCCGGCGGAGACGAGAAGAAAAGGAAGCGAAAGCGAGAGTGCATGAGCCGTTGCGGAGCGGTGTGCTCACGCTTCTCTGCCCATATAATCAGCTAATGAGGGCGGAAATCGGAAATCGGAGAAACATCGCAAAAACGGTGGGTGTGTGAGCCGCGAGCACTGCGGAAAATCATTGGTTCCCCCAAGACCTGGTTTGAGCCGAAGGCTTCTCGTGAATGTTGGAAAGGTGAGCGGACGAGAAGGAAAGACGGAAATTGGACGGGAAGAGGAAATGCACGCGGTCCGCATGCGAAACAAAAGTACGTGCGAATTTGGAGAGTGATAATCTTCTCACAGGGATTGTCACTGGTGACGCGCACTCACGACGGCTTTACGAGAGCTCAAAGAGCAGAGAAAGTGCTCCAAGACATAGTTTCGAAAAGCTCCAACACGACAATGCGAGCAGGTTGAAAAACTAATCAAGCGAGAAGTTGAATACTTTTTTGAGAAACATGATTCTGCGAATTTCAAGTGCAAAATTTCTTGCTGACTTCTCGATACTCCTCGCTTGATTACACCGTTGTCATGGAATTTGAACGAAACATGCACTTTAGGCTCTGCTAGAAAAAAGTGCGAGTCTACAATTTGCAATCGTTGCAGCGAGAAGGTGCCACTTGGGAGCGTTTTCAGAAATTTCAGCCAATCGGTTTTTCATGGAGTTTCATATGCACAGTCTATTGCGTGATCGCGGCTAATAAAGCCAAAGAAACAATTCGAACCTTCTTAGAGCGGTGTTAATTATCAATTAGTGAGAAGATGGAAATTTCCGGTACTTTTTACAGTCGGGAGAAAGTCAGAAATGTACATAACGCAGCACCCTGCACTACAGACATTCTTGCATTCCGGACAGAAGTGAATCTGGTGATCGTAACAGGTTTTGTAAAGAGCCCAATTGAGTGAAAACTGAATGAAAATGACTAAATGAAGAATGCCAGACAGTTTTGATGTATGTTTTTTGGGACCCGGAAAATTTTATGGGAACCGGATACCGGAATTGAGTCGAAATTAACTATTACAAGAGTGGAAACGTATATTGCGTACTCCAAATTACAAGAAATACTTGCATACTAAAAATTAAAAGAATTACGATTTTGAAAAATATTTGTCTCCGATATCGTTTTTTGCCCGGTCCGCAACAAGTCTGCTCAAACCCATTCCTCAAAGTTTCCCCGATTCCCATTGTTCCTTCATTCGACATATTTCTTGATTAATTCAAAAACAATCAATACACTGCATTCACCTCTTATCACCTCCACACTCCATCAAACAAGCGCCATCCCATTAAAGATGATATACTTGTTCAGCTTTCCCTCTTTCTATTCATTCACCCTTCTCGGTCGTCTTTTGTGCCGCTTCGTTCGATAATCACATAATCGTCAAACTTCTGTTCTCCCTTTCAACAAGAGGCAACGACGGTCGGGGCAAAAGGAGCCGGCACTGATAACAAATGGTACAGTTTCGCATCACACCACTTGATAATTTGTGGTTGGTGACGTGGGTTCCACAGTTCGAAATGAGCTGAGAATAACCAAAAATCATGAGAAGATTACCAGTTTCGTCAAAACATTTTGCGACTCATGTGGTGCACTTAAAAGGCGTCTAAGTAACGTACTTAGCGCTGGGTAACACCAATTGATAAACTCTTGTCCATTCACCCGATCGTTTCGTGCTATAAACACTCTCACTTCTCTAATAAGTATGTTTTATCAGTTCCCTCGTCCGCTTTCTGTTGCTGTTATTCTTTTTGCATTTCACTTCTCATTCAACATTCTTTAATCATCTCAGGGGCCGATGACATCCACTCCGCCGACTGCCAATGGTCTGGCACAGGTAAGAAATCAAAATGCGCAACAGCAAAATAGTCTTTAGGAAAACATGTCCACTCCATCTGCCTTGGATATCATCAAATCTTCCAACAAAAAGGTGAATCATGTGAACGTTAGTAACTGAAAAGGTATCTTTGCAGGAACTCGGAGAGTATGCCATCATGGTCGTTGTCAACTTGGCCAACGTCGGACTTGTTATGGTCAAAGTAAGGATAAAAACTAGCAATTTGTGAGGAATATGGATGAATAATTAATTGCAGGGTGTTGCCGCGTATGTCTCGAGCAGTTTCTCTATCGGCACTTCGGCTATCGAAAGTTTTGGGGACGTTTTTGTCAGCATTCTACTCTTAGTGCAGCTGATTCTGGATAAAAAAGTGAAAAAGAGCGAGTACCCACGAGGACGATCATCTGAGGCTACAACAAACGTAGGTTAGGGAAAAAACTCCACATGGCACGGCGCGGCTTTCGCAACATACGCAGCAAAATGGTATGCATTTTTGCGCGCCGGTGTTGCTCTGCGTACAGTGCATTTTATGTTACGCGCAAAAGTCATTTTTTTTAGTTGTTGATGGATTTTCTCCAAATATTCATCTCTTTAAAGCGTTTTTCTCTGCTTTCTACCTTAATTAGACCTTTTTACAGATTCCAGATGAAGTAATACGCGAAAAGAAGTCGATGCGATGAAAAGAAACGCGTAAGTAAATGGAAGTAATGTTTTATTCAGAAAATATACGATTTCTCGAAAAACGTCTCTAGATCTTCTAATCTTTTGATTTAAAATGTTCACTAACATGACTGTGAATGTCTTCGAATAAAAAAAGTAGAGTGACAGCTCGCTTTCGCGTAAAAATTGGTTTTTTGCCGGAAAACAGTGACATTTCGTTGAAAAAAATTTTTTTCTCAAAAACCGTCTCTAGATGTTCTACTTTTTTTGTTTAAATAGTTCACTTACATGACTGTGAATGTTTTCGAACCAAAAAAAAATTAAAGTGACAGTTCATAGAAGCAAAAAAAAATTTTTTTTAACGAAATTTCACTGTCTTCCGGCAAACTATCGGTTTTTCCGCGAAATCGAGCTTTCACTCTACTTCTTTTTGGTTCCAAAACATTCTCAGAAATGTAAGTAAAGTTTTTTAACCAAAAGATTAGAAAATCTAGACACCTTTTTCGAGAAATCGTGCATTTTCTGAATAAAACCTTACTTTCACATACTTACGCGTTTCTTTTCATCGCATCGACTTTTCTTCGCGTATTACTTCACCTGGAATCTGTAAAAAGGTCTAATTGCGTTAGAAAGTGGAGAAAAACGCTTTAAAGAGATGAATATTTGGAGAAAATTCATCAAAAACTAAAAAAAAAAAAGAACTTTGCGCGTAACATAAAATGCACTGTACGCAGAGCAAAACCGGCGTGTCAAAATGCACAGACTGAGGATCAAACGTTTGGTGAACGTCGCAAAAGCCGCGCCGTGCATGGACGCAAGATTTTCAGCTAACTGCATCTGTTGTCATGATGGCCTTGGCTTTCGTCAACTTTGTCCAAAGCTTCGATGCGCTGCTCACAGGAAAGTACGTGTCGAATTCTCGTTTCACCAGTCCACTTTATTCACTTTTTTCAGATTGGACCCGGAATTCGGATATCCTCACATTGCAGTCGTCGTCATTAACATTTTGGTGAAAATCTTCTTGTTTTTCGTTTGTCTGCTGTGAGTTAAACTCTTCTTCATTGAATGCACAGCATTTTTGAAAATCCACTCCAGAAAGCGTGAGAACAACCAGATCCGAGTTCTGATGAGAGACCAGCTGACCGATGTGTGGACCAACTCGATCGCTCTTGCCGCCGTCTGCCTCGCCTATTTCTTCATGAAAGTTAGTAGGCCAAGAACTGTTATCAATCTAATTTACTGTTCAGGAATGTGACTTCATTGGTGCTTTGATCATATTTCTGCTTATCGTACGGAACTGGGCTCCGATCGTAAAAGAGTCATGGTTCAAACTACAGGGTGTCAAAGGAGATGATGAAATTAATGAAAAAGTTTCCAAGGTGATAAGGATCCATTAACTGTACGGTACAAAGGTTGTTTTTCACAGATCATTGCCGCGAACAAGGATTTGTTCACAGTTCTTGCTGGATATGCCACGTATCACATTGGAAACAAGATCATTGTCGAGGTAGCGCATAGATTCTTGATTTCGTTGGAAAATGTGTGTTTTAGATATACTGCACCGAGGAGAGCCTGGAGAAGAGGGCCGAAGTGTACTCAAAGTTCGAAGACGAAGAGGTCCAGGCAGTGTACCTCCTCCCAATCGAAGAATCAAAGGTTAGTATAACAGTACCGGAAAAATTTAATTTATATGCATTCTGTCTAGAATGTGAACCTTCGTCCGATCAAAATGGAGGAAGCTGATTCTGCGAAGGAAGACGAAACCGTCAAGCTTCTGAAAACCGTGTAAATATGTTTCGATTATTGCCTGTACTTTTTCGAGCATCAAAAAACGTTCTGTGATAAATAATGCAATGATGGCGGAACTTTTTTCTCGCGTGGTTTCTCGGATCAGAATGCCATTCGCGTCATGAGCTCGTAAACAAAATTGCCTTCTTCCCCCCGGGTATTTTATGTGATACCGATTATAATGAAAGGGTCGGCATCTGGATATGGTCATGTGATCAGGACATCATGAAGACACGCCCCTCGGTGACAATTATCTGCGAACAATCTGAATTTCCTTCATTCTCGATTTTGGTTCGTGGTCCCGAGCGCGGAAGATGATCCGTCCCAGGCTCGCCTTGGCGGTCCTCGGGTTCGTCATCCCATTCGCCATCAACTGTGCACTCATCGGAACCACCGGATTCATGATGGTTCACGACAAGGTGAAACGTTAGTAGTCGAAATATGCAAACGTTTTGATAATCGAGTATTTTCATGTTTTCAGAGCCCACTGCTGATCGTCGCTTCGATCACTCTTTCCTTGTGCGTCACTCTGATTGTCATCAAGGCGACGTTCCATCTGATCACCGAGCTGGCGGGACCACTGGAGACAGGACCCGCTCGTCGAGTAACCGCCCGGGAGGCTCTGAACAATCCGGAGGAGGCGTTCCCGATGACGGTAACTCGTCCCCCGAGCCCGGCGGAGAGCGTTCCCAGTCGTCCGATGTCTCCGGTTCCTCCACTGTCGCCTTCCCCTATTCGTCATTTTGAATACGACTGTGACATCTGATTCTTTTCTTTCTTCCCCATTACCCCATCCCCATCATTTACTCAATCACGAAGCACCCGAAAAATTGTGTAGTGTCAAATTGACTCCACTCATTCATTTCATTTACAAAACTTTGCAACACGATTCATCCCTGATATCCCTATTCGTATTCCAATGTCAAATCAAACAAATAAAGTCGCCGAGAGAGGAAAAACATGTAATTTGGTTCAGAGAAAGTAAAATCCAACTGAAAAAGTGTTGGTTTGGAAAAGTTTCGGCTTCCATAGGTTATACTTTCGCATCTCGTTTTCTGTTTACCCGTGGATAATTGATGTCCCATAAACCAGATATAAACTCTTCCTTCCTAAATCCATTTGGAAATTTCCGTTCCAGGGATGTTTGGTTTTCGCTAAACAGATAGAGAAAAATGTTCTCATGACGAGCAAAGTAGCGTGGAAAGGAGTGTATCACGAGGTGTCAGCTGAACTAGGACCAACAAGAAGAGGAAGAAAAACCAGAGATGAAAGAAGCCAATGATTCAAAAACAATCGTATCAATTATTGTCCCAAATATCAATGAATAATTATATTAACGAACACTGTTTCATTCCTAACAACCTGATATAGTGTAACACATATCCGATTGGCGGTTTATGCTTACGGTCATCAAAGGGAAAGGGAACTAAACGGGGTGTGGATCGTGTTTTGGGCGACCGACGGATATATCTAGTAATGTCCTGCCGCTGCCCTCCGCAACGCCTATCCTTTCGTCATTTCTTAGAAAGTTCGCGGCTTCTGCTTATCTTTTCCGTTGTTCTTTGTTTATTTGTCCATCTCATAACACAATTCAGCAACTGCACAGTCTTTTGGTTGATTTTTTTGCATACGCCACATAATCCAAATGAAAGGAACGCCGTGGGTACATGATGCCCAAATGACTGCCAGCCGGACGGACAGCAATGACTCCATTAGAGCGAAAAATTGAGGCAAAACCAGGAGACGGACTGGAAGAACACCTGTCGAGATAGTCATCCCGATGAAGAATGGAAGAAGAAGAAGAAACATGCTAATGGATTTCGATTTCACGCTCGTGGTCATCTAGCGGTATCTTCCCTTTCCCTTCCGCCTGCCATTCGACAAATGTTTCTTTTTTTTCCTCTTGTCTGGGCGGCATCCCTTTGATTGCGAGATGAGTGGGAATATAAAGCGACGAAGGTGTGATGAGAATTCCCCTTTTTCTTTTCGATTCTTTTTCTGGATTGAACGCAAATAAACAGCGCTTTGGTCAACTTGAAACTTGATTATAGGCTTTGGCTTTCTGAAGAAAGATGTGTGAAGTCTTGACCTTTTTTTTTCGAAAAGTGACACTCTCCTTCCACAATTCACTTTTCGATTCGCACCGACATCCATATACTTCACGAACCATTTGCTTTCGGGAAGCCAAGAATGTTCCAACACAAGACCTTTCTATAGTTTAGTTTCGTTTTCCATTTCCATTCCACTTGCACTGTCTAGGTTTGCCTGCGAGAGGGTTTGTTTGAAACATTTCCACCCAAAAAGTCGCCGCGTGCCAATATCTTTTTGATGAGCGACGGCGGCGGGCCACCAACGAACGTCGGCGGGGAGATCAACCGGTATCCCCCATCCGCGTCTTTCTTTCCCGCCTCCTCCCTCCAATCCTCACCGAATACACACGCATACACCCTGTTGTCCTCGCGGGATAAGCAAAGGGCCCTCTCAAAACTATCACTACACTTTTTTCTCCTTCGTTTTTTCCTTTCTCGTGTTGCTTTGCTCCGTATGACTGCCCCTGCTTCAAATTCTTACAACTTTAAGGCATGGAAAAGTTGGACCCGAAGGAGGAAGCAGCACTGCGGGCTGAGGCCGAACGTCTACGACGGATGGCGGTCATCGGTAAGAACTGTGTCAGCGGAATGCGTGCAAAAAAAAGTGCAAGTCATTCAGGTGTCGCACTTTCCATCGGCGCCGCTATCGTTTGTGTGATGACTGTTCCTTTCGTTTACAACTATGTTCAACGGGTCGAGACGGTTCTTCAAAACGAGGCCGATTTCTGCAGGGTTCGTTTTCTTTTAATGAAAAACTGTTTTGTTGCAAAAAGAGTGTGTCAAGATGATTGAATTAGAATTAGCCCTTCACACTTCACACTATTACGGAATTTGTCTGTTGTTCGCCTTTTTCCATCTCCTCAATTTGATCCGATCGCATCATCATTCGCGCAACCGTTATCACTTCCTGTCACAACGATCCGCTAGGCTTATGAGAAGCATGCCATTCTCTCATTCCCTCGTAATCGTTTCTCGCAATGGAAACGAGGAGGACAATGATAATCCGAACACTCCGCCTCGTCATTTATCACCTCCCATTCGCCCCGTCTCCCACATACACACTATACGCGAAAAAGGCGTAGAACTGGTTCCTCTAACACGGCGGGTGGTTTATCAAAGGTGTCCCTTTAGTGGTCACTCCTTCTTCACCGACCGATGAAATATTGAATGGACGATTTTTTGGGCATTTCAGGCAAAACGAGATTCAGTTGTCAAAGAGTTGACAAGAACACAGAAACGGGCTGGCGTGGCAAACAGAATCAAGAGAGAAGAAACGTACAGTGGGTACTCGGCAAGTTATGGAACCTACGAATCAGTGCCCGTCATGCATTATAAGAGTCCCGAAGTTACCGAACACAAGGAAGAGAGAGTGATCGAGAAAAAAGACGAGGGCTACCAACAATGTACGTTTTCTTCTCTTTGATTAATTTCTCTGGTCCAATTCTAGGTTGTGGTTGCGGATTTGGAGCACCAGGAGAACCAGGAGGACCAGGACAAGACGGTCATGATGGAGTGGATGGGCGACCAGGACCAGACGGGAACCATGGACAGGATATGCACCTCGATGACACCTACAACATGGCTGATCAGTTTTGTTTCGAGTGCCCACCAGCTCCACCCGGACCTCCAGGACCACCTGGATTCAAGGGAATGCCCGGAATTCCAGGAAACAAAGGACAAGATGCGGGACCGGGACAGCAGGGAATGCCGGGAGTTACTGGACCACCAGGACCAAGAGTATATCTCTACAGACCCCCGAGAAACATACTCAAACTTTTCAGGGACCACCGGGAGAAACTGGAGACGAGGGAGAGGGCGGTCCAGATGGAATACCAATAGAGAAGAAATCACCGCCAGGACCAAGAGGACCTCCAGGACCAGCCGGGCCAGAAGGACCACAAGGACCAGAGGGACGACCCGGAAAGCAAGGACCACAGGGACCGACTGGACAAGAAGGAGAAGAAGGAACCATCGGGGTGCCCGGAAAACCAGGAAATCCTGGAAAGAATGGGGCGACGGGTGCCCGTGGACCTGCCGGGCCTTGCAACCACTGCCCGAACCCAAGAACTGCACCTGGATACTAAACTTATTTTTCTGTACATACACCCAAACTTCCCTCGCTCAAATCACTTTTCCTTTACCGCCACGGCTCAACTAACCAAGATGGTGCCTATTTATTGCCTTTTCTTTGTTCGACTCGTTGCAATAAATTCATTCGAACTCAAACCTCAAAAGTTTCTCTATTTTCATTTTGAAACGAAAAAAGGCGAGGGCATTGTTGCAAATGTTTAAATCTAAAGGAGTTCGAAAAAGGCTGAATAGATTTCTTTCATAAAATTTTCATAAAATGATTTCAATAAAGTTTTTCTTTGGCGAGTGACTATTTAACTCAACGTGTTCGAACAAAATGTCCAAAGAGAAAATGTTTTCGATCGCATCGCTTTTACTCGTTCTGTTTTCGACTCAAACAGAAGCATTCGACTATGTTCGTGAACAATTTGCGTGAGTCGATCCACCTCGAAAAAAAAATATTTCCCTTTTCAGACGAATCGACCAAAGTGCTGACCCGTGTGATAACTTCTATCGCCACGCTTGTCCACCTGGCGACTATGGATGGCTTCCAAGTGAACGATATGAACAAGTGACTCAAGATCTCCATAAACAACAAAAAGATAGAGTGTGGGAAAACCTTCATTTTGTGGTATTAAGAAATCAATGAAAATGAGTCAATTTTCTTTATTTCAGAAAGACTTGGAAAACGTGAGAGTTGCAGAAATTCCAGAAACATTGGATGAAATTATTGTTCAACTGTTTCAGTCAAGGTAAGTTGCCGATAGCTTTCAGATAAAAACAGTGAAGCAATTGTCTATAGTTGCGAGAATGGGGACGACACAAGCGTCATTCTATCAAAGGTTGAAAAGATACTATATCCGAACGGAAATTGTCATGCGTTTAAATGTTTGCAACCTCTGGCTGGAGATACTAATTGTACCCGAGCCGCTGCTGATTTGTTGTACCGAATTGACAACATGGGTGGAACCGAAGATATGATCGATTTTCTTAAAGTACGCCATCATGGTTTAATCAGTAGCATCAGAACAGTGAATGCCATTCTTGACGCCGGTTTGATCGGAGGAATCAGTCTGATCAACGAAATGCGACGAGCTATGATTGAGAATTTGGTCGATAAAATTAAAGTATGTGAATTTTTCATATTTTTCTTTGAACAACTAAATATATTTAGGAAACTCCGTGGGTCCAGAGAAATGGAGTGGAAGCGGCTATCGAAACTGTGGCATCGAGTATCTATTTGGCGGATAACATTGGACTCGAATTGAGAGATAACATTCAAGCACTAATGGCCATCGAGCTGGATTACTTGAAATGCTTGGCAGATATCGGAGAAGAAGAACTGCTTTGTTTGTTTTACGCGTACAGTCTCAACCAAAAACACAAAACATGGGATAACTTCAACTCATTTTTTAACGCCGCAAATGGTCATCCCGTGATTTTATTTGGATTCCCATTGTTTCATATGGCACAAAATGTGGAATCCATGGCTGCAAAGCTGGGAGGTGTCGGGCAAGTGGTGGGACACGAAATCAGTCATACTCTCATCGAGGACCCCGAGAGCAAGTTCCTCCTGCCGGTCTCTTCAAAAGAAGCCGTTCAATGCATTCAGGACCAGTTCAACAACACGTGCACTGAGTTTGAAGAGGTACAACGCTAGTTTTTCTTAAAGTCTATAATACAACTTGTCTTCTAGGAATCGTGCTATGTTGACAATAATCAAATCGACGAAAATGGATCTGACATTCTAGGACTACAACTGGCCTATCAGTTATTTGAAACTTATTACGGAGAAACTGCACAGGTTTGCAAGAAATGCTTTGTAGGCAAACGACAAATTTTTAGAATGAGTACATTCGATTGAACCACATGAACATTACAAACCAGCAGCTGTTCTTCTACGCCAATGCTTTCAATTTCTGCAGTGTATTTCTTCAGATTACATAAAAATCGCTAAAACGGCTACAAATTGCAGGGAAAAATGGGAAGGTCGAACTTCGGCGATCCGCATTCTGTTAATAACATCAGATCCAACGCGGTTGCACAACATCCTGCTTTCCAACAAGCATTCAACTGCCCGGATGATAGCCGAATGATGCGGACAGTGAGCAAACAGTGCATCATTTACGGAGAAGGCGCTCCGGAGACGAGGAAATTCAAAAACATTCACTAAATACTGCTTTCGAGATGATAACTTTCTTTTTGAAATGCTTAGAACTTTACAAGTTAACTAACTGGCTCAATAAACTTTACTACATCATGTTTTATGCAATGAGTTTCTGTACTGACATGAGTATCCACATCCCCGAATCGAGATTATCGGACCCTCATCTTCATTGCCTTCTCCTGCTCAAAATACAGACGATTTTTCTCAATTTGCTCAAAGTTACATCTTTATAGCAAAAAACACCCTTCTCTCCAATTGCCAAACAGATTTTTCTCAATAGAGCGCACATGCGGACACCTGCGTCTCTCTGATCCCTACACTCTTTCTCTTCTGTCGACCTCTCTCCTTTCTTTTATTTTTACCTTTTTCTTCGTTTCCGCTCAAATTTAGCCAATTTTCTTCCAGAAATGTCTAATGGACTAATCGTTCCATCCGATTTCAACATCCCACGACCGCCGGAGATTTACAGAGAATTCGCGTCGATGAAAACTGCCTCTATATACATGATGTCGATGACTGAAGTGAGATTTATTATAAAAATAACAGAAGAATGTGCGAGTCACACGCACAAATATTCAATTCAAACATTCTGTGTCCTCCTTCGTGTTGTCAAAGAAAAAGTTCTATTATAAGTTTTTGTCACTCGTTTTAAAGACGAATATTGGAAATAAAATTGGCGATTGACAAAAAGTTGTATTCTTCCGAATTGGTCAAATTATATTTTGCATTGTTGAAATCAGTATAAAACTTTCAAAAAAAAAGTGTTGAGAACAAAAATGATTCTTCCCTTCTCAATTTTTCTGATATGTGTTACAAGTCAAACTGCAGCGCTTGACTTTATCCGCCAGCAATTTGAGTGAGATTATGAGGTGCAAATTTTGAAAATATTTTCACCTTTATTTCAGGGTAATCGATCAATTTTCGGATCCATGTGACAACTTCTATCGCCACGCCTGTCCAGTAGGCGATTATGAGTGGTTGTTGGAGGAATTCTACGGACCAGTACTGAACGAGTACAAACAGGAACAGAAAGATCGAGTCTGGGAGAACCTGGAGTTCAAGGTTTGTTAGCGAAACAGTATCAAAACAGGGTAATTGTAATCATTTCCAGAAAAGTCTGGATGGCGTGAAGATTGCCGAAATTCCAGCTACACTTGGGGAAAACATTGTTCACTATTTCGAGACGCTGTGAGATTTTTAATGTGCTTGTGCAAACTCAGAATAAAATTTTCAGATGTGAAGCTGGAAGTGACACGAAAGTATTCCTTTTAAAGGTCGAAAAAGTGCTCTCACGTGGAAAAGAATGCGATGAGCGCGGGTGTTTGTCACCTTTGGCGGGAGATTTGAATTGCACTCGAGCCGCTTCTGATCTCACTCAACGCATTCATCTTAACGGAATGTTACAATCTTGGTCCTCGTCTTTGATCGCGTTCCTTAAAACGGAGTTTGATCTATCGATGGATAGCATCAGAAGTATTAACGCAATTCTTGATGCCGATTTGAGAGGCGGTGTTGCTCTTATCAAAGAGTTCACGAGAGCTATGATTGAGAGTTTGGTAGAAAAAATCAAGGTTTCAATGTTTCAGACAAATTATCCACTCGTTGTTTGTGTTTTTAGGAAACTCCATGGGTCCAAAGACAGGGAGTCGAAGCAGCGATTGAAACGGTGGCAAATAAAATCCAGCTCGGCGATAACTTTGGGCTCGAGTTGAGAGACCACATTGAACACGTGATGACTATTGAGACGGATTTCCTGAAATGTTTGAAAGATATCCCAGGCCAAGATTTTCTGTGCTTGTTGTTTGCGGCGATGAACGTCAAGAAGATGAAAGAAATACACTTTCCGTCATTTATCAACGCTCAAAACGATCACCCTACCATTTTATTCGGCCTGCCTTTATTTGATTTGGCTCAAAATGTCGAAGAAATGGCTGCCAAGGTTAGTTTTATTGGAATAATGTTTGAAAAACGTCTGTTTTTATAGCTCGGAGTCGTTGGAATGGTAACCGGACACGAAATCAGTCACTCTCTGATTGAAGACCCGAACAGACAAGATCTGCTGCCAGTGTTTTCACAGGAAGCAACGCAATGCATCCAGAATCAGTTCAACAATACATGCACTGAGTTTGTTGAGGTATTTTTCTGCTCTTTTTCCAACCCGACCAAAAACTTGGTTTCATAGGAATCGTGTTATGTTGCCGATCATCAGATTGACGAGAATGGATCGGATATTCTGGGGTTGCAGCTGGCTTATGAGTTGTTTGAAACCTATTACAGAGATACCGCACAGGTTTAAAATAAATGCTCTGCAAAAACGGAAAATCAATTTCAGGATGAGTACGTTCGGTTGAATCACATCAGCATCACATATCAACAACTCTTCTTCTATGCCAATGCTTTCTTCTTCTGCGAAGTAATCTCCCAAAAAGCACAGGAACGTTGTTCAAAAATCGGAAAAATTTCAGGGAACTCCTGGAAAAGCAGACTCGCATGACACTCATTCGATTTTTGGCATTCGGGCAAATGTGGTGGCCCAACATCCCGCCTTCAAAGAAGCGTTCAACTGCTCGGCCGACAGCCGAATGATGCAAAGTGTCGAGAAACAATGTCTCATTTATGGGGAAGACGCGCCGGAGACAAGAAGAAAGTTCAGACCGTCCCATTGACTGTCACACTAGAAATTTCAGTTTTTATTTGCTTTTCCATAATCCCCTGTATCGTGTTTTTCATTCAAACTAAACAAATGTCTGTCGTTTCTGAAGCATTGTATATAGAACGGAATATCCAAGAATTAAAGAAATAAAGACTTACAACGGCCGGGACGAAATGTGAAATGCTTCTACCCGGCAGGCTCCAATCGACAGGACGCAACACTGACTCCCATTTTCAGCAACTTTACCGCATTTTTAGAGACTTTGCCGAACGCGTTTCAATAATTTTTTGAAAAAAAAAGTGCTCAAAGTGAAACATCCTAGCCAACCGAGCCGTATTGGCAGGCCGGGCCCAAATCTTGCAATTCTGAAGAAATATAATGTAGAAATGAACTTTTCATCAGTTTTAAACAGCCCGTAAACATTTTACTCTGCTGCGAAGTAAAGAGAAGGATACTCTTTGAGCATGGGAACCGTTTTTTAGGAGCTCTCAAAAACTTTGACCTAACTTCTTCTGATTTGTTTGCCAGGAAATACAGTAGGACAGCTCCTATTGACGAGGGTCCCCCCGAGATTACATCTTCCTCAAACTGCTGCAATCCCGCACTTCGGGGACACAAAAAACGTCTGCCTTGCTTGTACTTTCTTGTTCGTCGCAGAAAAGAAGAGAGTTTACATGTTCCTCGTCGTGTTTCGCTGGTTCCAAAAGTGCAAAAAATGTTTAAAGACCTCAAGGCAGATATTGTTCAAGTTGCATAAAATAATTTCAATATCGCAATTCACAACTCAGGACCTATACGTTTGCAACGCACTGTAGATTTTGAACAATATTTATAAATTGATCGTGTGTCTCCGACCTCCTTTCTTAACGATGACTGCTCGAAGACGTCCGAAGAAAGCGTTCTCCGCGGCACGCGGGTAGTCCACTGATGTATTGGTTACCCGTCATTACCCGTCAAGGATCTTCTTCATGTACTTCCGCACGTGTGTGTGGTTTAGCCTTTACATTGCTCTGTAAGTTTTTGGGGCAGAGTATAATTTTGAAGAGACACACTAATATGTCAAATTTCTAACATTTCGAAGCGACCGATTTCAAAGTATCAATGTCATTCCTCTCTAATATTTCAAATAACAGAGTTGAATAACCTTTCAGAATCTTTTGAGGCATTCAAATGAATTCAATCAACTTTTGGAACTTTTGAAACTGAAATAAGAATAAAATTATTGAAAATTTTCAATTTGAAGGGACAAAACATTCGAAACAGTATTTAAACATACAAAACCGACAAGTAACCAACAAACATGAAGATGTTTTTCTTGTTTCTCCTGGCCTCGGTCCTCGGTTCGTCACAATGTTTCGATTTTATTCGAAATGCCTTCAAGTGAGTAGTCCCCAATTCAAAATGGAATGTTTTTTGTGCGTTCAGTTACGTGAATGAAATGGCTGATCCCTGCTATGACTTTTACCGACATGCCTGTCCGAAATTCTCTGCACGATCAGAAATGTTGATTACGCGTCTGTATAACCCAATATTGCAAAAACACCTAACGAAACAGTCGGACAACATTTGGGAAAATATTGCAATTGAGGTAAAAACCAGTATATCATGCTTTGAAAATTGAAGGATTTTGAGGAGACACTGAGAAACATTCACCTAAACGAACTTCCGGCACCCGATGACTACTTCTTGGAGATGTTTTTCACAAGGCAATAAGATATTTTTGAGATTCATCGAAATGATTATTTTAGATGTGAAACAGGAGAAGATACACGTCCGTTGTTGCTCATGCTTCAGGAACTGCTGCATGAGAAGGGTCAGACTGAATGTTTCACAACAGGATGTCTCCTTCCGATTGCTGACGATAACAACTGCACTCGGGCAGTGGCATTCTTGGGACAACGGATTCATTCTCTCCAATACGATTCCTTTAAACTGGTTGCGGGCGGTCTTGCGGACTATTTAAACACTCTCAAAGTGTACTTAGAAGGAGCAGGCATTATCCTAGACGCAAATCTTCGTGATGGTGTTTCTGGAGTCAAAGATGTAGTTGACGAAATTATTTTTACGGTGGAAGAGTGGATTGAGGTTGTTCGCAAAGGTTTTGAAATGAAAAAGTACAATATCTGTTCAGGCGACACCGTGGGTCATAAAAAATGATGTTGTCGGACCGATCAAGGCTGAGATTGAACAATTGAATCTCTTTGACAACTACGCTCAGGTTTTGCGTGATGATCTGGATGCTTTGTTGACTTTGGAGCAGAATTACTTGACGTGTCTCAGGAGAATCGGGAATTCGGAGCAGAGTGAAGTTTTTTGTCTGTTTTATGCGCAACAGACACAAACTAAGACCCCCTTAATACACGAGTTCTACAATTACCTTAATGCTGGAAATTTCCATCCGAATCTTTACTTTTCCTATTACTTTTACGACTTGATGCAAAACGTCGAAGAATTAGCTGGAGTGGTGAGAATGTTTGTGTTTTGATAAGAAAAAGTGAATATTTCAGCTTGGAAGTACTGGAATCGTGGCCGGACACGAAGTTAGCCACACTCTTATCGAAAATGTGAATCGTTTGGAACTGATTCCGTTCTTCTCAAATGAGTCGATGCAGTGCGTCATGAATCAGTATGAAAGAACTTGCGATGAATTCAGAGAGGTATCCACTTTGTTTTGTTGATAAAACATTATTTATTTAAGACTTCGTGTTATACTGCCGATCATCAAATCGATGAGAACGGATCCGATATTCTCGGTGTACAATTGGCCTACAACATCTTCAAAAAGGAATACGAAGGAAGGGAGCAGGTACTCAATCTGATTTTTGTACCCCTTTTCCACATTCATATTGTATTTCAGGATGAATACATCAAATTGCGGAGTCGCGTAGTCACTTATCAACAGCTTTTCTTCTACGGTTTTGCGTTCACATTCTGTTTGGTAACCTGAAAATTAGAAAGTTTATTTTTTCTATCGCATTTTATTCAGAATAGCCCAATGCAGCATAGCCCAATGGACGTGCACGCAGCGATGAATGTGCGAATAAACGCAATGGCCAATCATCCGGCATTCCAAGAAGCATTCCAATGCTCGGACAATTCAAGAATGATGAGCACTGTTAAAGTGAGTAAGAAATGTAAATGCTTGTGTACTTGTGATTTTCCAGGAACAATGTCTCATTTTCGGAGAGGGCGCCCCGGAAACCAGAAAGTTCTAGATAACGTTCACTTCTTCGCCTCATTTATCCTCATTTAATGCTTTCCACTGTAGATTCAGAAAATATGTAATAAACAAGTTTTGATACTGTAAAAGGAGTCAATAGAGTTCCGTTTTGCAACAATAGCAGTGTCGTCCTGTTCAACAGGAACGTACATTCCTTATTCATCACTTATTAAAAACGTGTTTCGAAATTTGAACACTCATTGTTATGAATCCGGTTAGAAAATGTATTTAATCAAAGTTTAGAAAAATAAAACTTCATTTTTTCAGCAATGCGCTTGGTTCTTCTTCTTCTTCTTCTTGTCCTGGAAGCAAATTGCGTTATCGACTTTATTGTCGACTCTTTCAAGTAAGCCAACTACTCAATTCGTTAATAACAGAAAATACTCCAGAAAATATGTCGATCAGAATTCGGATCCCTGCGACAACTTCTACCGTCATGTTTGCCCACTCGATGGTTCTGTACCTAATGATTTACTCTCCGAATTTTTTGATCAAATTAGGAACGAATTTGATCAAAACTCCACTAAAAGAGCGTGGGACCGGTTCTCAATTATGGTATGAGCGTAGAAATCGTGGAAAGGAAATTTAAAACCTTTTCAATTCAGGACGATTATAAGGTAGACGCATCCGTTTCCGCAGAGATTCCGTCTCTTTATCTTCAATTGTGAGTGCAATGAACAGTTTTAATTCTAGAAATGAGTTTAGGTGTGAAAACGGAGTCGATACAACACTGTTCCTCACTCAGTTGCACAGTATAATTGGTCCGAAACAGTGCAAAGAGCAATTCTGCTATCATTTCATTCGAGAAGATCCAGACTGTAACCGTGGAACGGCTCAAGTGGAGAGTATCGTTAAAGACTTACTCGGGTCAGAAGATATAGTGAGAAAAATCAGTAGAATATAACAAAAAAATGCAAAATTTCAGACGGAATTCATTCAAACCATTGGTTTGCTTCACAGCAAAATCGTAGATATAAGCGCTCACATTGACTATGATGTCCGCGATGGAATCGTTGAATCCGAGCAATATTTGAATGAAATGAAGAAGTTGGTCGTGGATTGGATTAAAGTGAGTGTGAAGGATAGTTTAAACTAATAACTTTGTCATTTAGGAGACTTCATGGGTGGTCAGCCACGGTCTGGTAAACTCTACTATCTCTCTAGTGGAGCCCGTCCGAATAAACGACAATTATGGAGCAGATTTAAAAGATTTAATTGAACAATTCATATTGATTGAAATTCATTACACCACTTGCAAAGCTAACTACGAAAATCGGGAATCGGCCAAACTCTTCTGTTTGGCTGAAACAGCTGCCACACTCGGAAATTTCGAGGTTGATGGATCCGCTTGGAGTTTGACGGATGCTTTCATAGATTTTCCCACAATCGATTTGGGATTCGCTTTCTTTTACGTCGCTCAACATACTGAGGACGCGGCGGGAAAAGTAGATGATTAATGAAATAATATAAAAGCTTCAAAATTTTCAGCTCGGCTTCACAGGCGCTGCTATCGGTCACGAACTCTCGCACATGCTCATCAAAGGTGGAAGTTCCGATTTTCTGACCTACTTTTCCGAAAATTCCAAAAAGTGCATTTTGAATCAGTTCAATAGCACTTGTCAAACATTTATGGAGGTTGGTTGACAAATGTTTCATGAAAAATTAACGTAATCAATTTGAGGATTCGTGCATAACTTTCGACGGACAAGTTGATGATGATGGGGCGGACACTCTTGGTTTCCAATTGGCCTATTCACTTCTTGAGACGTTTTACGGAGATTCGTTAAATGTGAGAATCTTTGAAACTGACATTTTCAGGAAACCGGTCAGAACTGAACTGTTTTCCAGGAAATCTACGAACCACTGAATGTTACTCACAAACAATTGTTCTACTACTCTCTTGCACTCTCGTTCTGTCAGGTACGTATTCAAATACTGATTTTTAATTAATCTATGAGATCATTCAGGGGCTTCCTGGCAAAATTGGTTGGCGTGGAAACGATATTTTGGATGAGCATGCATCCGCGGACATCCGAGTAAACGCTATGATTGCTCCACATCCTGGATTCCAGGAGGCTTTCCATTGCACGGATGACAGCAGGATGATCAGATCGTCATTGGTATGACTGCGTTGGAAATAATTTGGAAATATTCTGAATTTCAGGAGAGCTGCATCATTTACGGAAGAAATGCTCCAAATGTGAAAAAGCATCGATAAGGACGTTATAAAACATATTCGTATTCCGTTTGCTTTTTGATAATATTAAAGTTTTGCGATCACATGGCATATTAAAATTTTTTTTAATCGTCAAAGTTGGATAACATGGAGCGCCGAAATATCGGAGGTTTCGTCCATACTTTCTCAATCTCAATCGTTTCCCACATCAAATTCAATCTGAAATGAAACTTTTAGACAGTTTTCCATAATTCAAGCAAAGAAATTAGAGAACCAAGTCATTCCACATTTAAACAAACTACACAACTTGGCTTAAGTGAGTAGCTTGTATTAAGCGTTGAAAAAATGGTTCCACACCAGTGAAAAAAGTGATCGCTGGGTTTGAAGACGAGAGGTATATGATGATTTTGGTCAACTGTTTTGAATTCATGCTGAATAAGTTTTGTTCAACAATATTTATTCGGGAGTATAACACGTGCGGGGGAAAGAATTGATGATCGGTAGCAAACACGTTAGTTGGATGGTTCAGCAGCGTTAGCAGACTGACCGGCAAGTTTGAGCTGATCAGCCTCCGCGTCTGACATGATTTCGAAAATTTCCCTCATCTCCTCGGTAGACTTGCCTTTGAGCATGTTCGCGACGGTCTTGCACGCCACGTCGAGCAATCCGACCACATTGAGGTAGTTGGCAGCGTTCAGCAGATCGAAGAGATCCTTCTTGTCGATATCCAAGAACCCGCGATCCCACACCGGGACAGACATAAAGTGATAGTCGTCTCCCTTGTCTTCGGCCGGACGAGTGTCTTTGTAATGCTCGCACCACTCGATGACTAACTTGAGCGACTTGCTGTCGACGTTTTTTAGCGGAATCGGTTCTTTTTCGAGCACATTCTCTGCAGTGTATCCAAGCACGTCGACGACATTTCTCAGTGTGATCGCATGGCGGAGAGCCGATTCCGTCATTTCCAACATCACTCCGTCCGAAGACACCAACTTAAACATGACCGGCGCTTTTTGCTCCACTGGCACTTCTTCGGCTGGAGATGCGGCGGCAAGCGGGCCTTCGACGGCTTGGGCAGCATCGGCAGCGGGAATTTCCTCCATCGGGACGTCTTGGGCGACAGCAGCAACGTTATCAGCCATTTCGATATGTCGAGATCGGTTAGTACTGAAAGAAGAAAAATAATTAGTGATAGATGAAGATGGTAGGAAAAATTGAAAGTATGAATGACGATAATGAATCACTATTTTTTATATTTTAACGGTATTCGTTTCTTTCACAAACGCGTAGACACCAAGTGCAAAAATCAATACAAAAATCAATTCCCCGCCAACGAGACAGGCAGAAATCATCCAAAAAAGTCCTTAGCTTTCAACTAAAAAAATATTGAAATGAGAAAACTGCAATATTCGAAAAACTATTTTTTGAAAACGCCGAGAAGGAATTTGGGCAAAAACAGCGCTACGAATGCGTATAGCAGAGAGAGAGAAAGAGCGCGAGAGAGCGAACGCGATAGAAAAAAAGAAATTCGCGTCGAGACCCGTGGAGGAAACTGCATGCGGATTTGATGCTCGATCGAATATTAATTTTGCGTCCAGTGTCGGTCTTGTTTTCTTTCAATTTTTTTTCAGAAAAAAACGATGTGATAATATTTCTGCATCAAAAATGTAATCTGAAACGCGTTTGTTGTGGAATACCTCAAAACTAGACTGAAAAGTGCACTGAAAGGCACCAGATGAAACATTCGTGGCCACTGAGCACAATTATCGGTTCAGTGATTCGTATGCTTTATTTGGTGTAGCACAATTCATTCTTTAAACATTAATTTTAGTGGATTTTTTACATTATCTGTTCTAAAAAAATTATTACAGTTGTTTACAACTTTCGCCCGGCATCGACGCTGCACCATATGGTACAAACGGATCACTGAATCGATTATTGCGCTCAGCCATCACGAATGTTGCATCTGGTGCATAACGGAGCATTTCGAAACGAGCCAACAGCAAAGAAATCTGATTAATCTGAAAATTCATAGATTCGTCGCAATTTCGAAGAGCTATTAGGTTGTTCGGAAAGTTCCAGTCATTTTTCATACTATGTTTTTGAAGATTGTTTTTTTCTATCGGGAAGCTAGCACGTAAGTTGTCGTTTTTTCAGTATGTTGGTAGGGTATTGAAGTGTCAACACAGCAACGGATATCATTCTCCTGTTCCCGAGTAGTGAGATATGCCGAACGTTTTCGTCCCTAACAACTTACATTTCCGAAATGTAATCTTATTTCTATTTATATCTGACTTGAAAATGCCGACATTGATCGCCGTTTCACGGAGGTTTCACAGATCCTTTTCAATCCGTCCGTGAACTATCAATGACACTTGGGGCGAGCCTATCATCAATTAGTCATGGACTCGAAGCAATTGGCAGAAACAAAGAAATTTCTGAATCTATTTGGCGATATCCGAAAAAGAGATAAATGATGTGTAATTCTAGCGGCTGAATTTGGACCAGTTCGTCTATAAACTTGCTGAGTGAGGTTTCTTCAATTTCATGTATTTACGGATGGGTTCGGTGATGCGTTTTGTCGAAAATGATGCATTTCAGGAGAAAAAAATCTTACCAGCAGAAACAGTTTGAGAATACAGTCATCCCAACGCATGAACTGACGACCAGTGGGTAACCGGAACAAACGGAAATTGTCGGATCACTGAGGACACAAAAGGAATGGCCGGATAGGAAGGAGTACATCTTCTTCCTGCTCCAACATCTGAAAGTAAACTTTCACGCGCGCAAGAATCACGTGACGCGACATTAACCATAGAGGGATATGTCTGAGCAGTCCTGGTTTTTTAATGAAATGTCGATGTGAAACTATCTCACCAGCTTTTCGATCCAGTTGCACGCCGCTTGATTCATGTTCTTACAACGGCTCCTCTGCCCGCTTTGATGTCACAGTGAATCACTGAAACCATGGCAATCTGTGCGAATTCTGAGAGAATTCTGAGAATCTGAGAGAAAGCGGTGAGCAGGCGGTGAGCAAACAACAGAAATAACGCGCAAAGAGCTCAGCAAACTGATTTTCAATTGGAACTAAATGTGAGATTAACTCACGAGCCATTCGATCTAATTGCACGCTGTATTTTATTTGTTTCTATCAAACAACAGCTCGGAATACGTATTCTGCGCTTCGAGTTTCCTGTGAACCAAAGTAGTGACATCAAACGGTGACGTCGAAAAAACCATCGAAAATCGAGCAGAAATGCAAATGAAAACACCTGTCTGAGAGGAGTCCGCGGCGTGATATCTAATCCCCGGCCGCGGGCAGCTCGGCAATCACCCGCAAGCGAAAACGAGAAAAGGCAGCAACTGCGCAATATGTTATTATTTTCCCAGCATTTCGTTTAATTACCCAAGCTCAATGACCAGTGTGTGTTGGACGATATTGTCGGGAGATTAGAATCTCGCGGTCCCTCGGACATGTCGACTGCCCACAAATCATTAGTCGATACGCGCGCTGTTAGTTTTGGTTTAATTACCCAAGTTTTGAGGTACGAAACTGGGAATGACCTAAAGCAATTTAGCGTCTTGTTTAATTTTGGATCGTCTCCTTTAGGGGAGACAAAAGAACTAACAGAAGAAAAATTGGATGATAATAGATAGAGTTATGCCCTAATGTTTCGGCCCGACAGGCCAAAATGGAGCCCGAATGGCTGAATTAAGATGAAAAAGGCAAAAGCTTACAACATCCAGGATTCCCAGGCCGTCTCCGATCCAAGTACTAACTAGACTCAACGTTGCTTAACTTGCCAGATCGGACGGGATGGCGTGTATTCAACGTGATATGGTCGTAAGCGAAATCATCGCCACTCTATGTCGGTGACATTTTCGCAAACAATGTCTCAATGACCAGTGTGTGTTGGACGATATTGTCGGGAGATTAGAATCTCGCGGTCCCTCGGACATGTCGGCTGCCCACAAATCATTAGTCGATACGCGCGCTGTTAGTTTTGGTTTAATTATCCAAGTTTTGAGGTACGAAACTGGGAATGACCTAAAGCAATTTAGCGTCTTGTTTAATTTTGGATCGTCTCCTTTAGGGGAGACAAAAGAACTAACAGAAGAAAAATTGGATGATAATAGATAGAGTTATGCCCTAATGTTTCGGCCCAACAGGCCAAAATAAGGCCCTACTCTCCCGTGTTGGCCGATATTGTCGGGAGATTAGAATCTCGCGGTCCCTGGACATGTCGGTTGCTCACAAAACATTTGTCGATACGCGCGCTGTTAGTTTTGGTTTAATTACCCAAGTTTTGAGGTACGAAACTGGGAATGACCTAATGCAAATTAGCGTCTTGTTTAATTTTGGATCGTCTCCTTTAGGGGAGACAAAAGAACTAACAGAAGAAAAAGTTGGATGATAATTGATGAATTTATCTCCTAATATTTCGGCCCAACAGGCCAAAATAAGGCCCTACTCTCCCATGTTGGCCGATATTGTCGGGAGATTAGAATCTCGCGGTCCCTGGACATGTCGGTTGCTCACAAAACATTTGTCGATACGCGCGCTGTTAGTTTTGGTTTAATTACCCAAGTTTTGAGTCAGTTCATCTTGGGATTAAACCACCCTGCCTTCTGGATCTATTCCCCCCCCGCCATATTCACACTATGACCGAGCTAGGTACGACCGAATTGCTCCAAAACAGCATTATTCGCTCCTCTGCCGCCCGTAGGTCCCAGTGTACTTCCCCGGAGCACATGTTGTTCCAAACCCTTGATTCCCTTAACGGAATTGCTCACAGGATGAGCTCCGCCCATAACGGTGGAAACCCCAATTCTCATAACAGAATTGCTCACAGGATGAGCCCCGCCCATAATGGAATGGCTCACAGGATGAGCCCCTGCCCATAATGGAATTGCTCACAGGATGAGCTCCGCCCATAACGGTGGAAACCCCAATTCTCATAACAGAATTGCTCACAGGATGAGCCCCGCCCATAATGGAATTGCTCACAGGATGAGCCCAGCCCATAATGGAATTGCTCACAGGATGAGCCCCGCCTATAATGGTCTAAAAAGTGCATTTAGTATTCGCATAAACGAATATTATCTGCCGCCGAAGTCAAATGACAGAAGCTCCGCCCCAAAAAGTGGAGAATTGAAGTCAAATGACGGAAGCACCGGCAATCTCAAAAAGGAAAGCCTTCCAAAGATCCTCTGTGAAGTGGAAAGTCTGGGAAATTGTATAGTTGTAGGTAAAACTCCCGCAACTCAATCGATTCTCTCGTCTGACCCCTCAGAAATCGATAATCTGGCAAAGGACCAGGCCGACTCCCAGGTCTCGTGGAAGACCATCTCTGACCATAGAATTAGAGGTGGCGCAATGAGAGAAAGAGTAAGGAACGATCCAAACGTTTACACGATGGTATTATTGAAAAAGACAAGCGACTCCCAAACCGTCGTGTGTCAACTACAATATCCAACAGATAAACTGGTTTGTTGTTACCACCGGGGATGTGAAACCCGTTCCCAAGCAGGACTTGGAGCGGAAGAATTGAAATACTTGACTAGACATTTGGAAAAAGGTCCATGCTGTCAAAAAAAGGTCAAGTGGACTTACATTTGTACGATCTGCGGGGAGACCCCCAATGAAAAATCTTGCATACCCGTCCAGATGGATGAAAACGCATCTGGAAAAAAAGTCCATAACAAAGAAGCCGAAAAAGAAATTTAGTATCGGAAGCGGTACTAGATCTCGAGCGGCCAGTGCACTGAATGATTCAGCACCATCTTTAGCACCTCCTAGGAAGACAACGTCCAGAAAGACCGAGTCCAAGGTGATAGAGTTTTCGACTCCTGAAAAAGATTACAGAGTTGGAAAGCAAGATTCAAACGAGAGGAGTGGCAAAGTCCCTCAGTGCTCTGAAAGAATCGGTAACAAAGAAAGAAAGAGAGGAAGTTGGCAAGAAACCAAAAACTTGCTCCTATCCTTGAAAAAAAGCTGAAAAGAAAAGTGCTCGGAAAAAGCCTAGCGAATGTTCTGAAAAACGGAGACAACATCAAGTTCCAGAAACAGCTCTATCGGAGCGGACTGCGACCTGAAAAATGTTGACCGGAATTGAGAGAATAAAAGCGGCTCGAGAGCAAAGCTCAAAAGCAGGCTCGCCTTTCTACTCAGAAAAAGGATGAGTTTGTCAGCAGTGGGAAAAATCTCCAAAAAGGGAGCCACAAACAAAGGAATTGGAAAAAAGAAACCATTCCTGATCCAGTAGTGACGACAATGGAAAACCCCATTGAATCGGAAGCGCTGGAAGAAGAAGAAGACCTGAACAGAACTTTTTGTCATCGATGATGATGATGAAATAGTCTCGAGAAGGTTCAACACATGGTGCCTGGACCATGAAACCTCAAAGGAGGCATGGTTAAGTGACGACATCATATTCTGGTATCTGAAGCATCTTTGCGCAAAAAGCACAAAGTATGAAACTTTGGATCCAATTATGTGGGAAATGTACAAAAGAGAAGGAATCATGCTCATAAAGCAAAAACTTTGGAGCACGAAAACCTACTTTTTTTCCCAGTTTGCGAAAATAACCACTGGATCCTTTTGGTGATAAGCTTAACTGGAATCTGGTACGCAAACAGCTTCCTACGTGAACCCGAAGGAAAAAGTTCAACAGTTTATTGAGGAATTGGGGACTGAACGGAAAAAAAGTTCGACACTCCAAATCCCTGCCAGACAGATGGCATAAACTGCGGTGTTCATGTATGCCTGATGGCAAAAATCATGTCTAAATGACGACTATTGGTATACCGAAAAAAAGAGGTCCAATCGTTCCGAAAAGATGTGAAAAAAAGATGCTCAGAGCAAACGGATATGACCTGTACTCTGAACAATACCGTGATTTCCACCAAACAGATGAAAACCACGAAAAAAACCAGAAAGTCCAGAAAAAAAGTGGACACTTCTGAGGTGTCAGTTGAATCCCCAATGGATATTCCACATGTTGGTCAACCGGAAGAAGTGGATAGAGTTTCCATCCCAAAAACTGATGGACCTAAAACTCGAATGCCCTCCACATCTTCTACAAAAAAAGTTGCTCCAAAAAGTGGTCAAACCAAAGGAGAAACCCACTAAACAGATGGGTAAAGCACGCAAAGTGCCAACTGGAAAAAACCAGAGGAACTGGTCGTGAAAGTACGAGAATGGTTCCAAAAAAGAGTTCCAATCGTACATTCAAGACGGTAGAAGCTTCCAAAGATTGGAGTGGATCACCGACGTCCTGACAGCCGCCATACAAAAAGGCCTCTGTTGGGGACACCCAGGCAATCGAGAAGATTGTGAAAAAGATGCCCACCCTTGGAAGTGGAAGAGGGTGAGATGGCAACGCAAACGGATCCAAAAAAAGGATTCCCAAGAAGGGTAACAGCAACCCGACTGGAGATGGTGACAGCCGCAAAGGGCCACCAGTCTCTCAAAGGGACTCGTACTGGCAAAAACCGGACGAAGACCTTTAACCAACTGATCGGCAAAGAATCGAAGCAATGCGAGATCCCGATCAGTCAACTTGAACAGTTCTTCAAGAAAACCACCTCTGTCACAAATGTAACAAAAAGAGGTTCTGGAATCAAAAAAAGTTCCAAAAATCCCAAAGATAAAAAGTGGGACAGTGGATTGTAGACCCATTCACTGAACAGGAATTGGCAGTTGCTCTTAAGAAAACCAAAGACACTGCTCCTGGAGTTGACGGACTGAGATACCATCATCTAGAATGGTTCGATCCTGATCACAGAATTCTGACGCCCCTGTACAATGAATGCAAGGAGCATCGGAAGATTCCATCACATTGGAAAGAGGCAGAAACGATCCTTCTATACAAAGGAGGAGACGAATCTAAGCCCGAGAACTGGAGACCAATCAGTCTCATGCCAACCATCTACAAACTATATTCGAGTTTGTGGAACCGAAGAATCCGGTCAGTGAAGGGTGTCATGAGCAAGTGTCAAAGGGGATTCCAAGAGCGGGAGGGTTGCAATGAAAGCATTGGAATCCTTAGAACCGCGATTGATGTGGCGAAGGGCAGGAAAAAAAGAACCTGTCAGTCGCCTGGCTCGACCTTACCAATGCGTTCGGTTCAGTGCCACATGAGCTCATCGAGCACACTCTGGAAAAAGTATGGATTCCCAGAAGAAATCGTCCACGTCATAAAAAGACATATACAATGGGGCATCCATCCGAGTAAAGAGTAAAAAAATGAAAAAGAGTAACCAGATCAAGCTGAATTCTGGGGTGAAACAAGGAGATCCCATTTCACCAACGCTTTTTCAACATGTGTCTAGAAGGTGTCATCAGAAAACACCTGGATACGTCCTCAGGCCACAAGTGTCTCAAGACAAAGGTCAAAATACTGGCATTTGCGGACGACATGGCCATATTGTCTGATTCCAAGAAACAACTCCAGGAAGAGTTGGAGAGAATGGATGATGACTGTACCCCACTCAAACTCATATTCAAAACCGAGCAAATGCGCTAGTTTGATAATTGAGAAGGGCAAGGTACGACCTGAAGCACAAATAATGCTGAAGGGTGAACCCATTCGAAATCTCGCTCCAAAAAGACACCTACAAATACCTGGGGGGTCCAAACAGGAGTCGAGACTAGAATATCAGAGCTCGAATTGCTGACCAAAGTCACCAAAGAGCTGGAGAAGGTAAACACAAGCGACCTAACTCCACCACAGAAACTCGACTGTGTAAAAGCTTTTGTGCTACCGAAATTGACATATATGTACGCCAATTCGGTACCAAAGATGACAGAGTTGGGTCAATTTGCCAACATGACGATGAGGGCAGTAAAGGTTATGCACTCAATCCCAGTCCGAGGATCCCCGCTAGAGTATATCCAAATACCAACTAGTAAAGGGGGACTCGGCGTTGCGTGTCCAAGAATAACCGCAGAAATCACTTTCTTAGTGTCCACAATGAAAAAAAGTTGTGGTCCTCAGACCAGTACATCCAAAGACTGTACCGGGAATATCTGGAGGAAGTGACCCGAATCGAAACGGGCAAAGATCAGGTCACCCTAGGCGACCTGGCGGCCTATCTCAGCAACGAGATACCAATCGATAAAAAGGCGTTCGGTTTCAGTTGTTTCACAAGACTACGCGAAGTATGCAACAGTCTGTGGAAAATCAAGTCCGCTCCTTTGCATAAGGTGAAAATTGTTGAGTTCGAAGGTGAATTGGCAATCTCCGTACAAGCAATCGAGAAAGGCAACGAGAGAATCTTTTACCAAAGAGAATGTAAAGAAACTCCAACAACTGCTAAAAGGAGAAGTGAATGACGCTCTCTCTCACAGATTCACGACCGAGAAAGTTGTGAAGAGTGAGGTAGTCCGAGTCATCCAGCAGTATCCTCAGTGCAACAGCTTTGTCAGAAAAAGGTGGCAAAGTGAGTCGAGCAGCACACAAATTTGTGCACAGAGCTCGCCTCAACTTGTTGTCGTGCAACTATAACACGTACGACAACACAAAGTCAAAAAGAATGCAGAAGATGTCATTATGAGAATGAAACTCAGTGGCACATCCTACAAAGTTGCACTTTCGGACTCCCGAAAAAAATCACTGAAAGACATGATGCAGTGCTCATGAAAGTGAAAAACTCATCGAAGCTGGTTCAAAGAAAGACTGGAAACTGAAAAATAGATCAGGAAATACCAGGATTCACCAGACTTCGACCAGACATCTACATGAGAAGTCCAGATGGAAAAGAAATCATCATGGCCGATGTAGCCTGCCCATATGAGCATGGTGTGGAAGCCATGAAAAGAAGCTGGGACAAAAAGGTTCAGAAGTACTCTGACGGTTTCAGCAATCTCAAGGCTCAGGGCAAAAAAAGCTTACTGTCCTACCAATAATAGTTGGATCTCTCGGAAGTTGGTGGAAGCCCACAACTGACAGTCTGAAAAAAAGTTGGGAATAGAGGATGCAGTGATCCGTAAAGTGATTCCTGAATTGTGTTCTACAGTATTAGAATACAGCAAGAACGCTTATTGGAACCACATCTTCGGAGACTCCTACACTGAAATTCCACTCAAATTCGGAGACGAGAAACCAAAAAGGCAACTCCTGGAAAAAAGGAAAGAGCAAAACATGCTCCGACCCTTCCGGGGACGTAGCCGGGTTCGAAGTCAACATGCCAAAAGACCTGGCTCTGAATGGACATGGATAGGACTGAAAACGAGACTGATTAATGGAATGAGTAACCTGAAAAACCAATCCAAATTGATCGATATTGTGAATTTCCAGGAGAAATCGCAATAAATTTCTTTCAAATTACCACCTGATTCCCAAAAAGGAACAGACCATAGCCACAAAGATGGCAGCTGACTCTTAAAAGGTGTGATGACAGGATCATAAACACAAGAGTCACAAAAAGGCATCTAACTAGACAAAATAGTTGGGTGCCGATCCCCCCTCTTGAGACTGTGCAAAGAACACAGTCTAGAACAGACGGGAAGACCGATCTAAAACGCACAAAGGTGCCAGGTTGGTATTACTGTTTCATGAAGCTTGTTCCCAAAGTTCAGCCTCGCCTTTTTCTCTTTAGTACTTCCTAACCGAGTACGTAGGGTAAAGAAAGGGTCGAACGGGAAGGAACAAAAAGAGCTGATTGATCAGATTCCTCATTCCAATGCGAATGGGATGGCCGTGAGGCTACAGGCGGGTAACTCAGTCAGATGCTAGCGATCTTCGGATCCAACGGCGCTGACACAACATGAGGAACCCTGGGTTCGTTGGAGATAAAACTCAAATGGGCTGGAAATGGCTTAATCACAATGGATGACCACTGCCTTGCAACCACTTAAACCAGTGGGCTATGCGGGTGGGTCAATCTGAAATTGTGTGACCATATCCTGACTCGGCAATATCTACTCAAGGCTCTGAGAGCAAGTACATAATGGCCCTTCCCTACTATAAACTCCCAAGCAATTGGTGGCCCCGTTCGGCGGGTAATTACCACTGTTGCGCCCCAGGCTCGCCCCGCAACTGGGAATGACCTAAAGCAATTTAGCGTCTTGTTTAATTTTGGATCGTCTCCTTTAGGGGAGACAAAAGAACTAACAGAAGAAAAATTGGATGATAATAGATAGAGTTATGCCCTAATGTTTCGGCCCGACAGGCCAAAATGGAGCCCGAATGGCTGAATTAAGATGAAAAAGGCAAAAGCTTACAACATCCAGGATTCCCAGGCCGTCTCCGATCCAAGTACTAACTAGACTCAACGTTGCTTAACTTGCCAGATCGGACGGGATGGCGTGTATTCAACGTGATATGGTCGTAAGCGAAATCATCGCCACTCTATGTCGGTGATATTTTCGCAAACAATGTCTCAATGACCAGTGTGTGTTGGCCGATATTGTCGGGAGATTAGAATCTCGCGGTCCCTCGGACATGTCGGTTGCTCACAAAACATTTGTCGATACGCGCGCTGTCAGTTTTGGTTTAATTACCGAAGTTTTGAGGTACGAAACTGGGAATGACCTAAAGCAATTTAGCGTCTTGTTTAATTTTGGATCGTCTCCTTTAGGGGAGACAAAAGAAGTGATTTCATTAGGAAAACATTGGACTTGTGTGAATTAAACACACAGCTACACGATGCTCGCGAGGGAGTCAGTAATCGGCGAAGCGGGAGTTCAGTTGTCGATTGTTCCAGGCACAGTGGTTAGCGTATCTAATCCTTTAGTGATTCTTCGCTGTTCGCGTTTTTCCTGTGTTGAGTGATAGTGTGCGGTGCTTCGGCCCTCGTACTTTGTGGTTCAATCCCGCCGCGGTCTGAATGATGATGCCTCCGCCCATCCTATTCATATCGAGATGCTAAGTGCGCTTCTGCCCCGCTTCTAAGCGATGATTCGTCGTCGTTTTGCATTTTTCAGTGAGTTTTTTGCAAAAAGAGTAGTCTACTATCAGAAGAAGATGCCGTTCTTTCTTTGGTATCAAAGTTGGCCGAAAAATTCCACAAGACGTCGCACAAAGAATTATAACCGTTCGATCTTTGATAAGACATTTGGAAAAGGAAATTTGAAGAGACAAAAAGCAATGTTAGGTTTGTTACCTATCAAACAATGCAGAAAAGAGAAGAGAAGAATTCCATATAAAACTCATCCTATTGTTACTTTTGTTACTTAAAGTCGAGAATTTCTATGTTCCCGTCGTATACCGAAAATGAAACTGACTTTATTTTTTACACTTTTCACGCTCTCGCAAGCAATCAATCACCCATTTGATTTTGTCGAGGATTCTTTGAGATTGTGAGAAATTTTTTTGTAGCCCGGAAAACTTAGATAAAGTAGTTTTCTAGGTACGTGAATCATGACGCGGATCCTTGCGACAATTTTTACCGTCACGCGTGTCCGATTGGAGAAAAACCGGAGAATTTGGTGACTGACGCATTTGAGGAGATAACGACATATCTGACGAAACTACACGAGGATTCACCATTCAATAATTTAACAATTCTGGTCAGTTGATGAGTTATATCCGATTCAAATCCTTTTTCATACAATTCAGAACGATTTCAAAGAAAACGTGAAAAAATACGCTGAAATTGAGACCGTAGAAGAGTACTATGCTGACACGTACAGAACTCTGTAGGATCTAAGGGAGAAATAGAAGAAATACTTAAAATTTTCAGTTGTGAGACAAAATCTGACAAAGTTGTGGATGATTACATCGGAATGCTTGATGAAATAATGAAGGAAATAATTGTTCTACATGATGACTCCCCGATTAAACTTCCCGGCAGAAACGAGACCGGGCGATCTTGCTCTGAAAAGGCTGAGAACATTAGATCATCTCTGCAAGAATTCGAGCCGAGGTTGCAAAGAAAGACTGTTAGTGATGAATTTATTCTGAATAACTTACATACTTTTGTAGGCTGAATATGTGACCAGCTTCACAGAAGGAGTGCGCATTTACCAGTCAACAATTAAAGCAATTAGTGCTCATCTCGACATTGACATTCGAGATGGAATCAAGCAAACCAAAAAACTTGTAGAGGATGTTGTGGAAATTGCGGAGAAATGGGTTGAGGTTTTTTACTAAAAGCTGGGAAATACCTGAAAATGACAGTTCAGGGAACTCCATGGGCACTGAAAAACAATGTGACTAAGAAGATTAAAAAGATCGGATACCAGTTGTCAATGTACGATAAGTTCGGGTCAGACTACATGGAAGCTTCGAACATTATTATGGACGTCCACAAAACGTACTCGCGCTGTAAATCTGTCTTTGACGAGCTGGGAAAGCCAAGTCCTTTCTGTTACCTTTACACTGCTCTCGTGAGCGACGTTGAAATCACAAATCCACACTTTTTCACTTATGATCAAGCATACAATGTGCATCCTAAGCTCTTCTTCGGCTATCCCAACTACTATCACATGCAATTCGCCAATGAAATGGCGTCAAAGGTTAGTGTTAATATGTTTAATGTTTGCAGTTAAAGCAAAAGAGTTCAGCTTGGGTACACTGGATTTACTGTGGGACACGAAGTTGGGCACACTTTCGTCGACAATCATGATGAGCCCCAGCTTTTCCCGTATTACTCGGAAACCGCGGAAAGATGCGTTCAGAATCAGTACAACGCTAGCTGCAATGAATTCAAAGAAGTGAATTTAGTTGAACTTCAACGCAACTATTTGGTTTTTGCAGATTTCCTGTGACGTCGATAAGATTCAGCTCGATGAGAACGGAGCTGATATTCTTGGAATGCAACTAGCCCATAAACTTCTTGAAGAATACTACGGAGAAGACATTCATGTGTCCACTCATTTCACTGATTTTTTCAAATATTAATTTTTCCAGAAAAACATCGACAAACTTGGAGTGACAAATGCTCAACTTTTCTGGTATTCGTTCGCATTCCAGTTTTGCAATGTAACTTTAAAACTCAAAGCATTTCCTATAAACTTATTGCAGAGTCATAAGATAGAGATTACTTTTCACGAGAATGGCGACGAAGATGAACACTCCACAAACTACGTGAGAGTGAATGCAGCCGCTCAGCATCCCGGATTCCAGAAAGCGTTCCAATGTTCGGATGACTCCAGAATGATGAAATCGGTTCGGGAACAGTGCATTATTTACGGGGAATCAGCCCCGGACACACGGAAAAGACATCAAAGACATCTTCAATAAACAGCTTTCATGAAAAGTTCATAAAATAAACGAATATTTTACAGAAGTGCCGATGAAATATATCCGAAACATATCGGAAACGACGTACACCGTATCTTTTGTTTCAGTTGAACTAGCGAATAGCGAACAAACTGAATTATTACGAAGAAATGACAAAACGATAGGAAAGGGGAGGGGATAGAAAAGATAGATTTGCGTATGTGAAGTGCATTTCACACGTCAATGCGATAAGGAATACTAGAAGATGTTGCGTTAAGGAGAAAGGAGGTGGAAAGGGAAGAGAGAAAGTGAGTTGGGGGAAAGGAAAGAGATAGATGAATGAGAAAAACGAGAAATTTCACCGAATTTACAAAACTGACAGTAGGGGGTGGGGGAGAAGAAGATTTCGTTAGTCTGGTCCAATCTAGAAGTAAAGTCGAGCAAAGACCATGGTGAAGACGGAGAGAAGGAGCGAGATAGAGTTGAAGGCCGAAGAATCCATAAGCTCCAAGTCGTGCTCGTCGTAGGTCTTGGCACGTAGCACCACGCTCTCTCCTGAAAACAAAGAATACAGTTCATTCTTGACTTTTTTCTATGTGGTACCAAATCCAGCCTCGTTGATCTGTCTGAATCTCCACACGTATTCATGCCCGTGTCTGAGCCCGCTGATCTCGTAGATTCCGCTGTCCTCTGAAAAGTTGAACATTAGCTCATCAGCAAGGAGAAGGGAAACTAACCAATGTTCTTCTGCAAGAAGATGGAGTGGCTTTTCCAGTAGGCGTCGGAAATGTCCTCGTCGGCAACTCCAGATGCCTCTGCGATTCCAGCACGCAAGTGTCTGATCTCAACAGCAGTCACCGGAAGGTCTGGCTCCTGGTCGATCGATTCAACCTTCCAGATGATCGAGTGCTTCTTGGCCTCAATGAGGGAGACCTTTGGCTCGGCTGGAGCATCTGAAAATAGCGCAAATGAGGTTTCGCATGTACTTGGGATCTTACTAGCTTCTCTGAGGTGAATGGTATGGAAGGATTTGCCCTTGATGTTGTTGGCCTCGCACTTGTACGTTCCCAAGTCGTTTTCGTTGACATTGTGTATCTTAAGATGAGCTCCTTGCGTGAGCCCGACATTCACAAAGATGTTGAATCGTTCGTTCAGCTTGATCTCCTCGTCGCCGTGATAGAAGGTGTACTGGCGGACGATTGGGAAGGAGGAGGTTACGTTGCAGTAGACGAAAGCGTCACGGGCATGATTGTCAATGACGGTGTACTGAATGGACTCACCGGCAGCGAATTCTGGCAGAGCTGAAAGAAAGAGTCGGGTGATAGGAGCAGCTAAAGTTCCGAATCTTACTGTAGACTTCAATCTTCACATCCTTTCTGTCAACCACCGGGAACTCGTCTCCATTGCTCTGCTGGTACATCTCGATTGTGATGCAGGAAATGGCCAAGTCCACGTGTTCCTTCTTCAAACTGTCGATCGTGGCCTCATTTCCAGCAATAGTCCAGATTTCCTCATCAAGTGGCTCTCCGTTTCCATTGGTCAGCTGGATCATTGGCTCTTTTCCAGACGGGCTCTTCACTCCACAGTCGATCGTGATCGGCTCTCCTAAAAGAGCTCCCTTCACCGTGTCTTTGTTGTTCCATTCGATCGCAGCTGAAAGAAACAACATTGAACACCCAAATGCCCGTAAATCGACAAGGTCTTACGCAAGACAACAAGTTTGACGATCTTCTCGAAGTGTTGTCCTCCGGAAGTTCTAGCCGCACAGGTGTACAGTCCAGTGTCCCTGGTGTGGACGGACGAGAAGTGGAGAGATGTCTTGACGTGCTTGCTTCCTTTCTCGTTCAAAACCACTGCGAAAAGGCTGAAAACCAAGCGTTTTCTGCATGTTGATATCATATTTCAGTTGAAAACTACGTCTGACGGAAAATATCCAATTCAAGAAATGAAATATAACACGAGACTGGGCAAACACCTAGTTGTATTCATATCCAGCAAGAAGTTTGAGACGTACCTTGGGTTGGACTCTCCGTCGACATTGTTTCCGTTGGTCTGCTTCCAGACGAGATCGCTCTTGTGGATGGAATCGTCGCTCGCGAACACACAGCTGACCATGATCTTCTTGCCTGAAAAATTTGAAACTATACTCAAATCGGAAGTTGTCTAAACTAGAACCTTCTCTGACGGTAATGGTGTTGGAGTCGTAGTCCATATTTTCGGAGGAGATGACGATCGGGTTCTCATTTTCTGATACGGTCGGACTGTCTGAAAAATATTAAACTTTATTCATTTTCAACCCCTCGTATAGGTTAGTAGCATAGCGAAAAGCTAAAAGCTTTTGGGTTATACCCATTTCCGGTGAATTTATAACTAAGACGGGAGTGTGGGTAAAATATCAAATTTCCACAAAATGGTGTGAAAATTTTCTCGAGTCATCTGTTTCGACTCAATTACCTCTTTCTCCTTCTTTTGCTAACTGATGTTTGCACAAAATGACTCAAGCAATAGGGCGGAAGATGACGAAAACAAAGAGTTATTCATAGTTTGGAAAATTTGGAAACACGATGGTTAAGATTAAAGATAGCTACACAGCTAACTGACCAAAGAGAATTCTCTCTTCAAAAAGTGGTATAATTCGTTTATCCCGGGTTATTGTAAATGAACTTCTCACGCGTGAGAAGTCTTCAATATCCGCATAGTCTTCGTAACTTCTGTCTGTAAATTGGAAACTGGAAGTGCGTGGCAACCCCTTGCTTTCTATGTCCTTTTCCCTTGAAAGGTGTCAACAAAAGACAAAAGTATTGTCTTACGCAACACCTTCAACTTTGTAAACTGTTTGTCTACCAGCGCGGTCCTCAAGTGTCCCCCGCCGCATTTGAGCTCATCAATGTGTTGCTCACTCGGCTCATTTGCTTTTCTTCAACCCCTTCCGAGGTGTCATCGGATACCAATACTAAAACAAAATTTGCATAACGGAACATACGTTCCCGACTTTAAGAAACAATGGTAATAATAATGTACTCGAGTCTGTCTTCCGCTCGTTTGTCACCATGTGTCTTCATTAGCGATACCAATATGCTAATATCCCGTAACGGAGCACGAGGAGACGGGGATAAAGAGGATGGGGGATGTTTGGGGTTATGAACAATCATTGGTCCATGAGCATACGATAAATAATGGATGTCTGCGAAAAACTGCGATCGGGTCTCAATGAATGTCTCTTTCTCACGATAAGGTATTCAATGACCTTTATATCATCGACTATTCTCTTTTCACCCAAAAACCTAATAGAATGTTATGATTGTGCCCCAAAAAAAAGGGAAAAGAGTGCGGACAACCAATCTATTTGGAGGAAGGAATGTAAATAACATCTATACATGTTGCTCGCGTCCGGCGCAAAAAGAACGAGTAACTCGAAGAGTGTCAGGTAATCAAATCTTTTTTCCGTTAAGCTCCTACACCCCTTGCCTCAAGGGACCGAGTGTTCAGAGCGCCGAAAGAGGAGGAGGAAGAAGAAGAAGCCACAAGACATGGAGAGTGTAACTCGATCTGTTTGATGGTCATGTAAAAACCCAAGTTCGTGCGTGGTCGAAGTGAAATGTAATGAAATTTCATACCGTACAAAGACTTGCAGAGATTGTTTGTTTGGCAATGCTCACATTATAACTATGCTTTTCCCTGAACATGGCAGCGTACAGACCGGAAGGTAGTACTTAGGTGCAAGCCAGCAATTAGCTCGCCGGACAAAAGAGCGTCGAAACGGTGGTATTTATGAAAACAGTCATGTATCCTCATCCACCCCCTCCACGCATTGACTATTCTACGAATTCAAGCATTCCCGGCGGCGCGGTCCCAACCATTCATATATTATTCAGCGTTTCTAATTCGAACAACAAGAGAAACACGAGGGTGTCCTCTCCCTTTGACTCCACACCGCCCTAATTGTCGCTACACGCATCATTTAGTAGGTGTTCTTTCGTCCCACCCCCCTCAAAAAGGTTCGATGAAAATGGATTTTTATCATTCTTCATCAAGTGGAGAGAGCAGACAATACCGCCTGGTAAACGGTTGTAGGCAGTTAGATAAACATTTGGATAACTGTGTGGAGGTGGACTGCTAGCCGGTGTTATGTGATGCGTAATGGATTAATGTACTTGTGTTTGGAAAAGGAAAGTGCCGCTTCTTTAGAACGAACGTCAGTTTTCCGCCAAACTTGTAAGCAAATTAGGTTTCCAACAACTGACGGGAGGCGCGAATATTTCCGCATCATGAATCCTATAGAGTAGTGTGCACCTGGTCTCCAGTCTCCAACAAACGCTGTTCTTTTCTTGACCCTCTTCTACTTCTACTTCTACTTTCCCCCTCAATGTATGTACATACTTGTTCACCATCTGCCTCAAAATCGCTCGATCTATATATTTCAACACTGATCGATCAGTCGCGCAAAAAATACACATACTCCCAACATACAATACATGAACCCCTCAGTAGCCGTCTTCTTGCAAGCATCTGAACACACAGTGCTTCCCGAATGTCAATAGACACCGAAAAATTGCCAATCAATGGGGGGAGAGGACGAAAAAGAAGACCTAAGGTTTCATTTCCTTTTCTCCTCCTCGCCTGTTTGCCCCCGAAATGTTAAGCCATTGAGAAGAGGCTACCATCGGTAGCTTGGCTCAATTCGACTCCTTCACACAAAACAAAAACGCATGGCAAACAATTGGAAATTATTGAAAAGCAAAAAGCGCAACGATACTGAGAAACATTATATTTGTAGGAGCTGCTCTGCCACCATCAAACAACTCGTTTACCGCCCTGAACTTGAAAAGAAAGGGCGAAAGGAGGCACTTCCGGCGAGTTTTCCTGAATTGAACTCGTATTTGGAAAATTTCGCACCTACTCAAGTGTTCCGACACGTTGAATTTCAAAAAAAAAGTGCGAGTATCAACTTTCGAAAGGAAATAAGAGTTCACTGGGGTCTCGCCGGCTTCTTTTCTCCGTTTTCTTCACAAAAACTGGCCGGCCTTTCGGGATGCGACACGACAAAAAGGGTCTATTAGTGGAAAGTTGGCAAGTGTCTCTCGAGGGAAAAGTCCCTTCGGGGAGAAAGGATTCCGCATGTTCTGAGACCCCAAGAAATGCATTTGCGGCGGTGATTTTGGTGAATGGAAAGTTCGGATTGTATCATCTGGTCGGGGGGAAGCGATGTTTATACCTCCACCCGCGGATTTCTTCGAAAAAGATAAACTTTTGAAGTGTGCACTCCACTCGAAATGCTCGAACTATCGCAATTGATACACCAAGCGCTAATTCTAATTCCATCTCTACTTTCTCAACCCCCAATTCAACAAAACGAACGCATAAAAGGAAAAAAAGAGAAAAACAAACCTGAGGCGAGAGCGGCGACGATCAGAAGACACAAGGCGAGCGAAGAGCAGAGTCGTCGTCCCATTTTCGAGAAAGAGGGAAGAGAATGAAGTTCTTCTTATTCTATTCTGCAAAGAAATGACAAATAGCTGTGAACTTTTTGCGGATGAACGATGAAAATGACAAAGTACGAGGGGCGAGAGAATTTTGGCGGATTGCAAAGGATCATTGGGAGGATTAGAGGAGAGAGATGGTGAAATCATTGGGTCGCGTTTTTCATTATCCTATAAGTCAGTAATTGATTAAAAAGAACATCCGAGTTTTGAAAGATGAACAAGGAAATCATGTGATTTTGGAAAGTGACTCATCAATTCAGATTTCGAAAAGGAAGCGTTGGGAAACAGAAACAGAAAACCGTTTCGCAACATTTGCAAAAGAAAAGGAGAAAAACGAACAAGTAAGCTGCTTAACAGTAAGTTACTGTCAAAATGTTGTAAGCCTTCCAGGAAGTCAAATGGACAACAAGCAATGTTGGTCTCACTCTCTCTCTCTCTCTCTTCTTTTTCTGTGTGTGTGCAAGAGAGACGGGGGCCCGAGTGTATGAGTGCGCTGCCCCCATTCCCTCCTCCGCCCGCCTTCTCCTCGCGCACTAGGATAGAGCCAGACGGTTGCGGGAAACCGAAAACGGACCGCCCACATCTCGTTGGTTTCTTTTTCTTCTACCGGAGGCAAGTGGTTGCGGTAGCGGCCAACAGGAGAGAAGAATGAAGAATGACTAAACTGTTCGCGTGGGCACGAACCTGGGCGGAGTGGGGGGGCGTGTCGTGTTTATGAGTCACATGGGGTTGAAACACGTGGAAAACACAAGAATCTGGGTTTTCTTCGTTTTATCTTTCAGCACTCAGCCTACGCACCTTTTTGCAGGGTGGGCGGATTATCACGAGGAGGATTAAGGAAGAAGAAAAAGAAAAGAAAAGCACTGGTCATCACTCAGGATCATTTGACAGTTTCCGGCACGAAATGTGGGCGAGAATGCTCGGTTTATCCCTTTTCTTCCGAGGAATCTCTATTCTACACCAAACTCCATTTTTCCTCGGTTAATTCGAAATTTCGTTGGATTGGAACTATTATAGGACTACTTTTTTACGACTACCCGAGCCCCAATTTGATTCGAAAAGTAAATTGCGAAAGGAAATCGAATTAAGGTGGTTGGCCCAGTGACTCAGCTTTCTCAGCTATGAAATCTTTTCGAATTCAAGGATGAGTAATCCTTTTCGAAAAAAAAGGCCACCGATAAAGAAACCGAATAAAACCAGGACCCTCTTCACGTACCATTTGCATGTCGCCTTTTTGACCTATTGTAACCGGCGGCGGCGGCTCTTCCGCAACGATAAAGACGCTCAGATTTCCGTTTCAACTTCTATTGTAAGCCACTCATCGCTAATTAGAGAGGGTTTTGGCGGATTAGGAAGGACAGACAGCTTGTACACCACAATGGGAACAATATGATGGGTCGCATTTCCCCCCGTCTAGTGAGTCAAACGTCAAAGACTACAGGACCATACAAGTCCGCCTCCAGAATATGCAATTTTTCGTGTGTGTGTGTGTGCGCGCCGACACTTCTCATTATTTTTGGTGTAACCTGATATGCACTACCCTAACTGGATAAGAGGAGATAGAATTCCGTGGAAGAAGTTGGCGACGACGCCGTGGAGGGTATGAATTTCATTGTGTGCGCACATGGGGGAAGAGGACCACGCACTCCTGTAATTTGCAGCAGCATCTTGAGAAAACGGAAGGTCGGATGGATGAATGAATTGAAAATAGAAATGAATGGTAGCAAGCACGGGAGCGCGGCACAACCTTCTGACTCATGAAGGGGTAGACGCTCGGAAACAATGGGGGGCGGGATGTGAAAGAGAACGCCTCGGTCCTCCTGACCGTTTCATACGAAAACATTACGAAAATAAACGACTTCCGGTGGTTTTCGACTGAAAATGAGTCACTTTTTGAAGACATCCACCATTCGGATCGTGCGAGAAGCGCACAGTCATCGATAGCTACCGTAGTCTAAAGCAACGCGTACTTCATAAAAATGATAATCGCGCCCGCTCCAATATGGAAATGAGTAATAAAAAGACGGACAGAAAACGAGGGAATGGGCCCATAAATGGTAGTGTGTGTCAATATGTGATTATGCAAGAGCACACACTGATTCTCGACGTGTCCACGGAAGAAAATAGGGGTTAGGAGCATAGCTGGCAAAACCGGGACCAGCGAGTCGGCCAGTTCTGGCCGATGTGACCCGGCTATGACAAATTTTAAGGAAATGTTTCGAAGAACTCCAGAATAGTCAAATTTTGTCTGCAATGTGAAGGTTTTCCTGTAAAATTCGGGTATTTCTGAAATTGTTTTTTCGTAGAAATGATTTGCAAATTGTGTGTGCTTTCAAAAAAAAAATTGTCAAAATCTATGCTGCCCGACTCGTTGCAACTATAGTGGAGCTAGGACACTTCTGACTCATCCGGTGAGATTTGGCGTGCCTAGAAATTTCAGAAATCAGATCCGATAGTGGAAATAAGGATGAATGCATAAAAAAGGAAAGAAAACAGAATTAGCGGCAGCTTCGATAAAATATTTGAGAGCATTATCCGCGTCTCGAGAAAAGAATGAACCAGTTTTGTCGGATGTTTTTCTTTTTCTCCATTCCCGTTCCCCTCTTTTTCTCCGGCGTCTGCATTGTGGAATTTTAAAGATTTTTCATAGAAAACAGGAAGAGAACGGAAAGGTAAAAGTTATTATAGGACAGAATAACAAGAAGGTTTCGAGGGATGTCATATATCATAATAATCTATCTTTTTGTGTCCTCAGAAAGGAACCGCGCACGCGACGAGATGTTGAGGACTGATAAAGGAAGAAGGAATGAAAAACGAATGGTTTCGGAGGGACGAGAATCATACTAGTTGCCTACCTTTCCTCCCGTAAATCACACGCGATTGCGTACGCAACTTTCCGCGCGGGAAAGTTGGTTTCTCACGATTCCATTAGGAATGGACGGGTGCAAAAGTTGTTACGCCTCGATTAACTATTGAAAGAATATCTTGATCAGTCCTATTACTAGTAGTACACTTCCACAATAGACGAGAAATTGGAATGTGGCAATGGAGAACAACAAAAAAACCTTTTTTCTGAGAGGTTTTGTTTTCTTTAAAAACAATCGAGGTAGCACTTGTTATTCAGTTGAATAATATCGAATTATAATATTTTGAAAAGTGACTTCAATTTATTCAGAAATTTGAAATCAATTCACCAATTGGAACGGTTAGGAGCTCTCACACAAACAGCATTGATGCAAATCTTTCCGGATCCGCAGTGAATATCCAAAGTACATCCATTGTGAATGCTGTGAGAATGTTGGTGCTGAGAAGACGTGACGATGGTACGGGAGTACGATCCAGAAGCTCCGCAAACGCCATTGATGCACGTGGTCCCGTAGCGACAGTCCAGGCTGGTCCTGCAGCGGCCGGATTGGAAGCACGAGTTGGCCGGAATGCATCTTCCGTTCGAGTAGACGTGGCCAGGGATGCAGTTGCAAGATGGACGGTTGCAATCCACTCTGAACACATTATTTTTTTAAATTTCACTGACACAATAATTCTCGAAGTTTCCGACGTGGGGGAGCGCACTTTTGGAGTCACCTTACCTGCAAGTAGGGTTCGGGTTTTCACAAGTTGGCGGGCAAAGTTGAGTGCACGGCGAATATTGTTCGTTGAAGCCGCATGACCTGTCATTGTAGCCCAACACGGCCGTCACCTGAATTCCATGAGAATCGAGAAATATATGAAATATAGTTCTTACCAAGAGAATTGCAGCAAGAAGAATCCGGTTCATTGCGTTCGAGAAAACTGAAATTTCCTCGTCTTTCTCAGCTTTATATCCATCGCGACATCTGTGTTCAGTGTAATCTTGTTTTATGATATTGTGCAGTTTCATTCCAAACCTTCGGCATCATCAATCTTATGACACAGCTTTTACAAAGACATAATCGAGCTCTCACGCCTCCACATTCCCCACAGATTTATAGCAGAGTTGAGCGGAAGTGGAATTTTGAAATACGGAAGACGGCGGACGGCAGACGGAAGAAAATTTTTCTTACGGAACACGGAAAACGGAAGACGGAAGAAAATTTTTCTCACGGAAGATGGCAGACGGAAGACGGAAGAAAACTTTTTTCCCGGAAGACGGCAGACGGAATACGGAACAAAAAATCGTCAATTCAGAGCCTTTTTTCCGGTTTTTTTTTTTGAAAAAATTAACTAATGCAACAAAACTTTTGGATCTGGGTACTGCCCGTGGAAATTCGCGTTCTTCGGGACTAGTAAATGGCTCTTGAAAAGCTATTACTCTTTTACGGTAAGAAAAAAAAAATCCCGGAAGACGGCAGACGGCAGACGGAAGAAACATTCTTTTACGGAAGACGGCAGACGGAAGACGGAAGAAAACTTTTCTCACGGAAGATGGCAGACGGAAGACGGAACAAAAAAAACCACGGAAGACGGAAGACGGAAGACGGCAGACGGAATTCCGCTCAACACTGATTTATAGCATCTTTTCTTTTTTTCTTATTCAACGATTCATCATTCTATCGGGGATCTTTACCGATACTTTTTATTGGATGAAAACAAAAACAAAAAAGTGTACATTTTAATACAAGATTATCAGACTTAAGAGCTTCTCTTCTGTCTGAGCACATAACTGGTACAGTATCCGGACGAACAATATCTGTTGGATCCGCAATCCGTATTGTAAGTGCATCGGGTGCTGGAAGATCCGTAGGTGTTGGAGGTTCCGTAGGTGTTGTAGTTGTTATCAGTTCCATAAGTGGACGATCCGGTTGTCGACTGGCACATGTTGTTGATGCATCTCTGGTTGGTTCCACAGGAGCTATCATAGGTACAATAGTCTGAAATTAAACGGATAAGATCTTCAAAGTAATGAAAGGGTGAGTACTGTTGGATGGGATGTGAATCACACAGAGACCGTTGGCACAACGTTCATTGTTAGAACAGGAAAGAGAGGTAAGACATTTTTCTGGAATAGAAGAGGGTTGAGGGTGTGAGTTTGATAGTTAGGATCGTCAAAACTCACTTCCGGTGGAGGAAGAGTACATGGCGTTGTTGTAGGAGGTTCCGTACTGAGCAACACAGACTCCATTCGAGCACGTCTGTCCAGAGTTGCAGTCAGTAGAGTAACGGCACGTGGATCCAGCTGCAAAATTGATCTTTCAGTCAGGGACAAGAAGAACTGAAACTAACAGTTGGAAGAGTACTGGTATCCGTTGTTGTTCGAGTACGTGTTGGAGTACATGTTGCTGGACTGGCATCTGTTGTTCGTGCAGGTCTCTCCGGAACGGCACGAGTACGAGGTGGTGCAGTAGAGACCAGATCCGGTGTTCTGGTTGCTGTACTGCGAGTTCATGTCATATTGGTTGTTGTTGTTGTACGTGTTGGAGTAGAGTCCTCCGGTGTAGCTCAGAGAGCTCATGCATTGTCCGTTTGAGCAAGTCTGTCCGGAGGAGCAGTCATACGAAGAGGAGCAAGTTCTGTCTAAAATTGAGAATTGCTAGAACCTTCCGGAGAGCTCTTCACTCACAGGAACTGCTGTAGCTTGGGGTGGAGGTGTAGTAGGTGGCGGCAGAAGCGAAGCCAATGAGCTGAAAATCTACGATTTCAAAAGAAACCGTGACTTTGCTTGAAACTCACCGCGAGGAGGAGGGCAGACTGCATCTTAGACTCGATGTGGTTTCTTTCCGTCAACTCTGGCTCTTTTATACGTTCCCACTTTTTTTGTGAGTTATTTGTCTTGGACTTGATAAACATGTGCCCGTGGCCTTCGCTTCATCCGAGTAAACACATGTTTTGCCAGAAAAATCTATTGGCTCAGAAAAAAAAATGTCTACCGAAGGGCACAGAGTCAATATAAGATGATAGGGAGCCGTTGATAAGTTTGGCTGAACTTCACTCTGTCTGCTGACTTCTTTCGTGTTGTTTGGCCCATGACACATACACCACTGTTGACTTTTCGGTTACTCGATTGCCCGATTCTGTTTGTGCTAACGTGTAAGTTCATATCACGAGAAGTTAAATTTGATCGATCAAGCAAATGTTGTTACAAGAATAGATTCACTCTCTTGTTGTCTTTTCTTGATTTATGACGCGGAGCCACGTGACTATGTCATCTCAAAGGCCAGATGCTGGCGCGATTCTCCTCTTCCTGCCATATTGCCAATGTATGATTCACACTTTGTTCAAAAACCAGAGGTCAAACTGACAAACAACGTTGAGTGGTTTGAGAGATTGCCAATAACCGTTTACTTTAGTCGAACAGGCTCAAACTGACAGACAGAGAGAGTGCAAAGTAAGGGGACACGACGAAATTTCCACAAAGTGTGTATTTCTGAACTGCAATAGTAAACTTTTTCTAATTTCATCAATGTTTTAACGTCGTTCAAGCATCGGTATCGCATGGTTGGGAAAATCCGGGCCCAAGAGCGGTAGGTCCTGGCCGAATCGTCTTAGGAGCGCGCAGATAGCTACCGTAGTTTAAAGCATCGTATACTTCTTTCCAATGAGGAAATGAGCAATAACAGTAGGACAGAAAACGAGGGAATGGGCCTATAAATGGTAGTGTGTGACCGGTTATGATGAATTATAAGAAAACTCTTCGAAATATTTCATCCGTCGTTTTCCATACTTTCAAGGTTTTGTAGCACTAGCTGGGTCTATGCGATACTACTTTCTATGACGAGAACCCGACGAGGAATTATTGAAAATGCTATTCCTAAAGTTGTCTTCGAAATTTTGCGGCGTAGTCCATGTCCATTGTGCTAGCTCCAAATCGAAAATCTGAATTAGAATATCCTCCTTTCATGCACATACTGATTGAAATAAAAGCGAGAAACATTTCCTAAAAGAAAATCAGCACACTCTTTGTGGTTTCTTTTCGGTTGCACGTCCAATTACCAATATTTTATTTTACAAAGACTCCAATTTAAACTAGAAACTTGTCGATCATTCAAATGAGACTAAACACAGGTTCACAATTTAAGCCTCGAGAGCGGCCAGAGCCTCTTGTTCCTTGACAGTCTTCTTGGTGGCGCTCGAAACAAAATCAGATGGAACCTGAAAATCGGAATTCATAAAAATGAAGAATAATTAGGGCGATGTGCTTACAAGATATCCGTACACGTAGCGACGGCCGATCATTTCTCCAACGAAGAACCAGAAGATAACCTCGAGCCCGACAGCAGTGTAGACAAGTCCTTCCTGTAAGCAATTTTAATTAAAATTGCTACACGTAGTAAGAAGTTGGATAATTTTGTTGTTTTTAACGCGTTCCTGACCAAATCGTGTTGAATACTTTAAAACACTCACTTTAACGGAGAGGTTCTTGTATGCTCCGGTATGGATGAAGCTCTGGACTTTGGCCCAGTCGGCCTTGATGGCTGGCCAGTCAGCTTGACGTGGTGGGGCAAGCTCGTGCTTTCCGACGGCCTGGAAACATCTTCATTCAATGGTTTTATAACCTTTTCTTTGTTCTTGATGAAATCTCAGCGTCAGGCTTAAAAACGAACAAAATTCTCAAAAACTCACCTTCAGGATGGCGAAACGGCGCGGGAATTGAGCCTGCTGGTGACGGTACAAAGCCCCAGTGAGATTGGCGATTTTTTCGAAGAATCCAAGTTTCGGCGCGGCCATTCTGTAAGAAAGACCCAATAAATACGGGGAGAATTGAGCAAAAAACAAGTAAAATACGCGGAAAAACATTCTATTCATTTTTTCTATCAACATTTTTGGCAGAAATCCGTATTTTATGCTAAAAATAAGTAATAATTGGCGTAAAAAGGTGTCTGCACCGCCTTAAACCTCCATGTCTCTTCTCTTCGTTGCGAGACCAGCGGGGGGAGGCAGTGCGGTGGAGCGCACTTGTTGACCCCCGCTCGCAGCAAATTTTGGTGGCCACGATGAAGATGCGCGATTATCACAATGATAATGAGCAAAAACACAGGAATTCAAGATGCAAAAAGGTGCACAAAAAGTTTTTGGATACAATGATCACAAATTCTAGTCAAAGTTTCTCAAAAGAGAGTTGAAATAGTGAAAAACCATTTCAGAGCAGTAAAATAAATGGATACAAGTTGTAACGCCCCGCTCGACTTTTTTCGTTCGCAGATCAATAGCATTCCGTTTTCTGCTGAAATTCCTCAAAAATCGCCGTGTTTTTCCGCCTTTTCCTTTTTCAAATCACTCGGAAAACACAATTTTTCGTCCTCGCGCTCATTTTTCCCAGTTTGCCCGCAATTCACGCGCACTTCATCTTTGCCTGTTGTCCGTTTATCCGCGAATAACTTCAAATTGAATGTGGGCCGAATAAGGGTCTAATTTTGGCCTCCCCGCCCGTTTGCCCACGCCGGTTTGCCTGTGGGAATCATCTTTTGATGTCTTCAAATGAGCAAAGTTCCTTTCAGGACCTTGGAAAACACTTTGGGCCAAGCAGTCCTCTCAATTAACGGCGATAAAAGTGCCAATTAGTGAAGAAATGCGGGAATCGAAGGGACAAACGCATTCAAGATGTCTACAAAGCTTAGGAACCTACTATTTGCCATTTCGATCTTTTTGTGCTCCTCTATACGGATAGGTAACCTACAAATTGCCAAGAGCCCGACTGCAGAAGTGTTTCAGGAATCATAACGAACCATCAGTTGGAGCATTCTGTCCGGACCGCAGTGAGTATTATCGTTCCGCGGATAAATGAGCAAATCGTGAAGACTAGAGGAGTGTGCTTCATCACTCACACATCCTTCGTTATTTTGCAAAACTCTCACGACAATCTGAACCAGAGGAGTGAGGTTTTACTTCGAAAATATGTGCGAATCCCGTTTTGTTTCAGTATGCAGCTTGGCCAAGTCTGAAGTAACCGTGATCATTGGTGTTGTCGACCGAGAGAGCGGATCGATTATCGAAGAACAATGCGCCGAGTTGAACATACTGTTCATCCACTACTACTGGACGCCTGGCTACAAAAAGTAAGGACTGAAGGCGAAAATTGTGGAAAACAAGTGAAAACTTTGACAGAAAGCCGCAAACATCACTGAACTTGTACCCATCGATGGAGTACTCTCAACTCATGGAGCGACTGATCAATTTGTGGCGATGGGACACTTTTGTCTATATTTATTCGAATTATGACGGCGTGTTTCGTATTTTTGTGATAGTGAACAGTCATAATTTCAGCACCAAAACAGCTTATAGAAACGCTATCTCACCTCGAGAAGAGTCCCGCACTTCTGAGAGCTCACACATTGGACGACAGCATGATGGCGACCGCTCTTGCCCTACGAGATACTTGTGATCGGAACCGTTGCTGGCCCAAGAAGAACCGAGTGCTTATAGAGCTAAGTCCAAACGAGACGCTCACTTTCTTCGACGCCTCACTGAAGCTGGGGATGATAAGTGTTCACAATTGGTTCCTGATCACAGCTCTGGATGACCTCAAGGATCATCTGTCTCAGTACACTCACAATGGAATGAGAGTGTCCCTTCTGACTGTTTCGAAAGAGAAGTGGAATCAAAACGACTTGGCAATCAATCTGCCTGACATGTATCAGGAGTATCTGGCTCACATCCCCACAAACCCTCGGACACCTTTTGTAACCCTGTCCACTTGAGTAACTTGAACTTGAATATTCTCCATTTTCAGAAAGATTTCGCGTTCATCTTCGATTCTATTCTTCTTGCGTGTCACTCAGGTGACCGGAGAATCAGGACATGCGAGGACAATGAATCTGTGCTCGACTACAAACTCCCAATAGTAAAGGTGGCTGAAGCTCAGAGCAAACTAGAGCACTGAAAAAAAAACGATTTCAGCCGTTCAAAGGACTAACTGGAACTGTTTCATTCAATGGGACAAACGAACGAAGCGACAGTGAGCTGCACATCTGGGAAATGGGAATCACTGGAGCGGGACTCCATGTAAGCTATATCTTTTTGGGCGCGTTACTTATTTCAATGCTTTTATTGTAGACTGGAACCTGGCGGTCGACCTGGGAAGGATCGAAGGAACTCACGATGATGGCCAAGAATATACCCGGAACGCACGAGCACTACCAAGCATCCGTTCGAGAATCGAGGACTTTGAAAGTCACGTCAATCCATGAGCGTCCGTACGTTATCGAAAAAATCATGCCGGATGGACGCGTCAAACACGAGGGATTTTGCGTGGACTTGCTTGACAAACTGGCAGAGATGCTGCATTTCAACTACACTCTCAAAATTGTCAAGGACAACAAATATGGAGAACGGAAGAACGGAACTGACGAATGGGACGGAATGATCGGGGAAATTTTGAGAGGAGATGCTGACATGGCAGTTGCCCCGATAACTGTCACTGCTACCCGACTGGAAGTCATCGACTTCACCGATCCGTTCCTTCAACTTGGGATTTCGATGTTGATGCGTCAGCCGAATCCGAAAGCCTCTTCGTCTCTGACCAGATTCCTGTGGCCACTTTCTGCCAGGTTCGTTAAAAAACCCTCAAATTTCAAAATAATCCGATATATTTTTAGTGTTTGGACCTTCTCCGCAATTGCAACTGTTTTGACCGCTCTGCTAGTGACTGTCGCAGCAGTTTTATCACCAAAAGAGTCGACGACAGAGTTCAAGGTGCAAAACTCGGTGTGGTATCTTGTTTGTATTCTTTTGCGCGCTGGATCTGGGTACAATTGTCAAGCAGGAGCTACACGGTGAGCGAGAATGGCTGGACAGACTGTTAAGCATGTCTTCAGGTTGATATCAGCAGTATGGTGGACGTTCACTCTGGTTCTAATTGCTCAATACACAGCGAACTTTGCCGCTTTGCTGACAGTAGACAGGAAGTCAATGCCGTTCAATGTAAGGATAATATTTTCTTCAAATTACACAGTTATTGCTTACAGAGCTTTGAAGAACTTGGAAACCAGACAGAATACAATTTCGGAGCAATATTGGGCGGATCAACAATGCAGTTCTTCAAATATTCGAGAATTGAGACATTCCGTCGACTCTGGGAACACATGCAAAGTGCGGAACCTTCCGCTTTCGTGAAGACCAATCATGAAGGCGTCAAAAGAGTTCTAAATGAGAAGTTTGTGTAATTCGATATCCGAAAGTTTATCAGTTTCTTTTTAGATACGTTTTCCTAATGGAATCGGCCACATTGGACTATCAAGTGACTCAAAATTGCAATTTGACAAGAGTCGGAAATGTCGTTCTCGGATCTAATGGGTACAGTATCGCTCTGCCCAAAGGATCCAAATGGCGAGAAAAGTTAACCAGACAGATTCTGGACCTCAACGAGAAGGGAATCATTTTGATGCTGAAGAATAATTGGTGGAAGAAATCGCAACAGTGAGTTGGAGTGCTTCAGTTTTCGTTCAAATTCAGTGTTTCAGAGAGTGCCAATCGAGTGAACCAGAAGATTTGCAAACTGCTCTTGGCGCTGAAAATGTGTACGGTCTTTTTCTGCTCCTTGCTTTGGGAAGCGGGATTGGCGTGTTGTGCGCAGTGCTCGAGCACACCCACTTTATATTTTTCGAAAAAAACAAACGGAATGGCCAGACTCCGAAGCTACAACAGATGATTGAAACAATTCACGCTGAAATTCGCAATTCCCCTAAAATTTGACCCACTCTACTCATTTTTAACAATGAAGATTCTCAAATTCGTCGCGATTTCGCAATACTCGTCAGTTTTCGAAGAGAATGGTGTTTACTGGCCGTCCTCACGTGTCTGCGTCTCTCAATCGCACCCAATATTTCTTTACGAGACGTAGCACAGCGTGCGTCTCCCTTGAAACTCTCGTCGTCTGGCTCTCGTCGCCTGGCGAGTACATTCCAAAGTGACATTTTGGTAAACCTCTTTGTTTTCAAGTATTCTTTCTTTTTCTTCGATTCGACCATCCATATTCTAATCTAGTTTTCAGACAGTTCCATTTGAGCAGCCATGTCGGATGCCTACCTTCGAGAAGTCTTCAACTATGCTCAGCGCAATCACGTCGGTTTGAATTTAATTATCTGAATCTCAATTTACTTTTGCAGAGCCTCAAACAAACTGTGTCCGGAATCGCCTATCAGACAGGTTATGCTGCCGCCGGAGCAGGAGCTGGAGGACTTTTAGCTGGACCTCTTGGAGCAATGTTCGGGACATTGGCTGGAGCCGTTTATGGATACGCTGTGTCGGACAATTACGCGGTAGATAAAATGACGGAGAAAACTATTCGAATCCTGGTTTCAGAGTGCTTTCGGAATCCTCGGCACTCTGGGCGACGAGGAGAAGGACTCGCTCGCTGGTGGCATCAAGAGCATCGTCGGAGGACTCACATTCAACGAATTCGTCAAGTGGTTTCAGGATCTTGACCATCAGACCATGTTCATGCAGCTTCTCATGACTTACATGGCTGGCAGTCGCAACAAATCCACTCGTCGCTGAGTCAAACTATGGAACCTCAAATACTGATATTTTTAACTCGCATACTGTTGAAAAAGTTGAAAAATATCACTTGATAAAACTGTACATACTACACACGAAAATGGTTGTTGGTTTTTTGTGAATCATCTCGGTAGATGGCGAAATTATTGTCAAATTCCTGGAACCGAGGTGATGACAACGTTTTTAAACAAAGATAACGTTTTGCTCAGCGCAAGCTGAGGAAATTAATATTTACCAGTGATAAGAAATCACATATAACGACCAGAAAAACGACGACCAGAAAAAAGGCTTGAAGACATTTTTGAGCGTCGACTATGGAGGACAGCCTTCAGTACTTCAATGAAATGCTCGCCCATGTGGAGAGCAACCACGTGAGTTACTTACTAGTATTGGAAAGACAATTGTCTGTTCAGACATTCAAGAAGATGGTCACCGGCGTGGCAATACAGACAGCCTACACGGCTACTGGAGCCGTGATCGGTGGCGTTGTTTTGGGACCACCGGGTGCGTTGGTTGGCTCGATCGGCGGGGCAGTCGTGGGGTACTGTCGAGTGGAGAAGTACCCAAACCTTTACAAGGTTCTCAAAGAGTTAAACGACGACCAGAAAAAAGCTCTAGTTCAGTCTGTAAGTCAGATAATTTACAACTTAATTTGCGAAAGTCTGTTTTGCAGGTCATCGCTGTGGTTGGTGGTCTTTCCATCAACGAGTTCCGCAAATGGTTCTCGAATTCCAATAACCATGCGGTTCTTCAATCACTCTTCGTGGCCGCTATTGCTCTTGCTAAACAGCCGATTTCCAATTAATTTTATCCGACACTTTGATGATCCCATCTGTTAAACAATTTTTAAAGTTGTTTCAGCGCTGAGTCGCCAAGTATTTCTGGGAGCAGAGTGAAAAAAAATTTTTTTTTTTTCGATTTTTGACAAAAATTGATGGTTTGCTCACTCTTATTTAGCATTGAGGAAGAACGACGGTGCGCTGATTTGCTGACGTCAATGTTTTGTGTTTAACGTCGAAGAAACAGTTTTCATCGCTTTGAAAAATGAATGTCTCTACCCTGTCTTCTGTTTTTCATATTCTTAAAACTGAGAAAGTTAGTTGTGGTTTAATACATCATGATTTTCAAGATTATGTTCAGAAACTGGTAGATTTCGCAATCGGTATTGGTTCACAAACAATGTACATCGGTTTTGGTGTCATCGGGGGTCTTCTGTACGGTTCTCGCGGCACTTTTTCGGGAATCCTTGTTGGAAGTGTCTTGGGATTCTATTATTCATCCGATTACGTGGTTTGTGTTGGCCTTGAGGGCGTTTATCGAAATTTTACATGTTTTAGAATGCTTATCAACTTATGCCAGTTACACAATACTAGTTGGGTAAAAGGTTTTCGTATTCATTTGAGTTCATATTCCGTTGTTGTTTTATTCATCTTTGATTTTCAATAAATCCTAGTCTAAAAGCCCTCAGAGATCAGATTACGACCCGGAATTCGATTTGACACCAATCATTTTCAAAAATAGCGACTCGTTTTGCTGATTTCTCCTCCAACATCACAGATGTTACCTCCCACACAATGGATGGGGATCTACCGAGCAAGCATCGGTGGCGAGCAAAAGAAAGAAGATAAAAGAAGCGATCACAAGTGAGACGCGACAAACAACGGCTGGAAAAAGATGAAGCACAAAAATCTCTTCTCAAACCCACCATTACACTGCGTTGGCTGAACCTCTCCGACATCTGAACTCTATTGCCGGATCTCTAACCATCAAAGTTTTTTTGCCAGCCAGCCAGCGTCGCAAGGGGGTTTGAGAGCTGCTTCTGCCGTCGAGTTTACCGCTTTCTCGTGTGCTTTTGACTGACTGCTTTCCTGACTTTTCATCTTTCAGGCATGTCGTACGCCACGTACCTTCCTAATTCCTACCAGAATGATGTAAGTTTCTCGTAAACTTGCGGATGAATACGAATTTCTATTTTTTATTTTCCAGTCTAAGATCTGCATCAATGGAGTGGAATTGATCAACCGCCACGAACTTTCATCCACTCAAGACAAGGAACTGCAACGTTTCATTGACAACAATGCTCATATCATTCAATGGCAAGAACGGGAACTTCGTAAGTATATCCATCTCGATTTTTCGTAGAAACCAACTCTTTAGCCCCGCCACCACCACCACGCAAAACCCCATCCCATAAATATGAAGAGATGAGAAGGAGCTTGAGCCGTGGACCCGGAAACTTGGAGAGATACAGCTCAATGGATAAACTGTTCACGGTATGTGTGACTAGTTTGGAAACGAAAATCTTGTGACTTTTTCAGAAACAAAACAAAAACGTAGAAGCCGAACAAGGAATCAACCCCAAAGATCTTCCAATCTGCCCTAACATCGACAACCACAACTACACGAACGAATTCCCGGGACTCGAGTACTTGTCCGACAACAAGTTCATCGAAGACCTCATCAAGTCGGGTCACGTCTCCCTTGGAAACAGCGGACTCATTAGTCAACCCGGTTCTCGTGTTGGATCGGCAATGAGTGCTTCGTACTCGCAACCCCAATCGGCGACGTCCACTCTCACCCGCCAGTCTCACACCCAGCCTCATCAACAGCCACAACAGCAGCAGCAGCAGCAGTACGCACCACAACATCCAAACAACACCAATTATTACACCACGACCAGCACTACGACCACTTCCAACTACCATCCCAGCAGCGCGAGCCAATACGGTGGCTCTCAGAGTCAGTACGGAAGCTTGAGCAATGTGGGAAGTGGCAGCAACTATGGCACGTTGAAGGGTGGAATGAAGCATACCTCGACTCTCCCCCCGACTAGTCCGTACAGTAGTTTGAAAAGGTTAGTAACTTAGACACACCCCCGTGAGCTAGTTTCCTTAAAAAAAGAGCATAAATGTTTACATTTCCAAGAAAACTGTGTTAAATATGGGTTATTTGCAGAAAAGGAGTGAGCTGGCTCGATCAGGAGCGCGCACGTTCATTGTCTCCCGGTTTACACCAATACAACTTGACAACCCGCCAAGTGCAACAGCCGTACAACCGTCCGGCATCCACGATTCACACAACCACCTACACCACTACTTATTGATACAAACCATCTTTTGTAGCGATTGTATAGATTTCCAATTTTTGTTTGCCACGTCACTACCCTCGGACCATTACTCTTTTCCTTAATTTTTATGTGTTTCTTCTTCTTTATTTCTTTCTTGAGAGTGGGAGAAATAGTCGAAAACATATGTAAACAATGAAATTGTTACACTAAAACCGAAACCCCTTCATAACTGGATATTCATCTGGAGACACGAGAAATACACGCCCAGTTGTGGGAACAAGATGAAGATATGCCAAACACGACTTTTCATGTTCCCTGCAAGTTTGTCCCTGGAACTTTTTTGTCAGTTGGTTGTGCTCAAAACTTTGTCTTTATCTATCTTTTTTGAAAGCCGAGTGGGACGAGCCGCGTATGAATTGTCTGGAGGAGGCGAAGGGAGGGATGTGCGGTGCCATATGTTATCGACCGACTGATATCTCTCTCTCTCTCTCCTCCCACTCCCTCGGTCCTGATGCCATCGTTTTCTCGCTTCTCGCTCCGGCTCCCGCGGGAGAGACGCACACTGAATCCGAGTCGCGTGGCAAATCCTTCTTCCATTTTTCCGTCTGATTCTCGATTTTCTTTTTGTTTTTCTCTTGTCGAATTTGAAATAAAACACAGTCGCAATTTTTACATTTTCAGAAGTCGTTCCACTCAAACCGTTCGATCATCATGTCTCAATACGGCAGCGCTGCCAATCTGAGCAGCTTCCGCGAGAGAACTGGAAGTCCATCCTACGCATCACTTGGCAAACATAAGGTTCGGAAGGTTTTACTGCTTCAGACTTATTAGCATATACACAGCATCACACGAAATCAACAACTCAGCCATTTCATAATCCTATGACGCATTTGATCTGAAACAAGTGCATTCCTTGAATCGTCTCCTCCATTTTTTTCCTTTTGATATCAAAACAAGTCAATCATGAAGAACCTTAGACCCGAAACCCCTCTGACTGGGTGCGTAGGCGCAAAACAAAGCTCTCGGCATTCCGTCGTTGTAAAGTCAGAAACAGATATCGCGAGATGAGCCGGAGGGGGGAGAGCCATCTCACCGATCAATAGTCAATTCAATGACGTCTCGATCCGATTTCATTGCGTTTTTCGCGACCGACCCACGCCGGGAAATAAAGAATGATGGGAGAGGAATAGAATCAAAGAATTCGCATTCCCAAAACTACTTTCAGGATGACTATAACCGTTTTGAAACTGCTCGTCATGCTGTAAACAGCCGCTCGAACCGCTCGCAGACAAGCCAGGAGCGAGAGGAAGTTCGCTTCGGTGGCTTTGGAGACCGTGCTGGAAGCGGAGTTGAACTGTCTGGCTTCAACTGGTCTGGCGGAGAAGTGAGGGAAACCGGAGTTTGCGAAAAAAGTTGCCAATCGATTTCAGATCATCACTTCCCCAACTCAACTTCCGAGGGCTTTGAAGCCAAGAACTATGTTCTACTCTCCAATTGGAGACGGAACGGTTGCTGCCGACGGATATGAGCTCAAGAGGTTTGTTCTGCGTTGGGCTCACCCTACCAAGTTCAGAATTTCAGACGTCCTATGGATTTGTCTCCAAAGGTTACTGTCACCCAACTTCAGCACATCGAACGTGGTGCCAAGGGACATGACGGAGTCAACATCATCGAGAAGAACTGGAGCACTGGCGGATGTAACTTTTGAAAGTCCTTACCGTTATAGAATTTAATTTCAGCGGTTCCACCAAGCGAGGCCGGATTCGGAAGTGAATACGGACCGGGAAGCGGAAGAAATTCTCGTGCCGGAGGAGGTGCTTTCAGCCCAGAGCCATTCCCAAAACCGGCAGCCAATCTTGGCAACGGAAAGCCAGCTGCTCCACCAGCTGACTATGGCTACCAACCAAAGTCTGGTAGGTTCTGAAAAGTTTCAAAAAGTACAATTTTACGTCTTTCAAAGTATCGTTCTCACCGTTTTCCACTTCTTCCCCTTTTGCGTGCTATCCAAAAAGTTTTGAAAGCCGGAATGCGCGAGGCTCTTTTCTTTCCCCAATGCTCTATTTAGATGCTTTCCCAGCTCGCCCGGCAAGCGGACTTGGACTCGGAGGCGACGGAGGCGCCCCGTACGGAGGATCGCAATCAAACTTGGGACCGAAGGATGGACGCAACAGCGGTAATTTTGAGAACTCTTCCCCTAAATGTATTATCCCTATCTGTTAGACATGTCTTCAGTTGTTTTCCTATTTCTTTATCAGAAAGTTACCGGATGAGTTAAAAGTTGTTCGCTTATAACGGTGATGTTTCAGTTGCCTCTTCCGTCTTCTCCGACCCATCTTATCGTTTGGACACTAGAACTGGATATTTGATCACCAATCCACGTGAACTCATTCACCAATTCGCTACCATGACCCCAGTGGCCACGATTGACGATAGCGTCAACAACACGCCGGCCACGACCACGGTTCAGAAGCACAGCTACTACAAGAGAACTGAGGAGACTACCGAGTGAACTTCTGTTTCAAAACAGGTTGTTATTGTCGTTTTATTGCAGAGAACAATATGCTCCGCACGCTCCGTACAAAGCAAACCACGCGGTTGCCTCACCAAACAAGTTTGTTCGTCAACTCCGTGATGATAGTGAGTTGCTAACAACGTTTTGCATCAGGCAAATACTATTTTGTTTTCAGACCTGACTCACAGCCAGCGTGAGGCCAACACCCACACGGATCCACTCAACAACAGAGATCCTAACTTCAACCAGCGATTCCAAGAGATCCGGACCAAGAGCACCACGTACTCCAGGTTAGTCTTATTTGCTTTTTTCTCAAAAAGTGCATTTGTTTTCAGAGGAGGGGATGATATCGACCAGCTGACGCAGCAACTTGTGAGCGGTTTGCAAACCGGAAAATCACGATACAACTGAAAACCCGAACACATATTATCAAACCAATTGGAAAGTCACCGCTTGTATCTACGTTAATCTAACCCTTGTCTTTTTGCTTTCAACTTCGACCCTCGAAATTTATTTTTCGATTGATGCCATTTACTAATGCAATACAATACAATATTTTTATTCAAAATAAACTGTTCAATTTACAAAAAAGGGTAAGTTTGCGTAGTCTACAGTTTGGATTTCTTGGCCTTTTCGAGAACAGTCTGCAGTTTCTGGAGAAGCATTACGTTTCCTTTCACTTTCAGTTTTCCGCTCATGAATGCCTGCAATGTAATGTTTGTTTGATGTATTAGTACAATCAGTACCTTTTGAGCATTCAGTTTTCCGGCTGCGATGTCGACAAAGTCGTTATCAGCAACAGTGACCGTCGCGTTGGCCTTCTCTCCGTTCTGCACATCTCCGAGGTAGACGGACGGGTTGGCACTCTTGAAGTCAAGAGCTGAAATGAGAAAAAAATAATAATTTCGTTATTGGTTCAAAACTTACTGAATTTTCCGAGCTCGTTCTTTCCATCGGTGATAATGTAGAGAACGATAGACTTGAGGGTCTTGACGGCAGTTGGGTCCGCTTTCACACCGTCAGCCATCTCTTGGAAGAGAGCGCTGCTCTTGATGTTGGATGGGAAGGCTCCACCGGTAGCACCGGTGCTTCCAGATCCTTGGGTTTCAGTGGTCCCGTGCTCCTCAAGAACTCCGAGTAGTCGGGTCGTCTGTTCGGCCATGGTTCCAATGTACTCTGCTCCGGTCATGTCAGTGATAGTCGTCCAGTTCTTCGCAAGATCGTCGGCAGTAGCATTCGAAATGACCTTTCCCTTTGACTTGTAGTACTGGATGGTTCCGTACCACCCAGCTCCAGCTTCGAAGACCTTTCCTGACTCTGGGAACGATTCATGAACCAAATATGTCACCAGAGGAGTGACATAGTCTGGCTTCAATGCGTCAACAAGATTCTGCGGCATAACAGTCTCTGTGAGTCGGGATCCGGCTGTTGGGACGAGTGTATTGGCAAGAATGTTGTACTTGGCTCCTTCCTGTGCCAGAGCATTTGCGAAACCGATGAGGGCACTCTTCGCAGCCGAGTAGTTGACTTGACCGAAGTTTCCATGGACTCCAGCATTGGAAGAAGTGACCACGATGCGACCGTACTTCTGATCCCTCATGTATGGCCAGGCGGCCTTAGTGACAGCGTAAGCTCCCTTGACGTGAACCTTGAAAATAAGGTCTGAAAGTGAGAATTGTTTCAATTTAATTTTGCAAATATGAATGCAATACCCCAGTCAAGCTCTGTCATCTTGAGGAAAGAGACGTCACGGAGGATTCCGGCATTGTTGATCACAATATCTAAAAAATTACTATATGCACTTCTAAAAATGTTTTGAAAGTTACCGATTCTTCCAAAAGTGTCGATGGCTGTCTTGACGATCTTGTCCCCAAACTCAACGCTGTCGTAGTTGGCAACAGCCTGTCCTCCAGCGGATTTGATCTCCTGGACAACTTTATCGGCCATCGAAGTGGAGGAAGATGTTCCATGACGGTCACCTCCAAGGTCATTAACAACAACTTTGCATCCTCTCTTGGCCAATTCTAGAGCATAAGTCTTTCCGAGACCACCTCCAGCTCCGGTGACAATAGCGACCTTTCCGTCAAAGCGTAGAGTCATTCTGAAATTAAATGAGTAAGAAACGGGAATGAGAGAGAAAGAAAGAATGACGATGGACTGATCGACGAGTGTCGAATCAATTGATTATAAAGAAGGCTACGGTGTGGTCTCTCCTTTTGTGTCCAACCATTACAGTGCGACGCAAGAAATGTATGATGCGTATGATAAAGGTACACTCGAGTCAGCATGTCTGCATCATTGGTAATCAAGAAAACAAAGGGACGATGTAACCTAGAATTGGATTCATTTTATAACTTGTACCGTTGGATGTAGTTGAGATTAGATTGTAGTGTTCAAAAAGATTCCAATCGTTTTTATTGAACCTTGTAAGAAAAAACAAGGTTCCTTTCACAAAACTTTATTTGATTATGATACGACAACTTGCAAAAGTGAATAACAGGATCGTACAGGCAAAGGGGAGGTTTTTCAATCAAGTGCATGAATGAAATAAGGCGGAAGCGGTGGGGATACATGTAAAAGCGCCAAATACAACTGGCAATGAATGAATGAATTGAAAAACACACACACACAAATGTTCTATGACCAGTTTCTAGAAAAGGTATGAAAGATGAGGAAAAAAGTGTTCGAATCGGTTCAAAGTCCGGGGTTCAAATACACAATACACGAAACGAGGATGAAATAGTACAAATATATATGTACAAAATGAAAAACAAATCTAACGAAAATGTACAATTTACAATAGAAAAAAGATTCACTTGTTGGCGACTTGTCCGGGCACATCCTTCTCTCCCCACTTGCGCCGCTCGTCCTGATAAGTATCCGGACGGAGTTGATTGCGGAGACCGCCAAGCAGTTGATACGTCACTTGAGTGGCCATCACGATGGGTCCGAGGCAAGTTGGTACGGCGTAGCGGAAAGCACTACGGACCACAGAGTTACCGGAAGCCCGGTCTTCTTGAGCAGCCAGTTCGAGATCGTCTCTTGTTTGATGGTAACCCTGAAAACATACATATGCTTAACTTTGTCAAAATTAGGAAAGGTAACTCACGTCGTAAAGGATTCCATAAGCCAACTGCAAGCTGTGTCGGATGTCGGTAGGGTTCATTCCATGGTTCTTGTTGTACCGGCGACCAGCAGCTCTTCTTGTCGACGGATCATCTGGCTTACACTCCTTCATCGTCATCTCAGCAATGCTCTGCACAAATCCAGTGACTGTTTGTGCCATTCCCACGATTCCAGCCGCCGAAGAAACACTGAATGAACCAACTCCTCGTTGAACTCCTTTAACGACGTTTCCGTCCTTCTTGCGGAGTTCCTCAACTGGCATCCAGAAAAGATCGACAACTCCTCGGCCAATTTGAACGAGTGGACTAATTGGTCCGTAGCTGGCAATGACGCTGGGCATATTTGTGAGAAGATCTCCGGACCACTCTCCAATCGCGTGCTGGAAGCAACGCCCGGCGCTCAGAATTCCAATCTTGGTATCGATTTCTCGAAGGGTGATTGGCATCTGGTTAAGTTGTCCGAAAGCCATGAGGAGGCCAACAAGTGCTCCTGCCTTCTCCGTGCTGATTTTGCGCTTTCCTTGGTAATCGACATAGATGTTGACAGCTGGAGAGAAGACGAAATGCTTAAAGAACGTTTCTCCGCGCTCGGCTGCTGCTTGAACGTCTTGGTTCATCGCTGATGCGTCTCCCATCTTTTGCTCCTCCATTTCTTCTTCCATTTGCTTCTTCTCGCTTTCCTCATCGTCATCATCAATGCCGTCCAAGAAATTGCCATGCTCTTCCTGATCATCACTCGTATCCACCAAATTGTGAACGCTTTGTGCTGGATGGATAGATCCCATCATTGTAGAACGCATCAGGATGTCGTCGTTTGTCAAATGTGGCATCTTGAGCGGCGAAAGGCCTTCAGCTTTCATTTTCAGATTGGTTTTGAGAGGACTGGAGGTAACTGGAGACATCCTCGATGCTCTCAATTCCGGCTCGTCGGCAAGGTCGTCAAGTCCGAACAGTGGCTTCAACTCTTTCCGTTCTGGGAAATAACTCTTCTGCATTGGTTTGGGAGAATCGATCGTTTCGTAGTGAATTTCATCTTCCAGCCAATCTCCCTTCAAGTCTGACAAATCAGCGGGGTGTTGCGAAGAGATGATCGAGCTGTTTGCTTTCTTCCCGGGGGACAACGTGTTTGGGACCGGTGGGAATTCATCCGCTTCGTTCGAAGAACTTGAGTACGTGGATGAGTTGTTAGAACTGTGACCGGACAGTACATCGTCCGCGTTCTGCATCTCATCCAGTTGTCTGAGCTCTTCACGAAGTGCATCCATTTGAATAGGGTCCATGTCCTCTTCGCCGTCTTCATCATCGTTTTTGGTCTGATTGAACATTCCTGCCCCTGAAAAATGAAATAATTACTAACGTTCAAACTTAGTTTGAATTTGGTTATTACCAATAGAAACAGCAGAAGCGGTTAGTGGAGCGTCAATGATTGGACGCTTCACAGGCGACGAATGGTTTTGTGAAATCCTTTCGAGGTAAGACACATCGCCTGAAAAAATAAGATATTAGTATGGTTAAGTATATATGAGTGTGAAAGCAGATGCTGGTAGCTACAATTCTTGCTGAACGTACCTAATGGGGTTGCAGGCTGAACAGGAGACGGCTTGAGAGGTTCCAAAGTGAGCGCTGGGTCAGGAATACTCGGATACATTCTCTGGACGTCTCCTTCCGACGATGAAACTGACGACTTTGGTGACGATCTCTTGGAACGATCGGCTGGAACTTCAATCATAGGCCGTGGAGCCAGTTGAGGAATTGCGGTTTGGGCTTTCGGCAGGTCGAGTAATTTGGATGTTTCTTCAAAGAAATCAGCAAGGAATTCCAGTGTATCTTGATCTACATTGATCTTGATTGGCAGCATGGAGACTCTCATTTTGCCTTCCTTTGCGTGAGTCTCGGACATGCAAACACTGATGATCGGAGCGTGAGTGCGTCGTGGTTGCGAGCTGCATGAATACTGATACAGCATTTCCTGAATATCACTGGCTTGTACTCGGTCCTTGATCACAATGTCTCCAATTTGGAACAACGTTGTCGACAAAAGTGGAGCAGTTTTCTCGAAGATCTGCTTCAGATACGTAATTTTGCTCAATTCCAGAACCACGTATGCAGAGTGATCACGGTTCGGTCCTCCAGTCGCGTTCTTCTCAACTTTTTGCTCCGGCCCATAGCCACGACGGTATTCTTCGGTGCAGTAAGTTCTCAGCGGAGAAGGATTTGCGCTAAGGTCGTTTCCAGCGTACAGGCTGAGTTGGAGAGTGACATCCTTGAGCAGATACCGCAGAACGGGGTCTTTGATTGGCGACATCTCTTGGTAGAGTGCATCGTTTCCGCTGTCATCAATCGGAAGGTAGATATCGTTTCGGATGACAACAAAATCTTCCAAATCAACTGACGACAAAGTGATCGCTCTAGTGCGGGAGTCGCCAGGCGTGTTGGTAATTCCGGATCCAAAGACTGTGTCGTCGACCATGCAGAACTCCTCATCCGTCAAAGTGAACATCTTATTGGCTTCCTCGAATTTGTCCCTTCTTTTCTTCGGCACTTGTTTGGTAGGTGTCGTATTCGTCATGAATTCCTTGACGGCATCCACACCGATCGCAATACCAACACTGTCGTCCTTGTCAATCAACGCGTCCTGGATGATTGCCTGCAACCGCTTGTCGACGTCGTCAGGAAGGCTGGCACCGACGGTCATTTTCTGCATGTGCTTGCTTCCAGTCGAAGCATCACTCCAAACTGATTCCGCAGCGACACTCTTGGCGATGTCCTCACTTTTACCCGATTGTTCCATGTCCGAGCGAGCTTCGTCTCCTTCTGATCCTTTCGATGACGCCTGGTCGTTGTTGATGTACTCCATGACCGTTTTGATGAAAGCGGCAAGCGAGTCCGCGCACGCCCACGCTTTGATGATATCGTTCTGGCAGCGGATTTCGAATGCTGGTTGCGTTCTTGGGCCTTTCTCCTCTCCAACGGCAAACAAAATGTCAAGTTGGACAAATCCGATATCCAGGAACGGAATAAACTTCTTTCCGGAGGTCTTTGGAACTCCGAATCCTTCAAACCGAACAACATCTTTCAGAGCATCCTGTCCCATGTACAATCGGCAACTTTCGAAGATGCAAAGTGTCTTGGAGATGTTCATGTCAGACACAATCGAGCTCGCCAGATTGCACTGTCCGAGGGCAGCTCGCAGTTTCAGCTTGCTTTTAGGGTTTACCCACGAGTGATCGTATCCTAGAAGAGCGTTCTCGAAGCATATATGGAGATCGGTAGAAACAGCAGGCAGCTCGTATCCAGGAATGGCGTAATCTTGAAGAGTGAACAAATCGGCCAGCTGGGTGATCCAGAATTCTCCCCAGTTTTTGAAGGGTTTCACTTGCAGCAAAGAGTTGCGGAGTGCCAAACCAAGAAGTACGTCCTTCACGTTTTGCTCCGGCTTGAAATGCATGTGAAGAGCAACCGCGAACGCGTCTTCTGTCGATCCACTGCTCAGTTCATCGTCCAGCGGCACATATTCCAGTTGTGTGAGATCTTTTCCCCATCTTCCGAAGTCCTTCATGCTGATCACATTTGGCATGCGAGACAACTTGTTGAGATCGATACATCCAACAGCTGCTTTGGAAGAGGTGAAGTGGAAAAACGTGTGGTTGGTGTCTCCATGGTAACCGGCTGTTGTTCCAATGTGCACTTTTTCCAAGTCCAGGCAAACTTGTGATGGTTCGGCTGGCTTATCCTCCTGTAATCAGTAAGTTTTTCTCTGTTTTTAACGTATGAAGTAGTTTACCTCTTTGATGGCCGTATTGCAGAGAACGGTGCACTTGTTCGCATTGAGAGTCATCACAAAAGTGTGTGGCTGCTCTCTATCAAAACCAATGCTCTCGACGCTGTTCCGCATTGTCGGTATTTCATCTTCCAGATCCGAATGCTCACTTTCGGCTGAAGAACAGTATGAAATCAAACTCTCGAACATTCGATTGTTATCTTTACCATAGTTCTTTGGCGCCACGCATTCTTCAAAGGAGTCCAATGGTTGGATCTTTGCAGCTGCAGGCTGAGCACGGAAAGCTGGAGCGGCCGGTTGGAACAGCGCCAGATCATTGACAAGGCGGTTGTAAAGAATCTCAAGGAAACTCTTTTCAGGAATGTGCAATTTGAGGTTTGGAACTATAAAAAGCATAAGTGTTGCAGCAAGGCCTTCACAGTCATGTTGGAATTTCAGAATCTCATCTCGTGTTCCTGCTTGGATAATCTGAAAGAAAGTTACTTATTATATTTGTCACATTGTAATACTGTGCGAACCTCATCATTTTCATCTCCAACCTGAGAGCAGTAAGACCGTGGAACTTTTGAGAATGGTCCTTCTTTTTTCGGATGAGCCATCATAATATCGGCAGACACTGACTTCAACATGTCAGGAGGAATGCCGGATGATGAAGACTTCCGTGGGACTCCAACATTCTTCTGAATCTTCGAGTTGAGGACAAACTTCAATTTGATCTTGTCGAATCCAGTCTTGCTAGCCAAAAGGAACCTCTCCTGTTCCTTTGGAATGTTCAGTTCTTCTCCACAAAAGTCTCCAAACATCTCGTTGCAGAGAATCTCAATCACAGATAGTTCTTTCTCGATCGGAATGGTCACATCAATGTCCTTGATCCCTAACCGAATAAACTCGTTGTGAACGTGTCGCTCGGCAAACGGAAGACGGGAACCGTTTGGATCTCTCAGGTCAGCTTTTGGTATCCTCAGGTCGACGCTCCAGTTGATGCACTTCAAATTCACAGTCGTTTTGGTTTGCACTTCTCCCTCTGCCGTCGTGTCCGCGTAAATGTCGTCCTTCAGTTGCGGTACTTTGGTTTCGTTGCGCTTTTTGGACGCTTCGTCGAAGAAGGGCCTCGGGTAGATCAGATTGGCTATTCTGTCGACGATTGAGAAATCCAATTCAGTTTTCACTGCTCCCAAAAGCACGTCGATCTTGGTGTAGCCTTTCTCATCAGAAGAAGTGCCCAGAATCATTTTGAAGTTGGGATCTCGTTCAGCATTTTCTTGCTCCGAGTAGTCCAGAAGGTTGATTGTAAGAGGACCATCGTGTCCTGGGCAGCTTTCCGGGGCCAAGTATTCGACAATATCGAAATGATTTGCGACAATACGGCAGAGGAACGAATCGACTCCGGCAACTCGTTTGCAACTGGAGGTGACCCCCAGAGCTCCTCCGATTATCCGCAGATGATCTTTCGGGTAGAAGGAGTCGGTCGCTTGTCGAATGGAGGCGAGTCCGTGCTTTGAGAGGAAAGAGAAACCGTTCACTTGTTTGAAAAACTTGGTTGATTCCTTTTTCAGCAAATCCAGAACGTTGGCATAGCCTCCGCGTTGCTGTGCGTAGTCTGCCGCCATGTAATCGCAATGTGTTATGAACATGAGCAGCGTTCCAATGTGCACATTCACCGTGAACTCTTCCTTCAGATTTCCACTGGCTTCTGAAAAATACCGATTATATTCAATTCGTGGAAATTTTACAACGTACTCAGTGACTTGAATCGTTCTTTCTCCGAGTTCTTCTCTTTTCGCAACGATTTCGGATCTTCGAATTCCCGGAAAACCTCAGCGGCCTGGTTCCAATTGCTGGCAAAAGCTCTGTGATTGCCCAGAGCACTTTCCGGTTGCTGATTCGTTTCCATGTTCTTCGTCATTTTCTCGTAATCCTCTTTTTCCATCGGTTTCCCCTGCTCGAGAATCGAGATCTCTTTCGGTGCAGTTACAGATGAGAAGAATCTGAAAAAAGGCCATGAATTTGTATTTTTCCCTCTTCTACGACAGACGCCACACTGTAGGTACAGCTGTTCGCCTTCGCTATTATATGCATGAGCTAGCCATGACCGAACGAGCAAAAAGGATGACAGATGGCACGAGCAGCGGCAATTAGTCCAGGCGGTAGAAATAAAGAAAAAATAGGTTTACCTCTTCAAGATTTCAATTTGAGAAGGCGTCGCAAATACGTTGAATCCTTTGATGAAAATATCAGTCTCAATCTTGCTTTCCTCCACGTCGGCCAGATTCACATCATTTGCAGCGTTCTTTATCCGGAATACAACCGAAATATCACCAACGACTTCTGCGCATTTGATCGGATCAGAGAAAAGCTCCGGCTCAGCAGGGGCGGTCCTCAGTGTCTCCAGCTGATCGGGAGATGCAATGTCTTGCGTCACTGAAACATAAATCAATATTGTAAATAGATTTTTCCGGAGAGAGCTCACATTTGTCATAGCATGAATGGAATGCATCCATGTTGCTCATTGCAGACAAGTACATCTCGGGATGCAGCGAATTTTGGACGGATTTCGTGGGAGACATCTGTTTTGCCTTTTCTCTTCGGATATGCATGCTTGTGATGAGAATGTCTTCTGCTGCACCAACGCCATCATTTCGAATCTGAGAGAAGACGTCTGTTGACACCGAGACGCCTGAAACAGATGCAATTTTATGGAAAATTCAATAAAGTTCTATTGACGCACCATGGAAGCTCAAGTTCTTGTTGAGATTGGTCGACGAGCCGATGCCATGTGGTTGAGTGGTCACCAAATCGCTCGCGTTCGTCTTTTCCATTTCACAAGAGCGCATCTGTTCGTCCATGAAAGTGACCATCTCCACGTGGATCTCCACTGCAGTCGCCATCTCCGACTGATCTTTCGGCTCATTTTCAAACCGAAGAGTCAGTTTTTTGATCGTCAGGCAGAAACGGGAGTAGACTGCGTTGATGAATCCCGCGAAACTGTCGGCGGTGTCATCGAGTCCAAGGAGTTCTGCACTCAAATTGTTCTCCCTGGACATTTCGTCAAAGACACTTCGGGCCATATCATCTGTGTCGAGGCCCATTAAGACACTGCCAATCATTGACGTCACTGAAAAAATATAATTACTATTGAACAGGTGAATTTTCCACTTACGTGTCTCCATGTCGTCCATTCTCATGACGTCTGCACCTCTGAACGTCAGCTGCAGGTCTTCTATGCACATCCTCGTCGGGTCGGTCATGAGCCTGAGCCATGGGATTTCAATTTTAATCCGGCCCAAGTACCCATCCACCAATTTCAGCGGGATGCTGCACTGGGAGAATCCTTGACTCACAGCCTGTTTTATTATCTTGGTTTTCAAATCAAAATTATAATTTCTTACTTTTGTGTTGATGTCAAGGCTCTCAAGCTCCAGACACCCGTTGGCCAGTTCGAGCGACAACTGGTCAACGGACAAATTGTTGTCCAGCCATGCTCCCATGTACCGCTGGAGCATCATTTTGCACCACACGCGGTTAAATGTGTGGAGCGTCATTTCTGAAAGAAAAGGAACTGTACAACGTGTGGCACAAATGTGTTGAAGGAAAAGAGATTCGGAAGAAAACACATGACGACAGCTCCGCTTTTTTGTTGTTTTATTGTCAACGTCTATCAATATCAATGTCTTGATAACAGAAAAAAGAACCATATTAATGTTTCGAGGTTTGTCAACTGGTCTGTCACCTGACACTTGCGGACACAATGTATCAAGAGGAAAAACCTGGCAATTGTAGAGAAAGAGGCACGAGAAACGATACGCCGAACAAAGAGGCATTAGAAACAGTGGTGGGAAGAGGAAGAGTGAGAGTGAGAGAGAGAGAGAGAGTTAAGGGTAACCGGACAATGACGCCATCCGACTGTAGTATTCAGATGCAAAGGCGACGGAGGCTGCGCCGTCTTCAAGAGCGTACGCGACAAACAGATGAAAACGCGCTCCATCTCAGGGACTTGAAGCCCGTAGAATAGTGGTAAAAAGCGAGAAAGAAGGAGAGAAAAAAAGAGCCAAGGGGCACTGACATCGTGGTCCCGCTTCTTTTTCCCACGAAAACAGCTGATGTACACTCTGCGTGCTAGACAGTTGGTAGGCCAGGTACTTTGTTCCGACCGACCGACCGCCAGATAGCCTCAAATTTCAGGGCAGCTGGACAGGATCGCGACTTCCACTGTTCAAAACCGGTTCATTCGATCATATCTTCAAAATCTGCAAGTGGCGGCCGGCGGAAGAGATTAACTCAAACTATTCGCACATAGGCAGTTGCCGACTGTCAAAGTTGGTGAGAAGAACCGGAATTGAAGCAGTCTTCAACACATTTTGCATAGCACAGCAACAAAGAAGGAAGCCATCAAAGTTCTATACTAGGTTAGTTCTGGTGATTTCCCAAAAGTATGACTTTTTCTTTTCGCGACGCGAAAACTCAAACAAACTCTTCGACAAACAAACAATGCTCAAAAGTATTGGAATTCTCTGTTGCTCTCGCTTCGTACAATATAACTATACTGGCGAGATAGAGAAAAAAAAACGGAAGTGCGGTATAGAAACTGATACGTCTCCAGTCTTTTTTGGTCAGGCGAACGCTCCACTATGAAAACAAGTCGCTCGCCTTCTGCAACTCTCGTTTTTCAGGCTCTCTATTGCCTGACGTGTTCGTTTTTGTCAGCGAGCTCATAGGAAATGAGAAAGGAGAAACGGAAATATGAATAAGAGTCCAATGAGTCAAGGTGTTGAAATTCTATGCACATACTAATGTACTACTAAGGGCAGGGTCCACACGAGCCACCCAATAGTTGAGTTCTCTCTATTCACAGCTCAAAGGGCAAAGCCGCAAATAGAGCAAAAGCCGGAGGGAGAATTTGGGAAAGGCAAGAGGAAGCGAAGAATGAGAAAGAATAGAGATAGCATGCGTCGAGCCCCCCCGTGGAGTGAGTACACTGTGTGCCTCAGTCATGTGGGAAGAGATGAATTGTGCGTTAGTAATGAACGGGAGGATGCCCAAATAAGAGGCCACATGGTCCGATAAATAATAAGATTGAGAAACGCAGAGAAAGATAGAGAGAGCGAGAAGTGAGTGCCCGCAAAGGTGCCTTGGCCATCTTAGGTCTCGAGTGGCATGTCAACTGCTGGTGCTCCTCCGTGTGCTTCAGTAGATAAGGTGCATTACGACAGGTAATCGATTGATTGCGGTGGGCTGATTAGAACAAAATAGATAAGGTTAGATCGAACTATGCGTGTTGGACTGGCTGACTGACGACGCGAGAGTGGCTAGGCTGGAGAAATCACATGTTCGTTACACAGCCCCTCACGGCGCACAAAGTGATTCTGACGGCAAAGTTTCTTTCATCAGATTTCATATTGCTTTGATATTACAACAAGATCGTATCTCACGCACAAATTGCTAAGACATTTGAAATTCGAAATAGAAAGCTGTTCATTTCGGACAGTGGTAATGGAAGGGTCTCTAGCGAAAAGTCTACACACTCCCATTGAGCAGGGAGCACGGAGGAAAGAGAGAGAAAGGAGAAAAGAGCGATCACAAGACACCGAGTTCTATTTAGTCTGATGGAAGGAGGAGGAGGAGAAGGAGAGGATGGAAGTACGACTGCACTATAGTCCACCTATCTTCATTGTGATTAATTAGTTCTACATAAGTTCAATGATAATCTAGTGCACTTATTAATAATTGAATAACTTACTGTTCTTTGCGTAGGCGAAGAATCCGGACATTGTCGAGCGGCTGCGTTGTACCCGTGAATGAGGAAAGACTAATAGTATATTGGCCTGTATTTGGTGCGTTGGCCAAGACAATGAGGGGGTGGGACCGATGGTGCAACTGCTCGCACAGCGATTAACCACAACGCGAGCCCTGGTGGACGGGAGGCTGTCTCGGAAAGAGGATTTGTGTACAGAGGTCGGACGGACGGACCCACCCGGCCTCCGTAGAGATTAGAAAGACGAGATTTTGAGCAGAATGGGAGGTCTAGGTAGGTTAACCTCATTGGAACTTTGTTACTCCGTGTTATGTGTGAAAACATGAACGAGAGGAGCAAATTATGAAATGATGAGCAAACATTTGTCGACTTGATAAGGACCGCTATTGCATAAGAACCTCGAGAATAACCTTCGTCTCTACAGTGCCTAGTACTGCCTAGTACTAGTACAGTTTTGAACGAGCCAGACAGACCTACTTCTCAGAGCGGCAGAGATGAAAGAATGTCATGAGGAATGCAACATCGCGTGAAGTGTGGACACCAACAACCACATTACTCTCCTACGGCCAGGATTAGGCAACTCTCAGAAACGCATTGCCTTCTGGTATTATTATTTGAGTCTATCATTGCAATTCTTCTTTATATGTGACCGCTGCAGATCACTAATCTCGGTGGCAGGTGTTTCCAGGTGTGTGCATTTAGTTTGGTTTTATATTTCTTTTCAGTCCACAATTCCTAGTTCAATCTTTTTGGATTTCGGATTTGCATGATATCTGCCAATATTTGTCATTCCTTCCTATGATGGTTTTTGATTTATTTGAGAGTTCAAGAAGATACAGATCAAGTCGCGTGCACCAACCTTTTGTCGATGGACGTCGAGCATGACGTGCGTTCCAATTACAATCGTTGCAGTGACAAGATTAAAACCCCATCTGCCGACATTTAATGAAGACGTGCACCTGTTCTGTAAGCAGAGGGTGCTAATTGCAGGCGGCGAAGAAAAAAGGAGCCTCATGGGGAATCTGAAGAACTAATCTGTACTACGTCACATTATCGCAATGGGTCAATTATTTTTCTTCGGGACTGGACTGCATCAGAACGGTTCTAACATACTCGCAAGAGAAGCCATAAGAGTTTGAAGTGTTGAAAACGAAACGAAAAGGAAGAGAAGGAGAGGGAGAGAGAGAGATAGAGAGAAATGGGGAGACAAGAGCCGTATTCAGACAATAGAAAGTCGCGTGTGTAACATGTAGCATGCCGCGCGCGGAAAACGTCACGTGAAAATTTGGCCCCAATTTCCATTTCCGCATGACACAAATTTAAATTGCCGCCACGCGCCCGTTGTCTGCGTCTTCTCGATTTGACGTGTGTCAAAAAATCTCGTTATTCCCCGATTATTCAATCCAATACGAGGGAAGGTAAGCGGGTAAGAAAGAGAAACACGAAATTGTTTTCAGAATCCTCAGTTCTTCCGCTCATTAGCATAGCGTCCTAGTCAGAATGCGAATAATTAGGGTAAACAGAAAACGTTCTTTATCAATTACGTCACTGTTTATCGATGATGTGTGTTTCCGACTAAATAGGCTCATCAAATTTGAGATAATTGTTTGGAGAGCAAGCAGAATATTGAAAATAGTAACGCAGTTGACTTTACCCAAGATTTGAAAGAGCAGAACAATGAGGAGAATAACACTTGAGAGTTGGGTGGAAAAACAAGGATGTGGTGGCAACCCTTGAGAGTTTTCTGTTTATAAATAATTGCTCTGCTGGGTGCCCGTCACCACCACCACTTCACCAAACGATTGGTTTTACACCAAAGTGCAAAGGGGAAAAGAAATGCTTTGTTTTTACGAAAATGAAGCCTTCGTGGAGGTTACGAAATAAAATTCACGTAAAGTTCAAGGTTCACTGTTCTTCCGGCAACCGAACTTTTTCGCAGAAAACAAAAGCGATTAGGTGGGGGCGCCGAAAACCAGTAAAAGCCAACATTGCGCACAACGTGGAATAAGAGGGAGGGGAGAGGAAAACAAAATATGTAAACAAGTCGTCTCTTGCTTTTTTTATAGCGCTCTCCGGTGTCACTAAAAAGTAGTGCTGGAAGAGACGAGTCGAGGGGCAGTTTTGCCAACAAAGATCATAGAACCGGTCAATAAATATTTTCCTAGGGTCTTCATAAAGTATGAATATATTTGACATTGTTTATTTGCCTGATAAATGTGTGAGGGGGGATGCAAACAATCAACCAGAGTGTGTGTGGGCGACTGGGACTGAAAAAAAAAGAAATTGTGTAATCGATACGTGTAAAGCATAGCAGGTTCCATTATCTATTCATCAATCTGTGTACGCACATGCGCATCACACATTTTGAGACAAGAAAAGAAGAAGAGGAAGAAAAAGGAAGAAGAAAGAAGAAAGAAGAAGCTGAATAGAAGGAGGAAGGACGTTTTGTGAATTATAAGTCGGTTTGACGGGCGAAAATCTTCTGCAAATAATAATATTTGATTAGAATTGGTTGGCTTGGGGAGAGGGGAAGACGTCGTGGATGTGGATGGAGGGAATGAAAAGGAAGGAAGGAAGGAAGGAAGGAAGGAAGGAAGTAACGGAACTCATACATTCTCAGACTTTATCGAATCCATATCTTGGAACGACACGCTTTTCGTTGGTGAGAATTTGTTTTGCTCGAGCAGTATTCCCTTCGGCAGTTGGACTCTGAAATCATAAATCTTCGATGAATTCCAGATGTTCTGCTCAGTTTTTCGTTTGCTCTATTCCTCTTCAACTTTTGTGCTATTCTTCTTTTTCTTTGCACTCGCAAACTTTGGGTCTTCAACAGAGATTTGGGGAATCCACATTCGTCAAAACAATTTTCAAAGAAGTTCCGCGGATTGGGCTAATTTTTGAAGACTCTGCAAAGGTAAATTTTTACTACCGCTTACCGCACAAAATCACGTTCAGCGGACTCCTCAAAATCGGTTCGAGACTCGTTCTTTTTCTTTTGCAGAAAAGAAATCTTGTGTCTGAGCATTTCCATCGATGCATTCCTTCTCAACTCGTTCTTCACGACCCGATTCACAAAATCCGCCTCGTTCAACTGGAGGCTGGAGACCGACGTGTCCGTCGAACCAGGAATTTTTGAGTAGACGCCGCCCGAGTCCACACTTTCCATTGTCGAGTTGTTACTAAAACTAGAAAATTGTGTTGAATATTTCAGGTGTTGAATGTGAATGTGTGTCTACCTTAGTCCGGGACTCGTGCTGTTGACGAGTCTGTTGGGATGAAAAAAACGAATGAAGCGGCAAATTGTTTTGGTCTGCGGGGTGCTGAAGTTGCAACCGAATCGGATGTAGCTTCTGGAAAACAATTTGTTGCTTTTCCTCATCTTTCGGGCAAACAATAATAATCATATAAATTTCCGGCTTCCTTACCGAAGGTGCTCAACAAACAGAAGCGCGTCCCCGGTGGCGAACTCAAATATTCCAAGGGATTCGACACTGAACCCGACGCAGTGCTCCCCTGTGGCCACCCTAAAAGTTTATTCGTTTTCAGAATGATCAGTCTGGTCTCTCTTACCAGATTAATGATGTGTACGGAATGCAATGTACGCTACTTGGTCCGGAAATTTGCAAAGTTTCGGTGAAAGTCAAGTTGTACACCCCTTCAGTTCCTTCTCTTCCATTCACCTGTTTCAATTTCAGCATGGTATAGGTGTCAGCTGAAAGAAAAGGAAAAAGTTCAAAACCAGTTCCTTCTCAAAGGTTTTCCACATACGGAATTCAAAGTATTCATCTTCTTCTGTCGGCGAGTCAAGCGACGTGCTTGGCGCAATTGTTACATATTGCATCTGGAAAAAAAACGTTATTCTCTAGATAGATGGTATCACTTTGACACATCTGGGGTAAACATTGAAATATTCTGACTTCCAACGTAAACACTGGTACAACCTTGCTAACCGGTTGACTGGCATCGAAGGTGACATGAGACCACCTGACGCGCCAGAAAACTGACTTTCGTCACGGCTAATGAAACAAAATTTGCAACAATTTGAGGGAATAGACAGTGTAATTTTTGACTGACAAACGGGAGGGGTTTGATTTTAAACCAAGCCTATGGGACTGACCTTCTTGGGAAAACAGATTGTGCTCAGAACATCCATGACCTTTGGGAGCTCCTCGCTTGACAGCTGAACGGTGGAGTCATCTTTGAAGAGAAGTTTCACAAAAGAAACTCCATTTTCTCCTTTCGATGGTTTTAATGAGACAACTTGATCTAAGACGACCGTCTTTGCCGGCTCCATGTTCTTCTTTTTTCCATCAGTCTGATACAATTCGATTCTCGCTTTACCCAGCGCATTTTCATCAAAGAAGTTTGCCACGTATGACTTCCATTTCTGCAAAAAATGTTATTTTTTTAAATTTAAATTCTATAAAATGTTACCTTCCCGATGAGTTTATCCTGATAGAGTTGAACTTCAGACGTGAGCAATGGCTCCATCGCTTTGATGTATTTTGATGGGAGAATAGACGAAAACGCCTGCAATATTGAAACATGAAGATTGAAGAAAAGAGGGAAATATTTAGAGAGTCCAGAAACATGAGCGGCAGACGGAGCACGTACAGAGAAAATTCGAATCGAAATCAAATCGAAGTCGGCGGTCTCACAAACAGAAAAAGGCGAGCTGTCAAATAAAATGACGACATTATCACGCACATTAGTACGGTCGTGAGTGTTGGCCGACGGACGGCATGGAGCCTTCCTTGTCGGCTTTCGAAATGTGAATGAGAAATTTGATTACATTTTCTCCTAGTTGACCTAGCCGCGGCTGATTACATCAATTTTGTCAAGTTCCATTCTTTTTAGGCAATATGCGAAAAGTATGAGGAGGAGAAGAAGAAGAGGAAAAAGAAGAACTTTGTCCCAGTCGGGCCTATTTGGGAAAGCTTATGTCTTATGTTCCCCACTCGAGAACGATAACACAAGTGATGCTTAGCGTACCTGCCAGATTACTTGAATTGAGTGCAGCATTTTCGGATTACGAGAGGACGGTCCTGGCATTTCCGATGATCAGAGTGAAAATGATGAATGGGACATTGGAAAAGTGGTGTCGAGGGAGAGAGAGAGAGAGAGAGAAACCGCGGGGCACCACCACGTCGAAATTATTTGCATTACAACCACTTAGATTCCCACCAATTTTTGCAACAAACAACATTCGAGAGAGATAGAGAAAGACACTTGCTCTGTTAAATGCGCACACTTTTGACCGTTCGTCGACAAGTGTAAGATGTGCTCGTTCTGATAAGCGCGGCTCATAAAGATGCACGGAAATAACTGTACCTCCGATAAGAAGGGTTTATGAGTGCCACGTCATACGACCAGATTTAAACCAGAAACCAGACGGTCTCAGTTACACTTCAAATGGGGAGAAACCATGCATATGCAATTGAATTGAACACCTTTTGAAGAATACGGTGAAGAAGAGGAGGAAGTTTTGAATTTCATTTGGTTTAGCATCTCAGAAGAGAACGGACGGTTGGACGCTCCCATCTAAACTTGTTCCGTACATTAACATGCTTTTAGAGAGCAAATCGTGAAATGGTCTTCTCCAGAAATGGAATAAAACGGAACAAAAATCAGCACCCATCCCCGATACTGTTGATAAGCGGCTTATCAGTGAGTGCAAAAACCTTTTTCCAATTATTGACCGTTCGGTTTTGATCGGATGTTTGGAATGAATGAGATAGAGACAAAATAAGCGGAAATGAGTAGGTGGAATTGGACCGCAGCTAGTCATAAAAACTCAGTGGTGTTTGGAGGGGGGTTGTATCAAGTTGTATAATTTATAGACAGACACGCACAGAAATCGGGAGGGAACACAAGTGTTTCATGCCCCCACCGGGTCGGTTTCGTTTGAGTGACCCGCTGCCGATTATCAGTCCCGAACCTGGGCAAACATTCAAGTTTTCCCTCCGACCGGTGAGGACAGCCCACGCGCCAACTGAAACGTGTATTTACATTGCGAGAAAGTTAAAATAGTAGGCTACGAAACGAGAATCGAAAAAAAACAACTTGAGAAGTTTGGGTATAAGTATAAATGGCCAAAGGTTCCGGAAAATTTTGCTTTATGTCAGGGCCGGGCCGGGCTGATACCCTAAGCATTACTCGAGAGAGATAATACAGTTTTAAGACGACATTAAGAGAAAAAACGCTGTTTTATGATCCTTTGTAAAAATTCAGCGGTTAAGTTGCACAAAGCGGAAAAGAAAACAAAAAGGCGAAGAGGCTCAAGATGATACACCCGGCCATAATCAGTACATGTGTGCTCTCGTGTATAAGAGACCCTTCCTTTGATGAGCACCGCCCTATGCTCAATAAACCAATGGCCTAACACGCGGAACAGATGGCCACTGACCCACTTGAATTCAAAAAACGAACACCTTGGGGCCATGGAGCCAGGCAGCAGAACCACTTGTTCAGTTACTGTCCTCGTCTAGTTTTGGAGCGAAACGAACTGACTGACGGGCCGGAATCGAATAAAAGAGGGAAAGAGAGAGAGGATTAAATGGTTTCGGTTCCATTGAATACGTTCGGTCCTGGCGGCGACCGACTACACAATAATGCGACAGTTTTTTGAGTGAATGACAAAACGGTCCCGATAATTGAGCGAACGATACACTGATACTCCGGAGTGAGTCATGCGGATAACCGCGGACGCGAAATAGTAGAGACCGTTCGAGAATGAGTGACTGTCCAGTGGGCGAGAGGAAAATACGTGATGAAATACAATGTCATTGCATTGTTGTAACAAAAAAGTTTGGTTAGAAACTTGAATACTGAAAACTTGATTCGATTTGGCTTGAAATTGGTTCGAAATTGGTTCCCTTTGTTTCCGGTAATTCGAGGAAAAACGCAAAAAATAATGACTGGTTTGGTAAACAAAATGGTGGTTCTGTTCCAAACGTTTATTTTTGTCACGGGGGTCGCGGTGATTCATTTGGAAACAATGTTGATGTCGTAATGAAATACGGAACTTCAGTGAAGGCACGACTGATAAAACGGCTACCTGATTAAACGAAAAGACCGATGGAATCTCACCCGCTGCCCAGTTTATCAATCAAATCGACACCTCCGCCTATCAGGGGAAGATGTATTGCGCTTGATCGGGTAGGGTCGGTCGCGTCAAAAAGGTGTTGTGTTTCTCTTTTTTCGTCACGGGAGACTGCGACCGCATTGGCGGTAAACGGAAAGACTGAAGAAACATCTGAGGCATCGTCATCATATATATCATTGCGAAATGATTGAAGGTCTGCGAAAGTGGCCCCCGGTAGGGTAAACGACACAAAAACATGATAATGGGTAGTGACAAGGACGAGTAACCAGAAGAAAACGGATGGATAACGACTCGATAAGTCGAGAGTAAAGTTTCTTGGCGCGCGCGATCGGCTATTAGATTCGAAAAAGCGATAAGAACGCAGTTGGGTTGATTAATAGACTATTGGTTTTTGACTGGGAGACAGAAATGCGAGAATTCCATTGTATAAAACGAAATAAAACAAATCGACCTGCGATTGCAATCTGACGGGTAATTAGCATGTCCGTGTATAAAATAAAATAAATAACTCGGAAGGAAGACATGTGTGTAACATGCTGAATAGAATACTGAACTGGTGGCGCCAAATTTTTGACTTGCGACGACTTTACTAGGCCAACTTGATTGAACCCGACAGGTTGGGCAAACTAAAAACTAACGAAGCAACGCAACTGATACCCGATCCAATTACATATTGTGTTCAGCTGGGAGCGGGGAGAGATGTTTTTCCTATCACTCCGAGTGTAACTTGGTCTGGAGAGAAAAGAACAATTGCACTCAGTAGAGTAAGTTATGTAAGTAATGCTGGACGGAGGAAAAAGTCAAGAAAAAGTGGGAGAGTAGTATAAGAATGGGGAGGAACTGTGATGTGCTGAATAATGTGATGGGAATTGGGCAACGGGGTGTATGGGGGATAGGGAGACGAGCAAAATGACGGGATGGATGTGAAGCGGTAATTGAAATGACTCCATATGATAGATGGCTGGGGACGGCCAACAGATCACCTGCTCCTCCTCTCTTCCGACAATCTCTTTCCCTCCTTATTCCCTTTTCGTCAAACCGCCTATGATAATTTCGGTGAGATTTATGAAGCTCTCTTGAAGAAGCGGCATTTGGGGTGAGAGAACAGGATAAATCCAAGCCGACAATAGCAAAATGATAGATCAGAAATGAGAAACCTGGGGTGAGAAAAAAAGTGGAATGATGAATGATTTCTGAAGAAGTGAGAGAGATTATTTCAAGGCCTCTCCTCTCAATTCACACATTGGTTGGTGGTCAGCGATATCAGCGAATGAATGAGAGACGGATGGTCTGGGAGGTTACACGTCTTGCTGTGCAGATGGCACACTATCCTTTGGCGACGGAGAATTGCGGTTGATTTTCGTCATGACATACATCAAACAAGAAAAAAAAACGTTGAATTTCATTGGCGGCGGGCATAATTCACGTCTTTTTTTGCAACTGACCGGAAACGTGTATTGTGTGCTCTTTTCCTTTACAAACACGCATGGTTGTGCACGAAGATCGCGCAAAACATTGCCTATTGCTTCTTCCGCGCGAGTGTTTATTTCAACTAAGTCGAACAGAGCTCGAATTTCGGTTTTAGCACTGAGCAGGCAAGGCAAGTGGCGGCTCGAGTGAGTCTAAACAAATCTTCAGTAGTAGACGACGAACGAAACGATTTGCACCGGGGGCATATGGAATAATGGATCCCTCTTGCAAAGTGTTCAAACACGAAACATGTGTGAAGAAGTGGATAAGCATGAAAAAGTGAAAAACCACATGTTCCTCAAGCAATTCTCTCAAATTTTTGCTTTTCGAAACCGACCGTAAAATTTACTCTCCGTACCCTTCGCCAACGCAAACTCTGTTATCTTGATGCCGAAACGCAAACGAAAAGCAGAAATGAAAATCATAAAACGAGGCATTTATCACAGAATCACGTTTATTACGATGATGCAAGGAATGGCAAAGGTCACATTTACACTGACTATCCGGGGTTAAACGAGAAGTTAGGCACTTTTGGAGGTGGCGAATCCGACTCTCTTGTTTCCGTGATCGAAGACCGAGTAGAAGCGTCCGATGAAAACGTCTCCAAGGATCCAGAGAGGTCCAGCTGGGGCTGGGATGTCCATTCCCATGAATCCGGAGAGGCAGGTGGATCCTCCGTTTCCGTTCGAGAGCTGGAGAATGTAGTCTTTTCCTTGGAGGTTGAAGTCCTGTCCTCCGAGGTTGAAGGTGATGTTCGGGAGAGATGGGATCTTGCTGCAGAGCACCTCGTACTCTCCGTTAAGCAGTGGGATTCCTCCGATCTTGTGCTGGATCTTCTTGATGACGTCAGATGGTCCGGTGAGGAGGGAGGTTCCGGTGTCGACGATCGAGTCGATTGGTCCGTTGGTGTAGGTGGTTCCGTCAATGCTGACCGAGGCGAGCTTGATTCTCCAGTAGTCCTCAGAGACAAGTGGCTCCCAGGCAATATCTCCGGTGTAGTGGTTTGAGTCAGTGTCGCAAAGGGTGATCTCTCCTCCGTTGGTCACATCGTTGGCGTCACGGCTAAGCCAGAAAGCGAAGAGGGCGTTCGGGCAGATGGCCGAGTTGTTGAAGATCTGGTCCATTGGCTGCGAGATCTTGTTGACCGAGATCGAGTCCCATCCCATTCCGAAGATTCCGTCGAATTTAGCGGCAACAAATGTGATTCCTGGCTCAGAGGTGGCGCAAGCCAATCCTTGATTCTTGTCGGTACAATAAGTGGTGTCGTGTCCAAACTGAAAGTATTATAATCTTTAGTGTTGCTCGACTAGAGGCCAGTTTGAAACGTACGCAAACAACGTCGTTGTCCACGGTTCCCTTCATCGATCCTGTTCCGTATTGAATCTCAAAAGCGGCTCCAGTAGCAGTGCAGGTGGAGGACTTCTTGCAGTCAAACTGAAATCAAACATTACACACTTTGAAAAGGGCTGTGGTGTCTATGGCTGACTCTGTTGTGCATTCTGCAGGCAATATCTCCGAAGGGGCAGGTGGAGCATGGCACCCACAAGTTCGAAGATCCGGTATCGAACAGAACTTGGAAGTTTTGGGCTGGGGTTCCGATGGTGATTGGTCCGAAGTACTGAGCGTTGGAGTAATCAGAGAGTCCCTCGTTGTAAGCGTCATTGCTTGGAATGTATCCCTTGACGTACTTGGTCTTGAGGTGCTCTTGGATCGAGCCAAACTTGTACTGCTCGCGGGTGTAAGTCCGCTTCTCGAGCTTAATTCTGTTATAATACAAAGATAGTTTAGGGTGTCTACATGGGTTTGAATTTACCTTTGGATGGCAGTAGCCGCGGCAACAAGAGCCAGAAGAAGGAAAACGCGAGCGGTCATGATGGAGTCCAACTAGCGTTATCACTAACCACAATCGGCAGTCCGGTTTCTTATATACGCGCTGAAAGAGTTGATGATATAATTGTACGTCATGACCATTTTATGTGATAATTATTAGAATCTGAAAACGGAATTGAATCAGAGTCAAAGTGATGAGCTAATAAAATGATGTGCTCAAGGAAATCGAGGATGATGTTTCTTGATTTGGTCTGACTGCTTGGTTTTTATAGTATTCTGTTCGTGTTTGTCGTCTAGAATTTAACACGCTGTTTGCTCCTTTCCAGCATGTGAATCATTGTCGTGTCGTGTCGAATCATGTCGAATCGTCTTCGTGAACAGTGTCGGAACACCCTGATCAAAGTAACACACATTCAGGCATATTTGCTCGAAGTTCTCGATGTTCTATTCTAGAACTTTCAACCGTCTAGAGCGACTAGAACTTTCTAAGGCGATTATACTGAAATTGTAACGAATCGACGCCAGATTACATTGTCTTGTCAGCAAAATTTATGATAAGGGCAAAACGAAGTACACAGCCAAAATTGGAGGCTCGAATGAACTTGACAATTGTTCACAAGGGCAGGTGTGCACATAAAAGTACCATTACACCAGTTCCACAAATCAATCACAGACGGCAGGCGCCAACGCAGTTCAGCTCTTTGAGTTTATCATGCTCTAAATAATCGTCAACAATCATTCCGGGGATCCAAATGGCTTCGTGTCGCTCAAACCGCCGCGGTGTAAAGAGCAGGCTGTGCCGTCGAGCCGAGTTAGCCCCGTTGTAACGGATCTCCTCGTTCCGCACGCCTCATCTCTTTCACACAAACTCTTCACTTCAAATGAAAATTCGACTGCTCTTATTTTGCCAAATATTCCTAGTTTTTCTGTTATTCGAACGGTCCGAGAGTTTCAAACCGCCTCAGCATGTGTCTGCGACGAAAGGAAAATTTTTCGTTCACAACTTGCATTCAGCCAACTTTTTCCCAAGTACCGGTATGTAAATGGGTTCCGATATACCGATAGACATAATTTCTTTCAGTGAAAGTGAGATGGGAAGTGACTCTCAACAACAAGCCGGCTCTCCCAAATTGGCTCCGTCTTCTGCCGTCTCGCCACCCGGAAATCGCTTATCTAATCGGTGATCGATACACCATTAAACTAAAATCATCTTGTGATCTTTATCAACGTTTCAGGCACTCCGGTTACAAATGTGCAGCAAGTCACCTTACACGTGATCGCCAAACGGTTGGATAATTTTGCTATTCAACAACGGATGCTAGTGATAAACTTGGTGGAGGATTGTGAGTAAAACAAAGAAGGAAAGTGAAGAATTAAATGGAAAATGTTTAGCAAACTATCAAGGAAACACACAGCAAGTTTTTGAGCTACCTTTAAACGGGGTCGACGTAGAAGATCTGGTTTCCAATCGAGACAGAAAAATAAGTGAGTAACCCCAGGCGGTTTTGTAAATTTGTGTGATGTCATTTTTTATGTTCAGATCAACTGGAAAGCGCATTACGCAACACATTCCGAGGTAGAAATGTGAACCCGTATATTGCGGACATCCGCCCAAGATATCTCATTCCACGGGGAAAAGAGCACATCTTCAAGAACAGTGTCGGGTGAGAAAATCCATTCCTTTATTTTTATTTTGGCCGTTTTTCAGAACTGTGGTGGACATTGGAACACAACAAAAGTTCTATCCGGGAACATTTTCAATTGTCAGAAATCTGCAGACTACACCAGAGTTCTGTTCGAGACCGTCATCGGTGGTGATGAATAAGTACTTTGCCCCTGTGTTTTCAGTTGACTGGTGCAATGTTTTAATAGTAAGGAATACGGAACACAAGTCAGAGAATTGTGTTTTGATTTCAGAGAAATGTGTCCGCAATCTTTGATGAGGATGATAGCGAGGAATCTATTAAAAAGAAGGTTACTCTCGATAAGTCGGAATCAAAGGATAAAGAAGTGAGCTCATACTTTTCGAATCATAGAAACAGTTGTTTTGACAGCAATCAATCGATCGACCCGAACCGCCACCACAAGAAATCTACGGCTACAGTGGATACAACTTCTTCAACAGTGTCATCCTGTTCCCCGCCATTGCAATCATCTGTGTTATTCTCATTTTGGTACTGAGTCTCATTTTTTTTGGAAACAGAGAAGGGCAGAAATGGCGAGACTACAAAACTTCTGGGTAACTTATTCAGCCTCGTCTTTTTTTATTCAAAATCTGTTTTTGTTGTAGTGAAACCATGGAGGAGTACGTCAGTGTCTGCCAAAACCAGAAAAAGCTGCGAGAACTTTCGATCCAGCGTCAGTTGCTCAGTATGGGATCAGAGACCAACTCGGGCACTCCAACCGGTGAGCGAATCATCGTAGTTTGTTATCATAGTTTGTGTCCATATCAGGAATCCATTCCTACTTGCAAACAAGAAGCAGAGCACCAAGCACCATTGCCAGATTCAGTAAGAGTGCGAGTCGCCTGAACGATAGAGGTATTTCGCAATTATTCAGGGTTTTCGCAGTTTTTTTTTTGATTTTTGATTTCAGAGGATACAGTTGAACTTCTCCCGTCTATTGATCACGTTCCAGTTGGAAAGCAAACAGTAGCGGAAGCGGCAAAACAGTGTGGAAGCTCTCTCCATCTCTACAGAAACCCCCTGAGTGACGAGAGTGACGAACACGAGACTGAGAGCTCTGAGGATGAAAACTAAACGTCTCAATATTCGTTTTTAAAAATGTCTTTTATTTCGATGAGTTTGATGAGAATAAACGATCTCAGTAGTCGAAAATCGGAATGTTAGTGAACTTTGCGGTGCAAGAAGCTGCCGTGCATGCAGTCGTAGCGCCCTCGAACTCGTAGAACATTATCAGATTGGTGCCTTTGTGAAGGAACTCGGACGGAATGTAAAGGGTTTGCTGAAAAACGAGTGTTTGGCGTTTTTCTGATAAAACGCCTTACCTGAGGCCCGACTGTGGACCAGTATCTTCCGATGTTGTACTGGTTGATAGTCACAACTCCTTTTCCCCATCCTCTCACATCGAGAAAAGTATCAGCTGGAGCGGTTTTGATGTGCAAGTTCCCGATGAAAACAGCTGGTTGGTTGACGGCCGCTGAGTTGGAGTCGGACTGCTGAAGTTACTCGGGGTAACAAGAAATTGATTCAAAAAACCTGGGTGTTCATTTTGTGCAACACTTGTTTCTGAATCTTTTCATAGTTCTTGACCATACTGATCTCATACGTCTCGATAGGAACTTGACAACTCTGCCAGTTTTCCAGAGTCACATTGTGCATGTAGACATTATCTTGAATTCCCTGCAGATATCACTTTTCTCAGTTCGCAAGATGGGCTCACTCTAGACATCACTGGATAATTTATGCTGGATCGTCCGGCGATTTCAACAATAATCTCAAGCGAGTTGACGTTATCCAAACATCCTTGAACTTCAATGGTATTGTTATGAATATCAGCAAAATCTTTGTATAGCGCACCCTGGAAAATACGTGTTTGAATCTGCAATTATTTAAATATTTCTTACAATGAAGTTGCGATTGAGGCCATAAGTTCATCAATTATTATCCAATTTTACTTCTGTTAGTTCTTTTGTCTCCCCTAAAGGAGACGATCCAAAAATTAAACAAGACGCTAATTTGCATTAGGTCATTCCCAGTTTCGTACCTCAAAAACTTGGGTAATTAAACCAAAAAAATAACAGCGCTCGTATCGACTAATGTTTTGTGGGCAGCCGACATGTCCGAGGGACCGCGAATCTCTACTCTCCCGACAATATCGGCCAACACACACTGGCCATTGAGACATTGTTTGCGAAAATGTCACCGACATAGAGTGGCGATGATTTCGCTTACGACCATATCACGTTGAATACACGCCATCCCGTCCGATCTGGCAAGTTAAGCAACGTTGAGTCTAGTTAGCACTTGGATCGGAGACGGCCTGGGAATCCTGGATGTTGTAAGCTTTTGCCTTTTTCATCTAAATTAGCCATTCGGGCCCTATTTCGGCCTTTTGGGCCGAAATATTAGGCCATAAGTTCATCAATTATCATCCAATTTTTCTACTGTTAGAGCAGCAGGGGCAAGGTCCATGGTGGCCCAACGGTTTGTGTTTTTTTTTCCGTTTTCAAAAACAAAAATTGAATTTACTCACCCCTAATGCTACCTTCTTGTTTTTCAAGACACTGATGTTTGTTCCAGGTGGCCAAGGCGGGTACTCTGGTCCCAGTGGGTACGGAGAAAATGGACCGAATATGAATAGTTACAATAGCAACAATGGTCCAATGCCCTTCAACGGTGGGAATATGAACGAAAATGGTAATGGAAACGTGGATGACGGCATCAAAGGAAGCATCGGAGGTGCTGTGGAGCCGACGAGAGCACCGTATCCACCAAATGGATATGGAGGCTATGGAAACGGAAACGGAAACCGTCCGGGGTACGGGAACAATAACGGTTACGGAGGCAATCAAGGATTTGGTTTAATCGAATGGCCGGGGGATACGGAAACAACTTCGGTCGGCCGATTCTTCCGCGCGGCGAACGCTTTGTCCATGGCAGACGTACTTGGAGATACTAAATATGGTTTTGTTCCATTCTCTCCACGCAACACGGTCCTCCAGAGATGGAAAGTGGTCTTGGCCTCAGAAACGAAAAAAATTTAAGCTATTTTGGTCCCGAAAAAGAAACATTTTTTTGCAAATTTTAGTTTTTTTCGAAATCTTCAAATCCATGTAACTCATTCAGTTTCTAACGAATTGTAACTGTTTGTGGATCAAAATTTGCGCGATAATTTTGTCTATAGCTCCCAACTTTGATTTTCTGAACAAAATTCTTCTTTTCAGCCATTTTTCGCAGAAAACCAGAAAAAAGCATTATGGCAATTTAAATTTCCGCCGAGTTACGACTTCGCTACCGAGGCCACGCCTCTTTCCATCTTCGAGCAAATATTATTGTTATTCTTTGTAAAAATGCTTTCTGTATATTCTTTCCGTCACGAAATTCTCTGTCTTTAACTGACATTCTATGAATCTTACTTACCCTTTTTCTCTACCGCCTACTCTTTAGCAATCATCTGTACAAAACAAAAATAGTACGAACGAGACATGCTCATAAAGGGGCGGGTACCGTACAATAATTTGCACCAAGGCCATAATGAAGAAAATGTCACTACGCCTCCGCAGTAGCATTCGTCGCAGTGTGCGTCAGATGGGCCAGCAGTCAGACGACGCGTTAACTACTGAGAAGGCACCGTCTTCCCTTCATTCAGTCGAAGACGATGTCGTGGAGGATGATGTTGCTAGTGAGGCCGTTGCAGAAACTAGCGAGCCGAGTGATAGCATTTCTGATATTTTTGTCTGACGACGCGCTACCCGTAACCGAGGGACTTACTGCCCGGTCAGGTTAGTTCTCAGTCCAGGTTCTTCAAAAATCGAGAAAGGCGTCCAAAAAAAGGCGCACACTCCTGCGAATACATAAAAAAATTCTTTTTTTCAGAAAAATGTTAAAAAGAAAGAAAGCGGAGTGGCACGTGTTAATAACTGGCGGAGCGGGACATCTTGCAGAACAGTTAGTGTTCGCGCTTATCCAACAAGTCAGAGAAGATGTTCGTCCGAGAGTCGCGGCCACAATGGAAAGCAAAGTAGAGACTGAGGAAATCGAGGAAATTAGTTTGTCTGAAAAAAGTATCGATGAAATGATTGATGATGAAATCACTGCACGTCTACATAGTTTCATTCGGATTGTTCTTGTAGACCTCATCTGTCCAGACATGACCCGATTCAATGAGTGTGTCTCGTTCATCAAAGTGAGTTATAACAGAAATTGAACCATACCCCATTGCTTTAAGGGTTCTTTCGATGACAAAGGAGTTATGCAGAGTGCTTTGGAATACGTTGACACTGTATTCCATTTGGCCGCCGTTGGAATGACTGGACAATATGCGGTACCTTGAGTTTGACGTACTACGATAAGTGAAATATTGCAGCATAACCGCAAGGCATGCATGGATATCAATGCAATTGGAACTATGAATCTTCTCGACTGGAGCAAACAGTTTGGAGTCAAGCGCTTCATTTATACTTCATCTATTGGAGTTATCTTCCAAGGAGAACCACTTGAGAACGCTGATGAAAACGTGCCTTATCCTCTCTTTGTTGGTTTTTTGCTTGGAACGTTTCAATCCTATCATTTTACCTGTTCAGTTCTATAATTACTATTGTGAATCGAAAGCGCACGCCGAACGCATCGTTAGACAAGCTTCGTCGGAAAGAATGAAGTGCTCCGTTTTGCGTTTCAATGGAATATACGGACCCGGGGAGAAGAGAGTTACCGAAAGAGTTAAGGTATGAAGCATGTGCTTAATGTGGCTTTGATCGAAAAAACATTTACAGAACTTTATGATATCGGGTTGGTGGATTGCTTGCTGTAAGCCCGATGGCGTAGAAGCGCAGACACAGCTTTCGTCCGTAGACAACTGTGTTCACGGACTTTTGCGAGCCGAGATAACATTGCGCAACTGTGACGCACCACATGCGCAGGTACTCTATTCAAAAAAGGTTGTTCTCAACATTTGACGTATGTTTTCAGATTTACAATATCATGGACCCAGAGCCTGTTGGAACGTTTTCGTTCTGGTCTCCACTGAATGAAGCGCTGGGATTTTCATGTTTTTTGGTCGACATACCATCTCACGTACTACGCTCTTGTGGTTATGTCTCACAAGTCATTTCAAATATTCTAAGAATTGATCCCATTGTGTCGCTCTTGGAAGTGGACTTATTGCTGACGAACAACACATTTAACATCAACAAAGCCCGTCGTGACCTTGGATACAATCCTCATCCTGATTCGATGCCAGACGTAAGTGTCTCTAACTCAATTAACATAGTGTTCCGGGTTTTTCAGATAATCTACAAATACACAAGTGAACTAACCCCGGAGGGACTCGAAAAAAACAACACAAAAAGAACGTCGTTATCAAATGGATAGTATTCGTTTCTGTTGTTCTTTTTCACTGTGCTGCTAGTCCAAATACTGAAACTAATTCTAACCGCATTGAATTTCCTTTCCTCTAAACGTCACACCTATGCTTGAAATTACCATTTCCTCATTTTTCCAATATTAATAGCTTTGTAGTGTAAATGCAAAATGACGAACAGTAAATTATGCAAATAAAAGAATTTCTGACCAGCCTTTCCAGGCACAAAGTTCGTAGGTCTCAGATCAAACTGTTATCTGTGGTTTCTATGAAAATCGGTGATATTTCGATGTGGCCACACCCTTAAGAGCATTTCCGCAGTTAGCACTATAAAAGCTGGAAACATGGCATAGCCCCTATCGGCTACACTCAGTTCTCGGTACTCTTTTCTTATTTCAAGTGTTTAAGGCATGACATCACTTGTGCTGTTAATCATTTCGGCGATAGCACTTCTGTCGGGGTACAGTTCTTTAACAATACAACAAAATGATGTGTGAGAACTTTTTCAGAATACATGCGGACAGTTCGTTCAAAATCGACACAACTAACCATCAGTTTCTTCTTGACGATCAGCCATTCCGTTACCTTGCTGGTGAAATTCATTATTTCCGAATCCCAGCGACGAAATGGGAAGATCGACTAAAAAGAGTTCGGTCAATGGGATTGAATGCAATCACAGTGCCGGTTCCCTGGAACCTGCACCAAATTGAATACGAATCGTGAGAAACGTGGTGATAAGTTTGTGTTTAACCCATCTATTACAGCATTCCCGATTTCACAGGCAATCTGGATCTGTTCAAGTTCATCCAAATGGCTCAGGATAATGGGCTGTACACTTTAATTCGACTGGGTAAAATAAACATTTCAAGTGATTCGTTTAAAAATCAGTTACTTTCAGGACCTTACATTGCTGATGAGTGGGAAAACGGGGGTCTTCCATGGTGGTTGATCAAGAACACACATATCACAAAGTACAGAAGTAGCAACTTGGCGTAAGTGTGAATCGTTTCCACAAATGCATTCGGTTTGTTTTCAGATTCATCGCAGAAGTGTCACAATGGTGGAACTACCTGCTACCAAAACTGGCACCTCTAATGAGAAAGAATGGTGGTCCAATCTTAATGGCACAGATTGAGCATTATTATGGGTCCACTGGTATTTGCGATCAGGATTATCTTCTACAACTCGCAAACCTGGCTAAAAAGTACTTGGGCAATGACGTGGTTCTTTACTCTGGTTAGTGTACCTCTAAACATTGAAATGTTTTGTTTTTGTTGCAGTTGACATGCCAATGATGCCGTTTTTTTGCAATGCGGAAGAGTTCCCGGAATACTGCCAACCATCGAAATGAGTCCGAACAGTGACACAAGTGCAGCGAACGGTTGGTTCCAGCAACAACAAGCTCTTGCTGCTGGTGGCCCTCGAGTTGGCTCACAATTTCTGTTGGGTGTTTACAAACTGTGGGGCACTTCTGTGAATGATCCGTTTACAGAAGATGTTATTATGAAAAACACTTCAAGGTGAATCAAAAAAACTACCAGTTTTAAAAAGAAAAATTATGATTTGCTTTGCAGCGGGTTGGGCGCTCAACGCTAGTATGAGTTTTCACCTGGCTCATGGAGGAACAAACTTTGCATTTTGGAACGGAAACAATGCACCATACCCCGTAACTACGTCATATGACTGTTTCGCGCCGATTTCTGAATCAGGAGACACGGCGACCATTCTGTTGGCCATCAGGAACTTCATCAACAACATTCCGGGATGGCCCAATCGACCAACGAGTGTTCTTGCCAACACTCCCAGGAATATTTACAGCGACGTGGAAATGAAACCAACGGATACACTTATCGATTTCGTAGTGTCCATCAGTACGAAATGCTGGCTCACTGAATCGTTGCCGTTGACTGCTGAAGACATGAACCAAGGATATGGATTTTTGTACTATCAAACTGTAAGAGAATTTTATCACCAATTAAGTAAACAAAGAAAAGTTTCAGAATATCACGAGCTGTGGAAGACTAAACATCTCAAAGTACGCAGATGACGCCTACGTTTACTTGAATGGAAACTTTGTGGTACATACAACGTTAGATCTTGCTAGTATTCAAAATGATAATGTTGAGGGTGCCCTGTACAATCAAATGGCTGACATTCACAACAACACAATTGACCTTCAAGGATGCTACAGTGGTGAAAATAATTTGGAAATTTTGGTGGAAATTTCGGGTAGAAGTCACACGATGTATCCGTCAATTTCAAAGGTAACTATTTTGAACTCAACTGAACTGTATGTAGATTAATTCAGGGACTCCAAGGTAAAGTTTTCTTGAACGATAAAATCATTTCAATCTGGAATTACTGCCAAATCCCAATTGGAACCACTGAACTGAACATTGTGAAAAACTATGGAATGATTCGCGAACAAATTGCCAGAAGCACAGTTAGGACTTTATTTCTAATCAAAGTTTCGACTATATCAATTACAGAAAACATCTGTGAACACTCAGCAACCGGCAATATTTACTGGAACGTTAACATTGTCGTCGGACCCAATGGACACTTATATTGATACTCGTGGATGGGGAAAGGGCTTCATCACCGTCAATCAGTACAACATTGGCAGATATTGGCCAACTGAGGGTCCACAAGGCGGTTGAACTTTTGAAATACACTCTGATCAAAGTTGTTCAGCAAACTCTCTACCTCCCATCTGATTTCTTGCAAAAAGGCGTCAACACCATCACCTTGTACGAGTTTGAAGGAGCCGGATCCGCTTGTGGTGGACAATCTACCTGCACATTGAAGTTTCTCAATTATCTTTTGTTCAGTTATTAATACTTTTTTTGCCAAAATAAAAGTTCTTTCCGTCAACTCTGTTCATTATCTATAGTTGGCCACATCAAAATTTGACGTATGCGGCGAAGAAACGATAAGAATCAAGGGTTAACAAGCTGATAGGAAACTGCTTCCACTCTCATCAGCAGTCATGAGTTGGGTTGGCACTTCTACACTTTTTTTCTGTTTGCTTTCCAGAGTTCTCGGGTAAATCGCAATATTTCCACGAAATAGTGAAATTCTGGTGAATTGTTCAGAAAAGACTCATCGCCATCATTCCAAATCGACAAAACAAACAGTCAGTTTCTGCTAGATGGAGAACCGTTCCAGTACTTAGCCGGTGAGATCCATTACTTCCGAATCCCTCACCAAAAATGGGATGATCGTCTGAAACGGGTCCGTGCTCTTGGATTCAATGCGATCACGGTGCCAGTTCCATGGAATTTGCATCAATACGATCAGGATGAGTGAGTTCTGATCCATAACCTTATTAAAAAAAGATTATTAACCGTTGTAGAACCCCACAGTTTTCGGGAAACTTGGACTTGGTCAAGTTCATCAAGACTGCAAATGATAACGGACTGTACACCATTATCAGAATTGGTATTCAGCATTTCTCATTCATCACGCTTTGCTTCTATCTGAATTAACAGGTTCTGAAAGCAGATTTCAGGATCCCCAATAATTAAAAATCTGATTTTACTTTTTTTTTCTTAAGGAACCTAGAACCTGGCTTTGGAACCTGTAAATTCAGATAGAGCCCACACTTTTTTCTTACAGGTCCATACATTTCTGCTGAATGGGACAACGGAGGTTTGCCATGGTGGTTGATCAGAAATACTAAAATCAACAAGTACCGTACTAGTGATCCAGCGTTAGTTTTATGGAACTTCCAAACAACAACATCGGGACCTTCTTGTTCAGATTCATGGATGAAGTGACGCAATGGTGGAAGCATCTTCTGCCCAAATTGTGGCCGTTGATGAGAAAAAACGCCGGACCGATTCTGATGGTTCAGATTGAGCATTTCTATGGGAATCTTCAATTCTGCGACCAAAGCTACATGCTCGCACTGGCGAACATGGTCAGAGAGCAGTTGGGAAATGATGTCGTCTTGTTCACTGTCGATGCTCCACTTGCGTTCTTCTTGAGATGTGGAACCCTTCCGAACGTGCTCCCGACTATTGAAATGCGTCCGAATACAGCAGCAGGAACAGTTGAAAGATGGTTCAACTTGCAAAAGTCTTACATGGCCGGTGCACCAGCAGTTGCATCTCATTTTGTCATTAATCCATACAAAGTTTGGGGCCTGAATGTAACCGATAGATATCAGAACGATGTAATTATCGAAACCGCTAATAGTAAGTCATGATGATTTTATCTGACATTTTTAAACACTTTCTTTAGCTGCATTCGGTCTGAACGCCAGTATCAGTTTCCACATGACCCACGGAGGAACGAACTTTGGATATTGGAACGGCGCATTCGATCCCTACACAGTCACCACTTCTTATGATTCATTTGCGCCCATCGCTGAAGCTGGAGACGTCAATGAGCTTTTCTTGGCAATCAGAAACTGGATCACTAATATTCCTGGCTGGGCTTATATGCCACCTTCAATTCCAGCTAACTTGCCAAGAACCGCTTACCCAGATGTTACGCTGACAGTTTTCGATACTGTCTCCGGATTCATATTGGGAACGAATCCAGAGTGTTGGAGCAGTCCGGAAACACCCAGAACTGCCGAGTACATTCGACACGGATATGGCTACGTGTATTACAACACGGTAAAAAAGTTTCAGGTTCAAATGTTCAAATTATGTAACTGTTTTTAGACTATTATCGACTGTGGAACCCTTTACATTCCAAAGTTTGCTGACAATGCATACATTTTCCTCAATCGCAACTTTATTGTAAGAAATATTTAAATAATTGCAGATTCAAACACGTATTTTCCAGGGTGCGCTATACAAAGATTTTGCTGATATTCATAACAATACCATTGAAGTTCAAGGATGTTTGGATAACGTCAACTCGCTTGAGATTATTGTTGAAATCGCCGGACGATCCAGCATTAATTATCCAGTGATGTCTAGAGTGAGCCCATCTTGCGAACTGAGAAAAGTGATATCTGCAGGGAATTCAAGATAATGTCTACATGCACAATGTGACTCTGGAAAACTGGCAGAGTTGTCAAGTTCCTATCGAGACGTATGAGATCAGTATGGTCAAGAACTATGAAAAAGATTCAGAAACAAGTGTTGCACAAAAATGAACACCCAGGTTTTTTTGAATCAATTTCTTGTTACCCCGAGTAACTTCAGCAGTCTGACTCCAACTCAGCGGCCGTCAACCAACCAGCTGTTTTCATCGGGAACTTGCACATCAAAAACCGCTCCAGCTGATACTTTTCTCGATGTGAGAGGATGGGGAAAAAGGAGTTGTGACTATCAACCAGTACAACATCGGAAGATACTGGTCCACAGTCGGGCCTCAGGTAAGTCGTTTTATCAGAAAAACGCCAAACTCTCGTTTTTCAGCAAACCCTTTACATTCCGTCCGAGTTCCTTCACAAAGGCACCAATCTGATAATGTTCTACGAGTTCGAGGGCGCTACGACTGCATGCACGGCAGCTTCTTGCACCGCAAAGTTCACTAACATTCCGATTTTCGACTACTGAGATCGTTTATTCTCATCAAACTCATCGAAATAAAAGACATTTTTAAAAACGAATATTGGGAAGTTTAGTTTTCATCCTCAGAGCTCTCAGTCTCGTGTTCGTCACTCTCGTCACTCAGGGGGTTTCTGTAGAGATGGAGAGAGCTTCCACACTGTTTTGCCGCTTCCGCTACTGTTTGCTTTCCAACTGGAACGTGATCAATAGACGGGAGAACTTCAACTGTATCCTCTGAAATCAAAAATCAAAAAAAAACTGCGAAAACCCTGAATAATTGCGAAATACCTCTATCGTTCAGGCGACTCGCACTCTTACTGAATCTGGCAATGGTGCTTGGTGCTCTGCTTCTTGTTTGCAAGTAGGAATGGATTCCTGATATGGACACAAACTATGATAACAAACTACGATGATTCGCTCACCGGTTGGAGTGCCCGAGTTGGTCTCTGATCCCATACTGAGCAACTGACGCTGGATCGAAAGTTCTCGCAGCTTTTTCTGGTTTTGGCAGACACTGACGTACTCCTCCATGGTTTCACTACAACAAAAACAGATTTTGAATGGAAAAAGACGAGGCTGAATAAGTTACCCAGAAGTTTTGTAGTCTCGCCATTTCTGCCCTTCTCTGTTTCCAAAAAAATGAGACTCACTATCATAGTCAGTACCAAAATGAGAATAACACAGATGATTGCAATGGCGGGGAACAGGATGACACTGTTGAAGAAGTTGTATCCACTGTAACCGTAGATTTCTTGTGGTGGCGGTTCAGGTCGATCGATTGATTGCTGTCAAAACAACTGTTTCTATGATTCGAAAAGTATGAGCTCACTTCTTTATCCTTTGATTCCGACTTATCGAGAGTAACCTTCTTTTTAATAGATTCCTCGCTATCATCTTCATCAATGATTGCGGACACATTTCTCTGAAATCAAAACACAATTCTCTGACTTGTGTTCCGTATTCCTTACTATTAAAACATTGCACCAGTCAACTGAAAACACAGGGGCAAAGTACTTATTCATCACCACCGATGACGGTCTCGAACAGAACTCTGGTGTAGTCTGCAGATTTCTGACAATTGAAAATGTGCCAGGATAGAACTTTTGTTGTGTTCCAATGTCCACCACAGTTCTGAAAAACGGTCAAAATAAAATTAAAAGAATGGATTTTCTCACCCGACACTGTTCTTGAAGATGTGCTCTTTTCCCCGTGGAATGAGATATCTTGGGCGGATGTCCGCAATATACGGGTTCACATTTCTACCTCGGAATGTGTTGCGTAATGCGCTTTCCAGTTGATCTGAACATAAAAAATGACATCATACAAATTTACAAAACCGCCTGGGGTTGTTACTCACTTATTTTTCTGTCTCGATTGGAAACCAGATCTTCTACGTCGACCCCGTTTAAAGGTAGCTCAAAAACTTGCTGTGTGTTTCCTTGATAGTTTGCTGAACATTTTCAATTCAATTCTTCACTTTCCTTCTTTGTTTTACTCACAATCCTCCACCAAGTTTATCACTAGCATCCGTTGTTGAATAGCAAAATTATCCAACCGTTTGGCGATCACGTGTAAGGTGACTTGCTGCACATTTGTAACCGGAGTGCCTGAAACGTTGATAAAGATCACAAGATGATCTTAGTTTAATGGCGTATCGATCACCGATTAGATAAGCGATTTCCGGGTGGCGAGACGGCAGAAGACGGAGCCAATTTGGGAGAGCGATCATATCTCTAATCTGGGCATAAAGTAAACATGAACATGTGTGTGGGATTCATGGGGATTTCATGGGATTTCAATTCAAAATCACCTTATGATCAAGTGGTTAAAAATAGATCGATCATTAACATAAAGGCAAACAAAAATGATGAGCCTCGGTAGAAGCGAGGCAGAAGCTGGCCAATTGAAAATGCAAAATAAAGCGAATAGAGACGTCTGGCTCAGGTTTTTTGAATTGCAAATTGCGCGGGAATTGAATAAATAGGATGAAGATGCGATTGAAACTTTTTGGAGCCTTATTTCTGTGTTTTCTTCTTGTTCAACTCGCGATGACGGCAAACGCGGAAGAGGAAGCGAACGAAAAACGAAAAAGTACGTGGTATTCAAATATTCCAGGAAGAGGCAACCAACAGAGAAAAGTGCTGAGAACGAGTGGTTCCCTGGGGGTCTGACAGGTGTCGCGTGCATCAAATAGCTGAATATGGGATCCTTTTCGTGACATAAACAACGTGTCTGTTCTCAGGCGCCGGTGATCATCAGATTCGTTCGAAACGACAGAATGGGTATGGAAATGGGATGTGGAATAATGGCAATTTTCCGGGAGGTAACTGGAACGGAATAACCTCCAATGGAAGACAATTTTAGTAACACAAAAATTCCAGAAGTTGTTTTCAGGATATGGTGGTTCGGGGCCGCAAGGACCTCCTCCAGATGATAGCATAAAGGGCAGCGTCGGAACGAAATCCGAAGAGAAGCAGCCGGATGGAAATCAGACAAATGGACAGCAGGGGCAAGGTCCATGGTGGCCCAACGGTTTGTGTTTTTTTCCGTTTTCAAAAATAAAAATTGAATTTACTCACCCCTAATGCTACCTTCTTGTTTTTCAAGACACTGATGTTTGTTCCAGGTGGCCAAGGCGGGTACTCTGGTCCCAGTGGGTACGGAGAAAATGGACCGAATATGAATAGTTACAATAGCAACAATGGTCCAATGCCCTTCAACGGTGGGAATATGAACGAAAATGGTAATGGAAACGTGGATGACGGCATCAAAGGAAGCATCGGAGGTGCTGTGGAGCCGACGAGAGCACCGTATCCACCAAATGGATATGGAGGCTATGGAAACGGAAACGGAAACCGTCCGGGGTACGGGAACAATAACGGTTACGGAGGCAATCAAGGATTTGGTTTTTAATCGAATGGCCGGGGGGATACGGAAACAACTTCGGTCGGCCGATTCTTCCGCGCGGCGAACGCTTTGTCCATGGCAGACGTACTTGGAGATACTAAATATGGTTTTGTTCCATTCTCTCCACGCAACACGGTCCTCCAGAGATGGAAAGTGGTCTTGGCCTCAGAAACGAAAAAAATTTAAGCTATTTTTGGTCCCGAAAAGAAACATTTTTTTTGCAAATTTTAGTTTTTTTCGAAATCTTCAAATCCATGTAACTCATTCAGTTTCTAACGAATTGTAACTGTTTGTGGATCAAAAATTTGCGCGATAATTTTTGTCTATAGCTCCCAACTTTGATTTTTCTGAACAAAAATTCTTCTTTTTCAGCCATTTTTTTCGCAGAAAAACCAGAAAAAAAGCATTATGGCAATTTAAATTTCCGCCGAGTTACGACTTCGCTACCGAGGCCACGCCTCTTTCCATCTTCGAGCAAATATTATTGTTATTCTTTGTAAAAATGCTTTCTGTATATTCTTTCCGTCACGAAATTCTCTGTCTTTAACTGACATTCTATGAATCTTACTTACCCTTTTTCTCTACCGCCTACTCTTTAGCAATCATCTGTACAAAACAAAAATAGTACGAACGAGACATGCTCATAAAGGGGCGGGTACCGTACAATAATTTGCACCAAGGCCATAATGAAGAAAATGTCACTACGCCTCCGCAGTAGCATTCGTCGCAGTGTGCGTCAGATGGGCCAGCAGTCAGACGACGCGTTAACTACTGAGAAGGCACCGTCTTCCCTTCATTCAGTCGAAGACGATGTCGTGGAGGATGATGTTGCTAGTGAGGCCGTTGCAGAAACTAGCGAGCCGAGTGATAGCATTTCTGATATTTTGTCTGACGACGCGCTACCCGTAACCGAGGGACTTACTGCCCGGTCAGGTTAGTTCTCAGTCCAGGTTCTTCAAAATCGAGAAAGGCGTCCAAAAAAAGGCGCACACTCCTGCGAATACATAAAAAAATTCTTTTTCAGAAAAATGTTAAAAAGAAAGAAAGCGGAGTGGCACGTGTTAATAACTGGCGGAGCGGGACATCTTGCAGAACAGTTAGTGTTCGCGCTTATCCAACAAGTCAGAGAAGATGTTCGTCCGAGAGTCGCGGCCACAATGGAAAGCAAAGTAGAGACTGAGGAAATCGAGGAAATTAGTTTGTCTGAAAAAAGTATCGATGAAATGATTGATGATGAAATCACTGCACGTCTACATAGTTTCATTCGGATTGTTCTTGTAGACCTCATCTGTCCAGACATGACCCGATTCAATGAGTGTGTCTCGTTCATCAAAGTGAGTTATAACAGAAATTGAACCATACCCCATTGCTTTAAGGGTTCTTTCGATGACAAAGGAGTTATGCAGAGTGCTTTGGAATACGTTGACACTGTATTCCATTTGGCCGCCGTTGGAATGACTGGACAATATGCGGTACCTTGAGTTTGACGTACTACGATAAGTGAAATATTGCAGCATAACCGCAAGGCATGCATGGATATCAATGCAATTGGAACTATGAATCTTCTCGACTGGAGCAAACAGTTTGGAGTCAAGCGCTTCATTTATACTTCATCTATTGGAGTTATCTTCCAAGGAGAACCACTTGAGAACGCTGATGAAAAACGTGCCTTATCCTCTCTTTGTTGGTTTTTTGCTTGGAACGTTTCAATCCTATCATTTTACCTGTTCAGTTCTATAATTACTATTGTGAATCGAAAGCGCACGCCGAACGCATCGTTAGACAAGCTTCGTCGGAAAGAATGAAGTGCTCCGTTTTGCGTTTCAATGGAATATACGGACCCGGGGAGAAGAGAGTTACCGAAAGAGTTAAGGTATGAAGCATGTGCTTAATGTGGCTTTGATCGAAAAAACATTTACAGAACTTTATGATATCGGGTTGGTGGATTGCTTGCTGTAAGCCCGATGGCGTAGAAGCGCAGACACAGCTTTCGTCCGTAGACAACTGTGTTCACGGACTTTTTGCGAGCCGAGATAACATTGCGCAACTGTGACGCACCACATGCGCAGGTACTCTATTCAAAAAAAGGTTGTTCTCAACATTTGACGTATGTTTTCAGATTTACAATATCATGGACCCAGAGCCTGTTGGAACGTTTTTCGTTCTGGTCTCCACTGAATGAAGCGCTGGGATTTTTCATGTTTTTTTGGTCGACATACCATCTCACGTACTACGCTCTTGTGGTTATGTCTCACAAGTCATTTCAAATATTCTAAGAATTGATCCCATTGTGTCGCTCTTGGAAGTGGACTTATTGCTGACGAACAACACATTTAACATCAACAAAGCCCGTCGTGACCTTGGATACAATCCTCATCCTGATTCGATGCCAGACGTAAGTGTCTCTAACTCAATTAACATAGTGTTCCGGGTTTTCAGATAATCTACAAATACACAAGTGAACTAACCCCGGAGGGACTCGAAAAAAACAACACAAAAAAAGAACGTCGTTATCAAATGGATAGTATTCGTTTCTGTTGTTCTTTTCACTGTGCTGCTAGTCCAAATACTGAAACTAATTCTAACCGCATTGAATTTCCTTTCCTCTAAACGTCACACCTATGCTTGAAATTACCATTTCCTCATTTTCCAATATTAATAGCTTTGTAGTGTAAATGCAAAATGACGAACAGTAAATTATGCAAATAAAGAATTTCTGACCAGCCTTTCCAGGCACAAAGTTCGTAGGTCTCAGATCAAACTGTTATCTGTGGTTTCTATGAAAATCGGTGATCTTTCGATGTGGCCACACCCTTAAGAGCATTTCCGCAGTTAGCACTATAAAAGCTGGAAACATGGCATAGCCCCTATCGGCTACACTCAGTTCTCGGTACTCTTTTCTTATTTCAGGTGTTTAAGGCATGACATCACTTGTGCTGTTAATCATTTCGGCGATAGCACTTCTGTCGGGGTACAGTTCTTTAACAATACAACAAAATGATGTGTGAGAACTTTTTCAGATTACATGCGGACCCTTCGTTCAAAATCGACACAACTAACCATCAGTTTCTTCTTGACGATCAGCCATTCCGTTACCTTGCTGGTGAAATTCATTATTTCCGAATCCCAGCGACGAAATGGGAAGATCGACTAAAAAGAGTTCGGTCAATGGGATTGAATGCAATCACAGTGCCGGTTCCCTGGAACCTGCACCAAATTGAATACGAATCGTGAGAAACGTGGTGATAAGTTTGTGTTTAACCCATCTATTACAGCATTCCCGATTTCACAGGCAATCTGGATCTGATCAAGTTCATCCAAATGGCTCAGGATAATGGGCTGTACACTTTAATTCGACTGGGTAAAATAAACATGAATGAATGATTGAATGAATGATTTATTGAAGGACTAACGCCGCTTATACAATAAACAAAAGAAGAAAATTGAAGAGAAACAATAGTTAAAAATTTGAAGGGTTTAGGTTAAAGGACCAGGGAACCCAAAAAATTTTTTCTTTTTTTGTGAAATTTTTTAGTGACTGTTTGAATTGTCTCTTATTGCCTCATACACTGGTGAAATGCTGCCTCTCAAAAATGCCAATGAACGAAACGGCATGCAGTTGAAGTTGTGGCCGTGGCCTAGCGCCAATGGCCAAAAAATATATAAAAATATATGCGCTTCTCGGCCATTTTATTTTTTCCGCTTTTTTACCGGTTTTTTATCCAAAAATTCACGGGTTCTCCCATTTTTCAGTTGATTGACATTTGTTCGGCACTTACTTATTTTTTCACTGCTAAAAAATTGTTTTCATTCAGTCGATATGAAGTGCCAAAATGGGAGAAACCGTGAATTTTTGGAAAAAAACCGGTAAAAAAGCGGAAAAAAACAAAATGGCCGAGAAGCGCATATATTTTTATATATTTTTCGGCCATTGGCGCTAGGCCACGGCCACAACTTCAACTGCATGCCGTTTCGTTCATTGGCATTTATGAGAGGCAGCATTTCACCAGTGTATGAGGCAATAAGAGACAATTCAAACAGTCACTAAAAAATTTCACAAAAAAAGAAAAAATTTTTTGGGTTCCCTGGTCCTTTAAGGTATTTGTTTAACGGAATAGAACTAATATATGACCTGAACAATTCAGAGGAGTATTTGTTGGCAAAAAGACTAGATGGTAAATTATTCCAACAGTTGATAATTCTATTAGTAATAAATTGAGCGCCTATTTTAGTGGAATTTTTTAGATTCGACTTAATATAAAACGGATGACGTCGAAGAGAGTTGAAACGGGGAAGAAATATGTGAAATTTCAAGTGATTCGTTTAAAAATCAGTTACTTTCAGGACCTTACATTGCTGATGAGTGGGAAAACGGGGGTCTTCCATGGTGGTTGATCAAGAACACACATATCACAAAGTACAGAAGTAGCAACTTGGCGTAAGTGTGAATCGTTTCCACAAATGCATTCGGTTTGTTTTCAGATTCATCGCAGAAGTGTCACAATGGTGGAACTACCTGCTACCAAAACTGGCTCAACATTATCACTTTGAATACTAGCAAGATCTAACGTTGTATGTACCACAAAGTTTCCATTCAAGTAAACGTAGGCGTCATCTGCGTACTTTGAGATGTTCAGTCTTCCACAGCACGTGATATTCTGAAGCTTTTCTGTGTTTACTTAATTGGTGATAAAATTGTCTTACAGTTTGATAGTACAAAAATCCATATCCTTGGTTCATGTCTTCAGCAGTCAACGGCAACGATTCAGTGAGCCAGCATTTCGTACTGATGGACACTACGAAATCGATAAGTGTATCCGTTGGTTTCATTTCCACGTCGCTGTAAATATTCCTGGGAGTGTTGGCAAGAACACTCGTTGGTCGATTGGGCCATCCCGGAATGTTGTTGATGAAGTTCCTGATGGCCAACAGAATGGTCGCCGTGTCTCCTGATTCAGAAATCGGCGCGAAACAGTCATATGACGTAGTTACGGGGTATGGTGCATTGTTTCCGTTCCAAAATGCAAAGTTTGTTCCTCCATGAGCCAGGTGAAAACTCATACTAGCGTTGAGCGCCCAACCCGCTGCAAAGCAAATCATAATTTTCTTTTAAAACTGGTAGTTTTTGATTCACCTTGAAGTGTTTTCATAATAACATCTTCTGTAAACGGATCATTCACAGAAGTGCCCCACAGTTTGTAAACACCCAACAGAAATTGTGAGCCAACTCGAGGGCCACCAGCAGCAAGAGCTTGTTGTTGCTGGAACCAACCGTTCGCTGCACTTGTGTCACTGTTCGGACTCATTTCGATGGTTGGCAGTATTCCGGGAACTCTTCCGCATTGCAAAAACGGCATCATTGGCATGTCAACTGCAACAAAAACAAAACATTTCAATGTTTAGAGGTACACTAACCAGAGTAAAGAACCACGTCATTGCCCAAGTACTTTTTAGCCAGGTTTGCGAGTTGTAGAAGATAATCCTGATCGCAAATACCAGTGGACCCATAATAATGCTCAATCTGTGCCATTAAGATTGGACCACCATTCTTTCTCATTAGAGGTGCCAGTTTTGGTAGCAGGTAGTTCCACCATTGTGACACTTCTGCGATGAATCTGAGAACAAACCGAATGCATTTGTGGAAACGATTCACACTTACGCCAAGTTGCTACTTCTGTACTTTGTGATATGTGTGTTCTTGATCAACCACCATGGAAGACCCCCGTTTTCCCACTCATCAGCAATGTAAGGTCCTGAAAGTAACTGATTTTTAAACGAATCACTTGAAATGTTTGTTTTACCCAATCGAATTAAAGTGTACAGCCCATTATCCTGAGCCATTTGGATGAACTTGAACAGATCCAGATTGCCTGTGAAATCGGGAATGCTGTAATAGATGGGTTAAACACAAACTTATCACCACGTTTCTCACGATTCGTATTCAATTTGGTGCAGGTTCCAGGGAACCGGCACTGTGATTGCATTCAATCCCATTGACCGAACTCTTTTCAGTCGATCTTCCCATTTCGTCGCTGGGATTCGGAAATAATGAATTTCACCAGCAAGGTAACGGAATGGCTGATCGTCAAGAAGAAACTGATGGTTAGTTGTGTCGATTTTGAACGAACTGTCCGCATGTATTCTGAAAAAGTTCTCACACATCATTTTGTTGTATTGTTAAAGAACTGTACCCCGACAGAAGTGCTATCGCCGAAATGATTAACAGCACAAGCGACGTCATGCCTTAAACACCTGAAATAAGAAAAGAGTACCGAGAACTGAGTGTAGCCGATAGGGGCTATGCCATGTTTCCAGCTTTTATAGTGCTAACTGCGGAAATGCTCTTAAGGGTGTGGCCACATCGAAAGATCACCGATTTTCATAGAAACCACAGATAACAGTTTGATCTGAGACCTACGAACTTTGTGCCTGGAAAGGCTGGTCAGAAATTCTTTATTTGCATAATTTACTGTTCGTCATTTTGCATTTACACTACAAAGCTATTAATATTGGAAAATGAGGAAATGGTAATTTCAAGCATAGGTGTGACGTTTAGAGGAAAGGAAATTCAATGCGGTTAGAATTAGTTTCAGTATTTGGACTAGCAGCACAGTGAAAAAGAACAACAGAAACGAATACTATCCATTTGATAACGACGTTCTTTTTGTGTTGTTTTTCGAGTCCCTCCGGGGTTAGTTCACTTGTGTATTTGTAGATTATCTGAAAACCCGGAACACTATGTTAATTGAGTTAGAGACACTTACGTCTGGCATCGAATCAGGATGAGGATTGTATCCAAGGTCACGACGGGCTTTGTTGATGTTAAATGTGTTGTTCGTCAGCAATAAGTCCACTTCCAAGAGCGACACAATGGGATCAATTCTTAGAATATTTGAAATGACTTGTGAGACATAACCACAAGAGCGTAGTACGTGAGATGGTATGTCGACCAAAAAACATGAAAATCCCAGCGCTTCATTCAGTGGAGACCAAAACGAAAACGTTCCAACAGGCTCTGGGTCCATGATATTGTAAATCTGAAAACATACGTCAAATGTTGAGAACAATCTTTTTTGAATAGAGTACCTGCGCATGTGGTGCGTCACAGTTGCGCAATGTTATCTCGGCTCGCAAAAGTCCGTGAACACAGTTGTCTACGGACGAAAGCTGTGTCTGCGCTTCTACGCCATCGGGCTTACAGCAAGCAATCCACCAACCCGATATCATAAAGTTCTGTAAATGTTTTTTCGATCAAAGCCACATTAAGCACATGCTTCATACCTTAACTCTTTCGGTAACTCTCTTCTCCCCGGGTCCGTATATTCCATTGAAACGCAAAAACGGAGCACTTCATTCTTTCCGACGAAGCTTGTCTAACGATGCGTTCGGCGTGCGCTTTCGATTCACAATAGTAATTATAGAACTGAACAGGTAAAATGATAGGATTGAAACGTTCCAAGCAAAAAAACCAACAAAGAGAGGATAAGGCACGTTTTTCATCAGCGTTCTCAAGTGGTTCTCCTTGGAAGATAACTCCAATAGATGAAGTATAAATGAAGCGCTTGACTCCAAACTGTTTGCTCCAGTCGAGAAGATTCATAGTTCCAATTGCATTGATATCCATGCATGCCTTGCGGTTATGCTGCAATATTTCACTTATCGTAGTACGTCAAACTCAAGGTACCGCATATTGTCCAGTCATTCCAACGGCGGCCAAATGGAATACAGTGTCAACGTATTCCAAAGCACTCTGCATAACTCCTTTGTCATCGAAAAGAACCCTTAAAGCAATGGGGTATGGTTCAATTTCTGTTATAACTCACTTTGATGAACGAGACACACTCATTGAATCGGGTCATGTCTGGACAGATGAGGTCTACAAGAACAATCCGAATGAAACTATGTAGACGTGCAGTGATTTCATCATCAATCATTTCATCGATACTTTTTTCAGACAAACTAATTTCCTCGATTTCCTCAGTCTCTACTTTGCTTTCCATTGTGGCCGCGACTCTCGGACGAACATCTTCTCTGACTTGTTGGATAAGCGCGAACACTAACTGTTCTGCAAGATGTCCCGCTCCGCCAGTTATTAACACGTGCCACTCCGCTTTCTTTCTTTTAACATTTTTCTGAAAAAAAGAATTTTTTTATGTATTCGCAGGAGTGTGCGCCTTTTTGGACGCCTTTCTCGATTTTGAAGAACCTGGACTGAGAACTAACCTGATCGGGCAGTAAGTCCCTCGGTTACGGGTAGCGCGTCGTCAGACAAAATATCAGAAATGCTATCACTCGGCTCGCTAGTTTCTGCAACGGCCTCACTAGCAACATCATCCTCCACGACATCGTCTTCGACTGAATGAAGGGAAGACGGTGCCTTCTCAGTAGTTAACGCGTCGTCTGACTGCTGGCCCATCTGACGCACACTGCGACGAATGCTACTGCGGAGGCGTAGTGACATTTTCTTCATAGTGGCCTTGGTGCGAATTATTGTACGGTACCCGCCCCCTTTATGAGCAAGTCTCGTTCGTACTATTTTTGTTTTGTACAGATGATTGCTAAAGAGTAGGCGGTAGAGAAAAAGGGTAAGTAAGATTCATAGAATGTCAGTTAAAGACAGAGAATTTCGTGACGGAAAGAATATACAGAAAGCATTTTTACAAAGAACAACAATAATATTTGCTCAAAGATGGAAAGGGGCGTGGCCTCGGTAGCGAAGTCGCAACTCGGTGGAAATTTAAATTACCATAATGCTTTTTTCTGGTTTTCTGCGAAAAGTGGCTTAAAAGAAGAATTTTGTTAAAAAAAACCAAAGTTGGGAGTTATAAACAAAATTATCCCGCATATTTTGATCCACGAACAGTTACAATTCGTTAGAAACTGAATGAGTTACATGGATTTGGAGATTTCGAAAAATTAAAATTTCCAAAAAATGTTTCTTTTCGGGACCAAAATAGCTTAAATTTTTTCGTTTCTGAGGCCAAGACCACTTTCCATCTCTGGAGGACCGTGTTGCGTGGAGAGAATGGAACAAAACCATATTTAGTATCTCCAAGTACGTCTGCCATGGACAAAGCGTTCGCCGCGCGGAAGAATCGGCCGACCGAAGTTGTTTCCGTATCCCCCGGCCATTCGATTAAAACCAAATCCTTGATTGCCTCCGTAACCGTTATTGTTCCCGTACCCCGGACGGTTTCCGTTTCCGTTTCCATAGCCTCCATATCCATTTGGTGGATACGGTGCTCTCGTCGGCTCCACAGCACCTCCGATGCTTCCTTTGATGCCGTCATCCACGTTTCCATTACCATTTCCGTTCATATTCCCACCGTTGAAGGGCATTGGACCATTGTTGCTATTGTAACTATTCATATTCGGTCCATTTTCTCCGTACCCACTGGGACCAGAGTACCCGCCTTGGCCACCTGGAACAAACATCAGTGTCTTGAAAAAAACAGGAAGGTAGCATTAGGGGTGAGTAAATTCAATTTTTGTTTTTGAAAACGGAAAAAAAAACACAAACCTTGCCCCTGCTGTCCATTTGTCTGATTTCCATCCGGCTGCTTCTCTTCGGATTTCGTTCCGACGCTGCCCTTTATACTATCATCTGGAGGAGGTCCTTGCGGCCCAGAACCACCACATCCTGAAAACAACTTCTGGAATTTTTGTGTTACTAAAATTGTCTACCATTGGAGTTTGGTCCGTTCCAGTTACCTCCCGGAAAATTGCCATTATTCCACATCCCATTTCCATACCCATTCTGTCGTTTCGAACGAATCTGATGATCACCGGCGCCTGAGAACAGACACGTTGTTTATGTCACGAAAAGGATCCCATATTCAGCTATTTTATGCACGCGACACCTGTCAGACCCCCAGGGAACCACTCGTTCTCAGCACTTTTCTCTTTATGTTAATGATCGATCTATTTTTAACCACTTGATCATAAGGTGATTTTGAATTGAAATATTCATGAATCCCACACACATGTTCATGTTTACTTTATGCTCAGATTAGAGATATGATCGAAATCGAAAGTTATGATTATACTCAAGGCTCTAACAGTAGAAAAATTGGATGATAATTGATGAACTTATGGCCTAATATTTCGGCCCAAAAGGCCGAAATAGGGCCCGAATGGCTGAATTTAGATGAAAAAGGCAAAAGCTTACAACATCCAGGATTCCCAGGCCGTCTCCGATCCAAGTACTAACTAGACTCAACGTTGCTTAACTTGCCAGATCGGACGGGATGGCGTGTATTCAACGTGATATGGTCGTAAGCGAAATCATCGCCACTCTATGTCGGTGACATTTTCGCAAACAATGTCTCAATGGCCAGTGTGTGTTGGCCGATATTGTCGGGAGAGTAGAGATTCGCGGTCCCTCGGACATGTCGGCTGCCCACAAAACATTAGTCGATACGAGCGCTGTTATTTTTGGTTTAATTACCCAAGTTTTGAGGTACGAAACTGGGAATGACCTAATGCAAATTAGCGTCTTGTTTAATTTTGGATCGTCTCCTTTAGGGGAGACAAAAGAACTAACAGAAGTAAAATTGGATAATAATTGATGAACTTATGGCCTCAATCGCAACTTCATTGTAAGAAATATTTAAATAATTGCAGATTCAAACACGTATTTTCCAGGGTGCGCTATACAAAGATTTTGCTGATATTCATAACAATACCATTGAAGTTCAAGGATGTTTGGATAACGTCAACTCGCTTGAGATTATTATTGAAATAACCGGACGATCCAGCATAAATTATCCAGTGATGTCTAGAGTGAGCCCATCTTGCGAACTGAAAAAAGTGATATCTGCAGGGAATTCAAGATAATGTCTACATGCACAATGTGACTCTGGAAAACTGGCAGAGTTGTCAAGTTCCTATCGAGACGTATGAGATCAGTATGGTCAAGAACTATGAAAAGATTCAGAAACAAGTGTTGCACAAAATGAACACCCAGGTTTTTTGAATCAATTTCTTGTTACCCCGAGTAACTTCAGCAGTCTGACTCCAACTCAGCGGCCGTCAATCAACCAGCTGTTTTCATCGGGAACTTGCACATCAAAACCGCTCCAGCTGATACTTTTCTCGATGTGAGAGGATGGGGAAAAGGAGTTGTGACTATCAACCAGTACAACATCGGAAGATACTGGTCCACAGTCGGGCCTCAGGTAAGTCGTTTTATCAGAAAAACGCCAAACTCTCGTTTTTCAGCAAACCCTTTACATTCCGTCCGAGTTCCTTCACAAAGGCACCAATCTGATAATGTTCTACGAGTTCGAGGGCGCTACGACTGCATGCACGGCAGCTTCTTGCACCGCAAAGTTCACTAACATTCCGATTTTCGACTACTGAGATCGTTTATTCTCATCAAACTCATCGAAATAAAAGACATTTTTAAAAACGAATATTGAGACGTTTAGTTTTCATCTTCAGAGCTCTCAGTCTCGTGTTCGTCACTCTCGTCACTCAGGGGGTTTCTGTAGAGATGGAGAGAGCTTCCACACTGTTTTGCCGCTTCCGCTACTGTTTGCTTTCCAACTGGAACGTGATCAGCCATAAGTTCATCAATTATCATCCAATTTTACTTCTGTTAGTTCTTTTGTCTCCCCTAAAGGAGACGATCCAAAATTAAACAAGACGCTAATTTTCATTAGGTCATTCCCAGTTTCGTACCTCAAAACTTGGGTAATTAAACCAAAACTAACAGTGCGCGTATCGACAAATGTTTTGTGAGCAACCGACATGTCCAGGGACCGCGAGATTCTACTCTCCCGACAATATCGGCGGCCAACACGTGAGAGTAGGGCCTTATTTTGGCATGTTGGACCGAAATATTAGGCCAAAAGTTCATCAATTATTATCCAATTTTACTTCTGTTAGTTCTTTTGTCTCCCCTAAAGGAGACGATCCAAAATTAAACAAGACGCTAATTTGCATTAGGTCATTCCCAGTTTCGTACCTCAAAACTTGGGTAATTAAACCAAAAATAACAGCGCTCGTATCGACTAATGTTTTGTGGGCAGCCGACATGTCCGAGGGACCGCGAATCTCTACTCTCCCGACAATATCGGCCAACACACACTGGCCATTGAGACATTGTTTGCGAAAATGTCACCGACATAGAGTGGCGATGATTTCGCTTACGACCATATCACGTTGAATACACGCCATCCCGTCCGATCTGGCAAGTTAAGCAACGTTGAGTCTAGTTAGTACTTGGATCGGAGACGGCCTGGGAATCCTGGATGTTGTAAGCTTTTGCCTTTTTCATCTAAATTCAGCCATTCGGGCCCTATTTCGGCCTTTTGGGCCGAAATATTAGGCCATAAGTTCATCAATTATCATCCAATTTTTCTACTGTTAGAGCCTTGAGTATAATCATAACTTTCGATTTCGATCATATCTCTAATCTGAGCATAAAGTAAACATGAACATGTGTGTGGGATTCATGAATATTTCAATTCAAAATCACCTTATGATCAAGTGGTTAAAAATAGATCGATCATTAACATAAAGAGAAAAGTGCTGAGAACGAGTGGTTCCCTGGGGGTCTGACAGGTGTCGCGTGCATAAAATAGCTGAATATGGGATCCTTTTCGTGACATAAACAACGTGTCTGTTCTCAGGCGCCGGTGATCATCAGATTCGTTCGAAACGACAGAATGGGTATGGAAATGGGATGTGGAATAATGGCAATTTTCCGGGAGGTAACTGGAACGGACCAAACTCCAATGGTAGACAATTTTAGTAACACAAAAATTCCAGAAGTTGTTTTCAGGATGTGGTGGTTCTGGGCCGCAAGGACCTCCTCCAGATGATAGTATAAAGGGCAGCGTCGGAACGAAATCCGAAGAGAAGCAGCCGGATGGAAATCAGACAAATGGACAGCAGGGGCAAGGTTTGTGTTTTTTTTTCCGTTTTCAAAAACAAAAATTGAATTTACTCACCCCTAATGCTACCTTCCTGTTTTTCAAGACACTGATGTTTGTTCCAGGTGGCCAAGGCGGGTACTCTGGTCCCAGTGGGTACGGAGAAAATGGACCGAATATGAATAGTTACAATAGCAACAATGGTCCAATGCCCTTCAACGGTGGGAATATGAACGGAAATGGTAATGGAAACGTGGATGACGGCATCAAAGGAAGCATCGGAGGTGCTGTGGAGCCGACGAGAGCACCGTATCCACCAAATGGATATGGAGGCTATGGAAACGGAAACGGAAACCGTCCGGGGTACGGGAACAATAACGGTTACGGAGGCAATCAAGGATTTGGTTTTAATCGAATGGCCGGGGGATACGGAAACAACTTCGGTCGGCCGATTCTTCCGCGCGGCGAACGCTTTGTCCATGGCAGACGTACTTGGAGATACTAAATATGGTTTTGTTCCATTCTCTCCACGCAACACGGTCCTCCAGAGATGGAAAGTGGTCTTGGCCTCAGAAACGAAAAAATTTAAGCTATTTTGGTCCCGAAAAGAAACATTTTTTGGAAATTTTAATTTTTCGAAATCTCCAAATCCATGTAACTCATTCAGTTTCTAACGAATTGTAACTGTTCGTGGATCAAAATATGCGGGATAATTTTGTTTATAACTCCCAACTTTGGTTTTTTTTAACAAAATTCTTCTTTTAAGCCACTTTTCGCAGAAAACCAGAAAAAAGCATTATGGTAATTTAAATTTCCACCGAGTTGCGACTTCGCTACCGAGGCCACGCCCCTTTCCATCTTTGAGCAAATATTATTGTTGTTCTTTGTAAAAATGCTTTCTGTATATTCTTTCCGTCACGAAATTCTCTGTCTTTAACTGACATTCTATGAATCTTACTTACCCTTTTTCTCTACCGCCTACTCTTTAGCAATCATCTGTACAAAAACAAAAAAATAGTACGAACGAGACTTGCTCATAAAGGGGGCAGGGTACCGTACTAATAATTCGCACCAAGGCCACCATGAAGAAAATGTCACTACGCCTCCGCAGTAGCATTCGTCGCAGTGTGCGTCAGATGGGCCAGCAGTCAGACGACGCGTTAACTACTGAGAAGGCACCGTCTTCCCTTCATTCAGTCGAAGACGATGTCGTGGAGGATGATGTTGCTAGTGAGGCCGTTGCAGAAACTAGCGAGCCGAGTGATAGCATTTCTGATATTTTGTCTGACGACGCGCTACCCGTAACCGAGGGACTTACTGCCCGATCAGGTTAGTTCTCAGTCCAGGTTCTTCAAAAATCGAGAAAGGCGTCCAAAAAAAGGCGCACACTCCTGCGAATACATAAAAAAATTCTTTTTTTCAGAAAATGTTAAAAGAAAGAAAGCGGAGTGGCACGTGTTAATAACTGGCGGAGCGGGACATCTTGCAGAACAGTTAGTGTTCGCGCTTATCCAACAAGTCAGAGAAGATGTTCGTCCGAGAGTCGCGGCCACAATGGAAAGCAAAGTAGAGACTGAGGAAATCGAGGAAATTAGTTTGTCTGAAAAAAGTATCGATGAAATGATTGATGATGAAATCACTGCACGTCTACATAGTTTCATTCGGATTGTTCTTGTAGACCTCATCTGTCCAGACATGACCCGATTCAATGAGTGTGTCTCGTTCATCAAAGTGAGTTATAACAGAAATTGAACCATACCCCATTGCTTTAAGGGTTCTTTCGATGACAAAGGAGTTATGCAGAGTGCTTTGGAATACGTTGACACTGTATTCCATTTGGCCGCCGTTGGAATGACTGGACAATATGCGGTACCTTGAGTTTGACGTACTACGATAAGTGAAATATTGCAGCATAACCGCAAGGCATGCATGGATATCAATGCAATTGGAACTATGAATCTTCTCGACTGGAGCAAACAGTTTGGAGTCAAGCGCTTCATTTATACTTCATCTATTGGAGTTATCTTCCAAGGAGAACCACTTGAGAACGCTGATGAAAACGTGCCTTATCCTCTCTTTGTTGGTTTTTGCTTGGAACGTTTCAATCCTATCATTTTACCTGTTCAGTTCTATAATTACTATTGTGAATCGAAAGCGCACGCCGAACGCATCGTTAGACAAGCTTCGTCGGAAAGAATGAAGTGCTCCGTTTTGCGTTTCAATGGAATATACGGACCCGGGGAGAAGAGAGTTACCGAAAGAGTTAAGGTATGAAGCATGTGCTTAATGTGGCTTTGATCGAAAAAACATTTACAGAACTTTATGATATCGGGTTGGTGGATTGCTTGCTGTAAGCCCGATGGCGTAGAAGCGCAGACACAGCTTTCGTCCGTAGACAACTGTGTTCACGGACTTTTGCGAGCCGAGATAACATTGCGCAACTGTGACGCACCACATGCGCAGGTACTCTATTCAAAAAAGATTGTTCTCAACATTTGACGTATGTTTTCAGATTTACAATATCATGGACCCAGAGCCTGTTGGAACGTTTTCGTTTTGGTCTCCACTGAATGAAGCGCTGGGATTTTCATGTTTTTTGGTCGACATACCATCTCACGTACTACGCTCTTGTGGTTATGTCTCACAAGTCATTTCAAATATTCTAAGAATTGATCCCATTGTGTCGCTCTTGGAAGTGGACTTATTGCTGACGAACAACACATTTAACATCAACAAAGCCCGTCGTGACCTTGGATACAATCCTCATCCTGATTCGATGCCAGACGTAAGTGTCTCTAACTCAATTAACATAGTGTTCCGGGTTTTCAGATAATCTACAAATACACAAGTGAACTAACCCCGGAGGGACTCGAAAAACAACACAAAAAGAACGTCGTTATCAAATGGATAGTATTCGTTTCTGTTGTTCTTTTCACTGTGCTGCTAGTCCAAATACTGAAACTAATTCTAACCGCATTGAATTTCCTTTCCTCTAAACGTCACACCTATGCTTGAAATTACCATTTCCTCATTTTTCCAATATTAATAGCTTTGTAGTGTAAATGCAAAATGACGAACAGTAAATTATGCAAATAAAGAATTTCTGACCAGCCTTTCCAGGCACAAAGTTCGTAGGTCTCAGATCAAACTGTTATCTGTGGTTTCTATGAAAATCGGTGATCTTTCGATGTGGCCACACCCTTAAGAGCATTTCCGCAGTTAGCACTATAAAAGCTGGAAACATGGCATAGCCCCTATCGGCTACACTCAGTTCTCGGTACTCTTTTCTTATTTCAGGTGTTTAAGGCATGACATCACTTGTGCTGTTAATCATTTCGGCGATAGCACTTCTGTCGGGGTACGGTTCTTTAACAATATAAAAAAAATGATGTGTGAGAACTTTTTCAGATTCAAAATCGACACAACTAACCATCAGTTTCTTCTTGACGATCAGCCATTCCGTTACCTTGCTGGTGAAATTCATTATTTCCGAATCCCAGCGACGAAATGGGAAGATCGACTAAAAAGAGTTCGGTCAATGGGATTGAATGCAATCACAGTGCCGGTTCCCTGGAACCTGCACCAAATTGAATACGAATCGTGAGAAACGTGGTGATAAGTTTGTGTTTAACCCATCTATTACAGGATTCCCGATTTCACAGGCAATCTGGATCTGTTCAAGTTCATCCAAATGGCTCAGGATAATGGGCTGTACACTTTAATTCGACTGGGTAAAATAAACATTTCAAGTGATTCGTTTAAAAATCAGTTACTTTCAGGACCTTACATTGCTGATGAGTGGGAAAAACAGGGGGTCTTCCATGGTGGTTGATCAAGAACACACATATCACAAAGTACAGAAGTAGCAACTTGGCGTAAGTGTGAATCGTTTCCACAAATGCATTCGGTTTGTTTTCAGATTCATCGCAGAAGTGTCACAATGGTGGAACTACCTGCTACCAAAACTGACACCTCTAATGAGAAAGAATGGTGGTCCAATCTTGATGGCACAGATTGAGCATTATTATGGGTCCACTGGTATTTGCGATCAGGATTATCTTCTACAACTCGCAAACCTGGCTAAAAAGTACTTGGGCAATGACGTGGTTCTTTACTCTGGTTAGTGTACCTCTAAACATTGAAATGTTTTGTTCTTGTTGCAGTTGACATGCCAATGATGCCGTTTTTGCAATGCGGAAGAGTTCCCGGAATACTGCCAACCATCGAAATGAGTCCGAACAGTGACACAAGTGCAGCGAACGGTTGGTTCCAGCAACAACAAGCTCTTGCTGCTGGTGGCCCTCGAGTTGGCTCACAATTTCTGTTGGGTGTTTACAAACTGTGGGGCACTTCTGTGAATGATCCGTTTACTGAAGATGTAATTATGAAAACACTTCAAGGTGAATCAAAAACTACCAGTTTTAAAAGAAAATTATGATTTGCTTTGCAGCGGGTTGGGCGCTCAACGCTAGTATGAGTTTTCACCTGGCTCATGCTTTGCATTTTGGAACGGAAACAATGCACCATACCCCGTAACTACGTCATATGACTGTTTCGCGCCGATTTCTGAATCAGGAGACACGGCGACCATTCTGTTGGCCATCAGGAACTTCATCAACAACATTCCGGGATGGCCCAATCGACCAACGAGTGTTCTTGCCAACATTCCCAGGAATATTTACAGCGACGTGGAAATGAAACCAACGGATACACTTATTGATTTCGTAGTGTCCATCAGTACGAAATGCTGGCTCACTGAATCGTTGCCGTTGACTGCTGAAGACATGAACCAAGGATATGGATTTTTGTACTATCAAACTGTAAGACAATTTTATCACCAATTAAGTAAACAAAGAAAAGCTTCAGAATATCACGAGCTGTGGAAGACTAAACATCTCAAAGTACGCAGATGACGCCTACGTTTACTTGAATGGAAACTTTGTGGTACATACAACGTTAGATCTTGCTAGTATTCAAAGTGATAATGTTGAGCCAGTTTTGGTAGCAGGTAGTTCCACCATTGTGACACTTCTGCGATGAATCTGAAAACAAACCGAATGCATTTGTGGAAACGATTCACACTTACGCCAAGTTGCTACTTCTGTACTTTGTGATATGTGTGTTCTTGATCAACCACCATGGAAGACCCCCGTTTTCCCACTCATCAGCAATGTAAGGTCCTGAAAGTAACTGATTTTTAAACGAATCACTTGAAATTTCACATATTTCTTCCCCGTTTCAACTCTCTTCGACGTCATCCGTTTTATATTAACAAGGGAACCTTTTAAGTGATTAAAGGAACCAGCCTAAACTAACGACACAGTTCGAGAGAGGGACTTTCAAAACCTATATTCCAGTTTTCAAAAGCTGCTTTCGAGACCTCTGAAATGCTGAAATTCCAGTCCGAAGTTTGACATTTCTTAACCATAGATTTCGCATTTTCATGGCGCGGCGACCCACCCTCACACCCTTGCCACGCGCCACGATTGTCACCGCCCGCAACACACCACGAAAATGTGGTCGAGTGGCGCAGGAGTTAACGGCACAGGCAGATTGCAACGGACGAAATATGGGCCAAAAATGGATGTGGGTCAAAAATGGTCCATCGATGAGCCATCGTTCGCCCATCGCTTCATCCATCGGAGAAAATGGGCGTAAAATGGGCCAAAGGGTGATGAGCGAAGCTTGGCCCATCGATGCCCGAACCGATGGGTCATCGATGGGCCACGCTTCGTCCATCGCTGAGACATCGGCCGGAATGGGCGCAGAATGGGCGAACATGAGACGCAAGGATGATTCTCTCTCTGATGGGTCATCGATGGATCATTTGTCATCCTTTGGAATAAGCGCATGGCACATTAATTAATCACATATTCTTACAGTTGTCTTGTTTTTATTTTTAATCTCTCTAATTAATTTTCCACGTTTTCAGGAATAAATTTTTTCTCAAATTTGTATAATTCGGAAAGTGATGCCGAGACGAATAAACCGTTGTTATGAAGACTATTCAAAGCAAAAAAGTAATTGTAGTCAATCGAATAGCTTTTGTACAAAATCAGTCATTCAGGATCAAAAAGTGAAGTTGCAATTCAATCAGGAGAAGATACTGAAGATATGAATTCGGAAGAAGCTGACTTCAACACCGAAGAACACAACGGCAGTACAGACGAAATCAGGTTGCTTTCCAACTCCCACGACAGTTTTACTGAATCTGAAACTCTGTCGAATTGCTCAGATGCCGTTTTGACATTTCTCGGAGCCGCGTGTATGGCCAGAAGCACCGATAGAGGTACCGCAATAAACAACTAATATAGCGGAGTCATTTTGTTCAGATGTAAAAAGATTTACTGCCAGCCATTCCGACCCAAATTTTCGTAAAACTGTCAAGTCTCTTTGGGAGAAGAAGAATGAACTGTTGACTAGAATTTACGTGTGCAATTCATGCGGAAAAACTTTGATATCTTCGGATGGATGGTAAGATTTTTCGTTTGCCCTTTTCATAACTTCCACACTTTTAGTTGTGGTGTCATTATCAAATACGTAAGATTGAATACTTTTCGTCAACTCGAACAAGTAGTGGAACACTGCGTAGACAAAATATTGAAAGTTCGAAAAAAACTAAAAGATGGAACCGATCCTGCTCACAATTTGAATGGAGGAATGCTCAGTCAACTCTGGAAGATGGAGAAAAACGATTCTAGTATTCATTTGTCATTAATAATGAGTATCGACGGAGTGGCACTAGATGGAAATAGCAAGTAAATTGGATCACCGACCTCATTTTTTTTATTAATGTAACTTCAGGCAGAAGATCTGGCCAGTTACGATGATGTTGGTTGATCTCCCAACTCATTCCATGCAGAAGTTGACAAACGTATTGTTGTGTGGAGTAGCGGAAGGAACTAAAAATCCGTCTACAGCGTTTTGGAACACAATTGTTCCTCTTATTTTCGCAGACGTCGAGAAAAAGAAAACGGTTCTGCGGGGAATAACCTTCGATGCGAGCATCGTCTCATGTTCGGCCGACCAACCGGTACCTAACGCCTCAGTTGGCATATGAAATTTTCGTTTAGGCAAAGAGAGCTCTCTTCGGTTTTGTAGGATGCAATAGTCAAAACTCCTGTTTCTATGGACTTTGTTCTGGAACATTCCACAAAAAAGCAGGAAAAGGTTGTAACGTTGTTTTTCTTGAATATAAGCATAAGTTCCTATTTTTAAGCCAGATACGTAGAACGAGAAGGCAATAAAACAGTGGACGACTGTCGTCTAGGAGCGAACGGTTTTGGACCACTTCCAGCGAAAATTGTAGATTACATATATCCTTATGATTCGGTCATCGACCTTCTTCACAACGGACCAGAAGGCCTGTTTTCAATAATACTTTCCGGTATGAAACTGTTTGTAGCGGTTCTAGAAACTTCCGCTTGTTACAGAACTGAAAGGTGACAATTCTGGAAGAAGTAGAAGATCGAATTTGTTTGATGGAGGTGCAGCTATTGAAAATCTTTGCTCAAAAGTGATTTGCCCTCCACCCTTTGCGAGCATGACGTCAATGAGAAACGGGACGGAAAAGTTGACTGTAGGCAAAAAAATTAACTACTCGATCAAAGGCTTGTACAGTATTTCAGGGTCTTCCTAGGATTGTCTCTGCTTTTAACCAATGGAATTTCTTCTGAAGCTACAGTTACGATTCTAGCTCTAACAACTTTAATGAACCAGATGCACACGAATGGCTCGATGCCGGATGGTTTCTGTTACCGCTTGTGCGCAATCGCTCGTTTTTTCTTAGAAAAACATTCCTCGACTTACATGACGACAAAAGGACACGTATGTTTCAAGGAGCGGACCGTTCTCAGCTTCCTGTTCAGGAACTGCTCCATCACCTCCCTTATATTTACAACAAGTTAGGAAACCCTGCTCCGCTGGCGACATTCACATTCGAGTCATTCTACAAATTTTTCTTGAAGGGATACAACCCCCAAATGACCAACGGATTCATCGAAACGGCAGTCAATAGGTTCCGAGAATCTTGTCACTTATTAGCAGCTGAAAAATTCAGAACACTATTACACGTGTCTTTACGAAGAGAGATTGAAAGAAGATGCAAAAATGATGTATCTCAGGAAATGAAAGACTTCTTGGCGGTGACTCCGGAGCTGAAACCGTTTCACAAAACTTGGAAGAATCCTATTTCTGTACTGGATCCCAGTGATACGCTTTCTGAACTGGGCGGCCATACGCATTTTGCTGTCTTCAATTGTCCCAGTGGCAAGCTCATTTCGCGATACTATCAGAAGAGGACAAAGTCCGACGTTGTATTTTGTAAAGGACCCTCTGGAGTTGCACACTGCTATCGGTTCATCGCAGTTGTGCCGAGCCATTCATCTATTCTGGTGGAAGAAGTGAAACGAGTCAGTTTGAACGAACAATTTCCCGTAATTCGAGAAGCTACGACGGAGTTAGGCTTACGGGAATCTGGACATGCTCACCACCTTCTTACAATGATTCAAAACTACTCCGGAATTGTGCACGGAAATTTATCTGGTAATAGAAGTTTCCTGGATATGACAAGTATTCTGGGAGTAGCTGCCTATATTAATGATCAGAGATCCTCATATTACCTTCAAATTAATGGATGCTGTGTACACAACTAGACGGATTTTCTCTTTTTTTCCATTTTATGTTAGTTTGATAAACAATATTCAAGTTCCCCTTCTCAAAAGTCGATGAAAAAAGCACAAAGCGATGGATGCCCCACTGACCCATCGATGACCCATCGATGGGTCATTCGATGGGCCTACGCGCCGCGCGTATTGCGTCATCATACGTGGCTCTTCTCTGCAATTTTCTCTATTTCGTTCGTCGATTTCTTCGCGTATTCGTCGGAATTGGCGACTTTTCCGTTCGCAAAATGAGTGAAGCACTCAAATACCTGGAGGTAAGCGTTTAACAGGTGTCACATTCCGAATTGCATCATTTCCAGAAAGTTTTGAATACTGTTTCCGGTGAGCCGCCCGCCGCGAAACGGGTTCCTCCTTCGCGAGCCATTGACAGACTCCTGGTCGACGATGATCTGCTCGTGAACGACAACGTTGACGTCGTTGAAGAAGAAGTGCGGGTGGAGCAGCAGCTACCGCTTCCTTCATCATCGGCTAGGCCGATTTCGTCCGGAGGGAGATTTTGCCCAGTCGAATTCATGAAGAAGACTTGCATCGATCCGAATTCCGGAGAACTTCTCACGCGAGAAGAATGCGACGTAGGTGTTTCATTGTAAATTCTCTTAGGAAACTTGAAATAAATTTCAGAGAAACATAAAGCAGGAGTTGAGAAACAAGAAAAAGATCGACTATTATCACATAATGGCGAAATCGCAGGAAGAGCACTTGGTCGACACGGAAAGCCAGTATCTGCTGATGCTCTCCGCCTTCCACGGAGTTATGGTAAGCTATCGGAAAGTGACGCCAATATCGAAGTCCACGTTCAGATCAATGAGACGATGAAGAAACCAGATAGTCGCTCATGCAACCAAGAGGCTGACGCTGTCGGATTCAACATAAGATTGGCGTTTTCTGCAGATGATGGCTCCACTCTTCCAGGAGGACGCAAAATCAGAATTTCTTCATTCATCACCCACAACATGGCGTCATTCTGGCGCAAGACTGACATGGAGGATGCAGTGGCGAAATGTATTCTGCAGACCGCCGAAAAGGTATTTTCCAATACCCTGAAGTGAACTGCTGAGTGTCCTTTCAGATCGCCAAGAAGGACACTCTGTTCTTTCTGTACGCGGCTCCGAAAAGCAAAAGAGCAACGACATATGTATCCCTTCCCGATGACTTCTTTGTATCGTTCGGAGGTTTTCAATTCTTGATCTTTTATAGCTAAAGTTGGATCTTGCAGGCATAATCCACGCCGGATTCGGCATTTCACCGGAAGATATGACGAAGACAATCGCGCTGACACGAGATGTGCTCACAAACTATTTGTAAGAGTTTCAACCGTAATTGCGGAGCAAAATTTTATATTTTTTCAGAGACCGGCTAAGAAGTGACTACAAAGAGGTTAATGGCAAGGATTCCGTCAAATCAGCGCTGCCGTCCTTCCGAAGTGTGCTGGAGAAAGATTCCAGCTTCCGCGCCGAGGAAGACACACTATTGGGCTCAGAACATGCTTCCGAATAATTCCACTCAACGTCGCCCATTTGTTTTTTATTATTAATTCCTTTTTTGTTGTGTTTTCTATTGTAATAAACATTTCTGCTTTCTAAACGGAAAAGGCATAGTAAAAGTAAAACTAATGGGCCATCGATGGGTGAAGGGAGCGGACGAGCGACCACTGAAGCCGGATGGGCGTACGATGGGCCACCGATGGGCCATTCTAGAGGTCTTTGGTTGTTCCTCAGTCGCCCATCGGTTCGCACATCGGTGGCCCATATTTCGCCCGTTGCAATCTGCCTGTGGGTGGGGATGAGAGGAATGTGGTCACGGGCTCGACTCCCTGGTTTTGCTTTTTATTTTTTCTTTCTTTTTTTCATATATTTTTGACGAAATTGTTTTGAAATGTTGATTTTTGAAGAGATTAAAGTTGCCAACTGAAGTTCCTCATCGTGTATGCGGAAATTCTTCATCAACACATGAATCTTTTTTGCGATGGTTTTTTTCAGAACAGCGTTTGAGTGCAGTTGATTCTTTGATCCATAACTCGAAGGGGAATTTTTGTAGAGAATAATGCTCAACTACAAAGGTGATCAGCATGACATTTACTACAACTTTTCAGTTGACCACTTCTTTCTACAATTTTTTGTTTTTGAGATACAGGCTGTTGATTAAAAGTGGGTCGTATCACAAAAATCAGCAAGTTTTCAAAAAAGTTGTCAACTAAAAAAGTATGGAAAATGTCTTCAGTAATGTTTCTTTAGTTGACGACTTTTTGATATCTCATTCAATTCGCGAGATACAGCAAGATTTTGCACTACCATCTTTAACAGCCTGTATCTCAAAAACAAAAAATTGTAGAAGGAAGTGGTCAACTGGAAAGTTGTAGCAAATGTCATGCTGATTAACTTTGTAGTTGCGCATTATTCTCTACAAAAATTCCCCTTCGAGTTATGGATCAAAGAATCAACTGCACTCAAACGCTGTTCTGAAAAAAACCATCGCAAAAAAGATTCATGTGTTGATGAAGAATTTCCGCATACACGATGAGGAACTTCAGTTGGCAACTTTAATCCCTTCAAAAAAATAAACATTTCAAAAACAATTTCGTCAAAAATATGAAAAAAAGAAAGAAAAAAAGAAAAAAAGCAAAACCAGGGAGTCGAGCCCGTGACCACATTCCTCTCATCCCCACCGTTAACTCCTGCGCCACTCGACCACATTTTCGTGGTGTGTTGCGGGCGGTGACAATCGTGGCGCGTGGCAAGGGTGTGAGGGTGGGTCGCCGCGCCATGAAAATGCGAAATCTATGGTTAAGAAATGTCAAACTTCGGACTGGAATTTCAGCATTTCAGAGGTCTCGAAAGCAGCTTTTGAAAACTGGAATATAGGTTTTGAAAGTCCCTCTCTCGAACTGTGTCGTTAGTTTAGGCTGGTTCCTTTAATCACTTAAAAGGTTCCCTTGTAAGTCGAATCTAAAAAATTCCACTAAAATAGGCGCTCAATTTATTACTAATAGAATTATCAACTGTTGGAATAATTTACCATCTAGTCTTTTTGCCAACAAATACTCCTCTGAATTGTTCAGGTCATATATTAGTTCTATTCCGTTAAACAAATACCTTAACCTAAACCCTTCAAATTTTTAACTATTGTTTCTCTTCAATTTTCTTCTTTTGTTTATTGTATAAGCGGCGTTAGTCCTTCAATAAATCATTCATTCTATCATTCATTCATGTTTATTTTACCCAGTCGAATTAAAGTGTACAGCCCATTATCCTGAGCCATTTGGATGAACTTGAACAGATCCAGATTGCCTGTGAAATCGGGAATCCTGTAATAGATGGGTTAAACACAAACTTATCACCACGTTTCTCACGATTCGTATTCAATTTGGTGCAGGTTCCAGGGAACCGGCACTGTGATTGCATTCAATCCCATTGACCGAACTCTTTTTTTAGTCGATCTTCCCATTTCGTCGCTGGGATTCGGAAATAATGAATTTCACCAGCAAGGTAACGGAATGGCTGATCGTCAAGAAGAAACTGATGGTTAGTTGTGTCGATTTTGAATCTGAAAAAGTTCTCACACATCATTTTTTTTATATTGTTAAAGAACCGTACCCCGACAGAAGTGCTATCGCCGAAATGATTAACAGCACAAGTGATGTCATGCCTTAAACACCTGAAATAAGAAAAGAGTACCGAGAACTGAGTGTAGCCGATAGGGGCTATGCCATGTTTCCAGCTTTTATAGTGCTAACTGCGGAAATGCTCTTAAGGGTGTGGCCACATCGAAAGATCACCGATTTTCATAGAAACCACAGATAACAGTTTGATCTGAGACCTACGAACTTTGTGCCTGGAAAGGCTGGTCAGAAATTCTTTATTTGCATAATTTACTGTTCGTCATTTTGCATTTACACTACAAAGCTATTAATATTGGAAAATGAGGAAATGGTAATTTCAAGCATAGGTGTGACGTTTAGAGGAAAGGAAATTCAATGCGGTTAGAATTAGTTTCAGTATTTGGACTAGCAGCACAGTGAAAAGAACAACAGAAACGAATACTATCCATTTGATAACGACGTTCTTTTTGTGTTGTTTTTCGAGTCCCTCCGGGGTTAGTTCACTTGTGTATTTGTAGATTATCTGAAAACCCGGAACACTATGTTAATTGAGTTAGAGACACTTACGTCTGGCATCGAATCAGGATGAGGATTGTATCCAAGGTCACGACGGGCTTTGTTGATGTTAAATGTGTTGTTCGTCAGCAATAAGTCCACTTCCAAGAGCGACACAATGGGATCAATTCTTAGAATATTTGAAATGACTTGTGAGACATAACCACAAGAGCGTAGTACGTGAGATGGTATGTCGACCAAAAAAACATGAAAAATCCCAGCGCTTCATTCAGTGGAGACCAGAACGAAAAACGTTCCAACAGGCTCTGGGTCCATGATATTGTAAATCTGAAAAACATACGTCAAATGTTGAGAACAACCTTTTTTGAATAGAGTACCTGCGCATGTGGTGCGTCACAGTTGCGCAATGTTATCTCGGCTCGCAAAAGTCCGTGAACACAGTTGTCTACGGACGAAAGCTGTGTCTGCGCTTCTACGCCATCGGGCTTACAGCAAGCAATCCACCAACCCGATATCATAAAGTTCTGTAAATGTTTTTTCGATCAAAGCCACATTAAGCACATGCTTCATACCTTAACTCTTTCGGTAACTCTCTTCTCCCCGGGTCCGTATATTCCATTGAAACGCAAAACGGAGCACTTCATTCTTTCCGACGAAGCTTGTCTAACGATGCGTTCGGCGTGCGCTTTCGATTCACAATAGTAATTATAGAACTGAACAGATAAAAATGATAGGATTGAAACGTTCCAAGCAAAAAAACCAACAAAGAGAGGATAAGGCACGTTTTTCATCAGCGTTCTCAAGTGGTTCGCCTTGGAAGATAACTCCAATAGATGAAGTATAAATAAAGCGCTTGACTCCAAACTGTTTGCTCCAGTCGAGAAGATTCATAGTTCCAATTGCATTGATATCCATGCATGCCTTGCGGTTATGCTGCAATATTTCACTTATCGTAGTACGTCAAACTCAAGGTACCGCATATTGTCCAGTCATTCCAACGGCGGCCAAATGGAATACAGTGTCAACGTATTCCAAAGCACTCTGCATAACTCCTTTGTCATCGAAAAGAACCCTTAAAGCAATGGGGTATGGTTCAATTTCTGTTATAACTCACTTTGATGAACGAGACACACTCATTGAATCGGGTCATGTCTGGACAGATGAGGTCTACAAGAACAATCCGAATGAAACTATGTAGACGTGCAGTGATTTCATCATCAATCATTTCATCGATACTTTTTTCAGACAAACTAATTTCCTCGATTTCCTCAGTCTCTACTTTGCTTTCCATTGTGGCCGCGACTCTCGGACGAACATCTTCTCTGACTTGTTGGATAAGCGCGAACACTAACTGTTCTGCAAGATGTCCCGCTCCGCCAGTTATTAACACGTGCCACTCCGCTTTCTTTCTTTTAACATTTTCTGAAAAAGAATTTTTATGTATTCGCAGGAGTGTGCGCCTTTTTGGACGCCTTTCTCGATTTTGAAGAACCTGGACTGAGAACTAACCTGATCGGGCAGTAAGTCCCTCGGTTACGGGTAGCGCGTCGTCAGACAAAATATCAGAAATGCTATCACTCGGCTCGCTAGTTTCTGCAACGGCCTCACTAGCAACATCATCCTCCACGACATCGTCTTCGACTGAATGAAGGGAAGACGGTGCCTTCTCAGTAGTTAACGCGTCGTCTGACTGCTGGCCCATCTGACGCACACTGCGACGAATGCTACTGCGGAGGCGTAGTGACATTTTCCTCATGGTGGCCTTGGTGCAAATTATTGTACGGTACCCGCCCCCTTTATGAGCATGTCTCGTTCGTACTATTTTTGTTTTGTACAGATGATTGCTAAATAGTAGGCGGTAGAGAAAAAGGGTAAGTAAGATTCATAGAATGTCAGTTAAAGACAGAGAATTTCGTGACGGAAAGAATATACAGAAAGCATTTTTACAAAGAACAACAATAATATTTGCTCGAAGATGGAAAGAGGCGTGGCCTCGGTAGCGAAGTCGTAACTCGGCGGAAATTTAAATTGCCATAATGTTTTTTTCTGGTTTTCTGCGAAAAATGGCTGAAAAGAAGAATTTTGTTCAGAAAATCAAAGTTGGGAGCTATAGACAAAATTATCGCGCAAATTTTGATCCACAAACAGTTACAATTCGTTAGAAACTGAATGAGTTACATGGATTTGAAGATTTCGAAAAACTAAAATTTGCAAAAAATGTTTCTTTTCGGGACCAAAATAGCTTAAATTTTTTCGTTTCTGAGGCCAAGACCACTTTCCATCTCTGGAGGACCGTGTTGCGTGGAGAGAATGGAACAAAACCATATTTAGTATCTCCAAGTACGTCTGCCATGGACAAAGCGTTCGCCGCGCGGAAGAATCGGCCGACCGAAGTTGTTTCCGTATCCCCCGGCCATTCGATTAAAACCAAATCCTTGATTGCCTCCGTAACCGTTATTGTTCCCGTACCCCGGACGGTTTCCGTTTCCGTTTCCATAGCCTCCATATCCATTTGGTGGATACGGTGCTCTCGTCGGCTCCACAGCACCTCCGATGCTTCCTTTGATGCCGTCATCCACGTTTCCATTACCATTTCCGTTCATATTCCCACCGTTGAAGGGCATTGGACCATTGTTGCTATTGTAACTATTCATATTCGGTCCATTTTCTCCGTACCCACTGGGACCAGAGTACCCGCCTTGTCCACCTGGAACAAACATCAGTGTCTTGAAAAACAGGAAGGTAGCATTTGGGGTGAGTAAATTCAATTTTTGTTTTTGAAAACGGAAAAAAAACACAAACCGTTGGGCCATCATGGACCTTGCCCCTGCTGTCCATTTGTCTGATTTCCATCCGGCTGCTTCTCTTCGGATTTCGTTCCGACGCTGCCCTTTATGCTATCATCTGGAGGAGGTCCTTGCGGCCCAGAACCACCATATCCTGAAAACAACTTCTGGAATTTTTGTGTTACTAAAATTGTCTACCATTGGAGTTTGGTCCGTTCCAGTTACCTCCCGGAAAATTGCCATTATTCCACATCCCATTTCCATACCCATTCTGTCGTTTCGAACGAATCTGATGATCACCGGCGCCTGAGAACAGACACGTTGTTTATGTCACGAAATGGATCCCATATTCAGCTATTTGATGCACGCGACACCTGTCAGACCCCCAGGGAACCACTCGTTCTCAGCACTTTTCTCTGTTGGTTGCCTCTTCCTGGAATATTTGAATACCACGTACTTTTTCGTTTTTCGTTCGCTTCCTCTTCCGCGTTTGCCGTCATCGCGAGTTGAACAAGAAGAAAACACAGAAATGAGGCTCCAAAAAGTTTCAATCGCATCTTCATCCTATTTATTCAATTCCCGCGCAATTTGCAATTCAAAAAACCTGAGCCAGACGTCTCTATTCGCTTTATTTTGCATTTTCAATTGGCCAGCTTCTGCCTCGCTTCTACCGAGGCTCATCATTTTTGTTTGCCTTTATGTTAACGATCGATCTATTTTTAACCACTTGATCATAAGGTGATTTTGAATTGAAATATTCATGAATCCCACACACATGTTCATGTTTACTTTATGCCCAGATTAGAGATATGATCGCTCTCCCAAATTGGCTCCGTCTTCTGCCGTCTCGCCACCCGGAAATCGCTTATCTAATCGGTGATCGATACGCCATTAAACTAAGATCATCTTGTGATCTTTATCAACGTTTTAGGCACTCCGGTTACAAATGTGCAGCAAGTCACCTTACACGTGATCGCCAAACGGTTGGATAATTTTGCTATTCAACAACGGATGCTAGTGATAAACTTGGTGGAGGATTGTGAGTAAAACAAAGAAGGAAAGTGAAGAATTGAATTGAAAATGTTTAGCAAACTATCAAGGAAACACACAGCAAGTTTTTGAGCTACCTTTAAACGGGGTCGACGTAGAAGATCTGGTTTCCAATCGAGACAGAAAAATAAGTGAGTAACAACCCCAGGCGGTTTTGTAAATTTGTATGGTGTCATTTTTTATGTTCAGATCAACTGGAAAGCGCATTACGCAACACATTCCGAGGTAGAAATGTGAACCCGTATATTGCGGACATCCGCCCAAGATATCTCATTCCACGGGGAAAAGAGCACATCTTCAAGAACAGTGTCGGGTGAGAAAATCCATTCTTTTAATTTTATTTTGACCGTTTTTCAGAACTGTGGTGGACATTGGAACACAACAAAAGTTCTATCCTGGCACATTTTCAATTGTCAGAAATCTGCAGACTACACCAGAGTTCTGTTCGAGACCGTCATCGGTGGTGATGAATAAGTACTTTGCCCCTGTGTTTTCAGTTGACTGGTGCAATGTTTTAATAGTAAAGAATACGGAACACAAGTCAGAGAATTGTGTTTTGATTTCAGAGAAATGTGTCCGCAATCATTGATGAAGATGATAGCGAGGAATTTATTAAAAAGAAGGTTACTCTCGATAAGTCGGAATCAAAGGATAAAGAAGTGAGCTCATACTTTTCGAATCATAGAAACAGTTGTTTTGACAGCAATCAATCGATCGACCTGAACCGCCACCACAAGAAATCTACGGTTACAGTGGATACAACTTCTTCAACAGTGTCATCCTGTTCCCCGCCATTGCAATCATCTGTGTTATTCTCATTTTGGTACTGAGTCTCATTTTTTTGGAAACAGAGAAGGGCAGAAATGGCGAGACTACAAAACTTCTGGGTAACTTATTCAGCCTCGTCTTTTTCCATTCAAAATCTGTTTTTGTTGTAGTCAAACCATGGAGGAGTACGTCAGTGTCTGCCAAAACCAGAAAAAGCTGCGAGAACTTTCGATCCAGCGTCAGTTGCTCAGTATGGGATCAGAGACCAACTCGGGCACTCCAACCGGTGAGCGAATCATCGTAGTTTGTTATCATAGTTTGTGTCCATATCAGGAATCCATTCCTACTTGCAAACAAGAAGCAGAGCACCAAGCACCATTGCCAGATTCAGTAAGAGTGCGAGTCGCCTGAACGATAGAGGTATTTCGCAATTATTCAGGGTTTTTCGCAGTTTTTTTGATTTTTTTGATTTCAGAGGATACAGTTGAAGTTCTCCCTGTCTATTGATCACGTTCCAGTTGGAAAGCAAACAGTAGCGGAAGCGGCAAAACAGTGCGGAAGCTCTCTCCATCTCTACAGAAACCCCCTGAGTGACGAGAGTGACGAACACGAGACTGAGAGCTCTGAGGATGAAAAACTAAACGTCTCAATATTCGTTTTTAAAAAAATGTCTTTTTATTTCGATGAGTTTGATGAGAATAAACGATCTCAGTAGTCGAAAAATCGGAATGTTAGTGAACTTTGCGGTGCAAGAAGCTGCCGTGCATGCAGTCGTAGCGCCCTCGAACTCGTAGAACATTATCAGATTGGTGCCTTTGTGAAGGAACTCGGACGGAATGTAAAGGGTTTGCTGAAAAACGAGTGTTTGGCGTTTTTCTGATAAAACGCCTTACCTGAGGCCCGACTGTGGACCAGTATCTTCCGATGTTGTACTGGTTGATAGTCACAACTCCTTTTTCCCCATCCTCTCACATCGAGAAAAGTATCAGCTGGAGCGGTTTTTGATGTGCAAGTTCCCAATGAAAACAGCTGGTTGGTTGACGGCCGCTGAGTTGGAGTCGGACTGCTGAAGTTACTCGGGGTAACAAGAAATTGATTCAAAAAAACCTGGGTGTTCATTTTTGTGCAACACTTGTTTCTGAATCTTTTTCATAGTTCTTGACCATACTGATCTCATACGTCTCGATAGGAACTTGACAACTCTGCCAGTTTTCCAGAGTCACATTGTGCATGTAGACATTATCTTGAATTCCCTGCAGATATCACTTTTTTCAGTTCGCAAGATGGGCTCACTCTAGACATCACTGGATAATTTATGCTGGATCGTCCGGTGATTTCAATAATAATCTCAAGCGAGTTGACGTTATCCAAACATCCTTGAACTTCAATGGTATTGTTATGAATATCAGCAAAATCTTTGTATAGCGCACCCTGGAAAATACGTGTTTGAATCTGCAATTATTTAAATATTTCTTACAATAAAGTTGCGATTGAGGAAAATGTATGCATTGTCAGCAAACTTTGGAATGTAAAGGGTTCCACAGTCGATAATAGTCTAAGAACAGTCACATAATTTGAACATTTGAACCCGAAACTTTTTTACCGTGTTGTAATACACGTAGCCATATCCGTGTCGAATGTACTCGGCAGTTCTGGGTGTTTCCGGACTGCTCCAACACTCTGGATTCGTTCCCAATATGAATCCGGAGACAGTATCGAAAACTGTCAGCGTAACATCGGGGTAAGCGGTTCTTGGCAAGTTAGCTGGAATTGAAGGTGGCATATAAGCCCAGCCAGGAATATTAGTGATCCAGTTTCTGATTGCCAAGAAAAGCTCATTGACGTCTCCAGCTTCAGCGATGGGCGCAAATGAATCATAAGAAGTGGTGACTGTGTAGGGATCGAATGCGCCGTTCCAATATCCAAAGTTCGTTCCTCCGTGGGTCATGTGGAAACTGATACTGGCGTTCAGACCGAATGCAGCTAAAGAAAATGTGTAAAAATGTCAGATAAAATCACCATGACTTACTTTTAGCGGTTTCGATAATTACATCGTTCTGATATCTATCGGTTACATTCAGGCCCCAAACTTTGTATGGATTAATGACAAAATGAGATGCAACTGCTGGTGCACCGGCCATGTAAGACTTTTGCAAGTTGAACCATCTTTCAACTGTTCCTGCTGCTGTATTCGGACGCATTTCAATAGTCGGGAGCACGTTCGGAAGGGTTCCACATCTCAAGAAGAACGCAAGTGGAGCATCGACAGTGAACAAGACGACATCATTTCCCAACTGCTCTCTGGCCATGTTCGCCAATGCAAGCATGTAGCTTTGGTCGCAGAATTGAAGATTCCCATAGAAATGCTCAATCTGAACCATCAGAATCGGTCCGGCGTTTTTTCTCATCAACGGCCACAATTTGGGCAGAAGATGCTTCCACCATTGCGTCACTTCATCCATGAATCTGAACAAGAAGGTCCCGATGTTGTTGTTTGGAAGTTCCATAAAACTAACGCTGGATCACTAGTACGGTACTTGTTGATTTTGGTGTTTCTGATCAACCACCATGGCAAACCTCCGTTGTCCCATTCAGCAGAAATGTATGGCCCTGTAAGAAAAAAGTGTGGGCTCTATCTGAATTTACAGGTTCCAAAGCCAGGTTTCAGGTTCCTTAAGAAAAAAAAAAGTAAAGTCAGATTTTTTATTATTGGGGATCCTGAAATCTGCTTTCAGAACCTGTGAATTCAGATAGAAGCAAAGCGTGATGAATGAGAAATGCTGAATACCAATTCTGATAATGGTGTACAGTCCGTTATCATTTGCAGTCTTGATGAACTTGACCAAGTCCAAGTTTCCCAAAAACTGTGGGGTTCTACAACGGTTAATAATCTTTTTTTAATAAGGTTATGGATCAGAACTCACTCATCCTGATCGTATTGATGCAAATTCCATGGAACTGGCACCGTGATCGCATTGAATCCAAGAGCACGGACCCGTTTCAGACGATCATCCCATTTTTGGTGAGGGATTCGGAAGTAATGGATCTCACCGGCTAAGTACTGGAACGGTTCTCCATCTAGCAGAAACTGACTGTTTGTTTTGTCGATTTGGAATGATGGCGATGAGTCTTTTCTGAACAATTCACCAGAATTTCACTATTTCGTGGAAATATTGCGATTTACCCGAGAACTCTGGAAAGCAAACAGAAAAAAAGTATAGAAGTGCCAACCCAACTCATGACTGCTGATGAGAGTGGAAGCAGTTTTCTATCAGCTTGTTAACCCTTGATTCTTATCGTTTCTTCGCCGCATACGTCAAATTTTGATGTGGCCAACTATAGATAATGAACAGAGTTGACGGAAAGAACTTTTATTTTGGCAAAAAAAGTATTAATAACTGAACAAAAGATAATTGAGAAACTTCAATGTGCAGGTAGATTGTCCACCACAAGCGGATCCGGCTCCTTCAAACTCGTACAAAGTGATGGTGTTGACGCCTTTTTGCAAGAAATCAGATGGGAGGTAGAGAGTTTGCTGAACAACTTTGATCAGAGTGTATTTCAAAAGTTCAACCGACTTGTGGACCTTCAGTTGGCCAATATCTGCCAATGTTGTACTGATTGACGGTGATGAAGCCCTTTCCCCATCCACGAGTATCAATATAAGTGTCCATTGGGTCCGACGACAATGTTAACGTTCCAGTAAATATTGCTGGTTGCTGAGTGTTCACAGATGTTTTCTGTAATTGATTTAGTCGAAACTTTGATTAGAAATAAAGTCCTAACTGTGCTTCTGGCAATTTGTTCGCGAATCATTCCATAGTTTTTCACAATGTTCAGTTCAGTGGTTCCAATTGGAATTTGGCAGTTATTCCAGATTGAAATGATTTTATCGTTCAAGAAAACTTTACCTTGGAGTCCCTGAATTAATCTACATACAGTTCAGTTGAGTTCAAAATAGTTACCTTTGAAATTGACGGATACATCGTGTGACTTCTCCCCGAAATTTCCACCAAAATTTCCAAAATATTTTCACCACTGTGGCATCCTTGAAGGTCAATTGTGTTGTTGTGAATATCAGCCATTTGATTGTACAGGGCACCCTCAACATTATCATTTTGAATACTAGCAAGATCTAACGTTGTATGTACCACAAAGTTTCCATTCAAGTAAACGTAGGCGTCATCTGCGTACTTTGAGATGTTTAGTCTTCCACAGCTCGTGATATTCTGAAATTTTTCTTTGTTTACTTAATTGGTGATAAAATTGTCTTACAGTTTGATAGTACAAAAATCCATATCCTTGGTTCATGTCTTCAGCAGTCAACGGCAACGATTCAGTGAGCCAGCATTTCGTACTGATGGACACTACGAAATCAATAAGTGTATCAGTTGGTTTCATTTCCACGTCGCTGTAAATATTCCTGGGAATGTTGGCAAGAACACTCGTTGGTCGATTGGGCCATCCCGGAATGTTGTTGATGAAGTTCCTGATGGCCAACAGAATGGTCGCCGTGTCTCCTGATTCAGAAATCGGCGCGAAACAGTCATATGACGTAGTTACGGGGTATGGTGCATTGTTTCCGTTCCAAAATGCAAAGTTTGTTCCTCCATGAGCCAGGTAAAAACTCATACTAGCGTTGAGCGCCCAACCCGCTGCAAAGCAAATCATAATTTTTTTTAAAACTGGTAGTTTTTGATTCACCTTGAAGTGTTTTCATAATTACATCTTCAGTAAACGGATCATTCACAGAAGTGCCCCACAGTTTGTAAACACCCAACAGGAATTGGGAGCCAACTCGAGGACCACCAGCAGCAAGAGCTTGTTGTTGCTGGAACCAACCGTTCGCTGCACTTGTGTCACTGTTCGGACTCATTTCGATGGTTGGCAGTATTCCGGGAACTCTTCCGCATTGCAAAAACGGCATCATTGGCACGTCAACTGCAACAAGAACAAAACATTTCAATGTTTAGAGGTACACTAACCAGAGTAAAGAACCACGTCATTGCCCAAGTACTTTTTAGCCAGGTTTGCGAGTTGTAGAAGATAATCCTGATCGCAAATACCAGTGGACCCATAATAATGCTCAATCTGTGCCATCAAGATTGGACCACCATTCTTTCTCATTAGAGGTGTCAGTTTTGGTAGCAGGTAGTTCCACCATTGTGACACTTCTGCGATGAATCTGAAAACAAACCGAATGCATTTGTGGAAACGATTCACACTTACGCCAAGTTGCTACTTCTGTACTTTGTGATATGTGTGTTCTTGATCAACCACCATGGAAGACCCCCGTTTTCCCACTCATCAGCAATGTAAGGTCCTGAAAGTAACTGATTTTTAAACGAATCACTTGAAATGTTTGTTTTACCCAATCGAATTAAAGTGTACAGCCCATTATCCTGAGCCATTTGGATGAACTTGAACAGATCCAGATTGCCTGTGAAATCGGGAATGCTGTAATAGATGGGTTAAACACAAACTTATCACCACGTTTCTCACGATTCGTATTCAATTTGGTGCAGGTTCCAGGGAACCGGCACTGTGATTGCATTCAATCCCATTGACCGAACTCTTTTTAGTCGATCTTCCCATTTCGTCGCTGGGATTCGGAAATAATGAATTTCACCAGCAAGGTAACGGAATGGCTGATCGTCAAGAAGAAACTGATAGTTAGTTGTGTCGATTTTGAACGAACTGTCCGCATGTATTCTGAAAAAGTTCTCACACATCATTTTGTTATATTGTTAAAGAACCGTACCCCGACAGAAGTGCTATCGCCGAAATGATTAACAGCACAAGTGATGTAATGCCTTAAACACCTGAAATAAGAAAAGAGTACCGAGAACTGAGTGTAGCCGATAGGGGCGATGCCATGTTTCCAGCTTTTATAGTGCTAACTGCGGAAATGCTCTTAAGGATGTGTCCACATCGAAAGATCACCGCTTTTCATAGAAACCACAGATAACAGTTTGATCTGAGACCTACGAACTTTGTGCCTGGAAAGGCTGGTCAGAAATTCTTTATTTGCATAATTTACTGTTCGTCATTTTGCATTTACACTACAAATCTATTAATATTGGAAAATGAGGAAATGGTAATTTCAAGCATAGGTGTGACGTTTAGAGGAAAGGAAATTCAATGCGGTTAGAATTAGTTTCAGTATTTGGACTAGCAGCACAGTGAAAAGAACAACAGAAACGAATACTATCCATTTGATAACGACGTTCTTTTTGTGTTGTTTTTCGAGTCCCTCCGGGGTTAGTTCACTTGTGTATTTGTAGATTATCTGAAAACCCGGAACACTATGTTAATTGAGTTAGAGACACTTACGTCTGGCATCGAATCAGGATGAGGATTGTATCCAAGGTCACGACGGGCTTTGTTGATGTTAAATGTGTTGTTCGTCAGCAATAAGTCCACTTCCAAGAGCGACACAATGGGATCAATTCTTAGAATATTTGAAATGACTTGTGAGACATAACCACAAGAGCGTAGTACGTGAGATGGTATGTCGACCAAAAAACATGAAAATCCCAGCGCTTCATTCAGTGGAGACCAGAACGAAAACGTTCCAACAGGCTCTGGGTCCATGATATTGTAAATCTGAAAACATACGTCAAATGTTGAGAACAACCTTTTTTGAATAGAGTACCTGCGCATGTGGTGCGTCACAGTTGCGCAATGTTATCTCGGCTCGCAAAAGTCCGTGAACACAGTTGTCTACGGACGAAAGCTGTGTCTGCGCTTCTACGCCATCGGGCTTACAGCAAGCAATCCACCAACCCGATATCATAAAGTTCTGTAAATGTTTTTTCGATCAAAGCCACATTAAGCACATGCTTCATACCTTAACTCTTTCGGTAACTCTCTTCTCCCCGGGTCCGTATATTCCATTGAAACGCAAAACGGAGCACTTCATTCTTTCCGACGAAGCTTGTCTAACGATGCGTTCGGCGTGCGCTTTCGATTCACAATAGTAATTATAGAACTGAACAGATAAAATGATAGGATTGAAACGTTCCAAGCAAAAAACCAACAAAGAGAGGATAAGGCACGTTTTCATCAGCGTTCTCAAGTGGTTCTCCTTGGAAGATAACTCCAATAGATGAAGTATAAATAAAGCGCTTGACTCCAAACTGTTTGCTCCAGTCGAGAAGATTCATAGTTCCAATTGCATTGATATCCATGCATGCCTTGCGGTTATGCTGCAATATTTCACTTATCGTAGTACGTCAAACTCAAGGTACCGCATATTGTCCAGTCATTCCAACGGCGGCCAAATGGAATACAGTGTCAACGTATTCCAAAGCACTCTGCATAACTCCTTTGTCATCGAAAGAACCCTTAAAGCAATGGGGGTATGGTTCAATTTCTGTTATAACTCACTTTGATGAACGAGACACACTCATTGAATCGGGTCATGTCTGGACAGATGAGGTCTACAAGAACAATCCGAATGAAACTATGTAGACGTGCAGTGATTTCATCATCAATCATTTCATCGATACTTTTTTCAGACAAACTAATTTCCTCGATTTCCTCAGTCTCTACTTTGCTTTCCATTGTGGCCGCGACTCTCGGACGAACATCTTCTCTGACTTGTTGGATAAGCGCGAACACTAACTGTTCTGCAAGATGTCCCGCTCCGCCAGTTATTAACACGTGCCACTCCGCTTTCTTTCTTTTAACATTTTCTGAAAAAGAATTTTTATGTATTCGCAGGAGTGTGCGCCTTTTTGGACGCCTTTCTCGATTTTAAAGAACCTGGACTGAGAACTAACCTGACCGGGCAGTAAGTCCCTCGGTTACGGGTAGCGCGTCGTCAGACAAAATATCAGAAATGCTATCACTCGGCTCGCTAGTTTCTGCAACGGCCTCACTAGCAACATCATCCTCCACGACATCGTCTTCGACTGAATGAAGGGAAGACGGTGCCTTCTCAGTAGTTAACGCGTCGTCTGACTGCTGGCCCATCTGACGCACACTGCGACGAATGCTACTGCGGAGGCGTAGTGACATTTTCTTCATGGTGGCCTTGGTGCGAATTATTGTACGGTACCCGCCCCCTTTATGAGCATGTCTCGTTCGTACTATTTTTGTTTTGTACAGATGATTGCTAAAGAGTAGGCGGTAGAGAAAAAGGGTAAGTAAGATTCATAGAATGTCAGTTAAAGACAGAGAATTTCGTGACGGAAAGAATATACAGAAAGCATTTTTACAAAGAACAACAATAATATTTGCTCGAAGATGGAAAGAGGCGTGGCCTCGGTAGCGAAGTCGTAACTCGGCGGAAATTTAAATTGCCATAATGCTTTTTTTCTGGTTTTCTGCGAAAAAAATGGCTGAAAAAGAAGAATTTTGTTCAGAAAAATCAAAGTTGGGAGCTATAGACAAAATTATCGCGCAAATTTTTGATCCACAAACAGTTACAATTCGTTAGAAACTGAATGAGTTACATGGATTTGAAGATTTCGAAAAAAACTAAAAATTTGCAAAAAAATGTTTCTTTTCGGGACCGAAATAGCTTAAATTTTTTTTCGTTTCTGAGGCCAAGACCACTTTCCATCTCTGGAGGACCGTGTTGCGTGGAGAGAATGGAACAAAACCATATTTAGTATCTCCAAGTACGTCTGCCATGGACAAAGCGTTCGCCGCGCGGAAGAATCGGCCGACCGAAGTTGTTTCCGTATCCCCCGGCCATTCGATTAAAACCAAATCCTTGATTGCCTCCGTAACCGTTATTGTTCCCGTACCCCGGACGGTTTCCGTTTCCGTTTCCATAGCCTCCATATCCATTTGGTGGATACGGTGCTCTCGTCGGCTCCACAGCACCTCCGATGCTTCCTTTGATGCCGTCATCCACGTTTCCATTACCATTTCCGTTCATATTCCCACCGTTGAAGGGCATTGGACCATTGTTGCTATTGTAACTATTCATATTCGGTCCATTTTCTCCGTACCCACTGGGACCAGAGTACCCGCCTTGGCCACCTGGAACAAACATCAGTGTCTTGAAAAACAGGAAGGTAGCATTAGGGGTGAGTAAATTCAATTTTTGTTTTTGAAAACGGAAAAAAAAACACAAACCGTTGGGCCACCATGGACCTTGCCCCTGCTGTCCATTTGTCTGATTTCCATCCGGCTGCTTCTCTTCGGATTTCGTTCCGACGCTACCCTTTATACTATCATCTGGAGGAGGTCCTTGCGGCCCCGAACCACCATATCCTGAAAACAACTTCTGGAATTTTTGTGTTACTAAAATTGTCTACCATTGGAGTTTGGTCCGTTCCAGTTACCTCCCGGAAAATTGCCATTATTCCACATTCCATTTCCATACCCATTTTGTCGTTTCGAACGGATCTGATGATCACCGGCGCCTGAGAACAGACACGTTGTTTATGTCACGAAATGGATTCCATATTCAGCTATTTGTTGCACGCGACACCTGTCAGACCCCCAGGGAACCACTCGTTCCGAGCACTTTTCTCCATTGGTTGCCTCTTCCTGGAATATTTGAATACACGTACTTTTTCGTTTTTCGTTCGCTTCTTCTTCCGCGTTTGCCGTCATCGCGAGTTGAACAAGAAGAAAACACAGAAATGAGGCTCCAAAAAGTTTCAATCGCATCTTCGAGACGTTCCTGAAACATATCCTTTCTTTGAAACTAACGAGACGTCAAACAGTGGTGCCAAATGCGATTTGACCGAGCCGAACAGAAAAGAGCTAACCGGATCAGGTCCACTGTCATCCTATTTATTCAATTCCCGCGCAATTTGCAATTCAAAAAACCTGAGCCAGACGCCTCTATTCGCTTTATTTTGCATTTTCAATTGGCCAGCTTCTGCCTCGCTTCTACCGAGGCTCATCATTTTTGTTTGCCTTTATGTTAACGATCGATCTATTTTTAACCACTTGATCATAAGGTGATTTTGAATTGAAATATTCATGAATCCCACACACATGTTCATGTTTACTTTATGCCAGATTAGAGATATGATCGAAATCGAAAGTTATGATTATACTCAAGGCTCTAACAGTAGAAAAATTGGATGATAATTGATGAACTTATGGCCTAATATTTCGGCCCAAAAGGCCTAATATTTCGGCCCAAAAGGATGGAGCCCGAATGGCTTAATTAAGATGAAAAAAGCAAAAGCTTACAACATCCAGGATTCCCAGGCCGTCTCCGATCCAAGTACTAACTAGACTCAACGTTGCTTAACTTGCCAGATCGGACGGGATGGCGTGTTTTCAACGTGATATGGTCGTAAGCGAAATCATCGCCACTCTATGTCGGTGACATTTTCGCAAACAATGTCTCAATGGCCAGTGTGTGTTGGCCGATATTGTCGGGAGAGTAGAATCTCGCGGTCCCTGGACATGTCGGTTGCTCACAAAACATTTGTCGATACGCGCGCTGTTAGTTTTGGTTTAATTACCCAAGTTTTGAGGTACGAAACTGGGAATGACCTAATGCAAATTAGCGTCTTGTTTAATTTTGGATCGTCTCCTTTAGGGGAGACAAAAGAACTAGCAGAAGAAAAAGTTGGATGATAATTGATGAACTTATGGCCTAATATTTCGGCCCAACAGGCCAAAATAAGGCCCTACTCTCCCGTGTTGGCCGATATTGTCGGGAGAGTAGAATCTCGCGGTCCCTGGACATGTCGGTTGCTCACAAAACATTTGTCGATACGCGCGCTGTTAGTTTTGGTTTAATTACCCGAGTTTTGAGGTACGAAACTGGGAATGACCTAATGCAAATTAGCGTCTTGTTTAATTTTGGATCGTCTCCTTTAGGGGAGACAAAAAGAACTAACAGAAGAAAAAAAGTTGGATGATAATTGATGA